GCCCAGCTGTGGGAAACAAATAAATCCAGATATGACCTTCATGATCGAAGATAACCTCTTAATACGAATAATTATGACATTTATCTCACCCTCTCCCCCCAACATTATTAAATTATAAAAAAAAGCTGCCATTCCGAATATTACCAAAGCCTCTAAAACATAATTTGAATTATACTTTTGTATTAAATGGCCGATTTTTCTAGACAAATATAAAGTTAGACAACTATCACCTAAAAAAAACTACAAATAAATCGCAACATCATAATGTAATATCCCGTTATACCTAAATATGATTTAGTTCTTACCTAACTCTCTTACCATAAAAATATAAACACATAATATAACAAAAGGCTCCCAAAATAGTACAATTATAAATATAATCTAAGCAATAGGAGCCTAATAATCGATTATAGTTATACAGCTTAACAAAATGAAAACCTGGTGAGTATAGTCAGGGCAATATACACTAGTCCTAAAACTTTTGTGTTTAAGTTAAGATAAACATTATGTATAAAAAAAGTAGTGTAATAAAACTAATATATTATCAGAATTATTATTTATTTTATCAGAATGAGCAATAATGCTCTTGAAATATAAGATTTTTTGTTTTAAAATGACTAATTTTTAAGAAAATGCTATAATATAATTATAACTATGTACTTATTCTTGATATTGATTTAATTCTAACTGTGGTTCAAATTGTTTGATTTCTCTAAGTGATTAAAAACATAATTTACGGGGGAGCTTTGTTTTATATTTCTTAGAAAGATGACGTATTTAAATTGTTTTGAGGCTATGAATATCCCAATTATATTCCAAAATTCATATATAAAATTTGTTTTAAATATTAATTTTGTAAACATAGAAATCGTGATAAAAACCCTGATAATTAAAACTACTATATGATCAGTAAGAGTTGAATTTTTATAAATTATTTGAACAATCTTAAAGTTTGTCATGAAATTATAAAGTGAAATAATAAATTGGGTTTTGAGAATGTATTTATAATAAACCCTATTACAAAATTATCATTATTCAATATTGAAGTAGATTAAAGCATTAATTATTTATTTTGAAGATAATTGCTTTGTGGATAGATAATTTCTTTCTAAATTAGGCTTTGATTCCTTGTTGTTGGGATTACACTGATTCAAATCTCCCAAAGATGCATCCAAATAAGTCTAAATTAGTTCTTAAATTTGTCAATTAGTTAAATAGCTTAAATGTTTGTTGGTTTCAAAACAGTTTGAATCATGGATTCTGAATGTAAAATTACACAGAAATTTTGTTCAAATAAACCTAGATAAAAAATACATGAAATGATTTAAGAAGATTTCAAAGAATTTCAATTATTCTTAGATTAAAATTATTTATTGAAAATAAATTGAATAACAATTAATTACATTCTAAAATTAAATATCTCTTGTATTAGTTATGTTAAAGATTTTTTGCAGATTATTGAAATAAGAAGGATCGTGTATTATACCATTTTTGATGCTTCCTTTATTTTGAAAGAAAAAAATTTTTGGTTTTCATTTCCCTTATTTATTATATATAAATAAATTGAACAATTTACTCTAAAAATGATTGGTTATCTGAATCATCATAATCCCTCTTATAAAGTCTTCCACATAATAATGATTATTGCTGTAATCTCTTTCGCATTAATATTTTATATCTTTTGACAACCATTCTATCCATCAAAACTGCTGAGCTCGCAAACATCTATCTATCATTGGATTTTTACTATAGCTTAGGCTTATTCAGGAAAGACAAGCTAGAAATAAATTCTGTACAATCTTTAAGGAGTTAATTTAATAACATTCTTAACGAAATAAAGTCTTCTTAAAATTTATTGTACAATCATATATTTATAAATTTAAGATTCTAGAATCAATATTGATAAATCTACATCCAATTTTTAATGGAATTATATAATAATACGAATTAATATCGTTCATTAATTTAATATTTAAATTTTGACTATTGTAGATTCTGTAAGACTTTAATCGTAAACAACTTGGCTAATTTCAAGTGTAGTGGATTGCAACTTTATTTTTAAGGAATTATATTGTGGAAATGCTTATTAAAAAAGAGGAAAGAATCCAATATAATTCATTTAATTGAAGCAATTATAAGTAAAAGAGTGAGTCTTTTTTGTATTACAAGCATTGCATTTATTAAAATCTGCTTAAACCTTCATTCCATTTTGGCATTTAATTTAGATATTCATTTTAAGTGGGGTGATTGTTTTATCAACTAAATATTCATAGTTTCCAATTGCAGTGTATATTTAGTTAGTTTAAAGTAATTCTAAATACAACGTAGGCAATGTTAATAAATCGAGAACTTATTTTCTGCTTATTCTTATACTAAAACATTCTAATGGTTTGAATATGGTTGTAAATTAATACGCAATCCAAATCTATGAATGACTATTAGGAGTTTCAATCTCATACCCTATTATATTTTATTTATAATAAATAATTACATGTCCCCCAAGTATATGATATTGTTGTTGCTGTGTTACTATATGTTGCTCTTATTCTTAGATTTTTGGTATTTGGAAAAGCCAGACCTTATAAAGCTATAGCAAACCATCGATTTGGCTCTATTGGAATAGTGCCACTGCTAAATGCTCCTGTTGCTGTCTTTAATCCTAGATTTATAAATGCATCTTATATTCCAACGACTACAAAATACCCAATTTATTTCAGATTAGTAAACTTTCCTGCAATTTTAGTTATACTAACAGTAACAGAATTAGTTTTTATTTCGCTTATCAAAGAATAAATGACCAATAATTACAGATAATAGAAAATCGATTGCTTCTAAATAACGCATACTTGTGATTGCCACAAAACCAGTTTAGGCATTTGGATTTTTAATTGGAAATGTCTTGTCATCTGGAACATCCATATTGAAGTTACTTATAACTTCAATACGTTAATCATCAATAGCAAACCATCTTATCCTCAGTGTGTATTACCTCTATTTATGACAACTAATTTCTAAAGTGAAATCTTTTTATAGTATATTGTATCAAAGTACCTGTTTAAGTTATTGTTGTTATCGATAATCTAAACCCCATGTCAGCTTTCTCTTACTCAAGATATTCATGTACAAAAAACACTTAAGGAATTCTTTCAAATTAATTCGAGTATGATATAGTGGCTGTTCTAGAAAAACCAAAATTGCAAATGAAAGTTGAATCTGAAGCAGTTGCAAAGCCATTAAACACTCCAGTATCAGAGTAGATATAAGCTGATGTGATTTTTAGAATTATCATTAAATATAAAGATTTTCCCATGTTATTAATTTAATTAATTTAAATAAAACTTGATTTTAACACACGATTGTGAATGACACCCACCTTATTTAGAGAAATTTTGTTTTGAACTACAACTTTTATCCTAATGACTTTTAAAAGAATGAAATCATTTTTTTGGGATGTTAAGTATTTTATTGATAGATTCTATTAGTAAATGATTAAATGTGTTTAAAGCTTTATTGGATATTTTCCTCATTTCACCTCTAAAATAAAGGCAAATATATGAATAGGAAGCTTCTAATTTTATTACAAATATTTTAAGAATAAATTAGTTACTTAATTAAATGTAAAATCAAAATTATTATAAGGAGAAAGAACAAAAATTAAGAAGCCTAAATATTATGAGTTAATATTTTTGACTATTTTGTATTAGGCATAAATTTAAAAAGGATTGAAGTAAACCAATTTAAAACTTAAGCAATTTAATAGTTTCCAAAAGCTTGAGAGAAGGCTTTAAAAATCAATAAATACATTTTTTTTATTTTAACCTTCACTCATAAAAAATTATAGAATAAATAAGATAATTTTGAAAGATTATTTAGACCTAATTAATAAATTTTTAGATAATAATTTCAGATTATGTTTATAAATCATTATTGAAATGATAAAAATTAATCTATTTTTAATTAATTGATTATGTATGATTGTATATAATAAATTAGTCAATATTTTAAAAAGTTGAATCTTTTTGTCACAGCAATTACTATTCTATAAAGGCAATTTAGTATTTTTGATTTCAAATTTAAAGAATAGTGAAAAGATCTTAATAAAATAAAATAAAGTTTAATTTATATCCGTTAATTAATTTATATTTACTTAGTGAAAAAAGGACTTAAAAGTTAACATAGATTAGAGAGTTAAAAAATCAATTATAAATGTAATTTTTGCTGATTTTACCTTTTGTGTCTTCATTTTCAATCAAGATGGATGATGCTTTATCTGGTGCAATTACAAAATACACTCTAGATGTTTAATTATCAATCGACACATATAATTCAATTTTGATGATATTCCCTTTAAGTTATGAGTTAAATGAACTAATGCAGATTTATTGTTGGTGTAATGGTAATAAGTTTCAAGCAAAAATCAAAGATAACCAAATTTTAATTTTTGGTAATTTTATTCCTTCCTATACTTTGAATATTACTTTGGAAAATATTGAAAATGGTTATTATCCTTTTAATTAGGATAAGGAGTATATCTTAGAATTTTATTAGGATGAAAACCTAGTAGAGAGATAAACTTGCCTTTACACTCTAGCTTATTAGCAATAGTTGAGCATACAAGGAAGATATGAAAACTATTCTACTTTTGTTAAAACTACTTTAAATTTTGAAATTAACTTTCTATTTCGAGTAAGAGCAGGGACAATCTTTGATATCATCTTTCCAATTATTAATATAGGAGCAACTAAGATCGTATCAATGCTGACATAAGATACCTTCCCTCTTTTCTAAAACATAAGTTTGGATTTTGAAATTAATCTTGCAGAATAAAAATTAACAATTTACAACCTATTTCAAAAATAGTATCTTCCTGGTAATTCAATACTCCTTTCAATTCATAACATTTATACAAATAATTAATAATTGGATGGAGATTCTTTTTGGATACTTTATAAGACTACCTATAAAGGTCTTAATATTGCTGAGGGTTAATTCTAGGAAAACGAAATAAAAAGTGTTAGTCCATCTAAGGAATTTACATTAGAAAGCTCAAATTAATTTGTTTCACAATACACCTAATTATTCTTTTCATTCGTACCTAGATTAGCCTACCGCCAAGGTAGTCAAATTTATATCAAATTTTTAAATCTGTAATAATAATCCTAAAGTAAATTTTAATTAAAATTTAGTATCACAAACTATTTTTTTGCCAAAACAAAACATTAATCCAAATTATGAATTCTACATTGAAAATGAAGGTATCGTGATCAAAAATTTTAACTAATTCTATGAATCCATGAAATTTCAATTTTGTCTCTAAGATATTATGAATCCAACTGGGTTATCTACATTCAATATTGGATTCTATGTACTAACACCGGAGAGAAATTAGGTTGAATATTAAGAACTTTAGATTGAGATACTTCCATAACCTATATCCTATATCACAATTGAAGCCACTAATACTACAGTTTTTGCCATAACTGATATTGTTATTAAATTTGAATTAAAAAATGTTTAAACAAAATCAACTACCCTGACTGTTAAGATACCTAGATAAATTCAAATAACTCGAGATTCTGTTTTAATACAGCCTGACTTATAGTAAGATATATAGATAAATGGATAAGAAATAATATTTAAAAACTATTTTAATAATCATCAAATCATGAATTAAGTTGAAATCACTTTTTCTGGAAAACTTTAAGGGACAGCAGGGATAACTGATAATTTCTTAATTTTCACAAATGATTATTCAGGCGCTTTAATAAGTCTATTATAAAAACCTGCCTTCTTAACAATTCAACCGTCAAAATACCTCTTGATTTCTTTGAATCCACAAATCTATGTTACTGATTATCTTACAAATTATTTGATTAAATTTCAAATACCACAAATTTAAGAATAGAGTGTTTTGACCGTGGAATTGCCAATCTATTTTAAATAGCAACTCAGCTTTTGTTCTGCACAAATTGAAACCAATTAATAAATTTGTGAAATTGGGAATAATAAAAATATTACAGTTACTTTGTTTGTTGGTGGAATTTTAGAAATTATTATATATAACATCAAAACAGAGAGAAGTATTTAGTAGTATAGTTACTAAGTAATTGGAGATATTAAATATCAATAATAGATTCAATCAACCCAATAAAATCAATTAGGATCCTATAAGATTCTATTTCCTTAAACATTTTATGATTACTCCTTAACTTCTTCAAACTCATTTTACGGTGAACTAACAACACTGTAATTTTCTTTCAATCTATTGAGCACTATCTAATCGAACGATCTGTTATAAATTGTTTTCCCTATAAATATTGAAAAATTCTTAAGTTGTTCAAATATTGTTGAGAAATAGATTGGTTAAGAAATTTATCTCAAATAATTATAAAATGGTACTAATACATTCCTTTGCGAATTGTTTAATCCTATAGATGATGTTCAAATTTACCCATTTTAATTTAATATATTTACAGACGGAGGAGATATTATAGCTGTGTATTAAGATGCGTTTGGTATTAGGGATGAATTAAGAGCTAATAAGATTGATTTTTCTATTAAACAATAGTCATTTTTTTTGAATGAAGTCACCAATATTACACTGAATTTTCATACGAATTTAGGAGTGTAAAAATACGGTAAAATAAAAGCAATATTTTAACTCTCTCAAATTATTGTATTAGATTTTAAATGTATACTTTAAATAAACTAAACCCAAGAATTAAAATATGATGAAGTTTTGTGTGAATCATATTTAGAGAATGAAAATCTGATTGTTATTTCAAACTTCGTAAATTCTATTCAGTCAAACTTTTATCAGCTAATATTCACCGGATTAACTTTTGTAGGACATATTAGTGATTATGAAACAAATATAACACTTTAAAATATTAATTAATTTGGAAAGATTGTTGAGGAATCTTAGAGAATTTGGAAATTTTCAATCATTTGCTCTGAAAATTGTAAAATTTGTGATAAAAAGTACAACCAATGTATTAAATGTAAGGAAGGCTTTATTTAATTCTAAAATATATGTATCGAAAAATGTCCACCAAATATGATTTTAACTTCTCAAGGCTGCGAAAAATGCCTAACCGATGCCAATTGTTTACAATGTGATTATTAGAATATTACTTAGTGCATTAAATGCATTAATGAATTTTAATTAAAAGATGGATATTGCTTAAAATTTAACACTAGTTCAAACTCAAACTCCAATAATCATACAAATTAGAATAGCAGTAACAATCCTAATTAGAATGATCACAGCATTTCTAATCTTCATAGTAGATAAAGTGAAATCTATGATGGAGCACCAATATTCGTAATTATTATGGTTGGAATGCTTCTGGCTGTAATAGTCAATAAGATTATCAAACAAAAAGATGCATTGATAATAAAAACATATTATATATATATTAGCCTGCTTGATATACCAATAGCCATCACCAGATTTATAAGGTATTATATAACTAATTTTAGATTTACTCTGCTATAATTTCCAGGCTATTATATATTATCATTATCATGCTTGGCTGTTACTTTTTTTGTGCAAATCTTGAATAGTTCTTAATTACAATTATTAAAGAAAACTAATCTAACGTTTTTCAAAATCATTTCAACCTCTAAACTTAAGGAATAATTGGCTACTTTGTTTCAATGGAGAATTATTTTATCAATTTTACCTAATTAAATCGAAACAAAAGTTCTAAATGAAATAAAGAAATTGTTTTATAATTAAACAATTTCACAAATACTTCCAATTATAGTTTAAATTTCCTTTATGTGCAACTAGAATAAATTTTATTTCTTTTCTCTAGATGATATTGTTTACAATATTATTATGATTGCTCTGTCCAGCACAAATAATCTCTGGTTAATCCTGAAAATTAAAAACCTAAATCAAATTCATCCTGAACTAAGGGATTAAAGCATATGCGTACAAGGATAAGAACAAGCTTTCAGGGAAGAAGATTAAGTAAATAATGATGATATCATTTACTACAGAAACTAACCAAAAATTAATGAATAAAAAGAAAATGAATAAGAATTTAAATGAATTACATAGAATAACTTTAAAATATAATTTATACGTTTCATTCTATTTTTGAATATATTTCATAGCTATTTTGGTCGAATATAACTCTGATTTATAAAGAACAACTTGGACATTAAGCTATTTCGTATTTGTTTTTAATTTATTCCTAATGATCTCATATAATATATACTATAGTTATTTAAAACCTGTCTCCGCAAGGACAAGGGTAATAAAATATCTTTGTACTAGGATCGAAATCCATATCCTCAATCTCAACTTCATCATAGACACTCATTATTTTTTTATAATTATTTATTCTTTTATATATTTAGGGGAAATTAAGCTATTGGAATTAGTATTAATTAAAGAAATAGATGAAAATCTCCTTGCATAAGATAGTTTGTTGTCGCAAGATGTTTTGTAAGAAGAATCAGAAATAACCTAAAAGAATTCAGCATTAGTTGTTTTGGAATTATATTAGCGATATCCAAAATGAAATATTTGAACAAAGGCTTAATAAAAAGCTGGAAAAGAATGACTATTTAATTCTATGATAGTTAAAATAGTAAATTAGAATATATATCTGATGGAAAATCTAAATCAATATGATAAATAACCAAATAAATTTAAAAGTCCTCAAACTTATAATCAATATCAGAATGCTCTAATGATTAGGGACACCATAGCACTACCCCTTATAATCAAAATACAATCTTTTTATCTATGAAATCAAAATAATGATTTTTTAGTAATTTATATCTAATCAACCCTTCCTTTTCTACCGAACAATAGGTATTTTAAATAATATATTAGATTTTGAAATATTAGTTTACTTCATCACATCAATAATGAACTGGGAAATATAGTTTTACGGAAAGCCTTTAAAGCAAGACAGAGAAAAATAATAAAATATACTGATTAATTACTACAAATATTTTTAAATGTTAGAATTCAATATACAGTTACTGATTTCTCTTTATATTTCGAATTTTAACATTAGATGATTTTTCCTTTTGAAAAAGTTGCTTCTATAACTAAATCCTTATTAAAATATCCTAATCCAATCCCACAGTATTAATCTTAATTGAATTCTCCATCAAATATAAGTTCTAAACTACCTTCTTATTCTTTGAATAGTTTTCCTCTACCTTATTTTTATCAGTTCTGAAAATTTCCTTAGTAAACATAATTAAATTATAAATTATTATAATATGTTCGAACTCCATATCCAACAATTTTATTTTGGCTTATTAAACCAATGTGTTTTTACTATTTTAAGAAATGCTTATTTACAATTCTGAACCACTCTAATACACATTCTCCTTCTTTCGTTTGATCATCATTTAATCTGCCTTAGAAAATTTATATTTATCCTTTATTACTTAATTCAATCATTATACATTTCAAAATGACATTACTTTCGAAAATTCAAACTATTAATTTCCAGTTTTTTTAATCTAAGATATTTGATTCCGATTCCATGTGGGAGATTATCCTTTAATATCCTTTGTAAATAAACTATTTATTTGATATCTTTAATATTTAGCTTTTATAATTAATTAAATGAGATGAAGAATGATTAAACTTCAACTCATAATCAATATGAATTTAGCTATCCTAAACAAATTATTTCAAAACATCATTTTCCATAAATTCCTCATCCCAAAAAAGTTTGATAATGATCGACAGATTTAATTAATTTGCTTTGTTATTATAAATGAATCTTGAACAATGTTTTAATTTATGTATGATTGTTACATAGAAATTTCCTAATACGGGTTTTTTTTAAAGAAAATTGGGTGTATTTTGTGGTATTTACATGCTAAATTTTTTGAAAATGTTTTTTTTCTCATTTAAATTCATCTCTTTGACCTAATTTTGATTAAGTATATTAATATTTGATTGATCTTTTAGAAAGAATGTAAATTAATTATCGATCAAATTTTCTGCAGAATCCAAAAACTACAACTTATCTAACTACTCATCATCAATACTTTTCTTACTATTGTTAGGAGCCGTTGTTGTCAAAAGATTATTGGAGTTCATTTATTAATCAAGTTACTCTTTTTCTTTCATTTTGATTTCAGCAACGGATACATAATAATAATTATTAGTAACTGTAATCATTTAACCAGTTGATTCCCTTTCTATATTACCATTAAGAGGGTCTAACCTCATTATTAGAGGTTTTATTTTTGAAATAGAAGTTTTAAATGATGATGTTATATCGATTAATGTATCATATGCTATTTATAATCCTAGCCTTTATTCTATTGATTTATTACAAAATATATATATAATCAAAAAAAATCATATTTAATGCTAGAATTGATTTTTGACCATATGTTCGATGATTGTATAAATATTATAGAATCACACAAACCATCATTTCTTATTTAATCAATTCATTTTGATTGAACAGCATTTAGTTCTTTTAATAAAATTTTTAATTTGTTTTCTACTATGAAATAAGGGCCTTTACTTAATGTCAAAAATGCTGGCAAAAAACACAAGTTCAACTAGGTGAATTGATGGCTGCAATTTTCTCTGACTATAGTTGTGGAAATTAACTTCTTACTTATTTCAGCATCTCTTTTATTCTGTACGAATTAAAACTATAAAAGTCTTCATAATATTTAATTTTTATGTCAAATTGTTTTGTAATAATTTAACAAATTATTAGGCTTAAGGACCATTCATCATTTTGTTGAAAAATTGAATTTTGTAATAATTCATCTTTCACAATTTCTTAAAAGGATAAATCTTACTCCTCAAAATTATCCATCATTTTAATTTTTAACATTGAAGCAGATTAATAGAAATGATATTGATGCTTTGTTCCTCATACATTTTTAGGCATAATAATATTTGTGTATCACTCTGGAACTACCAAAGTCAGTTAGCTTAATAAATCCATTTACATATATCAAGTTATTTGGGTTATATTTAAATGAAAAATCTTTCTACGTTATTATTCAATTCCTATTCGTAGAATCTAAAAGATGATGTTTATCTATTTTTTTTAGAATTCTTCAACCCAATCCTAGATTTTGAGAAAATAACTTGGTTTACATTCGTTTAGAATATTTTAGAGCTCTATCTCTTATACAAAATGCTCTCTCCAAGATTACCATTCATTTTCTGTAAATTTTAATTCTTTTATCATTTATCCTTACTTTGATTTAGATATTGATGCATATGATCCCTTTTAGTTTGTTTCTGGTCTTATTGGAAAGTATTTTTTCACAAATTAATCATAATTTAATGACATAGTGAAAACCATAAATCTTAATCAATTCTTAAAGTTATTGTTTTTTTCTATTTAGATTTTATCCTAAGATTAAGAAGATTTAATCCTCATAATCCCCAGTCATCAAAAATTACTGAAAATTGATTTATTCAACTTTATAAAAAATCATTTAATTTACAAGGCTCAATAATTTTTGTACCAGAAGCTTTAGTCAAATTATATAAACAATGCTATTTATTTTTGAAGGTTCCTTTTCTTTCTGTCTTGTTATAAATTGAGATTCTTCAAGTTATTGATGATATATTTTCGTAAACTTTAAAAAAAACTCTAAATTCTATTTGAAAATGAAATAAAACCTATATTTTATTAGAAACAGAATTTCATTTTTTTCTCTTTATTTCTTGAACAACTGCAGATCAGTTAATAATAGGTGATAATAGAGGGCTAATATAATATTGTATTGTTTTGATGGGTCGAGAAAAGATGAAGATTTCGAATGGTACAATGATCAAAGGGCTCTTATGAATTTTATTAGTCTTATTTATATCTAAAATTAAAAAATTATTGACATTTAAGGTAGATAAGAAGGTTTGGCTTAATTTAGGGATGCAGAGAGCATGATAGTAGGAGTATGTCTAAATTGCTTGGCATTTAAGCTATGAGAAACTCCTTAGATAGCTTCTGGATGATTAGTTATAGACTTTGAGCAGAGTAGATTTTTAACTTTCTAGGTTATGAGAAATGGTGAGACTTCAGGAAGAATAGTGGGAATATTTTCGCTTTTATTAGGATTTAAGGTTGAATGAAATCTTAAACATTTCAGAGGGAATGGATAAAAATTAATTCATTAACAATATAGTTTATTAGGTAAATGGAAAGAAATTATGGTATTTTAGTGTGAATAGAAACAGGTATAAGGGAATTACTTGATATTCGTATATTCATAAAATGTATATTTAAATAGTATATTAAATAATTAATTACGTGTAATTATGATTTAATTATACCTTGCATTTCTATTTCTAGGTGTAACCCAATCTGCGTATATAATTGATTCTGCAGTTGATCAAGTATTTTGGTGTGGAGGGTCGATTATTGTTACATCTGATGATGATGTAGTGGAGTAGAAAAATGAGGCTAAACAACATAGAAAAATATTATTTGTTCTCTCAAACAAGGGAATTGCTTATAGATCAGTTGATTACGGATAAAAATGGGAAAATGTCACATAATCGTTAATAGATTAGTAAAAATTAGATAGCAATTATAAATTTAAAGACATCATATAATCTCCTGCAGATTCTTTTACTATGTACTTCATAGGATATAATCAATCTTTCATCAGTCAAGATTGCGGGAGAACATACAGAACATTTAATGATAATAAACTCTATGGCTTTAGGTTTAATAAATTAAATAAGGATTAAATATTAGCATTCTAAGAGAAGAAATGCAACAAAACAGATAAGAGCTGTAAAGAACAATACAAGAGGGAGCTTTGGGTGACAAACAATGGAGGTTAGATATGGTAACCAGTTTTGGATCATGTTAGAGATGCAGCATGGGATAAATTAATTCATTATGAAATGGTACCAGATATGAGAATAATAGTATCTCATGTTGATAATCAAGGGGAATTGAAGGTTTCTTATTCAGATGACTTTTTCAAAACCATCAAATAGATAGAAAAGGATTGCTTTGGATTTTACTAGACACCAACTTATCTATTTTTACTGGTGAGACCTGACTAATATAGTGTGGGATACGACTTAAAAATGTCTCCTCATTTGGGTGAAACCTATTTCCCTTAAGAAATCGTATTGCCAATTGATGACTAAAGCAAACACACATTCACTGTTTTAGATGTGACTGATAGTATAGTTTACATGTCAGTTGCACATGCTGAAGAATTATCAAAAGTTACTAATATTTACATGAGTGATGGTAATGAGTTCACTGTCTCCCTTTTGGGAAATGTTAGAAGTCAAGACACTGGACATTGTGACTTTGAGAAAATCAAAAGTATGAAAGGCGTTTACATTGCTAATATTTTTGATTATGATGAAATCGAGAAGACTAAATCAAGAAGAAAAAGAATCAACTCGGAAAGGGAGATGAAACTTTAAAGTTCAGACAGATTGGACTAATACAAAAAATCCGTTATTACTTTTGATTTGGGGGCTGAATGGCATTCATTGAAGGCTCCAAAATATTCATATTCTGGACAGCCTTTAAATTGTAATGGAGATTGCAGTCTTCATTTGAAAGGGAGAACAGAAACAACATCTCTGATTTATAGTAGCGAATAGGCAGTAGGAATAATTGTTGGAACAGGGAACACAGGACTATATCTTGATGGTTAAGAGACCAACACTTATCTATCAAGAGATGGAGGTCACAATTGGTATGAGATATTAAACGGAACTTATATTTATGAGATCGGAGATCATGGGGGACTGATAATATTTGCTGAATCTGAGTCTTACACAAATGTGGCTAAATTTACCTAAGATGAAGGTATGACCTTTTAAGATATAAAATTAAATATCTCTTTGGATATTGATAATATTGTTACGGAACCGTCAAACGAAGAATAAAAGTTCTTGATATATGGCAGAATAAAATAATCAGATAATCCTTAAGAAGATTTCTGGAATAAATATGAATCTATAATAGGGGTTTTAATTCCCATCGATCTTTCCAATGTATATTAAAGAGTCTGCAAAGGCAGTGAAAATCCAGAAGACCCAGATTCCGATTATGAATATTGGTCTCCATAGAATTATCAACAACAGAAATGTTTATTTGGTTAAAAGGTGAAGTATTAGAGAAAGAAAAGGGAAGCTAAATGTAAGAATCCAGAAATAGTGAAGAAATTGCTCGTAGAAAATTGCCCCTGTACAGCTGAAGATTGGGAATGCGATTTAGGATTTATGAGGAAAATAGATGGTGGTGAGTGTGTTCCAATGACCTATGGATTTTCATCCTAGCCACCTCCAATCAAATGTACAGGCACATATATGAAATCGTAAGGTTATAGGAAAATCCCTGGAGATGAATGTGAAGGAGGGTAAAAATAAAGATAAATAATAGAGTTTATTTAGGGCCAATTGAATAGGAATGCCCAACAGAAAAAACAAACATCTAGGTGAATCAAATTATTACTGATAAACCAATTGTGAAAAATGAATAGAAAAAGTAGGACAATTTAGACTCGCAAAGTCCAAACTATCAAAGTCAAACAGGAATAAAATCTAAGCCCTTTAACATTTTAGATTATGCTGAGTACATTATACTTTCAATAATGATCCTAACACTTTTTTATTTAAGAAACATGATATGGGGTGTCGTGAAGCAAATATTCTCAGCTTCATAAGTTAATAAAAACAGAAGTAAATATCATGTATTATACAAGAAAAGCGAAGCTATTATCCTCCCTCTGAGGAAGAATTGTAAGAGAAAAAATAAGCAACCAAAAAAAGACTATTTGGTATTTAGTCAACCAAAGATGAAGATGAAGAAGCAGGATTGTGAAATAATTATAATATATTTCTTCTATGAATAATAAAAGATGTAATTTAAGAAGTTCATTTCTGTTTTATGCTACTATTATTTATTTTATACTAAATGTAATAATTAATTTCTTAAGGTGCAGAGGCTAAGATTTACAAAATATAGTTTTTGGGTGATTAGGCCATTTTGAAGGAGAGATTATCAAAATAATATCGATTGAAACAACTAGATGACAGAATTACTTCTGAGAGAGTTAAAACTGTACGAATTATCACTTATCTAGGAATCAAGATTGTTATGCAAGGCTAGATAGCTAGGAGTTAATGTTCCACACTTATATTATGTAGACAATAACTAGATAATTATGATGTTTATAGATGGGGTTAAGCTAAAAGATTTTTTGAATGCTTTGGAGAAGGAGTAAAGAGCAAATGAGATATAGCAAATTTTAAATTTAGTAGCTCAAGATATTGCGAAATTGCACAATGGAGGAATTATTCATGGGGATCTGACCACTTCGAATATTTTGGTATAGAATTCAAAGCCATACTTTATTGATTTTGGATTGAGTTATACGAAGGTGGGATTCGTAGAGGATTATGCTGTTGATTTGTATGTGCTTGAAAAGGCTTTTCTGAGTACTCATCCTACATTGGAAGATGCATTCTAAATTTTGTTGGAGGAATACAAAAAATTATCGACGAAAGGGTAGCAAGTGATTGACAAGTTAAGGGAGGTTAGACAAAGAGGAAGAAAGAAGGTAGCATTTGGATGACATGATTGAGTTCAATATAAGTTATTAATAATTGATAACAAAGTAATAATTATAAATTATTTTTTGCATAATGTCAATATATGGAGGATTTGCTACAAGATAACTTGAATCTCAATATAATCAATTAATACAACTACTTTTAGTCACTCTAAGCAAAAGGTTATTAAAATTTTATAATAATGAAGAATGCAATGAAGTTGGTTTCAAAAAAGCCATCTCTTCTACTGTTGGAGGAATGAAATAGCTCGAATTAAGGTATCAAATTAAATATAGTAGCAAATATTTAGAGCCAAAGTTTTCTGAGAGTATTAAACCTTTAGAGGATTACTTATACAAACCGAAAGAATATTTAAAACAAACTTAACTCATTTTAAAAAACAATTTCTCGTAGGGTTCAGATATTAGTATGATTCGTTAAAATGAATAAATTATCACTCCAATATCTTCAACAAAATTAAGAAAGAGAATACATAGCATCAGTTTAACAAAAAGAAAAGAAATTGAATTTCGATAATAATTATTGCAGTTGGAAGAGGAATAGCATCCCACAAATTATTTTATTAGAACAAGAAAATAATTATGAATTTATTAAACATTGATTTTAATTACATAAACATAATTTATTTATTGAATGATTTCTGAAACTATTTTAGAAAAGCTAAAACCCAGCAATTCCCAAATAGTCAAACCCACCGAAAAAACACTAACCAAATTGACAAAAAGCTAAAACAGTTTAAGGAGATATGATAAAGATGAAAAACACTCAGATGATTTTGTAAAATTTAAAGAAACTCTCTTATCAATAAATGCATCTTAGAAATCAGAAATTAATACAAGCAGAGAGCCCAAATACGGCAAAAGAGTCTTATTAAAATCACTCAAAGGAGGTCCTTTGATCCCCATGCCAAAAAATGGAACAAATAGACATGAAACACCTCCTTTGATTTCTTAATCCTTGCCTTAACTAAAATTAAAAACACTAGGAAATCTCTAGCAAAGATAGATTTCAAGTTTGACAGAGAAAAATCAAAATCTCTCTAAATCATTACTAAACAATCCATAAATGATACAGGAAACGGAATAATCACTTTAATCAGATAATAGGTCATAGCTTTATAAAAAGGAGCCTTATCAAATTGTTTAGACTAAATAACCACAGGAGAGCAAGAATGAGTAAATTGTCGAACCATTAGAATTGTAATCTGAAATTGCTTAAAATAAATAGAAACCCATTCAATAAGAGGAACATCAAGAGGAAGAGTAATAATCATAATAAGTAAGTGAATAGGAACATATTTAATGTTTGGTGGAATAGCATTTATCAGAACAAGAAGAATTTGTAAAGCATTTGGCTGGTAATTATGTAATATACTAAAATTAGGAAAATGTATTTGCGTTTAATGTCCATGTGGTAGATGCAAATGTAAATTTTAATATAAACCATTTGCCACAAATTTATGTTGGAATTCGAATTACAGATCAAGTTATAAAGAAAATCCAATTAAAGAATAGGATCTAAAAGTTGATTTAGAATAATTTAAAAAATTCAAATCGGTAGAATCATGTGAATATAAAACTACAATGGGATCTGATTTCAAATCTTATCAAATTATTCCACCAGAACAAAGGATAGCTAAAACATATAAGCCATCTCTTGGTACCACACCAATGACCTCATATAAAGTACAATATTGTTGATCTTAGAATTTCTATATGAATTACGGCGATCTTCATTATGAACAATTCAAGTAAAGTCATTACAAGACTGTAATACCAGAATTACCTTTCAATCCCAATACAACTTATAAATAAAGTTTCAAAATTTAGCAATTATAAGATAATGGAGTATTTATGCAAATTATGCCTAGTACACTAAACCCCCCAATGGCAAGCCATTTCCAACTATTGATTTATTTTTAGGATAGTCGCAGAATAAATAAGCATATCAACCAAAATAAGTTGAAAAGGCTAAGGCTATTGACTAACATGGAGAAATCACGTAGGTTCCAGCCTACCAAGGGTAATACACTAGCGTAACACACAATGATTACGTAAAAAAAGAAATCTTATGCGAAAAATATAAATGATGAAATATTATCACAAAAATTAATATTTATATCAAAATATAGATTATGAAGAAAGGACCAAAATTTATCAAGTACGTAGTGAATAGTGGAGATAGAGGAAAGGCAAAAAGTTGTTAAATCTGCAATCAGTCTTTTTCTGCACTTTCGGCTAAAGAGCATCAATGTAAGAGGTAAATTACTCAACATACTCTTATTAAGATGTAAAAGGGCAGTGTGTGAAAAATGTTCCCCTTACAAAGCTTTCACGATCATTGATGGTGTTCCTTCTAAGACTGCACATAGATAATGTTATCTTTGCAAAGAGGAAAGCGAATCTCTAAAGAAGTTTATAAATCAATACAAAATTGTATTCATGGAAGATACTTTTTCAAAGGAATGGTTGAAATCGTTTGGAAGCAGCGTTGAACAAGCAAATTTAGTATTTAATATCTAATAATTCAGGATTTCGATTAATCGTAAAGAGAAGAGAGCAATTTAAGAAATAAAGAAGAAAGTGTGAAAATGAAGAGTGAGCTTCCATAAGTATTTTAGGAGATTGTTCACTTTAAAAATTATTCATTATCAGAATTTTTCTATTTAGTAATAAAGGATTTTAACATCACATTGATTTTGGATTCAATTAATCGAGTACTTGGAACATTTTTGAAAATTTACCCAGAAGTAGGTTATGCCCCAGATTAAGTCTTCACAACATTATTTCTGTTGTGTTTTTGCAGCGAAGCCTCTGCCTACTAAATTTTGGTCTTTATGTATTCCCTAATTATTCCGCATTATACATACCCTTTGAGTTTGAGAAAGGAGAAGTGCGAATTCTTCACAGAAATAGACAAGACTATGTAAGTATTAACTTAGGCATACAAAATCAGCTCCCAGGATTCCCCTTATGTTAAAACATTTTTAAGATATAGATTGGTTCGTTATATATAATCTTTTACCATAAATTTCTTTTTATTTGAAACTACCTTTTTTATCATTAATTAACTTTTTTTGCAACCCCAAACTGGTTATGATGATTTAACTAAATATCTGGCAACTGCTTACAATGGATATATATAGATATTTCGCTAATAATCTTAAGATGAAATTGAATTGATTTTATTAAGAAATGTTCGTTCCGGAAAAATCCAAGATGGATATTTCTTGACGAAATAAGTTGATTTCTCCAAAGTTATTCCAGTTGTCCAAAAATCTAGTAGCAATATATCAGCTAGGCAACCATCATTTTTACAAGATAGTGAATCAGGGACAGGTATAAAACAACAAGATTAAATCATTATTTTGAGAACAGAGATTGAAAGATAATAAAAAATTATTCAAGAATAACAAAGCAAAATAGATAAGTAAAAATTAGAGATAGAAAACTTAGAATTGAAATTACAGTAAACTTAATAAGTTATATCCTTATATAAGTCACCAGGAAAGGACATCAATTTAGATTAATATATATCTTAATAGGATGAAGAATTGCAAAATCTTAGAAGAGTTACATAATAGCAAAAGTAAAACAATTTTGATTTAGAAAAATAATAAATGTAGGCCTATATCAAAAAGTTGGAGTCTTAAGTATTTATTGAATACAAAGCAAATATCCAATTAAAAGAACAATTAGAATAGTCCTAATTATCCAAAAGTCAAGCATCTACTGCAAGCCAAGATTAGTATGAATATGAGATTTTAGAAAAAAATTTATAGAAGTACAAAAGAAAATATGAAAAGTTAAAAGCCAAATAATCAAGTTAGGATTAAAATTAATAAAGATCTAAAAAGGATGAAATCGCAATAGCTGAATTAGAAGCAAAATTGTAATTAAAGGAAAAACAGATTTCAGAATTAGAATTAAAGTTGAATAAAAACAAATTCGATACAACAGCTAAAATAGTTGAATTGGAAAGTTCAATAGAGCAATTAGAAAAACAAAATAAATTATACAAGAAGTCTATTTAAGATATTGAAACTAGATAATCAAGTTTATATAAGTAGGATAATGGTTTAGTTTAACAGCTATAGAGATAAATCACAGATTCATAAAATGAATCAAATTTGTAATTGAGACAAGTCCAAGAAAGGTTTAATCAATAAATACAACAATTATAATAACAATTATAAAAGGAATAAAAAGCTAGATTTTTGGCTGAATCATAACTTAAAGATCTAACCATTAAACTAGAAATTTAAGAAAAATAATAAAAATAGGTGACAACATCAATACAAAATTCTTATCAAGATATAAGCAATGGAGGAGAACTCCAGAAAGAAATTTAGCGGCTCTAAGCATAATTAAAGGAATAGGAGGAAAGATATTAATAATTAAAATCAAAACATTATGCTCACTTATAAATGATGATTCAAGTAGAAAAAGATAAATTGATTAATCCAGAAATCTAACTTAGTCTAATAAATAGTCAAGAAAAAGAGTTGACTGTATTGTAAGAAAAACTTGAGAAAAAGAAAACAAAAATTAAATAGTTAAAGTAAAAAGAAAAAGCTTGGATGAAAATTAATTAAGACAATGTTGTAAAAATTAATTAAACAACTGATGGCAAACACATAGGAGAATTATTGACTAAAACTATTGTTCTATTAAATTTAGATGGTAAAGTTTCAACTAATCATATAAATGATTAAGCAATTGCTCTAATAGTAGAGAAAATTAGTCATTTAATTGAGTAATAAACTACATTTTCAGAGGAATTCTCAAATATTTTTGAGGATGGTTAATTTGTATAAAAGTTGAATGAATTAATGGATGAAGTGGAAGATTCATTTGTATTTGATTACAATTCTTTAAAATCTTTGATTGAAAAAGTTAATAGTGTGTTTTCAAGAATTAATTCAACTAAATAAAAAATATTACAAATATTCAGATAGACTTTTGATTAAAATGACTTGAACTAAAACCCAAATTTGGACATTGTAATATTATAATTATAATAAAAACTATAATAATTTTAAATTGACAAAGAAGAATTAGAATCAAGAATTTAATAATTACAGTTATCTAAAAATAAATACTTGGAGGTTTAGGAAGAATCTAAGAGGGAAAAGAAAATTTTATAAGGAGTTAGAGATATAATTATAGATCTACCGATCTTTTCTCCTTCTGAGGTGTTTTCTTTTTCTGATTAGAGGTTCAAAAATAAGTAAGTTGATTAGGAGGATGCCAAATTGATTCTTGAAGTAAGAAATTAATAAATAACAACATTAAAAGTGATTTTAACTGAAAAGTAAACGCAATTAGAGACTCTTAATAATGGGATGATAAAATTAAAGGATTTAATGAGCAATTATTTTGTACAAATTATGAAATGATCCATGATTAATAATCATTTATTAAATATATATATTATTCTATATTTTACTAATGAATTGAATTATTATGCATTATCAGAATGAATCAACATTTAAGTGATGAATTAATCGAATTTCTTAAATATTTTTATTTTCAAATCCAAATGTCAAGAAAATCTACTCAAGTTCTAATTAAAAATGTTATCTTAAATGAGGTAAGAGGGAGGTTTAAAAAGTGTTAAATATGTTAAAAAGAGTTTACCATCTTTCATAAGGAACATCAATGCAAAAGGTTCATATTATAATCTCAACATTAGGTGTCGAAGAGCTGTTTGTCAGAATTGTGCTAATTTTCATGGACCTGTTCTAGGTGATGCTGGGTACTCCAAATAAACCCATAGAATTTGCAATACTTGCAAAGAGGAAAGCGAATCCATAAAAAAGTTTATTGAGTAATACAAATTAAGTATAGGAAAAGATACTTTCTCGCTTGAATGGCTTAAATCATCAGGTTTAACCATAGATTTAGCTAAAAAGGTATATTCATTGTTTATTTTAGGAATATGATTTTGCTCAAAAAGAAAATGATCGAGCTAAAGATAAGGGAGAGTTTTTAAAAATGAAGTAGGAGTTACAATAAGTCATGGTTGACTTTTGGATTAATCTAAATTACTCATTGAGAGAATTTCTGTTTAATGTTATGAAGGAGAATGAATTAGAATAATTACAATAACAAGTTTGTAAGGTCTTAGGAGCAGTTTTGTTATAATACCCAGAAATAGGGTATAGCCCAGACTAAGTGTTGATAACAATATTCCTTTTGTGTTTCTGCTCTGAAGCATCAACCTACACAATTTTGACTATACTATACTCTGACATCATTCCTTCATATTTGTACCCATTGAATTTAAGAAAGACACCCTACGATTATCAACATGAAACAGATTAGGTTCTATAAGTGCTAGAACAAGGGTTTAAAATCAAATAATAGGAAGTATAGATTATCAAACCATTTGTCAGATCTAGAATCGTAAGATATGTTATGACTTTGGGAATCAACTTTTATATGTTTTAGACATCCTTCTTTATGATGTCTCTAATCTTAGGGTTTCCAAAGTCTGGATATGACAACTTTATCAAAAGTTTGGCGGTTAGCTTTTATCAATAATTTGAAGATATCAAAACATTTGTAAATGCTCAGGATGATGCTGAGGCATAGATTCTAAGAAATGTGAAATCAACATAATGTGAGAAGGACTTTACAATGACAAAGGTGATAATATTTTTGCCTCAGAAAAGAGTGACTTAAAGTGTAGTCATATAGAGATCAAGTGATAAAAAACTATCAAATTAGATATAGCCAGAGCATAACAGGGATATAAGGGTTGAAATTTCAATTAAAGGTAACCAAAATTTGTCTGAGAACGCAGTAAGTTCAGAGAAAAACATTTAGGATTAAAGAAAAAAGTCAATTGAAGTAAAAGCCAACCCTGAAGCTGATGAGGAAAAAGCAAATTTAAAATAATATATTGAGAAAATTGAAGAAACATTAATGACAAAGCATAAATTGGTGACTGAATTATAAAATAGAATCAAAGAGTTATAAAATTAACCTCCATAAATTGCTAATAATGCAGATGTAGATAAAAAACTCTTAGAGGCTAATGAATAATTAAGAAAAAGAATTTCAGAATATGACACTTAAATCTCATAATTAGAAGAGTAAAATAAATATTCCAACAAACTTCAAGAGGATGCTCAAGAGATGGTAACTTCAATACAAAAATCAAACAAAGAATTAGAGTAATAACTTGAGACATCTTTAAGAACAAATAAAGATTTGTATCTTTAGATAAAGGATTTGAAAAATTAAAGTTCTCAACAACTCTAACCTCCATCTCCATTAACACCATCAAGAGAAAAAAACTATTAAATAAACATAGCTTTGATTTAAAAAAAGAATGAAGAAAAATTATAATCATAAATAGATGAACAATAACAAAAAATAGTGTAATTAGAATTATCAATGAATTAATTGAACAAAGAGTTACTAGGACTATAACAATTAAATTAAGACAAGCTCAAAATTATTGGAAATTTAGAAGTTAGATTGATTGAATTGGATTCGACAAAAAGAGAAAATGAAAAACTTATTCTTGAAATAGCAGCTCTCTTTAAAAAGATTGAACATCATGAATTAGTGATAATTTAATAACAAGAAGAACTTGATAATTTGAAAGCTAAATATGATTAATTATTTAAACAACATGAGATCTAAAGCGAGGAGTTGGATTAGGTAAGAATTGAAAAAAGGTAAAATTTAGAGGATTATGAAAGAAAAGAGAATGAATTACTTTTAATCATTGAAGACTTAAAAAATAGATTGGCAGAAATTTCTAAATAATATTAAACTACTTCAGATCAATTAAATCAATCTTTAGACCACAATAACTAAATGTAGAATTTGGTCAAAGAAAAAGATGAGACAATTAAACTACTTGAGACAGGCATTGCGAAAGGAGTTAAGAAAATAGCTGAAATAGAAGCCAACCATCAAAAATAAAGGGAAGATGATAAGAAGACTATTGATGAATTGAAATAAATCATCGATCAAAATAATAAAAAAATCAAAGATCTTGAAGATAGTTTAGCAGAAAAGGATGCAAAACTTGAGGAACACAAGAAGGAATTTAAGGCACTTAAAGTCATATTTGTAGCTTTAGAGGAGAAATGGACAAAATTAGACAATAACCATAAAGATTTAAGTGGTAAACATGAAAAGTTGATTGCTGAATGTGAAGAATGGAAAAAGAAATTTAATGATCTTGATGGCCAACATAAAGGATTAAATGAAAAATATAGATTAATTGTTATAGAATACGAAAAAGTGAAAGGAAATACAAATGATAAACTGAATGAAATAAAATCTCAAAATGAGGATCTCCAAAGAAAACTGAAGGCATTGGAGGACAAACATTAATTATTGTAAAATTAGCATCAAGCACTAATGGATAGATTGGAGAAAGATACCTAAAATCACATTAAAAAGGTTGGGGAACTAGATTTAATTATTATAGGATTGGAAAAGAAGGCTCATGAATTCAAAACATTAAGTGAAAATTAAAAATTATAAATTGATAATTTATAGGCCATTATTAAAGAATTAGAAGGTAAACTTGCCTAAGCAGATAAAAACCAAGAACAAAGACATCAATAATTGCTTGTTCAAATAACTGTACATTTAGAGAAATTGACCAAATTAGAGAATAGAAATAGCAAACTTGAGTTGGATGTTTTAGAATTAGAGAAAAGGATTTAAGAACTCATTTTGTATAATCAGGATTACAAAAATGAAATTATCAAACAAGACGAGAAGATTACAATTTTAATTAAGGAAGGATAGACCAAAGAATCGGAAATATTAAAGCTTATTCAAGTGATTGAGAAGTAGAAACTTGATCTGATTGATTATGAGAAAATTATTAGAGAATTAAAGTAGAGGATCTAAGAACTTGAGCTCATTATTGTTGAAAAGGATAAGAAAATTGTTGAGCAAGAGAAGTCAATTAAAAAGTTATAAACTTTGCTAGTGTAATTTAAGACATTGTCAGAAGAAATGGCTTCGATTAATTGACATTATTTGCAATATTAAATAAATTATTATTATACATATATCTAATGAAGAAAAATCCATCTCTTTTCAAAAGAGTCCTAATTTCAGGTGAAAGAGGGAAGTATAAAGCTTGTTAAATTTGCCAGAAAAAGTTTGGTACAGAGCATTAGTGCAAAAGGTATATATTATATATATTGTAGATGCAAGAGAGCAGTTTGCGATAAGTGTTCCGCTTTTAAAGGAAGAGTATTTACAGAGTCAGGGTAAGAAGAAAAAGCCTTGCATAGATAATGTAGGATTTGTAAAGAGGAGAGTGAATCAATAAAAAAATTTGTGGATAGTAATCGTATCTAATTTCTTCAGGATACGAAGGCACTTGAGTGGTTGAATTAATTTGGGGTTACAAAAGAACAAACCAAAACAGTATTTATATTGATATATTCTAATTTAGGAATATTTATAAGCGTAAAGTAAGATTTCGCAGAGTGATTAATCAGAAGTCAGAAAACTTAAAAATAACTTAAATATTGCATTTGCTGAAATACCTGGAGTGTTCAACTATTCATTAAGAGAGTTCATTTACTACGTTATCAAGGAAAATGAGTATGAAACATTGAAATAAGTAACAGGAAGAGTTTTGGAGACTTTCCTATCAAATTATCATGAAGTCGGATTTTCACCAGATTTAATAATGCTGACAGTGTTCTTTCTCTGTTTTGGATCAGAAGCAGCTGCATTTTCCTTACTCAACATATTTTTTGCAGAGATGGTATAAGCTAATCTATATCCTGCCAATATCATGTCTTATGATAATGGAGAAGATATTGATAGAGTTCTTTTGGTCTTAAGTTCTTCTTTTAAAATGTCTTAGCAAGACAAGCCATTGATAACTAACTTCTTGAAGTCAAGATTAATAAAATATTAACAATGTTTTACAATCAATATGTTGTAATTTGAATCAACATATTATGTTATTGATTCTCTATATTCTTTGCATCAACAGGCTTAGGATGAGTTTATTAAATTTATTGCATCTGCCTTATCATAAAATATTGCTGACGTAAAAGCCAATCAATTAAACATTGAAGAGATTGAAGTCATTTTGTTAAGATAAGTGAAATATTCAATGATCTAGGATGGATACTTTAAAACCAAAAGTGTACAATTTTCACCATATGTTAAAACAATGTCAATATCATAAATTACCAGCAGGTTTTCTTCTGTGATTTAAGATACAACATCAAGTAATATGGACTTTGATCGAGTGAGTATCTTGAACAAAATAGTTGAAAATCAAAAGGAAGAAATTGCAAAATTGAATTCCCAATTGAATAATGGGCCTGAGTTGAATAGAAAAAAGACTGTATAGATGAAACAGAAGGATCAAACCAATATATAAGGTGATTTGAAATAGGTGGAAGATGAAGACTTAGTGTTTTCTAATTTGAGAAGAAAGACTATGCATTTGTTAAATTAAGAGGAAGTTGATGAGGATGTGGCTGTCTTAACTGATTATATTAATAAATTGGAGGAGGTCTTAATATTGAAACATAGAGTGGTGAAGGATTAGAACCTCAAAATTTTGGAAATGCAAGAAAAGAATGAAAAAATTTTTGAAGAAATATAAAAACTTAAAAAAGAAGTATAGTTGTCTGAAGTTAAATTTATTGATTAAACCAAAATTACTCATTAGTTTGAAAAGGAAGTGAATGAAAAATCAAGAATAATTGATGAATACAAAAAAAAAAATAAGGAATTGCAAGAAAACTTGGTTTCTGCTTAAACAGAAAATAATAAATATAAAATATAATTACTTGAAGTCAAAGCTTTAGAAGGAGGTTCAGCTAATGGTAATGGATAGAAATCAAATTCTTATTAAAGAGAAGTTGAAAGAATCTAGGATGAGAATGCTAGATTGTAGAAGAAGATTGCAGAATTGGAAAATCAGGTTTTAGAATAAAATTCGAAATCTAGTGATTAGAATGAATCAAGAAAGCTCTAAATTTAAATTACTTAACTCGAATAATCTAAATTTTTGATAAATGCTTAGTTGAGTTAGAGGGAGGCTACAATCACCTAATTGTAAAGATAAATTCAAGGACTTCTAGATGAAAATAACATGAAATCAGAAGGCGATTAGGTAATATAAGAGAGAAGAAAGAATGCTGAATTATAACTCTAGTTAAGTAATTATCAAACTTCAGAAAAAGTTTGGAAATCAAAACTGAGTGATATTGAACATAAACTAAAAGAGCAAACATTGATCAATTAGGAATTGAAAACTAAAGTTAACTCTTCAAATCCTTCTATTACAATAACAAAGGATGAAAATGATAGAAATTATGAAAGAATTAGAGAACAATTATCATTAGAATTGGAAGCTAAAACATCCTTAACTAAATAATTATTTTAATCAATAGATGAATTAACTATAAAATTGAATTAAGAGAGATCCAAAAGTTAGAACCTATAAATCGAGTATGATCAACTATTAGAATAAACAAATTTCAGATAAAATAGATCTTAGACAATATAATAATAAAACTAATAAAAGGATTAGAGAATTCAAGACTTTTAGGCATAAATTGAATAATTACAATTAGAATTATCTAAAGCAAAATCATAATAATCATAATTGGCATCTATGCATTAAAATCTTTAAGAGAACTTTAAAGCAGCGGAAATGAAAATTGTAGAACTGGAACATTAAAAAAGAATGTATGATAGAACTATATAAGAAAAGGTGGAGTAAGTGACTTCACATGAGACAAAAATCAAAGAATTAAACACTTAAAAAAATTAATTAGATGAATAATTGACGGAAAGTTTAAAGAAGTAAAGTGAATAAAGAGTTTTATTGGAGAGTTTGTAATTTTAAGTTGGAAATAAAGGAAAAGAGTATGAAAATCTTAAGAAAAAAATAGAAGAATAAGAACTTATTATTTTAGGGTAAAATGAAAAGATCCATAAAGTCAAGGAATCGAATGAAGCAGAATAAAATGAAAAATCCATTCTTGGAACAGAACAAGAAAATCTGAAAAAATAATTATACATGAAAGAAGAACAGATTCGTTCAAGATAAGAATAAATCAATAGTCTCAATGATTAAATTAGAAATTTGAATGAAAAAGTATCAAGTCTAGAATAACAACGAACACTTTAAAATAAATAAGTGAAACATCTGGAAGATCAAATTAATTCTAGAGAAAGAGAATACATGACAGAACATTCAAAGGTATCTTCTGAAAGAGATTTGTAGAAACAAAGGGTTATCGAAGCAGAGGCTCAGATATTGAAGTTATAGTAAAGTGATAAGAAATATAAAACTGAAATTTCAAATTTAAATGAAGAACTACAACAATAACTATTAACACTAGAACATTTGAACAAATAGATTAAAGATTATGAAATATAACAAAATTAATCTAGGGAATCTAATTTGGAAAATAGCAAAGTTCAGTCAATAAGATTGGAAAAATTGGAACAATAAAATTAAAACATGAACATTAAAATTGAGGCTTAAAGTTAAGAAATTAAATAATATACTGCTAAAATAGAAGAACAATTGACAACAATAACTGAATTGAAATATAAAGTGCAGGAGGAGGAGAGTTTAAGAAAGGCAAAGGAAAAGCAAGTTAATGATAAAACCTAATAAATTGGTTAGCTAGAAAATCAATTAATAAAGATTCAAGAAAAATATAACTAAAGTAATAGATCATCATAAGATATACAAAATCAATACGATGATCTAAAAAAAAAATTTGATGTTGAATTAAATAATATGCAATCTCTCTAAAGTAGATCCATTGAATATAACTCTTTATAATCAAGATATATGGAGTAAGGTTAAAAACTAAGCTCTTTAGAAAAACAATTGTTGGATTACAACGAAATTTCTGACTAATATCAAAAACAAAAGAAGGAACTTCAAAGTCTTACTGACTTACTTGATTCAAAATTGGCGACTATTGTATCTCATGAGACTAAAATAATTGATTTAACAAACTAATTAAAGGAATCAAACTCATAGTTGCAATAAGTAAGAAAAGAAAATCATGAGATAATGCAGAAGAGAGCATAGGACATGTAGGCTATGGCATAATTAAAATAAATAGAGGTAGAGAATGGAGACTTGAAATAATAAGTGTATTCACATGAAGCCACAATTTAAAATTAAGAAGCATTATTATCAGTTTTGAAAGGAAATTAATTAAATTTAGAGTAGAGTTAGATGAAATTAAAAATTGATTATTAACATTTGGATGAGAAATATAATGAAAAGTTGATAGATTTGGACGAGAAATCGAAGACTCTGTTTAATTTATAAAATAAATTTGATTCATTGAGCTTTAGAGCTTAACAATCTGAAGAAAATCTAAGACTTGTGGAAGATTAAAGAGATGATTATCAAAGTAGATATGAATTGGCCTTACAAGAGTTAGATATATATAAAGGAAAAGATAAAGAGATAAATTTGATGGCAGCTAACAAAATAGAATTGCAAGAACAAATGCATTCAGTTTAGAAGAAAAATAAAGTCTTAGAGAGAGAACTATAAGTATCTTAGAATGCTTTATAATCTAAAGAATCAGATATCTTATAACTCTAGCACACCATTTAGAAAAAGGAGTAATAAATAACAACATTAGAAGGCACTATTGTAAAATTAAAGGCTGATTTAACTAATTCAAAAAACAGTTATGAATAATTATAACTAGAGTTGACTGAAATGAATTCAGAACAAACATCATCTGGAGAATTGTTTTCATAAGTCAAAAAGTTAACTAATGATAATCTAAATAAAAACACTTAAATTGATTAATTAAAATTGTAAATTAACGAACTCCAAGACAAAAATAGAAATCTTGAAAAATAATATAATAAATTAAGAAGTGATGCCCTAGTAGGTAACTAAGGAAATTCAGAATCCTTTGAATTAAGATCAAGGGTAGATGAATTGGAAGGATAATTTAAATAGTCTCAGAATTCAATTAGATAAAAGGATTAACAAATTCAAGAATTAAAGTAATTGCTTGATAATCAAAGCTATCAATCTAATTAGAGTAATTAGAGAGAAAAAGAAAGAGAAAGAGAAAAAGAAAAAGAAAAATAAACATATAATAAACCAATAAATAATAGTAATGATCATGAAAATATGAAAATTTAAGAATATCAGTTCATTATTGAATAACAAACAGAAGAAATAGAAAACATGAAGAGAAATTCATAAGGGTTGGGTGAAGAATTAACAGAATTGTTAACTTTAGTTGTGAATGTGTTCTTAAAAAAGAAGATCAAGAAGGATCAATTAAATATTGCCACCGTTCTTGATTAAATTAAATTATTCTAAAAGGAAAATAAGACTCTTACTATAAGAGAAGAGGATGATGAATAATTAGTCTTATAAAAGCTTTAATAATATAGAGGAGACTATATCAATTTTAGATTCCGCGTAGAACAAAACCTAACAAGAATAACTGTACTAAAGTAACAAATGCTTTAAATTATATCTGAAGCAAAAATCTAAGGAAAGAAGAAGGATGTCGATAAAAATATGGATGTAGAAAACTTAGTAATGTATTTTAAGTTGCTGTTGGATTCGTAAGCCGTCTAATACAGCAATCAATTGTAACTATGTTAGTAATATGAAGCTGAACTTAGGTCATACTAAAATAATACAAGTCCTCAAGGGTAAATCATATAATAAGTGAAAGAATTATTGTCTAAAGCTCCGTTTTTAACCTAACAATAAATATATTAATTTACAGAACCAAAGGTTTCAATTAAATTAAGAAAGGATTAAGATTAAGAAGACGCTAGATTATTATTGGAAGCTAGAAATCAATAAATTTAGTGGTTAAAGAACTTAATAAATGAAAAACAAGATCAGCTAGCAGTTATGAACACATATTTAACAAATTTAAAATAGTTGATGGATAAATATCATTTGAAATGAAAATTATCAATATTTAAATAGAATAAGCATTAAAATAAATAAAATTAATCAACGATATATTCTAGATTCTGCAAGATTAGTTTCAAAATTAATAAACTTGTTCTCAGAGACTCCTCTAGGTCTATATTAAGATTTTGTCAGATTTTCTTTATTCAACGGCTTAGTGTATCTGTTATTATTATTTAGTTTTTATAATTCAGATAATTGGACATATAATTTTTATATTTCTTAATCCTTATATTAACTATCGAATTCATTTTTATTTTAATATCTTTATCTTAAAACTTATAATTGTTAGACATAGTTATTGTTCTAATTGTTTTAAAGAGTGCATTAATTGACATTTTAATAACCATCAGGTTATGCCTCATTAATATTGGATTATAAATTCATGACAGTTTTACTTAATTTAATGTTAAGTTCTTATTGATCTATCAATTTGAGTGTTATTACTTATTTTTACTATTCTGATTGCTATAGCCTTTAATTAAGTTAGAGTATTTCTTATCTTAAGTAATTATTTTCTTCAATTAATTTCTAGTCTGTAGATTTTCTAAATGTAAAATTTATTCTGTACTAATCAAGTTCTTCATACAACGATTATAACTCTGAACGCAGCAACACATTCTCATTTTCTAATTCCAAGACTTTGTTAATGTCCATTTACTTAAATATATGTAATTAATATTTCAGTTAATTGTTTATAAATAAAGAAAATTTCATTTACTTTTTAATTTGTTTTTGTAAATATTTTTGAAAGCAGTGAGTAGTTTTATTATATATTCTTTATCTCCTTTTAGCAACTTTTCTTACTCTATAACAAGTTCCAAAGGCATATCTAATTTGTCTTTCAAAACACTGAAAGCCTTTCTTATATTTACCAAACAACCTGCATTAGTATTCGGTTTAGGTTATAATCCTTTAAATTAGATGTTTTCAAGTTTTTATACTATGAAGCAAATGATTAAACTAGTAAATTATTTATAATAATTACCCATCCTTGAATTCTTCTAAAATCTCATTATTCCAATTGATTTTGTAACCAAAGTTATTGAGCCATTCGAATTAGGGAGGATCATCAAAAATTAATTTTTTGTTTACTTATTATGGTTAAGTAAAGCTACTTTCTTTTTAAATGAGAGAAAAAGGCTCTTACTAAATTAAATTTCCTATTTTAGAGCCTCCCTTGCTTTAAACAATAGATTTTTTTAGGTAAGGGCCATCTTCAAAATATGAATCCCCTTGCCTTTGAGGCAGGCCATCAAAGTATCTCCTTAAGTCCTCAAACAAACCCAGAATTATTAGTTAATCTCCTTCATATATTAATTTTTCAGACCAAACAAATCTTTGCCCTACTGGTTTTCCTTTTAAATAATCCAAAGCCTTTCTAATATTTGCAATGCATTGTTTTTCTCCAATTGGTTTAGTATAAATAGGAGTAATTTTCTATTGAAATACTTCGGTTTCAACTTAACATAACAAAATTCCAGTTTAACATTAGAAAATTAAATCATTAAAATTTTATATTGTAGATGTGTATTCTCGAGCAAAGTGAAGGGTCATCAGTTTTAATTAGTCTATCTCTTCTTATCTGTAGGGCAGTGTAAAGGAATTAGTAATTGGTTCTATCTTTTTGGTTTATTATTTTAATAGCCACCAATATAAACCCATAGCTGATTTATCTAACTACATTACGCTTGATTTATTTAGTTTTCCAATCCATGCTGGTAAATTTCCAGCATCGACTATGGCTTTTGTTGCTTATAAGGCAGTATCCACATTGAATTCAACTTCTAAAATAGACTTAAAGTTATTATGAGTAATTGGCTATTCTAATAATTATAGTAAATAATTTCCATTGCGAATAGGATCTGTAAACAGACTAAATATAATAAAGAACATACTTATCATTATTATAAAGACCTTTTTATTTAAAATAAGTTTAAACATACAATTCCATCTCTCTAGTCACACAATTTTTGCTCATTGATGTAGATCTGGCTTTTTATTATTTTGAGCTGCTGAAATTTCTAGAATGCTACAGAGACTAATTAACAGGAGTGCCATTTTAAGAGCCAATATTTGATTTTTTCATTAGAGAATTCAAAGATCTATTGACACTATCATATTCTTATTTCATATTATGGATTCTTGAATAGGGACCCACGGGTGATCTGTTTGCAGTGCTAGGCTTTACAGATTTTGACTATTGAGGCTAATCTATTGTGATTTCTAATTAAGTATCTACAAAGGAATGTTTATGCTACTGCTTTTTCTAAGAAAGTGTGATTTGTTATTGTAATTTAGATTAAGAATGCTATTAAAATGATTACGTATTTTATTAAACTGGTTATTATTTTTAAGTCTATCTCAATGAGGTATCAACAGATTAAGAATGATTTGCAATAGCTACATTTCCACAATTAGCATAATACACTTTTATATCATGCATTAAACCCCAAAAGGCTTCCTCATCTCCATCAACCAATTATTATTCTGAATTTAAGTATTTGTAGCTCATTCTTTCAAGTTATTTTAAATACTCAAGAACTCGTCTATAATTATGTCTGATTTCTCTAACACTTTTTGGATTTCTTAAAGCTCCTTTTAAAACCTCATCTCTGCCAGTCAGTCTATTAATTAAATCAAAAAAAATGACTCCATTTTTACAGATTTTTGGTAATTTATTTTCCAATCCTTATGCATTTGATTTAATTAATCGTATTTATTTAAGCCAATCGATTAATTATTATTTCTATTCACTAGTAATAGAATTTTATTATTATTACTATTATTATTATTATTACTATTAGTATTATTATTATTATTATTATTATTAGTATTATTATTATTATTAATTGAAATCTTAATTTACTAATTCATGTTAACTTAAGCTTTCCTAACTATGTTTAGACTTGTTATCTCTAATTTTTTTTTATTAGAGATTCTATTATTCTTTTACTATTTGATTCTCTAAAACTTATAGTTCCTGCTTTAATTTCTAATTGTATGACTCTTTGTTATTAGATTTAATTGGTGTCAAATTGCTAATTGAATCACTTGATTAATTTTATGGTTTGGATCGATTTGAAGTTTCCGCATATTCTGTTTAATGTGTTTATGATCTTTATTGATAGTTGTTAATCTCCTAATAAGGGCTATTGGGTTTAATCATTTTGTATTTGTTTGCAACGATTTCTTCATTAGAAGTGATCTGGATTGATTAATTTGGTTATACTAAGTTTTCATCAACATAGAATAACGGATCGTCTTATTTTTGAGGTGCTTTTGGTGGTTTTGATGAGGCTGATGATACAGATTTCGACCTATAAAATTATTGGAGAATCTAAAAAATCTTTAATGGATTTTGGTATAGCATTTATCCAGTTAAATGCTTCACTGATATCTATTGGCTTTCCTCTAACAAAGACAATGCAAATGTTAAATTCCTTATACAACTTTAGTAGTCCTGTTTGGTGCAATTTATTACTCTTATCTTTAATTCACATTATCTTTTGTCTTAAAATAATTCTTTCGATATTATCTAACACAATGCAACACCTTGGATTTTTATCAAAAGATACCTGTTTTTAGATCATCAATACTCTTTGTGTTTTCAAATGTATTTGCCCAGTCTATTATTTCTTATTCCATTCAAATTTAATATAACAGTTAATAATAATAATTTATTTATCATTTTTATATTTGCAATTTGTTATATTATTCTTCTAACTATGCCAAGAGTCTTTCGAAATCGTTAACTCTGAATGAAGTAAAAAATCTGGATTTTGTTGTAATTATTGGAACTCCTCTCGGATTTTCTAATCTCTCTTGATCCAAAACCTTAAGATTCATTTTAGTAGCTAGATTATTAATCAATTCAAATACTGTCTAATTTTTAAGTATACTTTGAATAATACGCTCTTTCCAATTCGTCAAGTTGAATCGACTGCCTTTTTTACTATTGATTAGCTTGTTGACTGGGATTGATTTAAAATTAGGATTGATTCTCTTGCACTAATTAAACCTATACATGTAATGGACCCTATGACTTATTCTGTTAAATCTATTGTTATTGTTATATTAGCTATTATTATTATAATAATTATTATTAGTAATTTAATGGTAAATCTGATCCCTTTTATTCAAATCTTCTAGAGGGAGATTTATTGTTAATATAGGCTTTAGGACTCTAGGGAATGTCTTCAGTACCATCAAGTTCTGGATCTTCTATAGTATTTCCAGCATTCCAACAATTTTTAACTTTTGATTTAACCGTTTTAGGATCTACTTTTGGATTTTTTAATGGGATCTATTTAGATTTTCTTTTTAAAAAGTTTTTTGGTTTTTGATCTGAACCATCATCTTTAGGAGAGCCTTCTTCAATTTATTCTTTTCTGGGTGTTTGTTTTTCAGGAGTAGCACTAAGATTATTTTTACTTGATTTTGGTGATGATAATGATTGTTTCTCTTACAGATTTTTTTATGATAACACTTACTTTTTAGAGGGTATTTATTATTATTGTTATGGTATAACTTCCTTCTCTTCTATCACTTCTTCAACATCCACTGATTCTAGTTATTATTGTTCTTCTTGTTTTTTCTTAGCTTCTTAGATTGCTTTTCTTGGATCATATTTAGTCCTCTTTTTGAGATTTTCCAAGAGTTTAGGATCTTTCTTTTTTGGTTTTGGTTTCTCCTGATCATTTTAATCTTCATTTTAAACTCTTCCAAAAGGTGGTTCATTTTCATTTTAATTATCATAGATATCCTTTTATGGAACATCCATTTATTTATTCTCCTTTTTCTAATCCTTTTTTTTCTTAGGTGGTTACTTTTATCTCTTAGGAGGAGCTTCTGCTTCTTCTTCAAACTCACCATAAGTACCCTTCCCACTAATGGGCATATCATCAACAGGTAGATTATATTATCCTTTACCCCCTCCTAATGGTCTTTCGTCTTCATATTATTAATATTTTCCTGTGCTAGCTATTGGTCTGTCATCATTTGGAAACTATTCCTAATCTAATTAATATTTATCTTTTCCAGATTTGATAGGTCTTTCATCCTCATATTGGTTGTATGTGTTTTTGGTTTTGGCAGTTATTGGTCTCTCATCTTCATAATAATTATTATTATTTTTTGCATTTATAGGTCTTTCATCTTCATAAAAATTCTATGTGTTATTGTTCTTTCCATTTATTGGTCTATCGTCCTCTTGGTATTAGTACTTGCCTTTTCCACATATTGGTCTATCATCATCATATGAATTCCGTTCAGGGGTTATCCTTTCTTGAGGCTGATAATTGTTTTGATTTTTCGATTTAATTGGTCTTTCATCTTAATAATAATCATATCTTTAAGATTAATTATATTATCCTGATAAGTTTGAGTTAGAATGACTTTTATCACGAATTTATGATTGCTATTACATATACTCTTGATAATATGCCTATGGCTGTTCTGTATATTCGTTTTGAATTAATTAATCGTAATATTATTGTTCGACTTAATTTTGTTTGGGTTGTTATTTTGAAGGTTTTTTGTAATAATTTTATTAGTAGTTTTAGTCTTAATTAACAAATTCGTTATCCATCCATTGATTACGTACGAATTATTTTTAAGAACTTTTGACTCTTTTTAGTTTTTTATAGAATTGACCATTCTGCAAATAATTATCGATCATTCTAATCAAGGTTATCTTTTTTTATCTTATTTAGGGATTTCCATATGCTTGTTATATTTATTTATATATGTACTTCCATCATCAGTTTCGATAATATTTTATCTCAACTTGGCCACATCAGGAACTTTCATTATTTATCTTGTCCTATATCCTAATAAAATGGAATAGATGATTAACCTTGAATGAATCCATTTAAAATAGCCTTGAATCTTCTGATATGCATCATAATAATTTTATGTCTCTATCTCTAAATGTATCCCTTCACATTCTTTTAAATCAAAGTAGCACAAAAGTTAAGGAATTTAACAATCATTTCCTGATTCTTTTATTAGTCTTATCGTTACATTATAATTTTTAATAAAATTTGATTTAATAAAATGCTAAAATCATTCACTTGCCTCAATAATGTTTATTTGTGTTGTGGCAAAATTATTCAGTCTCAAATCTAGTCCTATTTCATCTAAAGTGTTTTATGCCTTCTATCTAGCAGTCTTAATTCTTTTATCGATTTCGCTGAAATCCACTGGATCAAATCCTGAAATACGAGATTTAGAAGGAGAACCTTGAGTGTGAAACGAATGTAATTGGGACTCCAACATTTCTAACATAAGCAACGTTGATACCTCTTTACTTCCCAATCGGATTAAGGAAGGTAGCAAAACTATCTTAATGCGGATGTAGAATCTACAATAGACTTTAATAGTTGGGTCTGCCATCATTATGCAATTTGAGCATGGATTGAATAGTTGATTTGAAGAAATCGCTATATTGGTATCTCAAACAATATTTGTTTATTAATTGATCTACATAGTCTTTTTTAAACAATAGTTTCTCTTGATTGTAAAATTCAACACATCGTTATCCACTAATTAGGCTGACCATCATAAGGCCGAGACAAAAGATGTTTACTAATTCTTAATCTGTAGTGTCATTTTTATCTCGAGTTGTTAAGAGAATCAGCTGTTCTGGAGCTACATACTCCAAGTCTCTTTGATTAAAGAGAACCGAATAATAATTGCTAAGTCTTGAATTTTCAAGAAACTAATCAAAGTATTTGATTTATCTTTGATCATCAATTAGGATCCTTGATGGGTAAATATCGATTATTTCATTATTCATCGTCTTCATATAATGGCATAGATTTGAGATCTCATATATAATGTAGCAGAGCTCTTGTTCTGAATATGTGGTCTTATGAATCTTTCTGAGAAGGATGTCATTATGTAAAGTGTCATTCAAGTATTCAACTGTTATTGTTAATACTACATATGAGCTGCAGAAGTCATCCATATTTCCACTATCAAATGATAATATTTTAACCAAGCATTTATGATTCAATTGCAATCTTGCTTAAATTCAACAGATTACCTTTTTACTAAACTGGCTTTTATTGATTCGACTGATGTATCACTTAAGAAAACCTATTTAATTTCAGCAAATATTAAGTTGTTAGCTTTATTCTTATAGATACTAATTTCTCCATAGTTGGGATCTAATTTCTTTTCTAGAAACTCACTTTAAGATTCGCTTTATTATTAATTACCCATTTTTAATTGTTTTATTTTAAATTAAATTTATTTTCTGCAATTATATCGATGTAAGAAGTCATTTTAACAAACGATGCAAAAGCAAAAGTCCTCCATGATTACCTATCTCAAACATATGTTCCACAACTCAGTGATCATCTTTTTAAGACAGATGAGTATTTAAAGAAAGAAGCAGAAGATTTTGAAAAGTCATGTTAATTTCTATTTTAGGATTATTAATCAAAGTGATGAATTAACAGAAGAGCTAGTTGAAAAAAAAACAGTGATAAGTAGAACTGTCAAACAGCTAATAGATAAAATATAATCTGAATAGGTATGTCCTATTTTTATATTTAGGAAAAACTCAAAAAAAGTGAAACCTATAAAAAAGGTAAGAAAGATGAATTGGCTGCTATTCAAAAAGCCATAGATTCAATTTCAAGTGCTATGAAAGAAACTTGTTCAAAAGTAATCAGTTATTTCAACTTATACAGATTGATTCAAAAGAACTGAATAAAATAGGTCAATTACCACAAGGAATGGATTAATTCATGTCGAAATTGTTCCACATCATATACAATGAGGATCAAGGCAAATTCAATTGGGCTGATTTCAAAAAGAAAGTGTATTATTCATTAATTAGATTTTCAGTTTTGATTAAGATAAAGGGGCTGACTTTTAAAGTAGATTAGCTAACTTTTAATTTAAAGGAGTAAGTCAAGAGAAAGAAAACTTATTATTGGAGATGAAGGCTGATCCTTAATTTTAGAAGGTCTTCTAAGATCCTCAATACACAAAAGCATTTTTGGATATTGCTGATTGGGTATATATATAGACAACTAAATAGATTCACTTTTCCGTTTCAGGTATTGAAAATTAAAAAAAAAAGGATCAATCAGCAGTAGAATTTGAAAGAATCGACAAAGAATTTGCAGGCAGAAAGGTTGAATTAGAAAGCTATCAAAGAACCCATGTACATATCTATTATTAGCAATAGGATTTTTGGGTTTCATAACTTAAATACGTTGAGGATTAACAAGTGTTATTGCATTAACTGTAACCAAACATTAAGCAAGTGGCTCAAGAAATCTCAGGTAGCAAAGGGTTATTGGAACAACACATTGGAAAATTCATTTAGGGAGCTGAGAAAATTAATGAGTTAATGATTCCAAACATATGATAGTATAATAAAACAATAATTTATAAGTCATAATTCTTACAAAAACAATGTTATCATTTATCTGTTGTGGATGACAATTTTAGTTTATTCCAATATTTACCATATCTTGATTTATGCAAATCTGACATAGTTTATCTTAGTCTTTCCTTCTATAGATTCTAATATTCAAGTAAACTTAATTCTGCTTTATGCTATTTTTTTATTTCTTCAAGGGATTCCACTCTTGTTTCTTATCCTGCATCCATTCTTTAAAGCAATTATTTCATAAAGTCTTCTCCTTTCTTGTCGTCTTTCCGATATTACGGTATTAATTTAGCCTTTTCATTGAATTTCTCATACTTTGTGATCATTCTCTCTATCTTTCCTTCCTAAAACAACATGAAATTAATTTTTTTTGTCAATCCTTCCTCTACTCTATGTTCTATACTTAATGATTTATGTATACTTGATTATCTCGATGATATATTCTCACTGTAATTCGCATATTTATTTTTCATGTATTGCTTCTGTCTAAAATCTAACTAAGGCAAAACTGCTTGCGAATGGATATCTCTATTTCCATAGTGATAGATTCTTTATCCTACCTTCTGCATTTCCTTTTAAACAAATAAAGGTTGTTTCTAAAATTTAGTCTCAAGAAATTCGATAATTTATTCTGGAGACTTTAACCTATTTTGCATTAAAGATGCATAATTATCTAGCTGGTCTTATGCTTTAAGCTCTTTATCAAAGAAATGAGCCAAACTATCTATCAATTAATGTTTTTAGTTTACCTTAACTTTCTTTGACTTGGACTGGTTTTTAGGGTTGTCTGTTTTATTCTCTCAGTTATTCCTGTAGTTCCCTTCCCTTTTGGGTCACTGTGATCCTCTAAGATAATGACATATTAATAATTTTTTCTTTTGATATTAAATATATGTATATTTTGATGACTCCAACAATGTAAAAACTAAATTCCTTGCTTGATTCCTATAAAGCTTATCGAGTGAAATCAGAATAAGAATTAGGTGAAAGATACAATCTTTTTCAATAAGCCATAAATGAAAAGCATTCTGAATAGTTATTTCTTTTAAACTCGAAATATAATGGATTGTATGAAAAAATTTGTAGGGAGTGCAAACAGTCAAATAAAACCTTCAAAATTTCTTTCCTAATAAAAGACCAAGATTTTAAATTGTTCATTTACATTAATGAATATGATGCACCACGCACAATCGAATTTTAACCTCTAAATAGTTTAAGAAAAATAACAAAAACAATTTATAAAGTTGTGCATATTGAGAATCAATTCGACTTGCCAAAAGTTAATCTTCCAAAGGATGAGTAGAATAAGCAGGGTAATTTTGATTACTTTGGAGAAAGCCTTCTTTTGTTGCCAAACTAAAATATGTATATATATTATATTTATTTCTATTAGACTGAAAGGAAGATTTAGCGAAACAGGGATACCGATTTAAATTCCTACTAAAGTAATATACAACGGAAACAATTGTTTTGAGTTAAATTTTGCGATAGAGAAGTATATACCGAACATAAATACATTAATGATGCAATCTCAATACAAAGGGGAAATTAATGACAGATTGGCTCCCGTAGGTGAAGGAACCTTTTCCAATCCTAACTATAAAATAAGTGCAGTGTTTCGAGATGGGTTTTACTAAGGTCAAGTTAAGATTGTTACTCTCCCAGAAAATACGATAAAGTGTGTGACTAGGGATAATGAAAAAACTGTATTGCCCATTTGTTATCAGGCGGACAATTCTATTGATTATTATGTATTCCAAACTATATTTGAGGGGAGATGGATTAATCAAAAGGTTATAGATTACTACCTATATTATGCAAGTAGTGAAATAATAAGATTACATGAGTGTGACAACATTGGAGATTCAAAATACCAAAATTATGTGATAAACTCTTGCGATTCTGCAGATATATTTTCTAGTGACATCTTTGAACAATAATATTACTCAAAAGAATTTTGGATGTCATACTAGAAAAAATATAACATAGATATTAATAATAATAAGAATAGATACATATTTGCTTTGAATATTGGAAGATCTCATTTTGTTGTTTTAGTTTTGGAACAGAATTAGAAGGAAGAGGGAACTATATATTTGTTGGATTCAATACCTAACCATTTCACTGAACATTAATAGGAAGTAGCAATCAAGAATATTAATGACTTATTTCCTCGCATAAAAATAACAGATAAAAGAAAGCTAAATAGAATAAAAGATATTGAATAGCAGAGAAATGGTTACGATTGTGGAATACATTGCATCTATAATTCCCTTTTGGTACTTAAGGAGTGGAAAAAAGATATGAACCAAATAGATTTTGAGATAAGAAAGGAAGAGATAAAGAAAGAGGCTTTGGAGATAAAGGTTGATTAGAAAAAGAATGACGACTATAAGGATAAAAAAAAAATAAGTAAGTTGCGCAGACATATATATTTTACGATGGTTAACAATTAAGCGCATTGGTTGCATTATTGAGAATATCATTGAATAATTTGATGTTAGTTTAAATATAATATAATGAAATTTGAAAAGCTTCATTCTCATAATCCATCACCAAAAACTCTTGACTTCGCTTCCACAACCAAATCAACATTTGTACCTCCACCTCTTGGTTTAGAAATTGTTACTATGCCAAACAACAAAATTTTTGATCTCTTCCTAAAAGGATCTATAAGTGCAAAATAAATGTTACAAATGGATAACAACGATATTGAGAAATCACCTAGAACTCCTCCTAGACGTCAACAAACAAGGCATAAATCAATAAAAAAAAATTAAGCTGACTAAATCTTCAATCTAGTAGAGAGATTTTAACACAAAAGGAAATAATCTATTATAATACCTTAGAATCCATAACCCAAAAATCCACCAAAATTGGAACGGAAGGAAACATTGATGCAATTGACATCCAGTACAAAGGAACTGCTTCAACCAATAGCATAATCTAGATTCAGAGCAGCAAATAGAAAATTTACTTAAAGAAGCATGTCTGGTTCTAAGGAAGAATAATTGATAAGGAGATGTGAAAAACTCAGTGGTGAACGTTTGAAGGAAGAAGAAAAAGAATTATTATTAAAAAAGGAAATTACAGATGAAGATGCATGGAGAATGATGAATGTATTTCAAAAAAAGAAATGGTTTTTTGATTATGTACATAGAAATCTAGATCAGTAAAAATAACAATCAAGTTAACAAGAAATCAAGTAGTAAGTTTAACCTATTTCACTCTTTTAAAAATTAAGAAACACAGTTCTTAAACAAGCAGAAGTCAAAAGAAAACCTGAAAAACAATGCTAGGAATACTACAATCACATTTAAAAGTATATGTATTAATGATATAGTATTGAAGATTAAATAAAGTACCATGTATTCAATAGAAATATGCCTGAAAAAATTAGAAATCAATAAAAACAAAATGTAAAAATGTTCAGATCCGAATCTGAAGTTTCCAAACTTAATATCAGAAATAGGTTTCTAGAGGTAGCTGACAAATTTAGTATCAATTAATCCAATCCTTAAATCTTAAAGGAATTTTTTGAAAATGGTAGTCAAACTAGCAAATCCCAACCTAAAATCCAAAAGGGTAAATTTACGAATAGAAGAGTCCAAAGACCATAATTATCAAGGGAAAATGATATTTCTCATGAAAGTTAAGGAGATTCATATAAAAGTATAACTGAATTCAGACTCAATGAGTTGTATCATGAGAGTAAATAAAGATAAAAATAATATAAATAAAAATATGATACTCCTTTCATTGACAATGGGGATTAACTATAAAGAAAAGTCAAGAATTTGGTCAGATTGGGAAATTTATAGAATACCATTTTAAATGTAGTTTAATTTAAACTTTAATAATGAAACTTTTCTTTGTTATAATTATGAATTTGCAATTTTTATTAATATTTGATAAATGCTTTAAAACAAAATTTATTAGCTAAATACACCGAGGAGAGGAATTTCTCGTTCTGAATCAATCAAGAAAAAATTATTCAAACTAAATCTTGATTCATTGAAAACTCATGAAACTGAAACTTAAATGAATAGCGATCTGCTAACAACGAGTAGAGCTCATCATTATAAATCTATTAGTTCAACATTATTCTAAAGAAGGAACAGTAAATACCCAGCAATTTTGTAACAGTTATAATAATAATACTCAACAGCATTCAAAAATAAAGAACTTGATAAAGCAATCGATGCAGTTGTAGATGTTATGATTTTACATGTTGTAAGAGACAACATTTTAGGACTACTAAACACTTACATATTGGTGGCAGAAACCTATTTAAAATTCACATATTACTCTTCAGCTATTCAAACCTACACATAATTAGTAATTAAAATCATTATTTTTTAGTTGCATTTATGTGATATTTGTAATGATGTTGAAGAAGTCTAGAAATCATTTCGATTGAAAGTGTTACTTAAACTAAGTATCATAGCACACAATTTAAAAATGCATGAGACAGCAGTCAAAATATTAAAGAAATTACTGCAATATTCGTGGCATTTTAAAGATAAGTATTTAGAGGTTGTGTGCTTTGATAAACTTGGATAAGAAGCCTACTTGCAGGCAAATTTAGAGAAAGCATAGTTTTATCATTGCAGAGCTATTTGGGGAAGATCAGAGCCTGAAAATTCTAATCATTATCAGATATCCACTTAAAATATTGGGTAATATCTAAAAAAACTCCCTAAAGGAATCCAACATATTGATTAGAATTTAGTAAGTAAAGCTACTTTTCTACCATTCACATTTATCAGTTAAACGCAGAATCAATAAAATAATAATAATTCCTCTTAATAATATTGTGGCATTGAAGTTACTAATTACTATTTGAAAAATATGAATGTTATTAAACAGCCACATAGGTTTTTATCTCATGTTACTCCAGAAGCATGTTTCTAAAAATTATTTATTACTTCCTAATTTGAGTTTGAGATTTCCACTCCCAGACAAGCGAAATAGGATTCTCATTCCAATGATCTATTAAGAATCAATCCATAAGATTTGTTTATTTCAGTCTTATAAAATTCAAATGACAGAGAAGAAATCCTTTACATGAATAAAGTGAAATAATAAAATAAAATGGGAGGATTCGTATGATATTATTGATATTTTAGATTCCTCCTTCATCTTATCGAATTCAAAAGAAGGATTAACCTAAGATTGATAAAAAGTTATTGAAATAACCCTTAATCAAAATGATAAATGAAAGGTTAACCAGCCAACCAAATTTTACAGAAATAATAGAAGAAAGATACCGTGCTGCTAGAATGAATCATAGTAGAGTTCCTCTTAAGGATTAAGTGAGGATTTCTCATTTGAGTCCAAATAGAGATTTATTGAATTATGGAGAATGCTTATAGGCCACTGCTGACCCAGATTAAATGTTTATTTCTAATGTACTATTTTGAAAAGATGTTTGATTGTTTGATTTTCAATTCTTTTAACTCAAAACCATAATAATTAAATTATAAGAGTCTCTTTAGAAATCATTTACTATGATTATTTTCATAAATCCATTTAAGTGTCAATTATTATTTTAATTTGTTTTTACACATTCGATTATGTCAATTATTGTAAGAAAAATAATTCTTATTATATATAATATTACAATTACATGAAAGGATTTCTGTAAAAATTGATGGGTTAGATAAAATAGGAACCTAATTTAACCCAAGCTGGGTAATTCTTTAAGAAGGTTAGTGGGACTAGTAGTCAGAAATAGAATGCAAATAATCCTCATTTAATAGATAGAATTGATCAATTGAATAGAATAATAATTTAAGGGTACTAAAGGGACTTTTTGATGCTGAGAATCAGATAAGTAATCACTGAGGCATAATTGGGTCATAACATATCTCCGAAAGTCCAGGATGCTTGTGAGGTTGTTCATTATGCTTTATTAAATAATATTCCGGTCTTGATATCGAAAGTAAAATTGGTACATCCAGAGTTTGATTTATCAGATTAGGTTATTTTATGATTTAATGAAATAGATCATAGTCGATGAGAAGGAATTCGAGAAACGAGGAGAGGATGCGAATCCAGAGTTGAAATCAGATATACAGGTGGACACTTTTGCAAATAAGGATTAGAGTGAATATTATGACAATTAAAGGAATAAATGGAAAGAGTAATAGAGAAAGAAGAGATGAGTATAAAATTGAAATTGTTATTTATATGTAATATAATTATAGAAATAAATTAAAGCACTTAAATTTGTTCATCTATGCAATCTTTAATCAAAGAAAAAGTGAATTTCTAAGAATATGTTAGATGGGCATTCGAACAAAACAAAGACACGATGAAAAATTAGGAGGATCAAGATATATAATTCCATAGTTATCATGAGTTGGATGGAGAAGAAATGGGCCAAGTCATATGGCTGTTTAGAAAATGTGGATCAATAAATAAGATCAAAAAACTCAATGGATTGTTTCTAGGATAATTGTTTATATTGAATCACATTATTAATTTTCTATTAACCATAATACATTATAGCAAACCAGCGAAAGAATCAATATCAAGATTGATGAAGTCAATAGGAATAATTTAAACTGATGAAGAATTACAACTTGTTAAATAGGAAAATGATGAACTTTTATCAATAGTTTATGAGAAGGAAGTAGTCCAAATGCTTGAAACAGTTACTAAAGAAGATTTTAAAATATTATTCTAAGTTATTTTTGATTTAAAAGATATATCTACAGAGGAAATTAAAAAAATATCTGAACTTGGAATGTTATTCGATTAAAATTAAAGCCAATAGGAATACTCGCCTTCGATTTTAAAACAAAATTTTGGTATTATTATGGCATAGATAATTCAAATTGAAAAAATTGAAATCGATTAAAATACATTACTTTAGAGCAGTATAAAATTGGAACAGAAAAAAAAAGAAAAGGCTCAAGCAAAAAAAATTTAAGAGTTGTCATAACATAAACAACAAATAATCAAATTTAGTAAAGTGATTTATCATTAATAACCTTAGAGAAAATTATTACTGTATGATGGAACGATGTAATTATATTTAATTAATAATTTATAGAATAACTGGAAATATTTGGGATTCTTATCAAGATTAATATTGCGTCCCTATATCACTTTCGATCGACACCAATGTGGTTTATTTTAGCTTTCGCATTGAACATTTGAATGATGAATAATTATTCAGAAAAGATCAAGTATTTACCTACAAAGGACCTGTTAATGAAAATTTTGATCCGAATGTCAAAAAGGCGTAATATGATTTGGGAATCAAAGGATAATTAAGTTAACAACAGAATACATACAGAGGGTGTTTTAGTGATGGATTATTCGATGGTATTGGGAGTTTATACATTGGAAATTAATTATATTTTGATGGAGAATTTAAGCTAGGCATATAATATGGATTTGGAAGAGAATTATAAAATAATGAAGATTATTTGGAAGGGAATTTTGAAAATGGTAAGAAAAATGGATTATTTTAATTTATAAAATTACATGAAGGGAAAAAGTATTTGGATACATCCAAGCCTCAAAAATGCTTTTAAAATGGAAAAGAAGTCTTATATTTGAATCAAGGATATTAACTGTAGAAAAAGAAGTCAAATTTAAATCCAACTCGCTATCTCTTAAATTTTGGAGATTATGGAGTAAATAATTATTAACTTCAATCTTTGTAACCTGGAAGATGGCTTAATTCCGGTATCATAGATCTTGTGATTTCTCAAATTTAAACTTATAGGGAGTAAATCTCTTAAAGTTATAAATAAGATTAAAGAACTGTTTTTATCAATTGCAGCTAATCTTAAGACATTTTTGGTAGTCTAATATCAAAGAATGATGAAATATAAACTAAGTAAATAAAATATATATATTATTATTAGAATATTTAGATAAATAATTGATTATAGTAAGAAGTAACAGCCTTCAAGGTTTGTTTTTTACTTAAATTTAGATCGAAGTCATTTTTTATCTGTGGTTTATGAAAATTAGACATTGTATTTGATAGATTCAATGAAAGATAAAAGGGCTGATTTATTGTATTAAATGGTTAAATTGTTGAATCAATCTAATTTTGCTGTTAAAAATTCTTGGTAGGTTTGTGAAGTGAGTTAATAATATAATTAATATGATTGTGGAATGTTTACCATTTATTACATATCCTAAATAATGAAGAATATAGATTTAAGTATTCCTTAAATGTTTGAGAAGCAATGTTTTAATGTTTAACAATCAAGAATTAATTATGCGAGATATCTACTTGCTAACAGATTCTTCCAATTAGGAATTGAGATCTTAGAATTATGATTATCAATGTTTCAGCTTATTCAATAAATATGCTTTTTTTGTTATATTATTTATCTACAAAATATTATTATAAACTCCATAAATTTATATCTATTAATGAATTAACCCTAAGAAACTATTCAGGAGTATATGAATAAGTATGTTAAGCCAATCTTTGATAAATTAATTTCTTAGATCCTAAAAATTAGACCAGATGACATTATAGGTTGGAGTATTAATTGGCTTCAGAAATAATGTATGAAATGTGTGATTATTAGAATCACAAATTAATAAATAATTTTAGTCTTATCAAAGAGAAGAAGAGGAGGGGTAAGAAGTACTTTTACTTTGTAGCAAAAATAATAAATAAACCATAAAATCAGATGTTGCAATCCAAGGAGAATTCAACAAAAATGAACGGTTTAAACCAAATTTCATTGAAAAAACTAAAGATTAAATTGAGAAAATTAAAAAAAAAATTTTGAATTCATTTCTATTTTAAGTCTTAGATGAATAAAACTTAGAAACTGTTATTTGTGCAACGGAAGAGAAGAAGTTTTAGTAATCATTAAAATTATGATTATTTTTAGAACTGGAGACATAGTTATACACCAAGGAGATGATGGAAATGAATTATACGTAGTTGATGAAGGTGAATTAGAATGCACAAAGAAATTCCCTAATTAACATTAAGAAACAAAACTGAAAACCTATTTGCCTGGCGAATGCTTTGGTGAACTTGCTTTATTGTATAATACTCCTCGTGCTGCTACTATTAAAGCAATTAAACCTGTGGTGGCTTTTACTTTAGATAGAAAAACTTTCGAATTATTTGTGAAGGTTAAAGCCATTAGAAAGAGAGAAGAAATGGAATAAATATTGAATACAATAGAATTGTTAAAGTCTTTAGATTCATACGAGAAATTACAGTTTTGTGATATCTTGGAGGAAAAAAAATATAGCAAAGGAGAAAAAGTTATCAATCAAGTTTTTATTTAATAATATTTCAATTAAATAGGGAGAGTAAGGGGATACAATATACTTAATTGTTGAAGGAGAACTAGAAGCTTATAAGGATGAGTACTAAGACAAGGTTTATTCATATTAATCAGGTGATTATTTTGGGGAATTAGCCTTATTATAGAATAGTCCACGACAGGCCACTATTATAGCTATAGTACATATAAATTTTACTCATTTCTTTAGACTGATTGTACTCTCTACTATTGTGATTTTAAATCATTTACTAAATTGATGGGTCCTTTGGAGTAGATTCTTAGAAAAAATGTTGGGAGGTATGGGCATTAAGTTTAATGAATTTTTATTGATCAAATGATGTACAAATATCTATACACTTATTTACTCAAAGTCAATCTTTCATATATTATTTTTAATTATTTTAATAATAAAAAATTAATTGATTAATTGGAATTAACATGCATGCTAATAACACTTCAATTAATGATCACACACCTACATTCGCAGAAAATTAGGACTTTCTGAATGTTGAATAATGTTTAAATGGAATTTCTGATTTTCTGCTTTATACTTCAACACTCAAATTAGATTAAGTAACATCTTTATATTTAAAAGAGTAATCATTTAACAAATTACTTTTTAGAAGATAAATAGGCATCGAAAAACTTTTCTAGCTTTGTCAATGATATTGAATTCTCAGAATTAATTAGGTCGTATAGGTTACATCGCTATTATAATAAACTAAATGGATTGAATAATTCTGTTATAATAGAATCACATCATTAAAAAGTATAATCCAGTAATCGCCAAAGTTAGCCTTAAGTTGTAATTAAGATTATAGGGACTTCTCCACCTAAAATTGAAAACAAAAAATACTCATAAATTGAAAGCAGGTACTCCCCTAAAAATTTGAAATTCTACTTAAAATAGGAATAATAAAGTACTGACTCATAGATCTCACAAAGTAGAAGAATATCATCATCAATACAACAATCAAGATCATCCTCCTTAACAATGAGTTCAATAACTTCCAATATTAAGTTTTAATAAGTTTATCAGAATCAGAAGAGATAAAAACAAGATCCCAAAAAAAATTATTAGTTTTGCTTACTTTCTTAGAAACACTAAGAATTAACCAAATAAAAACAAAAAAATGAACCAAACAAAATTTTAAATTTATCTTTAAATTCCTTATCCTCTAAGATTGAAAAGAATAAATGAATAATATTGCATTATGCTATTTAATTATAATTTCATCCTTATTCTTGTAATGCATCTTATTTTATTTTCTTCAATAATTCTGCTCTCTTTTTTAATTCCTATTTCTTCAACTCCAACTCCTAAGCTCTCTTTTGGTCAGCCACGAATTCTGTCTAAATATATACATAATTGATGTATTTACCATATCCACTACTAGAGGACCTTTCTCCTATTATTCAGGTTTTTATTCTTGTTGCTCACCCTAATTTATGTATTACAATTAATTTACATCTTAATATTTCTTCAATTCATCTTATCTCTCTTTGATCTTCTTCTACTTAATTAATTCTCTTTGTTATTACAATCTTTATTTTCTTTATTCCAAAGTCTCCTAATCTTATTAATTTTTGATATTTTATTTAAAAGTTTCTTCCTATCCAATAAATCAAAAAATTACAATTTCCTTTAAATTTTCTTTTAATTGATTTCCTTGAGCAAGTAATGCTTCTCTTTCTTGAGCCAAAGACATAACTTCAACTTTTTATTAAACTATCTGTGGAAGAGGCTCTCGTTATTTAATTGGTGCAGGCTCTTATTTTTCTTATGGTTTTATTTATGGTTGAATAATTTTAGATGGGACTTCCTCATCAAAAATCAATATGGATTCAGCCTTTTAATCAGGTTAAGGTTATGGTTATTGATTCTATATTGGGGCCTAATGATTGACAACTTACGGTTACTACTATACTTAGCTTAATAAAATTTCTTCCTCTAAATATGGTATTAGAATTGATACACTATTTTTCATATGCTATTTAACTTTATCTTATTGCTTCAATGAAATCCTCATCTTCTTGAATTTGGATTTTGGCCTTTTCATTTTCAACAGCTATTGACATTGCAACAGCATGTTCAATTTCCATTCTTTCTTTTTCAAGCTCAGCTTATTTCACTTTAATATCCATTTCAGGATTTTTTCCACCCTATTATTAGAAGATTGCTCTCTACATCTATTTTCTACAATTCCTTTAAGGCTTCATATTCCAATTCCTTGTTTCTTTTCAACATCAACTTTTTGAACACTAAGAAATTCTCAACAATCAGCAATTACTCAAAATACTTTCTATGTTTTTTATTTTTCAATCCTATTTCAATTACCTTTCTCAATTATTCTTCATCCTCCACTCCTATGTCAACCATTAATTATTCAATCATCGCCTCAATCATACCTTTGAATTTCTAACATACAATTTAAATTTCACCTTATGAATCTCTTGATACACAATCTTATTCTCCTCCTCATCATCAAAAATTATGCAATTCTCATCCAAAAAGTCTGATATGGGGTTCCTCCATATTGGTGAAGCCAAATACTACAAAATCAAATCGTACATCCATATCTAGGATTCATACATATTGAATTACATCATCAGTCACTTCGACTGGCTTCTATTTCACATTTTTCTACTAGGCCTTAGGCTTTTAAGGTTGCTGCTTCTGAGGTTCTTACTTTTTATCTTTAGATTGCTTTGGACCCATCTATAAACTTGTATTTATTATTTAATTTAGAAATGAATAAAGCGCAATTTAGAAGATTGTTGTCTTTGATTCCAGATAGGCAACAATCTCCTATCAACACTAAATTATTTGAAATTGATTTAACCATTCAATAACCTAAGATCAAACCGAAATAACTGTTCATAGAAGAGCTTCCTTTATTTTTGAATCAACAACACATCTAAATATTGCCTTTCGTTCCACAAAGAATGAAAACTGAAGTTTACAAAAAGATGTAACAAAACTTTAGTAAACCCTTTAAGAGTGAGGACGAAAGATATAATACAATTGATGTTGTTAGATCCAAATCTCGTAAACCAACGGAAGTTAGAAAGGTTTCTTGCACTAATTCGTATTAAATACAACAATAACAAAATAAAATGAGAAAGCTAAGGTACTCTTATGAATCTAGAAGAAGATAAAATAGCATTAATAAATTTAATTTTGAAGCTCACTTTTATATTTTTGTCAATGCTAATCCAAGTCTAAATATCAATAAAATTAGAATCAACAAATAAATCATTTTCTAAAAGTTGGTAGACAAATATAGAATAGGAATAAGTTAAAAGATTATGAACTTTTTTGAAATCCCCTAATATATAGATTTTCAATTTTGGAAATCATTAACATAGAAACTATTAACCATCAATTAAGAATAAATAATCGTTTTCATTTATCGTTTGATTCACAACCATCGACATCTATCATCAACTGATTTATTTCAATTAGGTTTAACTACTTAAAGCGAGGCTATTTAGAAAGATATTTAAACTATTTTAACATACATACAATAATCACTAAATACTGAAACTATCGATAATGAGGAAATCGAGTATTTGAGAAAATCCTCAATTTTTAAAGATAATTTAACTCTTACTAATCTACTAACTTGGACAGAAATATATTAAATTGATGTAATTTATATTGTTTACGATTTTAGCAATCAAAAACAATTAAATAAACAAAAGGATTAAACTATAGAAAATCAGTACCCATAGATTAATTTATTAGTATTTATATGACAGAGGACAAAGAAGACTCAATCAATTACAATTCAATAATATCCAAATATCCGAATAAATACGAATAAAACGAACCATTTTCTATAAATTTTCCAATCTTTCGACGTATTTTTTAGAATTAAAAAATTCATCTATGGAATGACATTTACTCTTTTTTTACAGGGTAAAATTGTTGAAGATTTGATTAAAATTATAAAATTACAGGTTTCAAAATTGCCATCAAAAAGATTAATATGAGTCATCATTTTCAAATTAAATATCTGTTATAAAGCAATATTGATAAGCTGAGCAATATTCAATTATTTTTAAACATAATTATTCCTTATATTAACTGATAGATGAAAAATTCTTTTTGACAAGTTGTTATGATTAAGAAGCTTCTATTTTAAATGTTATCTTGATAATTATACAGGGACTACGTTCCTGTCAAATTATAAGTCTTAAAATTTTAACTATTTACATGAATCAAATTTGAATGCATTATAGTATATCCTCTAATTCAATAATTTATATGAATTTACATATGTAGCTCTGTTTTCACTAATATGTTGATCATTTTTGAGTAATCCTTATAAAGGTTGTAATAAATATTTCCATATAAGATTATCAAAATTGGAAGGCAGAAATTTTTAACATTTCATTAATTATTTATAAATAGCTTAATAAATTTCAATCTTTTTAGACATTTTAAATACTCTTATATTCTTATATAGGCATTATTTATAAAATTCTCCTTATCCAATTTTTGAATTAAATATATTTAAATATTCTTTATGGTTTTCACAAAAATTAAAAATATACTATTTTAATTTAATTTTAGCATCTATTCCAACTTCATAATTAATATTTAATAGCATTTACTTATTCTTAAGTATTTAGTTAATCTAACATTTGAAATAAGTGTGATTAACATAATATATAAATTTTCTCCAGACAATAAATTCATATAATTAAATAAAAGATATTAAATTATGGGTGTTAGAGTGACATATAGAAGAAGAACATCATACAACACTAGATCTAATAAAATCAGAAAGGTTAAGACTCCAGGTATGTTGATATGAGTATCATATAGGTGGCAATGTTGTTGTTCAATATCCAAATAAGAAAACAAGTGCCTCAACATGTGCTGACTCAAATTTGAATGTTGTTCTTAATGGTCTTAAAAGAATTAGACCAACCAAGCTTAAGCAACTTGCAAGAAGACAAAGAACAGTTTCAAGACCATATGGTGGTGTTTTAAGTGCTGGTGCTTTAAAAAACAGAATAATTAGAGCATTTTTGGTTGAGGAAGTCAAAATTGTCAAATAAATCAAAAAATGATACAAATATGTTCTATGTTTTAGTACATTAAATACACAATACATGTTCTTTTTAGAAATCTGTATATATTATTCAATTTAAGAAGAAAAATGATAAGAAAATATAGTGAATTGAAGTAAAATATGAAGTAATCATTGAAATCTATCTGTCTATTATTTTTCTAGAAAACCAACATAGTTTTCCTTCCTTTATTGCTAACATTATTATTCAATTCTTTATTTCAATACTTTTTCATTTTTTTTTCTCAACCATTCTTCTTATTTCGAATGAAAATCTTGAGATCTTTATCGGCTTATTTTTTTTTCATTTTTGGGGATTCTAATTTCCTTGACTGGTTATTGTGATATTTTCCTCTATATAATATTTAATGCAAAATATTTACAGCGAATTTAGTAAAATTAATGTACTCGATATTTTCTAATTCTTTAGGTGGCTTTACATTTTCTAATTGTTCCAAAGGTTATCTCAAAAATTCAGGTTCCTTGATAGGTTTTTGTATTTATTTCTGTTCTTACTCTTACAGTATTGGCTTTGGGGAATTCTAACGAACTTTACAATTTGGAGTTAAAGCTTTTGTTAAGCTTTCTACAATCTCTTTTGAAATCCTCTAAAGACCAATCATAGTGCCCTTATGAGAATGTTGGCTATCTTTTATATTAAAGCAGATGTTACTTCTTGGACTATGAATATTAGATTTAGGATCCTTGCTCATCGCATTTCCGGATAAAACTAGTTTGAATATTACATTATACTTCGTTTTGATCTATGTTCAGAACTAGCGTACACTTGTTTCCAATTCATTTATAGAAAGAGGTTATTAATAAGTATTAGATATAAATTATTAATAAAAGAAAAAAGACCTTTGCTTTCTTCTATTTTCATTAATTGATTGTGATTTTCTCATCTTTCTGATTGTCTTCCCGCTTATCTTCATCAATAAAGACTTGATGCTTGCTTTCTTCTTCGCACTTAAAATTCTTTTCCCTTGGCCTTCCCCTACTTCCATAATGCTTATCACTTGGTATTTAAGTCCCAGCAGGAGGTTGCCCTTCATGCTTAATCCTATATAAGATATGAATAGAATTACTTCAAATGAGTATACAATGCTGGATAGCTGTAGTAACCACGCCCACAACCACATTTATAGGGACGAGGAGTCTCATCATGTTTCGTGCATCTTCTAATTCTTTTCCTTGCACTTGGTGGGTCTTGTTATTAAGACATCTAATAATTATTAATTTATTTATATAAATTTTAATGATCATATTTATATATTTTTCATTTTACTATCATAATTGATTACTGTTCAAAATAAATTCAGATAAATTGATGGTTCAAGTTTCCTTATGAAATTCTTCTAAGATTTTATCACTTTTTTTTGATCAAATTGATTTAAATTATATTAATTTATTCAATATTTTAATTAAGATAGTGAAATTAGATGAAAAATACGTTCTCTTCTCTATTAAAGAATTTGAGACATATTTAAATTGCTATTGATATTGAAAAACACTATAAATGATTTATAAATTATGGAAATATTTAATGAGGAGAAAATTTCATCATTGAATATTTGCTGAAAATGTCACTTTTATTTCTAATTAAACAATAAAACTGATCAAAATCATTTTAAATAAACTAATATTAAATAAATTATAGAAAAAGTAATCTATATAAGAATGAAATATGCAGGTTCAAATTATCGACACTATTTTTTCTGTAGAAAACTTTATTAGTTAAGCCAATCAAATTTACTATTTTGTAAAGTAATCAAAATTTTGCTATTAATTTAAATTTAATATTGCATCATGATTTGATAATATTTATACCTCATAAGTATATTATTGAATTAAGTGCGCACTTAGTCTGTTATAAGCTGTAAATCATATAATGATTAAATGTTTTAAATAAAATGACTGAAAGAACATAATGGATTTATAAAAGCAAGGAAGTTTTAAAACCAATTTTGGAAACTCAATTAATTGGAGTGTCAAGAGCAATTGTAGGATTACCAATGGATCATTTCTTCGATCGTTTTAAGACTTTGATCTAGGCTTCGTAAAATAACAATTTTAAACAAGTAAACCATTAAAAGCCACAAATAGCTATTTCTTGAAAGTTATTATCGGAATGGAATTTTCAGGGGAATATTTGCTGGTTTTTCATCATAAATAAGCATTTAACTATTCAAATAATACTATAGGTAAATTCGTAAGCTAGTATTTGTAGATGGCCTATGATGATTTTGATTCCAAAGCTCTATATGCAAATATTGCCTCAAAAGGTTAAAGAGAGTGCTCCGGCCTTACACAAAGGATTAGCAGGAATAACTATTGCTTTGTTTGAGTCTTTTGTAACTTGCCCATTCGAAAGAGTTAAATGTCAGATGATGACTTAATAATAATCCAAATCTGGTAATTGATCTGACTATAACTTTAGTTCTAAAATATATGTGGGAACATGATGGAGGAATTAAAGGATTTACTAGAGATTTGTTCACTGGCATGGAAGTTATGATTCTAAAATAAGTAGTTTCATGGACTAATTATTTATATTGGGATCACAGGGTTAGATATTATTTCAAAGGAGAACCATCTCATAAATTGACAATTTAAGAGATTGTCCTGTGTTCTATTTTAACAGCAATTCCAAATATCATCATTGTGCAACCGTTTGATATGATTAAAACATAATTTTAAATGGAAAATAATGATTAAATTAAAAATCTATCAATTTGGAGTGCATTTAAAAAGGTGTATGAAGAAAAGGGAATACATGGATTTTATGCTGGTTGGTAGATGAGATTTTGTTAATTCATGTTCTAAGCATTACTAACTACTCCTGTTATGGATTACTTAGAAAGATTACACGGTATCCCATAGAAATAATAGTGAGCATTGATATCTAATTGATTTTATTTTGAATGATAAATTCACAATCTGTTTTTCCTAGTGATCATATTCCAAAGATGTAAACTTTTTCTAAATTATATAAAAATAAATTTAATGAATATTAGACAGTATATGTTCTAAAAGTTATTGATCATTCAATTAACTAATTATATCAAATAAAGAAATAGTGTAATCAGCTTTCAAACTGTTGAATTAAGGGAAAAAGGAGCTTATTTCATTAACATCAAATAAACATCAATACCAAATGCTATGATCAATTTAAATGAGAAGACAACTCTCGCAGACTTATAATTAAGTCCATTGGAAATAGAAATAATAAAGAAAAAGTTTGAAGATAATTTGGAAGTCGAAAAGAGGAAAGAATGGAAATATGAAAATACAGTAAATGAATTAGCAGGATTGTATTGATGTTGAATTGCCATAATTGTAAATCATTAATCATCTGGATCTGCTTACTAGTCTTATCCATCCTAACCATCTTGACCTTCAACTTTTTCTGGCTCAGGGGGTTTGGGTGGGTTTTTAGGATTTGGTTCAGGAAATTCTGATTTATCTTCTGGTTCCAATTATAAGTCATTGTTTTGGATGGGCACATAAGCTGCTTGTGTATCTTTGAATCCATAACCAACATAAAAAAATGCCCATTGATTTTGCTAAAAGAATTGTTGTTAATAATACATTTGCAACTGTAACAGCCCCGCTCCAAGTGTAGTTTTTAAGTATGACAGTTGCATAGACATTGTTGCCAGAATTTTCGTCTTTAGGTGGATATATCATTTAATCTCCGAAAGTTTTAATTAGCCAATTAGTTTGATAAAATGGTTCGAGTGGACGATCTTCAGCAATTCCCTTTAATCTTGTTGTTTCACTATCAAGATCTGGATTAGCCTCTAATAAAGCATTTTTTGCATCATCAGATAATCCATCTGTGTATAATGTTATTCTTCCTTATTTTAATATTTATGCAGGAACATGAACCCAACTGTCTGGATTTTACAACTCAGCAAATTCTGGAATTTTGAAATCTTCTACAAATTCCAATTCCTTAGCTAGATAGATAGATAAATGTATTAATTACGATTATCATCTTTTTATTGATAAAGTCCTTTTGGTGCAATTAGATTAGCATGTAGAATCCTTACTAATTGTGCTTTTAAATAGTGTTTTTCTTTTCCAGGAAAAGGAGGATAAGTTTTTAATTCTTAATTCAAATTTCCTGTACAAACATATTTTATTTCTCTAGCCACTTTAACTTAATCTGGTGTTACCAATGGTAATTCATTCCAATCAGTCAATACTAAGGATTAAGTTGTTAATTACTATCGTTTGTGACCCAGAAAGTATAGTAATTTACACCATCTCCCCTGGGTTCAGCATTAGGGGCTAAATAATCGGTTGGCAATTTAGGGACTACTCCTCTGGCCACATAATAATCAGAATTTCTGCAAAGTATCTTTCCAAAGAATGTCATCTCAGTTGCATTAGTTTCAATCTGAAAATAGATATTGATATTTACACTTAATTACTTAATGCTTAATTGGATCTAGTAGGTTTCTTCCTCTCCAAAACCATAACCCGCAGCTTCTAACAATCTGGCTGATGAAACAAAGTCTTATAAAATAGTAGGCATTTATGCAACTGTTTGACCCTACAATTTAATAGCCATTATACTTTCAGTAATTGTGAAACCCTCTTTACCCAATCCGCAAATTCAGGGATTTTGTCTTTAAGATTATTTACTTCACTTTCAGATGACAATTTTTTGAAAAGAAATCTATTTTTTTTTGTGAAATCCGATAAGAGTTCTATTGAGTTCATATCCTTGTGATTGCTTTACAAGACTTCATTAATGAAGTTGTTGATGTGATCAAAAAGGGTGACCCCATTGACATCCGTGTGAGATTTCAAAACCTACGATAATTTGCTCATTAATATAATTATAATAAAATTTCATATCAGTTATTTAAATCATCAAAATAGGCATGCTTCAAAGCCTCTTCTGCTGTGATTCTTGCATAAGGATCATAAACAATCATCTTGGCAAGTAGATCTAATCCTAATGGACATAAATTTGTAATGTCCCTCCCCAAAGTAGCAGCTGGATTGGTAGGAGTTGGCCATCTTGGAAAAGTACTCTTGAAGTCAGGTAGAGTGCTGACTCCTGGCCAAGTGGACTCCTTTGGAGTTCCCATGATCTTAAATATCTTGAATAACTAATCAATCTCGGAGTCTCCACAAAATAGTGGTCGTTTCTAAGCCATCTCAGCAAATATACAACCCAAAGACCATATATCCACTGGAGTTGAGTACTATCTCTATCCCAAAAGAATTTCTGGGGCTCTGTACCATAATGTAATAACTTCATGGGTGTAGGTTTTAAGCGGAAGACCAAATGCTCTTGCCAATCCAAAATCTGCTATCTGAGTGTTTTACTACTTTATGTCCACCAAGATATTTTAAGGCTTTAAGTCTCTATGAATAACTCTATTTTAATGGCAATAATTTAGGGCTTATAACATTTAGTGAATAAATTTCTTCACTTGAACTCTATCTAACTAAGGCACGCTTTCCATGTACTTTTTTAAGTCTAAATCAACAAAGTCAAAGATTAAGTACAACCTTGACTCATCATAAACTACATCTTTCAGAGGAACAATATTTGGATGTTAGACCTGATATTTCTATGTATTCTTACTTCCTTCAATAAAGAAATCTCTCTAATGGCAGTTGACGGAACTCCTTCATCTTCATGATCCATTCTAATTTTCTTCAATGCCACTATCTCCCCTGTCTGATTATCTTTGGCCTTATAAACTAATCCGTAGGTTCCTTCTCCTATTTTCTCTAATTTCTAATATCTCTCTTCACTTTAAACGAAATCCATTAATAACTGCAATTCGTTAATTTTAATAATTATATTCTGCCCAAAGCTTTTAGGTTTATTTATTATTATAATTCCCTCAACAATTTGAATCTTCTCAACACTCGAAATAGTTTAGTATAATGATAAAAATATAATAAATTTGCTAAAATCATAGAACGTGAATTTGGTTTTTAGTTGTAGTTGTAGTCACAATGCTCTTCCTTGTCTACATCTTTTTGATTGCTTCGTTTTCAGCCTCTAACATAACAATTTTTTCATTAAGATCACTGTTTAATCCATTTAACTTTTTAAATTTTAGCTTCATCTCTTCGAGTTAATGCTCTTAATCATAACTTGTTGATTCGATTCTTGTCTCCTATTCCTGTAATTGCTAAAACAATTTCATTTTATCATTATAATCCTCATCCATTTATCTACAATAACAGAACTTTATACTTCAATTGTTATTCCAATTTTTCTATCTCACTCTCTATTTCATCGCATTATTAATTCACCTCATTTTAAGTAATCTAACCATTTTCAGTCTTTTGATATCCATTTAGTTTTCTATTCTGTATCTCCAAGGTCAATGCTACGTATTTTCTCTCCAAATCCAAAGCCAATTAACGCCAAGGTTCTTCAATTGATTCTATGTAAACAATCTAAATGGGCCTTGGCACTAAATGCTTTTCCATTATATTTGGAACCTGCTCATAATGTCTTATCAAAATATTTCCATTTAATGTAGTTCCTGTTTTTACAACAATTCCGTATTTCTCATTAGGGAGCATTTAATTTAACAAATAAAATTTATATATTTTTATTAATAAATTTTAAAATCAATGCTAATTCATATTTATGTGAATTAAATTACAACTTAAATCAATGCACCTTAAAAATCAATTATAGTAAATAATAATTATCCAATTTTTATTTGTATATATATATATATTTTTCCTTGAAGATTCTTTGTATATTGAATAAACTAAATGGCTTATAAAACGATTCCGATTTTCAATTACAATTCTCCTCAACTCCCAAAATCTTATATTAAAAATACGTAAGACGAATAATTATAACCCCTAATACAATTTATAATAATTAATGAATTGCTGCAAATAAACTCAAGGTCCAAGAAATAGCCTTTATAATAAAATCTTAGTATTTATTTATTTTGTTTATATAAAATCAGTTTCAGTTCGCTAACACTCATTATTATCTAGCTTATGCTTTCTCTGGGTTATTCTACAGCAAAAAGTTAGCAATGAATTCAATTGGATTTTGAGGTCTTAATAAATAGAAAAAATCTAACCTCACTTTTGCTACTTCAGTCATTGCCTACAATAGGAGGGGCACTACAGTTTAATCCAAGTAATTTCTAATTGGAAGGGCTTACAACTATTTCATTTTCTAGAAGAATAAAAGAGATAAAGTACTTCCTCTTCACTTGACATGTATTTATATTTGAAATTTAATTAATATCATTTGTTTAATAAAGATAATACTAAATATTACAATATAATTATATAAAAATAATGCGAAAAATGAGCAAATCATCTCATTAATTAAGGCATATTATGGAAACCTAAAAATATAATCGCATTGTCTTTTTCATTATTATGATGGTCTTTCATATTTTAAAATTATCCATATAGATAATTAATTTTGGATCAATATTCATTTGATAATTATTACAATATCATATCAGTTTTATTTTCATTAAATCTGTTTGATATAGAATTTTATAAACTCATTATCTAAAACCATATTTAATTTTTAGTTGAGTCAAAAAGTCCACTTATTAGTTTAAATTTTCAGAGTGTAATGAATTTTTCATTTTGAATATTAATGAATTAAGTTGCTTATCTCCATTTTTATTTTGATCAATTATTTAATGATCCTATCATATTTTTCAATCGTACGAGTAGAATTTAGATAGAAAATAAATAATATTTTTAGTTTAAGTATAGAAGACGTACCTATGTATAAAAAACCATATATCAGAATAAATATTTTATCATAATTAATTAAAGAACTTCATTCAATCTCTTAATGGGTATTGAACTTATTTATTTCTTCAATTAGTTCTTCTATTAGCCACGATTAGGATTCAGATATCGCTTTAATTGAAGAAAGCTATTCTTCTACTTCCACTGGATCATTCTGTATTATTTCTATAATATATTATTCATCTTCTCTTTTTGCTTTGTGCTTAGTTCTTTTTTATTTAATGCCTTTTTCAGAATGATTTTAGATATATTTTTCGCCCACCTCGCTCACAATCACCTTACGAATTTTATTGCATAATTGTTCTATTGAGTTGGATGATTCTTCTTGATTTTAAGATGAAACCTTCCTTTTTGATAGCATTCTCTCTGATAATAATTACAAATTTAATAAATTACAATATATTATTAACTTAATCTAACATAATTAAAAGAAAAAATAATTTATAATTAAATTGAATTACAGAAGAACAGAGCTCAATACATCTTTAACACTTTTGAATAAGAATTCAAAATATCAACAACAATTTATGAAAATTGAACATCTTCCCTGCAAATCTTAATTCCTTGACTTTCTGGGAATTTCAGCAATGCCTCATTCAATTCTTGTATTTTTTCGCTATTTAATACACATAAATTATTACATTAAGTAAGATTTTTATTAGCATTTTTTTAAGTCAATCAATTACAAAATCTGCCAGAACACCATCTTAATTAAGTGAACTTACTTGTTTTCAATTAAATTTTTTGTTAATTCTTTGATATTGAGGTTTGATAAAGCTTGATTGATTTCATTTAGATTAACTTATTCTTATCTCATAGATTATTGAGTCTATTAAAATATTTCTATCAAATAGAATCGATAAAAATATGTAAACTATCTACAATCTTTGGCACAACTCTTAATTCTTGAATGTAGGGTTTCCAAGTTCCTTACTTACAATTGTCTCTTTTCGATTTAGGACCCTAATTTAATCACGCAGTATTAGTTAACAATAACACAACTTAATATATATACAAGCTGTGTCTCATGATATAGATAAATGGCTGTTTCTAACAGGGTTTCCGTATATTGATTTAGTATTTGTTTCAAATAGATGCTCATTTCATCTAATTTTAAAATCAAGACAGTATGACAATCATTAATTTAATTCATGGTAGAAGATTTCTCTAATTATTATTAAAATTCTTTTAATGAATTGTGTAAGCTCTTTTCAAAGAATAAATGAACCATCTCATTTGTAATATTTAGTAAACCCTCTTTACCAAAAATGACTTCTAGATTTTCTCTAAAGTTTTTGTCCATCAACACTTATGTAACATGATTGGTTTTTTATAATAGGTTTGCAATAGCTTCAACATTATAAGTGCTAACACTCATTAGTAAACAAGAAACAAGAGGCAGCTTATTTTAAGTGTAATTAACAAGGTTATCAATGATATTTTTCTTTTGTTCTTCAGCTGTTGCATTCTTTTGTATTTTCATTTTCAATGCTGTAAGAACTGTGTCTAAGATAAAATACTCCACTTATGAAAGACATTGATTTTAGTACTTGTATAGCTCACTCAAAATGTAATCATACCTTTGCAATATAATGTTGATTCTCAGACTTACTGTGGATTAAGGTATATTTTCATGGAGATCTATAAGTTTCCAATGAAAGAAAGCCTTTTTTGATTCTTGATCAGACCTTTCATATACCACAAATTCATCAGAACAATGAGTTGTTTTCAATGTAAACCATATGTAAAAGTCTCTGTCTTTTTGAAATTAGGTTTATTCAAATACATCGTAAGCATCACTAACATCTAAGAGCAACCAATAACATTGTTGCAATAAGATATCACAATATTGTTGTCTTGATTTCTCTTCTACATCATTTTGATTGAGAATTTCTTGCTTTTGTAAATCGAAAAAACTTAAAAATTACTAAGCTATTCTTTAATCACTTGATATCAATCCAGAAAGTATCTTTTATGCTTCATTAATCTTCCCACACCTCATCAATATAAAGAGGATTCCAGTTGGGAAAAACTGTCCGATTTAATACAATTCAGTAGTTTATAGATAAGGAAGGTAGAACTCTTTGAATTTTCGATTTAAATTCTATAAATCTAAGTGACCAATTTATTTAAGCATGTCATTTTCTAAATGTGTGACTGTATTTCGAATAATTCTCTCACTATTTTTTAATTGAATTTGAGTACCATTTTTGTTATTAATTTAATGTATTTGATATATTCTTAAATTAATCTGCTAACAATCTCATCTCCACATTGTGAGTAGTTTCAAAAAGCTCCAATGTTCTAAAAAGTTTCTCGTAGATTGATAAATCATTCTTATTTTTGATAAAATTCAAGAGTGCTTAATATAAATGGTTTTCGGTAAACAATTTTGACAAAATTACTTCACTATATTAATTTAGTTAAATTTCATGTGACACTAATTTTTCAGTTCTATTTGAAGAAGTGAGGATGTCTATTAGTTTTTCCTTTTGTCTTGCCGTTGTCTTTAGTTCAGTCTTATAAAAGGAATTGTAAATCTAATTTGTTTATTTGAAGTATTATACTTATTTATTTTTTTAGAACTCTTGTTAAATCGATGAAAAATTTCTGAAATTATCAATTTATATGCTCGAATGATATTACTCCTATTTTTTTTTCATTTCTTGGTTAATTCTATCTCCTAATCTTTTAATGTGGTCACTCAGATAATCGACATTGCTTTAATTTAGATGAGATTTTTTGAAGAGGGAATCCACCTTTAATCCAATATCCTCAATCATAAAGTCTAACTAGAGTTTATAAATTACTTTAGGTTTTTTTAAGCTTAATTGGCATATTAAAAATGTTAGAGATTCTTTTTCTAAGATGATCTGTCTATTATGCAATTATGGCTAGATCTTATTCCTACGCTTATTTGTTTTACTATGTCTGTTGTTTATTTTGAGCAATTTATTTCAAAACTTAAGAAGTAGGCATATTACCATTTTAAGTGCCCCCAATTCCCGCATTCAACCCATTACTATTTATTTGCATATTTTATTTTAAATTAATCAAATAATTTATTCACTTATTTTATTTTCTAGACCAACGTATGATTAAGTTAAAATTTTATAATCCCTTCATTTATGAATACAAATTTAAAAAGATTCAAGATTTAATTGAGCAATCACATCCTTATGTGATATATTGAAAATCCTTCCATTTTTCAATACATAAATATAATTGGTATTTTCTTCCATTTATATTATCCTAAAAGCTTATATAAGCATAAAGAAAGGAGAAATATAATTAGAAAACTTATCAAATAGGTGATATAATAATAGAATGAAAAATGCCATTTATTTGTGTATTATTATGCTTTGAAGATTATAGGCATATTTTTGCTAATAAATTTAGTCTGAGTCATTAAGAAATGTATTTGAAGGATGTGTTTAATGATTTTTTATATAATCAGCATCAAATATATGCGATGATTCCATTAATTTCTTTACAGTTTTTCACTTTAGCTTTTATTCTCAATCTAAGAGATGATTAAATCAAATTTACTTTTCAGAGGAAGTGACATCCTTTCCTTATACTGTGACTTTGCAAAATTCTCCTTATTCACTCAATTTTTCTGGATTTGCACAAACATTTGGGATTTTAGTTTCTTTGGAATCAGGATACTCAGCGTTGATTCTTGGATCTTTTTATTAGACAAAGTATCTGACTCTTGAAAATTAGAATACTTATCTAATTGTCTTAACAATATTCATAATTAAATTAATACAAATTATGTAATTATCACTTAGTTGAGTTAATTATTTTTATTACAAAAATGATTGCAATTATGTAAACCCCAAGTACTGTACCATCAACTAGATAAAGTAAAACAGTAACTTGTTGATTTCACCTTGATTAGCCTGGAGAATACGATCACTTCAGAAGAATATTAAAAACTAGATAGAGATTTCCATCAAGTGCAGATTGCAAATTCAGGAAATCTGTAAGCAGTCCATTAAAAAAATAAAGTGCTAACTAACCCACAGAGAAGCGAGCTCTTCTTACTTTGTAGGATAGACCTAAAACTTAAACAGATTTACCAGAGAGACCTCCTGAATATTACAACTTATTCAACCTGCCATATAAAAACTACAAATATTAAAAGCCTCCTGGGTAAATCAATGTAGCAGAGTACCTTGAGGGAACATATAAATTAGGGAAAACCATAGGGATATGGGATAAAAATACATTGCACAAAAAATTAAATGTGAACAAGTATTAGATGATTAGATGAAATTAGTCTTTAGATTAAAAGAAGCAATTATACATCGGATCATCTCATAAAGGCAAGAAAGCCATAAGGTCCATCAAGTTGTTTGGAAACTATTTACATAGCTAAATTGCAATTAGACAATGAGCAAACCTAGGAAGGACTAATTAAAATGAAGGCTATGGAAGACAATCTAAAATAGGATATTCAAAGGTATCTTGTTGAAGGATCATCGACTCAACTTTAAATAAAATTTCCATCATAATCATACATTTTGAATAGATGGACTAGACAATCAATAGGTTAAGAGCCACCTCAATGCTCAAAATGTGAATTGATTCCTAAATTCTCTTTTCAAAAAAACCAAGTTAGCAATAGTGTAGAATCACTGAGGAGATCTATGATATAATTTCAATCTCAGGAGACTTCTTCATAAATTACAGAATTGCCACAGTCAATGAAATTTTATAAATTTGAGTAAAGCTTTACTATTGATAGTGCAGTCCAAAAATTAACTCATTTTGGCATCTCTACAAAACTAAAGGAATGACTATTGAATCTCTGAAGGATGGCTTTTAGATCTTAAAGAAGCCAATCATAGGTGATAGACTATTATTAAGTTTTGATTTAACTCCTATTAATAATGAGGAAAGGGTATCATACAAATAATTCTGCTATTTTGTGAGAGTGTTCATATACAAGAAGGCCAGTTTAAAGGAGAGGATAGACAGTGTGCTTAATGTAGGTGAATCAAATAATAATAATAGTTCTATGATCCAGAGCGATAATAAAGAGTGACAAACAGAGAGTTTTGTAATATCAATAGGATACTTTGTGAATAGTTTATGGAGAAACATCCAACAGTGAAACCAATCTATCAAGAGCTAATATAAAATTTTAAACTGTCGAAAGTAATAAGTGATGAAAATGATGCTTATTTTGATTAAAAAGCATTTAAGCATGTTTTCATTTCGAATTAGATGCACATCTAGGATATTATAGAATTGATTAGTGATGAGTGATTAATTAATAAATAAATTAAATTTTATAAACATGATGAAAGTATTATTCAATAATATTGTAGATAGAAGAAGTGAAATCAACAACCAAAACCTAGAGAATTGCACATCACAGTCATATCAAAGGATTGGGTTTGTAAGAAGATGGAACTGCATTAGAAAATGCATCTGGCATGGTAGGATAATAAATAGCAAGAGAGGTATTTAAAGTAAATAAGTTATGAAAAGGCAGCAGGAATATTTGTCGATTTGGTTAAATCCAAAAAACTTGCAGGAAGAGCATTATTAATGGCAGGACCACCAGGAACTGGAAAAACCGCCATAGCCTTGGCAGTGGCCTAAGAATTGGGATCTAAAGTTCCATTTTATCCAATGGTTGGGTCTGAAGTTTATTCAGCTGAAGTTAAGAAGACAGAAGTGCTTATGGAGAATTTCAGAAGAGCTATTGGATTAAGAATTAAGGAAACCAAAGAAGTTTGGGAAGGAGAAGTTATTGAATTAAAAACAGAAGAAAAGGATGATCAAACAGGGTATGGATATAATCTATAAATTAGATATGGAAAAGTAGTATCAGCAGTAGTAATTACATTGAAAACATCTAAAGGATCTAAAACACTAAAATTAGACCCATCTATTCATGAAAATTTAACTAGAGAGAAAGTTACTATTGGCGATGTCATTTATATTGAAGCTAATAGTGGAAATGTCAAAAGAGTAGGAAGATGTGATGTTTACAATAGCGAATACGATTTGGAAGCTGAAGAATATGTTCCATTGCCTAAGGGTGATGTTCATAAAAAGAAGGAGATTGTCCAAGATGTCACTTTACATGACTTGGATGTGGCTAATGCAAAAAACCCTAAGGAGGTCATGATTTCGTTTCTCTTATGAATTAATTGAATAAAAAGAAGAAAACAGATATCACAGACAAATTGAGAGGAGAAATCAATAAAGTAGTCAGCAAATACATTGACTAAGGAGTTGCAGAATTAGTACCAGGAGTATTATTTATTGATGAATGTCATATGCTTGATATAGAAGCATTTACATTTTTAAATAGAGCCTTAGAATCTACTCTAGCTCCTATTGTCATATTGGCTACTAATAGAGGTTACTCTTAAATTAGAGGTACTGATATCAATAGTCCTCATGGATTACCAGTCGATCTCTTGGATAGGTATTTCAATGTTGTAATATACTTAGATTGTTGATCATAAGAACTACTCCATATAACTTAGAAGATATCATTAAAATATTGGCAATCAGAGCCTAAACTGAGGGACTTAAGATAACAGAAGAAGCATTACAAGACTTGAGTAGCATTGGTAATCAATCATCTTTAAGGTATACAATAATTATATTGCCTTAGATTTGCTATCCTATTGCTAACACCTGCCAATATTTTAGCTTAAACTTCTGGAAGAGAGGAAATTGCCATATAAGATATATAGGAAGTTCATGAGCTTTTTTTACATGCAAAATAAAGTGCTAAAGTTTTAGAATAATAAGCAGACAAATATATTAGTTGAGTTTTATTTTGAAAATTGTATAAGTAATTTGTATATAATTCGAATTCCTCTTTTATTAACAGATTATTGTTGATTATATTTTTAAAATTAGGAGATATAACTTAAATAATTTATTATTCATTTTATGAATACTGCCAAATTTCACAATCGAAGTTTGTCTTACTCTAAATTAAAAAGTACCAATAGAATAATTAATGGTTAATTCAGTGAACCAAATCAATTAAGTTCCAGCATTTTGTAATAAACACATGAGCAACATTCATTTCCAAAAGCGAAAAGATTTCCATCAGTTTCAAGAGAATCAACACCTAAAATGCTTTTGTTAAGTGATACAAAAACAAAAAGGTCCACATCCTTTGGATTTGGTACAAAGCTTATTAAACCTTTGGACTTGGAAAGGAGAGATCGATTAAATCCTGCTCCTGGAGACTATTAAGTAAAGGTCTTATAGAGTACAAAATCATTTTCTTTCGGAAATAAATTAGCTAAAATTGATCGCTAAGAAGTGCCTGGTCCAGGATAATATCAATTTAAACTATTATCAAAAACTCCTTAATTTAGCATATATGGAAAGATAATGTATCATTATATAAATATGCTTAGTGAAAAGCAAGTATTGCCCAAGTAATAGGCCTCCTTTGTTACCTATAACCCAAAAGAGGCTTTGACTTTGAATTAACGGTTTAATAAGATTTCCTTTGGAATAGGAGAGAGACCAAAACAAACTTTCAATGAATAAATTCCTGGACCAGGATCTTATCAATGCAAATCCTTATTCGATTTGATTTGTGAAAGGAGAAATTAAAAAGGCTCGCCTTGAGATCTCACTAATTTTGATTCTTATAATTTTTCCCTTAAAAAATTTATACCCAAACATGTATATATAATTCACAAATATTTATTTAATCCATTCTATTCAACTTAACTCAAGTACTCGCTTTTGATACTCACTCCTATTTATCCTATTGCACTCTAATTTCCATTATAAAGCACACAATTATCAAAGACTAATAACATGTCTGCATGAAATTCTCTAAAGTTTTTATATGCATTCACATTTAATTTATTCTATTTATTTGATATATAATTACTTTAATAGTTCCAAAATCCATTGGTTTTTTTACAATTTCAAAGTAATCGGTAATATGAAATTCCTTTTGATCCACTGGTTTATGGAAAAAGTAGGCTCCTTTTGCTTTCCAAATTTATGCTGTTAATTCATAAATACAAAATTATACCTATTATTTTTTTGGCCTACTTTTCCCAAGTTTCGTCTTCCTTGCATTAATTTATCATATTTTCATCAATAAAATCATCTGCATTTAAAATAAGAGATGCAATTTCAGGATATTAAATTGAAAATTGTTAAAAGTCTTCATTTGTCAATTCTCTTTGTTATCCTTTGTCATCAGTATGCAATATTTTATATTGCTATTTTGGAACTTCCTTTTACTTTTTTTTATTCTATTTTTATTCCCCTCCTTTAACACTCTCCTCTTTCTTTTAATGGACATCCTCCTTTTACTTTTGCATACTAGCAGTAATCAAATCAATAACTTCTTTTTTCTAGGATTGTTTAGCAAAATACAGCGCTGTTTTCTTTTTATTATCTTAATGATTAACAGGACATCCCGCCTAAATTAAATATCTATTTTTACCTCTATCAATAATTTACAAGCCTCATAATGTCCTTTGCTTGCTGCATAAAACAAGGCTGTCTAACAAGATAAAGTATCTAAGTGTGCTATATCGCCGCCCAATTTAATAAATCTAAATGGTTGATTGCAATGATTACCTTGAAATAATGTCAATTCTATTTTCTCTTGAAGCATAAAATAATGGAGTTTATCCGTAGGAATCAGTATCAGAAATGTTGATTCCTTGAGACACTAAAAAATCAAATAGTTTTGTCCTTCCATCTCTGCAAATATAAAAAAGGATGGATTATTTTAGGTTGTCTTTATAGTTTATGTTTGCTCCTAATTCACACAAGTACTTCAATAATTGCAATGAAATATCTTCATCTGAACCTACTATTGCAATAAATGTTGAAATTTATCGAGTCTATGGATCAATTCGATTCACCAGATCAATATCCTTTTGATACGTAGCTAAGTTAGATAAAATCAATGCGCATACTTAATATTTGCCTAACCTTTTCTATGTTCTAAAAATGCAAGGCTTATCGAAATTCTGCATATATTGCATAAATTTATTCGGATGTGAGCTTTTATGTTGGGATTTCTTATTCTATGGGTTAGAGCAATTATTGAAACTAATTAATGTCTATTTAGTTAATGCTGATACCTATTTCGGAGGTGATCTGTGAGACAATTGAATTAATCTAAGACTGAGTATAATTTAAACTTTGCAAAATAGTAACTACTTGATCCGAATTTACCCTCTCATTTATAGCAGCCATTTTAAATCTGGTGAGGGCTGTTTGCAGGAAATTTTAATGATTCATATTCAATAAATTTAATAATGAATGAAATTCCTCCAATAATTAACTTATATTATTGAATTATATATGTTAGTAATATTATAATTTTAATTCGTAATTATTTTTATATTTGAATTAAATTCAATTGAATTAAAGAATATCAAATATATATTTATTTTCCAATAAATCAAACATATCAATGTTTTTTTGCATATTTCAATGTGAAGTCTCTAGCTTTCATTAGTGCTTGGGCTTCATTTGCTTTCCATAAATTGGCTGCTTCATTGTTTAATGGATCATCCTTAAGTTATAGAAAATTAAATTACAGGATTGGGTGAGCTCAGTAACACCTGAATTGATAGCAAAATTGATCTTATTTAAAGTGCAGGAGACCACTTGTCTTTTAACACATCCAAACAAATTCTTCCTAGATTATCAATATTTGGATGATAGATCTTTGTATTGAATACACATTTTGGTGGGGACTAACGATGTAAGTAATAAAGGTACCATTGGATAATCATCCGGTAATAGCAACTCAACGTCAAAAACTCCACCTTCATATGGAGTATTGGGAGGCCCTGAAATTATAACGAAAAAATGTTTGAAATTTGCAGGATTAGGAGTCACTTCAATACCTTAAACCTTGTCCTTTGCTAAGTTTTATGTCTCTTTTATGATTCTTGGAGTTGGCTATGCCATTTGTTTTAGAAATTAGATATAAAATTTAATTTTTAATGATTATTATTATGATTGATAACATTTCTATATCAATATTCTTTCATATCAAATGGAAGAGAAATTGCCAATAACTCTATTGTTAATGATGCGATAATTTATTATTTTGATGTTAACTTCAATCATAGAATTTCTATTGTTTATGGAGTGTCAAGAATTTAGATTTTTGATGCTTAAAATATATATTTTATCAGACTCAAATCAAAATATAGGAAGCATACTTTCTAAAAAAAATTTTGATTTTTACTTAGTATTCTTTTTAACATTAATTAGTTTATAATTTACTTGATTTAAATGAAAGTTAATATTTTCTATAAATAAAAAGTTCTTTTGAAAAAACTGAATGTTTATTTATAAATGTTGGATATCAAATTTAAATAAGAAATAAATTTATTTACACATACATATGTTTAATAGTTCACCTTTAAGTTAAAAAGCTTAGTACAGTATCGCACAATCTAAGATAACACAAGATGTGAGTTCCAAATGTTAGCAACCCACAGCTTTTCCCAATTAATCACAATTAACCTTGTCATAATAATAGGTACAGTAATTTTTTACTAGGTAAAATAGACTTAAACTTTGTAAGTTTAAAGTACAGCTTCTTAACAAGGGATAGTTGCTTAGTAGTCATTCCAGTCAATCAGATCAGTGAGAGTTAATCAAGTGTCGATTAGATCAACTGATCACCAAGTACTAATGCATTCAATATTTTAGGTTGAATCCCAAGCCTGTGTGGGCAATATAATTGCACCTCTACCACAAGAGTCTTAGCAGCAATCCACTTAGATTAGAATGGAGGGTTCAAAGTCATTAAGAAATTACGTCACTTCCTCCCCTCAAGCCCCTTAATCATATAAATCTAATAATAGTTTTCCTCTTTCAAAACCTTCCTTCGTTGAGTACTACCCTCCAGTCTATGTCCCTCACTTAGAGCCTAGATATGCCTAAACAATAATCACTAATCCGATTCAAGTGGTTGACGTAATAAAGTTTGAAGAAATTTGGAGTAAAAGAATGGAAGTACTCGAATAATTGTTGGAGTAAAGAAGTTAAGTGATTGTCGAAAACCAAAACTATGAATTAAGGGCATCAAACAGTGATGATAGACAGACTATTACAGACCTCTAAACTGAACTCTTTAGTGTAAAAACTTAATTGGAAGATAGAGAGGCAGTAATTACTTTACTGAAACAACAATTATAAAATGCCACAGAATAAGCTGAGTTTGCAAACAGTATAATTAAAAAATATAAATTTTAGAGCAACACAGGAGTACTTCCAATATTTTGACATAAGAAATGCAGATTAAAATTACAACTCTATAATAAACCATTGATAAATTATAATTAAACTTGATATCAGTTTAACAAATGGTAGAGACATATAAATAAGAAAATTTGTTATTACAATGTGAACTCAAAAGACAACAAGCAACTGTAAATGAAAAAGAGGAAATCATAATTAAATTATAATAATAATTAAAATTGACTCTTGATTAGTATAATTTAGATGCATGTAATTATTTAATTTATTTTAGAATCGAACAAGAATGTTTCTTAATAAAAAATATCTGAGTTCTAAATTAAGTTGACCTCCCTTGAGTAAACAATAGCAAGTCTACAATCAAATTTGAACTCTAAAGATAACTAGCTTGAAAAACTGAGAATTTAAATCAATCAACTTTAAATTGAAAAATAACAAATTCATGAATTATGCAATCAGAAGGATGAGACAATATCTAATTTGTAAACCGAATTAAATGAACTCTATTAATAAGTAGATTAAATGAGTGAAGAAATCACAACAACTTAGTCTATCAAAACCTTTGAGGAAGAAGCTAAAATGTGGAAATAAAAGTTTAAGGAATTAAATGATACTTATCATGCTTGTTAAGAAAAATTAATGGTTAGAGATGCAGAGTATGAATCGTTAGTTAAACAACAAAGTCAATAAAAGATCGTAACTTTAAGCACAGTGATAAAGTAAAATAGTTCACGATCTGTTTTACATGTAATTAATTTATTATATTAAAGAACTCTGACTATAGATCAAGCAGTATGATATAGAATGAGGTTGATAAAACTTAAACCATTCAAAAATCCCTTAGGATGTGAGATTGATTAATGTTAAACATAGATGTTATATTTTATAAATTGTATAGAAAAATCATTTTTTATTCTTCTTAGTTGATGCAAAATCTATTGAAATAATGGAATTTATTACTTTATCCCTCAACATCTTTGAGGGCTAGTTTAGCCATTTCATGAAATTCAGTATAGTTTAGAAACTTCTAAAAGTCCTATCCTTCTTCATTTCCCTAAGAAGGTAACACTGATGATTAATTTAATTATTATTTTGATTTGAATTCTTTTGTGGGTATTTCTTCCAATAGTAATCCAGTTATAAATTTGTTTTAATTTAATCCATCTCTTCTAATTTTATTCGATTTATATAAGACCAACATGTTTATATAGCCTTCCAATTCAGCTAATAATATAATCAAGAAAATTCACCTAAATACTGATCAATATTAGATTCATTTAATTAAAATCCACCTTAAAACGTATAAACTCTAGTATGATCTTGATTAAACTTAGTTTTAATCATTTTATTTAAAATGCTCTCTATGATAGGTTAGATCTAAGATAACTTATTACTAAATTAGTCAATCTCATTTTATCTATTCATGATATTGGGTAGTTTTACTTTTAATCAATAATCCTTTAGATGTATTTTCTTTTTCTTTCACCATCTGGAGTTGCTTTTAAAATTCTATCTCTCTCTTGATTTTCTTTTTCCTATATTTCACATTTTTCCTTTAGCTCTTAATTAGTATCTTCCAGAGCATCTATTTCTTAATTTAGCACATCAACGTATGTCCATAATGAATAGTTCTATTCTTCACTTTTTATAAAGTTATTTTTGATTTCTTCGATATCAGTTAATCCAGTTGCTTCTTTTATTTGATTAAATGCTTCATCTACAATTCTCATGTTTCTTTAATATGTATCAATCATTTTAACTTTTTCTTTGTTGTTGGCAATAATTCTTTATAATCTTCTTTTTAATAAGGTTCCAGTATCAAAAGTAGAATAATTAGTAGCTTTGAGTCTATTGTTTTTTGATATTTTGTCTTTTTCGTTTTATTTCTCTTATTTCTCTTTCAATTCAGCCTTTAGTTTATCAAATTTTTCTTAAAATTCACTTTTATCAATTTCATTCTTGGTTTTCAAATCGAACATTTGTTATTAGGTAATTTCTAACAATATTTCTAATTATTACAAGCATCATGAACCTTTCTTTGAGCCTACGATTAAGTTGATATCAATCTGCTATGAATTTACTCATGATTCGACTCGATTTCCTTCATTGCTTACAACAATTAATTGCGTTCTTTTCTGATTATATCAATATTGGATTTCATAATTTCAATGTTCGCCACAGATTTACACAATTTTTTATCAAACTATATTGAGATTATGGAATTACTTAATCAATTTAAAATTGTAGACTCTTTGATTCTGCCTAATCTTTATTCAAAACCTTTTTAATGGAATCCATTTTCAATTTCTTGACTGATTATACCTTATTTTTCACTTCCTCCTGTAACTATCGATGTTATTGTTCTAAATTGAAGAGCTTTCTAAAATAATATATCTGTTAAATGAAACCTTCTTTCAATTTCCACTTTCCTGGTGTAATTGTCGATCTCTCTTTATAATGTAATAATGATTGGTTCATTTAACTATCCTTGTTTACCATGAGAAAAGGATCGGTTTGATACTTTACTTGAACGAGGCATATGTTTAAATAAATAATTGAAAATTTATATATTATATTTTTGAACTTGAGATTGTTAAGATATCATTATTATAGTTTAATAATTAATGATGATTACGTATAATTCACAACAACATTAAATCATAAATAACAAAAAAATAATATTTATGTCTGATCTCTCAATTATATGGACCTTAGAAAATCTTACTTCTCTTTTCATTATGGAATATAACCACATGTGTATGTTCAAAAATAAATCTATAAGGTTATCAGAATGGCAGATTTGAGATTTTATTAAATATATTTATTTACAATGAACTCTTTACTAAAAGCAGAATAACCATATTTGGATCAGCAACGCAAATCTACAATCAGTCCAGAGATACGAAATAATATCTAAAGCACTCTCCATAGAAGGATAAATCATTCTTAAGTGGATTTAATAACTCCTATTACAGTTAAACAAAATCACAAAAAGTAGGCTATAACGCAAGGTTTGCAATAGTTGTTAAAATCAAGTCCCTATTCAAAATTGGTTCAATAAAAATCTTAATAATAACTCTAAATCTTAGATAGCTTCTCTTAACAATATTTGAACGGATATGCTCCTACACCCAATTAATTATCATCGCAAATACTTTTCAAGCCCGACATCCGCACTCCGTCCTTAAATTCCACTACATCAAGCAGCATTAAGCCAAGGATCAGAAACAACACAAAAGAGCTATTGCAAAAGAAATCGTTTGATTCTATTACTGCTACTTCCAACAGAGAAAAAGAGAGATAAACCATTTCCCAATTATAAAATATCATTCAAAGATCCTCAATAATATTAAAATCCTACAAGGACGAATTGCAAAGGCATATAAATGAAAAGTAGGACTTAATCAAATAAATTTAATTATTAGAACAAATTAAAATTAAGCAATGATTATAATATTTAATACTTATATATTCGAAGCAAATTTTATCAGGTATCATTGCAACACTCGTTGAATAGACTCAAGAACCCTCAGTAATGATTTTGTACTCGCATATTAATGTGTTTCTTGTGTATAGATACCTCTATTTCTCTGTGAATATTATATGTTCTAATGAATTTAAGATGAATTTACAACTTAATTCTTGGATTTTCTTTTTCTTATGTATGTAAGAATATGTTTTGTTATGATTTCAATAATTTGATTGTTCTAGTTAATGAATCTTAAATTACACTGATTTATACAATTTATATTCTGAATATAAAATAAAATTAAGGTAAATAAAAATTAATAATTTAATATCTAATGTTGAATTAATAAAGACTTGATCAATAAGAGACTATAAGAAATGAGTATTAATAGACAAGACCTATTTCTTAGTAGTTTGTATACACAAGTGGAGTATAACAAGTAAAATAGGACTAATTAATCATCGTAGGTTCCTTTTGTTGGTCAGCAAGTGTAGCAAGAAGAATTTGTATTTGACGGAAGAAATTAAGCATTTAATCAATAAGGAGTTCAATTCCCCAATAACTTTGTAACAGCATAAGTCACAAACTATCCCAGCATTAATGTAATATTAATCTATTAAAATGTTAGCCTTGCAATCCTTGTTAGGCATCACCATTACATATGCAAATCGTAGTTGTAAATAGAGAAGAAATAGAGGCTCCATGGAGATTGGAGTGCGAGTATCTTTAATCAGTTATCACTGAACTTGAAGCCAGACAATTAGAAACAAAGATCGTTGAGAAAGTAATTGAAAAGGAGAAGATTGTTAAGGATACTGAATCCATTTCTTAATTAGAGAATGAATTGAATAGATTGAGATTAAGTAACCAATAGGAAGTAAGCGATTTGAGAAGACAAATTTCTGAATTGTAGATGTAAAATGCAAATTTGAATAATTAATTAAAATAAAAGGATTAAGAACTATTACTCATTAAGACAAGTTCAAGTTCAAGCGAATCAAGATATAAGCAACTTGAAAATGAACTGTAAAATTGGAAGAATCAATGCAGAAGCAAAGATTAAGAATTGGCTATGTTAAGAGATTAAGTTTAGGATTTGTAAGATGCAAATAGTAAATTACAAATGGAATTGAGTTCATTGAGGTTGATCATATAATAAAAGGATAATGAATTAGAAAAATATCGAGTTACATCACTTGAATTGAGATCAGCAGCTAATGAGAGTAGGGATGCTTAATCAAGAATTAGGGAATTGGAAATGGAAGTTAATAATTTGAAGGGTTTGCTATATTAGAGAACTACTGAATGTGAAGACTTGAGAAATCAATTAGCTCTTAATGACAAAGAATATAGTTCTAAAATTAATCAATATAGATTCTAAATTAGTGATTTGGAGTAAGAAATTTTGAGATTGAAAACAGAAATTGAAAAATTAAGACAATTGTTAGCCAATAGGGATCATGAAATAGATGATTTGCATTTAAGAATCTAATATTTGGAAGAATAAGGAACCACTGTTGTCTAAGAGAAGGTGACTTTCTTAAGTTCTGAAATTGAAGTTTGGAAATAGAAATTCATCAAGATTAATCATGATTATAATGAATGTTAGGAACAATTGATGATGGCTTAAGCAGAATTAGAAGCTCTTTAGAAGCAATAAAAGAAGGTATCATTTAATATTTATTTTAATTAGGAAGTAGTTGTGGAAAAGAGAACTGTAACAAGATCAACCGTTGGTAGCAGCAGTATTCAAAAATAATATTGATAATGAATCATACAATATATAATAATAAACAATAACAATATCTTCTCATTCTGTATCTAATAATCACATATATATTTAAAAGTCTGGAAAGATGAAATTATTTATTTAATATTTCATAAAATATATTAATCATTATTGAATTCATAATGATTCTAATGCACTTTTTGCTTAGTATTTAACCTCTGCATCTTAATCATCACAAAGAGATTATAAAACTTTTTTCAATGGCTCTACAACATTTCCCCCTTTCTCTTTTGCTAATAAGATAGCTGTCTTGCAAACATTGCTTCTGACATTGGCAACCGAATCCTTTGACATTTATTATAAAAGAGGGAGAATTGTTTTCAATATGTAATCATTGTTCAATGAAGATGCTATTTGCTAATCAACAATAAATCAATAATTTTACAGTTATTGTAAATAGCACTGTGAGTCTTTGAAGATAATTTTGGATAGATTAAAATCCCCAAATTTTAGTTAACAAATTTCTATCAGCCCATGCAATACCAAGGATTTAGATCAATTAAGCAGTTTATTGAATTGCTGTTTATCTAACAGAATACACTTTATCACCAAGCCAATCTAAGAGTAATTTTAGAACTTTATCCGATAAGAATTCTGGGCCTATTGCTCTGGCAAAGAAACTTAGAACTTCTATTGTAGATGCTCGAATTCTCCAATTCTTATCTTAAGCTAATTCTGTTAGAGCTGGAATCACACTTTAAGACAAGGAATCAACTCCTAGTACACTTGTGAGAAGACTTAACTTTTTGAATAAAGTAATTCTAACATCCGAATCTTGATCTTTTAGTAAGGTTAAGAAGATTGGCAAAATTTACTCGCTTGTATTTTTCTTACCAATAATTGGTGACAAAGACAAGACAGAAGATGCTAAGGAATCTAAAGTACATTATAAGTAACTTTATACTTCTAACAAAGGAGTTTGAATCTGATTGAATTGATTTCAAAAGTGGAATTAATTTATTCATAATTTCCTCTGCATCCATTAAAGAACTTAACTTTTCTATTTTCAATGCTGCAATAGATTTCATCTCAGGCTCACTGTCCTACAGAAACTTCAGATGGTAATTTTAAAAGTTTTTTCGATAACTGTCTTTACCCACTGATTCTCCAATCTAATATTTATTTATTCCTGTATACTTCAGCCAGTTTATCACAAAAATAATATCTCACTCTCCAGGATTGATCTTCTGCCAATTATTTGAACATATTTAGAACAAAGTTTTATTGTTTCTAAAAAAATGCAGTTTTACTCGAGGCAATCAAGGCATCAACTATATACATTCTAATAAAATCTTATTCGTCTTTAATGAATGAATTTAATGTATTTTAAATGAAGGTTTCATTTACTATTGGAAAATGTTTCACTAAATCCTGCAATTATGTAACGAAATACTTAAAAATACATTGATGAAAATTTTCTAACTTAAGGAATTTGGTCTTAGGAAATTTTTAGTATGATGTTAATCAAATCATTCTAGTTGTTTTGAGAGACTTAATTAAGAATTGCTGGCACCAATATCACAACTGCATTCTTGGCCAAATAATAATCGCTATCATTCAATCTTTTTATAATCCCCATTGACAATTCCTCAATCTTCTTTTGGTCAGGCAACAAAGCAAAACATTTCTTCAATTGATTAGCAGCCTCGATATAAAGCATTCATTACTTTCTCCCTTACTGAAGCATCTTCCACTCTACATAATGCTTCGAAAGTAGGTAGTAAAACTTATGCCTATCCACCAACTAGCTCAATGAAATTTCTAGATAAAGATTCAACCAACTCAATCAAAACCTCATCGTCATCATCAAGTAATTCTAAATGATATTTCAGCATACCTTATATGAAAGGGATTAATTCACTTTTCGTTCTCTCTGGACCTATAGTACTGGCAATCAAATCTAAATGCTTGACTGAATGAATTCTTTTTCTGATATCATCACTTTTTAATTCATCTATAATCAAATTTATAGGCATTCCTGTAGTATTTTCAATTTTTGGCATTTTATTAATTAAATTATAATTATTGATTGTGCAGGATTTATTTAAATATTGACTAGGACTATTAGAAAACGTTTCAATTAATCTTAAACTACCTACTGCCATCCATTAATATCAGAGGCAATCAAAAACTTAAATTTTTATTGGACTAACTACATAGCTTAAATTATTAACGGTTTAATCCAAAAAAAAGATAATTTTCAAAGCGCTGATTTACATTATTCAACCAATCGATGTTATTAGCTATCAATTTCTCACTAATATACTCTATTAATAAATATGAGATCTAAGATTGCTAGACAAAGAATAGTGTCTTTCTTGAAAACTATGTAATTGTTATGCTTAGCGAAATAGAAATCAGAAAAACTATTTTAATAAGGTCTTATCATAATACAGTTTTAATAAACTGCCTTAGAATTAAGTTTATGATTGTAAAACTTATTGATCAGGCTATTAAAGAGTTAAGGGCATGATTTAGTACATTTCTTGTTGGCGATTTTATAAACATTACTTTTTGAAAAATTTATATGTTAAAAAAACCTAAATTATCAACTATTTTTTAATTAAATTTTTTTCTTAATTCATATTCTTATCCTATTTATTTTAAATGTTAAAAATTGAAAGATTTACATAAGAAAAGGTTATGAAAAATAGAGTAATTTGAGTTTTATTTGAAATCTTAAAAAAATACTAGTATATAATTTAAGTAAGTTAGATAATGATGCGACAAAATTTAGCTTAATCAATAAATTATTATTATTAAAAAATCATAAATGGGAAATAATTGCTCTTATAAATAATAAACGAGCGATAAAACTCAATTTGATTACCTAGATTTGAAAAGCAATTTGAAAGCAATGTCAAAACCTAAATCAGATAGTTTAATAAGCACAAGCTAACTAACTCAAATGGAAATACCTAATGCTATGCTTCAGTCGCCTACCAAACCTTTCATTCCAAAACAAAATGAAATTCGTTCATTAGTTAGAGTTCCGTCTGAAGAAAGTCTATTTTTGTAACAATTTAATTCAGAAAAAGTAAATGAACAAGAAAATAACTCTATCTATCAATAGTCGAAATAATCAAAACCACTTATGGTTCTGAAATCTTCTCTTAAACGAAAAACAAAATAGAATCAAGCTTAAAGTCCTAACTTCTAATCCCCTAGTCCATAAGTGCAATAATAAATAAAATGTCGATCTCATTCTCCCTATTATTAAAGTTCAAAGGTTGAAATCAAAACAAAAAAGAGCATGGAATTTACTAAAAAAGGAAATCAATAGCAAGATTTGAAACCAAAAAGGAAATATTCAGATGCCCCTATTTAAAAAGAGAGATCATAAGTGATGAGAAGAAAAATTAGTGATATATGTGATGATCACAATTATATAATAGGAGTTGAGAATTATAGTCCTACGAAACTGAGAACTTATACTCCTACTTCAATTTTAAAGAGAAAAGATTCAGATATTGAGACTAACTCTCCTATGAAAAAACAAGTAAGATTTAAAGAACAAGGACTTAATCGTAAGTTACATTATAACTGATTTGACAACAATATTATAATCATTTTATAAATATTGGAAGTTCCTTGATCTATTTTTCTATTTGATTGCAAATTTAGTCAATTTCATTAATATTTTACACTTTTCTATATTTCAATAGCTCTGCTTCTTTAAACAAAGGGGATTCAAATGTGTATAATTCTAATTCCATTATTAAAATTGAATACAAACTCAATAGTCTAGTTTGAATCCAATCTAATTCAGAAAATTTATTATTTGGTAATGTTTTTGCTCTGAGTTTTCCAATTGATAATGTTACTCTTGGGTAAATTTGAGTATATAGATATTTTTCAGCCTATTCCTTTATTGATTTCTTGATATCTAGGTTAAGAAGAGCTGCCATTTTTTATTATGAATTTTTATCCATCTCTTTTTTCGCCGCCATGTTCTTTTGAGCTACTTCTAGCATCTCCAAAAATTCCTTCTCCATTACTTTGTTCTAATTTACAATATTCTCAAATAATTATGTGTACTGAGGTGAAGATCTGAATTTTACAAAATCTTTAAGTTCAAAAATATTTTTTTATTTTTCTATATCTTTTTCAATTAATTTTCTAATCTCATAAGCTCTCTTAAATTTAGTTAATCACAAAATTACTTTGAAAACAATGCATAATGGTACTATCCAAATTGGTCCTTGACTGCTCAGTTTCTCATTTAAATCCGCCACAGTAATTGCTAAGTATTAAATTATCCCTAAATACGAATAATATCTTATTAGTCATAACATTTTACTTCTATACATATTCATTAAAAGTCTAATTTAGATCTACCTAATTAACCTAAGGACTTTGAATACTCTCAACAGAGGGTTTCTATTATTTTTAAACATCTTGTTGGAGCGATTTGTTAGGTCTTATAATTGGAGGTTCTTCAAGATCGTTGATAGATTAAGCCTTTTAATTCTTTATATTATTAGTTAAAACTTCTTCTTTTTTGGAAAATGTTGAATTTGAAGTTAATTTATTTTCTTACTATGGTTTTTTGAAAAATTCTTACTTTTTATCTTTCTCATTCCATTAATTATAATCTTTGTTCTAATTTGAATTTAAATTATTAGTTTGATGTAGTTTAATATCATCTACATCATCTTCGTTAGTATTTTAAGCTAATTAAAAGGGGGTTTTTAACTTTGGTTATTATTTTTCATCTTTTTATAATTTTTAATTTTAACTAGACTCCTCTGATGGAAGTGATTTAAAATGAAAACTTTGATTATCATCTAAAACTTAATTTTATTATTATTATTAAAATTAAGTTTAATTCTGAGGAATGTGAGTAATAAATTATTATTGTTGCTATTACTATTATTACTATTATTACTATTGTTATTATTAGTATTATTATTGTTATTATTATTGTTGTTATTATTATTATTATTGTTAATATTGTTATTGTAATTATTATTGTTATTATGTATTCTAGTTTTAATACATGTTTTATTTTGGAGATGTATAATTTGAAGGAATTGAACTACTGGTATTAAAAAAGTTAGCCTCTTAATTCTAATTGCGATTTTAGCCAATAAGAGGTTATGGATTCTAAGGCTTTGTAATACTTATGATAGGGGGTTGAGACCCGTCAAATAAAAACGGAGACTTTTTTTCTATTCTTTGTTGTTGTTATTATGAATTGTTTGTATTACTTTATTCCTTAAAACCTTTTTAAGATGTCTACTAGTATTAATCAGGCTGTTTTGCAAAAAAATGATTTTGAGTTTTTGGATATTAACTTTAATTCATTTCCGATGTGTATAAATGTTAGCCTGTTTATTGAAAGAATGATTATTGAGTTGCAAGATTAGCTATGTTTGATTAGAACTTTTTATTTTTAATATTATTAGTGATTATTTAAGATGCAAATACGTAGGAAGAGCATACTTTATTTGTTGATGGAGCTTATCTTCTTTGTTTTTAGATGGCAGCTTTGACTGATTAATTATGTGCAGAGTTCATAACTTTCTAATCATAAGATTGTGGTCTGGCTGATCTTTGTGTTTAATTTTAACGACTGGTTTAAGTGCCAATTTTCTTATTTGAGAAATCAAGAACACTTGAGTTAACTTTAGAAAAATCTTTTTTGGAATAGAACAATTTCCATTGTCCAACTTCTTCAAAAGTCGGCCTTTGGTTAGGATCTAATTTGAGCAGTTTTAATAAGCATTCTAAAATTTCATTATTAAATTTTTAATTTTCAGCTGCTTAATGAATGATAGTATCTATTTGATATTAGTCAGTGCACTATAACAATCTGTCGCTAATATCTCTATTGTTTAACAGGTTAAAAATTAGTTACCCAAAAAGATAAGATTTAGTTTTTGTTGTATATTCTAGATCTTTATGCTTTTTCATTACATGTTGATTAATACCATAATCAATGATAAAAACTTCATCCTCCTATACAAAAACATAATCTTAATCGAAATCTATGAATCCTTTAAGTTTTGAATACTATTAATACAATTTAAGATAAAAGGATTTGAGGGATTCTGTTTTAACTTTTTATTCCAAGTTTGTCCACAAAGTGCTATCCTTATAGGATATTAAAATAAAATCCTCAAAATCCATTTTTTCAAATATAAAATTGAATTCTTCTGCCCTCTCAAAAATCTATTGCTGCATTTATGGAGTTAATGTTTGCTTTGGAAATATGTGTAACATATAAATCAAGTCATTATCATGTCTCCCTCTATATAATTATTAATAAGGTGACTCCTTATTGACGGGTAGCTCGATCTCATAAGAACTGAGACTCATTTAAATAAATATAAACTTACTTTAATAATAAAAATTGAACATGTAGTTATTTACATATTTTGTTTCTAATTCAAAAATTGCGTATATTTTTGATGTGTTAATATATATTTCCTCTATAACTGTATATGAGGATCGAATTAACAATTAGTATTTAATTTTAATCAAAATTGAATTCATTGACAAACTCTTCCTTGTATGTTGATTATTGCTTATGTGAAATTTGTGTTTCATTATCAATAGATATATTTCATATTCTTGAAATCATAATTGTATGATTTTAAATGTTGAGAAAATAAATTTGATGTTAAGAGACTTATAAGATAATTCCTGTCTTACTATGAGTTTCATAAGGAAGGAAGGGAATAGAAATCATTTGGTCGGGTTACAAATAATAAGATTAATTTTAAGTAGGCTATGATTATACGTAAATACAGAGGAAGTAATTCACACTTTTTTGATTGCCATAGAGAAACTAGTTTAAAATGAGATCAAATTAGAAAGAGTCATTTAGGAATAAAAAAGAATATAAGTTTATATTGAGTTTGAAGTTTTATTAATTTTTGGTAAAGTACTTTTAACAAGAGAAAATAGATTGCTTTTGAGGGGATACAATCAATTCAATAATGTTATTTTTTAAAAAAGAAGTCAATAGATGAAAGTATATAAAGCTGAAATCAATACTTTCAAATAGAATAAATGATATCCTAAATCTTGTTGTTTAAATCAGAATCAGAAAATAATTCGATTTCATAATTATTATTTATATAAATGCTTTTATTATTGCTAGCATCGTTGACATATGCTCAACACATAATTTTTTAAGATGATTTTAACGCTGGTTAAATTAATGCAGAATTATGGGAAAAATATGATGTTGCAAAAATAGTTCCTTGTCCTGGCACAACAAATGACTATTGTGTGAATATATTCAAGTAGTCTTTTGGTAGTGGATTAAAATCAAAGCCTTTTGGGATTGAAATGGAATAAGATGTTACAATAGAATTTAAATATCTAACAAAATCCACTCCTAATAGAGGAGTGCATTCTGGATTATTTGTTGGTTATACTGATAACACTGAGGACAAGAAAAGCGGATATTGCTGGTTTGCCTCAGGTTATTCGTACTACAGTGACTTTTTTAATTAAACTTCCTAAAAGACAGATGCAGCTTACTTATGTTCTAAAGATGAATCTGTCTTGATATAAGACCTTCTAAATGACTGGAAAACAGTAATTTTAAATATTAATATTATAGATTAAATATACAATTCCTTCAGCTACTTTAAAAAATAAGAACTAATCATTATTGTCTTTGGTATTTTAAGATTTCGTGAATGAAAACTCAGAAGGAGCATATTATATTACTAAAATACTTGTTTATTACAATAAGAATTGCACAGCCAAGTGCGAGAAATGCACAACCTTTTACGATTGCACAAGTTGTTAAGACCCTTACAGATGGCTTGAAGGCAAATGCTATAAGGGGGAATGTGGAACCAGTTTAGAACAATCGATACCATATTAAAAAGATACTTTATTGGAAAGTTCAACTTCGACTACTTATTCAGCTACAATTAAAATACCAGGTTATGATTTTCAAGCTTGTTGGCCTGCTTAATGGGTAACACTAGGTTATGAAGACGGCAAGTTTACAGAATTAAAATTCTCCTATGAAACAGCCTCCACAGCTAAATTAATCTTAGATTAGTAGAGTATGACAAATGCTAACTGTAAATAACATGAGAATTCTAATATCTTTACATGCTCCTTCCATTTCAATGTGCATTTTAATGAGCAAATTATGTATGAAAGAAACTGGACTGCTACAATCGATTATTCAAAATCAAGCATCACCAGTTTATAGGTACCACCTAAAACTCTTAATCCGCCAGCATTGGTCATTACTATCGAATATAAACTTGATTACTGCGAAAATGTAAACGATTGCTAATGGACAACAGACAAAATAACTTTAGTTCTTAATTAAAGGTTCAAGGTTTGGTTGACAATTACAGATTAAAAATATTAAGAAATGGAAAAATGGAATAAGGCTATGTAAAATTATGGGAAACAGGAACCCTAGTTAATTTACCAATTTTGGAGACTGTTATAGGGGAGGGTGAAATAATATACACTGTTAGATTGGCTATCAAAGGAGAAAAGGGTAATGGACTTGCTGTTACAGCCAAAATCATAAATCCAAATTCAGCAGGTAGTGGAAGGAGAAGAGTTCTTGAGGAGAATACAAATTCTCAATTGGCAGTGGGCAACTTAAATGGTAATTTGATCACATACAAATCCAGATAACTTGTTATAGAAAATGATCCTGAGTTTTCTTAATTAATATTGATGCCATTATTACTTATTGCAATTCTGGGATTTTGATATTGCAAATAGGACATTAAACAAATCAAATAATTTAATATATTTATTATGTGATTATTTCAACAAATCATTTTCTAAGGGCTTAGAAAATCTTCAATTTATCTAATTTACCATGTTATCTCAATTTTTGAACGTGAGTACCATAGTATTATAATTCATCCTAAATTATTAATTTATGGTATTACATTAGCCTTATATTTGAGATAGTCAGATCTGAAATAGTTAGTGAATCCCCATTTGGCTGAGACAACAATCTTTTATCTTCCTGGGAACTTGTTCTTTCCTCTTCTCAAAGCTTCCATAGCGTGATTGATTGAAGCATCCTTGCATCTCAAAGAGTAAAGAATGCTGCCAATTTTGACTCTGGCGCACAAACCATTTGGTTTACCGAAGGCACCTCTCATACCAGTTTAAAGTCTATCTGCACCAGCACATGAAAGCATTTTGTTGATTCTGAGTACGTGCCATGGGTGGACTCTGCATCTAAGATGGAATGCGTCTTTTCCGACTTTCTTAATCATATATTTGTTGATGGCAACTCTGCATGCTTCTAAGGCTTCTGATGAGATTTATTCCTTTTCATCTGAAACAATGTGGATGGCAGCCTAATTCATATTAATTATTCAATACTGGGAATTCATCGACATTGGCCTTCTTTCTTCCGACATCATAGATTCTAATTTTAGCATCTGGAACACCTCTGTTATATCTGGACTTGGGGAATGGTTTACCATTACTCACTCTATAGCATCTTGCTGGTCTTCTACCCATTTTTATTTAAATAAAATATAAAAGATTAAAAATTTTTTTGAAATCATACATTCACACATTTTATTTCCAAATATTTAATCCTTCTCTTTTCCAATAATAATTTGCATTTTTTAAATAATTTCCAATATATTAATCTTATTTAAAGTTTCCCATTTAATAATTTCTAAAACTATTATATTTGTCATTATTACCTTTATAACACTAATTCAATATTTAATTAAAATATGAAGAATATGCTGTTGATTCCCTTCTATCGAATGACCGTAGTTACTCCTAAGAGATATTTCCTTCTCTAAATTAATCAATCTACAAATCTATAAACCCAAAGTCTCATTGATTAAGGTCATTTAATATTTGCAGCAAAAAAAGATTAGGGAATGATGTACATTTTTAACACAAAAGATGAAGTCATCCCCTATGATTTTGCTACTCAAGTATGCTCCTCACTTATCTTAGGATAGCTCTATCAAAGATTTCAAAATTGAGGAAATTGAATTAAGAACACAAGGAGAATCGAAATAATTATCACATTTATATAAATTTAGATGAATTTTATGATGCCTATATTTATGTTGAGTTTGAAGGATTATAAATGAAGATATTAATCTCATTGCTTTATGACATAATCGATTAAATTATCTAATTACAAATGAGTAATGTTGAAGTCCTTCAAATTTGGCTATTCGGAAGCTTCTATCAAATATTCTAATAAATATTTGAGTTCTGAATCTCCCTAATTATCATGCCACTCCAAAATTGGGATTCCGTTCTCAACCTGTAAACCGAAAGAATGAACAAGGTTGTCTACTATTAGAGTCCTATCCAAGTCTAAATCCTTTATGATTCTCAAGTCCTTGATAAAAAATCCATTTTTAGTTTCCATACAATTCGACCTAGATAAGATTCCACTTATATATTATTTCAGAGGATCAAGATAATTCACAATAGTTTAGGCATATTATTAAGACGAAGCCGTATAAATATAGATTGTATAATATTAAGCCAATTCTTGCAAAAAGTAGCCTGTATATGGTCTGACATTTATCCCAACCTACATTGACTTATATTTATATGTACATCTGTTTCAGAACCATCTTCATTTTATTATTTCAATTTAACTGATGGTGTCTCTCTTGCATGGCAAGCATGAATCAATGTTTCATCAAGATCAAGGAATATTGTGTTTACTTTATTTGGGTTGATTTTGGTTAACGTTACTTTTTTCTTTTCGACAAATTATTCTGAAGGCCCTTTGAGACATTTTCTCGAATAAATTAGCCCTCTTTAGGTTACAATTAGATGTTTTTCGAAAACTAACTCATCTACTTTTGGACTGAATATCAAATGACGAAATGGATGTTCCATCAACTTGTCCTCCTTTGATTATTCAACTTGTTTTAAACTCTTCATTGACATAGGTTTGGATTTCATTTATTTTAACTTTGGGTTCACTTTTATTTTCTCTTCAATTTTTCTAAGTTGTTCTTCCATAGTTTTATTTTATTCATCGGGTTATTGTGATTGGATATTCGAACTTTATTTAATTTCTTTTTCAATTACTTCTGGTTCTTCATCTTTATCTCCTTCATTCATAGTTATTACTCTCTGAGTACTAAAGCGTGATAGTTTAGGAACTAATATTCAAATAAATATCGTTACTAAATGTTTTTGGAACTGACTCCCCTTTTTAACTGCTTTTGTCACTATCCTCATTGTCAAATGGAGAAGCCATAGAACTCAAGCCTTATAATGGCTTTGGTTTTGGTTTAGGAGTGAAATCAAATGATAGTGTTGTATCCATATCATCTTCACTTTAGAAAGATTATTTTGAACATGGAGACGATCTGAATTGCAAAGACCTAGCACTATACTTAATATTTAGAAGCTAATCCATAATAATTTTGATTATTAATTGAAAACTTTAATTATAATCTGTATAAAAATACTGATGAATAGAAAATAGTTAATAATTAATAACACTTCCAATTAAGTAGTTTAAATCCAATTTCATATCGATGTATCATCAGTTGTACAATCACAAGCATTTCAGTATAAATAATTATTCTTAAGAAAATTCTCAGTAGATTAAATTTATTTGTAAATATCAAATTACTCAAATTTAAGTAGCTTCAAACTCACATTAATAATAAGATGCTTAAAGGGGATCAAACAATTCCGTATCTTTAGGCTTTGTATTAGATACAAATTCGTTAAACTCAGACTAAGTCTCCAAGTTCATCATCTATGTTACCATACCTTATCTAATAGGAATAATTATGATTATTACCCATATAATTGTAAACTTAACTTTGATTTGTTGTTAATGAATGAATTTCTATAAAACTCAAGCAATTCCTATTTTGATATTTTTTTTATTTTTTCAATTGCAACTTATCTGTCCTCAAATTCAATAGTTCCAGCACTAATATATTTCCATAGGCGATCGCCTTCTTCACTCAAACTTTATGGGTTTTCCTTTAAATCAGTAATCACTCCATGTTTAAGATGTTGAAATTCTCTATTATTCATTTACTCCAAATAGACTGAAAACTTATCCAAGAAATCATCAATAATTTGATTCACTTTCATTGGTATTTCTGTGCTTCCTTACACTAAAATCAAAGCTCCATCTACACAGGCTGTTGTTTTAAATTCTACTGCTACAACATAGCCTAATTATAAATCAGTTCGTAAATAATTATAAGCTTATTGATTTAGAATTGGTTCTAATAATTTAATAAATGCCTAATTCATTTACTTTCTTTATCCAATTTAATAATAATTTAAAGTGACACCATTAATATCATCATCATTCCCTGATTCTATAAATCTCGAATCAATAAGGTTTTTTCCTTTTAAATTTATGATTGCTACCTTATCTTAAATATTATCCGAAACAGATGATTATTCTTTATTTTTTGTACATGATTGAACCTCATCCGATATCTTAGTTGCCTCAGACTAATCAAGATTTCCAATAAACAAACTAGAATATTACACACTATTCATGATGTCTCTAACATCTTTAAGCATTTCTTATTATGTAATTTAATCAATTTATTCCAATACTTTAGCAGGATCATGAGAATCTTTTTATAATAATTAGGGCAAATATATTTAAATGGCTTATTCAAATAAATTATCCTAATACATATTCTTAATTGACAACAGTAATGATTATTTGGCTATTTCAAATCTTTTTGATTCGGTAAGTTCAAGGAAACTTTTAGATTTATCTCTAAATGGATTCAAACAGGAACATAGTTTTTTAAATAGATTTCTCACATGTTCACTGAATCCATAAACCTTTATTTGAGTCTTCTTATTCATATCCAGTTCATAAGAATATCCAGAAGATAAAGGTAATTTTAATTCCTTTGATATGACCTCATCTGCCATAAAGTTATACAACCTTAATGAAGTGAATTGTCGTAAACTTAAAGTTTTTTGATACTTCATTTATAAAGCCCCAAAAATAAAAGGCACTTTATAGGAGGTTTAACTCTTCCACCATTCTTGCTATTCTTTGTTAAGTAAAATTGGATAATGATTTTATTTTTAGTATTTATGTTCTTCTAATGAACATTACTCATCACTATATTGATTTAGATCTTAACCTGCCATCAAAAACAAGTTTAATTTACTTTGTTAATCCAAAGTCTTTAATTTATCAGAATGAACTATTTTAGGTAATTTGGATTCCGATGATTCACATAAAGAAATTAATTCCACATTCTCTGGAATAAAATCATTTTATTAAGGTTTTTCAAACATATCCTATAGTTTTTCATCCTGTTTAGATATAAAATTAATAAAATGCTCATCAAATTTCTATTTTGAATATACAAGTCTATATAAATTATTTTTTTCATATAGCAGTTTATCCTATAAAAATTATTTATTACTCTTGTTATCATCTTCTTTTTCATTTGTATAAGAATATTGATGGTCGCCTATCAAAATGATTAAATTTTATGTATTCTTTAATTATCCTATATAATCTAATATTAAATCCTTATCCAAAGTCTCCATAATGAATTCTGAGGAGAGTACTTCCTTTGATTTCTATCTGTTTAAAACTTTGGCCATAGTTGAAGTATCCAATTATTAGGTTAGATAGTTGAAATTCAATTTAGAAATTTTGCTTTGCTCCTTGAACACTTGGTTGATATATTCATCATCAGATAACCACTCTTCTAATTTTTAGATGTAATTGAATATAATTTTAGTGATTTCAGCAACAGCTTCCTCATTCTCTTTAGATTTCTCTGTTAAAACTATCTCCATCATGTAATTTGTAAATGAGGACTCTTCCATGAAAACTTCAGAAGAAAGTGAGATAATTAAATTTTACTCCTTCAAGTAATCTATTAGATTTCCATTTTATATGATGTAATCTAAAAATTCAATTGGCTTTTAATGAGTAAACTTTTCTCTTCCTTTAAGCTGCCAATTTAATGTTAATTATTCTTTTTCAGTTTTATATTTGCATAAAATTCCAAATTAATATGGAAATGCTTGGAATTGTGGAGGTTATAAATTTTAATTCTTGATACGATTAAAAGGTTTAATCAATCGTTCCATTTCTTACAAACTGATTCTACTCTAAATAACCAAACTCATTATGTTCGAGGAATAATATTATTCAAAAAATGATTGTAATGCATTTTCAATACCCTTCTTTTTCAACACTTCATTATTTCCTAAACTGAATCTACTAGCAGGATGTTTAGGATCAGCAAACAATGTAAATAAATTTTAGATTTTCCAATCTTCTGAGGATACGTCTATCTCATATTCTGAGTTGACAGCGTTTTTCTCTCTTTCCACTAAATCTTCACTAAAAAGAGGGTCTATAAAGAAGTGAGCAAATGTATCTAAAGCTTTATCTAAGTATTATGATGTTATTTCGAAATAATAATTGGTATTTGTAGCATCAGTGTATGCATTAGAACTTCCAGATCCTTTTGCCAATAATTCATCGAAATAATCAGGTCTAGGATATTTAGCAGAGCCAACAAATAACATATGCTCACAAAAATGTGCTAAACCAGGATATTCACTTGGTTCATTCCAAGATCCCACTGACACATCCATAGCTGCAGAGGCAATTTCTGAGTTCGGATCGTGTATAAGTAACACTTTTAACTTGTTTTCCAGTTCAATGTATTTGTAGGATTTCGGATCTATTAAAGGTTTTATGATAGCTCCTTGATGCTTCTCATTTTCCAATTCTATGAAATTATAATTGTTGGTTTGTGTCTTTGTTTCTCCAAACTAAATAGTATTCTGCTATTAAGCAAAAGTAGGGAGACCAGCTAATAGTATCAATACGACAAATGATAGCTAAATCTAATAAAAGAGTTAAGGCATTGTTATTATATTGCAAAAACGATTAATATTATAACAAGTATAAATTAAATTGAAAAATAATGAGTGAAAGAAAGAAATGGTGTGAAGTCTGCAAGATGTTAATTCCTTACACAAGAGCTGCTATTCAGGATCATGAGAATACTGCTAAGCATAAAAAGAACAAGGAATATCATTTAAGAGAATAGAACAAGAAGGCAAGAATTGAACATAAATCATAAAATAAAGCTTATGATTCAATACCTTAGACATCTAAAGGATTTAAAAATTAGAATTAAAAAAAGGAAGAACACAATTATCATCAGGCTGTTGAAAATGAGTACACAGGAGAAAATTAATAATAATAAACAAAAGTAGCAGATCAATTGGGATTTTTTGCAGAAGGCAAAGTGTGGATATTAGAAAAGGAAGATGATACAGGAAGATTGAGATTTAGAAATACAATTACAGGGACTATCAATTATGAAAAACCTATGGGATTGATGTTAGAAGATTATGAAGAAGAAGCATGGGAAGAATACCAATAGAATCCAGTTGAAAATGTAGATAAAGAATTAGTTGTGAAGGTTGGTTAGTGGGAGGTTGTTAAAACTGAAGACACTTTTTTAAAGAAATTTAAGGTAGAAACTTCTGAGTCAGAAGAAGGGGAACCAGAACTTAATCATGAAGAGTAGTTAGCATAGAAGATTGAGTAAGATATTAAGGAAGGGACAATAAAAAATTAGCAAGAACTTGTTAAGGAAGTCTTAATATTTGGTTAAATTGGAAAGGACAAAAACAGAATATTGTAATAAAAATTAATAGAATTGGCAGACAAGGATATTGAATTAAAAGATATTCTACCATAGATGCAATAAAAGAACAATAAAAATGAAGAAATTAACACTTCAGGGTTGTTTAATAAAAAGTCATTCAAAAAAACAAAAGTTGATTACTTCTAGTGAAAATTGATTTTTACAATATTTCTATTCTAAAATGAGTTTTAAATGTAGAGGCTATTTTTATAATATTAATTAATTCGATTATATTTATTTAGAAAATCGTTAATAAGGAAATTTAATTATTTTCAAATAATGTTCTAAACCCGCCCTCATTTACCTTCTTATGCCACATCCTAGTCTGCTTATAGGACGCATTGTAATTATATTCAAAAATAAATCAGTTCATAATAAAGCAGGAAGTGAAACAAGGAAAGCAATCGATCACTATTCCTATGCCATTAATGAGGAAATAGGGAGAGGATTTAGTAGTAGAGTCTATAAGGGGAGAGATGAGAACACAACAGAAAATGTGGCTGTTAAAGTAACATTATGACATAAAGTTCAGGTGATAGATATGAAGATGGTCAAGCAGTCGATTCATTCCCAGCTATTAAAAAATGAAATCAATGCACTCAAAGCTTTTAATCACAAAAATATTATGAAACTCTATGATGTATTTTAAACCTAAAATAATACATATATCATCACAGAATTTTGCGACTCGGTATTGTCTCATTAATAATTCAGGGCGATCTCAATAATTACATCAAGAAGAAAGGAAGAATAGATGAATCTGAAGCTATACGAATATTACAAGCAGTTGTTAGTGCATTAAATGAATTGAATAAGAAAGGATATATCCATAGAGATATTAAGCCAGCTAACATTTTACTAAACGACAACCAACCAAAATTAGCTGATTTCGGATTTGCAGTCCCTGCTTATGAGGCTAGAATCCAAGGCAGAAACTTTAATGTAGGAACTCCTTTATATATGTCTCCTTAAGCTTTAAGATAGTAAGGACACACTGAAAAAGGAGATGTTTGGGCTATCGGTATTGTATTTTTTGAAATGCTATATGGTAATGCTTTATTTTTATTGTGATAGGCAGGACACCTTATAATGCATCCTCTGAAGCAGCACTAATTTCCAACATATAACATTAATAATTAGTTCTACCTTCTTCACCTATGGTCTCTGATGAATCAAAGGATTTCATTCGTAAATGTTTACAAATAGATGAATTTAAAAGATGGCGAGTTAAGGATATGACAGAACATACTATAATGCAATCAAGAAATTTAAGCCCAATAGAAAAAAGAGAGCCCTTGAAATAAATTCAAAATATCACTTTGCCAACTGAAAACTCTTATGTAAAGAAAATTAAAAGAAGCTAAAGTTAGAACATCAAAGATAATGCAATTAGAGATTTCAAACCTCAATAGATAGAGGAAAAGCGCAAATTACATGAGGAAAATTAAAAAAAGCTTGAAGCACAAATATAACGATCCTCAAGCTAAAATTAATTACTTTTACCTTAAAAAATAGTTAAAACCAATGCTTTTGAAGAATAGGTGCAACCTACTCCTCCTTTAATGAAATAAAAATCCATAACTCTAGAGTTCAAATAAAATAACGAGATTTTATTCTGTTAAATCAATTTCTGTCGTTTCCTTTATAAGTTTTCATAACATTTGGCAACTTTAAAAGTATTCCCCACTGAAATTAGGGATAAATTGTTATTTTTAATGGGTAAAAATATGGCAATTAAAATAAATAAGTTATCTACGATCTTAGATAAAGAGAACAAAGCAGACAATATATTTTATTTGAATGATTTTGAAAACTATAGAAAGAGTGAATCTTATAAAAGATTCTGTTAAGCAATTTCAGAATATCAACAGAAGTATTTGAGACATTTTGAGAAAACCCTAAAATTGGCCAATAAAAATAGTAAATTATTTTGTAATTTAAACTAGATTTCCAAAAAGATTTAATAATTGGAGTGCTATGCAATAATCATTTACTTGAATCAGATTCCTTTTACAAGACAGCTCTCTAATATTTGAGATTGAGTATAACAGAAATCAAATAGAATTTTTAATTTATTAAATTTGATAAACAGGAACAACTCTTACCAGAAGATGTAATTATTTAAATTTATGAATAGTTATAAATGCATGCATTTATCTTTCAAGGGTTAATGGGTTATTAAGATCTGATACAGAAAGTGTTGGATTATCCAGTAGATTATAAATAGTTTTAAAAAGTTTCCCAGCCTGAACTCTATATAGAAAGAAAACCAGGATCTATTAGTTATAGTTAATTAGAACAATTAATGTGATATCACTAAGTAGATATGAAAATTTTATATATCAATCAAATTTTTAATGGTAGGATCACTATCAAAATACTCCTCCCTTTTATAGTGATTCTTAGATTGCTCTCTTCGACTAATTTAATGGATTATTCCTTTGGCAAATAAAAGAAACAATTGTCATATTTAAAATAGCAATCTCTTATATGGTATTGTTTAAATGCAGTATAAATTTCTTCCTAACTTATGCTATTTCGAACTTGTTATAGACCTACTTCTATAGGTTCATCGCATTTTCGTATCCTTTCGATCATTCTTTTCTGAAAGTTAGTTAATTATTTTCCCGCTAATTGACTCGATTCATTTTTATTCTAAGTATAATTTAAAAATTAAACTTAATTTTATAATTCTTCCAAATACTCATCTTCTTCTTCAGCTAATTCTGCCCATGTTTTTTCTCTTCTTGGAATACTTTATGTAACTGTGTCTGTCATTAAATTTATAAATTATATTAATTTAATATCCCTGATCAGGGATGATAGCTTTAATTCTGATAAATTATGTTTATTTTAATTAATCCATTTATAAATCATCGTTATCTCATTTAAATGTGTATATTCATAAACTTCTCTCCTTCTAAAAACACATTATCCATTCGATAAAACAGTACTAGTTAAAAAATTATAGGGTAAAATAACATTTACTGAGATTATAACTGAAATGCTAGAACAACTCATATTCTTAAACTCTAATTCTATAAGTTCAATCGAACTTTGATAACAGATACAAAGAACAAATAAAAATACTAATTAACTATTCTAATAACTGAAAACTTTCATTGTAGTTGTGGGAAAGAAAATCTTTGAAATGATAAATATATATATATTATATGTTTATGAGCTTGTATAAATAATCTAATATATTATAATAATCTTATTGACATAATTCTAAAGTATATAATAATAATTCGTATTCTTCATAAGTATTTCCATTTTTAAATCAAGGAATCTACCAATATTCATTTTTTAGCTGCAATTTGTTATTTAAATAGAGTAACATTGTCTACCCTAAAGTATAAATAGAATGGCATCTTTCTTAGAATAATATTCTTACATTATAATATTAATCAAATTCTATTGGAAAAAGAAAATAGAATAGTTTGATTCTTAAAATAGAAATTTTATTAATTTGTTATTCAAAATTGAGAAGGAGATTTTCAACTGTGCTTTAATCGCATTTCCTAAATTATCTATAATGCATGATTTTCAGACTCAATTATTAACTCTAATTTGTGATCTTCTTTAATATTTCTTAGTAGTAATTGTTCAATAGTTTACTATATGATGGATAAAGGATATAATAAATGTATTTTTACAAGGTTGTGGACAATAGAGGATCAAAATATACACAAATTTTGATTCTAAATAATATTCTGTATAATTAATTTTAACAAATAAATTAGAAGTTATACCATTCATTAAACCATAATTAGTCCATTTATTATTTTTAATGTACTTAATAAATTATTAATCACTTCTTCTTTCTTTCAACTCCAAGGGTTTATCCTCCTCTACCAGTGGTTTTAGTATGTTGTCCTCTAACTCTCAATCCCCAATGATGTCTCAAACCACGATTACACCTTAACATAATTTAATTGATATACTTGATTTTCTTCATTCTTTCTAAATCTTCTCTTAATTTGGTTTCCAATTCGTTTGTTGTGACTTAATAATTTTTGCCATCCTTAAAATCTCTTTGTCTATTCAAAAACCATCTTGGAATGTTATAAGCTTCTGGTGATTTGATGACTTCAGTGATTTTGTGAGCCTCATCGTCAGTCAATTCACCGGCTCTCTTTGTAAGATCAAGACGGAGAACCTATAGAATGATTAAAAAACATCAAATACCTTGCAAATTTAGATAGCAAATCTTCTGCCGATACCTTTAATGCTTCTAATACCGTAAGCAAGTCTTTATTTTCCATCAACGTTTGTATTCAATATACGAATAATGTGTCTGAATGAATCAGCCTTTTCCAAAACCAAAGACATTTATTTGTATAAAAGATTTAATTTAATTTAAAATTTTTAATGACTACTCGTCACACCATAATTGAATATAGAAATTTATATTGCTCAGAAGATAGCTGAACATTAATACCTATTGAATTGAATCTCTCTAATAATTTGTGAATAAACAAAAATATTAATCAAACAAATTTTTAATTACATTTATGACTTAATCTCTCTGTCGTATGGATAGAAGATACTAAAACTGTAGTTAAAGAGATGAATATTCAATTTTAATCAAAAGAAAGAGTTAAAAATAAAAAGAAGAAAACAGTAATTATTTTCCTATATATAGATAAGAATAATATCTTCTATAAAATAAATCTATATTATATCCTCTTTCATATTTATCTGAAATAAAATGTTTAATAAAGACTAGAATTTTCTTTTAATTATTATTTCTAGTCAGTGAAAATTTTATATATTTAATTATATAATAAATCATTTTTATTTATTTTTTTTTTCGAAAAATCTTTACAATTTTTCTTCAATATCTTTATCTAACATAAGATTATTTTTAATTTAAGTAATTTCTAACATTTATTATTGTTACTGAGGCTACTCATCATCTTTTTCAGTCTCTAATCTAATATCATCTACTAATTAAACATTTTCTGTGAATATAATCATGTCATCTTGTTATTCTCTTCTTATCCAAGGAGCTTCTGGTTTATTTTCAACTGATAAAGGCTAAAATAATAAATGATGATATAATACTCCAATGTCTGAAACTAATTTTCTATCAAATGTTATGGATAAAGATGGAGGAGATAATTTTGGTAAACTAAATGATAAACGTATCTTCAATCCATTTACAAAAACTATAGGTACTTAAAAGCAAATAATATTCTCTTTAGGTTCATCATAAAGACAAATTACTCTTTAATAATCAATATTTTGTTAATCTTTCATAAGGATTTATTCAATATGCATCAATAATATTTATAAGCCCTCTTACTTTGCTTCATTAATATTCTCAATCAATTATTTGCATTTTTCCTTAGCTTTCTTGAATTACTTGAGTATAACTAAACAAATTAATTCATTAAATTGGATTTCCAATATTTCTAACAAATCAGCATCTTCCTCATCTTCAGTTAGCTCATGAAATTCTTCTTCATTAAATATATCAGATTCACTTCTCCTTTGTTTTAATCTCTTCTCTGTAATAGAGAGTTCTTTTTAACTACTTGCCATTTAAAAGTCTCTTAAAGCTTCCTCATATTTTTCTAAATGAAACAGGAAGACTCCTCTAAAAATGTAAACATGAAACTGCTGAAACAATTTACCATTTCCTCTACATAATTTTAAACCACTAATTGCTTTGTTAAGATTACTTTTGAACTCAATTTACTCATTTTCACTCTCCTCATTAAAATATATTTATTAGTCATCTTTGAACACTAACCTCAAAGCTTGTAGCATATCCTTATCAAATTCAGCAGTTTTCTCTTTAGTTAATTTATATAATCTATTAATATTCTCTTAACATTAATTCAGATCACCTAAAACCATATAGCATTCGGAGCGTAATTCTAATAATTTGGGATTGTTTTTATAGTCTTTGTTATTTGAATAAGCTTTTATGGCATCTTCAATTGCAGCATTTGCAAACAAAAAGTTACCAGCCCATACATGCATTCTTGGATCATCTTATAGAATCTGAATACATTATTGTAAATCTTAAAAAGCAGAATTTGAATCCCCACTTAAAAAATGGCATTTTGCTCTATTTAAATAAGCATCTGCAAAGGTCTCATCAAGTGTTAAACAAATGCTAAAATCATTTAGAGAGTGTTTATATTGTTTAAGTAAGCCAAAAACCATTCCTCTGAAATAGAAATACTTGGCAATGTTATCTTCTGACTTTTGAATTGCAGATTCTATATCCATCAGAGCTTCGTTCACTTAGCCTAAAAAACACTTAACAATAGAGCGAATATAATATAAATTAGCATTTTAATCGTTCATACTGTTAGCTTTGTCTAGTAGTTCTAGTCCTTTGATAACATCTTTATACTAATCACTTTTTTTTTTGAAAGATTAATTAATATAAGTTACAGCCAAATAGAATGTAGGTTCCATTTTCTTTTAAAATATCTTCTAAGCTCTCTAAAAGAATTCCATGCCTGCTGTGAATAAGCCTGATTATACTTTTAAGATTCCTTCGCATAAAAACTTGTTATAATGAATACTTGACTCAGCTGGTTAAATTTCTAATAGATATTTATAATCATCCAGTGCTTTTTAATGTTTAGACAAACAAAAGTACCCATACGCTCTGTAAGCATAAAATAAGGGCTTTAAAAAGTCATTTAATTAATGGTTATTTTAGATTTCTTGAAAATTGAGCATGCTTTCTTAGAATTTTCTTTTCATCAAGAATATTACAGCCTATTTTAACTTATTAATTTACTTCTGTGAACAATCGAAATTTTTCTAAATAACTTTTCTCTGTGTCCAACATTGAAGATCTATTTAATGTATGATAAGCAGCATAAAAGTCTCTTTATTCAATTTTCATCTTAGCTATTTCGTACAATGATTTGGTAACAGCTTTTTTAGAATTATTGTGTTTTATAGCTTATTCAAAACATAATAATGCTTCAGTTGCATTCTCTAAAATAAAAAAAGGAATTACTTATTTTCAATCTACTTAACCCTTTGAAATAATATGCTTCTGAATTAGTTGGATCAGTTTCTAACAGTTTTGTTAGATCTTTTGCACATTCTTCATATTATTGGCTTTCAAATAAAGTAATGGCTTTCTTTAGCATAGCCGCATTTCCAACTGCCTACTCGCAATTGATGGCTTTTTAGTAAGATTTAATTGCTTCTTTGTATTGGCTTTACATTCTAAGGCAATCTGCTTTACCTAAATAACCTAAACCCTTTTATGGACTTAATTAAATGGCGACATTGAAATCTTATTCAGCCTTATCAATTTGATTGAGTTTGATGAATAATTTGCCTCTGTATATGTAAGCGTCGTAATATCGAGGGAACATACCTATGACTTTATTGAGTATTTGAATTGCTTAATCCAATTCGTTCATCTTTTTATGAGAAATGGCTAATAGGAGATAAATGTTTTTGCGATGAACTGCATCCTACTAAATTACATGTTGGAATTCTTCAATAGCCTTTTAATACATTTGAGTTCCCAAATAACCTATTCCCAAGAAATAATGGCCCTCTAACAATCTGGTGTCCACCTCTACGCATTTTTTTAATAGGCTTGGATTAATAAATTGTTTACTCAATAGCTTCATCAATTTACTTTTCTCTTAACAATTATTTGCCCTTTTCAAACAACTTGATTGATCTAGGATTGTATTCTTCTGAAGGTTTGGTTGTGTCACTCTAAAAACCACTATAGTCCTAATAACCTTTGATTACATTGTTTTCGAAACTAATATCAAACGTCTGCTATCCATCCATGCTGTTGTTATTCTTGGATAGCTTTTTTTACATAGTTTAAGATAACTTCTATTTACTTGGAAGGTACCAATTTTGTCCTTAACTATTAAATGAGGCTTGTCTAGGTTGTTTCTTCCTAATTATAAATGATCATATTTTACATTGTGTCTTAGCAAAAACTACCATTACGATTTGTATTGTTGAATAAAATATTATACAGTTAATTTTTTGCTTTCTTATCTTAACTAAAATTGGAATTTTATCGCTTTCTATGAAATTATTCTAGGCTTTCCCCACTTGACATATTAAACGAATTTTGTCTCGTAGGATAAGCTTATTATTATTTTCGATAATGGGGTGTAGGATTTTCAGACACAAAGTGCTCTATATGTGACTTTGCTGGTGAGTAAGGTTGCTTTGGAAAGAATGACCCCGGTTTGTTCTTCACCGATTGAGGAGGTTTACTTGATCTATATTACATTAATTTTGAATTTTAATATATTCCAATATTAATATTATTTATTATTTATTAACTGTCTGTGAGAGTAAGCCGAACGATTGCAACTATAACAAAATAAACATTAAAACAATCATGATTAAATGCAGATCAATAAAATCAAAAAACAATTCAAATTCAATTTATTATTTATCATTCTAAAAATTGATAATCTATCTAATGTATTATCTCATAATTATTCTAGATCGATTCTTTACATTTATTTGAACATTTACTTTATAGTTTTAATCATCTAAATTTTTTATTCTATATTGAACCTCTTATTAACTTTCTTTGTTTTTTGAAAACTATAAGATACTCAAATTTGTTCATTTTGATGTTTAAAGCAAATGAAATCTGTATTACTCGAATTATGGTGTTGTTATATTTTGTAAAGTGAACTAAAAAAATTTTTATAAAATGATAAAATTATATTTATGATATCGAGAACACTTAAGTTATACAAATTCTCAACCAAAATACCTACAGGTGTCTTTGATTTTGCCAATGTATAATAAGGATTGACTGCTCCTTCTAGTATTATGGTAGAAGACTTAATTACAAGATTCTCTGCATATACTCCTACCAACATGTACAATTCATTAGATGAATACTCAAGAGAATTACTACTTTATTTGGCTAATGATTTAGTAAATATTGCATATTTATTTTAAAGAGTTGGGGAATGGGATGGGGAATCTTAGCAATATCAATGGGTATAAAGATAGCTTTTACACCTCTGATGTTTTCTGCATAATTAAATGCTTGTCGTATGAAATTAATCGAGCCTGAATCTAAAAACTTTTAAAATATGATTTAACGAGCAATGAGAGCTCAGGACTTCAAAGCAAGTAGAGCAGCATAAAAATAATTTAAACTTTTCAAAAGAAAGCATAATATCAATATGCTCATTCCTGGATTGTCGATACTACAAATGCCTTTCCTATTCACATGGTTTCTATCATTGAGATATGTCTGCTCTTTGCCAGATAAATATGAGGGACTAAAAAGTCAAGGATTTTTATGGTAATAATTGTGTTAATTAATAGGTTCCAAGATCTAAGCGAGTATGATCCTTATGGAATATTGCCCATAATGAGTTCCATTTTCACATTTTGGAACATCTCTTTGAATCCTAACATGTAATCATAATCTACTGTACCTTTTGCAAAGTATTACAGATATGTTAGGTTCTTGCCTTTCTTTTCTATTCCTGTTGTTATCTTTTTCCCAGCTGGTGTTAATCTTTATTGGTGCTCCTCTGCACTCTGCCATTTAATTATTACAGCTCTAGCAAGACAAGAGCAAATCAGAAAGTAAATAAGACTATTTAACATAGAATTTTTGGAATTCCTAAATACTTGCCTGGAACTATATTGGAGAGACAAAATAATATGAATATTTAAAATATTGTTAAAGCTGTTGTTTAAGATAGAGCTGATCTAAATAATGATGTTGCAACAACAACTACAACAACCCCACCATAAAAATCAGTTTAAACTGATGCTTAACACATTATGCATGAAGCTAAATCAGGAGAATAGAAAGTGAAGATCTTTTCAAGCAAACCAAAAAGTAAAAAATGAGGATCAGATACATATAAACGATTATATAAATTATGGACAAATCAGACCAATTAATTGAAATTAGGCTTAGCTACTTTCCTTTTCTCCTTCAAACCGCTTTCTACACAAAGCATTTCATCCCAGGATAAGGGAATCATTAATTTCTGTGTTTCTTAGTGTTTAGCAAAAAGTACTCCTAATTCATCCTCTGCTGTACTCAGATACAATTTCAATGAATCTCCATAAGAGATCATTCTTGCCTTTATGATATCTCCTGGCAAGTAGCATTTATTCATTTCCAACAAGTCAATCTCATGTGATCTTATGTTTTATTTTCTAAGTTTTATTTAACTTCAATACCTCAATACACCTTCTATGTAGTTATTAACTTTCACTCCATTTATCTTTAAAATCCTAACAAATACTCTGTCTTCTCGAATGCTGTTGACTTAGCCAATTATGATGGCACCTATTTTTAATTCTGGATCTTATTGATGGGATGGGAATATGGATATCAGTTATTCATTCATAGTTAGACTTCCCTTCATTGATGCAAATATTTTATCATCTTTCACATAGGTTCCAATCCCACTTTATAATTCATTCTTATGCTTTATTAATTCACCAGGAAAATATACTTTTTACATAATTAAATAAATATTGAATCATTTTGATTAAAAATCCAATATAGTTAATGCAACTTAAAATGCCAATAGGGGACTAAATGGACTCATGAAATCTAAATTAAATTACTAATCATTAACTTTTCCTAATTGAAAATAAATCAAATCCTTAGTCTCACTTTTCATAATTAACTAAGTATTTTTAACAGAAGCTTGTTTAACTCTCCCAAAAAAGTCAAGAGTGTAAATGGTTTCTATTGTTATTTATTTAAGTACAATCAAATTGTTTCTTAAGAACTGGTTATCGATTCTCAAATGTTGTAATCTAATTTTCATTTCCATTCTATTTCAATAACACCATCATTTTCCTCGGTTATTTTAAGCCACTTTGGTTTGTTTCAAAGAACACACCTCCTAACTATACTCTTGGTTTAGTATTGATAATTGAATGTTTCTCCTTATTTGTTTTTACTCCATTGTCAAATAGAAAGTAATCTGCCTTTGATTACTTGCTTTATTCTACACTTCCTATCAAGGCAGCATCAAATTTAGATGAAAAATCTGGGTCCTATGACAACTTATATTTGTGTTTATTCAATTCTTTCCTTGCAGATATCAAAAACTACTTTTTTTCTTACCAATACAATTTATATTTTGGTTTAAAACTATTCAAACCAGAACTCTCCCTCCTAATTATACATTACAACATTCCTGGCTATCTCAATGGAGTTACTAAAAACTCGCCCATATAATCAGTCTAATCCAAACTCCTTATTATTTCTGAATACGGTTTAGATGGAGTAACTTTATTTTGTTCAGGGATTTAAATTTCAGTAAAATTGAGAACTTCAAAATTTTAATCCTCACTTTTAAATGCAATTTCTTCATTTTAAACCTACTCTTATTCACTTTCGCTAATTGTATTTTAATTTGGAATTTCTTATTCTAATACTTCTTAATTCTTTAATTATTACTACTAATCTCTCTCCTAACAACCTTCTTCAATGGAAGCTCTACATTATTCAAAATCTACTATTTCCGGTTAATTCATTGAATTAGTCGAATTAATAGTCTAAAGTTGGAATCTTAATTAGTCCTTATTCTCATTCTCATTATCAAATAGAATCTAAGTATATTCGATCCATTTACTGAATTAAAATCGACCTCTTATAAATCATACTGAGCCTAATTTGTTCCCAAATTTTTTGTGTATGTTCTATTACGAATTATGACATCTCCCTTAGTTTTCTTTTCTATTTAATATTATAGATTTACTTAATTTTAATTATCATCAACTTATGATTACCCATTCAATTATTATTATTTATTAATGTCATCTATAATGAAATCTTTAAGAAACATAATATTTAATTTTGATAATAAATTATGAAATTCAATTTAATATTTTTAATCAGAGTTTACATAATATCCAAAAGTCATCTCCATTAAATTTAGACCTCTTTTCTTAAGCCATAATATTTTATACTTACAAATTCTAATTTAACTTTATAATAAAGGCTTAAATTTAATTAATTAATAAATTCAGCATTATATTGTAATTCTGCCTATCATTCTCTATTTTTAGAAATCCTAACAGTAAAAAAGTGAAAGTTGACTTTTAATATGAGGTCGATAATTTATAGTACCTATATTACTGGATAGATGGGAAACACTCAATTATATTAAGGAAATTTTAATTAGATTATGCTAAATATTATTTTTAATATTAATAATGTAAATTACAGATGAGAAAAAGAAAATAATGGCTGTCATAGGAGTTATTATATTATTGCTTGGAATCTTATATCTTGTAGATTGGTTGATTGTATTGCAATTTGGATTTCTAGGTCACTTTGTAATTCAAATTCATTAATTAAATTTTAGATCTTTTTTGTTGGTTTATATGTTTTCATAAAGAATACAATTAGGTTATTTGTATTTCCAGGTTCTTATTGGTTATGGAGAAGGAATGTGGAAAATAGATATGCTAAGGCATTAGCTAAAAGAGCAAATAAAAGGATGGAAGATTTATAAAATTTGATAAGGAAATTACTATAGATACCTGAGTAATTTATTTAAGGTAAATTAGCACAAAAGAAATCAAAGTTGAAGATTTAATACCAATTAAAAAAACCTTGCAGTCTTTTTTAAATACTTTTTCAGCATTAAACTATAGAAAAGAATTGAATGAATAATAACAAAATCTCTTTGGTTTATGTCAATAATTAGAACAGAACTTAAAGGATGTTCTAATCGAATCTAAATCTCTCTATGATCACTTAGATAATCCATCGGATTTAATTAACTACTCTAAATAAACTGTGCAAGTCGATTCAGAACTATGTTCTAATATACTAGTAATTTTGGAAAAGTTAACTCATTAATTATAAGAAATGTACATGCCTAAAAACTTTATTTTAGAAGCTGAAAGATGGATCTTTAATAAGACTCTTGGAACGGTTGATTAAATGAGAGTCGAATTAGAAAATACATTTAGAACTAGAAGATTAAAGGTGCAAGGATATGATGGGAAATTGATTGATTGGTAATAATACATTAGACTATCAAAGTTTATACATATGTGCAAACGAGGATGATATGGAGAACGATAAAGCAGTTATATTTTGTTAACCGAATGCTGGATATTATGAATACATGTATTATGAATCAGAATGGATTGATTATTACTTAAGACGTGGGATATCCATGTTTTTATGGAATTATAGAGGCTATTGTGAAAGTCAAGGATTGCCAAATACAAAGGATATCATGAAGGATGCAGAATCCATTTGTGATTATGTAACATCTCAATTGAAAGTGAATTAATTGATATTTCACGGTGAATCTCTAGGAGGAATGGTTGCATGTCATTTGGGTAGAGTCAGATAATGTAACTTACTATTTGCAGACAGAACCTTTTCAAGTATAAGCAAGATTGCTCAAGTTGGATTTTCGAAATATGCTAGCTTTTTATTTAAATTGTTAACACCATGGGATTATGATTCTGCAAAATCTTATGTCGAATGCCAAAGCTATAAGATTTTAGCCTTGGATTAGAAAGATGAAGTCATTCCATTTCTATCATCACTTAAAGTGGATGTCACAAGATAAATATTCTTGAGAGAATTTGGAAGTTAATATTAAACTGATGAGAATGTACTTGTTTATATTCTAGTATTAGTTTAAATAAAGTGATCATAGTGACACACTTTGCTAAAAAGTCTTAAGATACATTCCTTGGATATCAAAATCAGGGAGTACTGCCTTCTATGATATTTGGTATACTCAGTTATTAAATAAATAAGAAATGCTCACGTTTTTTGATGCAAACAAAAGGTAATTTTGATATGTAAAATAGAATCCAATCTATCATGAAATAATTAGAAACTGAAAGAATCAAAAAAACTTTAGATGATTCCTCTTCAATTTATTTAAATGAATCACAAGAAATCGAGGGGCAAATGTCATAGAGTTAAAATTCAACTGTTGATATTGATGAGGTATGAAAGATTGTAATTACTATGATCAAGGTTACTTAATTGGCAGGACCTTATACTTTATCTGAATAAGAGAAATCTAATGAAAATCTCCTGCATTTCATTAAGAAAATTTCTGAATGCTTTGAATCCTTTGAAACTGCTTCTATGACTTTGAATGATGTGTTTTCGATTTTCAAAGAATCACAACAATATGAGGTCTTTCTGGATTACCTACTTAGTATATTCTTTTGGGGGTCTTACCTCCCTCTCAAAAATATTCCAAAAAAAAAAATGAATACTGTAGTTTGTCAGAAGTTAGCTTTCGCAAGATTTACTTCCAACATTAATAAAATTGAAACTCTAATTAAGAATGAAAAAAGTAATTTAGATTCTCCTAATGGAACTAGGGTATATATGAATTACTATAAAATAGTTAATTTAAGATTTGGAATTAATTATTTAACGATTAAAGTTGATAAGGGATAACTTTAAAAAAACAATGAGAAACTAACTACAATAACCATCACATCAATCAATTTAAATCGAAATGAAGGAAACAGAAGAAAAAAAATCAAGTAATTTTTATAATTTAAGAAGCATCCAAAATTAATGAATCATTAAAGAATTAGTTAGGATCCTTAATTCCCTTAGGATGTGGTCATAACGGAAATTTGAATCAAACAGAAGTAGAAGTACTTGACTTTCATATGTTATAAGCTGGAGTTGTAAAATATTGAATTAACTGAATAAATAAATATTAAGATGTTAATTTATATAATCTTCAAATAATCCACTTCTATTCAGAATTATTAAACCTATTAATGTCCTTTGTTACCCTGACTACCTTTATTTTTTTAAATATCATTCTTATCAAATGCTCGTATATCATGTTATTATATCAATATTTTAGCCTTTAGAAAAGCATTCTAAAACTCACAACATTAATGTTCAAACCTTTTGCTTGGATCTTATCTCATATTAATGGGATCTTAAATCTTTAAGGTAAAATTAGGGTGAACATTTTAAATAGGCACCCTATGAATTGATATACATATGTTTTTTAATTCAAACTCACCCTTAGGTTAATAATATAAGAAGAATTCGTACAATAACTATTATAAAGATGTTTAGGTGAGTTCAGGTAAATCAACTTTTAAACCTATCGAAAAAAAGGGATTGTTTTCTAAATGTTCTAAGTCTTTTAGTTGCTATTCACTCAATTAAAAATCGGATAAGTAAGGTACTTTATATTTTACTTATAAAAAGTGTATCATAAAGATAATAATACTATAAGATGTTAAAGAGCCAGTTTTGATTAATCTATTTCTTTTACCCCACAATTTTAATAATAGTCCCATCTGTTTAATTTTAGGATGCAGTTATGAATATTCATAAAGTAATTTGGAATTAGCTATCCCATTAATGTTATTAACACTCAGATCTATTTCAACATTATTTGTAGTATCAACCAATTTAATAATCGGAACCTTTTAGCATATTTGATCATACCTTGGCATGTGTGATGTGTGCTTGAACTTATAATGTAGGCTATAGATTTTAATGGTTATAATCTCTAATTCCTGCATGAACTTATCTTAACAAACTTGAAGATTTATCATCACAAGGAGTTAAGAAGACACAGTCTAAATCTTTAATTTCGCTTCCAAATCCATTACAATAAGACCCAAAAGGATACAAGGCCCCTTTTAATTTTGTCATCTTAAGTGCTTTAGCTAATGCTTCTAGAGATAAAAGGAGGGTATTTGGTATTTCCTAATTAATTAAATTTAGCAATTAATCCTCAAAATCTTAGTTGTAGTTATATTACATCAAAGAAATTTCTAAATTATATAATTATTATAGAATATTTATAACTAATATTATTTATAAGAATAACTTAATAATATGATTATATTCATACTCTTAAGCTCTCAATATTTATCAATTTCTTTTTCTAAAATTGTTTTTTTTCTTATATTTAGTTTCCCCTTTTGGTTAGATCCTTTTAACACGATTGTTTCCAGTTTTGACAGCCTAACATTGATATAGAAATGATTTTTGATCCTTTGATATCAGTTCTTTGGCTCTTAAAAAATGTTATTGTATTCGATAACATTATTTTTTGATATTTTTACTTGGATCGATTCTGGGATCAATAGGATCTACGATTTTTAATGTTCTTTTTTGAATCTCTTTATTTGATCTTTGAATAGAATGAAGAGAAACACAAATCTATTTCTATTCGAATTCTCCATAAGGTTCATAATATTAAAAGTACTCAAATAATAATTATTATAGAGTTGTATTTGAGAGTCTGTGCAAGTTGGGTTTGAGTCCTTATTTAAAGAATGGCTGAACACCAAAATACTCTAATGCTGATTACTATTCCTAAGTGAGTTCAAAATCTGATAAATATGGCACATCATATTTGCATTAAAGGAAATGGATTAGTGTTAACAAAATGGCATATGATGTTAATTATCCAGTCACTATAAGTCTTTAATTCTTTCCCCATAATTTTAATAACTGTCCTAATTATTGGATTTTGGGATGTATTTGAGAATATTCTTTTAAAAGCTTAGAATTCAACACCCCATTTATATTATTTATGCTTAAATCGATAGCTATATCATTTGTTATGTCAGTGATCTTAATAATTGGGACCTTACTATAAGTGATGCTATTTACCTTTGCATATAAAATCAATTGATCAAACTGTAATTAAGGCGTCTAATAGGTGTATTTGTATTCTTACACTGCCTTTCGAAGATTTCTTAAAATCGTTGTAGTACTCAATTCCGAATCGGTTATGAGAACACAATCTAAGTCACTATTATTTCCATGGAATCCATTGCAAAATGATCCAAATGGTAATAAATTACCTTTCAAGTTGGCCAAAGATATTACAGAACCTAGTGCTTTTAAAGTGTCTGAGATTGATATCTCTTGATTTATTTTGATTGAACTTTCTAGAAAGATTTCAAAACTCTTTGGAGTATATTCTTCATTAATCATTTTTTTATATCTATTTTAATTCTTTAATTAACAATCATGAAATCTATTTGATAGGTTTTATACTTCATTCTAAATCAGAATATTGGATATATATAATCACTTAATAAAATTAGATTAAAAACGCAGGAATTTCGTATTTACATTAATAATAGTAAAATAATATATTAATTTTAACAGAAAAATAAATAAAGTTATTTAACAGCATATAATGAAAAGTGTATAGAAGCCATCCTAAATTTCAGCAATGAATAGGCAATTCTCTGTGTCCAAAGATATGGGAAATTTTTCTATGTAATCTCCAGATAAATAAATCTATTGCCCAAAAACATAATCACAAGCCAAGATCCAACAATATGGGCCATCACCCTACATGTAATCACCGTAATTTGATGCTAAATAAGTAAGTTAGAATAACGTTATCATTTAACCTTCTCCTCCTTAAAAATTAGAAAATTCCTATCAGTACAAGCCTAGTATAAAGAATGGGTCGATTAATGATATTTTTAAGCCACATAATCAATAAGAAGTGATTAAATCTTAGAATGAAATTAAGCCCCATTATGAAACTTATAAGTATGAATACAACAAAACCTTTGCTGGTACTTTTTAAAGTGATGCAAATAGAGAATAAATAACAGATAGAAAAAGCAACACCTCAAAAAAAGATGGAACAAGTCTTATTGATTCCAAAGAAAATTACTAATAATTTTAAGCTAAATCCTTATTAACAGATAATCATCCCACTGTTGGTAACAGTAGACTATCTTCCTAAAATATTAATCTAATTCAATCAAAACCCAAGCTTTAAACTGAAATATTTAGAATCTCAGGAGCTTTGAGGGAATTGATGTCATCAATACAAAAGATGATGGGTGATGGTAGACTACCAGATCAAATAAATGATAAAATGATTGAAATTTTAGCAAATTTTAGAAAACTAGAAGAAATAGCTAATAATGAGCCTGTTGATAGTGATTCAAAGATATCTTCAATGGCTGAGGATTACAACAAATTGAAAAATATTCTTGAATAATTATAAACCAAAATGACAGCATTGGTTTAAGAAAATTAAAAAGTAATACAATCAATAATTATTTTTAGTTGAATAAAAATTTGTTTGAACAGGAATAAAAGGTTACAGAAGAGATTAAAAAGAAATAATTAGCTGAAGATAAGGCTAATCAAGCTAATAAAGAGTTTAATAGAGTCTTTGAATGTCTCCAAATCAATTAAAAGGAAAATGAGGAACTAAAAAATAAACTTATCTAATCTGAAAGCTTTAAGAACTTATCATGCTAAACTAGCAATAGGGTATAAAATGATGAAATCAATAATTACAAAATGAAAAATCAATAACTCTAAAATGAACTAGAATAATTGGAAGTGAAATATAAGTAATTATTAACCGAAAAGAATAATTAAAAAGAGATTCCAAAGTCTCCATTAATCATTAAATCAATTCATTCCAGTACTAGCAAATAATCTGAATAGTTGGAATTAAAATTACTTTAATTATAAATAGAGAATGACAATTTAAAAGCAGAGATGGCTCATAATCAAGTTGATTCTAAAGTGATTGACAGCAAGAATGATATGATTTAGAAATTGGAAGAAAAAATTAAATCAATTCTAAAAGAAAAGAGCATTTCTGAAGAACAATCTATTTAGATATGCCATAATCTTGAAATTATGAATGAATAATTAAAGAATAGTCTTTAAAATAAGGAAATCGACCTATCCAATTTATCAAAATAAAAAAATGAGTTAGAAAGAGAGTATAGAAATTAAATTAACAATTTAAATTCAATATTGAAGGGAACAGAAGATAAGGTTTAGATGGCAAAGCAAGATTATTAAAAGCTGTTAGATGAGTTTAAATAAATTGATCTTAGAAAAGGCAAATTGTAGGAAGATTTGAGGAATACAGAAAAGAAACTTGATTCATTAAATCAAGAATTGGCCTTTACAAGAGGAGAATTAAAGAAATCTACTGATAGAAATCATTAGCTTTAAACATAATATGATCAAATGAATTAGTAATTATAATAATAAACATCTTTATAATAACAATTACTATAACAAATTGATGGGTTAAAGTAAAATGAATTATAAGTTAGAATGGAATATGAGAAACTTGAAAAACAAATGCAAGCTGTAAAATCTGAGATGAAATATCAAGTTACTGAGTTAAATGAGATGATATCATTATAAGCAAGAAAAACATAAGAAAAAGAAAGATAACTAAATGAATTAATAGAAGAAATGGGTGGGATGAGAGATTAATATGAAGTCCAAAAGAAAGTTTGCTAGGAGAATGTAAATGATCTTGAAAGAAGATTGAAAAATTTAAGATTGCAATAAGAAGAACTTTTACAAGTAAAAGAACAGGAAATTCTAGATTTAAAATAAACAATGGATTAACAAATAAAAATGTTAGATAAGAGAAATGTCCTTTCTTCATTTGATTATGATTAACGTGAATAACAACTCTAAGCTGAACTCTTGAGTAAGAATGATTAAATAGAGGCCTTGAAATCAGAGGTTGAGAAGGTGAGAAGCAATAATTTTAATGTTTAAGAAGAATTATTAAGATAAGGAATGTTATTGAATCAACATTAAGCCACTATTGCAAATTATAAAAATGAGTTAAGTCAATCTAGATAAGAATAATAACATTTGAGTGAGATGTTAAAAAAGAGAAAAGAGGAAACAGACTAATTGCATTAAAATTTGGAGGAGATGAGGAAGGAATTGTAAAGCAAGAAAATATCTGATGATAGTAGGAGTACTTATTTAAATTAATTATTTTATAGGATCAGCTTTGAGACAATAAGATCTTTAGATTGCTCTAGAAAATCTATCTCGAGAGAATTTAAGTTTACAACAGAAAGTCAATGGCTTGTCTAATGAAATGAATAGAAAGTCAAGAGAATTATCAGAAAGAAATGAGGAATATCAAATATTGAAGAGGAAATATGATGAAACTGTTGCCAATTTAGAAAGACTAGAAAAGAGATGGGGAGAAAAGATAGATTTACATAGAAAAAATTGAACTATAATTATATATATAACTAGTTATGATGTATAGATCAAATTTCTAATTTATCAAATAATTCCGTATTGTAGATATTATTCCATTTAGATGGAAACGATTGGTTTGATAAGTAATTCTATAAGATCTGAACTTGCTATTTCATTTTATTGTTGTTATTTGATTTAATTCCAAATTCTTCTGCAAGCTTTTTAAGATTATTAGCATCATTAAGATCATTGAATAGATCTTTGACATCTGCTTTGTAACTAAAATAATTAAATAGTTCTTTTTTAGTTTTCATTTCACTTGCTTAAAAGTCAGGAATGAATTCTTAATAATCATTAGTTTGAAAGATTACTTCTTCTTCATCTAATGTTCTTTAATCTTATTGGGAATCACAAGGAAATTTATAGATTAGTTTGGGGATATCTGGTTGATCACTAGGCTAGGAGGTGGAATTTAACTTAATTGATAATTCTCTCATTTTATCTTCTATCAACTATCTCTTCATCTCAAGTTCAGAAATGGATTTGCAAAGATGTGAGTGCTCTGTTCGTAATTATTCCATCAACTCAATAGAATCTTTGGTGATAATCGTCATGCTATTTCCAACTTTCTTGTATTTAAATAGTTTAGACATATAGTGATTATTAATAATTATAATTTTATAATCTATTTTAATGGCTGAGGCTAGATTTTCAGATATTGATAATCAATTTGCTGGAGGCTTAGATTTTTAAAAAATAGCCAAATTGGATAAGCTATTATCAAAGGTGGACCATGATTTCAAATAAAAATAATCTAAGGATCTGACAAAACCAAAATTAATGGAATTAATGAAAACCATGCATGAAATTTATTAGATCGTTCTATATGAGATTAGTGAGATGTTAGAAGTTGCACACTTTAGTGAATTGAGATAAACTTTGAATAAAATTTATAATGGGTAGAATTTGATTGTTCATTATATATTAAAGTATGTGCTTGTTCATAAAATAGAATAAATACTAATTTCGAAGTACAGCCAGATAAAATGCTTGAAAGTTTGTAGAAAAATATGATGTAGACAAGAAGGAAATCAGTTGATTATCCTGAAGAACGAGAAACAAATAAAATGGCTCATTCAATAGTGTAACTGTAACCTGTAGTTAAGAAGATGGTTAAGAAAGTGTTTGAAGAAAAAGGGACTGACACAGGAGAAGATATGAAAAATGCCAGGAATCAAGATCATCTTATGAAAAAGTAAAAGGAATTAATGGATATTTAAGATGATTTAGATGAGGAAAGTTAGAAGATATCGGAATTCTTAAAAAACAGAAAACTTGATTTAATGGCTGTTGGAGAATCTAAAGCATAAGCCAATTTGAAGGAAGTCTTGAAGGACTTAGGGAAGAAAAAAAGAATTACCAATGAAATTGATGATGAGGCTGCAGAAATTGAGGAGTAACAACAAAAAGAGAGAGAATAGATATTTAATTTAGAAAACACTCTTATGGATAGTATTAGAGGAGTCTAAAAATAAGCTTAGGAGAAAGCAATATAGGATATCAAAGCAGGTAGAGCATTGATGAAGAATGGATAATTAGTTTACATGGAAGGAGTGGCAAGTTAGACTGATAAAATGAAGATTGAAATTGAATTCTAAGAAAAGATGTAGTAACATAGAAAAGAAGGGGCAGAGAGAGAATCTAAGATCCTATAATTAGAGAGAAGAGTAAAAGATTTAGGTATTGAAAAGGAAGCATATATTCAATAATTGAGCAATATTAACAATTAATTAACGAAAGCAAATTTGGAAAGTAGGAAGTTATAAGAATAATTGAAATCAAAAGAAAAGGCTAGTAGTGAATAATAAGCTGTTATTAATAAAACAGATTCAGAAAAAATAAGAAAATTAGTTGAGGATAATATAAAGATGAAGTTCAGAATAAAGAATCTTATAGACAGCGTGGCAGGTTTAGAGAAGGAGTATAATAGAAGTTTAGAAAGATTTAGATTATTTATATAGAATTCTAATATAAGTGAAGATCAAAAGAAACTGATTTTGAATTCATTGGACAATCTATTGAGGATTGATTTTAATGAGAAATTAAATTTATAAGAGATGAAAGAATTAATGGTAGTGGATGATTTATTGAAAGATCCTTTATTTAAATAGATCTGTGGATCTGATATTTCTGCTATAACCAGATAAGTAAAAAAGGATGAATTAACAAGAAAATAGAAATTGGCAAAAGTGCCATTTTATGATCCTTTGTTTGATCCTGAATTTCTGAATCCTGGAGAAAAAATAATCACGAGAAAAGTCATGAAACTTGTCAAAAGGTAAAATAGTCAAGGAGAATGGGTAGAGGAAGAGACAGAGGTAGAAGAGGAGGTTGTTGTCAATGCATAAGGTGAAGAATTAAGAGCTCGAGATAAACCAGTTATGGTTTAATAATCAAAATAAACTTAATAATTTTTAGAGTAATTTGGTGGATTTGCTGTTGGAGGAGCAAAGATAAAGATACCAGCAAAGCCTATTACTAAGGATGGTCGTTAAGTACAATTAAATGAATGGTTTGAAGATAGTTCTGGTAAAAAGGTGAGGAAGGTTTAAGCCAAAGATGGAGAAGAGACCTATGAAGTACAAGAAGAGTATATAGATGAGAATGGAAAAAAATAAATAAGGATTAAATAAATGAAAGTTAAGAAAGATAAGAATGGAAATGATTATATTGAAGAAGAGTTTGTTGATGAAAAGGGTAGAAAACAAAAAGTGGCTAAAGTATTTATATAATAATACAATTTAGAGAGTTACTAAAGACAAAGATGGTAATGAGATTATTGAAGAAATCACAATTGACGAATAGGGGAATAAAACCATCAAAAAGTAAAAAGTTTATAAGGATAAGGATGGTAATGAGGTTGTAGAAGAGGAATTAATTGATCAGTTTGGTAATGCAACAACAGTCAAAAGAAAGATAGTGAAAGATGCAAATGGAAATTAAGTTATTATAGAAGAAAAAACTGATGCAAATGGAAATAAATCTATTGCTACTATCAAAAAGAATTAATTTGGATAAGATATCATTCAAGAATAAATTATAGATAAAAGTGGAAAAATATAGCAAGTGGAGAAAAAAATGGTTGTGGAAAATGGAATTGCTATTACAGAAGAAGTTACGTTAGATGAGCACGGCAATAAAATTATCAAAAGAACTAAAATTAAGAAAGATGAAAATGGAAATGATATTATCGAAGAAGAAACCATAAATGCTGATGGATCTATAACTATCAAAACATCTAAAAAAAAATAGAATGCTGATGGTACATTCACTATAGAAACAGAAATTATGGATTAAAATGGGAAGGTCACAATTGTTAAGCAACGTTAATATAAAGATAAAAATGGAAATATCATTACTGAAGAAGAATCTGTTGATCCATAAACAGGTGCAAAGATTATAACTAAAACTTTGAAGGATTAAAATGGAAAGGAAATTGTCTAAAAGCAAATAGTTGGGGCTGATGGAAAAATTATTAATACATAAAAACAAGTCTAAATTGATAAGGATGGCCATCCTATTGAAGTTGAAATTGTAAGAGGGGAAAATGGGTAACAACAAACTGTATAAAGGAAGGTCTAGAAGGATAGGAATGGAAATGAAATCATAGAAGAAATTATAACAGATGAATAAGGAAATAAAAGATTAATTAAGACCAGAGTTATCAAGGATAGAGATGGAAATAATATTATTGAAGAAGTAACTACTAATGCCGATGGAAGTAAGATGACAGTTAAAAAAAAGTAATATAAAGATAAAGATGGACTTGAGATTACAGAAATAGAAACTATTGATGCTGATGGAAACAAGGTTGTTATTAGAACTAAAAAAGGATTAAATGGAGAATAAATCATAGAGGAAACTAGAATTGGAAAGGATGGTAAGGTTGAAAAAACAATAAAGAAATTTAATAAAGATAAGAATGGTAATATTATTGTGGAAGAAACTTAAATATCTTCAAATGGAACTAAAACTGTTAAATTAATTAAATTAGGTACGGAAGATAGAGAAATTTAGACTGAAGGAATCTTTGATTTTAGTGATAAGTCACAGTCATTATTAGATTAGATTTTAGAGTAATTGGGTAGTATGGGTTTAGAAAGAAGTAAACAAGAATAAATAAAAAATTGGGTTATGCTTAAATAACAACTATAAGTTAAAAGGACAACAAAATAGCAATAGCAATTATAATAACAGGATTCAGATGAGGAAGTCTTAAAACCTAGACCTTCATCTGCTTAATCTAGTAAATCCTTAGATTCTTTAGATGAAGATTAAGCTGAAGAAGATTAATCAGATAAACTTTATCAAAGGTTAGTGCAGTCTAAAAATGGGTAAATGGGGGAAGTTCTGAGATAAATTAGAAATTAATTAGGAAAACAAGGTAATTATCTATTTTATAGTCGTAATAGGAAATGAGTAAATATCTGTTGAAGAATTCAGAGAGTACATGAAAAAAATGAGATAAATTCATGCTCGATGTGGTGATAATTGTCCACATTTAAGAAGGTTTTATCAAAAGATCGGTTTTGCAACAAGAAAATATAAGAGGAGATTCTTAAAAATGAACCTAACCAAAATAGATGCGAAAACTAAACTTCCTTAGCTTTAGAACTTAAGTACAATAAAGTGATTTGAATAATATTGTTATTTAATCTATTTACTACCTAAAAATAATTAAATTGGAGATAATTCTTGGTTAGACAGTCTTATAAAATTATGATTCCACCTATAATACAAAAAATAAGGCTTATAATTCATTGAGATTGAAGCCAAAATGAACAATGCAAAACTAACATAGATTTTAAATACTCCACTTTACCTTTTTATTTAATAAATAATCCTATTCATAATCAAATTACTATTTATAACAACTATCTATAAATTTTAATTATCAATAATGTAAAAATCCTAACTGATTAGAGTTTTAAGTGATTCTAATAAGTGTCCAACACCGTTTTAGATGTCAAGGTAGTTAAGTTCAGAAACTCCAACGGGATTTGCACAATGTTAATCAAATGATCGAGAAACCCTGAGACTGACAAAATAAGTAAATTAGTTAAAAAAAGAGAATGAAACATTATAAATAAAAATAAAACAATTAGAATAATAAGATTTTAAAACAAAGATAGCAAGTTTGGAATAAAAGAATAAATAATTAGAGCAATAATTGGATGCTTACAAAAAATTGCCAATCGATCAAATTACTTCCCTTATTGATGACAATGAACGATTAACAAATACGGTGGAAAACCAATCTAATAAAATAAAATAGCTGTTAACATAAATAGATGAACTTAAAGAAACTTCGTTTTAAAATGAAGGAAAAAATGATCTTATCATAGCGATGATTTAAGTATTAATTGAAACCATAAATTAAGGAATTAGAAAATCAGAGACTTTATGTTTAAGATGAATACCAAAAGCAGAAAGCTTTGAACAAAGAAAAGCAAATATTGTATACAGAGCTTTAATTGGCCAAACAATAGATTAAAGAACTGAACCAAGCTATAGAAAAGATTAAGTTGCAAAATTTGGAAAGTAGCGAACCTTGTGATGTTCTGCATTAAGATTACTTAAAAAGTCATGACGCAGTATTAAATTTCTTAAAACAATAATATTGATTAATAAAAAAAGATATAAATCTGAACATAAATTAAATTTAAATAAATTTATGAACAACCAAGAAAGAACCTTCATCATGGTCAAACCAGACGGAGTCTAAAGAAGACTTGTCGGAAAAATCATCCAAAGATTCGAAGACAGAGGATTCAAACTCGTTGCCCTCAAATTCGTTGCTCCAGACTAAGGTCTTTTGACTTAGCACTATGCTGATTTGAAGGAGAGACCCTTCTTCCCAAGTCTCTTAAAATATGTCAGTTCAGGCCCAGTTGCTGCTATGGTTTGGGAAGGAAAGGACGGTACAAAATTGTATTAAATAACGTAGCTGTCAAGACAGGAAGAGTCATGTTAGGTGAAACCAACCCACTTGCTTCAAAACCAGGCACAATCAGAGGAGATTTTGCTATTGATGTCGGAAGAAATGTTATTCACGGATCAGACTCAGTTGATTCAGCCAACAGAGAAATCAGTTTATGGTTCTAACCTTAAGAATTGGTAAACTGGAATACCAATGACCACGGATGGGTTTATGAATGATGAATGTGTACAAAATAATATAAATAACAACTTTAAGTAGCCTTTCATATTGTGCTTTGATATAATCTATGCACTTTTCTCAAATTCTAAAATAATTGTTTCTTATACAATGTTAGAAATGTATTAAAAAGTGCCATTTTTTGAGAATTTCTCATTTAATAACACTATTGAAAGTATAAGTTTCATTTTTCATATTGAATTGGTGATATTTTATCTAGAATTCCCTCAGAAAATAATTAATATTTTATATTAAAGATGACTAAAATTCTTGTAATTTACCACTCTTTTTCTAAGTATCTTAAACAGATAATGTAATTATATAACCAATCAGATCTATCAAATGATGTTTCAATCTTTTCTAAATAATTTTATTATTATTTCTTTTAACACTCATATATCGTAAGATTTTAATTAATATTAAGTTTAATAGTGTCAGTTCTTTTCAAAGATAAAATCTTAAATTGATTATTCTGTAATTACAAAAATAATAAAAGTTTTAAGAATTTATATTAAAATTTAATTATGTTGGGAAATACTTAGTATTTCAAAAAAATTCATGATGCAGTATTTAAATTACTCTATGGATAACCTAAAAAATTAATTCCAAGGACTTTAGAAGGCCCAATCGTATGGCCATTTTTTTAGAGGTCTCTGGAAATTGAGAAATTGAAACATTTTATATCTTACGAAGAGAATATATTCAAATAATAGGTGAACTCAAAGAATACTGTGTTTGTTGTTGGAGCTAAGGGAATCGGTAAAAGTTGGTTTTTAAGGAATACATGCAAAAATTCAATAGTAATAGATAATTCGCATATAAATTTTCAATCATTTTTTGATCAGATGAGGATGGAGATAATAAAATATGTTTCTGAGCAAAAATTGGTCTCAAATTAAGAAATACTTTAAATTGCATTGAGAAAATATTTGCCTTAATACTTGGACATTTATTTTAATTAATATATTAGAGATTAATTAACTGAGAATGTTAAATAGGAATTAAAAGTAAATGTAAGCTAAGGAAACTAATTAAACAAATTGGATTGGGATACAGGAGAGCTGGAGTTTTGGGAAGAGGATGCAAAATAAATATAAATGAATTCCTATAATTCATTAAATGTTGAGAATAGTTTTTTTTAATTAGCAAAGTTAATTTACAAGGATGATGAGTGTTTTGGATGTTTAAATTTAATGATGGATCTAATCCAATAGATAGAAATTGATAAAATTGATAACCCTATTAAAATTAATGCCACAATTGCAGGTATTCTTTATTGTACTAATCTGTAGCTCAACAGTAAACGGACTTTCTCTTTGACATCCTTAATTATGCTTCTGGATTTGATAAGAGCAGCAATAAGAAGAAGGAGGTTTCTCTAGTTTTATTGAACATAGACAAATTGTTGGAATATTATAAATACGACGCTGAAACTATAGACTTCTTTGATCACTTAATTTTAAGAACATATAACCCGTATGGCATTCGAAATCACTTTCCTTTGGTAATAGAATCTAGCAATAGCAAATTCTTTAACAGGGATATGATGGAGATGATGAATATTGAATTAAGTACAGTATTGCACATTGACATATCTGATATTAATAAAGAATAGATTAAAAGTTAGATAGAAGGAATATTTACATAGTAAAGCTTAGAAACTAATTTAGAGAGGAGATTGATTAAATTTATGAACGCCTTGGAGGCTCATTATAAGCGTGGCATTAATTGACTAAGTAAGCTGTAACAAATGATGAATTCGAATTGGAGAGGTGGTTCGAATCCTTCAGTAAATTAGAATACAACAAGTTCAATTATTTGATGAATATGACTACAATAAACAATGAGATAAGCAATTAGCTTGATAATAATCATGTGGATGCGAATATTTATCGAATGATGAAGGCCTTACATTATTTTAAAGGTAATATGTTTACGGGAACGTACTATGCAGACATGATATTGATGGAAAATCCAATAATCCATGCTTTGCAACAGGAGAACGTTCTGTATCACCCTAAATATGTTTCTCATTTACACTTTACTTAAAAATATTACAACCAGTTCTGCAGGGAGTATTTACAAAGGAGGAAAAGTATGAGTATTATATCAATTTAGAATAAATCAAATATTGGCCTGAAGAGGAGAAGGATGCAGATTTGTTTGTTTCAGCCTTTAAGTCGGAGAGGAAGAAAAGAGGAGAGTATTTAGTATAGGTTACTGATGAACCCAGAAGACACATATATGATGACATAAGAAAGGAGGATAGACCATATCATGAGTATTACTTGTGAAGGAAAATTGAAATTATCATCTTATAAAAATATTGTTTATCTAAATTAAATCTAAAGGAATTACAAAATTAAAACAGTGAGGTGCATTAAGTTGAAAAGAATATAATCGAAATTTACCAAGGATGTATTTATTTAACTATCATAAAATTAATAAATAAAAATTATGTATGAAAATGATAATACAGATACAGCTGACAGTCATCATAAAGTAAATAATTATTAAATAAGAATGAGGAATTGATAGAAGAATTATAAAAGTATTGGCGATTAGTGATTTCTCATATGGGATAGGATTATCAACATCTATTAAAATTGTCTAGGGATTCTGATGCATTGGAATTGGTTTAGTCATTGACGATTTTAGAAGATATTAGATTTAATGATTAGAAAGTTCCATAAAATCATGATTTAGAAAATGAAATACTGCAATTTAAATAATAAATTTCTAACCAAAAAAATGAATTGGAATCCAAAACCAAACTCATTCATGAATTACTAAAAAAACAAACTCAAATATAAGAATAAAATCAATAAATGCTTCTATAGTTGATAAAAAAAGAGGAGGAAAATTCCAGTTAAATAGTTCAACTACAAAAGGAAATAAAAGACAATAACAAAAATTAAAGTCGAATGCCTTTGTAACTGCAATCTGCACGTCAACCAATTCAACAATATAGTTAATCAACAAAAAGCTCTCCCTAACCCAGAGAATTTCGTCAACTAAGCAATTATTATTAAACTAAATTAAGTAAATTGATAAAGGTTTAGGGTACTCATAATAATGCAATTAAAAATAATAGCAATATTGTTTTTTAATGAAGAAATGGATGATTTCTATATTTTTTTTTTCTTCTGTTAAATTTATTTTCTCATATGAATTACAAAACCAATGATCAATCCAATTTAATATTTTTAAAATCCCCTTTTTTAGTTGGCACTTCAAATGGTCTAGCCTCAATATTTTCAGTAGGAGGTCTGATCCCCTAGAATAGAATAAAATTAAAATACTACCTTATTAGATTACTTGGTACCAATGGCAGTTTTCTTGTTATTAAATTCTCTCCATTTATTAACTCTATCATCTCTGGTCTTTTCCCACTCCTCCTCAGTCAAAACCTTATACTATTCCAACATTTTCCTTCTTTCATACTCATCTAATTTGTATCTCTTTTATGATGATTCTAATCTCATAAGGTGTTATTTTCTGTCTTCTATTTCACTAAATAGATTCTTGCATTATTTTTAAAAATCACTCTCAAAAGTATCAGCTTAAAATTAAATTCAAAATTCTACGCGGCAAAGGAGCAACTCCAGTTTTTTCTCTTCTCTTGTTTTCTCTAAGTCTTTCGAATTCAGTTTTCTCCCTGGCTTCCCTCATAATTCTAATGTAAACCTTCCTCTTCTCAGACTCCATCAATGTTTTGTATGCTTAATCAACTATTTACCAACAGTCTTTAGCCCTAGGATCTTGACATTTGTCTGGATGTAATAATTTTGAGAAAGAGTTGAACATTTTCTTGATATCTTCATCTGTAGCTTCCATTCCCAAATACAATACATCGAAAGGGTTATAGAATGTCTCTGATGATAGTCTCTCCAATTCCTCGTCAACCTTTAAGACCTTCTTCAGAATTGGCTAAAATGGATTTTTTAGTGCATGGTTGATTTCTTATTATTACATAAATTATAAATAAATTATTTAACGGATGATTTCTTTTATGGTAATGTCCAACATGCTATCAGAACAATTAAAAACTCAATACAAGAGTAAATCAGTCTATTGGAGACAGGAAAAAGAAAAACTACTTCAAACTTTTCAGCCAAGGCAAAATAACTCATAATCATAATAAAGATCAAGAACTAGTGAAAGAAAAAGCATTATACGTAACTTAGTAGATTCACTCTATCATCAAGGAACTCCTGAAAAGAACAAATCAATTTATTATCATTTCTAGTCCCAAATCACCTAACAATAATAACAGTAATAATATTAAAGTTCTGCCAAAAAATAACATACAGATGAATTGTCCTTATCTACTATTATCAATAAATATTAAAAGTAAGTTGAAAATTGTAATTAAAAATAAGTAGTATATGATCCAATTGCTGAATAAATCAGAGAATCATTTTAAGAACTCAAAAAGAGGTCTGTCAAAAAGTAAGAAATACAAAAATGTTAATCCGAATAGAAAATCATTGAAAATAGTGCACACAAATAAAATATATTCAGTAGAATAAATCAAATCAGAGAATTTATTGATTAACAATTAGGAACTAATGCTGATGAATCTAATAAGGATATTAAATATGAAAGCTAGTATCAATCAGATGTTGATTAAAGTTCAGGTAATTTAAGAAATAAATCAGTTGAATTTAAGTAGTTCTTGGATTAGAGAGTCAGTGTTGGAAGAGATTCTACAAGCAATAGATTAAATCATAGAATTAACAAGCTTCGATCAATACGGAGTTGTTCAACATTGGATGTTGGAATTTAAGTTTCATTATAAGAGGATAATTTAGTACAAATAAATTCCTAAAGATAGAAACAACAATAAGAAAGCTATCAATAATTTAATGATTAACATAATTCTTAAAATTATTAATAATAAAATTTAGATAGTAGTGATAATTCAAGAAGAAAGCTAGAAGAATAATATGAAGTTTAAGACACAATATAATAAACTTCTCCATAATAATCTTAAAATCCATATTATTAAGTAGAATAATCAGTAACATCAGAATATTAATTGCCATTTTAATAAATGTTGTAATAGCAATATTTAAATGAAGATTCGTTATAAAAAACTAAAAATTCAGGAAGAATGAGTAGAAGGAGTGAATTTCTGTAAAAAGCAAGGTATTCAACTAATGTTAATGATGAAAATAAGGACAAATTCCAAGTAAATATTGAAGAAATCAAGAAAGAAAGACTATCAGAAAATGAAAGATTTTCAGTAACCTCGAATGAAATAGGTGGCAAAGATGGAATCTTATCCAATTTAGATTTCAACAAGGAAAGATTTTCAGTTAGATCAAATGAATAATATATTTAAAACAAAGAGAGAAATTCATTTAAATACAGTGGGGAAGAAGAATATAAGGATAAATTAATATTGAAACTGAATCAACCTGAAATTGTATCTCCAGTATATTTTAAAAGTACATTAAATAATAAGGAAAATCTCGAGAACCAATTTGGCTTCAAACTTAAATATAACAATTAAGAATAAGAGAATAAATAAGGGGAAGGATTTGAGAACAAGCTAAATACTATTGAAATACCAAAGATTATTCAAGCTTTAAATTTTGATAATATTGAATTAAGTAAACCCTGCACTGGCACCTAAATTTCAGTAGATACAAATAGATTCTAGCTAGAAATTTAACAAATCATTGAGAGATAGAATGAAACTTAGGATGTTTAATTGAAATAAAATGAAGCAATCACTATTTAATAGGATTTTGCTCTGACTAGTAATAGATCATAGTTATCCGTTCCTATAACAGAACCAACGTAGATTCAATAAAATAATTAGATTAATACAAATTTTATCAGAGTGGAAGAGGAGATTGAAGCAGGATAGCCTGATATTAGGATAATTGAAAATGCTACAGGAATTACAGAATGCAATCTGTAATATTCTGAAGACACAGCAAACTTAAGAATTCCAACTTAGATTAGTAACAATGAGGAAACAAAATTTAAACCAGATTCTTATGTAACCTGCGAAATTTAATTCTAATAAATTAAATAAGATTATCAATAGTTAAATTAATTATAATCCACTTAATCAAATCAAATGAATTAATCCTCATTTGAGTAATGGTTATCATAAACTGATTAAAACAAAAGGATTTTTAACTTTAATTGTTAATCATAATATTTTTAAAAAGAAAAATGTGATCACAGTACTTAAATCAACAAAAGCGACTCAGACTCAGATGAGGAAATTCAATTCATTAAGAAAAAATAATAGAAATGTCTATTTAATTAAGGAGTAACATTATTAGTTAGAAAAATTACTTCAATATTAAAAATTAGACAGATCAAATCATTTTATGAAATGAAGGAGTATTCTCTACATCAATCTCAATAATAATAGCAATAGTTACAACAATTCAAATCTTCTTTGCATACTTACCATTCTCCTATTGAGTCACAATACTCATCTTAGTTTTATTCATAATAATAGTCATTAACATCTCTTCCTATCCCTTCATCATAGATCTAATAATCATAACCAGACTTTGTTCCTCAAGCAACCAAGGAATAAGCAGCCTAAGAAAAGATATCTAATCTCTTAAAAACAATAATGGAAGAAACAGGATCAGATACATTAAGAATGTTGAAAAACAAGTCTAATTTATCACCGATAGCCAAAAATTCAGAAAAAAAAAGATTAAACAGTAGCACAAATTCTAAATTAAGAATATCAAAAAAGTGCTCAGCAGCTTCAATTTTAGCATCTATGCAATCCCCTGTCCAAGAAATAAATGATAGGATAAAGGTTAATTTTATATAAGAGATGGGATTAGAATCACCGACTTAAAAACATACTGAACATGCAGAATTACATGATTGCAGTAAATATTCATTATTTTATTTTAGGTCCAATAGCTGAGCCTATGGAATTTTAAGATGTATCAGTTCTAATCAAATAGAGGAGAGAGATGAAACAAATTGCCGACTCTAATAATGGGAGCAATATAATAAATAATAGTTATAATGATTAAAGACATTGCTAGATTTTATCTCATCATATTGCAATTTAAAAAGCAAAAATTGCCAAAAAATTTTAGTAAATTCATTATAAAACAGCAGGACAACAGTAATTTAGAAAAGAAAATTATTAAATTTGATTATTAATAAATTTTATATATGAGATAAAAATTATAACTTAAAGGAGACACTTCGCTTTCTTAATCAGCCATTTAAAGAAGAAATTCAAATCAGAGATAGAAATCTCCAGTATAGGGAAGAAGATTATTCTTGAGTCATGTAATTTAGACTCCTTAAAGTCAATAATATGGATAGACTCAGCAATAATAATTATAATAACCTTAATAACAACAACTTATATAGGGAAGATCACATAGTTAATCAAAAGTTGTATTTCAAGAGGAAATACCTTAGAAATGGCCAATAATATAACTACCATTTTTGAAGAACACTGAACCAACAATATTTTTTTAGTACCCTCCTGTTTGCGAAGATAAAAGACCTTTAGTGAATGCAAGGCCTATGACAGAAGAAGAAATCAAGAAATATTCATTAACTTGCAAGGTATTGGGGTCTGCTCCATATAAATGTGTATTAACATCGTTTGATTGGGCAGGTTTTAAAAGAATAGATGAAGATGACGAAGATGAAGAATGGAATGTTTAATGGGGAATTGGCAACAAAACAACTTTGAGAAATATGAATAGATATCAGAAAATTAATCATTTTCCTGGGTGTTGGAACATGGGTAGAAAGGATCTATTGTGGATAAATTTAAGTAAATTCAAAAGAAAGTACCCTAAAGAATATAATTTTATTCCAAACACTTATTTATTGTAATATGATTATGATAGATTTATTATGGCTTAAGAATCTGCATAGAAGGATACTTTATGGATTAAGAAGCCTTGTGCAGATTCTAGAGGAAGAGGCATAACAATGATTAGCAAAAAGTCAAAGGTTAAGAGAGACAAAAACTTTTTAATTATGGATTACATTTATAATCCTCATTTAATTAATGGATTTAAATATGATCTACGAGTCTATGTCCTAATATCATGTTTTGATCCTTTGAGAGTGTATATGTATAAGGATGGTCTCGTAAGATTTGCAACTCAGAAGTATTCTACAAACTCAAAGGATCTAACCAAGAGGTATATTCACTTGACAAACTTTGCTGTGAATAAATTATCACCTAATTTCGTAAAGAATTAAAACTCTTAAAAGGACGATGAAGGATCAAAATGGTCTCATCATGCCTATCGAAAAAAATTAGAGGAATTAGGAGTTGATTCAAGGGAACTGTTCAATAGGATTAAAGATGTCGTACTAAAAACATGTATTGCAACAGAACCATTTATGTTGGATAGTAATGCCAAATCTCAAGAACACAGAAATGGTTATTTTGAATTATATGGATTCGATGTACTCATTGATGAAAATCTCAAACCATGGGTATTAGAAGTTAATGTCTCACCATCTCTTAATTCCAGTTCACCACTAGATAAAAAGATTAAGACTTTTTTAATTTCGGATGTCTTGCATCTAGTTGGAGTGCCTCTTTGGGATAAGAGTAACTAGAAAGTTGCATCTCCTCCTAAATACAATCAAAGGAACATCAAGGAAATCCCAAATATCAATACATCTAATTGCTTAAGCAAGTTATCGTAAAATGATTTTAATATGCTCATTCACACCGTAGAGGAAGTCAAAAGAAGAGGAAAAAACTTTTCATGTATATTTCCAAATCCTAAAACTATTCATTAATATATGGATCTATTTGAATTTCCTAGATATAATAATAAACTAATTGAGCGCTTTTATTAAGACAGATGTAATTGGTTGTCTAGATATAATTGATTATAATATGAAATTCATTTTGTTATTTATTGTATTAATATATTATCAAGTCTATTATTCAATCATTTACAATTATGATGGCTAACTATAAATCTAATATTTAAGTAATCTCATAAGTGGACTATTTTCATTCATTATTTCTTCTGATCCTAACTTTTATGTAATCTACAAATCTTTCGATAGTTCTTTCATTTATTTATTACAAATTAGTCATTATTCATTTACTAGTTAGGTAGTTTAATAAATATATTAAGTTTTTAGAGTTGTGATTTCGCATTTTATGCAGCTTAATAATGGAGTTTCTGTTGAAAAGCAATAAACCTCATATAATATATTCAACAAATTGCACCTTTTATCATCGAAATACTATTAGTATGAAGTTGGTATGTGCCTTCCAGTAATAAATATCAAACATCCATAACTTTTAATATCTTTTCCTCATTCATACAATTTTGATAGTCTCCTATATGTCCTAATGATATTCTTTTTATTGCAATTTGTTAAGAATTAATTCTTGTAACCTAAAATTTAGAAACCACATTATATTTCAATTAACATCATCATTAGATAGAGGAATTAAGCGATAATCAAATCAACTAAATAAAATTGAGAATAGTGTGCAGGAGGAATGTTTTTTCTATCTTTAATATTGTGTTTTTGGAATTAAATAATTTAATATACCAAAATGGGATAAGAATAATCTGTAAAATAATGGGTTATAATATTAGAATCTGCCTTCAAATAATTTGGTTGTTTAATTACACATGCAGAATTATGAAAAATTGACTAAATTAATAGAATAGAAATTATCTGATTAAACATTCACAATTGATAAAAGAATAAATCAAGTATGAAATATTGGATCTTTTAATTAGATGGATGATACACTTCTCCACTATGCAGCTTTTAAAAGAGACAAAAAATTAGTATAATTTTTACTATCAAAAGGAGCTTCAATTCATTGCAAAAATTCGGTATGTAAATTTGTTTGATTTATTAGAGGAATCTTACTCCTGGGGATGTTACAGATGATCAAGAAATAAAATTAATGCTGGAAAGCAAATGAGAATTCAATGAATCACGCATGAATAATAAAATATAACCAATCAAATTATAAAAAATTATTAAAATTAATATGAGCGCTAAAAAAGATAAAAATCAATTTGAGCAAGATTCAGAAGAGGAATAAATAGTGAAAAAGGTTAAGAAAAATGAAGAGCAAAAGAAAAGTAATGATTAGAATGATGATGAATTTCAAATTGACTCAGAATAAGAGGGAGATGAAGAAATTGAAGATGATGGTAATTTATTCCATAAGTATTTAGGTATCTAAACTTCTTCTCATTCCAGTATAGATATATAGGCTTATTTATAACAAAGAGACTAAATTCCAGATAACGATGATGATGGTGATGATAATTAATAAAAAATGAAAAAGTTAACTCAACAAAAATAATAACAATAAAAAGTGCCTAAATAATAAGAGGAGGATGGTAGTGATGATGATGATGAGGATGAGGACGAAATTGAAGATGAGGATGAAGAAGATGAAGATGATGAAGATGATGAAAATGATGATGAGGATGATGAGGATGAAGATGATAAGCAACCTTAAAAGAAATTTAAAGTTTAACAATAATAATAATAACCAAAAAAATAAAGATGATGTTACATAAAGTTTGTTTATTTCTGCATATTATTATTGAACATTTTGACTTTAATAATAGACTTTGTTAATATTTGTTGTTAATAATCATTCATATTAATTCAATAACTATTATTAAATAGCATAGTGTTTTATGTTTTGTTAGTCATCTGCCTCTCTAAGTCTCTATTAATAATTAGTTCGCAGATGATTAGGTACAATTTGATCTACTCCTCCCCTTTATTCTCCTGTTAATATATTAAAACCAGTATTCCCTCTTGTATCTAAATTATGGGCTCTTACAAATTATCTCACTTTTGCTTTCTCGTCAAATTGTCTCAAGATATTGCCTTATTCACTGTTATCATATTTTAAAGTAATTGGATTATAAGCGAGTCTAATCAAAACAATAAATTCCTGATATACCCATTTGAATTCCTTTTTCCTTGAGTTAATTATTGAGTGTGGCTCATGAGTTTCACTTAATCTTTGGTTTCCACTTTTTCTTAATAATCCCATTTTTTAGTTTCTCTATCCAATCCCTCCCATCTCTTTCTTTCAATGATCTTTTCTCTTTACCAAACTTCGTGTTCCCTTTGTTTTTTGTCTGCTACTGCAAAATCTTTATCAAATCTCTCATTTTCTAGAATTAGTCTATTCATACCTGGAACATATAAGGTAGACTAGGGAGGTGCCTGATGAATCAATGTTCCAACTCCCAATCCTCTAGCCTCGAATCCAACTGTTTGACTTTTAATTATTTAAATTACCTCTCAAATCGATCCTGCTCTTCTCTATTCTATCCTTATCTCGCAACGCTTCCTAATTATCAATTAAATTTAAGTACTCTTTCTTGTCTTGTCCTTGGTTATATGTTAATCATTAATATAATAAATTTATTAACGAATTCATATGGGAGGATCTTGCTGTAAAGATGAAAATTAGGAAACTAATAAAGAAATTAGAAATGCCCCCTATAAACCAATATACTCACATGCTGAAAACATGCCGCCAAGAAGCCCATAAACTAAATCTAATCAAGAAATCAGAACCCACCTTTTGCAACCAACAATGTCAATTCAAAATCAATAAGTTCAGATTCCTGTTATTCACAATGGATTAGTCAAAGAGATGCTTGGTAAATTAGGAGAATACCAAATTCCTTAATCCATTACAAATGAAGGTTTAGAGGTTACACCTCCCATTTAATTTGATGATGGATCTGTCTATGTTGGAGGCTTAAAAAATGACTTCTTTCAAGGATATGGAGAAATCTATTGGGACGATGGAACTCATTACTGTGGCCTATTTAATAAAGGATCCAAATCCGGACATGGTAGATTGATATATACAGATGGAGATGCATATGTATAAAACTAAACTTAATAAGGAAGGTGAGTGGTTGGATGACAGACAACACGGAAGAGGAAAGTATTGGTACTCAGATGGAGGCATCTATGATGGAAGGTTCCTTAATGATTTAAAAGTAAATTGGCTTACGCTTATTCTTTTTAGCATGGTTTTGGCAAAGAAATTTTGGCTAATGGAGAAACATACGAAGGAGATTTCTACAATGGAACAAGACATGGAAAAGGAAAATTGATTATGGCTGATGTTGTCTTTGAGGGGTAATTTGAAAATGGATTAATGGTTGATGGAGAATATAGATGGAATGATGGAAGAAGATATAAGGGTTAGATCAAAGGCACTAAAATACATGGCCATGGAGAATTTTGGTTTCCAGATGGAAGATACTACATAGGTAAATTGTTTCAATTCATTCTAGGAAATTGGGTTGAAGATTAAAAGGAAGGATAAGGAGAATTTCATTATTCTGATGGTTCTATTTATGTTGGAACATGGAAGGAAAATAAACAAAATGGATATGGGAAATTCACTAATAAAAATGGAGACGTCATAAACGGAATTTGGGTTGATGGCACTATCGCTAAGTGAATCAATAAAATGTATATTTATATTAACTTAATTGTTATAGATATAAGTTGAACATTATATTTAATTTCTAAACCCAAACACAGAATAATTATATAATAAGCTTAGTCTTTATTTTTTCAATGTAAACTCAATATCTTCTCTTTGGTGTATCATAAATTCTACTTTAAACAAAATTGATTTCATCATCTAAGACTCTTTCTCTTTACTTTCGTTCAATTTCAGCCTCTAATTCTAATCTTTATATTCTCTCTTAACTCCTTTATCTTTCATATTCTAAATCTCTTTCTATTTTCTCTAATTCTCTGCTTCTTTCTATGCTCCGACGCTAATTTTCTAATTGCTAAATCCTCAACTCGGATTCTCTAAGCTATTCAATTTTCTCTCTACTTTATTTCATATCTGATAGTGTTTTTTCCTATTCTCTGCTCTTTCTTAATGCTTCTATCTAGTCTAATCTCTCTCTGCTTTTTTTCAATTCTGACAATCTTTCTTAACTTCTCTTCAAATCCAACTCTTCTCTTTCTTTCTTTTAAAATTCTAGCGCTTCTTAATAAGTTCTTAACTCCTCTATTCTTTTTCTTTACTTTTGAAGTTCTTCAATCCTTTCCCTAGACTTTTTTTGCTCGTCTATTTTTTCATGATTTTTCCTCTCCTATTCAAGTTACTATAGCGTTTCTCTACTCTTTCTTAAGTCTTCTAGGCGTTCTCTGCTTTTCTTCAATTCATCAATTTAAGCTTGTCTCTCTCTGCTTTTTTTTAGTTCTTCTAATTCTTCCATTTACTATCTACTTTTCCTTAACTCCTCCAATTAATTTAATCTTTCTCTACTTTTTTTTAATTCTTCTAATCTTTCTCTACTTTTCTATAGATCTTATATTTTTTCTCCACTATTTTTCAGGGCTTCTTGTACCTCTCTACTTTTCTTGAGATCCTGCAATCTTTCACGACTCTACCTTAATTCCTCTAATTATTCTATTTTTTCTCTGCTTCTTTTAAGTTCTTCTAATTACTCTAAATATTCTCTGCTTTTTTTGAGTTCTTCAATTCTTTCTCTACTTCTTTTAAGTACATCGTTTTCTTCTTTCTCTTTTTCTAATTGAATTATACGTTCTCTACTCTTCCTTAATTCAGACACAATTTATCTCTCCTGCTAAAAATAATCTGATGTAAAAATAATTGCCTCTAATAATTCAGAATAATTGATCTTTCCATCTGAATCCTTATCTACAACTCTAAAAAAAGCAAGTAGATCATCAAAGGACAATCTGACTCCATTTTATTTCAAGAATTCTGAAAGCCTAAGAAAATATAAAATTATCTCACGTCTCAATTGTAATGTATCCTAAGAGGGTTTAATCAATGCATCTAAAAGCATCGAGAGATGTAAAATCTGCACTTCCAGTCAAAATTTCTTGCGCCGTTGCTATAGAACTAATCTCAAAAGAATGAAAGTACTTATAATTTTAAACTTCTTAGTAGAAGACTTTAGAAAGTCCCCATTCGACTTCAGTAGGTAATAACATGTTAATTTCCAACGCGTAGGAATCCCTTAGTGTTGCAATTTACCTCAGTCTTGAGTCTTCTTTTGGTAGAATAGCCTTAACAAAACTAGACTCATAGAAATATTGGTTTACTCTGGATATGTGATTTTACCATCTCGATTTTAATCTAATTTCTAAAATAAATAATCTGCTTAAGCTTTTGACACAGTTATTTTATTGTCCATTAAGAAATCAACCAAATCTGAGACAGTTAATTCACCAGTTCTCAATTAATCTAATCTTTTGAAAGTTGTGTAAGGTTCAAACATTTTTTGTTCAGCCAGCACTTATCTGAATATTTCTGTTTTCTTCTCCCCTTCAGCAATAATCGTAATTAAATTTGCTAATCTCAATTATGTTTTTTAAGAGAGGTACATGATCAAATAAATTTTATTAAACTTAAATAAAAATTAAACTTAGTTTTTCAATAAGGTAATATATATCAATTAATTAATTAATGTAAATAATTAGATATTCAAATTTCCATAGCTGCCAAATATTGCTCTTTGTCATTAACCAGTTTTTTATTAAAGTTTTTTTAATTGTAAAGGTTATCCTTCATTAATATATGCATTTATAATAAATAGTTATTCTATCACCTTTAATTTTGATGAATTCTTTTTAGATAATATTCAATTGTCCTAATTTTCAGGTTACTTCTATTCTTCAATTTTATAAATAATTTAATGGATGTCATTGATTATATTTGCATTATTTAATTATTTATAATACCGTTAATAATTTGATTATGAAATCTCAACCATTGTAGTAAATTAACTTAAATACCAAGCACCAGAAAAAGAAGAGTATTAATGGAAGAAATATATATGAAATTGGGGGTAAATATAATATTGATTTAAGGAACCCAATTTGTTGTCGATGAGCGCTATGAATGTCATAAACAAATAGGACATGGAGCTTACGGAGTTGTATGTTCAGGTGTTGATTTAGTTAAAAATAAAAAGGTTGCGATAAAAAAAGTATTAAAGCTCCCATTATTAGATTTAAAATGCTTTCGAAGATCTTATAGATGCAAAACGAATTGTGAGAGAAATCAAGCTACTTTAGTTTTTTTAGCATGAGAATGTTATCAGCTTATTTGATATTTTAAAACCTGAATCAAGAACTGGATATAATGATATATACATAATAACTGAACTGATGGAAACCGATTTACATAGGGTCATCTATTCCAGATAAGAATTAACTGATGAACATATCCAATATTTCATGTATCAAACACTGAGAGGATTGCTCTACATTCATTCAGCAAATGTGATGCATAGAGATTTGAAACCAAGCAATATTTTAGTCAACAAAAATTGTGATTTGAAAATATGCGATTTAGGGTTAGCTAGAGGTTTTGAAATAGAAGACGAAAATAAGACAGAGTAATCAACTATTATTTATGTATAGATATGTAGTTACAAGATGGTATCGAGCTCCAGAAGTAATCCTTTAAGCCTCAGAATACACTAAGGCAATCGATATTTGGAGTGTTGGATGCATTTTTGCAGAACTTCTTGGTCGTACACCTCTTTTTCCAGGAAAGGACTATCTAGAATAAATATAGAGAATCATCGCTGTCTTAGGAACACCCTCGAATGATGAAATGAAATATATTACCAATGAAGGGGCCATCAAATATATTAAGTAATTGATTATTTGAGTTTAGATCTTTGCCAAAAAGAACTAAATAGAATTTTAGTACTTTATTTTAAAAAGTAAATCCTACATGTTTAGATCTTTTATCCAAGATGTTGACTTTTAGTCCTTTTTAGAGGTACACTGTTGAATAATGCTTGAATCATCCATATTTTGATGGATTGCATTCTAAAGATGATGAACCCATCTGTGATTCTGTTTTTGATTGGTCCTGGGATAAAATGGAATTAAAAAAGGAGATATTACAATCAGCTGTATATGATGAGGCGACATAATGGTAATAAAAGCACAAAGGAAATTCTAAAAAGTTTTGACCAATAAAATAATGCATCACTTTTTGTAAGCATCATAATAATATTAAATAATATCATTTTGTACACATTGCAAAGACTGCAATATTATATAATAATTGCATTTTAAATTTGTTGTGATTTTAAGTTTTTTCTTGATTAGTTATAAAAAATCTAGTAAATTATTTATTAAAATATATTGCTTATCAATATAATTATTAAATAAAGAAAATTAATGTCATCCAAAAGTTATGATCGATAAAAAATATTGAAGGTCGAAGCAAGTTTTGGTCTGACAAAAGAGTAGTATGAAAAAAAATATTTATTTCATCGATTAAAGGAGAGATTTTTACATAGCTCTGATTTATCATTAGAGACAATCACTCCAGAAGGACATGAAAATATTTATATTCCCATGGATATTCAAACTCCAACTTAGGCAGATGGTCTGAGTTATGAGGATGAATAAGCCCTAAGAATGCATGGAGCTCAAATATGTTTTCAAGCATGCAGTCACTTAAAATTGCCTTTAACTACTGCCATTACAAGCTTGGTGATTTATCACAGATTCTTTGCAAAGTAAATTATGATGTTTGAGTCTTAGGAATTCTTTTGTTGATTACGATTATCGTGAAATTTCAATGGCTTCCATATATTTGGCAGGCAAAGTAGAAGAAACAGTGCTGAAAACCTGGTACATTGCTAGTACTTTCAGCTCCGTGTTTTAAAAATAAAAATAAACTCCGTTGTAAGAATTATAGAGATATTAAATAGGGACATAATAATAAAATAGGAGAAATTGATACTTAAGGAACTTGGGTTTGAATTATTTAGAGTTTCAGATCATCCGCACAAGTTCATAGAATCATTTTATCATTTTATTAAGGTCGACAAGCAGGTAGCTCAAAAGGCATGGTGTTACTTGAACGACTCATACATGACTGATTTATGTGTACATTTTCCACCCTAAGTTATTGCAGCAGGAGCTCTCTATTTAGCATTGAGGATCTGTAATCATCCAATGCCTTCTTAACCATGGTGGATTCTATTAGAAGCTACTTTGGATTAAATTGAGTAAGTGGCTGCAACTATATATAATATATATGAATTCGAAAAGATTGATTTTCGATAAGCCAGAAGAATTCTAGCCAAAGCCAATAGAGTAGCTTATGTAATTTAACATAGTGAAATTTATGGTATTCCAGAGAAAATTGAAAAACCATTAGAAGCTATTAAATCAACACCCTAATAATAATAATAAGAATAATAATAAAATACTAAAGTAGAACAATAAAAATCACCAGTCGATAAGAAAAGCATGAAAAAAAGAAGTAGGTCTAATGAAAAAAAAAGTAAAGATAAAAAGAATAAATCTGAGAAAAAGAAGAAGAAAGATAAGGATAAAAAGAAAGAAAAAAAAGACAAAAAAAAGAAGTAACTATATATTTACTATATTATTAGAAGTAGATCTAGAAGCAAGTCAAATGAAAAAAAATAATCAAAAAAAGATAAAAAGAAGAATAAAAATAAAAAAGATCAGGAAGGATAAGAGAAAAGTAAAAACAAAGAGTCTGAGCTAGTTATCTAATAGGATGTCAATTAAATTGAAACCAAAATGGACATTGAGACGCCAAATGATTGCAATAACAATAACAAAAGCAACAACAACAATATCTCATAATCAAGCACAGGTAACGAATTAAAAAAGGATGACTAATTGTGCCAAATACCTATTACTGATTAGACAAATAAAGATCCATATCCTTCAGCATAACATGTTATTAATGACGTTTAGCAGCCACAATAATTGCATGATGAAAAAGAATAATTGAAAGTGTAATTGCCATTATAGAGTAAATAGGATTTGATTGCTTCAATAAAAGCAATTCTAAAAACTTAATAATTATAGAAGGAGAATAGTAAAGATTAAGATAAAGAGAAGGAGAAGGAGAAGGAGAAGGAAAAAGAAAAAGAATTAGAAAAAAATGAAGAATAGTCTCCAGATGAATAAGATTCAGAAGAAGATGAACAATTATAAGCACTTAAATTAAAAAGTAACCTTAATTTAAATATTTAGTGTTAGCAAAAAAAAGAAATGATTTGTGAGCTCTGTAAAATAAATTCAAAGAATATGTACAAATAACTTATTATCTTCTTCTTATTTTGATTAGCATTTTAATATAAATCATTATCCATCTTCTACATTAGAATGAGTCTTTTAATATAAACTAGTAAACATTTTATTTCAAAAAAATTATCATCCATCAAATATTATAAGTAATTATAATAAGGCTGAATAATCTGTTAGTTAAAATGAAAGACCAATAAAGAAATTAGGCATCAGCATTCGATTATCTATATATAACTGAGGAGATATCAAAATATCATATATCATCATTTCGTTAAGTTCCAATCATTAAACCTAAGAAAATATCTGATAATCCATTTTACGCTTTAACTATGCATAAAAGGAAAACTACCCCTAAAATTGTTTAGACAGTAGAATAAAATGAACAAATTACGAAAGCCTTTCCAAAAAGAGAATAAAGGCATAAATTGAGATCAAGAACAATTACTGATAATTCAAGCGTAGAATTACCTAAAATTATAGAGAAAAAGTGGGAACCTAAGAAAGCGCATATGTATTATAATTTGAACTATTTGATATAATAAACAAAGAGAGGTTTGAAAACAATTCATTATTGAGAAATTGATTGATAAATAAATTTAATTGCACTGTTAAGCTCTTAATCATAATTGTTTTTCTAGTCAAGAAAAAGATAATTTAAGTGAACAATTCAAATACTATCAAATTCCTTCAAATGTCTTTTAATTTTAAGCAGTTCCACATTTAATGTTGTCATTAATCATTTATAAACTTAAATACAAAAATATCTCCAAATTAAATAATATAATCCTAATCTATAGTTTAAGACTGATTTAATATTTTGAATATTAATACTTTAAATTCAAAATCTTCTAGTATACTTAAAAACGGTTGTTTAATAAATATATCAATAAATAGTTACAACAATTAGTTGTTATTAAGAGTAGAAACGCTGTCAAGTTTTTAATTATATATATAATTGAATCACAATCTTATATCTTTAATTTCTATTGACTTAAATAAATAGACATATTTAATGATTATAAAATTTAGTTTTATTCTTGAAATTATAGATTATCTCATTATAAAATGATACTTTTCATTTAAAAAACTATTATTACTAAATTTTGTATTTTGATCTAATGAAATTAATTTAATTATATTAATATTTATTAATCAATAATGAAATAATTCGGCAATAAATCCTTTAAATAAGACATCAAAAATAAGATCGTCTGCTTAATTATTTAATTAAATTGCTAAATCTAAGCAGAAAATCATTCTTTATATTATGTTTTAGTAAATTTCTTATTTTAGTTAGAAATCAGAATACTATATTTCTACTTGTTCCATTTCATTTTATAAATACACTATTATATGAATTTTATTTTATTAACTATTATTGCCTGAAAAGCAATGTGTTTTGAGGATCTATTAAGTAGGTACTTTCCACAATTTATTAAAAATTTTTTACATAAAATGTGTTCGAATAGATTTTAGATGGACATCCCAAGATTCTAATTTAGAAATCATAAATTTATGTTGCTTTTCCCCTTTAATTCTAGCTGAGTGGTTGTTCTTTTTTTGGGTTTTATCATTAATTTTGGGGACTGATGTAAATAGAACAAAATTACTTGACTTGAATTTATTCATTTATAATTTATTGGCGTAATCTAATACTTTAGAAAAAAAATCAGATCCTCCAATTATTTTACTCTTGATTGAGCTCTTAAATTCAAATAAATTGTCATATTATTACTACATTGATGTTGGTTTCATTTATTGTGGTTGTTGCTACCCTGTACTAAATTAATCTTCCATGTCCATATTATCAATATATGAGAATTCTTATCTTAATAATATGGTTATAACTACCAATTGGCAAAAATTTATTTCTCTCAAAATCAAGGTCAGAAAATGCAAAGTTATTAGTGTCACCGAAATTGAAATATTCATCCGTAATTGAGTGTTCCTCTGGAATACGAAATTGATCAGCTTAAAAAATGCTTGCTTCCGAATGTTGAGTCATTCCATTTAAATTCTGATTCACCAACAATAAAAAAAAGCAAAAAATTTATATCAAAGTAGCAGAATCAAACTTTTTTCCTTTTTTCCAGTCCTGACTTTCTTTTAAATTTAGCATGTTATTAATTATAACAAAATATAAATAATTTCTAAAATCATTTAAAAAACTTTATCAATCAATAAACTACACTTATATTCGCCTTTCACTCCTTTCTTATGGTTTACTCCTTAACTAAATAATAATCATTTACAAATTTTTGAGTTAAAATGAATTCAATCCCAAATCATTTTTATAATGTCTTCATTGCTAATAGTATTTATTAATTAATATAATATTAATAGAATTTTTGATATATATACAGATGATATAAAAACGAAATCATATAATTCAATACTAATTAAAATATAATATTTTATAATGTTGTAGAAAATCAATATATACGCGATTGAAACTTCTTATCTGAATGATATTACTTATAAAGCTATTTTTAACATCAATTTTAATAAAAATTATTGAAGCCATCTATTATCTCTTCAAAAATAATAAAAATTGGAAGAAACTCTACACTGAGGAAACTCATTACAACAATATGATTATATTACTATTAAAATATACCTGAATTTAAAATACAAGATATGTTTTTAATTGATAGATCTCAAAAATAGTTGATATCTTAAGGTATTATTTAAATTCCAACTCATTATTTTAATATGATAAAATTAAAATTATAAAATGAAATGTTTAATGATTTCTAATAATCCTTATTGAATTTATCGACAATTTAAGAAGCAAATGAGGAACTGAACTTTAATGTTTTTCTTTTACTTTTGATGGGTCTTAAGTATAAATAGAATTTAATGGTTTTTTTTTAAATCAAATTCATCAAGTTGTATACTAAATTGAAATAAATTCAATAACTTTGTTGAACATATTCGATGATTAGTGGATAATCAAACAATAGTGAGATTCTGAGTTTATGAAATGATTTTAAAAATGCTATTTTATTTAATCAGAATATTAGAACCTATTATAGTTAATTTTATATATTATTATATAATTTGGAGATGAGTGATGAGTTTTTGACTTGCGCCAAGATTATTGAATTTTTTTGGTTACTGCTAACATTTGTGTTCTTTTTTTTTGCTGCTTATGCTAAATTCAGATTGAAAAAGGATATTCATTTAGATATTGAGAATTTGAATTCGAATCACACATCAGTTAAATATTAAGTTCCGTCTTAATAAGGAGATGCATAGGAGATTCATATGGTAGATTAAAATGTTTCGAATTCTGGATAATTATAATCGACTGCTTAATAAAATAAAGAACCACCTGTATGTTTAAAAATCAATATTAGACAAAATTAGAAGAATTTTACAAAAAGTCACTAAGTATTACAAGTAGAACATTCCCTTAATTGGCAGTGGCTATTATTTGCATTTTGAACGGGGCTAGTTATGCATTCGCAGTAGCTTGCGTCATTTTGTACCTTGTTTCAATCATTCTATTTAATATACTCCAAATATAAGATTGTTTAGGGTCTTAAGCAATGAAAAGTATTTTAAATTTATTATATTTTGAGATATGTTTAAGTTGACAAATAACATTTGGTTAGTGTGTCTATTCATAAATTATTTAGCTAGTTCATTATTTTGATTTTATGATATTTTATAAAGGTTTTTAGATATATTAATTAAACAAAAAGTATCTTTATATGATTCAATTTTTGTATTTTGTGTATACAACTTGTTATTTTTTGTCAAAAGAGACCTTTTTAATGGATCTTTAAGAGCCAGCTGAATTTGAAATATTTGAGCTCTCTTATCCACTCCTTTTCCTAAGTGCAGGCTTTTGTTTAGAGGGTTCAGCCATTGAATTTTTTTGTTCAAAAGAATTATTTAGATTATCATTTGGATTACCATTTTTAGAATTATTCATATCATCATTTTTAAATTTGGATATATTGATGGCTTCAATGGCAAAATTTTTCTTAATCCAGGGATTTTATTGTTAACTGTCAATCTCTTCAGATTGTTAAGCTGTATAAAACAAGAGCTGTTCACTCCGTCTGCCATTTTATGATTGAGATAATTCATTTTTTGGAGATTCTTCCTTCTCAACCTATTCATCAGTTATCAAAATACTGATAACTGGAGTAGGCTTAAATAAATGGGGTGGGCCAACTATTTTACTTAAGCATTACGACCTTGTTTTTATTTCCTCTTGAGCTTATTTGGATTCTTTAACACAAATTGATGTACCCATATTTGCAAATTATTATTAATTTAAATAAGATAAATAAATTAAATAAATTTATATAATTATGTTTTGGCATCTAATAGTCTCCAATTCTTTTAGTTACATCCTAGAGTTATTTCCTAATTATTAGGAAATTTGACTCCTCTTTTAATTACTTTCGATTTACGCCTTTAACTCACAAAACTAAAATTCAAAAGGACTTTTTTTAAAATATTAGTCCTACTGAACAAGGCAAAAAATTAATGGATTATCATCTCTTTTTTCTAAATTAAAATTGAACAACAATTTAAATTTGTTATTTGATTCTACAAAATCTCACTAATATCTAAGAAAATTAAATAAAAGTTTTACAATCATAATATAATTAAGATACAATAATTAAATGATTTTAAAATGAAAGTTTAAATTATTATTTGATTTAATTGAATAGATAATCAAAACCTTATTGAGAAAGGTATAAAATTACAGGTTTCACAACTAAAAGATTCCATAATGATTATAATAAACATTAATTAATAGATTCAATGCTTCTATTCATCATCGACTTCATAAATGGCCTACTATCTTTACTAATTGAATTTCGAGTATGTGAATTTCCTTTTTATAACACTTTGTTAAATGAGTCGAGGACTATTACTAAAATTCATTCTCCCTGAATCAGGTGACTAAGTGTCTGGTGTTAGTGGATCAAAATCTTGAGTGGAAAACTTCTTAAAAGCACTTTTCTTAGGAAATTCAGTTGGTGAATTATCATTTAGGGCCAAATTCTTTTTTTTTGCATGTTATGCTAGTCTTGGACTATTTAAGGTAGGAACTCTCATTTTGGGGGTTTCTTCATCTACATTATCATCATCTTTTTATCTAGATCTTTATTTGATTTCTGGTAATTAAAGCCTATCAGATTTTTCAGTTTTGAAGGTTGATGTTTACCAAGGTTTACTATTATTGTTAAGTTATTTTTTAGATGATTGAAATTTCATTTTTCTATCAATGAATGTTCCAGTAAAAAATGGATGATCCAAAGCCTATTATGCAGAAATCCTTTGGTGTGGAACAGCCTACAACATTTAGGATATTAAGTCTATGGCTGATTAAGGAGTTGAATAGAGACTGAGAGTATCTAAATTTATAATGCATTTCTTGTTTAGCTTGAGAATTTCATGATAGTCATTTCCCGGAAACAAATCTTTGGATGTAATTCTAAGGGTTAAGATAATAGTACAATTTATAGAATATACAGCCAACGCTGAACATATCACATATCTTATCATATTTAAATGTAAGATCTTTAAGATTGGCTATTTCTGGTGCAACATATCCAGGAGTACCACATTTAGGAAAAGGGTATGTAGCAGCGGTCTGCCATGTGGCTAATCCAAAGTCTACGATCCTCACCCCATGAATATCATTTAATTTCTTAAACATTATGTTTTCTGGTTTTAAATCTCTATGCATAATGTTCAAGGAGTGCATATGAGCCACGGCAGTTAGAATTGCCTAAAGGAATATATGTGATTTAATTACAAACATGATAGACCTAATTTCATCCCAATCCAATTAGATGATACCCTTGGAAATCAAATCATGTAGTGAGTTCCCTTTCAAGTATTCCAATATGAGATAAAAGGTAGTTTCTCCTTCGTATACTTCTTCCATCTTCACTATATTTTCATGATCAAGTGCTGCCATCAAATTAATTTCGTTGAACAACGCTTCCTAATTTGATTATAAACACATAATTATACAAAGCCTCCATCTTCTCTGAGGTATCTCTTCTCAACATTTTTGGATGCGAATTCATATTTCTCACATTTATCCATAACCAGATAAACCTTTGTATATAATAAATAATAGAGTACTCTTGAAGAACCTCCTCTTCCTAATTATTTGATAGGCAGATAGAAATCACTCACATCTCTATACATAACTCTATTTCTTAGTAATCTCTTTAACTATTTAAAATCTTCACAGTTTCCATCGAAATACTTGACTTCGTCTTTGCTTTCAAATCCGAATTGTGTAATTTTCTGTCTTTCTTGGTTCCAGTAGACTTTCAACTAAAGATTGATTTCGAGAACATATTTTGGTTATTGGGAATTAAGCTCCTTACTAATATTATATGTGAAATACTTGAGTCAAAATCAAACTATTGTCTATTACATACAAAAAGTATGTGATTTCCTTGCGAGTGTTTTTACGTTGGCATACCATCTAGAAAGATGCGTTATCATACACAATCTCACTGATATTGTTCATATAATAAGCTAAATAATATTAATTTAAGCATAATTAACAAGGTAAATATTTAAGAATTGCTTATTCAATTAAATTGTCATAATTCATGAATATCATTTTATTCTAAATCAACATTATATACTAAATGAATATTTTAATATTCATAATTTTGGAAAACTCTCATCACAAACGAGATAATTATATATTCAACATTTTATAAATATAGACGCTGTCAATAAATTTAAGAGGAGAATCACAGTTTAAGGACTGTGACTTTGGCATCAGATTAGATTTCTATTTAATTAATTGAACAATTTTTATATAAAAATTTTGATTTCTTAAAATTAATTGTGAAATTAAGAATGCCATTTTAAATCATCTTTAGTTTTCTTTCTTTAATGTCTCACGTAAACGAATTCTTAATTTCAAATAAATAGCTACCTTTCTTTTGCCGATCTTTCCATATCTCCAATTTCATCACTTCCCAAACGATACATCACAAACAATATTACTCCAGCAAACCATCCCATATAAATGCAAAAATAAAAAGCATTTTTTAACCTTAATTCTCTTGTTTATGGTTTCAATTCTTCATCCAACTTCTGACTATCGATTAATTGTGCGTTTACTTTTGAGCCAATTGTTCTCGAGTCAATTGAGGACCTCTTTGAAAATCTTTGAAATCCTGTTTCTGTCCTTTGAAATTGTATTTGGGAGGAGCATCTATCTTCTACCCTCCTTTTACAACATTCTCATAAAAATTCTTATAAATGTTCCTTAATTTTTACATTAATTATTATTTATATCTACCCTTAATTTTTATTATAACTAAATGGGGCAATAGTGTTGTAATCTCAAAAGTGGCTATATTCCTGATTAGATACCAATAAACATTTATACTCCAGAGCAAGTCGATTATCAAGGACTTTAAACCGCGAAATATGTGCTCGAAGAAGTCAGTTAGGGTTTCAATGATGACTAAAGCAACCGAAATATAATTGAAGATGAGCATTTACCATCGGATGCAATGAAACTAAATGAAATTCCTAAACAGGATAACCAAATTGCAGAATCAATTCGACAATAACTTGGCTCTATCAAACTAAATTATGACTCTGAGTACACAATTTATCAGCCCATATAAATTGTAAATTACAAACCCAATGGAGATATTCATTCAATTGTCATTTATGAAGGCTAATGGTATAAACAAAAAAGAAATGGAGCAGGGATCCAATACTATCCTGATGGTTCAATTTATGAAGGTCATTGGTGTCATAACAAGCACGATGGATTTGGCAGAATCATATATGCAGATGGTGAATATTACATAGGGGAATGGAGACTAGGATAAACTCATGGTGAAGGAACCTTAGTTACGAAGGAGTTGACCTACATAGGAAAGTGGGAGGATGATTTATAAGTATTTGTATTTTGTATTCAGAATGGACAAGGCTATGAGAAGAAAGCCAATGGAACTACTTATGAAGGACAATTCAAAAATGGACGGAAACATGGATCAGGCTTAGTAAAATATTCAGATAATTCCTAATACAAAGGAAACTTTGTGGAAGATCGTTATGAGGGTATTGGAGAATACAGATGGAGTGATGGTAGAACCTATGGGGGAGAATGGATAAACAACTACATGAATGGTAAAGGAGAGATGAGATACCCAAATGGAGATAAATATATAGGTATTGCATTGAAAGACTCTAGGTCATTTTAAGAATGATAAAAAACACGGATTAGGAAAATTCATTCAAGCAAATGGTAGATCTATTGAAGGAGAATGGGAGGAAGGTAAATTAAATGGAGAAGCGAAGATAACAGAACCTAATGGAGAATCCTTTTTCGCAAATTTTAAAAACGATTAAATTATTTGACACATACTTTAAATAAATATTAAATTAAAATAAAGAATTGAAATTTACATTTCAATATCGTATATTCTTTGAAAAGATTAATTGAAGAAGTAAATTAGACTATTTTTTTGCGAGTCCTCTAATTTTGATTCATATTAAAAATCTGACAATGGTAGCATAAATATATAAAAAGGATAAGATAATTTATTTTTTCAAAATGAATAGTTGAGATAGTAATTGAACCTCCTATATAAGATGATCTAATTTTAAAAGGATTAGTCACTAATAATAATAATAATAACATTAATTTGTTCGAATAACAAAGAAATTAGAATTTTTATTTTATTAATTTTTGCTATTTATCTTGTTGAGTTGATTATGTTTTAATCTGGGAATATAGTAAAATTATCCCTCAATTTCTGAATCTTTAGTGTGGAGTAATGCATATTTTCATTTTTTTAAGTGAATTTGGTTAAATCTGTTTAGAGTATTAAAAATATCATCAATTTTATTAATTCAAATTTGGATGAGCTCCCTCTTTGTCAAATGTTTATAATGCAATCAAAGACCAGCAACAATAAAATGTCAATAGTGTAAAATTGGCTAGGTTGTAAGATTATGCTACAGCTGTGATTCACAGGTGCATAATAGATAGGGACCTATTGGTTAGCAACATAAGACAGAAATCATTCCTTATTAAGGTAATAATGCAAATATAATGTGTCGTAGAAATGTATTAAAAAGCTCCACAATCAGCAGGTTAAACAAACTTGGGAAATAAATTTGAAAATACTCAAAATGCTCAAAAAAAATAATAACCTTAACAGTCATAATAATCTTAGGGGCAATTTAAATTTGCAGCCACTACTAAATAAGAACCACCCTAATTCGCTTAGAAGCCTGTTACAAATGCAGCAAAACCTCTTCAATAACCTGGTGCAAGGGAAATCAATTTCTCTGGCACGAGATCAAACAATAAGCCAAGATATGATTAAAAAGAGGAAGAACAATACAATAGTTCACAAAAAAATTCGGTAATTGATGTATCCTTACGTTTAATAGGACTAAAAGGCATCCTTAAATAACCAATTGAAGGAGGAACAAGATACATGTCAACAACTTAAAAAAGAACTAAAATAAGCTTAGGATTAATTGAATTCTATAAATAAAGAAGTTGAGAAGAAGATGTAAATAGCATTGATTTATTTCTTTAGCAAGGCATCCCAATAGGATCTTGAGAAAAAACTTAATGATTTGAAGAAGGAAGGGGCTGAGGAGAAAAAGAAAACTTAATAGTTGACTGAGGATGTTAAAAAGTTGAAAGACCAATTGAAGAATGCTGAAGTTTAAACCCAGAAGAAATTGGATCAACAAAAGAAATAATATGAAAAATAAATGCAAGAAATGGAATAGACTATAAATGAAAAACAATAATAAATTGATGAAATAGCTTAAGAATTTTAGAATTACAATCTAGAAGATATTTAAGCTAAAATGGAAGAAATGGCTCATGATATCAATATGAAGGACTAGATTATCGAATAATTGCAAACTCAATTGTAAAAAGGGGAAGGCCATTAGAATGGGGATGGATAAGATGGAGACAAGGAAGAAATCATAGCTTAAATAGACTAGAAGGATTAAGAAATCAAGAAACTTGAGGATTTGATAGAGAACTTCAAATAATTGTACTAGCATATGTTGGATGAAAAATAAGTCATTATGGAAGAGAATGAAAAATTGGCAAATGAGAATAATCAATTCAGAGAAATATTTAGTGTATTATTAATAATAAGTGATTTAGTAAAACTTACACTTGTTTGGAATTGATCCTAATTAATTGGAAGAGGAGGGCGAAGGAGAAGGCGAAGACGGAGAAGGGTATTAGCAAGAGGAAGGTATATATTAGACTCTATTAGGTGAGATAATTGAAGAAGATGAGACCAATGATACATCTTGATAATATATAGTATCATTTTCCAAAATATTATTACAACTTCTTATTTTCTCCTTCTCCCTATCTTTTATCATGGTTATATTCTCCAAAATATTAATTATTAGTGTAATATTTATATTACAATACTATACTACATAATGTAAAGTAATCAATTAGGATATGTAAATGGCTATTGTAACGTTGATAAATTATATAATAAAAATATGGTTACATCATAAATTTACAGTGATCCTAATTCAAATTTTAAGTATATTAAATTGTAAGCTTCAATGGTAATATATATATTAACATTATTTCAATTGATTATCATATATATATTCACATTTCTAGTAGACTTATTTAAAAGATTTCTTTGTCAAAGTTACATTCATCATAGATATGTTTAGTTGTTCTTTTATTTTATTTTTATTGTGGTCTAACCACATAGGCAGTTTAGCAATCTAAAATAAGTTGAAATATACATTGTAGAAATCTCTGTAATCTTTTGAAGTACAATTCCTTCCATTGGGAATCAATGTCTCCATGACCTCCATTTTCCACCAACCAAACCGAGAATAAATGATGAGCATTTTGAGCTAATTGTTCAGCATGGACAACATTAATCATAGAGTCAGCTCCTCCATGAAGTAAGTAAACTGGGGCTGTCACATCAACTATGTAATCAAGATTAGGAAATATATCATTATATGATGTGTGATCAATGGTAGGGTCAATCACTCTCAGTCCACTTGACAAACCAGAATGAATGATCAATCCTCCAACATCATGTCTCGAGGCTAGGTTAGTGCTTGGTCCAGATCCTATACTATAGCCATAGATTATGATATTCCTTGGTTCAAATTGCAATTGATCAACTAAAAAGATGTAGGCCGATTCAATGTCGTACAGCAAGTTTATGTCAGTGGGATAACCAGTGCTTTAGCCATAGCCTGAATAATCATAGGAAAATAGGTTGATTTTACACTCCATGACGATATCAACATACGTATCAAACATCAAACCGATATCTGTAGAATTGCCATGACTATATAGAATAATCTATTCGCTGTTTTAAAATTCAATATAAATAGACGCAATCAAATTGCCAGACTTGGACTCCAACACATAACTAGAAATAGGCAATCCAGGATTATTATCAATCTCCATAGCCTTCAATTCATTGCTTATAAAATTAAACTCTTGTGAGGGATATTAACTTATGTATTATATTGTTCATACTCTTAATTCTTTGGGTTTCTCAATTGTTACTTATATTCTGCACTTTATAGAGTATTGTAGTATTTTATTCTTGGGGAAATAATCGAAAGATGTTCCTTCGTTAATTGATGCGACTGTCTAATTGGTTATTTGACTTGTATTAGCGGTGATTGTGGTTCATCTAAAGTCCTAGATCTCTCTTCTTGCATTGGGGACAGAGTAATAGTTTTTATCACTTCATTTCTGTTTCGTATTAAATAACCTACTTCTGGGGGGTTGAACGCAACGTACTGAACTATAGTTGATCTCAGACATCTAATAACTGACAATAGCTTAAACAATCCGGTCAAAATTCTTTGAAAAATCAAATACATATATAATGAAATTATAAATTTTATCAATCACCCAAATTACAACCAATTTCTTCCTCTAAATGGATAATTTTCAATATTTACAACAGCATACTAATGATCACACTGTATCTTCTAGATTCAATTCATAAATAATCAAAATAACAGAATTAATAAAAAGTTAAAATATTATAAATCATAGAATCAATCAAAGAGAAATGAAAACTACATTTTTAGCATAATCTAATATTATCATTAATACATACAAGAATATAGAACATCCATTATATGGATTGATAAGTTTTAAGGATGGTTTCAACTAATAATAAAGGTTAGAATAAGAAATATTACAATAAACGATTTGTTTATCTTAATCAGTGCCAACAATTCACTAATTAAGATTGGTAATGTATTATAATTGCAGAATAATTTTTAACATATATGTAATTATATAATTGATGCAATTTATCATGAATTTTTACTATGATAATGGTTATTAGTTACCTTGAACTTCTAGATGTTTATGATGAGTTTGACTTTCTACTTTCACTTGATGATTTCCTGGATTATCTTCTATTTTATCTGTTTTTTTTGAAATTTCTACTTCTTCTCCTAGATTTTGATGAAGAAGAAGAAGATTTGGATGAAGAGGATGATCTTCTTCTTTTCCTATCTCTTCTTTATCTTAATTCTTTTGTAACATACATTACCTTTTAGCATCACTAGGAGTTCTTGACACAGGACATTCCTTTTTGATATGGCCTTTCTTGTAACACCTGTAGCATGTTTCTCGCAAATCGCCTTGATATAAGATGATAGCTGAAACCTTCCTTGCATTCATTTGCCCAATGGCCTTTGCGTCCACAATTGAAACACACATCTCTGGCTGTTGGTCCTCTTACACCTGAAGGTCGATCATCTTATCATCACACGATCAAATGTCATCCTACCTCTTTGTTTAACAGTGACACGATCACCACCTATCCTTCGCCCGTCCACTTATGATATTGCCTACTTAGCCTCATCTGAAGCTTCAAATTCAATGAAGGCATGTGTGCTTCGTAGATCAATATCCTTTATCTTCCCATACTTCTCAAACTCCTGTTACAAATCTTCCCGCCTTATTTTAGATCCCAATCTTCCTACATAAATTTATCGACTCATTTCTATAATTGCCAAATGTAATATAAATAAATATATTTTAAATAAAATTTATGCTATCCTTCAAAATTTATTAAATCCACTTGGTTTGCTTTAAAATCTCTATATTTCAATCTAATATCTTGCTACTACTTAATTAGTTGATCTATTTTAATTTAAATCAACCATTAAATTCAAAATCAAAATTTATGAAGTATTTCATTTAAATTAATATTTATTTTACATAATTTTCTATAATCAAAAGACCTAAAAATATCTAATGTTTTAAATAATTAACGTACTCTCTAAACTGATATTCTAGATCAATATAATTGATATCATGGATATATTGTAATGATAATATATATATTAACATCAATTTAATTATTTTCACTATGAAAAAAAAATATATATGAACTTATTAATTAATTTTTAATTATCTTACACAATTCTCATTTACTATAGAATTCATCAGATAATTTTCAATATTGCTATAAGTTAATTATATTAATACAAAAAAAAGGATAATTTTAATTAAATATAATGGACAATTAAGAACCAAAATAATACTAAAAATTTGATTGGGAAGAATTCAATAAAAAAAGAGCAATCGAAAAAGAATAGTATGAAAGAATATCAAAAGAAATTCAAGAAACATAGGAAAGATCAAAACAAACTTTAGATAGCTTGGAGGTCACATTCAAGAATCTTGATGAAGCAAAAGCTTAAGCTAGATAAACTGTCGATAACATTGATAAATTTAAAAAGTAGTTCAGCGATGCTATGGATAAATTATTAGATAATATTGGAAGGTCATTTGGGGCAAATATCATTAAATCAGATGAATAAAATCCTAAAACTGCCCAAGAAGTTACTGTTGAATAAGCATAAAAACTAATTACTAAGAATGTGTTAATATTATGTGGAGCTGGTTTAAGTCATGCTAGTGGTGTTCCAACATTTAGAGGCAAAGATGGATATTGGACAAAAGGAAAAGATACATTCGAATGCCAAAAGGTTTTGACAAAAGAGTTTTTAACCAGCAACCCAGATTTATGTTGGGAATGGCATAAAGACTTTTAAAAGATGTTAATTAATAAAAAGCCTAACGCCGGACACATAGCAATTGCTAATTATAAAAAGAAGAATCCAAATACGTTGATAGTGTCCTAAAATATTGATAATATTCTTACCTCTATCCTACCATAAAAATAAATAAAGCATGGTCATTATGAATCCATATATGAAATTCATGGTAATATCAAATATATGAGATGCTCCAAAGAATGCACTCTAGAAAAAGATCAATTAGCCATTCTTTATGATATGCCAGATCTCACTAAGAATTTAAGACCAAAATGCCCAAAATGTGGAGAAGATGCAAGACCTCATATTTTATTTTTTGATGAATCCTATACAAATGAAAATTGTAGGATTCAGGAGTTATAGGAAAAGTATGAAACCTATGATACCATCATTGTAGTTGGCACCATGCTTGAAACAGGATGTGCTAAATCAACAGTTTGTAAGTTTATTAAAAAAAAGGCCATTATAATTGAAATTAACCCAGAACCTATAATTGAAGTTGGAAATACTTATCAAATAAAGGGAAAATCAGAAGAAATCTTGCCAAAATTATTAAAATGAAATTTAGATTTTTGTATTTCTCATTAAAATAATTGTTAATGGTTATAATTTTAAAAATATGAATCTAAGCGATTTTTTAATTGAATATTTTCGATTGTTATTACATATTTAGAATAACTTGATTCCTAACTAAATGAATAAGGTTAAAAAATATTTATATATAATAGACTCACAACTAATATACATTATTATCCCATTTAAAAGTATTACTTTCATTGATGTTATCTCCTAATTTTATAGCCAGATCAGTTGATAATATTCCAACTTCAAGATCATTTAGGCTCACTTTATAATATAGTAAATTATCCTTTATAAACAATTAATTTGCTTCAAAGTTCTCTGAATATCCATTTTATGCTATCTAATATTTATCATTCATATTACTATTTTCCATTAATTATCTAAAAGTTAAATATCATTATATATTATTGGTGTGGAATGTACCTTGACAAAATTGAATTCTCCCCAACATTTAGATACATATTTATAATCATCATGTCTTCCAGTCTTATTTTTTATCAAGTTTTTGTAAAAGAATTACTATTATTATTGCTTAAATCATACAAAAAATCTGGCATCCTTAATACATGAGGTAAAGTTTTTAGGTTCTGTTTCTTCTAAATAAAGGAATCCTTTATGATCAATAAACATAAAATAATCTCTATAAAAGACACTCATTCGATATTTGAGTTTATTCATTATTAAGTTGTTTAAAAATTGTATTTTAATTTAATATAATAAGAAAGTGATTAATTCTTTGTCATTTAGTCATTTTTATTATTCCTCATGAAATTGTTTGGGATGATGATAAGAGAAGGCTAGCATTATGAGCTTAAGTTTGATATGCATTAAACTTAGTCTCTCTTTTACATTTTACAATAAATACATACATAAGTATTTTAGTGTATAAATTTAGGTATTGTAGAATATCATAATTACATCATAGAAATCTATTAGATAAGCATTTAAAGTTTTGAATATGTTTAGAACAAATCTTATTATTTTTATTGTAATCATGAAAAAAATAATGCCAAAGTTTTATTTGAAGGGCAATATGATAATCTTTGATATTAGAAACACATAAATCTCTATTATTTAGATTTACTAATATAGTAACTTATTTTTCATCAAAATACACTTTGGTAATTTTCAAACTTTGAAACTATTTGAGTTAATTTAAAGGAATCTCATTACTTTTGAATATGTCTATTCTTTTTGGTTTTATCTTTTGACTATTTCACTAAGAAACCTGATTATTTAATGAAGATAGGCTTAAATGATTCTATTCATTATAATTTTTAAATAGAATTTAAGAATAAAACATTTAATTTATAAATTCCTATTCATAAAATACATTGTTGAATTGTTAAAATAAAATATAAAATTTAGCATTCTTATAAACAGTTACAATCTTTGCTCTCATAGAATGAACATTTTCTGTCATGCAGAACAATTATTTGTCATACAGATTAATTCTTCAGAAATTATTATAAAAACATCAGATTTTGAACATTAAGAATCAGAAATTGTAATTTTTTTTAATCTTTAATTCTATTGTTTTTATACAGAATTCTGTTCCTGAGATGGATAATTCTTAAGTTCACTCCTCTCGAAAATCTTAGTTATCATCTCAATGCTATGAGTTTTAATATTTATTATTAATATTTAGAAGAGTGAAAAAGAAGATTACAGATATTCATAAATGAGTTTAATCTTATATTATGAAAATGATTAAGTTGTTAAATTAATTGTTTATTAATTAATTATTATCAAATCATATAACTAGATTTGACTTTATTTGTTTATTCATCCTGACAGGACTTTTTGTTTTATTGTTATTTTAATATTCGATGCTAAAAATTTTGGACTAAGGCTGATTTAATATTATTATGTATGGAAGTATTTTGATTGCAATAGTTTAGACTACTAAATTATGAAAAGTTTTCATCATTTCTTCTTGGGATTTATTGGCTATTTCATATAAATTAAAATAGTACCTTATTCTTGGTCTACTATTGACATGATAGGTTTCTTCAATTCTTTCAACAGAATTGCTGTATGAACATTTGATTTCTTTCTACTCTTCTTTTTAAGCATTTATCTAAAAAGCAACGATCAACAAAGTAACATTATCGCTACTTTTTTTATATATTGCTTCTTTCAAAACTGAATCAACTGCAGTAGATAATACTGAATGTAAGTTTGATTTTGTATTATTTTGAATGTCTTGCCAAATGATATTAACGACATCTCCTGATGACATTTTATCAAATATCCCGTCACCTAAACATAAGCTAGTATTACTTACATCCTAAAACAATGAAATCATGATCTTAATTAATTTTAAATATTTTGACATCTGGTTCAGATATCACAACTTTTGAATTTCCACCAAATTATTCAAATTTAGCTTCAATGTCTCCAAAAGTTCTTGAAACTGATAACCTCCCTGGCATAACTCTAACTGGTCCTGTAACTTAAGTTCCTTCTTCATTAATTCCTTAAGTCTGATATATTTTTCCTCCTCCTCTCTGAATTCTCTCAGCTTCTGTTTCTGGTTTATGATCGATTGATAAATTAGTCACTCTTTTCCCTTTTTGAGAACTTAGCACAGCTCTACTATCTCCAACATTGGCCACATAGCAAATATCTCCAACAATTAAGCAAACTATTGCACAAGAACCACTTCTTTCTTGAATTCCTTTTGAATATTGATCTAATGCAAAGGCTAAAAAATGGTTTTCTGCTGCTTCAAATCCTTTTCTTATGGCTCCTACAGGGTTCCAAGGAAATTCAGGTTCTTTTATTACAAATTAATGTAAGGTATCTCTTAAAAAGTCAGCACAAGCTGCTCCTCCATGGCCATCATAAACTCCAAAAAATGAACATTTAGGCCAGTTTTCTGATGCTCTATTTTATGGTTTCACTATATTCAAAATTATAGAGACTCTATCTTCATTATAATCTCTAACAATTCCTTAATTTGTATTAGCAGCATAAGCTCTAATTATTCCATTTCGACCTGATGAGCATTTTGTTGGTTCATAATTGGGTAAGACAGTTTATTTTTTGAATGATTACTCTTCCAAACTTGAAAAATTTAACTCCAATGTTTTTTTCACAGGTTGCTTTATTAATGGAGACGCCTCATATTTTTAATAGGATTTATTTTGGCTCTCAAATGGTCGCTTAGGGTTTGTATCTTTCTACAAATATTTATTCAAAAAAGAAGGGGTATCCCTTGAATTATAATTCATTAGTTATATTATTAAATTTGAATTTATATTTACATAATGACCAACGGATATTTTCTAAATCATATTAACTTTTAATCTTAAAATTACATCTCTAAATTAAAGTTCTCTTGTCATCTCCTTCGCATAACGAGATTACTTAAGGTTTTTTCAGAGCAGTAATAAATTGTTATCTAAAAAAATATCAAATGTAAGAGATAACTGAAAAGATAATTATTATGAGTATCAATTTAGCATGAGTTTCGGAGTTAATTTAGAATACTTTACCCTATTCAAAGTAAAAATTGTTTATTAATGAAAATATCAATAATTAAAAAGCTGTAAAAGCCTTGATAAATCTTAAAACAAAACATATTCCATAATTTTTAATACAAAATTAAGATATTTAACTCAGATTAACCGATCTTTTATTTTTTTTTGATTAATAACTTGGCCCTTAAACATTTTCAATTCCGTAGATTCCCATCAACCAAACTCTATAAATTCCCTTAAATACATGTTAAGTAACTGAATAAATAGTAATTTCCACTTAGCTTAAAGATCTATTTTAATTCAAATTTATTAGAATATTATATTATAGTAAATTATCTCGGCCATTGATAATATAATTAAAATCTGAATTTTATTTTTTGTTAAATTTTTAATTTCTTAATAATTTGAAGTTATTATCAGAGTAAGATGAATATATATTAATAAGATTATAATTTGATTCCTCAAATTTCTTACTCAGACATTCAAATAAGTAACTTTATTTCTTCACAAAACATCAGTTTTATGAGAAATCCACGTAAAGATATAAAATGATTATATTGTAATAATTATATAATTGATTTTCACACTTTTTGGAGGATATATTAAAAGCCGAATTACTATTAACTGATTGGAATAGTGTTAAGGGATTAGCTTGGTTACAAAATTTCAATTGGTTATGTTGTATAGCTTTATGGTATTTAAGATTATAAAACCAAATGCTATTGCCTCAAAGGTGAAGTTACCTAGAGTTTCGTATAATTATAATTTACTTATTGAAATGATTAGATTTATTAAATAGTCTATTAGGGCTATATTTAATAAACAGATTATTGTATTTAAGCAGTTTATTATTAGACTAAGGGCTAGGTTGAGACCAACATTATTTATTATTATGATGATGGTTGCAAGACTACTTATGGCTACTAAATAATTTAGGTTTATCTGATTGGTGATGTAGCATCTTGTTAAATTAATTGTGTGTGTGAAACTATTTATTATTATTGTACAGCCACTTAAGGAATGATCTCTTATTATATGCCTTATCTTAAAACTCCTTGTTGCGCAACAGATACTACTTATTAGGGTTAAGCAACCACTAATTAATGTTATTAAGTTGTCATTTAGACTGCTTAAGTGTTTACAAATTAAGTTTATTGGCCAATTAATTATACAGTTTGACCAATTAAATGAGGTTATTAGATTTGAATATGCTATTATGAATATGTTTCAGCATTTTGAGTTGGTTGGACCATAATAACTTATTATAATGGTTGTATTTCTTAGACTTAAACCACTTATTATTAAATAATAGGTTAAGGTTGAACTTAGATAATAGCTTATTACTGGATAACCTAAGGTTGGACTGCCACCAACTATTATTATACAGATTAGACTGTAAAAAAGGATTCTTAATGTCTTACTGAATTTGGAGCCCCATATGTTCTTTGTAGAATTGTAGGTGCAGTCTCTTCTTAGATGATGACAGGCTATCTAACACTTGAACATTTAGTTCGAATTGATTATTTAGCAACCTATATTTGAATTAAAAAATACTTGAACTTATTCGCAAGTTACAAATTGTGGTTTAATGATGCTTCTAACTGAATTAACTGGATAGACAATTTATTATTGACTTTTTGGGATTATTCTTATAAAATCTTCACTCCTGGGTTTAAAATATGTGTCAGGTGATTGAATAATGGGTACATATTTGCTTTTAGTAAACTCTTCTGGATCCTATGGAGCACTTGCTAATTCTTCTAGTTTATTCTTAGGTTTTTCAATGCATTCAGCATCACAAACAGCCATATTCAAAGGCTCTTTCTTTTTCTCCTAATCTCCTTCCTCACATTGTTGTGGTTTGCCATCTTTTCCATGAAAGCCATAGCCATACAAAAGATGAGATCGCTATGATATTGCAACTTTAGCTGATATTTAATATTAGGCCTTTAATTCTGCCATGGAGTTCATTTATAATTCCCAATTAGCTATAGCTCCACCTGTAGATGCTTATTCTTCTTATTTTCTTAGAGCAGCAGCCATAGCAACATCGCATGCCATTTAAATTTTGCCTGCTGAACTCTTAAATTATTTATCCTAATATTAATTATTTTATACTAACCTTTAAAGACGCATCTGAAAAATTATATTTATTAAGCTTTAACTCTCCCCCAAGTTAAGCATGATCTGCTTTGAGGTTGTACCCGCCATATTTATACAATGACTAAATAGTTAATCATATATATTTACTTCTGACACAATCCCATTAGCTTCTCCTTCAAGATTGCCTTGGCCACTCATCAATTCAAATCCAGCATTTTCGAACTAAATATATTGTACTGTTTATACTTATTCTTAATCATTTGACTTGGATATTTGATGTGACGATGTTGTAATTGTTTTTGTTACTATAGTTTGAGTTTAATAACTTGTCTATTAGGTGCTCTATTATTAGGATATATATTACAGAAGATGTTTGTGGATTTGATTCAAACTTACTTTGGACTTGCATTCCCCCATCACTCCATCCATGATCTTCATTTACATGTTGTTGTTTCATTGATGAAATCTAAATATGAATATGGTAATACCTTTCCATTTATTAGAGCGGATTAGCTATTTTGTTCTTGAGAGGAACCGAATTGTATTGTTTCGTGGTCATTTTTACTCGAATTTATGAACTGACTTTAATGACTATTTTTACTTTTTACTTAATCTCTCCACCACTGCTTTAATGTTACTAAGTTTAAATTTTCCCTCCTTCGCTGTGAAAATAACCTTCCATTTACTAGAAACCCTCCTTTAAAAATATAATCATTAAATTTTACCTCAATTTTCCCTTGATTGTTTTAGGATTAATAGTTTTACTAAGAACTTTCAAACTGATATGATGTTTTACTCATATTTATTGATTTGCTCATTAGATTTGATAAATAGTTTTAATATTATATATTTCTTGCACAAATTAATCGGCCTTTAAATACCCAAAACCATTATTTAATTTTTTATAAAGATTCTTCTACATTACAATATATTTTTTTTCGCTATATAAAATTAATAAATAATTGATGCAGTATTTAACCACCAATAAATTAATACCAACTTAAACTATATTATAATCAAAAATTAGTACATTCATAAAGTTCTGCTAAGAACTTCAAAAGTTGATTTTAATTTTTATCTCCTTAAACTCACTATTTCATTTATTCTTATCTTCGCCCTAAATCAAAATTTAATTCAATTCCATTTTGATAGTTTCAATAAATGGTGGCCATCAATAAAGAAATAGAAGCTTGACCAATATTATAATAAATTATGTGTTATATTGAATATAAGAAAGAAAACCGATGAAAAAAGTGTTGAGTTCAATTTATGAGAATATGTAATAAATTTTTATAATTACTGATAGGAATAAAAGAATATTAAAAGCCCCTAATTTTAATGGAAAACTTAGTAGATTTCTGAAAAACTTCTAGTTCCAATGATTATCTAGCAAACCACTTATCTTATTTATTACTTTTTGTTGGTCTTAAACGATATCAGTTGAAATAGGAATTTTAACCGTGTAATATTTTATCTGATCATAATAATGTTGAATTTAGAGATATACATTAATTATAGAAATCTTAAAGGTGCTATTAGTTTTAAATAATTAATTAAATTCAATTTAATCATAAAAATTCTTTGTAGGATTAAATTTAATTTTTATTACAATATGCAACAAAAAGAGAAATAGGAATTAAACGATGATGAATAAAAGGAAATCTAAAATGAATAATTATAATAAATTGTCACCAAAAAAATTGTTCAATATAGCTAATCATTAATTGACTAATTAAACAAACCTCATCTATTTTGGTCATCTTAGCCTATGCCCAATATCAATTAGTTGGATAAATTAGAGCCTGGTCCCATTTAAAAGGGAGTATTGGCTGAAGTCAGATAGGATCCATATATGTTAATTAATAATTTTGAATGGTTTAATGTTGATTTAAAAAATGATGAATAAGCTCAATTAGTATGAAATATCAATTAGTTAGGTTTACACTTTTTTGAATTAGAATTATGTTGAGGATGATGATAATATGTTTAGATTTGATTATTCAATTGAAACTTTAAGGTGGGCATTATTACCTCCTGGATAATAGGATAATTGGGTGGTTGCAGTGATAAATAATTAGTAAATAGTTGCATTCATCTCAGGCATTCCAGTAACACTCAATATTGAAAACGAGTAAAATAAGGTGAAAATGACAAACATTAATTTTTTATGTGTCCATAAAAATCTAAGGATGAATAGATTAACTCCTGTTTTAATAAAAGAAATAACCAGAAGAGTGCACACCTAAAATATGTGGTAAGCCGTATACACAGCAGGAACAGTCCTCCCAACTCCAATTTCTTAGGCTTCATATTACCATAGAAGTTTGAATCCAAGGAAGTTGGTTGAAGCTGGATTTTCATACTTATCAGCCAGATGGACCATGGCAAGAGAACAAAAATATTATAAATTACCTGAAGAACCAAAGACTCCAGGACTTAGACCAATGAAATAGAATGATGTGGCTTAGATTACAAAGTTATTAAATGAATATTTAAAGTAAAAGAATTCTATTTATTTAGAAATTTTAAGTTATATTTTGAATACACCGAAGAAAAAGTCAACCATTGGTTCTTACCTAGAAAGGATGTGATTACTACCTATGTTGTAGAAAATGAATAAGGCCTCATTACGGATTTCTTGTCATATTTTAATTTACCAAGTTCAGTGCTACAAAGACCTCAGCATACCCACGTGAAAGTAATTTATAAATAAATTCTTTAAGGCGGCATATTCCTATTATAATGTTGCAACTTAAACACCTCTTGTTCAGTTAATGTAGGATGCATTGATTTTAGCAAAGAATGAAGGATACGATGTCTTTAATGCGTTAGATATAATGGACAATTAAAAATTTTTAAAGGTATATTTAATATAAATCTTATAGGAATTATTATTTAAATAAGGAAATGGAGAATTAAGTTATTATCTATACAATTGGAAATTAGAAAGCAACATGCTTCAACCAGAAGAGATAGGAATTGTTCTCATCTGAGTTAGATATAAATATACATTATTAATAAAATGGTTTGTAGAGATGTAGAGAATCTTATATAAATATACAATATTCCATTAAATATATATTAATATATTTTTGAATATAATATTTCACATTATAACTGTATTTTTGTTATAGATGTTACTTGTAATACCTCTATGTGGTAAGATAAAACTTTAATTAATATAGACTTCATCTTTTACCTAGACATCTTCACCACATACAGAAACGCCTTCAATTCTGACCCATTTACCCACAGTTGATGACCATCCAATAATGGATTCATTGATCCAACTATTTGCATTGATTACTACTCCCTTTAAAAGAACACAATTCTTCAATCTGACTCCTTCTTTAACTTTGCAATCTGGTCCAATAATTACATTAGGTCCGATAACAGCATTAGGATCAATTTAGGCTGAAGCATCAATCAAAACATTTCCTACAATGTTGTTACCCTTTGCCAAGACATCTGGTGTGTGTGTTCTATAGCTTTCCAAGATGAGAACGGTGCCTGCCAAGTAATCTTTGGGTTATCCAACATCCTTCCAAAATCCTGGTAGAATATATTGATATAGTTGTCCTTCCTTAGCCATAATTGGGAAGATTTCTCTTTCTATAGAGGTTGGTTTTAACTAATGATATAGCGATAAGTATTACAGGAATCCTATCAATCATGCTCACATTAAATAGATAGAGTCCGGAATTGATCTTGTTACTAATGAATTCTTAGGGTTTCTCAATGAAATCCTTGATTCTGCCGGTTTCATCAGCCAAGATGACTCCATATTTTGATGGGTCATCGACTTCATTGACGAATATGGTTCTATAAATATAAATATTTTAAACCCTTCATGATTATGCTATTTGTGGAATTGCAACAATTTATCAAGTGGAAATTCGCAGATAATGTCACTGTTAAGAACAAAGAACAAACCATCAGGATTATCCTTGATAATATGATCCTTGGCAAGTCTAATAGGACCAGCTGTTCCCAAAGGTTCAGTTTCTTAAGAGCAGATGATTTTGACTTTATAGAGATCTTATAATTTATTGATTTATTCTTTCATGGTGTCAGGTTGATAATTGATGGCTAAAATAATTTCCTGCACTCCAACTTTTACCTAAAGATTTATGATAGATGTACTAATGCTTCAATTTGATGCATGAGAATTGGTTTATTTGCAAATTCAACAAGAGGTTTAGGACATTTAAATGTAAGAGGTCTCAATCTAGTTCCATATCCTCCCACAAGAATTAAAGCTTTCATGAGTTAATTTATTTATGATTTATTAATTTACCAAAATCGTTATTTCAAATGATGAGCACCTCTTACCTTTTATGTCTAGTTGTTTATATTTCTTAAACTATGAATATGTAATATTGGGTTGTTGATTATAAGTGAAAGTCATCAGAAATTCTTGGAACCAGATCACAACAAGGTCTATCATATTCGATTACAAGAAAAAGAAACCAAAGTCCATGACACTCAAAGTTTTTACAAATTGGTGGCTCTCAACTAAAACAAATTAAAAGATCCTTCATTCGCTTAGATATCGAAGCAGGGTCCTTAGTATATGATGATGCATAATTATAAGAACATCTAGTATACTGCAGATATAGGAATCGGATCACCAAGTAATACTTTTAAGGTTGTGTTGGACACTGGAAGTGCCAATTTATGGATAGATTCAGATAGATGCTAAGAAGAAGGTTGTATTAGACATAAACAATATAAACATGAGGATAGTCAGTCATTTTTACCCTTAAACTAAGAATTAAATGTAGAATTTGGTAGTGGAGATCTGAAAGGCATTGTCAATGCTGATACGATCTTTTTTGGGGAAGTCACTTTGCCAAAATAAAATTTAGCTGAAATCACAAATGAAAATGGAGCTATATTTAGAGACTTGGATTTTGATGGCATATTAGGTTTAGCTTATCCAAAGATGGCTCCTTAAGATTTCAATCCAGTCTTTGACAACATGATGGAATAAGGGGTATTAGAAAGAAATCAATTTGCATTTTATTTTGCCAAAGATGCTAATGATATTTCACATAGTGAATTTACCTTGGGAGGTTACAATCCAGCTCATGTTGATGGAGATATTCACTATCATAAAGTTATCGACAAATATTATTGGATGATCAAAGCAGATAACATTCTAGTTAATAATAAAGATATAGGTTTGTGCAATCGGTCCTGTAGACTCATTGTCGACACCGGTTCATCTATTATGAGTGCACCCTTTGATGACTTAGGGACTTTATTAAGAGAATTGAATGTGAGGTCTCATTGTCATGAAATCAACACTTTGCCAATCATCACATTTTAAATTGATAGTGTTGATTACACTTTGGAACCCAATGAATATATAAAGCCAACCAATTTTGATGGTGCTCAACTTGCAGAATTAAACGAAGGGGATGATTTATGTAAAAATCTTTTTCACTTTATTAGAGGCTTTAATTGAAGTAAACAATTGGGATTGTATAGCAGCCTTCATACCATTAGATATTTAGCAACCTCAAGGACCTGCTTGGATTTTGGGTGATATTTTTCTTAGAAAGTACTATAGTATTTTCGACAGGGAAAACGATTCAGTTGGATTTGCAAAAGCAAAAAAATGAACTAGGAATTCCATAAAATTAAATTTATTGTAATTTAGAATTAATAAGTTTTTAAAACAAATTTAATTATTTAATCAATTAAAACTATCTTAATTTTATTAGTATTGTAAAGATAATATTTTGTTTATAATTTATTTCCTCAAATTGGCTTCATCTCTGTTTTTTCTTTATTCATTTTGTTCTTTTATTTTTTTATATTAATTCTACTGAATCTAATACTAATCAAACAATAGAGTTATTTTAATTTAACTCAATTCAAATTTTCTTACATTAGCCTAAAAATCAAATTTATTTAATATTCGAATAATTTCATTATTGTTTTGATATATTTGAAAGATAAGTTCATTAGTTTTTTTCTTACTTCCTATAACCCTTTTTCCACCAAGCACTTCCTCTATTGGTAGTAATTCCTTAGAAACTTATGTGTAGATTTCTCCTTCGATGGCATTCAACTTTTCAACACTTTTTATTTAAGCAATCTCTTATTTATCTATACATAATATAATTCAATACATTTCTCTATCATCTCCCTTAAATATTAAACTATCCTTTTGTTCTTCTTATATGTATCATATTGATATCTATTCTCCATAGTTCTTTCATAAAGCAAGGGTTCCTCTAGAGTCTAATATTTAAATAAAATATATTGGCTTTATTTATTAGAGAAATCAGATTTACTATAATCTTCAATATTAATCTTCAAGATAAGAAAATGAAAATAGCAAAAGTCCAAAGGAATAGCTTGATTGATAGAAAATACTACCGAGTCTAAATCAACATCTTTATCATCAAAAGACATTGTCCTAACGCTGATCTCCTCAGTTATTTTAATTTGTATTAGAATTTATTTGCAATAGAAATACAAATAGTCAATCTCTATTTGATTTTGAAGGTATTTTTAGATTGGAACAATCAACTATCTTTGTAGACTTTTTTAATGCTGTAATGTATAAACATCAAGATCACTAATTTAGGATTTCTCTTTGCATTTTTACAGTTTCTCATCTAATTCCTAAATAGCTGTTATTTATTTATTGAATAAAGTAATAGTTTTGCTTAAATTGAATCTAATTAACACTAATTCTATCACTTCTTGTGTTTAAAAAAAAAATAAAAAAATATCTTCATTTGTTGGCAACTTTTAAAAATATATACAATCTCCACCCTTTTTTTCATTAATTGTTTAAGTGTACACTTGGAACTATAGATTTTTATAATGAAAAATATGAAGTTTCTTATATAGATATTATTAATTAATAATTGCAGAGTCCTATCTTTATTTTGATTCAAGTATTTCGGTAAAGTTAATTTAAAAGAGATGGCCAAAAATGTTTGTAAAATATATATTGCTATGGTTAAAATAATCAATGTTGAAATTGATTGCCTCACAAAGAATAATGTTCTCTGATTTAAGAGAGAACAGATTCAAAATTGAGCTATCTTGTAATTAGTATATTGAAAATTATTGCCCAGTTGATTGCATAGATAATGTAATTAACATATTCTAAATAGATGGATGAATTTCGATCTGCTAATATTCAATTCTTGTTGATTTTTAAACAAAGGAAATTTTACTTGATTATTAGGTTTCTGTAAGCCTATATAATGAAATGTTAGGAAAGGTGCAATTGCCTAAATATACATCATATATTAGATCATTTTCCATAATTCCAATGATTAAAGTGCGGTTTTTGAATTTAAACTTAAAATCTTCTTGTTGAAATTAGTTCTATTTTATCTCTTTATTATTGCTAAATAACTAGATTTGCCCAATTTCATATTTTTCATAATTTAATCTGAATTCAAACTTTGTTATATTAAATTAACTTTAAGCATATTCAATTTTTAAAATATCTTCTTAATATTGAAAAAGCATAGCATTTGATTCTGTATCATATGAATTCTATTGCTCACTATTATTCAACGAATGAAGTAAGTTTGTAGACAAATTATGCTCTACTATTTACTTTTGGTAATTAATATTATTTATATAATTATCCATTAAATATATAAATTATTTTTTTTCAATATAATTTTATCATTTTACAATCATTGAATTATAGATAATAAATAATCTTAATTTCGTGTTAAAATTATGTTGTGAATAATAATTAATATCACTTTTATATGAATTAAGAGCAGTCACAAATATAATAATGGCTCATTCATTTTCATCAAGCAAATTAAGAAAGTTTTTAATTATTTATTTCAAAAGTTTGCTAGTGGTTTAATCGATAATTTGATGAATGCAATTTTATTGAAACTTTATGACTTTCTCTCTCAACGCAACTATCAAGTTATTAAATGAATTCAGAATTATATTATAAGCATCTAAATAAATATATTCAAATACTCTGATTTACATGCTTATGCATATATGAATTAAAAGTGCTAATATTGATAAGGATGGAATTCTCATTTATTAAGACAAATATCTATTTCTAATAAAGGTATAAGATTTTTCTGGTAAATCGTTAGATCTAAGGAAAGAAAATTAGAGAGACTCACTAGATGTTATATTTAAATGAAAGGGGAGTTGTAGGTTATAAAGAGTTTTAAACGGTTTGATAATTTAATTAAATAACTAAAATTTTAACAAAAAAATTTGTGAATAAGATAAGGAATAAAAGTAACGTAATTTTGGTTATTAATTTTATTAGAATTTAAAATATAAAATATTAAAGATTAAAATCCAAGAGTTATGTCCTAACCATTTTTATTAAATTAATATTTAATTATAATTATTTGAATTATTATTAAAGATCATTGATTTGAATGGTTCTTTTAGGCTTACTGAGACCTTTATAGTAATGTATCTTAGTTTGCAACACCATATTATATCATTGGATTAGTCATAACATATGGTGGAATATAAGGTGTTCCAAACTAAGGTGGGTAGCAATATATTATTCATAAGGTTGTACCGCATTTAAAGTACAAGAACTTGAATAATAATTAGCTGGCAGTTGTTCAAAATTATCCTAATGCAGGATTGGATGATAATAATAGTTTTCTTATTATTCTTCTTCTTTAACAATTTCAAAGGATTCATTTAAAAACCCTCTAGTTATTCGCTAATTTTTATGATCACTATTGTATTCTTAATATTGTTCAACTTTTGACGCTTAAGAGAACCTTTTATCAATTTTTTTATAAGATTTTTTGGATATGTTATTGTGTTTATTAATACATTACTTTTTTATTCTCTTCTATTCATTGTTGTCCTCTATATTTTCTATTTATTGTGAGAACTTAAAAAATATTTATAATATATGTATACTTTTTTATTTGACTTCTTTTTCTTGCTTTGTTTGCACCTTTAATTTGAAATGATTGAATGAGAGATATCTTAATTTTGCTTAGGAATTACATAGTATGGATTATCTATTTTCAAATATTGCTTTCGTAGATAAGAATAGAATCTATTTTTGATAACATTTTCCTAAATATTGAAATTTGATACCGGTCTCCCTTGAAGCAGCTTGGAGATTTTACACCATTGAGACCCAAAACTCTTAAAGCCATCTATAATCATCTTGTCTTCTGCATCTGTGAATGGTTCTTGATTGATTTCTGGATTTAAATTGTTTATAAATCTTTCTCTAACTTGTTTACTTGTTCTGTTTGGTATCTTTTTGGCAATTTAAACCCAATTTTTGTTATGTAATTCTACTAATGTTAACAATAGATTATCTTCTTTTTGCGTCCATGATTGTCTTTTACTAAATAACTGGTGTAATATTATAATTTACGTTATTTGGTTTTATTCTTTTCCATCTTTGAGCACACTGAGAAGGATTTCTATTTGTCAAAGCTGATGCAACAACTAACCAATTAGTGCCATGTAATTTTATTGCTTGTCTCAATTATTCATCTTCTTGTTATGCCCATGCTCTTCTTGAAGATTTACTTAATTATCCAAGTTGAATTTTATTTTATTCTAATGTTATTGGATTGCCCTCAGGTAAATTATTGTTTTCAAATGATTAGAAATGATCCATAAATATTATATTTAATATTATTTCAAATAACAAAAGCTAAGTCTTTTACAGAAGTTATTTGGCCATCTACTCTAGATAGCTTAACATCTAGTACTGCTACCTAAGAATCAATTATATTTCAAGATAATATGTTGTTATTTTATGATTTAGCTTTAACTCTTCGACCTAACCATTTTTATATATTTAGTAAAAATATCATACATCAGGAATGACAATTAATCATAAATTTATTAGAGTTTTATTAGTTCCATAAATAAATAGTTGTATGTTCGATCATGAGGATCCTATAGGATTTTGAATGACATTTAAATGTTTCAATTATATTAGAAGTTAGTTCATTCTTAAACCAAATATAAACAACAATTTTTGAGTTGGGTTTACATTACTTATTCTAATTCCAATTCTAATTCTCAATTAGTTTCAATAAATTACATATATAAATGGTATCAAATACTTTACTAAGTGATATCATCTGACTTAGTTTAAGATATTCAAAAATTCGATAAAATTGTTTAAATATATGGCAAATTGTTCTTGTGAAGTGCAAATTAATTAAATTACAAGATGATCATTTTTCCTCAATTACAATTTCAAGAGAAATCATTTCACTACACTTTAATTATTTTATATAAAACAACATTAACAATATATTTATATATAATAGAATTATACTTAGAAAGTAAATATTATTTTAAAAACAATGATTTAAAATTGTGAGATTTGCTCCTAAGCTGAAGATATTGTGAAAATAGAATGCGGACATCTTTATTGCAAGTCTTGTTTAAATAAAATGTTTTTTAATAAAGGAGAATTTAATCTTGATAATTTTAGTTGTCCTCTTGATGAATGTAGAAGAAAATTAACTGAAAAAACGGCATCTTTATTTATTGAAGACTTTTAAACACAATATGATCAATATTTAAAATAAGGTGTCATATTTGGATAAAACCAGAATGAGAGAATGATTTCTTGTTTTAATATCGATTGTAATTCAAATTTTATAATATGGAAGGATGCAGGTATCTTAAATATCAATATCACGAGATACTTTTGTATGTCCAAATTGCAAATTATAGTATTGCTTAAAATGCAAGTTGAAGAAACATGATGGTTTAAAATGTATGCAAGCATTAAGATTGAACCAACTATCTAAAACTAGAATACTATTTTTGGATACAGTTAAACAATCTAAAATGCAATAAATTTGCCCACATTGTCTCATAGTTGTAGAAAAGACTGGAGGTTGTAATTTTATGACATGTAAATCGAAAACTTGTAAATCCAAAAAATACTTCTGTTTCAGATGTGGAGAACCCTTAAAACAATGTGAATCAGCTAGTCATTTTTATAATGGGAATTCTTTTGATGGATAATGCAATCTAAAATTAAATGGAAAATGGGTTGAAGTAGATAAATTGCCTGAAAATGCTATTCCTTGTCCTATTTGTTTAAATGTGAACCCATTAAAAAGTAAAATAGAAGGCAATTTATTAATATGTAATAGTGAAAAGTGCTCTGATAAAATATATTGTCATTGTTGTAAAATTCAACTAAATAACAAAAATATTTTAGATCATCTAGAACCTCACAATAAAATAATAAAAACTTCCATTTGGAATCCCATTAAGAAATTTTTCTCTAAGTGAAAAATAAAATATATTTTTTATTATATCAAATTATAAATTTTAAAGTGATTTTAGTTAAAGATCTAGGTTAATCCAAATGAGATAACAACTTAAGTTGAGTTCTAATATAGGTCATTGATTGAAACAGAGTCTATAAATATATCGAAACAGTTTATTATGGGTAACTAATTCATAGAGATTAGCAGAAACTCCTAAGTTTATATTGATAATTTATTAACTGTTAATACTTTAACAGATTATTTTTTTAAATTATCTTTTTCAAAAATATGGCTAATTACAGAGAATAGCCACTCTCGAAAAGTGATTATCATAATAGAGCTAATGCTAATAATTATCAAAAAACTAATAAACCTGTCTATAATGACGAACCTAGGGATCTTGAAAATTACGTGCAAATTCCAAAAAGAAAATAGGCTTATTTGGAAAACGAAGTTCAAGATACTAATAATCGATATTGTTATAAAGGAAATAGTAAAAATGAGGATCCATTTTCTAACAATCCTTATTATAATAGAGCTGCTTTAGATTAGGTTTGCAGTCGATCTATAATAACATATTTAGATTAACCAAATAAACTTCAGGATAATTGTTAAAATAATGAATAATAAAGAGATAACCAAAATTAAAATTAGTAAAAGTAAAACGAACCAATTTCTTAGTATTACAACAACGAATAAAGAGATAGGTATCAAGAAGTCAAAAATTATTATTATAACTAAAATCACTAATTTAAGTCGATTTTATCACCAAAACTATATTCCAGGGATTAATTCGATCAATAAGAATAGTAGCAATTAGGTTAAAATAAATAGTCATAAAATTAAATACAAAAATACTAGAAAGCAAATTAAAGTCTTTATGAAAACCCTTCATTTGGATTAATTTAAGAATAGCAATAGATATATTAGCAATCATAAAATTAACCAAAATAGCAGCAATTCCCCTATTCTTAACATTTTACACAAGAGCCAGTCAGCCAAAACCCTCAAAAATACGTCTCAAATTCAACTAGACAATAATATAATGATCCAAATGAGAGTCATTCTTAAAGAGAATTTTAATAATCCAAATAATGTGCTTCCTATTAAAGTTAATCTACTTAGCGATTACATCAAGATTATCCAGTTCAAAAGTAATAGCAATACCAATAAAGATTGCAATATCTGGACGAATTGAAGAGCAGACTCCCTAATGATGATATTTTCTAATAATAAGTCGATATAAGAATACCGCAAACAGAACAATATTATAGATAAAATCAAAATGAGAGATCATCCAAAATCAATCCAATTGCAGCTGTGAGCAGAATGCAAAGACCAAATGAAATTAATTAGGATAAGTATTAGTATGGTTAGGACCAAAATTACAATCTTTAAAACAATAGAAATTATTAGCATTAAAAAGGATAGGATTATTATGATACATAATCTTATCATAAAAATAATTAGAAGGATTTTCGTGAGAATAGCCATAATCAATTGTAATAGAGAAAGAACTAATAGTAACAAAAGACCAGAACACCAAATCGTTATAGAGAGGACAGTTACGAAAGAGAGAAATAATGGTTTATGTAACAAACTTCAAATCTTCATTAAAATTCTTAAGCCATCAATAAAAGAAGATGAACAACTATTTTTTTATATTAAGTAAAATAATTGATTTTGTATAAATAAATTAAAAATTTTTCATATCATGATAAAGATTTTTTATTACATTCAAATGAAAATTAAAGCCTACTAATTGAGAAACCTCATTTTATTCATAATAAAATAATAATAATCCATAAAATCATATTTATCAATTTAATTAAGTTTATTGAAGATGATATTTCAGCACAGCCAGAATTCTTGGGCCATGGTTATTAATCCATCAATCCAAAATCAATTTAACAATAAGAATTGTATTTTTGATTCTCTACCCATTTTACTAAAGTTTGATAAACTGTCCTATTTGAACTCTCAGGGATTGTCCAATTAGGGGAAAATGATAACTAACTTATAAATAAGCTAGTTTTATCTTTAGAAATACCAATCTGCAATACAACTGGGAGCAAAAGACCCTGTATTAGAATTGTTAGTTAACGATTCTTTAATCACTTGGCGAAATGTTTAGAAAACATGATCAATAAAATCCATTTCATTTTTCTAACAGTTGTTTAGTGTTAAGTCTTATATACATTTTATTTCAAGATACTTATATAGAAAACTTATATCATAAAAGGGCTAGATAATAAATACTGGTTGTTAAATATAATGCATTAAATTTTAGAAATAAAAACATTTCCAAATCTGATTTGGAAAATCAGATGCACAATTCTTTTGAGGGACTTAGGTCTCATTATTAGCAATATAATTCATTATCTTTAACGATTACTACAATAAATTAAATCCATTCATTGATTGCATATCATATAAAATACTTGAGTCAGCAACACATAATATCGAGATCTTTTCTGGAATCAATGAACTAAAGTACTATTCCCATTACAGGGCTGCAACCCCTCCAACTGAACAACCTGATAATATTACTATTTCAGCTTTTTAAAATTTCGTTATAAAATGGTCAAAAATGCTTCTTATTATTAATTCACCTCTAAAATACAATACATTTGATTAGTAAATAACCTAATCAGATTTATACCCTTAGAAGCCTAAAATTATAAAAGATGAAAAATACCAACACCATCACAATAATTGATATGGATTAGATTCCAATTGTGGAAATAGTAATTTTTTATTTTATCCTTAGAAAATACTCCATCAAACTCAAAAGCACTTGCTCTATTTAATGAACTTCCTTGCTAAGTTTTAGTCCTTAATTAAATTCATATTTAAACTTTTCAACCGCATTCATTAGAAATTATTCTTCAGTATTACCTAAAATAAACCTTTATTATTAAAGCATACTTACTCTCCTCCCTCAAAATAAATGATAAACTTATTCTAACCACTTTCAAATCCTTATTAAAAGTAATAAGACTATAAATATTTACGAAAATTACTCCTAATGTACCATCTAAACATTTTGCCCTCTCATCTTAAACAAATTATAATTAGAGTTAGAAGCAGCATTGGAGTTATTGAAAAAAAAAGATAAGCATTAATTATTTAAATTATTTTAGATTATTTTTATTGTTTTGAGTTAATGTATCATGAATAAACTAAATTTTAATTTCTGATGTTGGTTGCTTTATTTTCTCCGATAACAATAAAAATAATGAAAAAAAGATGTCTTTTTTTTATATTTAATAAAGAAAATTAGACTTTGTTTTTAAGATGTTTTTTATAAAATTCAGTGTTTTAGATTTAAATTCAAAAAATTAGCCTAAATCTGATACATCATTTTAGCATTATCTCAAAAACTAAATCAAAAGTATCAAAAAAAATGTTTCTGATAAATTAAAAAGAGGTATAAACTTTTGGACAATTGACTAATTTCAGAATTTCAGAGAATGATAAGTATAATAAATTTTCTAAAAAATATTTTTAAGTGATTAAATATGCCCCAAACTCCAATTTTCCTCATTAGGTTTAATATTAATTATAGATCTTGCAAAAAGTTTTATCAGAAGGAATAAAAATATGTCCATTTCTCACCTGCTCTATATCTTTTTAAATTTTGTTGTGCAAGAAGAAAAAGTTTTTACTTTAAACATTAAATAATTTATTGGATTAAATAAATAAGATAGCATTAGTATCATTTATTAAATGTGCAAAATTTACCTTCAAAAACATGTTTTTCTTAAATTTTATTACTAGTCAATTTTAGATTGACTATAGGATAGAATTATTAAAATATAATAATTCTTTTTTTGAAATCAATTTTTTGACAACGGAATTCAGATAATTTAAAATTATCCAAATAACAATAAGTTTAGAATATTATTAAACTAGAAAATATTATGGATACATTTAAACAAGATGTAATGACTGATATCGTATAACTTTATATAAATCACTCAGAAAAGGTTTAATAACTTTTCATATCCTTTCCAAATTAAACTAAGAATTTTACGTAAACCCTCAGGTATTGATCTATTTTCACTCAATTTATCTGCATACCACACTCTAATGTATGCTTAAGCATTTCTCATGTTTTTATTAAATTTAGTTTTGAGTAATATATTTTAGAAAATAACAAAGGTTTGAAAAATGGATGTTTTTTTTAAGAATATTCCAAATAAGCAATAGAGGAATAAGTAAATTTCAACTTTTTATTTTGTAAGGATTATCTCATTTCTATGATATTGGATATATTATGCCATTTTCAATGACATTCCTTATTCCCGATTGATTTATATCCAAAACTCGGCAGCTCCGACCAAAAAATGTAATGCAATTGGCATTTAAAATGCAAAACTATCAATTGTAAATAATGAAACAACAAAGAAAATATTAGAGGTGAATTCAAGTTACATTATTTTGAAAATATATTCTTTGTAATTGTTTTTAGGTATTCCTTATAATCTATAAATAGCGAGCAAACAAATAAGGATAGATCCAAAATTTAAAAATTTGTGCAATTAAGGGGAAATCAAAAGCAATAATGCTGGAAAATAAATCACTTTTAGAATTCCTTCTATTACTGTTAAAATTGGGATTGAAGGTAATTATTATCGATAATTATTTTATTACTATTATTATTATTATTGTTATTATTATTATTGTTATTGTTATTATTACTATTATTACTACTATTATTATGATTACTATGATTACTAATTATTTTCTTATTTTTAAGGCTTTTGATTTTCTTATGTTTATGATTAGGGGTTTGAATTAGGATTTTGAGATTCTGTATTGATATCAAACTCTGGGTCGATAAATTTTTTATACCATTTGCGTTTAATTTTATCTAGATTTGGAGGCAACGGATATACATTTAGTAGATATTGCTAAAAGCTTTCATTTCCATCAAAATCGAATTTACTATATGCTTCCATAATTAAAATAAATAATATGACAAATTAAGATCAAATTGGATTTATACTATCAATTGACAAAGATTGGTAAAATCTGGTGGAAAAGTGTTAAAGCATTGACAGCAATATAAAAAATATGCAAACAAGACTGACTTTTACAATAGGATAGATGAATAAGGAAATTGGAAATCGGCACATAATTCCTGCATATTAAGTGGAGGAAGAATAAAGTAAAGAGGAAAGTCCTTTGCCTTAACAGGGTGAATCGCCCAGAAAGAAACCTGTAAATTTAGTGAAGCAAGCACAAGTGCTAGCGCCAGTGTATTAAACGATAAGTGAAAGATTTTAGATCTGTAAATTTTTGGGAAAAGGAAAATTTAGTGATGTGTATTAGGCATAGGATAAATAATCAAAAATAATTGTTGCATTAAAAGTTATACCAAAAGCCACAATTTCAAAATATGGGATGGAAAAACAACTAGCAAATGAAATTAAAATTCAAGGATATTTAGATCATCCGAACATTCTCAAGCTTTTTGGATACTTTTAAGAATGGTCAAAAGTAGTTTTGATTCTAGAATATGCAACCGATGGTGAACTATTTAAACTATTAAAAAAATAACCAAAAAAGAGATTTTCAGAATAAACTGCCTCTGGGTATATCAGATAAATTATTGAAGGTATAGGATATATGCATAGCAAAAACATAATTCATAGAGACATTAAACCAGAAAATATATTAATAACTCATTCTTTATTGAAAATTGCTGATATGGGATTATCTACATATAATCCTGCAAATTAAGTAAGACAATCTTTTTGTGGGACAGTAGATTATATGTCTCCTGAGATTGCTGCAGGAAGAGATTATGATCACGCAGTAGATTTGTGGGCAATTGGAATTTTAACTTTTGAATTATGTACTGGAGAAACACCTTTTTATGAGAAAAAAAAGGAGGACACTATGAATAAAATTATATATAGTGGGTTTGAATTCCCAAACTTTATAAGTGAAGAATGTAAAACCTTTGTGCGTGCTTTAGTCTAAAAGGATCCGAAAAAAAGATTAAACATTTTCTAAATTATGCAACATTCTTGGATTTAAAAATACGAAAAAGAAAGCACCATTTTTAATAGAGAATTACTAAATTCTATGGTTAAACTTTTAAAATGATAATAAAGATCAATTTTGTAATCAATCATCAAAATTCAACTCAATTATCACGTCTAAGTCTTACTAAATATTTATGATGTTTTATGATTAAACTAATACTTCTTACTCATTATATCCTACCTATATATTGTCTTGGATTTGAGTTTTTAGGACTAACAATGGAAACTGGAAGATCTATTCTTGTTCTTCTACATCTAAATTCTGATTCCTATTAACTAATTTATCTAATTTGGCTTATCTTTTGGTTAAATGAGAGAACACCTTTTTCTTCTCTTATAAATTTTACTCAATAAGAAATTTTACCATTGATAAGTTATCAATTTATCTTCTTATTTCTTAACTCTGAAGATTATTTGAGTTCTCAATGAATTCGTATGCTTTATCAGATTTCTTTATTATTCCCATCGCCATCATAACATTTAAACAATCGTAAACCCTTCTAGATTGATTTACAGTATTTGTCTAATAAAAATAATATAAATATTACACTTTATGGATGTAATTTCTTAATTTCTGATAAAATTAATTATAAATTTGTTTTTTTTTGGTTTTTTATGATTTCACAAACAGTTTTACTCATTTCTTTGAGTCCTAAACACCCAAAATGTTCTGATATTGCTTAAAAATTTCTAGTTTTTGAATTTGAATGTTCTGGGAAACCTAATGAAAGATTAGTATCGAATGTCGGTTGCTATTGTTCACAGCCCATTGAGGAGCAATCGCTAGTAAACAAAAACATCAAATATAATATTATATATAATAAAATATAATAATTATAGAACATATTTTTAAAGATAATCACAATTGATTTTTGTTTGTCAAGCATGCATGGATTTGGTATTAATTTTGGCTTTATTTGTTACTCTTGAATCAGTTTTTCTTTAGGATTTACAAGAAGGTGAAGCAGCAGTTCTTAATAAAGGACTTTTACAAACAGAGCTTTTAGATTTGAGTGTATTAGTACAATTATGTTATCCAAAAGGCTGCTATTATTTTGACTTTGTTTTCTATTGCATTTTGTATTTCATAATTCCTTGTTCTATTATTTCAATGTCTTTTTGTATTTTATTAGATGAATAAGATTTCAAATCTTTTATACTTGAAATTGATAAAGATCTATCAAATATCGATTTATTATCATTTATTTAGGTTGCAATTCTCTTGTTTGAACTGGCAACATTTTTAGTATTTATTCCATAATACTTATGATTCTCTAAATTGAATTGTTATTCTAAAGATTCTAATCTGATATATTCATTTTATCTCTCCATTCCAGATTTAAAAAGTTGTTATAAGTTTTATAATATTTCTTTTTTATTTTCTTCAGATGCTGCTTTCTCCTTACTCATCCCTGTAAATACGATTTAATTTTTGTCATTCTCAGATATATATATATTCAAGCATAATTTATCGGATTCAATCTTTTCGATCATCTTCAAATTTTTATTTAGAAATTCTACCATCTAAAATGGTTGTGCCTATGGTTCTGATGTTTCAAAAATGCTATCATTTCTTTTAGAGATCTTTTATTTCTCAGGAGAAATGGCTTTGTTTAATTCAGGACTTTAGCTGGGTTTTCTATCTGTAATTAATCCAATTTCTAATTTTTTATTATCACTTTTGAAACTAGTTCTTAAAGAAGAATTTGGAAGTCCAGGAGAATTTACTCGTCGGAAAGAACTCAGTTCATTTCTATTGGAAGGAATAGAACTATGTGTTGAATGAATCATATATTATTGGCAATATTTGCTCATTTTTACAAAATAAAATCGTTAATAATTAATGATCAAAGTAAAAATTAATAATGAAATGCAGAAATATTTTCATAATGGGAAGGTGACAAAGCTTTGAAATCGAAAATATGATCGTTGCATAAAATTGCTTATTAATAATCACTAAATTCAAGATCTAATAAAATACACTATTTTGATTGTCTAAAAATAAACAGATATAGTAAAAAAAATTCGCTTAATCTGAATTTTCAACATACTTTTAAATTGTGCGACGTCTGATAAATAATTTTATAATAAGAACTTAGAGTTATTATTAATAATCTTGTTCTTTTACTTTATCGGGAGGAATTCTAATTTTCTTAATAACTAAAATTAAAGCTAGCCTTATTTTGATTAAAATTGTAATAATTGAATATTTTTGATTTATTTTTATAAAAACTAAAAAGCACTTAATTAATAAATTATAAAATCATTTTTTTTTCTGAAGCTATTTTTAAATATCCAAGGATTAATATTAAATCAGTTTATTATTTTTAAACATTTCAACAACTTCTTTTAAGTTTTGAAAACATTGCAATCTTAATAAAGAAGTTTTATAGCTCTATAAATCATCCCTCAATTCATAAACTAAAATAATTAATTAACTTAGCAAAGCTAAATGAAGTAGGTATGCCTCTACATTCCCTTACTTTACTATTACTTTGTTGACTACATTTTTATGAAATGCTTAACTGATTCCTTCCAATAGATTGGCTTTAAATAATAAAGCTTAAACTTGCTTTTCTTAAGAAAATAAACATAATTATTTCATAATAGAATAAAATATCTATTAATAAAAAGGATTAGGTAATTGATGAAATTATTCATTTAGATTAAATGTAGAGGTATCATTGAGTTTTAAATAAATTCTATGATTTCTCTGTTTGAAATTTCTTAAAATTAAGTCAATTATTTATGTGCTAAAAATTCTTATACTTCCAATATGATTTTAATTAGAAAAACATTCTTCTCTACTGTTTTTTTCATTCTGCATTTTATGCATATTCGTTAAATTTCTGCAAATTCTTGGTAGATATGTTAAATAAAGTTTGGTTAATTTTTCATTCATGGGTTTTTTATTAATCCTTTGAATGAGGTGAATAAGGATAATCTAACAATTATTTGAGCTATTTTCTTCATATGAACTTTAAAACAATGCAGTTTGTGTAAGAGAATAATGATTAAATAGTTTTTCTAATAAGATATACTAATCATCTAGGAGTTCATCGAATGCATAATGATATTCAAAATTTTGCATAGATTAAACTATAATCTTTAATAGATTGCTATTTCTTAATGATGTTGTTTCATCATTTTAAGTTTCATATTTTGCATATTCTTCTTTCATTATTGTATCTACAACACTATTATCTTAGTTTGGATAATAAACAAATAGTTTAGCCTAAGAAGTTGGTGTTTAGGTTAAATTAATTTACCTTGCAGTTGAAAAATCTAACATAAATAAAATAAATACCATTAGTACCGACTAAACTCATATACTAAGGTTGATCAGATCTCTTACTAGCAGATTAGGTTGGATTGTTTTCGGAAAATGTCATAGACTTTTGTTTACGTTAAGTATTTTTGGTTGCAGTTAATTCAGTTATTATGTTTGGAGGTTAAATATTTAAAGATGGTAGTTTAATGGAGTTTTGTAATTAAATAATATTTAAGGGAGGTTCTGTTACTTGGGATCTTTATGATCTCTATCCAAATTACATATTTTTCATCCCTTCTGATGCTTGTCTGTATACATTATATAGAGTTGGAGTCTCTGCTGGAGTACTAATTTCCCTATAAAATTAAACTACATCCTATAATCTGTCTATATCTCTTCCTGATTGATTTAATTCAGATAAATCAATATATTCTTAAATAATAACTTTATTGATTTATCTAGCTAAACTTGATAAGTCTGAGCTTCTTCTGAGGTTTGAACTTAGCAGCATTTTTCTCTCTAGGAGTTGCTTATTTTAAATCAATGTTTTTCCTGGAATCAATGGACCCAGGTATTGATCTATGTTGCTACTAATTGAATAAGTGATGGCAGCCTAATCATCGTCTTGAATTAATTGTAATTTATAGTCATTGATATGTTTTAAAAATTAATATGCTTCTTTTGAAATATCTCTCCTTTTGTGATACACCCCCTCTTTTTCATTATTTGTAATTTTACTTACAAGAAGGGAAACATATCCTTAACGATTTAGGAATTACCAAATATAATTCCTTAAATCCTAAGGAATTTTTGAATAATTGGGATCCATAAATCGCAATAGGAATTCTAAATAGTGGGAATTATCTAATAGAATAAAAATTATTATTACAAAGATAATCTAAAAATTGTTGGTGAAATTAAAAGTAGAGAAAATTATAGACGGTTTCTTTCAATTCATACTTTAAATAAAATTAGAGTAGACCAATAATATGGGTTAGATTTCCACTTGATTATGAATTTTGAAAAAATCCAGAGATACTGCGAACTAAAATTGATTTGATGAATTACAAGCAATTTGCATGGTATGTTAGTTGATTTACATGATCATTTGATGATTATGGTAATCTGTTAGGAATAACATAGCTTTATAGGATCTAAGAGTAGTCAATTTATCAGGTTTGATTACATGTTATTTGTATTGATTATCATCACAAGGCTATTGAATGTCGTTTGCTAAGGTATCTGTAGCAAAGATCAATCCAGGTTCTGTTGCCACAGGATTAGTAATATAAGAAAACAAGTTTTATAGTGCATCTATGTCTGCTAGATATTCACTTTACTCTGAATCAATTCTTGGTTTGTGTTAGATTAAAATTTCATCGATGTTCACATCACCTCCCTTTATGGAGTCATCTGAATTGCTATTATTTACATGATCATTCATGAGCTACTACTTGGAGGACATTTTAGAAGATAAGGTCTAAGATTAAAGGATGTTCATTGCCATTAATGACATTTTTGGTTTTGATCCCTTCCTTGCTTAGCTGCCCTTCTCTTATAATTCGATGGCAACATTTTGATAATGAAATTCATCTGAATTCTTTTAAACCTCTTCTTGGTATAATTTTAATACAGCTATTCTTTAATCAATTATTTTAAAATACTTTCTTCAATTAGCTAATTGAGTTGGTTTGCAGATTTCATTCTATGTCCTAATTGTTACTAGATTTATCCTACTTTTTTCATGACAGCCCTTACTAATTTCTCGTTTTCTGCATGTTAAAGAAATATTATGAAAGCATAACACTTATCGTCGATATCAAAACTAATATTAATTACTTATTATATTACTCTGGTTCTGAGATTTCAGTTAAAACAGTTTCCATTAAAAATCCAAGGCAACATATTTTCCATTATCCTTGATTTGGAATTTATGCGTATTCTTCAATTGCTTTAAAACAACCGTCAACCCATTCCTTAGAGTGTTTGAATATATTTAGTAGGGAAATTTAAATCATATCTATGGTATCCGGAATTAGAACATGCAATTATAGTAAAAATCTAATTATCCTAGGCTCATTAATCAAAGGTATGCTTTTATTGGAAATGGGATAGTCTAATTGATGAACTTCAATAGTGGTAACACCTTTGATAGAACATCGTTTTATTTTAGGGCCTATTCAAATGATTTTACTAAACTCATACTAATAATAATAATAATTTTAGATTTTTGAAGTTTATATATGCAATTATCATTTCTGAATAAATATACATAAAAATATAGAAATCATTTTTTCCTCTATGTTGATGGTTTTTTTATTTGAATGGATTCTTGTGGTATTTGAGCATAAGGCATTTTTTCATTAATTAGATCTACACTTTTGGCAGTAGTAAAATCAGCAAGCTCTAACAATATAGTATTCAATTTTACAATCATTAATGGCATCTTTTCCCTTCATTAGAATGCCTCTTGGCAATCTTTTATCTGGACAAGCACCTTTTAATTAGATAATACTTTCTCTCTCTTCTCTGAGGGTTCTTTACATTTTCATCATTGTAGATACGAATTTGATTTTATTCTTCAATTTCTCAGTGTCTAAGTACGATATGTTAATAACTTACTTTTCTATGCTCCTTGTGAACTACCAGTGGTGGATTATTTTTGTAATCCAGTCTATTTGGTCAACTATTTGAATTGCTATATATCTGATTCACTGATTTACTCATCATCGTCTCCCTAAATATCTGTTTATAAGATATGATATAACATTTCAGTTACTAAAATGATATTAAATTAAGAACTTACTTTTTTCAGACACAAATGGAATTGACCATGTAAATATATCCATAAAATTAGGTAATAAATAGGGATGAGGGGTGTATTGATATTACTGTATATTCAAAGTGTTATTTTCAAATTTGATGACTGCTCCTCTATTGTTGTAGACATCGCAGTAATTCGGAGCACTGAAAATAGTTATGACAACTGGAAAGTCTTAACCACCATTCCATCTATGCATTTTATATCCATCCAATTATGCCTTATCTTATTTATTTATTTTACTTCATGAGCTCTGATAATAGAAATTAAATTATTCCTTTATAGAAACTTATTTGCTGAATCCCCTCCAAAAAACCAACTGCATCCTCTTACTTCATTCGATTTCCATGCAGTATCCAAATAACCCTATTCTTGATCGACTGGATCACTCCATAGCAAATCACAAAACAATCCTTATCTAGGAGGTTCATGGTATCTTTCTATCTTCTTGATATCTTCTATTGATTTCAAATCAGGTGAGATTCCACCATGAATTGCTATGAATTTAGAGTTTATTATGCATGCCAAAGGGAACAGGTCAAATGAATCCATCAACATCTCGTAAGTCTCTTAATCATATTTGTATAAACATTCTTCTTTGAAATTGAAGAATGCCGTCAATTATCTACACTCGTGATTTCCTCTTAAGAAATATACTGAATTTTGGAAATTCAATTTTATTGCATACATCAATACTATTACTTCTATTGAGTATGATCCTCTATCCACAAAATCTCCCAAAAAGAGATATCTATTATTTTAATATTTTCAAATTTACTTTGTGTTTTCAGGATTTCCTCCCACTTTGGGCTCCAACAATTTCAATAAGTCATAATATTAACTAAGGATAAATTTAATAGATTACCCATGTATATCACCTACAACAGTTAGTGGATCTTGCAAATATAGTACATTTCCTTCGTTTTCTAGTAATAATGTCATTGTATATACTCAACAATTTATTACAATCGGCAACCAATTTAAATAGATCCTCTTTGGCAATTCTGCCTTCCTTTTGTAAATGATCTCTCAACAATTTCCAATCAGGCTTGTCTATTGTTAATGCTGTGATTACTTTTCAATTTATCTGGAAACATTAGATTCCTTGACAATGGACGATGAGGTGGAGGCTTCAAAGTTTTCACTTATCGATCATTGACAGGATCTTTTAGAAGGTCCATATATTAATTAATTTATAAACAAAGAAGAATGTATATAAAATCAATAAATTATAAATTATATAATCATTTCTTACATCTAATAATTCTATGTCTAACCTTAAGAGAATCTATCAATTTTAAAAGGTCCTTGTTATTCATTTTGTATTGATTATTCGCAATTGACTCAACATGTACAGTTGGGAACCTCTGTAGATTCGATTAAACTTGTAAATTGTTGAATTGAGAAAAAGATGCTTGCGTTATTGATTTTGCACTATTTTATTTTATCAACTTCTAATTTAAATAACTCAAAGGTTTCAAATGAGCTACAAACTTTGGAATAACGTCTTTTAGCATTTTATCCATATACAAGGAAACCTGGCTTTTTCTAGGTTCTCTAGCACTATTTGCTGTATGATGAAAAAAAGTCTCATCATCAGGAGTGGTTTTTATCCTTATTTTTTTATTTCAATTATTACCTCAATGATTATCTAGATTGAGGAATACTAATTATAGGTTTATGCTATTAATGATTAAACACAGTTATCTAAGATTTTTTAATTGTTGTTAAATTTCGCATAGCTTTAAGAATATGCATCCTTTTTCTGAATTTCTTTATAGTCTCCACTTTATATGATAAAATAAAAAGAATAGCATTAATTGCTGCTTTAAATCTTTTTAAAACCTTCTTCCTTCTCTACCATCTTTATATTTTATTAATTAAGTACCTTGTCCCGTTGAATGGATATTGTTTTTTTATTCTCCTAATAAATTAATTGCATATTCCAAATTCTGTACAATCGCAACTCAAATTAGTTTTCACATACTCCTTTGCTAACATTGCTTTATTTAAATAAAATAAGGTTAGCTTCTTTTTTTAAGATAAATTTGATAGCCTGTTTTTTAATGTTCTAACATGTTTAAACTCATAAAAGTCATTTAAAGAAAGATAAGTTTCAGACATTTATTTATAAATAAATATCCTTTAATTACTAGTTTATAGATTAATTGATTTAATTCAATCAAATTAGAATTGTAATTGTTGTCTACAAAATTGTTGTTTTAATTCTTTCAACAATGGATTAGATTAATCTTAAATGAATTAATTAGATATAAAGTTAAACATAAATTATTAATAGTTCATTGAAGATAGTCCAATTCGTCATCCTCAAAATTTCTACCGATTATTTTACTATAATATTACAATTAAATTACTCGAATATCTCAGATTCTAAGTATTATTATTATTATGATTACTAATTGGCATTGTTATTACCAAGAGTAAATTATAAAACACTTCGACCCACTTGCATTTCTATGCCATTTAACTCTGAAATCAAGGGAATTACAGTTTATTGGATGAGAATTAATGTTCCAAATTTCGATTTATTATCAGTCAAATAAATTTATCCTTCTATCAATTTAAGTGTTCCATGATTTCTACTTACTGAGATGTCATTTACTCGAATTTCAGTTTCATTAGCTCTTCCAATTTTCAGTTCATTGATTCTGATATTTTCTGCCTCACTACTATTATTATCAAAAGATATGATATAGACCCCATTGCATTGATTCCATTAAGTATCTTCACTCATATTATTTTCTTACATTTCCTATATGATTATGAAATATAAATACTTCATATCTTTTCTGGGTGATTTCCATCAAAATATATGGATATTCTGTTGGCTTACTCAATTCTATTAAATCAAATATTCCTTCATCGCTTTTGAAAATGGGTGGATAATTAAATTTACATAATTCACATTCCAAATTCTTCCACATATAAATGATACAATGATCGCTTTATTTTGTTTGGAATTTGGACTTTAACCATTTTTTTAAACAGTTAAGATGTATATATTTAATAGAGCCAGTACATTTGCATGGATTTACAAGTGGATTCGATCTGCTATATGCACTGCTGCAACAGACTCTGCATGTAATGGCATCTGATTAACTAGATTTTGCAGAATCTGAATCTTATCTTTCAATAAAAAGAGAAGATTACATCAATTATCTTTAATTTAACTGAATTTCTCGGATCTTGAATTTTACTCTGCCCATTTTGATGACATCCCCTTCTTTTAATTTGATTCCATTGTTGCTCATCATTGATTGCATGGATCTTACCACCAACCATAATTTACTTCCTTTCTCCATTAATTTAGTATTAGTTCTTTAACTCATACTGATTTTTTAATGATGACTGTATTTCTTAATTAAATCATTGGGCTAATGAAATTCATCTCCTTCTAATTAATCTAGATTTTCTGATTATTAAAAATCTTTATTATCACCATGATATTTTGTTGTTTATTCTTACTTGTCCTCTTCATAATTTTATTTGCATTCTCCTCTTTTATTTATTATACTGAAAATTCCTTCATTTTTGTCAATTCTGAATAGAATCTGTTCCTATTTAATTACACTCTTATTCCAATCTACATCATCATCAATCCATTATAATTCGTTATTGTTTTTAATTAAGTATCCTCCCTTGCTTATCTTTTATAATTAATCCATTTACTTAAAAGTTCTACTCTTTCAAATGACTTTGGTTTTCATAATCAAAAAGTGAAAATGATTCCTTTTGCCAAGTCTTTATCTTGATAAACAAATCTTTAACGGTTCCTTCCTAATTATTAACCCTATAATCATCATTGGTTGCTATTTCTTGTAGGTGTGTATTGGAATTAACTTGCTCAGATTCACAGAATTTACGACACTGACAACTCCCCATTATAAAATAATATATAAATTAATATAAAATATGTTATTCAAACTATCAGTGCAAACCAACTTAAGAACAAATAGAATAGAATCACTGGGTAAAGTGCTAATATTCTTTTCTATTCTGGGATCAATAATTTCATAAATCCAACCGCAGCTATAAAATCCAATATATAAATATACAGTAGGTTGACCATAGGAAACACCCAATCACCAAAAACATCTTCAAATAAAAGAAGGAGAAGAATAAAGTAAACAAGGCTCCCAAATTTATTGGAAATACACAGTATCCCAACACACAAACCGATTGGAAAAATGATCTTAATTTTATTTCTATATTTACACTTTCCCACCCAATAATTAAGCATTTAGAGTAACTACAAAGGAGCCAACCCAAATAAGTACAAATATTGTGGCAAATATCCCTGGACCATCATCATTATTACCACTCATACTCAAAGTTCTAAGCTACAAACTAAAATATACAATGCTAACATCAAACAAAATACCAATGGTCCCCACAAATCCCCTAAAAATTGTAAAAATAATTCAAATACAATTTCTGAGTTCTCTGGCATTGTTAGTTGACATTGTCGGTACCAAAACGCATCTCAGTTTTACTCCTATCTACCTCAAATCTCGAAGCTAGTTTTTAAATTGATTTGTACCAATGTGACTGCTACACTTTCTTCAAGTGTGCTTGACACCTGAAGGTCAGTTTACTTAATTGGGATTTCCTAATGCTAAGCTTGGACTGGATTCACTTAGGGCTAAAGATTTATAACTCCTTATATGGAGTTATTAGCTTAATTTTCTTAAACTTCAAATTCCATTTTATTTTTATAGATATAAATTATATTATATTCAATATCATCCACAACAGCCCTTCTTTTTTTTTGTAAGATTCTAAATTTAAATGTAATTAAATACTTTTAGTCTTAAACTTAGTTCCTGCTTATCCTTTTCCTACTTCTTTATATCATCATCCAATTTTTATTTTTCAGCATTGTTAATTTGGCTAGGTCCTTGTTACTTGTTGCTAATTTGAAGCTTCTCTAATTCATCTTTTAATTTCTTTTTTTCTTCATCCAATTTTTGTTTCTCAACTTCCAACTTCTTCAATTAGGTATCTTATTAGGTAATATTCTATTCTAATAATTTATATTAAGAATCGTAGTCTCGAATCTCCTATGCTAATTCTTAATTAATGTTAGTCTGAGTTCCTCCCTTCTTATTCTATTTTTGCCTTATTGATTTCTCTAATTTTTTTAATAGATTTGAATGAGTTAATTTTAAATAATCGTAAAGTGTACTTGCCTTCCTAACACCAGATGCTTATTTATCATAATTCAATATAAACCTAAAATTAATTAAGCCATTACCCTACGAAATCAGATGAAAAAAAATGTAAATCATCATAAGTGTAATTCTCCTTTTCCACATCATCCTAAACCTTCTTGGTTTCTTACGCTATGATCTCTTGGTTTTTTCTAAATAAAATTCAAGATTTACGATTGATGAATTTCGTCATTTTAATTTAAAATCTCACTTTCAGTTTTATTCATTAAATCTATGAGTTTTTATTTGTAATCTTCATAATGCTTGTTCATTTCCCTTACTCCTGCAATAAGATGAAATGTATCAAAGCATTCACTTCGAATTTATGATAAAACTTAAAAAGTCTCCTCTAATTTTCTTGTATTTTTGTTTTGAATGAAGAAATTAGTGTAATTATTGGAATAGTTTTTTTTTGCTTATTCATATCCTTAAGCACATTCATTCTTCAGAATACTATCCCATGCAGTATCAATGTTAGGAACACCTCCCCTATTGATTACACTTATGTAATTATCCAACATTGCACAGAACATTCTCCCGTTCACATTTTCAGAATGTATTTATTTTGGAGAACAGTTGTTAATAAGGTATTCCTTCAATTTCATCAACTTGAGATTATTATATATAATTTACAGTCTTTTAAAATTCAGGTCTTAATTGATTCAAAGCTAATTAATCAACATTTTTGAGTTGAGTATCATCGACAGGAGTGATTAATGGGAAGCAGTGTCTCTCCTTAAAAAAGTTAAGTAATGATTTTCTAATTTTTTTGCTCTATTCATTCTATTTAATATATTAACTCTCATCTGTTAGACAATTTTCCATGTATTCTTTTGGTGTCAATTCTCTTTGCTGCTAATCTCTCATTTCAAGTACATAGTCTCTTAAAATCCAAACAAATTTAGGCGTAAAATATTTGATTTATGACTCATTAACAGATTCCTTATTCTAATCCTAAACCTATATATTCTTTGCTAATGTCGTTGTTAATTGTAATTGAGAAATGGATGTTTCATCTATGCAGCCTCTTGAATTGAAAACAAAAATAGAACTCATTAAAATAGCTAAAGCAAATATTTTTGCATCATGGTTTGTGGTTCTCTCAATTGACTCACTTCCTTCGGTATCTAAGAAATAGATCTATAGATTAGTCTTTGGATTGATGATCGGTTTCGTATACATCCAAATACCTTAGGTGCAAGAGTCAGTTGCAGCATCAACTTTAAACTTTAAACTTTAATCATAAACTTACTCCTTCTCCTCCTGCATCCAATAACTTATTTAACAAGAAGCTTTTGCCTGTTCTGTACTTCCCACAAACTACAACAAAACCTATGTCTCCATCCAATTATTGAAAAAATTCTCTAGCCTCCTGTGTTATTTCAAATTTTTATGTTTCTTTAGTGTACTTCACCACCTGAATGGGCTTTTCTTTTTAAGTACTCTTCATATTATTTAATTTAAATAATGTATGCTGAAATACTAACGGGTTGGAAAAGAATAAATTTTATTAATACTAATAAAAATAATTCTGCATATGACCATCACAAAAAGAATGGCAATTCATCATAATAGAAGGAAAGATACTTGTTAATATTGATGAAATGATGTTTAAATCTGATATTATTTCTTTAAAACTTATTAATTTTCAATAGGTCTTCTCATTTTGACGTAAGGGAAATACTTACAACAATAAGCGGTTTGTTATATTCATATCTTTTATATTATATTAATTATATATGTAATTAGGAATAAGTTTTAATCTTAAATTCATTCCTAATTCTAATTTATAAAGGAAGAACTCGCTTTTAGTTCTTTCCAAAAGTATCAAAGAGAAATAATTAATTATGTAAATACATATCTCATTCTTATTTTAATTAAAATTTAAATTTGATATGATCTAAATTAATTATAAACATGTAATAAAAGAGTTAAAACTATTACATAAATTATTGTAAGTAAATTTATATCTCCAATAATGCATTCCTTAAATTGGGATATTTTTGTTTAGAATAAGAATATGATAGTTTTCTAGAAATATTAACTTGATTATACTATTAAATTATTAGGATAGTGTACCCTCAGAAAAGCTAAATATGCTGAATTGTCCTTTTAAGTAAGTAAAGTTTTAATTAATGAAAAGATAGAAGGGTTATTAAATTTGTGTCAATAAAACTGAAATTAAATCAAAATATATCAGACTATTAAACTTAAATAAGGGTTTGGATGGAATCATTTATTATTATAATTAATCAATTAGTAAATTTGAAAAAATTTCATCATGACTATTTATACAGAATTTATCAAGTATATTAAAAAACGCATCTAAATTAACTTATTCGTAACACAAAGGATTTATTATATTCAATTCAGCTATAGAATTATTAATGATCTTGCTAATGATCTTAAATTTGAAAAAATGATTTTCATAAATTTAATTAAAAGTCAAAATGCCATTTTTGACATCACATGGCGTTTCCTTATTGAGGAACAATCTTAAATCATCAAAAAATGTTACAATAATTTATAATGAACTCAAATATCCAATAACACCTTCCCTATCAGGAAATTAATATCAAAGATTAGAAAAGAGACAAAAAATCCAAAGATTAGTCATTAATAGATGAATTACATAAGGCATAGACCAAAAACTTAACTAAGAAAAAGGCTAACAAGAACATAACTAAATTTATAAAAACATATGATATCTGAGTAAAAGAATAACATATCTAGTTAATTTGTGGATGAACATTATAACCAGACAATATATATCTAATGCTGCATAGATAATAATAAAGTAGGTAATTTAGTAAAATATAAATTTGAGATATTTTATTTATATATTTCCTAATTTTTTGGAATTTGAATTTGAATATAATAATTAGCGGAAAAATTTTTATCTAAAGATGGAAGAAGATCAAAGTATATACATATATAATGTTTATTAGACTTAGTCTCATTATCATTACTCAATGATGAACAAGATTAGAAATTGTTAGAAAGAATTTCAAGCAAGAGTAAAAAAATTTTCAAAATTATCTATCCAAACAAGTATTGATTATTCTTAGTATGCTTTTAGTAAATAATTAATTAAATACAAAATTTATAATCGAAAGGAAAAAAGTTTGGAGGAATTGAGTAAGAAGTTTGTTAGTTGCCTAATTGATTATGATGAGAAAATTATATGTTTGGATTAGATCACTGAAGAATTGGGTATTGTATTATTTAATCTTAGGGGTTGAAAGAAGAAGAATATACGATATAATCAATATACTTGAAAGCTTGCAAGTAGTTAAAAGAAAATGTAAAAATAAATATTGTTGGAGTGGATTCAAAACTATTTATTAAACAATTGAATAAGTATTATTATAAAATATATTTATTAGTATGCAAACAAATAATCTGACTTAGACTTAACTACACATAAAAGAGAGAAATCTTTGGAAGTGCTATCAGCTGGGTTTATTAAGTTATTTATGTAATAAAAATCAATTTGGACATTGGAAGAAGCTGCTAAATATTTAGGAAATGAAGTTGATCAAAATAAATTAAAAACAAAAGTAAGAAGATTGTATGATATTGCAAATGTTTTAAAATCAATTGGATTAATTAAGAAAACTCATTTGACATCATCTAAGAAACCTGCATTTTAATGGGTTGGTAAAGAAGGGTTAAAATTATTTTATTAAAATTTAAAATAACGTGAAATGAAAAATTAAACTCAATAAATTAAGGAGAATATTGCAATAATACCTACTCCTTAAATTTAAAATGTGAATAAACCAGATAGTTTTAATTCTTATAATTAATATGTTGGCAAATGCATCGATATGCTGATTTAGCAATAATTAAACGATAGAAAACAATAAACTGAATAGAAAATTAAAGAATAAAATTAAAATTAAGTCTCTGTTATTACTCCGAAGTTAAGAAAAACATATACAATAATTGTAAAATATAAATTTATTTTAGCCTCCCAGAGTTACTACCCCTAAAAAGGTTTTATCAAATACTCCTAAAAAAAATCAATCGAATAGCCATACTCCTAATAATAACAAAACTGTAGTTGGTTCTCTTATAGGGAAGTTTAATTAAAACTTGTGATTCTTTATAGACATCTATATTTTTCATTAAATTATTTATCATAATACTCTTTCTTACCTTTCTATTCTAATGAGAAGAGATTTAAGTACTTAATAAAGTTCGTAAACTGTCGAAAGCATCTCATAGTTGCAGCCTACGTAATGTCATATTTATATTTAGGTTTCGATTTGAATAAGCTATTTAAGTATTGAGCTCAATATTGCTGTCCAATTCTTTTTATGTCATTGCAGTCTTATTATTTAGCTTTGAGTTGAATTTTGATGGCAATCTGCTATCTGTTATTTATTGTATCGAATCAAAATTGCTGTTGCAATTGATCCATTAGTTATATTTTTATCGAATATTTCTACAATTCAGCATGTATAACACTTTTTATAAGTTATTTAGAATAGATAAACACATTTTAATTAGTCTGTTATCGACTTTAGTAGAAGGTTCTTATTTACTTATTCTTAACTTTTACTAGATATCAAGGAGAAGAGATTTGTTATTATATTCAAACATCCTTCCTTTAGTTAATATACTCCTTTGGATGATTTTAAAAATTAATGAAGGAAATTTATACTTTAAAGAATCAATTTCATAAATTAATATGTATCACGTTTTCAGAAACATTACTTTATTGATAACATCAATATTTTTGTGCTTAAAACTTGAAGGGTACTTTCAAACAGAATGGCTCTACACATTGTGGATGTTTTGGATGCTTTTTGGGATTTCTGCATTAATAGTGATTTATTGTATTTTTGTGATTTTGGGATTGGGAATACAAATAATTTTAGAACAAAGTAGTAGGCAGAAAAATTTAGGTTTGAGATTTGCATTTATTAATAGTTATCGTTAATTTCTGGATTTTATTTTTTATGATGTCAAATGCTCTCATGCTTTTTTTAATCCCAATAATAATACTAAATTTTTATAATGTAATTAATTATAAAAATGTCATTGACACAGCAAGAATTATACTAATAGTCAACTAAATTATATTTTCTTATTTTACAGTTAGATTTAAACCAGATATAGTTTTAAGTTTATAGTCTTACCTATCTTTAAGTGATTCAGTGAATCCATTAAACACTCTACCAACCTAATAGGGAGAAGAGTAACTTTAATAATCCAAAAAATAAGATTTAATGGATAGTCAGGTAATAGAGCGTCCCATCTAAATTCCAAAAGTCGTAAAGAGAATATCAAAAACCTACTTTGGATTTGATGATCTATTTGCTGATAAAAAGTCAGAGGTTTAACTCCATAGTAAAAAACCAACTCATCATAAGGCCTTATCGTCATAAATATAAAGACCTTAATAAAATGAATATGAAAATATCAAATTATCTTCTTTAATTAACATTGGGATGAGTGAAGGCCAACAGAGTAATGCAGAATTAGAAAATAATTTAAAAGAATTTGAATAAGTACTTTATATTATCTATTGTTACTTTAATAGGCCAATCAACCTGGATCAGTCTCATTATCATCTATAAATGCATGCTGTATATGTTTTGATAATGAGCCCAATTCATTATTTATGTAATGTGGTCATGGAGGAGTCTGCTATAATTGTGCAATTGATTTATGGAAAAACAAAGCTGAATGTTATCTATGTCGAAATGTAATTGATTTCTTTATTCTAGAAAATCGATAGAGTTTTGAAAATCAAAATGATTGAATAATAAAAGAATATCTACTAAGTTATTGCTGCTACTGAAATGAATTAAAAACTAAAAATTTAACAAAAGAACTTTACATAGAATTAATAATAATGACTTACTGTTTTAAAGATATTTAATTTATCTATTAATAAATTATCCTTTTATATATTCCTTAGGTTTTAAATTTTTGTGATACAAAGTATAAAGACAGATTAATTTAATTTAATAAATCTAAAAATAAAGTCAATAATTATAAATTTAAATATGTCAAAGCTTTAAAGTTTCATTGTTGCTAGAAATAGCATACAATTCTTCAGCAAAAACAGCATATCTATGATAATTAGATAATCTTGAGTTTAAAGTTTGCTTTTTAGAACTTTTTGGTTCTATTTTAGGAAAAACAATAGAAACATCCTAAAATTATTCCCTTTTTGTTATGGATTAGCTTTTCATTGTCTACTTTACACTATTGGTTTTTGAAGATTTTTCTAATGTTTTCGCTCGAGCAGTTTTCAATTATCTATTAATTATCTTTTATTCTTATCTTTGTATTAAATTAGAAAAATTATGAAATTCTCTAATGAAACTCATTTCATCTTAATTCTTTTATTTTATTCTTTATATTTTTGCTTTTTTTTCATTTAAAGACATCTCTAGGTATTTTTATTTAAATGAAGAATATTCAATGTTTTCATGTATATCTTCTAATAGAAATTGTTTTTTCTTTGGTTGAATTACACTATTATTTAAGGACTCAATTTGTTCTTTAATTTTTGAATTCTTCAAACTACTATTTTGAGTTCTAAATCTACTTGACATTGCAAATTCTTAATAGGATTGTTCAGTTCTTTTCTTAAATTTAGGTGGCTAAAATTAAATTTCTGGATTTTCTATACACATTATAGAAAATTTCACAGGCAACTAAGTTGATTTACTACTGCCATCAATTATACCAGATTAGGGAGATATATCAATAGATCTTTATTGGTGACTATTTTTAATAACTGATTATTCTTGTTAAATATCACTAAAAGAGGAGTTTACCTATTACATACGAGAACTATTTTTTAAACTATTTTAATTAATTTACAAAGAAGTTTTATTTTTTGATGGTTTTAATTTATTTGATTTTGTAGGACACATCCAAATGAAATTTTCAATTAAACGAGAATTTTCATTAAAAAATTATAGTTGGATGGTTTATTAATCATATTTAAATTTATCTGCTTACGAATTATTTAAGCATAAGATTACTTAATTCTATTTTCTATCACATAATTAAGAAGTATCTTGAGCAGTTACTTCTAATTTATAAACATTCTAAATTTTCTAATAGTATTTATATAAAAATATAGTTTTTTATTAAATTGGACTCTCCCAAATATGATCACTAAACATAAGAATCTTTGTTCCATTTAGTTTGAATCTGTACGTAATCAAAGCCAATGCTATGACTCTGTATTTTGCTTCGCTTGTTGAAACATAAGTAAATTTGATGTAATCTCTATTGTTGATATATTCAAATGAGATAGATGCTCCGAAATGAAGTAATCCATAAATATCAGCCTGTTAATAGTATTTAAGTTCTTTCAAGGATTCTTTATGCTTACCTAAGTAATCTCTATTTCTGCAATTCCACTTAGTTGAGTTTTAATCTTATTTAATTATCCTATAATCAATTATCTTTTCTTCATTGATGTGTACCTTTTGAATTTCTTGTATAAGCCATTTAGGAATAACAGCAATATTTAAATGATCTAATTAAGCTACTGATTGTGCATATGTAGACTAGATTGAATCATCAGATATTTAAGATTTAAACTATAATCTGACAATTTCATTATCTGCCATAATCTTAAAATTATTATAATTATACCGTATGATATTATTCCAAGAATTTTAGGGAATGTTTTTGATTTCCTAAAATTTCCTCTATTTTTTAATAGGTTTGCATATCAAGATATAGATTTGGTGTTGGAATTTGTGAAACATAAAAAGATATTTCTTTAAAGAAGTTATTTCTGTGATACCATCGGATTCTTCTGAACCATCTTTAGATGACATAAATAGCTCTGGATTGGTTTATAAATTTCATAATAGCAACATATTTCATACCCTTTTGAGCAATGTTTTGTTTTGATCTAAAATACTTTTATATTCTGCAGACAGCTGCTATTTCTCTTAATTAGAAATCAAAAAAGATATGCAGTTATCTATCTCTATTTTGACAATTATATTGATAGATCTTCTTCAAAACTTTAAGGTTATCTAATTCAATATATTTTATTAAATTGTATTCTTCCTACTAAAATTTATCTATTCTTTTGATCATTTACTAATGTCTCAAGAGTTCCTGAGCAGTTAATTCAAATTACTTTTATGACAATTTAACCTTGACATATTTAATAAAAAAATAAAGAAATTCATATTTTATTACATCCCTATTAATATTAGTTTCTCCAAAGGATTTCTTCAATGAGTGAAAATTGAATAATATGACTGCAGATTTGATTCTTTGAAATAGTAGCGGTATAAGATTTTTATGCTGGCAATTATTTTAAGCATGCAACCTAATGGTTTTGATGTTTACTTCTTTGGCATGTAAGTTAAAAGCATTTTTAAATATTTGCTCTTATGATTTCAAAATATAGAATCGCTTAACCTGATTCTGATTCAAAAATTGCCTCAGATGTTTGACCTTCCATAAATTGATTTTCAACGCCTTGTAGATTAAATTCGATGCATTGTTAATAATGTATTACTAAAACCTTCGCCTCTTCAAATCCTTATACGAATTAAGAACTCTTATGTAACTCTATTTGTATTATTCAATGAGAATGCCTCTAACTTCCTTTCGTCTCTCCACAAACCTTTTCCATTGATTAACAAATTTTTGTGCCAATTAAATATTCATAAAATTACAAAAATTATCAATCATTCATAGTTTAATTTAACTTTTTGTTTGTGATAGTAGTTAGTCCAAGCCCCTCCATTATTAGAATAGTAATCCATAGGATAGATTTGTTTCCAATCAGCCTCCCCCAACATAACATAAGTTTCATATGGAGTTAACAATGGTTTCTAAAATTGCACTCCCCAATCAATTGACAGTCTTGGACAAGCAATTTATATAAAGACATCTACTTCATTCAATTAATTTAGTTGTTCGAAATTGATTTCACTAATCAAAAGAGTAAAATATTTTATCTAATGTTTTTTCAACAATTCTTCAATTCTCTACAAAATCTAAGAGCTTCCCTGTCTTCCAAGTGTACTCATTATAATACATACCAATTACGGTTATATTTTTTGGCAATGCACAATTTATTAATATCTCAAATTCATCATTTTTGGATTATCGTACTTTTCTATAGTAAGTCTATAAGTGTATGGATCATATTAGAAGAATTCAAATTATGGATTTTGAATCATAGTTGACTCCATATGAAATCTACCATCACATACAAAGATGACTATATTTCTACTATCTTAAGATACCTCTAATTTAGGGGAAGTGCATCCCAAGACTTCTCCTGAAGATCTAGGCTTTTCTTGTGGAATTGCAATTTTATAACCATCCTCCTCTAATTATTTCTTGAGTAAGTGGATATAAGTATTAAATTGAATTGTACCCATTAAGTAATACTTGATATTCTTATCTGTGAAATTCTTTTAGATTGTTTCAAATAAGTGTTTAGTGTCAATGTTAATTTCCACAAAAACATACAAGGTTTTAACAGCACATTCATTAATTGGAACCAAACAACTGTGACCATAATGAATTATGTAATCAGCTTGCATTTCATCTGCGGTCAAATCATCAATGCAACAAGCACCATATGTAACATCTCCACTTATAAAGGTTTCACAACCAGTAAATGTTGTTAGGATATCTGATATCATGCAAGAATATAATAATAGTCCTTCTGGAAATTACAAATTGATTAAGATGTTTTGTCTTTACAGTCTCTCTTGAGTCTCAATAATTCTGCTGATTGTCTTATGAATTTCAAAATTGTAATGTTTGGGTAACTAACTTATTGCATTATTCAAGGCTTAATTGTTTAGGATGTATTCTGGTATTTGATTTAAGAGTTTAGGTTTGTTTTAAACATTTTAGATCATTAATAAATAATTTAATATTCTAAAAAATGTGAGTTTTATAGACTCTACTTTATCCTAGCACATTTAATATATTTTAATATTTATGATGATATCTCATTCCAATTTAGCATCATAAGTAAAATCTTAATATTTTTAACCAATGCTTTCACCTCCAATCGATAGCGAATTTGGATCATGTGATTCTAATGGTTATTCAGTAAATTCAGGATCGAAGTTTGAAACATCAACTTCACTCTTCACCAAGGGGATGAAGGGGGGCTTATATTGTTTTTTCAACAAAGTGTCCCAATTTACATTTAAAAACCAAGGGTGATCCTTGACTAAAAAATATATTGATTAATTTTACTTTCTTAAGCTCCCTTACTTCCCAATCTTTTGTCTGCATTCTTAGAAAATAATCCCTCTAATAAGGATTTGCATGCTGGTGTTAAACTAACTGGATATTTTAACTATGCAAATTTGATGCTTTCAAATAATTCCTCTCTATTTTAAGTATAGAATGGAGGAAATCCTGAAAGCATCTCATAAATTATTGCTCCTAAGGTCCACCAATCCACTGGTTTGCCATGGCCAGATTTTAATAAAATTTCAGGAGCCAAATACTCAGGAGTACCACACACACTTTGAGCATCTTTTGTACCTTTTACATTTCTTTTGGACAGTCCAAAGTCGGTGATTCTGATGTAACCTTATGCGTCAATCAAGACATTCTCAGGTTTGAGATCTCTATAGATGATATCATGATTATGTAAGTGTTCAAGAGCTAAAACAATTTGTGCAGCGTAGAATCTTGCCTAACATGATATTGGTATGTCTTACTTGATCTTCTGTGAATACTTTACGCTTTTACAATAAATTAAATAACTCTCCTCCTGAACAATATTCAAGAACAAAGTATAATTTCACATCATTTTTGAAAGCATAAAACATTTTAATGATAAAGGGATGTTTTACTTCCACTAGGATGTTTCTTTCCCCTAAGACATGGTCTTCTTATTTTCTTTTTTCAATATTTTTTTTCTTTAAAATCTTCATAGCATAAATTTCCTTATTATCCTAGGTTCAAAGAATCAAGTCTTACATTTTTTTTCACAAGTACTACTTTAGCATATGAGCCTTTTCCAATTACTTTTAAGAGTGTAAAATGATCTATTGTTAATTTCTCCATTTATTTATAATATTTGTAATGAGCATTTCAAGATATGATGTATATATAATCTAAAATTTCCTAACATCGGTATAATTATATTTAAATTAATATGGATTCAATTTTCGGCTTATAAGGTGGTGATTTTGTAATTATCGCATGCGATGGCAGCATTGCCCACAGCATCCTAAAGATTAAGGAAACCGAAGACAAAATTCTTAAGCTTGATGATCATAAGATTTTTGGGATTTCAGGAGAAGGAGCTGACAGAAACTCTTTTGGGGAAATAGTACATAAGAATCATTGTCTTATAAGATATAAAACAGGCGGATACATGAATCTCCAAGAAACTGCTCATTTTGTTAGGTATTTGATTTAGTGATTCAATAAGATCAATGTACGCTTAAGCCATCAGATCAAGAGATGGTCCTCATTAATGCAATGGCTTATTAGGAGGAGTTGATTCAGATGGCACACCTTCACTTTATTGGCTTGATTATTTGGGATCCCTATAAAAGATCACAAGAGGAGCTTAAGGCTATGCAAACTATTTCCTATTGGGTCTGTTGGATAATTAATATAAACCTGTATTTAATTGATTATTATAATAAGAATCTAATTAAAGAAGAAGGAATTGAAATAATCAAGAAGTGCATCAAAGAATTATAAACCAGATTCCTGATTGCCTAAAATAAATTCATCGTTAAGATTGTTACCAAATAAGGAATTGAAGTAATCACCATTTGAACATAATTACAATTATAAATGTTAATCTTAAAAATTAAATTGTATTTGCTTTCAAAATTTAAAATCTCTGATTCTCTATATAGATCTATATATTCGAATCAAATTTGTTTCTATTCATTTATCCAATTTTGCTCATATTAATGATCTTTTAATTAAACATTCGCTAATTACTCTTCTTTATATATATATGAAAAATGTAACATCCTGAATTATGTGAGAAACAATATATAAAGTCAATTAAAAACATTCAATTGAGTACATTAAGTCAATAGTATAGACATAGATGTATAATAGAAAAAGTTAGTAAGTAATATTATGTTAATTTTGAATAAATTTAAATTGAAAACTGAAAGGGATAAAATAATGTAAATAAATTCTCGAATGGTTATTTAAGGATTATTTACTCTAACTTTTGTTGATGTATTATATGAATATGATTTATTTTAATGGTCAAGAGTTTTAACCCAATTTTTCTTGCAGTTTTAATTTTCTTTGCTCTAATTCAAATGTCTCGTCTCTAATCTTTCTCATTTCTTCTTCCAAGAGTTCCCTAGTGATGTGTGTCTGTAGGAATTGTTCACCTCTGCTTTAATAAAGGAAATTGGAGTGTCCATACAAAACGATTAGACCCTACAGATTAAGGTTATTATTCATACAAGTGCTCCAGCAAATACAAAAATCAATTCATAAAGTGGTAACTCGACATTATTTTATTAAGTAAGGGGCTTAGAGATACAAATAAAAATTTACATCATCCATTACTAAATAGCCATGAGGTTAATTTGCTAAGGGATCAGTTTCATCAGCATGGAAATAGGGATCAGACCAATAGAATCTCTCGAAACTATGAATATGAAGAGTATTTGAAACCTGAAAAAGGGAGCATCCACTAGATGTTGATATGGATTTGTATTGTCATGGTGAGGATGATCATGGAGATCAGTAAAGCCAGTGATGCAAACTAGCTTGCCACTCTCGTTTGAAATCCAATTTTAGACTGTGTTTAATTTAATATGGTGATGGCCATGTCCACCTGATCCAAATTTATATAAACCTAAAATTCTTTTCATAATTTTATTATTATAGATAATAATAATAATTATTAATATGAATAGATTATAACAAGTATCAACAACAATTATTTCCATTAGGAGTGTCTATTGTTTTCAACTAAACAGCCTCCTCATAAGTGTTTATAACTTTAATTTCTTTGTCCTTCTTTTTATACTATCCCCCAATCTTGATTCCTGGCTGAATATCAAAATAACATCATTACATCTTATCCAAGCATTATTTTTTAATCATCAATCTCCTGCAAGATCCTTTGCGTTGATTAATAGAATGCTGATTGCACATTGATACCTTGTTTGGCAGATATCTCAAGAAAGATCAGTGACTATGATTGGGCATATTACCATCCTTCTTCATATGTTACTGCTCGCCTCTACATAAAATCAATGCTAATTACTCGGATTCCAAATCAATCTTATTACCACATAGCACAATTACCATATTGGCATTCCCATTATTTTTTATTTCTTCCATCCATCTTTGTAGATTATGAAACGAGTTTTTATTCGTAATATCATAAACCAATAAGGCTCCTTCAGATATAATATTCCAGTACCAATAGCCGATCTATAATAACTACGAATAATAGATCTGAAGTTCTCTTAACCAGCAGTATCCCATATTTACAATTTGATGTTCATCCCATTCACTTTAATGATTTTTGACCCGAATTCAACTCCGATTGTGGCATCGTGTTACTCTCTGATTTCATTTTCAATCAATTGCAAAAGAATACTTGACTTTCCCACTCCTAATCATAACATAAAGTTTTAACCTGTATCCCCTATTATAATAAACTTAAACATCAGACTGTAATTAGACATCTTTTAATATTTTAATTATCATTTTATAAACAATCATACTAATTTTTATTCATCCTTACAAATTTTCCATTAGAGTATCTCTCCCTAAGCAGTGCCCCCAATCATCTTGTTGGTAAAAGGCAACTTCAATAACGTATAGATTGATCCTTTGCCTACCACCTAACTATTCAAGCAATGACTCTCCTTCCAATTCCATATTTTAATCTTGCCTTCTGTACTGGATGAAGCTATAGTGTCATCATCGATCATTTGGATTGACCAAACGATATTTGAATGACCAATCAAGGTCTTTAAAATCTTCCCTGAATATAGATCAGTAATTTAAATGGTAGTATCAGATGACCCACTTGCAATTATAGAGGCTTTCAAATGAATTATGCAATTAACATACTATTTGTGAATTTTCCATTCTTTAATGTCTTGACTCTTCTCCCCAGACTAGCCAGTACCTATAACCTTGATGGTTCCATCTCTATAATCATAATATTGTTTATTTACTTATTCCCACATAGAATTGTACAATGATCCTTTATTGCTAGAAGTGACCATATTTCATATTTATTTTCCACCTTCCAAATGCAAATGGCTGTCTTCCAATTCCACACCCTCATCACTCCGTCTTCTCCTCCACTTGCCACCATCTATTAAGTATGTTATAGCACTTATAGACATAAAACAGGTTTTGTATGACCATTTAAAGTATTTTAGCAAATCCCTGTTGATATTTCCCAAATCTTAATTGTTGTGTCGTAACTCCCTGATATTATATGTTTATTTTCTTGTAACAACCCTATTGCCTTGATATAACTTAGATGTCCTCTCAAAACCAACTTTTCTTGTGACTTCAAATTGAAAATGACTATAGTTTTGTCATCAGCTGAGGATGCCACATAAGGATAGTTTATTAACAACAGTCCATATACACAATTGTCTTGATGATGAAAATAAGTAGATTGGTGCTGCAGATGATAGTTACATTAATTTAGTGGTCCATTCTTTATCTTTTTGATCTTCCCATCATATGTCAAGCATTTTCCCCTCGCCAATTAGAATGCCTTATTATCAATATAAATAGATTCCATTAATTCAATCTATTATTCCGCATTGTACTCATTGAGATAGCCATTTTGTAACAGCACTCTCAAAATCTTCTAATCTTTTAGATCCAAATACACCTAGATGTCGTGTATCTGTGATTCCGTCTTAAGTACTTTCATTACATTTTCTGATTCCCAATTCCAAATACATATCAATTGATCAGTGTGAGCTGATACTAATAAATCATTATTTTGAGGGATAATTTCTAATTTCAATACCTCAGTATTTGAATTTTTGAGTGTTTTAATATGATCTGCTTGGTAATTTGATTTAGATTCATTTAGATAGATGAAACGGATGGTACCATCGACACAACCGAAAAGAATAAATTTACCCAACAAAGGATTGATAAAAATAACACTAACCTATGATTCCAACTACTCGTGAAAGATCGATTTCTATTCATTCCAGACGCAATACATATTATTTGAATAAGATGAAATTAAAAATATTTTCTCCCCTTAATTACTACTAATCACCTGCTCTTGCATGCAGATAACATGATAGGCATTTTTAATTTGTATAACCGATGATAGTTTAAGAGTTGTTATGATCTTCAATTGTTTGTTGTATAAGAGAATGTCTCCCCCTTGCATTCCTACAGCTATGGTGCTGTCTTTTAGTATGACAATGCAATTTATGATGTAACTGTCCATGTTCTCTGTATGAATGATTCCACTGTTCTTATACTTAATGACTCCATTGGAGAAACAAAACAGTTTCATTTGATATTGGGAAATAATCATAGGATTCTGTAGCTATTCTATTCTTCTATGAGCAAAGTATAATTGGTTTTTTAGCATCTTGTTCTCCTTTTTGAGACTTTCAAATTCTTAATTGATGAATTCATTCAATTTAGTCAATTGAGCTTCGTATTTTTTATCCATTTTATTAACAGATATGTCTATGGCCTGCATCTTAGAAGTAACCTCTTCAAAGTATTTATTGATGTAGCTGTCCAATTCAAACTATTGATCCAATTCTTCGAATAAGATCTTGACAATGTTTTGATTGGCACTTAACTCTGTATTTTATTGATTGACGAAGTTGTAAAACAAAGTTCTCAATTGGATGTAATGCTCCCTCTTCAAATCTTTTAATAGGAATTTGTTATTGTTATTAATATTTTGGCTATCGATGCTTTGATCTTAATTGTGAGCATAATTTGTAAGTATTTCGAATTTGCTCAAAATAATGATTTCTCTAATTTTGTCCACCAATTATTGGCTTAGTAATCTAATATCAGTTCGATGCACCAAGAGTCCCTCTCCTCCAACTTCTAATAGTTGCTGTGCATAATCTAGGCCTTCAATTAGATTGATCTATTGAATATGTTGCAATGCGAATGATAGAAGTTGTTCTTAGACTGTAACTCCTTCGATTTGTGGCGATTGGGTTATGCCAATAATGTCGCATACTTTCAAGGCTTGCCAGACGTCTTGAATGCAAAAATCAATTTTGAAGCCAAATAATAATTTAACGCATTGTTCAACCACAAATGCTTCCTTTTCAGTCAGGCCTTAAATTTCAACTTCAATCTTTTGCTGAGTTTTATTCATTAGCACTTACTCGTAAACCAATTTGGACCATCCTGCAGCCAAATCACTCGAGATTCCAAAGGAAAGGGGGATGGAGGGGAATATGAGTGTAAAATCATAGGCAGACATGAAACGATTATTTCGGAGGTAGGATGCTGTTAGAGAAGGCTGATAAAATAGTTGAATGCTGAGACTCATGATTATAAAAATATATTTAATAATTAGTTGAAAATAGAGAATTGGAGATTGTGTGATGTAAATTATATCAAGATATAGTATTGCATTTATCGAAATATAAAAATAAAAGGTTGGGGAAATATAAATTAAATTTAATTAATTTGTGGTTGAATGTCCATTACAGTTGAAGATTTGGCAGCTAATATCGAGACAGTCTTGGCCTCTTTGGGTGATGAAAAAATGTATTCTTGTCTTCATCTTGTAGGGTCAACTGGGAAGTGGTTGAGCAGACCGAACATAACCTAATGAAACATTTTGATTAACTATTTGAGAGATTATACACCCTCAAAGATTCCTTATAAAGAGTTTTCTTAATAAACATCAAAAATTTGAGATAATACGATGCTAAGGATTTGGTCTAAAAGGTTAAAGATAAGAAACTAGAACCTATTGTATTAAAATCACTCACTCAATATGCCTTTAAAAATGATAAGGATGAATTATTACTTAATCCATCTCTCATTAAAGGATAAGTGAATAGTATTGTATTACCTTGGGTGGGCAATAACTTGTCAGTGACTGACAAAATCAAAGAAACCAATGAATGGCTTGATTCAAAATTAGCTGAATTAGAAGTCTTCAAACCCAAAGAAACCTAAGAATCTAATAAAACCCTAGATGTGCAACCAAAAAATGAAGGAAACGATAAAAGTATCATAATTTATTCTAATCATAAGACAATTACACATTCAAGAGTGACAAATTAAACGAAATTGCTTCATAAATTTAAACTATGCACATCCCAAACACCAATAACATGATTAGCATTAAGACATACACTTAAATAGTTGAAGGCAGTGTTGAATTGGCTGAACCTGAATTTATTAGAATTACTTTGGAAAACAGAAAGGCAAGAAGAGAAGTCCTTTATTCTGATGGAGCTAAATATGTTCAATTATTGTTGGATTATGTTAACGACATTGAAAATCTTTTGATGAAGGCATAAGAAGAAATCTGCAAGAAAATCGATATTTCACAATAAACACTCGAACAAAGCGAAATGTTGTTAATGGAAAGAGGACTTGGATAACATGTATTCATGTTACAAGCTTCAGCAAGATAAAGAATCAAGGACAAACTACCAAAGTAGAAGTAGGTTTAGATGAATGCAACAAAAGAAATCATCAGATATCAAATCAAATTATTAAATGAGAAACAAGATTTCTTGAAGAATATGATTGACAAATTGCCTACAACATACGAATCAGGATAATTGGTTCCAATGGTATTAAATTTAGTTATGGGAGATATGATATTCGAAGAACATAGCTATGAAGAAGAAGACTATATTTCAAATCTTGAAAATCCATGTACAATATTCCCACTATTTTAGAATTATTCTAAGATCCAGATATGATGGAATTACTAAAGTCAATTGAAACTGGAGTTGTTTAATTATTGGGAAAAACTGCATTTGCATAACCCCCAGGCGGTATGATGGGCAACATTCCTCCACAAATGTTATAGAAATAATAATAATAGTAATGATAAACGTAGATTTTACATATATAAAATAAATTTATCAATATTGTCCTTAATTGAAAACAATTAATACTCTCTCCAATATTAACTTAAAATATTGATAAATTGTTGTTTAAAACAATTAGAAATTGAAGTAGAAATTAATCACTAATAAGCTATATCAAGATCTTAATAAAATATTATTTCAATAAATTATAATAATGTAGTGAAAATGAGTTCGTATAATCTTATATCTGATTGTATTTAAATCTTATTTTATGTTAGAATTGTTTTTGAGTCTTTTTTAATTGTTGAATAAAGATGTTACTTATTAAAATAATTGATAATTTTTATAATGAGAATATTAATTGTAAATGGATATGGGAAATCAGAAACTGGTAAACAATAATTTGAACGATATTGCGGATAAATACGAAAAGTAAACCTTCTGCAATATAAATAGTTATTTTTGAATTAAAAAGAATTGCTGGACACGGAGACTGAATTTTTTTCTAGAGATGCAAATGATTTAGATGAATTCCTTTACGATCAAGATTCAGGTTATTCTAAATAAGAGGCTGCGAATTAATTTAACTTCATAGATTTTGTTTTCATAGAAATAGATGCAAACCTTAGACCATGGTCCAAACATTTAAAAAAAGTAAACTCATTCATATATATATATATTAGGTTATGGTGCTTATTAGAATGTGTCTAAGAACTAATAAGGTTTTATTGGCCACAGCTGGAGCCATGCAAGCATTGGTGTTTTTTGTAGCTACGAACTTAGAAACTGTAAGAATAATTTTATTAATATGTTTAGCCAGTTGAAGTAGTAAATGGTCCCTAAGGTGGTCCTCTTGGTGATATGAGCAAACTGCAAAAGTCACTAGATTAAATAACAAGGAATGAATATTTTTTAGACAGCATAACAGGGGATCTCTATGGAATCTACTTCGATAAGATTGAATCAGCAAATTGCTGGATACCAATAGCGAATTGTGGTATACACTCTCGAAGAGCTGTTGAAGAGTTTAATACAGTTGGAAAGTATATGTTATAGGCTCCAGTTTATAAGCCTTAGAAAATAAAGGAAATTTATGGGCTTTATACATCCACATAGGATGAGGAAATATGCATGATAAAAAAGAACTTTGTTTAAAATTACTTATTTAAGGATGTAAAGTAAGAATTTTTAGTTCATTCTAAACATGCATGGGACATCCATTCATTCAACGTATTAAATCCAAAGAAGACATTTGTTATTTTAGCAGATTCATCAAAAGGACCTCAAGTCATTACAGTAAATGAAAATATTGTGGGTTTACAATTTGACATTAATCCCAAATATCCAGAAACACAATCAATCCTTAGGAATTTCATTATCCATTATTTGATTTAAATACGATCTTGTGTTAATAAACCATTAACTATCTAATAAGCTAATAATGATTTAAGAAAAAACAAATTAGATTTGGAGAATATGACTAAATAATAAGCAGAGAGCTAATAGAAGGGTGAGAGAACGGTTTTTAATTTTGAAGTGTTGACTAAATTTAAGCATGTGGGATTCACAGGTAAAAAGGCAAAGAAATTGGAGATCGTTATGAATAATGCTATAAATGATCAAGGACAATTGCAAGAGGCTATGAAAACTATGAGATAGAAGCAGTCTCCAAGGACTAAGCAATCAACAGAGGAGACTGATCTGGAGAAGTCTAAGTTCGCTAAGTTTTCAACCAAATTGAATCATGAACATAGGGATACAACTGAGAAGTTCAATAAAACAGCTGCTGAAATTAGATAGATGTTGCATCCCAATATAGATGAATAATTATTGCCTGAGAATGAGCCTTTGTGGGTATCTATTGTTATTCGATTTTGTATAGGTACCTGGAACTATGAACACCTCAATGTTAGCCAGTACTGGACAGAGGATTAGATAGAGACCCTAATCTACAACTTAAAGTCGGACATTTAAATTGACTAGAGTTCAAACTGCAAAATCCAGAGTATCAAAGGGCACTACTAAGGAGGATTATGATTTGTGCAGAGAACATCCAATAGTCAGATGCTCATCTCCATATATTACAAATTTGGAAAAGGATAGGTTGGATCAGAAATAAAAGGATAAATAAATAATTGGACCAAGAAGCATCAGGACGAGTGTTGTGAGCACTATTAAGGGGGGGACTCCCTTTATTTTGTATGACAATCCATACAGCAATCCGGCAGATTTCAAACATAGGGATGAAAACAAGACTAGGTGGGTGGGTGGCCAGAATTTCAGAGTTTGTTGATTTATAACTATAATATTATAATGGATTAAGAAAAAAGTCTGATTGATTTGAAACAGGCATTGGCTTATCGCAATAGGAGCAAGGACATTATTGATGTAATTGCAAAGGGAGTTTAGGATCTTAAATTCTTCAGAGAAAAATAGTAGTTATTTGATCCAGCATTATATTGTTAGATGCTTAAAAAAATCTAGCTGAAGGAATTATAAAAAGGAGAGGTCGTATTTCATTATGGTAAAATCCCATTAATTGGTAGGTTCTAATAATGTTGAATAGTTTTATGTAATTCTAAAGGGGTAAGTTGCAATTCTATGTCCAAACGATAAAAACATTACTCATCAATAAGTTATAGAAGAATATTAAAAGGGGATCGATTCTAATCCCACCCAGCAAAGAAGATCATCAGCAGTCTGTAGTCCCCGCTTGTCAGCCTTTAATAATAGGGCTCTGAAGGATATCATAATGGCACAGGCTTATGGCAATTTTCTAGGGATCAGTAATTATTCAATTATATAGTTGATTTTTGTAGATATTCAAAAAGTCGATTAAGAATCCTTAATTGAAGAATATACCAATAATCCCAATAGAATATCAGTTGATAAATGGTTGGATAATTTGGTGAAAAGACTCTTTCCAAGTTTGCACATAGTGAATATGTGTGGTTCAGGAGACCAATTCGGGGAGATTGCTCTTATAGGCAATGTGACTAGGACAGCCACTGTGTTGTGCACTTAGGATACAGCGATGATTACTTTAGCCAATCCGGATTTCAGAGCTATTTTATAATAATATCATGATCAGGTGAAGAATGAAAAGATTTCGCTCCTCAGAAACTTTGAACTCTTTAGCAAATTAAATGATAAACGACTTAGAGGCATTCTGGAGTATATAGTCGTTTAAAAGCCTACTATGTTTAGTATCATTTATATGGAAAATTCAAATCCAGAATATATCTATTTTATCAAGCAAGGAGAAATTGAATTGCTCAAAGTATTTCCTAAGAACAGAACTGTCTCAATTACCTTACTTTAAGTAGGTTGCGTCTTTGGACATGAAGAGGTTTAGTAATCCATTCCTAGAGAATACAGAGCTGTTTCTAAGTCTTCTCAGTGTGAATTATATTTATTACCTGTTGAAACTATATAATAATTCGAGAAAAAGGACGCGTAATCTTTGGAGAAGAGGTTTCATCATTCAAGATTGTAAAGGTTATTAAACGATAAAAAAATATAGAAGCCTAGTTCAAAAAAAACATAGACTTCAATTGAGTTGTATAAGACAGTGTTTGGAGAGGATTATTCAAATCTTTTTAACCATGAATTGCTTTAAAAAAGGTATAATTTAAGACTACTTAGAATGATATCACCAAGACACAGAAAAATAATGACAGAGACTTTCACGCCTTTATTTGATATGGATAAGAAATACTTCACTTCCAAGAAGCAATTGACCGAAAGGAAAACCATTAGCACAACTACCACTAGATAAAATAAAGAAAACTCGGCAAGACAAATCAGCACTTAGAGTACAATCAATATACACAGACACTTATTTAGTCCTAGAATCAGCAAAAGGCAATTGGACACCATAATGCCCTTTAGAAAAATTGCATAACAATGAACTTTCGATATATATATATAAATAATTATGTAAGTATGAGGAAATCATGTAGTATCTGTTCAATAGTTTGGCTCCTCTATCAACATCTCTACATTCTCATTTATGTTCATTTAACCTAGAATATTGATCAAAGTGAAGTTTTTATTCTCTACGGGTTATTGAACAACCTACGTGGTCTCATATAGGTAAAAATCGTTGCTTTCAATATTCTCTTCAAGTATATCCTAAAAGTAAAGGCTATTCTCTATGAGTTCCTATTCTTTATTCATTGAAAATCTTTTTTTGTTATTTATAATTATGAATTACAATAAAAATACTTTAAGTTTAAGAATGCCAAAAACAAACTTTCCGTATTCAACCTTCAACAAAAATAAATTTGTCAATCAAATATGTTAATTGATAGTTAGATTAGTAGAATGAGATGGTGGTGCATTGAATTTTACTAGATACACAAAAAATAAATAGTAAATTATTTAAATAAATACATCAATGAGTAAAAAGTCTGAAAAGAAAAAACAAGAAAAGATTATTGAAGACAGAACTTTTGGCCTAAAAAATAAAAACAAAAGCAAACAAGTCTAAAAGTATTCATTTTCTGTATTATTTTAGTTTTTGTAAAGGAGTAGCACAATAAGTGAAGCATAGCGGAGTTTCTTTGTCAAAATTATAATCAGAGGAATATGAAAGAAAAAAAATTGAGAGGCAATTGGAAGAGGAAGACAGATTAATGCAATCACTATATAAAACAGTCGAAAAAGTAAAGGAGGAAGAATCTGAAGAGGAAGTGGACCCAAAATCAATTTTATGTGAATATTACAAATAAGGTAGGTTGATATGATAAGGCTAGGTCTGTGTTAGAAGGGTAAGAAATGTATGTATTCTCATGATATGAGTTTGGAATAAAAAACTGCAATGCTTGATTTATATACTGATTAGAGGGAATAAATGGGTGATGAATGGGACTCCTGCTAAAATTGGGATGAGAAGACTTTGAAGGATATCGTTGAGGCTAATGAGAAGACATATAAAAGGTATACTATAATTGAATAGACTAGTCAAATTCCATCAGCAAAAGTCTGTGATTATTTCTTAGACGCCTTGGAGAAAGGTAAATACGGATGGAGATGGGTGTGTCCCAATGGGATGACCTGCCATTATAAGCATTGCCTACCTTAAGGATATGTATTTAGAAAGAAAGAAGAGTCAAAACAAAAACAAGAAGGTGATCTAGAAGAAGAAATAGATGAATAAATTTCATAATTATAAAAGGGAGGAACTAAAATAACTAAAGAAGTTTTTGAAAAATGGAAACAAGAGAGAGCTGAAAAAAAAAAATTAGAAGCGGAAAAATAAAAAATAGAAGAATAGAAGAAAAAAGGTACAAAAATATTTAAAATCATTTTAGGTGCCAAATAAACTGGAGGTAATTCTTAAATGACAGGAAGAGCCTTATTTGTGTACGACCCAAGTTTATTCATCGATGATGATGAGGCAGAGAAAGACTATGAAAGAGTGGAATAAATCGATGAAAATGATGAGGAAGATGAATAAGAAAATAAATAATAATTATATGAAGGGGAAGATAATTAATAATAAGATGAAGATGTTGATTAATAATTTAAGTAATAATAATAATGATAAAAATATTCATTATAATTCATTATTTATCTATTCGAGTAATTTAGAGTTGTTAATTGGCTCAATTATATATCTGGAACTATTATGTCAGGATTACTCTTTTAAGTTTGATTTTACAAATAGATAAGTAGCTGAATACTAAGTAATCCCTAGAATGATATTTTGTACTGTATTATTAACCAATTATTTTTCATTTTGAATCTAATCAATTTCATTATATTTTGGAAACAATTGAAATATGAGTTATGAAAATGTAAAATAGCAGCTGCATCCATATTCCTATATTTTATTTTATAATTGATAATTCATTTTGTTTATTAAAAAACTTAAAAGAAGATCTAAATCTGTTAGAGAAGAAAATCTTCTTTATCTCTATTGAATAAGTATAAAATATTCTGGTTTATTCCTACTCTAAAAACATTGATTTTTATAATTTTTTATTTAAAGCATATTTCTTTGAAAGGGTCTTTTCATTGGATATGAAATAACCAAGAGTGCGTCTTATGAAATCATACAAGAATATTTCACATTAGTAGTGTACTCTCGAAAAACATTAACAAATATAGAAGAAGTTTGTGTTTTTTTGAAGGAATCAATGATTACTTTAAATATAATAGGATCCATTCATATCAGTAACTTTAGTTTTTTTATCATAAGTTCAAAATTGATCATAATATTCTTGAAGGATATTAATTTATTAGTAGGATTGAATTTAACTTAATTAGCTAGGTTACAACTATTCAAAAAACTATAAAATTTGATTATTCCAAAATTACTTTGATTTATTTACTTTTCTAAAGGAAGTACTATAATAAGATTGATAGATGTATGAATTAGTATTAGAATGTGAATTAAGTGATGTGATTGGTTTGATTATATGTTTGATTTTAATGTTTAACATTATATTAATCTTTTCATATAATTCGAATATGAAATCATATAGATAAATATTAAAATAAATCAATGAAATAATACTAACCTTGTATCACCTTTCATCGCAGATACTATCTTCTTTAACATCCATATTGGGTTAAGGTTTATGCGGGTTTTAAGAATTACTAATGATAATATCACCAGCAGTAAGTTCATCATGAGTTACAAATGAATCTTGCATTTGCTCTTGTTGATCTAATTAGGGTTTTGTTTCGATTTGTATCAATACTACATTATCAGGATGTTTATATGCAGGTTTTTAATTTACTTTTTTTTTTTGAACACATTGTAAAAGAACTCTCCCAGTTTAAAATAAGATTGGAGACTTCCCATCTTCTGGTATTATAAGTAAATCTTGATCTTGAGCCAAGACCAAAGTACCAAATTTACTTTTACAATCCTAAACTCTGATTGTGTAATCTGGATTATCGGTTGTGTGTTTGCTAGTGGGTATCAACTTCAGCATAGCATGGGATCGAGAAACGGAGATATCCCTCAATTTAATATCACAATCTGGAATTCTACCCTAGATTTATTAGAAATTAATTATTACAATTTTCAGTTCCGTTTTTTCACCTATTTCAACTACATAAATCATTGCTTCTTTAGATTTATCATCGTTTGTGACTTTGAATGTGATATAGGAGGACTTTGGCTTTGGTAATTTTAGAACTGAATAACTCTTGTCTTGAAAGGTATATGTATTTCTAAATGTGAACTTGCAAATTTCACAATCCAATCTTTTACAAAGATATTAAATAAAATGATCGCCTTATTTAATTTTTAGTTAAATTCCTATCCATTTTTATAAGCATTCCAAATGAATGTATTTTACTGATCCCTCGCATTTACATGGACTTATCAAAGGGTTTATCTCACTTGCCTTACTTGAAAAGCATATTCTACAACTGGCAACATCACTAATTGTTTAAATATCATCTTCCTAATCATCTTGGTATTGGGTTGCCTCATCACAAGGAGTCATGAAGGCATATTCCAACAAATGCATCCTTACTCTCCCCAACTTTATAATATCTCCAATTTTTAAATCCCAATGCTTTATACTTAATACAACTCTTACATCTATCGATTAAAATTAATTGGTTTCCGATTTCAACACAGCCCACAATTTGTGATCCTGTTATTACGATATACTGTTAATAAAAGCTTATTATTCATTTAATGTAATGTTTGCTATTTCAATCGAGTTACGAGCCCATTCACTTTTCGTTAAAGCCACAAGTTCCTTATCCACCGTTGCTAATTGAGCTAAAATAATAGATTCCACACTAAATTACCTGAAAAATCAACTTCTATCTCCTTCACACAATACGAACTGGACTCGAAATCAAATAAGTTGTGTTAATTCTTCGGCCAAATTATTGCCATTACATGAACCCTAAATAGATTCTCATAAAGTATACTTATATGGCATCAATGTTCTTACTATCTCATATCTTTTTTGCTTGGTTGATGTGCAAGCTCCCATTAAATAATTTATTTATTAATTATATTTATATAGTCACATTCTAAATTCTCACCTATTAATATCCTCTAATTGATTGAACATTTCAATTCAACTTTTTTATTTATCAATAACGTCATACTTTACACTTTATAATATTAGTTAAGTAAACATAATTAATAAATATCATTGCTAGAAAATTGCTATCCAAATATTAATTTATTACTCTAAAAATTTGCATCAATTCAACACTCAAAAACTTTCTAACGACTTTAAAAATCATGAACTTTATTCAATATATTTTTAAAATCTTGGGAAAATATATTCCCAATTTACTTTGAATCATCATCTCTTTACTTTCCTTATCTACTAATTTACACTATTCATTTTTCAAACAAATTAAGTTAATTATGAAAGAAATTTTAATTTAAAAAAATTCCTGTTTTCTTAAAATGTTTATATATTGTGATTTTTGTTTCTTGATAAATTTCGTTGGTTTTTTAGGATGCAATTGTTTTACCAATAAACAAACTCAAAAAAATTTACTACTGATTTATATTTTTTATTCAATTTATAATTACAAATCTATAAGGTGCTTACTATTTAAATTAGATATTTTATTTCTAAAATTATTTGTTTTCGATATAAAGTATAGAACTTTACATTGTATCTTTTATAAACCATTCAAATTTTATAAATTCCTTTGGCTTAGAGATTGATATACTCAAATCGAAAACAAAATTATAAAGATCTTAATTGAATAACTGGTATGGGTATAAAACATTCTTTTACTGATTTTTCTATTTTATTTTTTGAATTTATTTTAGATTATTATTAGATGATAATTTAGATCATCTGATCTATATGTTAATAATATAGAAATAAAGGGCAGATAAATTTAAACTCTTTTTCTATTTATACAATTGTAAAATTTTGAAAAATAATATAGAAATATTTAAGAATAAATAAAGAATGAATAGAAAAATGATGTTTTTTATATGCTATTTTAAATTTTATCATTTATCAATGTTTATTTCTTGAGCAGGTTTTTCTTCGTTATTATTTTGTTCTGCTTTCTTCCAATACTTGTCTAACTGTGCTTCCATTTTATTTTTTCCTAGATAATATTGAAATTTTACTCTAGATATCTTTTGCAATTTTAAGAACTTCAGAATTTAGTTAATTCTTTCTTCTTCCTGTCTTAATGAATCTTTAATTATCTCTCTTTTCACCCTTCTTTAAATCTAATTAATTACATTTTAATTTTTTTATTTAAAGCCCAGTCTTCTTCTTCGCTAAGCACCTTATTATTAAAATCCTTAATTATTTCCACCTCCTCTTTAAGTTTAATTTCTTCTTTATTAATTTTGATTTCTTTATCTATCAAAACCTTGATTTTGATTTTGATTTTAATTTGACTATCCTCTAAATTTTTTATTTTTGAAATTTCGTTATTAATTATTAGGTCTAGAATCGTTCCCTCTAGAGTTTCTGAAATTTTGGTTTCCTCCTCTAAAATCTCTGCCTCTTCTATTCCCTCCTCTTCTATTCCGTGACCCGCTAAATTATCTCATTAATAAATAATAAAAATTATTAAAAACTATTCTTGAATTCAAAATCCTTAAGTCATTAATAATATTTGATACCAATACATTGACTAAAATTCATTAAAAATCGATTTCTTGAATACAAACTTAATGGTCTTTAGAAATTTGGATGTCTGGAGAAAAATAAAAATAAATCAATGAATCCATGTTTACATTAACTGATAAATTGTTTGGGTATTTATAATATCGTTAATGAAGGAATAAAACATAGTATTTTGTATTAGGCGAATTTTCAGTCTAAAATTATTAATATTCCGATTAGTTATTATTATATAAATACAATAATCTTTAGAATTCTTTAAAATGCTTCTAGTTGAGAAACATATAAAATAGATTTTCTCTTTATGCAAAGCTAAAATAATTGATATTCTCATTCTTATTTATGCTTGATAATCTAAATCTTTGATTTATGATGTAATTAAATTTACAAACAAAAAATAATTTCTTATTTTTAAATATAATATATTGTATATAAATTTATGTCTAATAGTTCGAATGTTATAGGAATACAGTATAATTGTTTTCACAAAAGACCTGAAACAAAAGAAATAGATTTATCTTTCAACTTTGTTAGCAATAATAGTTTTGATAATGATTAAATAACAAGAACCTACTTTTCAAGAATTATGTCGAGGAGGAAAGGCACAAGCAGATTTGATACTCAAGAATCCTCAATGAATATCAAAAAGCAAATAAGATTTCCTACTCTATAATCCAAGCAAGCTATTTAGAAGACAGAAATTGGCAAAAGTATGGGGTTCTAAATTTAACCAATTCAAATACAACTGAAAATCTTTAATGCAAAGCCTTCTGAATCCTTTACAACCGAAGAACTTTAAGAGCAAAGAAGAGCTTATTGTTTGAAGTAATATCGAAAATATCAACAATAAAGATTATTTCAATAAATGATTTTAAAAAATTTAAGTATAAAAGAAACCATTTAAACATGGGTATAATCCTAAAAAAAATGAGTGATATCTAACAAATTTAAGATAGTTGAATTGCAAACTCAGTCAGCTTCTCATTTAAATATTTATTAAAATATTTATAAAATCTATATGGTTGCATATGTATTCATACTAACAAATATATATTCTTTTTACAATTAATTTCATATGTGCATGCTTAATTAATAAAACATATATACTTTTTAAACAAATCTATATGTTTTGTGTTGGTTCCGTTCCATAAATTTTTTGAGTTTTTTATGCAAATAGGCTGGAGGTCTATTTGTAACATCAAGAAGAGAATTTTTTGAGCCTAGATATTCTGTGAAAAGTAGAAAATAAGTGTCCACTAAAAAATTAACTTATTTTTTAACATTATATAACATCTATTTGTTTCCTCATGTTAATCTTACTATTTTTTACAATTATAGTATGATTTTTAGACACTTTAAATGTGGGGAAATCCAAATGAAATTTTGAAGATGTTTATCGATAAAAATTATTTCAAATAATTCTGTATTCTAAATAGAATAACAATTTTATGAAGTTTTATACATTATTCTGTATTATTATCATAATCTTAATATTCATTTTCAGTATTTTTTATACATACCTTAACATATTTTGCTGCTTAGGTTAGGTTATTTACAAATTTTTTAAATTAATAATTTTGAGATTCAAACCGGTTATTGTAAATGGACCATGAGAAACCCCACGAAGATTCTTTATAGCGTAATAATTTAATAAAAACCTACTGGTAGTTCTTGATGATCAATTTTTTTTGATTTTTTTCTTCCTAGAAAATTTATTGGGTGCGCAAATTAGACACCCCATTTTTATATAATATTATTTTAATTTAGTAAATATAACTCTAGTGAATATGAATATATCTGTCATACCTATCAGAAGAACATAATTAACAAATGAAAACTAATTATTACTGTTAATAATTTATGGACTAATAAAAAAGCGAATAAGAAGATACTGTCCTTTTTAGACAATTTTAAGAATATCTAGAGAACTAAAATGAACTTTAGATATATCATAATACTCACGCTGATAGATTTTATAAAGCGATGCCTTGCACTATAAAGCCAAGAAAAATAAAGAATAATCCAATCATAATGGCACAAATGCTTGTAAGAAATAGTCAATCAATTAGTCCAAAAAAATAGTGTATTAAGAAAAAATTCAGATCCCTTAAATTAATTGTTAGGAAAGTAATAGATCAAGAGTATGTCCTAGATTGTAGACTCCTACAAGAAATGACGAAAGATAACAATAATTGAGATCTTTATTGGTTTCAAGAAGAGAAAAATAAAGATGCCATAGCATTAATTCAGAGGTTTTTAAAGAGGTTAATTTATAATTGAATCATAATATTTTGGATTAACCAAAAAAATTAAGGACACCCAGAAGTACGAGGGCGGAGCTCTATTTTAGTAATCAATTAAGAGACAGTCTAAGAACTCCAAGATGTGGAATAACAATTCCTCAATATTTAGCTGGTAAGATTAAATCAATAAAATGATGATAATCACTTTGATCTCAAAATATTTATTTAAATATCATATATCTGAATTTTTATACATACAAACTTATTAACACAATCATTTTAACAATTAAATTCTTATTTTAGGGTCTAAAAGCTATATACTAGTCATAATTTGAGTAATCTTTTCAGGAAATCGTTATTTTGTTTCTTCTAAGACAAATTTCCATGTATCTACAATTGGATGATATTCTGTTAATTTTATTAATTAAACAAAATCTAAATTTCTTAATTTATGGTATTTAAGTGGGCAAAATTATTTTTACTTTTCTAACCAATTCAGAAGTTATTATTATTCTTCATTATTTAATAGAGGATAATATTCATCAAGAAAAGTAGAGAACAAATCAGTTTATCCTAAAAGATTTTATTTTGCAAGATCAAAAGAGAACTCTTTTTTGTATAAATGAACTAATGATAGTAATATGTCTAGTAATTCTTTTTTATTTTTTTATTTTTAAATTTCCTATAAATTTATTTATTCAATTTTTAGGTATCCTTTTTCAACAAGTTATATCTTGAATTTAATAGATTTGTTTTTGATTTCATCTAATAGATTTTATCTTAAATCAGGTTATGAAAAAGCTAATAACCAAAAACTATCTAAACAATTAGCTTTATCTCTAAATAATGATAATAATTCATTTTTGTATTCTACATTTGAATCATTCAATTTTTCAAATACTTGAGGATCATCTTTATTTTCCTATAGAAATTAAATTATTTTTTCTGAATCATCTAATTAAATTGTGGTTTATTAAACTTCTTCAGCTAATTCATTTTGATTGTGTCTAAGTAAAATTTATTTAAATAATTTTCTTATCTCAGAATTATCACAATTTTCAAAAGCCAATTAAATTATCTATTTAATTCCATCAAGCTTTTTCGATTTAATTTGAGTAATAGGTTCTACTGTATTTAAAGGTAGAAATCCATCAACGTTTGTGCTTTCATCTTTCTACTCTTGTCCAATTTGCAATTGATTTAATTCGAAATCTAAATAGCTTCCCCAAAGATCAACATTCTTATTGTTAATTCTCAAAGCCTGATAAAATATTTTCCTTGCTTTAATTGGATTGTGAGCTTTTTCTAATTCAAAGAGAGCTCCTGCCAACCAAAGATCTGTATTAAATGGATTAAAATTCAAAGCTTTTGTAATAACCTTAAAGAAATGTTTTTTGGATTCAATGATATAACAAAAACTCAAATATTGTTTCCACAAATCGATGTTGTAGCGATATTTATTCATGATCCTATCCCAAATATAAATTATTCTTTTCACAATGGCGTAATCCCTAGTAGTAACCTTCTTTACTTAACGTTCCTTATTTCGTTATCTTCTGAGTCTTTCCAACCCATATTCATAGTCAAGTAATTACATGTAATTGCTTAGATTGTGTGTTCTACGCTATAACATGTATTCAAATTCTTCCCTTTTGTGGAGAATATCTTTGACTTCATCCTTAGAGAATACCTGTTTTTTTTAGAGAGCCAGGAGATCAGGAATAAACTTTTCTAAAGTGTACCTAATTTTGTCAGCCATTAATTAAATAAAATATATGATTGCCAAAAAATCAGAAAATACTCTTCTCATAATATTAAGGTATTTTCGTGAGGGGAAATGCTTAGAGGCAATGAGTTGTTTGAAACGTATATTTTCTGGAAAAGAATAAAGTCTATTAGGATTAGATTTAGAATAAACGTTGAAACAATTGAGATTAGAAAATGATTCGGAAACATGCAAGAGATTAAATGATAATGCTCGTTAAAGTCATCCAGGATGGGTGGAATTATTATGCAGTTTGCTTTAATATTATGTGGAAAGAGAAAGAGGAAGTGCTAATGTTATTGACCATTTTGAAAATCTTTTTAAAAATACTAAATTGGCTTCTAGATGAGTAACGTCATTAAATATTTCAATTTTTGTGTAAGCAAGTCGTTACCGAATTAATACAAAATAGTATAGATAATGAAAAAAAAAGCAAAAGATTCTGAAGCAGTAAAAAGGGCTTCTCATGCTTAAGAGACTCTTGAGAGCAAAAGCTTACAAATATTTTAAGAAATGGGAAGAGAAATCAATCTTTAAAATATGTAAAAGCTTAAATTATTGAATGCAAATTAATAAATGAAGATTTATTTTAAAGGTTTCAAATTTGATAGGGCTGCTGACTGTGATAAAGTAGAGAAAGAATAAAATCTTCTCTTTACTTCACCTAAATAAGATTAAGTTACTTATCATTATTATAAGGGTAGGATCCTTATCTTTCATTCTAAATTTGTAGATGCATCACAACATTTAACCCAAGTTTTATAAGAATGTCCAAGAACATAAAAAGGCATATCATGTGCTCGACAAGTCTTAAAATATTTAATTCCTATTAATATGTTTTTGGGAAGATATCCAAAAAAAGAAATTGATTGAATAATTTAAAGAATATGATTTATTATGCACAAGTGTAAGATAAGGAAATATTGCAGGCTTATAAGAGGCTATAGATAAATACAGATAAATTTGGATTAAGAGAAGTCTATTAATTTTGATGGATCAATTGAAAGTGCTCTGCTATAGGAATTTATGCAGAAAAGTTTGGTTGATCAATTAAAAGAGCAATAAAATATTATTGAATCAATTTTAAAAGGTACTTTTGTTACTATATAGTATATCAGGCATTTCGAATATCACATCCTCAGAATAACAACCCTACTATTTCTGAAGTATGTTGCATAATAGCCAATCTAATATATTTACAACTAATTTAAGGTCAAATATATTTGAATAACGTAAAAGATGTTTATGCTATTACTCTCAGTCCAGACCCTTTCAAAAATAGACCAAATGAAATTAATTGGTAAAATTGATATCTGTATTATATTTTCAACATTCACATCGAATCATTTTGATCTCTGGTTTAAAGAATACTGAGGGTTATTTCTCTGCAAATTCTTCTCAACTAACTTTTTAAGTCTCTTGAATGGCTCTTTAATTTATATTATTTAGATTTGAAATCAGTTTTTTAAGAATTAATAATGTTCTATTCACTCATTTTTATTCAAATAGCACATCCTCATTCAAAATTTGTTTATACTTAACTTATTTATCGAATAACTTAAAGAATAGTTTTAAATATAAAAGTTATTAAAGGTAATCAGACTTTTATTGAAATTTATAACATATATTTTTTTATTCAATCTTTTATTCTATTCTATTGATTATTTTTATTAACACTCAAAACTTGATCTCATAAAGCCAAACCAGAAAATAATAAGTTGCTTTTATCTAAAACTTTATTAATATTAATTATATGGCTTGGTTTTCTTTTGATAAACAATCTTAATTGTTTTCTTTCTTTCTTGCTACAACTAATTAATCAGTTTGAATTCAATTTCAATCTTTAATAAATATAATAATTTATGTTAAATACATGATGCAATGAGTGTTCAAAATTGTTATAATAGTTATACTAATTCAGATCTTCATAAAAATATAGTTCTGATAAAATGAATTAAATATTTGTAAAATATATTTTTATGATTTCATTCTTATTCTGATAATTAAATTAAATATCCCTAATCCCATTTACCTTTAATGACTTATCCATCAAGATTTGTGAATTCTCCATCACCATGTACCATCCCATCTTCAAATTCTCCAAAATATTATTCATTATTTGTTAAGATTAGTGTTCCTTATCCATGCATTTTCCCTTGGTAAAAGTTTCCTATAGAATTATTAGTGTATGTACCTTCATAAGATGCCCATCCATTGCCAATAGTTGTCATATTATTCCAATCAATTGGTTCTGTCAATTCTTCAGTTTGAAGATTTGTCAATCTTCCTTATCCATCATATAAGTTGTCCTTCCAATATCCAGCATATATTTATTGTCCATCTGAATCTGTTAAGATACCAAATCCACTTCTAGTCTATGGAGGATAACCTTATCCTCTATAAATGAATCCGTCCTCATATTACAATGCCAACTCTAAAAATATATAAGTATGTGTGTACCTTAAATTTCGCCATCCTCTGCTTCTGCTTCTTGATTTTCTTGATTAGTTTAACGACCTTTGCTGCCAGAATCATCGATGTTGTACTTTTTGATGATTTCTTCTGTGCTTTTGAGAGCATTTTAGTATCTCTTATCCAAATCGTCTTCCTTCTTGGGTGGTTAGGTCGGCTATTATTTTTATTTAGATGCCTCTGGTTGTTGTTTTTATTAACTAGGCTTGGGTTATGGTGTATCTAATGTAGTTGATATACAATAAACATTATTTATGATATTGGGGCGATTAAGGTTACTACTTGCGTATGCGTTCTTGCACTTATTCATATGTCAGATATTATCTATTCGGGGATTGCAACTAAGGAGCTGGCGATTTTGGGACTTGTTGAGATTACATCAACATGTTCCTATTGGGTGACTAGGCTCCTTTCAAACGATCTGGGGATTAGAATTATCGTTAAGGCGAAGCCATGATTTAGCTTAACATTGGTTGTGGTTGGTATGTGGGTGGTACGATTGATGAAGTGTATGGATTGTAAGGATTGTATGGATATGTTGGCGGGGGTATTCTTAATCCAGGGTATGGATATTGGGGAGCATTATAAACAGGTGGTCTCCATTACTATGGTACTTATGGACGTACACCATAGGGTTAATACCTATATTATGGATATGCTTAAGGATAATAGGGCTAAGGATAATACATTTTATTTAATATCTTAATTAATGAAAAAGTGGTACTTCGTTATAATCTCTAGCAAATAATCCTTCAAAAGGTAACAGATATACGTTAGAAAGAACAAACGAATCCCTATATTTTCGAAGGGGAGTAGAAATATTTTTGAATTAAATTGTTTATTTATGAAAGTTTAAGTTGCCTTCTTGAAAAGGGTTTTGTTTTTAATTCAATGGCAAAGTGAAGATTAAGTATAAGATAGTTCTTCAACAATGGCAATCAACCTAAAAAAGGAATATCTTTTTAATTAAATAATTGCATTAAATTCAAGCAAATATTATTGATTGGGAAGTATGTAGAAATAATTGGAAAATCAGAATCCATTACACGATTAATTAAAATAACCCTTAAATATTCAAATATAGATTAATTAATTACTTAATGATCATCTTGGTTAATTTTATGTTAATCTAGTAGAGACGTAGAAAAAATTCTTTTAATAATCAATTATAAATGATTTATTAATAAATTGTCCATCAATTATATCATTTTTATTGTAAAATGTTAAAGAAATATTCCACTTCTAGTATGCCATCTTCAGGAAGATCAGTACAATGTATAGCATTCTTAACTCTATCAGTTCCAAATTTGGCTCTAATTGTTTATGGTCGCAAAGTTTTAGCTATTTCTGGATCATGTGGTCCACATATATCCCTAAAGGCTTTAACCTAATAATTACAGTTAATTATTACTGCATTTTCTTATCTGATTTCCATTGCAATACAAGGTCCTGATGTTAAATGTTCTGACATAGCTTAGAATTCTGGTAGGACACCCTTAATTAAACATAAATAACTTATTTATACCTTATAGACTTCAAAGAACTCTTCACTAGTAGCTCTATCTAAATAGAACATTTGCATTGCTGATATTTCAAAGCCTTCACTTAAAATAATGTCAATAATCTATCCAGCTCTTCCTTCTAACACAATATGTGGTTTGATTATGGCACAAGTACAATTATTAAATACAGCAGTCGACTTTAAGTTAGATTTGTCAGAGAAAAAGAAATCTAATTCCCTTTATGCTGAACCAGCTATAAAATTATAAAATTAGTAACTTACGAGCATCACTGCCATGACAGGCATTTCTAACTCCTTCTGTACCATACAAAGCTCTCATTGAATTTGGTGCCTCAACTCTAGCTACTTGACATTTAGTTGGCCCAATGAGATCTCTCCATTTTTTGACACTATTATCGGCTATCAATTCCAAACCTACAATAAAATCACTGCAGATGAATTAAGTCAGCTCATCAAAAAAAGGTTTTCCCTATTCAATTTGATTTTTTAATTACTCTATGTTCTCCATAGAATTGCTAAGCATCTCCAATTTACATTCTTGTCATTTTCAAATTACCAATTACGAAACCGCTCCTCTCAACCGCAGTGATTATCTTACCAATATGTGTATATGCATCTGGCTTAATCATTCCAAATGTTCTAACATTTATACAATTTAATTACTTTCCTCTTTATACTTCGAATTTAGATCTAGTAAATACATCTGCATAATCCACTATTTTTAATTATCTTGAAAAAACTGTCACTATTGATCCAACATACAAATCCTTCAATTATACTGATGGGTATTCACACCTTTTTAAGAATATTCTCTTATTTTTCAAATCAAACTAATTTCTTTAATCAAAATGTTACCATTTCGATAGTTTTGTCTGACATAAAATAGGTGAGGTTGTAACTCCTTATTAAAGATGCACTTGTGTCAAACCATTCAACTATGAACACATATCTTTCATCATTGACTGCCATCTGTTAATAATAATAATCAAATATATAATCAATAACCAGATTTTGATTTCCAGTATTATACTTCCTATTCCAACTATTATTTCTCGCCCTCAGCCTTATCTAATCTATTTTTATATTCATCTAAAAGTCTTTTCGTAGACTCAATAAGAGTTAACAAATTCTTTTAGGTGCTTCTTTTCATCGAATTATATTATTATTCACTAATAGGATGTTATATATTTATACACCATGTTCTCTTTTGATTACAATTTTGGTTCCTCGTATGAATCCAACTGTAATTATTATTTTGAACTTATTCTTTTAAATCTCAAAGACTAAATGGGAGACGATGTTAAATGACGCAAAATCTCGCTTTGTTTACTCCCTTATTTGCTATTCGATTTATGCTAAAATGGTTTCTGGTATGGCGAACAATTTTTTTTCAGGATGGCTCCCAATCGTTTGTGAACTTCATTGTCTGATTTATTCTCTATTAGAACTATCATACTTGTTTATGTTATGTTTATGGATGCACAAAACTACTGTATAAATTGAGTATCTATTGAGATTTGCTCATTGAACTGTTTTTTGTATACATTTATTTTTTAAATGAATGATAAGTTCCTTTAATTAAGAAATAATTATTGCTATCAATACAACAAGCGAATTATTAAAAATTATGAATAACCCTAATATTCTTAAAGATTAAAAACTGAAACTCCTCCAATTCTCAAACAAAATAAGTACACTTACCATTCGCCAAGAAATATTATTTAAACTACATTTTTTGATTAACTTAAAAAGTTTCCAACTCCAAAACCTACAGCCTATTAGACTTACCTAAAATCTTTGTTAGAAAATAAAACAGAAATTCAGTCTAAGCAAAAATTTAAACCATCCTTCACTATGCACGATATTCGAGGTCAGAAAATTAACACATAGAGATAATTAAAGGATACATTAAAAAATCAACAGAAACACCACTATCAAAATAAAACTGAATTCAAAATGCCTCAAAAAATCAAATAGCATAATTCAACATAATTTAATTAGCCTCAAAAACTTTCTTAAGAATAGATGAAATAATTATCAATAAAAAAAATCAATAAGATCAACACTAAAATAAATACATGCAGGGCAGCAAATGGATTTTAAGCATTAGGAAGCGATGGAATGCAGAATTATGAAGATAATTTTGATGACATCTAACCTTGGAACACTTCTGAATTAAAATGATTGTTTTTTATTAAATTTAATAATTTCATATTTTTTTTTCAATTTGATAGTTTTCTAAGTTATGAAATGATGAAGATCTAGAATTATGATGCTGAGATGGCCGACATTATAAAATTGGACCATTTGATGATTCATAATTTTATATAACTCTAAAATTCTAATTAGAATTTAATACTTCACATATTGCTAACTAGCTTACTGGAATGATAACTATTGATGTATGATGGGATGCTGATATTAATTATGGTTAATTTATGGGTTGGGCTACGACTTTTTAGAAATGATTTTCGCTGGAGTGACATTCACTTTTGATTAATTATTCTAAATGATCGGTTGTTGATGCTCTTAATGCAAGGAAATTTTGGCAGGTTACATAAGGTAGTGATACTGTATTTAAATATTTTCTTTATTGTTGTTTGCCTTATTTAGTATTTCTTAACTTCTTTTTTAAATATCAAATTCATTATTAAATTGAATTTTCTCATTCAAAGGATAAGGATTTTGGACATTTGAAGGAAATAAATTCTTTGGATTTTATTCAGGCAATGTTTATCCAATATTATTATTAAATGATTAGCTTCTCATTTTGAAGGGAACTTTAGTTTATTATTCTGTTGATTTCTAATGATTAGTTCCAAAATTTGCAGGCATTTATTTCTGTATTTACTTATTTTCTTCTTGAATTATTCCTATTTTTTTTAAATTCAATTTTGGTATTTTTGGATCCTTTTCTACATTTATTTCAGGGGGAATTATTTTCTGCAGATAATTGAGTCTTTAATTTATAGTTCGAAGGGCATTTTTAATTGATTCGCAATCGAAATCTCGTCTTAAATGATTATATATACTTACTCTTAACGAATTTACATTAAATTTATAATAATATAAGAGTGATTATTAAATAACACAAATAAAATAAATGATCTTTAGAAATTTGAAAAATCCATTACTTTCTAAAACTTTTAGGTCTCAAATACCCAGTTTTGGAGTTTTGAATCATGAAAAGTTTCAAAAGAAAGTTGAGGGAAAAGGCAAAGTTACCAAATTTCTTTATGAATTTTGGGAGATCCTTTATTAAGTATGAGCTTAAAGTTATATGTTAGGGCACTTGGGATTAATGTGTGGATGCTAAATTGATGTGTAAGTACACTATCACACAAAAGAAAACGGCTTTTATGCTGTCTGAAATTACGAGAATTAGAAAAGACTTAATAAAATTCGTTCCTTTCTCCTTCTTTCTCGTAGTCCCAGGAGCAGAGTTGCTGTTACCACCTTATCTGTACTTGTTTCCCAATGCATTTCCTACTACTTATTTATTTGATGATCAGCTGGCGAAGAGATATATTACAAGAGACCGAAAACAAATGAATTCATATAGATATCTGTTTCAATTGATGAAACAACGCATTCCTTCAATTGAAAATATAAGAAACAATCAAGATTACAATGCGAAGGGTTTATAGGAACTTGTTTTAAAGCACTCTCATCTCTTCATGACTAAGTTGGATTACAGAGAATTTAATTCAGAACAATTGGTGCACGTATATAAATTTATGAGAGTTTAGTTAAGCAAATTTTTAGGAATGGAGTTTTTTAGAGGAACCTACACCATTATGAAACTCACTAAACTTTTTGTTAATCTCCCAGTCTATTTCACTAATCTCTTCTATTGGTTGACTAGAAACCCAGAAAGAAGACCTTTAAAGAGTGTTTTAAAAAATTGGAATTCCCTCCTCCCTTTTCCAATTGAAGATTTAAAAAAGGCATTGCTTTTAATGTAAATCAAATCTCATCTCAAAAAAGTATAATGAATCATTAAATATCAAGATGGAAAGACAAGACAAAGCATTTAGATTAAATGGATTTGGGGATAATAATTTTGACAGTATTAGGCAATTTGCAAGGGAAAGAGGAATTCCAGCATTAGTAATGTAGAAAGAGAATCCTGAATAACATTTTGAATAGTAATTTTACTTATATGATTTTAGCTCAAAAAAGCAATTTAAAAGAGACTACATAGATTTCATATATAAAGAATAAGTTTTTGAAAATCTCAAAATTTGGTATGCTGTTCTCTACTATGAGAGATATCATAATAGAATTGTTGAAGAATATGAAGAAAGAGTTAGAAAACATTTACTACATTGATATGTTTCCATTTAAAATTATAAATAATGATTTCTTATTTTAGTCTAATTATTTGATATACCAAACTGTTCTAATCCATTTAAATAACACAAAACATAAGAATGCATTTGAATTGCCAAAAAGAATTTGAGATTATTTTTAGTTATTCTTAAAGTTTTTGTTAACTATATTTAAATTCAATTTGAATCATAGAATTTTGATTTATTTTGGGTCTAAGATTTTCAATTGATCTTATGATTCAATTAGGAATATGTTGATTTACTTATGCGTTTTTTACATTTAATATTTGTTGCTACTCGGAAATATAATTATTGTTAGATTTTATCTAATAATTATGGCAAGATATATATTAATTTTTTAATTAAATGAATTAAGAAGACATATTCCTAAAGAAATAATGGTTTATCAAGTCTTGCGAAGGAAAGATCGAATAATTCTATGACATAAATCTCAAAAAAGTATTATATTTTAATAGCATTAAGGTAATTGGGTCTGGAACATATGGAAGTGTTGTCAAAGCTGCATTAAAAGGCACAAAATAATAACGTGCTGTTAAAGTAATTCCGAAGTCTAAGGTCAAAAATCCAGAAAGATTTAAGAGAGAAATCGATATTCTCAGAGCATTGGATCATCCCAACATTATTAAATTATATGAAACATTTGAAGATTAAAGAAATGTGTATTTGGTCATGGAGTAAATTTGAAATTAATTTTGAATAGACTGTGTGAAGGAGGAGAATTATTTGATAGAATCATGGACAAAGGATACTTTAATGAGGCTGAGGCACACATAATATTTCTACAGATTATGCAAGTATTGTTATACTTAAGAATTAGGCCTTAAATTACTGCCATTCAAATGGAATTTGTCATAGAGATTTGAAACCAGAAAACTTTCTATTTTTAACTAAAGCTGAAGATTCTCCTCTTAAAGTTATTGATTTTGGATTGAGCATTCTATTTGAAGAAGGGCCTCAGAAACCTGGCACATAGAAGGTTTCAATGAAAACTAAGGCAGGAACACCTTATTATATCTCTCCTGAAGTATTGAAAGGAAATTACGACGAATTATGTGATATTTGGTCTGCAGGAGTAATATTATACATATTGCTCTCTGGTGTTCCTCCCTTTTATGGAGATACTGATCCTGAAATCTTGGAGGCTGTTTAAAAAGGACAATACACAACAGATATCCCTGAATTCAAATTCGTTAGTGATTCAGCCAAAGATTTGATTGCAAACATGATCATATCTCCAGATAAAAGATACAAGGCTTAATAAGTCTTATCACATAAATGGATGAAGGAAAAGAATAAGCCAAATAAAGAACTCAAATTGAATTATGGGGCATTAAAGAATTTTGTAGGCAGTAATAAATTAAAGAAAGTCGCCCTCACATTTATTGCATCACAATTAAATGAATAGGAAATAACCCATTTAGGAAAGTAAAAAATCGATTAATTTAGATTATTTAAATAATTGGATAAGAATGGAGACGGAGTCTTGACAATTGAAGAAATCAGAGAAGGGTTAATAGGAATGAGTGATGATTAATCTAAGGAATTAGCCAATGTCATAAAAAGTATTGATACTGATGGGAATGGTAACATTAATTACACTGGTATTCTACAATCACTATTGTAATAGAATTCTTGGCAGCAACTATGGAGAAATAGTTATACATGAAAGAAGAAAAGCTATATTAGGCTTTTAAGATGTTGGATGTGGATGGAAGTGGCAAGATTGACAAGAAAGAATTACAATAGGTTCTTGGAAGTATTAAATTGATGTATAATTAGAGTCTGATAAAATAATTGATGAAAAATATTGGGATGATATGATTAAGGAAGCTGATAAGAATGGAGATGGAGAGGTATATTTAGTTCTATGCGTATGATAGATTGACTATAATGAATTTATTGAAATGATGGATAGATTTAGCATTATGAATTGAGATAGTCTATATTTTACATACAATTTATTGATCAAAATTAATATCCCTTCTTCATATTTAAATAAGATTAATAATTAATTTATTATAAAATGGATCCTTAATAGACCAATCAATAATAGAATAAGAATAATGCTCAAAATGAAAAACCAGAAGTTCAAAAATAGTAAGAGTAAGTGAAATTAATTCAAAAAGAAAAAGAGAAATGCTTAGAAATAAAAAACAAGGCAGGGACATTTTTTACCGAATAAAAATTCGAAGAAGCTTCAGATCTCTACAAGGAAGCTATTGATTATTGTCCTTTGGATGATCTATAAATGCTATGCATATTAAACTCAAATATAGCTATCTGCTATATGAAATAATCTGATTATGATATTGCCATTGATTATTGCACAAAAGCACTCACATTTAACCCTGAATTTGTTAAGGCTTTAATAAATAGAGCAGAAAGTTATGAGAAATTAAATAAACTGGAAGACGCATTAGAAGGTATTAGATTAAAGAATATTCTAGATTATAAGAAGTTAAAGGTATTATAACCATAGGATAATGTGATAATAAAAAAGTTCATTGATTTAGATCTTAAAGTTCAAGAATTGGACGAAAGAAGAAACTTTGAGGCAGTGAAGGGATTGAAGGGAATGAAGAATATGGGAAATTCAGTATTAGGAAAATTAGGACTAAATTCAGAAAATTTTAAATTAGAATAGAATGAAAATGGAACATATAACATATCATATAAATCATGATATCGACATCCAAATATTTTAGTATTAAATTATTCTTCCTACCCAAAATTTACCAAATCTTTTTAATATAAATAACTAAAATAAGATTAAATGATATAGGTAAAGCCATTCTAAAGGGTCTTTTTTGGAGTCCAAACAACTGAAATATGAATTACAACAAAATCCTAAGTTTTCAATTAGAAATAATTGAAGAATGGTATTTTTTGAGATTATAATTACATTTATTAAACACGTGTAAAATATCGAGGACAGAAGCCAATCTTCTAAACTTGATTTAGGATTGCTAACTATAAGACAATATATATTCCTGGTGAGAAAAGCCCAAAGATAAGTCAATGTTGCGAAAAACTCAAGCATTTTAATTGGTTTTAAACAGAAAATTTAACTTAATAATAAGAATGTTATTGGGTTTTTAATTTAGGTTTATGTATAAAAATTCTATAAGTTCTACTAGCAATATTAAAAAAATATATTCTACTTTATTATAATATCACTTCTAAATTTTGTGAATAGGAAGAATTTAGTTATCTTAATTCACCATATAAAATTCATCTTATTTGTTTATTTGTCCAAAAATTTCCATATTTTCAGCATCCTTATTTTTGTCAGCATTTCCATTAACCCAAACTAAAAGAATTATTTCATCAAGTTGGCGTTAAATATAGTTAACTTTTGGATATATTTTTATTTCCTTATCAAAGGCTTTTAATGACATAAGGTGCTTTTCTGTTATGGAAATGTGACCAACTTCTACGTTCTAATTGTTATTTGTCAATTTTTTAAAATGTTTATCATATTCTTCGCTAATTTTAATTTTACCATTTCCATCTAAAATTTCTTAAACAATAAAATCCTTAAAAACTATTTTTTCTTCTTTCACATTTTCATAATGTTAATGTTTACCCACAAACAAATCAACTAACTACTCTTACTATTCATCCTTAGAGTCTGTAATTTTAATAATTTGTTATTGTTTTTAATTTTATTAAATAATAGGATTTTGAACTTAAGGGAGGTTTTATTAAGGAATCGGTTTTTCAATTACTTTTTATTGTTGTTTCTAATTCTGATTTTGATTCCTCGCCTACTCTTGGTTCTACTAGACTGCTATATTCATATTTTTAATTCGATCAGGAATTTTTTCCAATTATGTAAAAAATTTTCCATTAAGATTGAAGTCTTTTATTTTAGAATTGATTTTTTTTAAATCCTCGCTCAATGCTTTTTCAGTGGCTTATCCAATTTTCTTATCACAGATAAAAGTGATTAAGTTGCCTAATTGATTAAAATATGTACAATATGATTCGAATGAGACTTTAGTAATGAACTTCAGTGAGTACAGTTATTCTTAACTTAATATTTCTATCTCCTTTTTTTTCTTTACGAACTCAACGATTTGAGATTAAAATGTGCCCCTAATATAATTTAAAAAGAATACATCTATTATGTTGAATTAAAATCAAAATTCTTCTATAAAATATTTACTTTGAAGGTTTTAAAAAATTCTTTGCTAAATTCTTTCTCCCTCTGTTTTAATTATTCATTAAAAATTATTTTAATGCTTTCAGGAGTACCCAAAATTGCAATAACTTTTAGAGATTAATCAACTTGGCAAACACATAAAAAGCGAGTTTCCTATTTAAAATTATTGATTTGATTTTCAATTTTTCTAGCCTAATTCAAATAATCCACTTGTATTTCAAATGATATGAATATTACTAATAGAGATTCAATTCTTTTTTTAATATACTAAAAAATCTCTTAACATAGTAAGGATTTTCCTTATAAATCAAAAGGAAAATGAAGTCCAAGTATGGCAGAACTGAATGTCTTTTTTTTGTCAATGACATCGACGAATTCTATATTTGGAAGCTATTTCTCAAGATCATCAGAGATAATTTTTTGAAAATAAACCTGCCTTAAAGTTCCAAGTAAGGTTTTGTGATCTATATTAACTTTTGGAGTAGTCATATGATTAACAACATCTTAGAAAAATATTCTTAAGCCTTTTAATTTTTATTCCAAATTTGAAGCAACAACACCAATACTCTCATTTTTGCTTACCAAATGAATTTCTATTTTTTAATCATAATTTTTTTATTTAACAATAAAATACTATTATTGTTAACACTCTTTCTAAATATAATTAGACCGAAAAAATGTACGCGAACTATCATAATCCAAAGCTAATTTTTTTGTGTATATTATTTTAAGATATTTATTTATTTCATTTTATATCCCCTCGTGATGCTCATCTTCTACCTCTGTTTGAATTTTCAGCCCTTCTTTTACAATCTGAAAATTCAATTCTAAACTTGTAAGAAATTATTTTAATTCTTAATAGTAATATCGTTATAAAGAGAACAATTTTGCAAAATCTGGGATTTCAATCATAAAAGTCTTGATATTAGTAAAGTTGAAGGTAATATTTTATGTTTCTTCTAATACATCTATCTCCTAATTTTCTGAAGGAAGAATTTCTTCCTATAAAAAAGGATCCTGATCAATCTATTATACTTAAGTTAAATCAGGTTCAACGAGGCTTTCATCTTGTCTATATGATTTATTGTTCATAATTAATTAATAAAAATCTATAATTAATTTTCGAATGAATCAAATATATAATGTATGACAAAATATTTCGTTGCTAATTATTCTTTGAATTTGATTGAGATAATATGTTGTAAAAGCAGAGAAACTTCCATTTATTAAACGAAATTGATCATTATAAAAGGGATTATATTAATTATATGAAATTAAAATGAACCAATGAAATGAAAATTTGATATTGAAATTATAAAATATACTAAAGTTTTATATTAAATCTTGTAATTTCTTTTTAAAAAATGGTTAAAGCAAAAATTATTGAACCTGAGACTCCGCTTTAGAAAAAAAAAAAGAGAAATTTCATTGATCCTCAATTTAAACTAGGTCTGATAAATAGTGTAGTAATTGATCGTCTGCCTATATATTAAGTTTTTAATTTATTATATTGTTTAGGCAGCGATATTGCATAAAATCAAATATTCTTCAGCCAAACATATTGTAAGAAATTATCTAAGCGACAAAGATAATTTTTTCTCAAAGCAGAAAAAAAAATGTCGATCAATTATTGAAAATAATTCTAGAATAATAGTGGATGTCAATTCTGGGAAAATTAAAATCATAAATTCTAGTCACACTATTTTGCAGACTAATTAATAATAATGTAATAATTAAACAATTGTCAATGATGTCCTCTCTGATTTATCACATTAATTATTGAAAGAAATAATGAAATCTTAAAATAGTTACCTTAAATATCAATAATGCTTTAAACTCTAATTACCCTAAATATATCTATCATTTGATTAGTAATTATCTAAATTCAAGACCATACTCAGCACTTAGCATTAGCTAATGAATTTAACATGATTTTTATATTGTTTTATTACAAGATATAAGTAAAATATAATTAAATTAGAATAATTATAATAATTTCTAAAAATAATTTCTCTAAATTACATTTTCATATATTTAAAAAATCAATTTCAAACTCCATAACATAGACTGTTGCAATTAAATAAATGTACATATAATCATTTTTGCTCCTATTTTAAAAAATTAACTTCTTGAAAATTCTAATATTCTGATTGAATATTTTTACAGACTTTTATCTTGTTTATATTTAAATTATAATTTATAATGAATTTTGTAAAAATTCTAATTTTTATTTGTCAAGTGTTGGAAACCGCATAATCCAATACGTTTAAATAATAAGAAGAATTATTTTATTCTTTATTATTATTCACAAGTGAAGACTATAAAATTAAATCTTTATAATTTTGCATCAGATTATTAAAATATATGAATATAAATTCCACATATTCTGAATAAAGCAAGAATGATTATACCTTAAAAAATGCTAAATTTCTAGATAGTAAACTAAGTTAAAAAAATCAAGCTGTTGAGATTGATGAGGAATTTTATTAAAAGAAAGAAAAGAGAAATCGTAAGTTTTTTTTAAAGCGATCAATCTCTTTGTTATAGATCTGTAAATAAAGTGGCAAGATAGAATTATAAATCGGCTCAGATTTTCTCCACATCGAAATTATGTAAGGAGGTCATTACCCTCATAATTAATATAATTTTAAAGACATCCGTTCTGAGGTATATCTGGATGATACTGAGTTTTAATCATCCAACATAACATGTAGCTTAGAAAATGCATCTAAATGCATTGTAAAGAAATGTCGAAATTTGCAATCAGAACAAAATTGCAAATCTTTTACACAAATTTAATAATAATTCAAAGAAGTTAATTCATTCTGCAAAAATATTTAGAAATAGGATAATACAAAAAATTGTCAACTCGATTCTTAATTATTAGACTCCATTTTCATCAAGTAAAATAATTAGATTGATCAATAAATACAAGAAACAAAATAAATTTTAATTGAATAGCATTTAGCTATTATAAAAAGTCTATAAAGTTGAATATATAACTTAGAATAAAATATGTTTTTTTATTTTTTAACAGTTTCCTAATTTGCGATGAAACTTAATCTAATTTTGTTCTAAATTAGTAATGAGCCCTTAGTATTTGAAAGAAATTCCAAAAGAAACTAATTTTTAGATTTACGGAAGCGATTATTCAACTATTATTTTTACTAATTATGAGGTAACAGATTGTTTTGTTACCAAAAGCTATTTGTTCAGGTTTGAATGTTAAATATGAAACTAAGGCCTTAAAGATGTTTTATCAAATTTACTTTTTACTGAATAAAATTTTCTTGTTATCATGATCATTTGAAACATCTATTTTGTTTTAGTAAAGAATAATCATTCCCAAAAGTAAATTATGTAGAATGATTTGACTTTTTTTAGAGTACACTTCTATTAGTCCCTTTCATATTAAATTAACGATGGATGGCTGGAAACGAATTATAAATTAATTTAATATTCCTTTATTAATAACATAGAAATAATTGAGCTTAAAATTAATTTTTTCTTAGCCAATCAGTTATTCAAGTATATATGTAATCTTATTCAAATATCAAAGCTAGAATAAGTACAAATGTCTCCAAATTCCTTACTATTTATTATAAAAATAAAAAATTAATAACGCTTTGTAATAAACCTCTATTTAATGTTAATCTCTAATTTTTTTGAAAATTACTCATTTAATCAAAAATATAATTAGCCTTTCACAATTTTTATATTATTACAGGTGTTTTTAATTAAATTATATTTGAAAAAAATAAATTATTACCATTTCGTAATTTGAGTAAAGAAAAGTAAAATTAGAATTCATCCTTAAAACTTCATTAAACCTGCTGAATATAATTAATATCAAACTTATATAATAATAATCTAAACTATGGTTGGTTTTGAATGTCATTGCTTGTATATTACCTAAATTTACATCCTATTTATTAATCTAGATGATAAGCTCCGTTATTTTGACTCACTCCCAATTTTTGTAAAATTGCAAATAATAAATCAAACAAATGTATCAAATTAATATCAATAACCGATTTAAAATATATTGTTTGGTTGTTTAATAAAGGTTTAGATATTAATTGATGATGATTATATTTATATATAAATACTTAATCTCTAGTAAAATTACTTGCTTAATATAATATCTTGTAACTAATTAAACTAAAAAAATTGATAAGTAACAAAGCAAAGATATATTTGATAAAATTTCTATATGAAAATTCTATATAATTAACACTTCATATATTATTAAAAGGAATCACTAATATTTAGACTATGTAAATTAATAGACTATATTGAGGTGAATGAATAGGTTGCCCTCTTGGCCAAGTGGTTAAGGCATCTCCCTAGTAAGGAGAAGATCGACGGTTCGACCCCGTCAGGGGGCTTTTTTTTTATTTGATTAATTAAAAGTAAAGTTTTTATTTATTTTTGCAGAAAAAACACTTATTTTTTTATAATGAAATCGGAGCCAGATCAAATAATGGAAAAAAGCCCAAAGGGACGATTTATTAGAGTAATAAAATAACAATGCTAAAAGGCAGTTTAATGAACAAATCGGGAAAGGCACATATAAGACTGTTTATAGGGGATATGATGAAGAGTCTGGGTGTGAGATTGCTTGGAATGTTATTCATTTAGATTAATTGCCATAGTGTATCATATATTAATACTTGTATAATAGAAGAGGAAAGGAAGAGAATATCTGAGGAACTTAGTATTCTTAATAATATAAAACATCCAAACATTATAAGTTTTATCAACGCTTGGGTAAGCAAAAATAAAAGTGAAGTTATTTTCATAACTGAAATAGTACATGGAGGATCACTAAAGAAGTAATGAACTAATTGATTGTAGACACTTGAGAAAAATTTAGCGTCCTAGATTAAAAATACTCAAACATTGGTGTAGGGAAATTTTGAAAGGCTTAGAATACTTGCATAGCATTGTGCCTTATCCAGTGATTCACAGGGATATTAAATGTGATAACATCTTTATTAATACTCACAATAACCAAGTCAGAATTGGTGATTTTGGTTTGGCCATAAAATTAAAATAATCAGATTTCACCTAATCTGTATTAGGAACACCTGAATTCATGGCTCCAGAGATATATGAAGAGAAGTATGGTCCTTCTGTTGATATATATGCATTTGGCATGACTTGTTTAGAGATGGCTACTTAAAAAAGACCATATGAAGAATGCACAGCACCAAATCAAATTTATTAAAAGGTAACAATTCAAACAATTGATTAAGGTAATGAACAGAATAAAACCCAAATCTTTTGATCTAATCTAAAATTAAGATTTAAAAGATTTTATATTAAAATGTTTGGAAGATTAGGAAAAAAGACCAACTGCCACAGAATTACTCAATGACAAATTCTTGTAAGAATAAGAAGATGATCATTAACATGTTGTAATTTTAGAAGAGGAGTAATCAGAATAGAACTAGTAAGATGAAACACTTAAATACAATCCTGTTTTTAGAGAATAATTAGATTTTAATAATTCAATTTTGGTTTAATTAAACGATGGGGATGAAATGCATATTAAAATTACTTTTGTAGACTAATCTGCTTATAATTAAGAGTTTTAAGAATTCACTAAACTTATTGTTTAAAAGTATTCGGATCTTCAAAACAATAAACAATTTGTTCAATTTTAAGAACAAAGTAATTGGTTATATATAATTAGTTATTAAATTTGGTGGAGTTGAAAAGGTTTTTTGGGTTAAGCCAAGTGAAGAATCTAAAAAGATAATGAAGACACAATTTATGTAGTCGCTCGAATCATTTTAATAAGTATCAATAAATTTAAAAATAGACAATATCACCTCTTCTATAGGATGTTGACATTAATGAATGGGAATTGATTGAATAATAACTTTTAGTTTAATTTTAACAGTAAAGAAAGTAAATCAAATCAAAATAGGCAATTTGAATTAACATATGATATATTATTCAAAAAAGACAATCCTCAATATAGTATTTATCATACTTGAAATCAATGATCATTTTCGAATATTTAATTTAATAATACCAATAAGTTTAGTAAACAAAATGTTTTCATTATTAACCAAGATGTCATTCTTGATATTCTAAAATAAATTTTAATCATCAATATTATGTAAAATCTTAATCTATTTAAAACAATCAAGTAAAATCGAGTTTAATTTCTTATTATTAATATCAGAATATGTTAATACCCATTTAACAATATTATTAAAGATTGACTTTTATTTGAAGAGAGAAATTATTTTATCATTAATATTATTTATATAATGAGCAATAAAAATCCAATAATGTAAGACAATGCCTAAACTAATAATTCTTTGATTAAAGAAAATGATTCAAAAGTTTTAAATAATAAAAGTTAAGCACAGTAATTAACTGAGGAATAGAAATAATTATAAGTATGATGCTTAATATCATTTTAAGATGGATTAATTTAAGAAATTTTTACAACAAACAGGCATATCAGAAGCATTCTAAGTTATTTTTGCTGAGATAATAGATAAAAGATTAAAAGAGGAAGATAGTTATAAATATACAGCTGATAGATTGAGAGAGATTGGAAAAGGTTTGAGTACAGAATAAATGGTAATTTAATTATTAATTCTCACTAGAAAGCAAAAGCAGAGATGTAAAAAAAAGAATTAGCAGAAAAAATGAAAAAAAAATGAGTGACACATATTTATCATTCTTATTATATGTTTACAACTTATAATAATTTTATTCAATTATTAAAACTTCCTACCAAATCTAATGAGCTTTGCAAACATGGTATTTAATCTAAATGTCAATCGCATAAATGAAACTGATGTATTTTAAAATAAACATATTATCTCTAATAAAATTTTGTTTATATAAAATATTAACTTCAAGTAAGGTCGATATCTTCATCAGAAAAAGGTTAATCATATGTAAATGGCGATTGTTTCTTCTTAAAAGACAAAGAACTTGATTTCATAAGTTTTTAATTTGATAGAATGAGTTGTACATTTTCAAGTATTTGTTAATAAGGAACATTCTACTCATTAAAATATAATGAATGCTAATCAAATATAAAAGATGTAATTTTTTCTGCATCGTTGATTTGAACCATCTCATTAAATTATATCTTATACATTTTAGTTTTATTGTCTGGTTGTCTTCTTTAGTTCAACATTCTTACTTATAAACTAAACCTAGAGCAGGAGGGTAGTATTGGCATACGATTTTACGAGCTTACAGAGGTTTCTTTGAAACAAAACTCATAACAAAATGTAATAATTAATGTTTAAAAGTTCAAAATTCTAGAGATCACAAAATCATGCTATATTTTAAAAATAAAAGGTTTATATATCAATAAATACGAAAAAGTAATACGATTTATCAACAACACCAAGTTTCCGTTCTCCTGGATTATTTAAATAAGTCATCTTTCAGTTTCGCATTTTCATTTTACAGTTATTATATCATCTAATTCAGCATATTTATTTCTTAATTCTCCTGGAGAATGTATTATTATTAACTTTGAATTCTCGAATAGGGCACCTAAGTCTATTATTCATACATTTAACTTTGCCCTAGTTTATACTATTAATAATCATTGTAGAGTTTTCTATAATTTTGTTATAGGTTTTCAATTTCATTATTAAGTTCATCTATGAATTAGTCATATTTAATATCATTTTTGTTTTATAAACTTTACACTTCATTTTTCAATTGCTTAATAGTGATATCAGCTTAGTCCAATTAACCTTTTTTTTATTGGAGTTATTGATATAAGGAATTTATTTCATCTTGCTTTGATTTCAAGTTGATTTAGCTTTCTTGAATTTCATTATTCAATTTCTCAATTTGCAAGTATAATGCTTAAGCATTTTTTTCATAATTTTCTTTGTTTATTTATTTTAAATTCATTAATTCTTCTCTTAATTAATCGCACTCCTCCTCTCTATTTTGTATTAATAAGCATATTACTTTCGTTCGAATTTGAGTCTCCATTGATTAATTGAGGATTGCATACCTTCAAAATTTTTTCTGATTTATTCTTAATTTATATTTTCTTCTAATTATTCCCTTAACCTCTCAATCTCAGCAGCCATTAAAAACATAACTATTTTACAAAAGTCAATATCTTAAAAAGATAACCTTTCCCTTCTAGATTATTATTAGTTTGTTTCATAGAGGGATATTCTTTAAGTTAACGAATTAGGTCGAATATTTCTATATTTTTCTTTTTCTTCATAATCTGGCTATTTAATCTGTCTCTAAGAATTTTAATGAGTTTGTTTTGTGTACTCTAGGAGCCTATCTACAGCTTGAAAATCTATTTCTTTCGGTTTTGGTTCTTAAAATGAAAAATTTGAGTTTCTATACATACAATTACCTTTTTATTGATTTAACTTATTTTTTAATAATATTTTTTATACTCTTTTAGAATTGCTAATTTCTACCTAAAAATAAATTAAAAAAAGAAAGCGCTTTTCTTTAGAAATTAATAAGCAAATGAAGCAAGTATGTGTGTTTATAGATTTTTTTATTTTTGAGTGATTAGATATATCAGGATTTGAAATCGGATAATTTATAAAATACAGTGAACTTAATAATTAATTAAGTAGCACTATACGAGGAATAAGTTCTTCAACATTAACTTAATGTTAGCAGAAATAAGGTATATTAAAGTTACTTTAGTCAAGATATACCATTATATTATAAATTTATTATATCTAAAGTTTTATAGTTTAATAGTCTCAACCATTTCTTTAAGGGATTAGAGTTCTTACAAATATAGTTTTGCATAAAGAAACGAATAATGAAGATGAAAAAGAGAAATTATCCCTGAGAAGATATGAGTTGCCTTAAATTTGGAATAACTCTTAAATTCTAGATTCCAATATTAAAAATTACAGGATAATAAAATTGCGATTTAATTGTGATTAAATGAATAAATTAAATTTTCTAAAGATTTCATCATTTTTAAATAATCTCCTAATACAATTAGATGATTTAGTCTAAATATCAAAAATTCAGCATTCTACTTCTGCTACAGCTGCATATAAGCAATCTTTACATCTAATAATTAATCTTAATATAAATAAATTTTGAATATAATAAATGTAGAAATTCAAATCCTAAATTTTAATTTTAGCTTGATCTTTGGAGAATATTATGAAAATAAAGAATTTTAAAGCAATCATTGATTTAGAATTATAACTCAGACAATAATAAATTATTAATAAGATTTATAAGGTTTCTAATTTTATTGATATATTTATAAATAAGTAGCTAAATACAATTATTCTAATAAATTTGAAAAAATATTATAATAATTATAATATTGTAGATCTAATATGCAAATTGATGCTGATAAACTCAGCAATCTTATGTATATGTATTAGAATTTAGTTTAAAGTGAATTTATAATAACTAGAATTTGTATTAATATGTCATATATATTTAATTGCGAATCAAATAAGTATCAATGGTCTAAAGGTCTTTTTGATAGTTTCAAATTTTTATTTTAGACTGTCTAACTCAATAGATGGTTCAATCTAGTCAATCTACTGTGGTTTCTTGCTTTGATATTCAACTTTTAGAATTAGATTATGTTTTACTTTTCTTAAAGTAAGGATGGTATACTACGATACCATCATTAGTTGTTTGGACCTTCTATATTTACTATTCGCTCTGTCTCCTCATTTGTTCTGGATTCTGATTAAGATTGGTTAATAAGTTTTGAATTAAAGACATTATCTAATATTATAGAAACTGGTTACTCCCTCTTCAGATTATTCCTTTTTAGGCTTTTTGATGGTTGGTTTTTTTGGCTTTAATACACAGAATTATATTTCCAAGTCGAATGTTTATCCATTATCATGTGGATAGATGCAATCAAGCCAATCAGTCATATGTCCATACTCATACACTAAATAATAATGAACTAGTCAACCTTTCTTTTATTCTTATACTTTCTTTTATTAGCACTTGTCTTATTTTTAATCTGATTTCTTGGCAGATGGTTTTTGTTCCTTGATCTCTTAAAGCATTTCTTTAAAGTTCTCGGTCATTTTCTTTTATCTGGATGATTTACGTACTAGAGAATCTCAGAACATGTTACCTTAGGCTGCTTCCTCTTGCTTCATACTCATTTACTTCAATTTTTTTATTTATCAACTCAATCAAAAACTAACTTAAATAGCCGCTTTCTTCTTAGATAATATAACATATTATAATATATGATCATTCCGGTTGTTAATTCTATTGATTTTATTCCATTAATTATTATTGTTCCTATTAGATCTACTCTCTCCTTCTTTATTCCAAATACTTTCTATTAGTCTCCTAAAGTTCTTTATTTAATCTTTCAATATCATACTTGTATTCGTTGATCTATAATCAAATAAGAATATCTAATACCTAAGCTTAATACATATTTAGCTCTGCAGCCAAACTTTTCATTTGTCTAGTCTTGGCCTTCATTTGCTCTTACAATTTTGAGATTTAAGTTGCCTCTTCCAACCCTGGTTACTTCCTCATTATATCTCTCAATTCAAGTATTTATTTTTCCTTCTATTGGATTAGGACTTCTTTCTCTACTACTTATTCAGTTTTATAGATGAGTCTTCTTTACAAAGTTTTTATTTTCTATTTCATTTCATATACATCTGGATCACTCTAAAATTAATATCGATTATTACTCCTCCAAGTTTCTTGCATCTTTAAGGATTTAATGGATTCTCCAATTCTTCACTTAAAGCTTTCACTCTCAATTTTTCTTCCACTAAATCTTTTTATAAATTATTTATCTTTTCCTTTAAAATTGGAGCTTAACCCAGCCTTCTTTCTTTTTATTTTCAACTCTCTTTGTAGATCAGAAATCTTGAATTTCAATAATTCAATGGTCACTCAATCTTTCTCTATATTACTATTCTCCATATGCCAAAGTTTCTTATTACACCTTAATTTTCTCATACAATAATGCTGATTCATCATTCCTTCTAATTAATTGAGTACCCAAAATATCCCTTTCAGATACTACTGTTTCATATTCCTCCTTAAGTTTTTGTCTCTTAATTTCGCTATCTTTTAAAACAAAATGCAATTTGGATATTTCTCCAACATAATTCTTGATTGTTTCTTCTTTTTCCTCAATCTCCTTTCTGTTCTTTTCTAGAATTCTACAACACTCCTCTATAGTTTTGTCTTTCTTTTTATGTTCAAAATGTTCTTTTGCTAAAGCAACTTCTTTTGCATCAATTTCTTCTTTTAATTAAGCTATTTGATGCTAAACTATTTTATGTCTTCTTTTGATTACAGCAATCTCATCCTATGTTTCTAACAAGTTTTTAGAGTATAAGTTTCTATCTGACCTGACTTCCTCATATAAATGTTATTATTGTTTTAATTTATTATCTGTTTCAATATTTTTCTTCTAAAATTCACTTATTAAATTGTCTTTCAATTTAATCTCCTCTTGAGAATGCAAAAACTTTGCATTTATTAAAGCAGCATCCTTTCCAAATTTTTCCTTCTTTTTTGTATTGATTACAAATTACTTCTCTCTTTCATCTACCTCCTCTTAGAGTTATAATATTTCTTTTTCATATGATTCTATCTCCTTATCAATCAAATTGATTTTTTCATTTAATTTACTATTGTATTCTTCAGATTTTGCTTTATGATTAGCAAAATTTATATGTGCTTTTCTCAACTCCTCAAGTAACTACTAATCTTATTCATTAAACTTCTTTGTATCTGTAACATGTCTATCTAATTATTGAATTGAATTAATTGCAACCTCCTTATCTTTTATAATTTTATCTCTTTGTTTCTATAAATCGAAGCAATTTCTTATTTAAATTATTATTTTTCTTTTCTATTTAATTCAAATGAGTTCTGGCATTGTTCTTCTCATTCTTCAATTTAATTATTTCAGCTTCATTACTTTCCCTAATATCTTCATTTTCTTCTTTTTTAGTCATAATCTCTTTGTAAATTTTTTTAACATCAGTCACTTGATCTCTTAAATTTTTAAGTTCATTTTCCTCAATTTCTTTGTCAATATCCTTTTTCTATAAAGTTTCTGTTTGTTTCTTTAATTCAACTTAAACTTTTGATAAATCCTCTTTCTATTTTTCATATTCTTTTTTTGTTTTAATGTAGTTCTACCTTAATTATTCTAATTCTTCATTAATGTTATTTCTTCTTTATTCATCCTTATCTACCTTTTCTTACATTTCTTGTAAATTCTTTTTGAGCTATTGAGAGCTTTAATCAAGTATTAATTTTTCATTTTCTAACAGTTTCAATTTTTCAATTAGATTACCTGTTTCTGATCTGTTTTTGATTAACTCCGCTTACAGACTGTCCCTTTCTACCGTATAACATGTCTATACCTTTAATAAAATCCTCTTTCTAAGTTTAGAGTTCTGTGATTTTGTTGGTTTAACTCTATAGAGCATTACCTTACTCAACCAAATCTTATAAATGCTTAATTTCAGCTTAAAAGTTTTCAATTTTCTATTTCAATTTGTCTTCCCTCATCTAAGCCTATTCTATAACTTTGTAGGTGTTATCAAGTTCAGTTTTGAGTAACTTAATTCTCTCACTATCTTCTTGTGAAAATTTCAGAGCATTGGTTACTTTGCCAGCATTATTTAAAATATCACTATTTATATCTCTCAACTTTCTTAGTAATCGTCTTTCTTAATCATAAGCGTTTCGAAATGCTTGGTGTAATTTTGTATATTCTTGTCTAAATCTCTCTAAAGCAGGCTCATTAGCTAACTCGTTGATAATCTATAAATATTTTTAAGATATCTTACATCCTAAAATTCCCTTTCTAAAGCATCCCTGTCTTATTCTGAGAAACCTAAATCTTCCATTTATTTTAAAATAAAATAATTATTTAATATCACAAGGTCTTAAGACTATTAACAAAAAGAAATTTATGCTTTCAATGCATACAACTAATAAAATCAAATACATTTGAAATCACTTTAATTATCAGAATAAAGTAATAAATATTAGAATAATAAAATTTTGATAAATATACAAATGGATAGAGAACCAAAAGTCGTTAAGAAATACAATATTTAAACGAAAACATCAATTTAATAAATGATAGAAGTTAGAGAATTTAATAGATTAATTGGCAATTATTTTTAGGTTACAATACGTAGAAGTTAAAGAATATATATGTTAATTTGATTAAATGTAGTATACCCTAATTTGTTTTGATTTTGAAGGATTTATGCCGCTATTAAAGGAAGTTCTGATTTATTAAATTATGAATTGCAATTTAGGGAGCTATTCTAAAACCTAAAACTAAAATTAAAAATTCTCTAATTTCTATTTCATAAAATTACTAAATATAATTTACAAAAAATATACTATTGAAATTTATAAAAGATAATTGCATGAAGGATTTAAAAATTAAAATTATTCCCTTCAATTAATAGATTTGATAAAATTATATTGGATTTATAATTTTATCAATTCAAATTTTGTATGCAAGAATGTTTTCAAGTTTACTTTAGAATTAACAATTTTTTGTGTATTTATTTCTTACTGAAAATATTTATCTTCAAGAAAATCATTTAAGATGTATTAGAAGATATCATAATTGGGATACAAATTGATATCAATCTTTTTAAATTCTTAAATGTATCTTATTGCTTCAACATTATTACTATAAGTAATTCTTATGATTATAAAAGATGAGACAACGATATGAAATGAACAAAAGAGTCTTTTTAAAATAATAAAAAATTTAATTTTAGATTAATGGTATAGATATTATTATTATAATCAATTCTCTAGAATAAATAAGAAAATTACCTTCTTCATCCTACTCATATTGTTCTCCTTCTCCTTCTTATTCGCCTTCCCCATCTTCCTCTTCCAATTGATTTGGATCAATACCAAACAGGTGAAGATTTTACTAATTGAATAAATATAAAAAATACACTAAACAATTCTCTGAATTGATTATTCTCAGTTTGTAATTTCTCATTCTCTTCCATCATTGCTTACTTTTCATCTTACATTTATTAATATAATTATTTGAAATTTTCTATTAGGTTCTCTAACTTTTTAATTTCCTCATCCTTTTATTCAAGTTATTGCAATAATTCATCATTATCTTCCCTTTTTTCTTCTCCTCCTCCTTATTCAAGTTAATTTTTCAATTCTTCTATAATTTAGTCTTTTTCATCTATTTCATTAGCCATTTCATCCATTTTAGCCTAAATGTCCTCTAGATTGTAATTCTAAAATTCTTCAGCAATTTCTTCAATTTATTGTTACTTTTCGTTGATGACTGATTCCATATCTTTGATCTATTTTTCATATTATTTTTTTTAATTATCTAATTTTTTTTAAGTTTATTGATCAACGCTTTTAACTTATTCAGTTAATTTTTTAACCTTGATTTAAATTAAAAATTACTTCATCAGTTAAATTAGTTATTTTCTTTTTCTCTTCTGTGCTTTCTTTCTTTAAGTCATTTATTTTCTTTTCAAAATCTCTTGAATTTTATTATCTAAAATATTCTCAAAATATACATTTTCTTATCGATTTCACTATTAATGTTTTTAATTTAGTCTTTAGTTTACTGTATTTCTCTCCTTAAATCATTATTTTAATCTTATTCTTCTTAAATCTACTCCTTGAGTTTATTGTTTTAGTTGCTCATATAAGATGCAGAATTATTTTGCCTTTAGATCTCTTCTTATTTAGGTTCTACTTTTTGTTTGGTTTAAGATTAAGGGTAAATGTAATTGTTAGTAAACTTATTGGGTAAAGATTGCTATTAGACCAATTGAACAGGTTCTTTAACAGGTTTTTAATTATTCAAAATTTCTTCTTTTTATGGCATATCAGGCTTTACTGATTTAAAGTTGTTCGAGAATTGCTTAGATGAAGCCGAGGATTAAGGTTTTGCTATACCTTGTGGTTATTGCTTTTGCTATTACTATTCAGGTTTAGACTACAAAATTCAAAAATAAATAGTTACTTTCAAGGAAGAATCTTTCAAAGCTGAGGCAGATCCTGCCTTTTGATACATTTCTAATGATAATAAAGATAGTTATACCTTGATATGGGATAATCTCAGTTTTATGCTGTTCTTCTGATGGATTGTTTTTATTGTGTACTTAAGAATCACAACTGTAACACAATCGATAAGTTTAGCCCAATTAACATTAATTGCACTTTATAGTGGCTGGTCTTTGTTAGCAAACCATGCACTTAACAAAGAGAGAACTCATAATTCAAAATAAATTTATTTGAATAAAAATTAAGATAAAAACTTATATCTTCAATAATGTCAATCGTTAAATTGTTATTAAATAAATTCTTATCCTTTTATAATATATTGATCATTAGAATAGTTCAAACAATGATTCCATATCATTATCGTCATCATCAGAAAAATCGCTATCCTCACTATCTTCCTCTTTCTCTTCCTTCTTTGGAATTAAACTCTCTACAAAAGGACAAGCCTTCTTAGATTATTTGAAAATCTTCTACAGATTGATTAATCCCTTAGTCACCATCAATGGTCTTTCTTTTTATTCTATAATTTAAAGTGAGACCTATGCAACATTATCCAAGACTGTGATGCATTAATCAGGTAAAACAAATCCTAAGGCTGATTTCACTTCTTCTCCCCAGCAGTTGGTTATTACAGGTTCCACCAAATGTGACATTTCAACTAAACTATCAACAAGAATATCTGAGAATCCATCTTCTTCAAATTCATTATATGATTTATAAGCATTAGTAGCTAAATCAAAACCTCCTTTCAAACAAACTCCTATTTTTTTTGTAAATGTTGACAAATCGACTCCTTCTGATCCAGAACAAGATTTCTTTACATAAACTAATTATTTCAATATTCCAACTAATTCCTTGACACTTGAAACAATTTTTCTTTCATTTACATTTCCATATAATTTGGATAATCTTGGGGTGAGCTTGGTTACTTCTGCAGTACATTTAGAGTTGATGGAAATTGCAGTTGTTGCTAGTATCAATAAAACAACAATAAGAAGCTTCATTAAAATTAATATATAATGACGTCAAACCTATGATAATTATTAAATAATCAATATTTCTAGTAAATAGATTAACATGCTTAAGGTTGAATAAAGAAGTCAGAACCATAATCTTTTGATTCAATAATTTATTGATAAATTTAAGATACTCTTCTCACTATTTTTAACCTTCTACTAAAAGAACTTAATATCGCTTTTTTTAATATGATTACAATTATTCTTCTGATATAATTAGAATTGTAATTAATGATAAAATAATTATTGATACATGCTAATTATTTTAAAAACAATCAAATAAAAATAAACTCTTTTGCCTCAATTTTTGATCCTTCTGAAGCTACTATATACAACTCTCTATTTTTTTTCAAATGTTACTTTTTTTATGGAGTTTTAAGAACTTGAAGTTTAAGATTCTTTGAAGTGATGTTAAGGACTTTACGGATACGAAGTGTTTAGCGTATTCGTACTTTTGTGTTTTAATATTGATTTGTATTATACAATATCTTAATTAGAGTTCTTCATATTCCTTGAAATACTATTCTGTTCTTGTTATTCCGGTATTTCTTTCAATATTAAGGCTTCATCTACTGACAATTTTTTTTCAAAGGGTCTTAAATTTCCACTTGGAATAAATACAACGGCTGACTCCTCTGAGTAATCCTTTTAAGGATGAGACTAAAATTCCTTTTCTTATTGATAATTTATTTCATCATCAGAAAACTTCAATATTTGAATAGGTTGTGGTTTTAAAATTGATGGAGGACCATAAATATATGTTTTTCCAAAGTTAATTTCTTCTAAATCAAAATCTTTAGAAGGTGTAATAATTCTTGAATCGCATGCACTTCCCATTTTTAATAAGTGTATAATTAAAACAGGAAATTAATTAAGAAAATAGTCTAATCGAATTTTGATATCAGAAATTGAAATGAAAAGATATATTAACATGCCAAATTTAGAAATAAATCTTAAGTGTAATTAATTGAATATAATTGATATATCTATAAGAAATATTATCTTAGTAGCATAATGTTAAGGCTAATCACCCATTATATAAATATTTTATTAATTTCAAATATTTTATTTAATTATCTCTTCTTTTAAAGAACTAGCGGATAAAAATTAAAGTACTCGCAATAATAAATTATTCAGTAATTTGAGAAATTTATAAAATATTGATAAACTTCAAAAGTTATATCAGTACTATCAAATAATTTCTTTAATAATAGAGATAAAATTATATTATCTAGATAATTTTAAGGACATATAATAAAAATATTGGGATATTATTAAATAATTCTTTATAAAATTTATTTATGTTTCCTGAGTCTTGTAAAAATCGATCGATAGGGTCAATCAATTAATCTTGTCATGAATCTCATCGTCCAAGACACCATCTAGTCAATTCAATTGGCTTTTTGTCTAAGCATGAGTCAAGACACTCGTATTATGATAAGGAGGATCAATAAGATCAATTATTAAAAATGAAACAAGAGCTCAATTAATTAAGATTGGAAAATATTTAATTAAAGTCTTAGAATATCTATTTTCAAGTAAGGGATTATTAATATCAAGAAAGATGTTGAAAGCTTTCACTAGCAGTTATCAGATGATGATATATAAGTGAAAACTGTTCGAAACAATTAGAAATTCAAACATTTACTTAAATTACTATAGAATAAAGAAGTTGAGATAGAAGGATTAAAAAAAAAATTGAAAATGGATGAGATCGTGAATTATTAGAAAAAAATAGCTGAACTGTAAAATATGATTGAACTTCAAAAAGAAAAATTATTGGGCAATCAAAGAAATATGTTAACCCCACAATTTGCCATTCTTGAAGAATTAGAATAAGATAATATTAAACTAGTTTAGATAGTGTCAGGTTTAGAGGAGAAACTAAAAGATTATGACTAAATGAAAAAGCATATCGTAACATAATAAGTCAAAATTTAGTAATAAAAATAACTCATTAATGAATTGTAAAAAGAGATTAGATAATACAAGGAAAGAGATTTATTGTTTGCAGTTAAACACAATCAAAAGAGTAAATAAGATTAATAAATTAAGTATTAATTTTAATTATACTTAGGAAATTACTTTCGGATATTCATAAATTGAGTTCCAAGAGATAGGAAGATGAAATTTATATAGAATAATTAATAGAGAGACATAAATAAGAAATTAAAATATATGATAGAAGAATTATAGAGAAGGATGATGAAATGTAATTGTTGTAAGAGAGATGTGAATCATTATGCAAAGCTTTATAGGAGGAGCACATTTAAAAAGCTAAACTTAAAAAGAATGAGAAATCAAACTCGATTATCAAACCTTCTATGTTTTCATAGAATTAAATTGTTGGTCGAGGTTCTGGAGATTTCTCACTAATTACATCTTAAAGATCTTTAAGCGGTATTGGGAAATCTAAATATTCGAAAATTAACAAACAAGATCTTTGTTAAATAGTGAAGATTATCAAATTTTCTATGATTATAAATAAAGTTGCTTTCGATGAATTAGATGCTGTAATATACTTTTAATTTATAATAGTATTTGTTTAAAAATTAATAAGAAACTACTTTAGAAGAGCTTAAAGATTCTTTGTAATAATAAATTTTCAGTTTAACTAAGGAACAAGCTTGCACTTTGGCAAATTATTTATTTGATTAAGAAGATGAAATTAATTTAGACAAGCCATAAAATAATTCTAGGATAAGAAGCATTTTAAAGACATTATTAGATAATTTTCGATTGCCTAACAAATAAGTTTTTGATGAAATCCAGACAAATTTGAATGCGAATAATCTTGAAATGATTTGTAATCAAATTTAATCTAAATTTTAAAGTCCTAGAAATAAACATAATGTGAATGTAATTTAAAAATATAATAATAATAGGACTTGTTTGAACTATTTTAAGAAAATGGCATAAAATTTTCAAAAGCATCTCTTGATTATATAGAATCCTAATTCTATAAATTGAATAGGCAACTAAGTGTTTTTGAAATAGATTAATTACAACAATTGATTGATAGTATTAATAATTGATTGTCTTTTAATACTTAATAATTATCAAACATATATATTATTATATATTTTATAAACTAATTCTCTTTATTAATTAATAATTCAATAGATTAAATAAAATTAAATAATTTTTATCGTAATCCCTTTTTAAATTTGGCGAATTTATTTATTTATAAAATTAGAAGAAATTTAACAAAAAGTAAACATGTATTAACCAAAAAAGTCCCAATTAGCATAAGTATCAAAAGATTGGTAAACTATTTGGAAATTAAGAGAAACAGATTTCATATCTCATTTTTTAGTATCTAAATCTGGAAACCTATTAGCTTTTGTAATAGAAGGAAAAAAGCTGTATGTGATCAGCTTGATAACAAAAAAGAATATTTTTGAAATGACTTTTGTCAAATTTGAATTATATGATTTGCAATTTACTTCCGACGAAAAAAAGATATGTATAGCTCAAGAAGAAAGCAAAAGTTTGAGAATTATCGAATTAAGCACCAGATCTGAAATCTGTTACAAATTACCCTCAATTTTTCTTCCTCTCGACAGTTATATTCTAGTTGAACAGGAAAAGAAGATCTATTTATATTAAAATGATGCACTAAATTTAATTGATTTGAATTAAGAGAATCTGGAATTATTATTATAATTTGATGGAGAATATAGGGTTCTTTAAAAAGCAAGCTTGGATTTCATTATCAATATAGCATTCAACAATGAATTGTAAGTGATGTATTTGAAAAATAACTTTTGTAAATAGAAATACAAATATGTAGAAAGTAATAAAATAATTCATTTTACTGAATCAAATAAATTGTTGTCGGTAATCACTTTTGATAATAATTACAAACTATTGTTGAAGAACTTATAAAGCAAAAAACTAATAAGAAAATTGTCTGATAATGTGTTATAAAATATATGCGATCTCAAATATTCTAAAAATATTAAGTACTTATTTTTGAACACTGGAAATTGTTTGATAAGATGGAATATAACAACATCCAAATTATCTAAATTGCTGGTTTAAAATAATGTTTTTGAGAAAATATGGATAGAAGGTAAAAATGAAATATTTATTTTGAATTCAAATAATCATATTCAAAAAGCGTCATGCGATTTTTGAGTATTTATATTAATTTTCCAAAAAATTCCATAATTCTTCATACCAATGAATTTTCTAAATTTCTTATTGAGATCCAGTCTAAAATTGATTATATTTTAAGAGTAGATGATGATTGTAGTCATTCTAGTACATTATAAACATAAGAAAACATCAGTATGTTTAGTGAGTTAATTTTATATTATTTTAATTTCCACAAATACAAATTATATCATTATGCAACAATTTCCAACCTAAATTGAGTTTTAAGAAGACTTTGATTTCAAGAATTTATAAATGTTGGGGCAAGGAACATTCGGAAAAGTATATAAGGGAAAAGCATTAAAATCTCTTCCTGCGGGTTATTATGCTCTGAAAATTATCGAAACATCAAAGTATAAAATAAAATAACTTAAGCGAATAAGCGTATGAGCTTGCTATTCAAGAATTGAACCTATATCAAGTGATCACTTATCATTAGAATGTCATAAAGGTTCATAAGGTCTACTCTTGGATGGAACAGATGCCAGCAAAGAAATATGTTTTAGTTTTTGCAATGGAGTTGGCTCAGAATAGTTTGAAAGCTGATATTGATGAAAGAAGAAAGGCTTAACTAGAATTTGGGGGTATTAATGACTAAGTAGATTCTTTTAGATTTAATGCTGATAGACATTATGAATTAATGTTTGAAAGCATTTTATTATCTTGCAAAAAACAAACATTTGTTTCACAGAGATATCAAACCAGAAAACATCCTAGTTACATGCCGATAACCATACACAGTTAAATTAGCTGATTTTGGGGCAGGAAAAGAAAATTTTAATGGACAAGCAATGCTTAATACATTAGTAGGAACACCCTTATTTCTGTCTCCTAAACTCTATATTGCTTACACAACTAATTAACCAGGAAAAGTTAAGTAAATACTTTAACATAAGTTAGACATGATTTAGAGAAGAGTGATATATTTTCATTAGGAATTACATTTCTACAAATGATTTTACTTTTAAGTGACAAAGACCTTTCGAAATTGAATGATCCAATCATATATGAAGAAAATACTGGAAATGCTATTGATAGCAGCGAAGATCCAATGAAAAAGAAAGACTGTTAGGGTTGGAAGAAATTGTAAAATTAAGTTAGTAGGATTTAAAATCCTTAAATAAAGGCATGTATCTAAGGAATGACAGAATTCAGTGAACGAAACAGATTTACATGGCTTTAAGCTTTAAAAGCATTGAATCCAGATTATGAGGATGAGTAAATAATATAATTATTTTAGTGAAAAGGATTAATCTGTTCATCCAGCTCATATTAATGAATAGACTAAAGCTATTAAATTTTATTCTAATCAAAATACAACTTTGAGATATTTAGGGACTCTTAATGATTTGTGCAATCATAAGAAGATAATCTCAGCAGGTAGTTAAATATTGGCTTATTCAAATGAAGGAGTAAGATTAATATCCTTAAATGGTGTATCAGAATGCATTTTTACTTAAAGTATTAAATAATCCTAATGCAGACGTCTCTTTTTTATCATATTTGCAGACATTAAATATATGTGTTGGGATCACATAATCTGGAGAGATTTTTGGAGTGAATTTGAAGAGCAAAACATTCTAATGTGAGAAAATTTAAAATTTTCAATCTGATAAGATAACTGTAAATATTATTATGGATTTTATTAGGTGATGAAATACATGAGAAAAGATCTATGTATATTAGGAGCTGAAACAGGAGAAATTATGATATTGGCATTTGATACTTAGCCACCTTCTATAATTAAAAAGTACAAAGACGTGGATAGATCTGTGGTGGATTTGATTTATGATGATGAAACCAAATAGATTATTTCATCTCACGAGAACCTAATAATTTATGGAAAATATTTGGTATATGAATAATCGTAATATTCCAAACTAAATTTAGTGCTAAATTTCAATTTGATGCTTAGATCCATAATCTATAATTGATATCATCTGAACACTTTGCAGGGATAAGTAAGAACCTACCTCAAATACCAATTTTTCATATTAAAGATGGTATTACTATTATATATAATTATAGGAGTCATTACAATTGTGTAAAAATGTTAAATTAATGGTAATAATATACCTTTAGCATTAACTTTATCTGATAATTATCTTGTTTGGGTTTGTGAAAAATATATTGGGTCAATTCAAATCAGCGCACAATTAAATTAATTGGTAGAAAATAAAGGAAATGAACTTATGGTTAATGCTTCCAAACCTGCAAAACTTATGTGCTTTTTATAAGTTGATAAAATGATTATAGCAAGTGATGGGTTATAACTCCATAAATACTAAATTGGAAAAAAATCATAAGATAAAACAGTCTGCTAAAACTGCGAAATTTTTTGAATATATTTCATCTTTTGAATTGTATTTATTAGATAGTATAATATTCACTATTAATAAATATTATATAATTAAATTATATTTAATGTATAGAAGTTTAGGATTACTTATCAGAACTACATCGATTGTATTGAAGTGTTTAAAATTAGTATAATTAAATGTGGATAAGAGGTCCAAAAAAAGCAAAAGTAGAGGCAGTCGCCACTTCAGATGATTTAATTAATATTTGGAAAGAAAGAAAAGACCCATAAATCAAAGAGATTGATGAGTATCCTTTATGGTTATTAGAATTGGCAGTACCATTAGACAGCATAGATGTAGCCTCTATTTAAATTGCAGCAAATGATAAAGCCTATGTTAGCTATAATTTTTTATTTAGCACCCTCCAGCGAGTCATGTGAGGAGTATTGTTAGAAGTATTAAAAGACAGAGAATCATCTTAATGAATAAATACACAGCTTTAAATAGAGATGGAGATGTAATTGGTGATGATGATCTCAATGACCAAGAAGATCAATTGGAGCATATTTAATAAGAGAAATTAGCAGAAGAAGCAGCAGCTGAAGAAGCATAAAGACTCAAGGAATTAGAAGAAGATGATGAAGATACACCAAAGGGTAATATATATTAGTTACTTATTAAATAGCAAGAAAGCCAGCTATTAGAAAAGAGGAAGATGATGATGATAAACCAGCAGCTGGAAAGGGTGGTGATAAAGATAAAGCAGCAGCTGGTGCTAAAGGAGGTGCTGGAGCAACTGGAGCAGCAGGAAAAGCTGGAGATACTGCCAAAGGAGGCAAAAAAAAATGAGGTGTAAATCTATATACGAATTATTTATGATTATAAACAAATTTTATTATTCTTTTTTTCTTGTTAATTGCTTTAATTATGAATTTAAATGACATTTATTAACTCTTCTAAATATTATAATGGCATTGGAGATTGAATTTGAATTATCTTATTCTAATTAAGATAACTATTAATTGTAACATATAAATAGATTATGGGTTGATAATCAATTTATTTATTATGAAATTTAAAGTTAAAAAATGAATAGCAAAATATTGAAAAAAAGCCCAAAACTTAATCATTAACTCAATAGATTTCAGTATGTTTAAAATGTTGGTGTACATGTTTAATCCTTTTTCTTGAATCTTTTTTAACAGGCATTTCACAATTTTTACATTCATCACATTTACATAATTCAGAACATTTGACTCCCATTTAATAGCATTCACAATATTTTTTAAGGCAATTCGATTTTTTACAATTGCATCCTTTGAAATGTCTTGGCTTATGGTCTTATTCATCTTCTGAGTTGCTCTAATTGATATTAAAATAATGGGAGTACTTTGGATTCAACTTTAGGGCGAAAATGCCGATGGATTCCTTTCCATGATTTATTTGATAACAGTTTCTCTTTCTTTTGTATGATCATCGTTATTATGACAAGAACAGCAATTGCAATTTTTGCCACATGTTACGCCTGCAGCAAAGCAATCACAATATAATTTAAGACATTTGGATTTCTTACAATTGCATACGATTATTTTAGGTTTTTACTCTGTTTGGGGTTTTCTCCTTTTAGAACTTGTACGTTTTCTATTGGTTATTTAATCACTCGTAAATTTGAGTGGCTTTTTTAAGGTTACGAAATTGATGAATTTCAATTTGGTAGCTCTTTCTAATTTTCTGTGAGGTGATTTGGGAGGACTTCTGAATTGAGAACGATTGTCTTGATCTTCTGATAAGATCTCTTCCTCCTCGCATAATAGATCATCCGGTATCTTCATTGAACTGAGAGGTGAACTTATATTGACAAGTCGTTATTCTGTCTTGGTGTGGTCAAAGTTGATTTATCTGGCAGGAGAAATAACGAATATATTTGCTTTTTTGGTTGTCTAATGATTTAATGGAGAATAAGGTTGAAATCTAAAATTTATTAAGGAGTGTAAATACTGATTGGGAGATTTCAAATATGGAGTGAATTCCAATTTCTTACAGACTTATTCAGGGGACTAGTCTTTTATATACATGTCATCTTGGTGTTGGAGACAATCAGCATTAAAAACAGGAGATTGATGTATATTTTCTAATCTTTAAAACAATTTAGTAAAAGGAGTTCCATCTTATTTAAAATCTGAGCTCATTTGTAATATGAATTTTTCCCTCTGAATTTAAATTCAAATTTTTATATATAAAATGACAAAATTTATATCCAGCATTTAGAGAAAGATACAAGTCTGAAGCTCTAATCTAATTGATGAAGGGTTTCTTAATTCCTTCCATAATGATTAATTTTTGAATCCAATTTTGATTAACTAAAAGAAGAACAATGTTATTAATTTCAATATATAAGAGCATTTTATTAGATTATTAAATTCTCTGGTACATAAATAATATTTAATAAATTTATTAAGAATTCCAGTCTTCATTTTCCTAAAATCTGACATTAAAATTCCTCAAATTAAGACAGAATAAGATGAGTGTGAGGAGTGTAGTATAAATACGAAACGATAGTGAGATTTAGGATAATGGAATATAATTAGTATTTTTATTTATTTAATCATAAAATAAATTAATTTAAAACTAATAGCTGAAAGTATGGGTCATCTTTTTAGACATTAATATGCAAATGGAGAACCTCCTGCTATAGCCAATATTCCAGCACCTTAAGCAACAACTATTGATTATGATTGGATTCTAATTTCAGGGTTTATTATAGTGTTGACATAAGTGGGATTTGCATTTATTGAAGCAGGATCTGTGAGATATAAGAATTCTTAATCAATAGTAATAAAAGTGATGTTGGGTTTATTCCTTACAATCTTAATATGGTGGTTGGTAAGATATAAAGCTGATAGCTATAGTTTGGGTATGGATTCTCATTTGGATATGATTTCTAAACAAACTTTATGGGAGGTACAAAATTAGGAGGATATAATTGGGAAGCAAATCAATATGGAAATGATTATACATACTTTGGTATTTTGTTATTATTCAGCTTTGTTGAGTTTTTAGAGCATCTGGTGCTTCTATTGGAGTTTCAGTGTTATCTGGAGCAGCCGCAGAACGAATGACATTCTTGGCATGGTCAATTTTAACAATAGTATATGCAGGATTCATATATGCTGGGTTAGCTCATTGGACATTAGCATAAGGATGGTATTGATTAAATGAGAGTAAAAAGGTTAAAAATTATGGGATTTAAGGATTTCTCAGGAGCTGGCGTTATATTTTTTGCTGCAGGCGTTGCTGGATTAGTTTTGACAGTATTGCTGAAACCAAGAAGATTCAGATTTGATCCAAACACTAACTTGTAATTCTCAAGGCATTGTCCAATTTATATTGCTTTTGGATCAATTTTGGTGTTTTCTGGATGGCAATTCTATAATGGAGGTGTTGTTGCATAAGGAGCTAATTCCAAATACACACAAGGATTGGTTGCTGTCAATACTATGGTTGCTGGTGCCACAGGAGGATTCTTTGCTTTCATCATCAGATATTTCTAATATGAAACCACAAGTTTGATTGCCTTATCTAAAGGCATAATTAGTGCTTTAGTGGCTGTAAGTGCTGCTACTGATGATATAAAGTCATGGACTGCATTCTTTTATGGTTTAATGGCTGCTGGTGTCTACAGTGTTTTGGCAAAAGCAGTTCCTAAGCACCATATCGATGATCCTGTAGAAGTAATACCAGTGTTTTTGGTATCTTATTACACCAATCAAATAGGGTAATGGATTTTTGGGAATCTTCTTGTCAGCATTCTTTGACTCCAAAGCAGGTTTTTTCTATGGATATGGTGGTAAATTGTTAGGAATGTAATTGTTTGGATTGCTGATTATATTTGTTTGGGTTGCCTTTTTCATTTTGATTACCTTACTTATTTTAAAGGGATTCGGAGTCCTTAGAATAGACTCAGAAACAGAGAATATTGGAATTGATAAGGCATATTGTAATATCATTAAATCGATTATTAGGCTAAAGTGAGGCCATCACTTTTGTTAACTAAGAAGATGAGGTTTGTCTTATTAAATAAACTCAATTGGCTCAATATAGTAACTACCAAATTGAATCTAGAGCTAGACTTGGATTTTTATGATAGCTAATATAATTTATTTTTTGAACAATTTTTCATACAACCAGTTTACTTTAAATGGTTTTAGTATCTTATTTAGTTTTACTAGAGAGTAATTACAATTCTAATTATCAATTATAGGAAGGACTCAGAATATTATACTACAACGTTGGCATATCAATAGGAAAATAGCATGAATTATTTTAAAATTATAAGCTGATTTAAACATCTATTAAATTTAAAATCCTTTAATTATTAATGATTATGAGTGGTAGTCAAATGAGATTTATCAAATATGAATGTTCCAGATATTTCGATGGTTACTACTTTGATGAGAATACTTAATGAACTATTAGTCCTAGAAATAATAGTCAAATTTATACCTAAAAATTATAGTAGATTAGATCTAAATATGATTTATTGAAGGCATTTAGTAAGGGAAAGGTGACATATCATTATGGGATCTCTGGATCTAACTGGGAGAAATGGTTTAAAAAAATAGTTTAATTATTTATTTATCTCCAAACTGATTCGTTCAAATCTAGATTAGATTTTTAAATTCTAAGCTAATTTTAATCCAAACCTTAAAGGATTAAACCATTTTCTAATTATCAAGCTGAGAAATTAATTTAATTGAATTAAATAATTATACTTATTTAATTAAATAAATATATTAATATTTTTACTCCCCAAAAATTATGCAAAACATTTTAACTCAATAAACACAGTTTTTTGAATTGCTAGACAAGTAAGTTGATGCTTACAAGACACTTCTTGATTAGCTCAATACTAGCTAGGATAAATTTAATAATCTTCTACAAGACTATTTGCTTAAATTTCAATAAATTAATAATAAACTGCTTTAATAAGGAAGACCTGAACTATCTTGCTCATAAATCTAAATTAAACGAAATGACGAATTATTCACCAACTCACAATTAAACATATCCTTCAACCTAAGATCTGTAGCTTTATTTTTATTATTTTAGTTACTGGAGAAGTCATACAAATACAAGTTAACACTAGCAGATCCTCTTGAAACTCCACTTTATAGAGATCGTATCTTTTAATTAAGAGTTGAGCTAAAAAATAAGAATGGTGAATTAGTCCGAAATCCTAATAAAATCGAATTGGTTGTTGCGATATATTCTCAAGAACAATATCCAAAAGAAATCAAAGTCAACAACAAGGGTGAATAGATATTAAAAGGTCATTTATGTGTACCCTTAATAAAAGGCACGGCTTTCTTTACCAGAGTGTAAATTAGAGAAGTATCTTCACACTATTAAAATGGAGGGATTATTCTTGCAATATTACCTCAATTTAAACCAAATGATGAGCCTATCAATAGTCGCGACATTTAGCCATTGATTGTCGAAAACATCAAAGTTAAGGCTAAAAAGTTTTCAGAACGTCACATTCCAGTCTATGTTAATTAATGATTCATAAAATATTTAGAAAAAAGATAATTCAATTATATTTTCAACCTATTTTCTTACTGAATCTCTTATCTACTTTTGAGGAGTAAATCAAAATGAAATTTGATAATTTCTAATCGAGATTCTTGGTCTTACAATAAATATTGGAAGAATAATCTTAAATCTAGTACTAGTACACTGATATCAAAATCTATCCAGTACTATTCATACTTTATAGGCTATTTGAGTTGTCATCTCTCATTTTAGTTGATAATAAGCAAATAATTGCAAATTTTAAACTTTAACCATGTACTATTTTTGATTAGTCCATTTGAATCCTAGATTTGACGATCATCTTTGAGTTAGTTCTAATTTATAAAATGTAAATAAAATCATTGAAATAAATGAACTAAAAGGATGTAAAAATTAAAAAGCTAACTATTAATTCCAAACTAATTTAATACTAATTATATCATATATAGATGGGAATTATACATAGATTATATGTATTTAAAGATAAGTAAATTGAATAAAATGGATTCAGTTAAATTTCAAGAATTTTTAATCAAAAATTAATTTAACTGATCAATTTTTAGATTAATATAATTTAATGAATTCATTTTTATTTGATTAAGTATTCAGGTATATATCCTAATTCAGAATCGATTAGATAATGTCCAGGACCAGGAGATTCAAAAAGTTGTTTTTAAATTTTATCTCTATTATGTTTTTATTTAGTAAATGAAACCCCTGTTTTCATCAAAGAACGATCTATTTCGTATTTTCCAGGACCAATGTAGTCATTTCTTTCATCTTGAAATCTCTTAGATTTACTCCATCTATTTATTTTGAGTAGTTTATCATCGAATGATTAATCTAAATCATATTATCCAGGTCCAGGAGTTGTACAGATCCTTTTTGATCTATACAGTTTACCCATGACTCCCCCCTAAGTTTGTAAAGTTGAGATTTTACTCTCATAAGCCCCAGGACCTGGAATTTTATTGGAGTAATCATATAATTTAGGAGATTTTTTAAATTTGGTACCTTTGCTCTTTTGAGTTAGAGAATCATAGTTATAAGTTCCAGGCCCAGGACTTTCCTCTCTGATTTAGCCAAAGATGGTTTATCTCAATATAGAATTGAATTTGATTGTCCCACTGCCTTTCAATTTGTCTTAGACATCATAAGTGCCTGGCCCAGGATAATTGGATGGATCATGGGGTTTATACTTAGCTAAGAATGAAAATCCTTTGGCTTCCTTTTATTCATAATGATAGCTTCCAGGACCTGGGGTATCCAAATATTAAGGTTCTCTTGGGGCTTTAGAGAAGGTTTGATTTGTGCTGTATTGAGTAAATTAACTATCATATTGGCCAGGCCTTATGGATTGTTTAAATAAGAATACGCAGGAGTTAATGATCGAGGATAGATGCTATCTTGTTTGCTGGAACTTAACATAAAACCATTCTTTTTATTAATGCTGGATTTCAGGCCATTGCTACTCAAATGATATTGATTAGGTCCAGGTACTTCAGTTTCATAAGTCATCAAAAATCTATCTCCGAAACCATATTTTTTGTTTGATTTCGGAGGTTCGATTGTATAGCTGCCAGGTCTAAGAATAGAGCAAATTCATTACCCAACGATGGAGGACACCTTCTCTTGTTTTCTTTTGCCTTTGATTGTTATTTTTAATTTTCGATTCTATAATACATTAAACGATGTAGATACATTCTCTTATTCCAATTCATATTTTCCAACGGAAGGCGTATCATTGATCAGTTATGTTCGTAAAGACTTTCCAAATTTGGAAGCACTTGAAGATAAAGTTGATTGAATTGTATATTGATGAGGACTAGGACTTGATTATTTTTATGTAAACTTTTATTATTGAGTTATCATACAATGTTCAATCTCTAACCAATCCCAAAAGAGGAAGCTCCATGAAATGATTATGTAAAATTAGACATTTCTTTAATATAATTAATACTAATATAAAAGCAAATAGTTATTTGAGTGCAATCTAGTCAATATTTCCAATCTATTCTTATTTATTTTAGTAGTTATTTCAATTACTTACTTCAATCTCTCAAAAGGGAATTCATGTGAATGGACTTTATTTGATTATTACAATTATTTTTATGATGTTAGAAATTCCAATGCTCAAAAAATTGAATACTAAAATAGAACCAAACTTTGATTGCAGTAGTTCTAAACTGTATGACAAAGGAGAGAACATCTACATTCCATTAGATGGGAAACTCACAACAGAATAATTTGTATTTCTACCAAATCAAGCATTCACTCAAATGGGTCTGTCCTAGTAAACTTTCTATGCATTAAATAAAGAAAGCTATAATCACAGAGTGCTAATTATTAAAGTGATCAACATTTGGCCCCATCTAGATTACGAAATTAAGGAAGATCTCAAGTATCTACAACTGATAACTTAAAACAAACTCTTAAACAAATACTCTACACTGCCTACATTTCTATTCTAATACCTAGACAGGATTATAGTTATGCACAGATAGGTTGTGAATCTAGAAAATACAATTTTGTTCATAGCTGATGGCATCATGTTTCAGAATGGAAGACAAGTCATTCATCATTTTGAAGGAGAGGCCGTAGCAATCACAGAATGCAGATTATATGGCTTAAAAAAATCAAGTATATAGAATATGAATATAAGGATATTCAATATCTAACTTTATTTGGTGAGTGTGATGTCAAATTAACTTTGCATAATCCAGAACTTATGTTGAAATCTGCAGTCCTGCAATTTGATTCTCCTAAGTATGCTTAACAAAGTGTTATCAAGGATATTAAGACCATCAAGGAGTTAATTAAAGGAGAAGATTACTAACAATTGAGATAAAAATTAAATGAGGTTTTCGGTAAGAAAATAAGTGACCAATAATAATAATTCACCATCTAATAGATTTAATAACAACAACAGTAACTCCAACAAAATAGTGTAAGACAGCGAACTTCCAGTAACCAAGATGATTCTAACTAACTAAAAAAGCAAGTCTTTCGTAGAATTTATTTTGCCAGAGAAATAGACAAAACTTAAAAAGAGCAACCTTCCCTTGGAGAAATCAAAAAAATCAACTATACTCCCTTGCGTAATAGGTAATCTCGTGTCAAGATGAACAACTCCAATATTCGACAAAAGACGATAGAAAATTAATAACAGAATTAGCAATCGGCTGTCTAATAACAATGTCTACCCATTATTAAAAGCTTTGTTAATATGGAGGAATATCAATAACAATAATAGCAAATGAAGAAAAAGAAGGATCAATAGAGAAAGAGACACATTTAAAATAAGTTTATTGAATTTGATAAAATTTTGAATTAGTTAATAAAATGAATTTTGATTAAAATCATCAATGACTGCTATTCTTTTTGTTCATTTATATCAATATACATACGTTATTGTTCTATCATTAAATTACAAATTGTAAATGGTTTCATCTAAAGATTTATGGATTATAAAATAATAATTTATTATTATTATTTTATCTATTTAACAAATGGGGTATTGTGGAAGCAAACAATATAGGAAGGATAAATAAATCAACAAAAATAATATCAGTGACTCACAATTTTAATAGTATCAATTGCAAAATGTAATCTATTATTTTATTGTTAGTCGATGTCATAATCAACAAACTTTAATTGCTCAATGCAATAGCAAAAAGTATACAAGAAACGAGACTATAAAAAAAGTGAATTAATTGGAAAGGGATCCTTGTTTGAAGTCTATCAAGCTCTTGATAATAAGACAGGAAAATTATTGGCAATTAAGACTGTTAAGATTCAAGGGACAAAAGAATAAGTATAATACAATAATTAATCAATTAGAATAATTAATTGATCAATTAGTTAAAGGCTGAAATAAAATTATTGAAGCAATTAAAACATAAGAACATAATCCAGTATTATTTTACAGAGATAAGCCCAGATTTTACTTATGTTGATATCGCTCTAGAATATATATCATAAGGTTCCTTAAGGAGGGTTTTGAATAAAATTCACCTTGAGGAATCCAATATTAGAATATATGGTAAACAAATTCTGGAAGGCATTCAATATCTCCATAAAAAAAATATAGTACATAGTTACATTAAGACATCAACTATCTTGGTTGATAGTGAAGGCACAATTAAGCTATCTAATTTCAAAAAGTTTATTTCAATCGATCAAGATTTTGATATAAATCAAAAATAAAAGTCACCCGCAACAGAAGAGGAATAGAAAAGGAATAAGGAGAAATTTGCAATAGACATCTTATCTTTAGGGGCTGTAATAATAGAGATGTTTGGGGGTTGTGCAGTCAATGTTAATGATTTGATTAAGAATAGTTCAGAAGTACTGAAACCCCCTTATCCATAACATGCCAGTGCACTCTCTAAAAATCTCTTAGATATTATTTTTGTACCAAATCATTAATAATATTCAGCTGATAAATTACTTTAGCATCCATTTTTTAATTTTTAATAAGGAAAAATAGAATTTTAATTAGATGATCCTAATTCTGATCCTTCTATCATTGGGTCCAGCTTCGAGATGAAAAAACCTTTTATATAAGAGATTAATTTGGATCCAGGTATCGAATAGGGTGCACTGCTGTAAAACAATAAGCAAAGGTACATTTTTATTTATATGTTAGACAGCAGGAACTTGAATAAAAACTATAAAGTGTATTACGGAAAAAAAACTTACAAAAATGATAACAATTATATTTTTTCAATTTAAATCACTATCAGGATTAGTTATTTATTTTATTAAATATAATAAAAATGCAAAATAATTAATAGGCAACTACAGAAGAATAATCAAAAAACTAAGAAGTTAAATAAGAAACAAAACTGTGTCCCTTATGCCAAACTTTCTTTGGAAGTGCCAAAACTAACTTTTATTGTTCGAAATGCTATAAGTATATTCGTTGATTCTAATAGAACTATTTCATAAAAGGATAATGAGCAATAACCCTAACTATAACAACAATAATAAATACCTGAAGAAAAAGCATAATAAAATTAATAAGCTAATGTCCAGGTATTTAAATGATTTAAAATTATCAGCAAGATCCCTCAAAATGCTATGTATGCAAGAGAAAACTAGGTATATCAGGCATATAATGTAAATGCAAAATCGTCTTTTGCAACAAGCATAGATTGCCAGAAGATCACAATTGCACTTTTGATCATGCAGAACAAGCGAAACAATAACTTATCAAAAACAATCCATTAGTTGATACAAAGAAGCTTGAATAATTATGAAATTTATAATCATAAATTATTTTAACAATATTCATCTAATAAAATTAAATTTTTAAGTAATTTATCTGCTTTTTGTAATAGTTTCCTCAAACATTTAATCGAGATCCTTTAAACTAAGTTAAAATTCACTTTATTTCCCTTATATCTGTTCATGTGTTACTAATATGTTTTCTTAGTCTTCTAATTAAAAATCGAGTTTAATAGGTTTAGTTAATTGATTTTAAATCAACTAATTCTAATTTTGCTCTTCATATCTTCTAGTTGTTCTGCCAGTCGTTTTCTGACTACTTTTTCTGTCCTTTGATCTTGCTCGTATTTATTCTAAAACATCAATTTGTAATGATGATCTGTCTATGCATTCTTATATTGTTTTTTCAATTTGATTATTAGTTTAATTATTGTTCTTATTTTCTTTATTGTTTGAAAATTACAAATTCTAAACATCCCTTGGTGTACGCACTATCATTTTATGAACTGAAAATTAATTTATCATCAACTGATAATTTATTATTTAATCATAAAAATAATTCTGAATTCTTTATAACGATAACATTAAATTAAAAAATTGATTATCAAAACTTACAATAGTATATTTTTAATAAAAGCTTATCGATAGAAATAGTTTGTGATTATAAAGAAGCCTTCACTAGTATCTGTGTAGTAGTACATTTGATTTAGGAGCAAGTTGGGCTCTATTCCCTAGAAAGTCTATTTTTTTATTTTAATATACCTCAATCAATGTTCTGCCTTAAATTATTGTTGTTCAAACAATTGCTTAAGAGAATAATAGTGTGAGTCTACTTTAAGTTTTAAATTCAGTAAATAAACAAAAATTAATCATTATAAATTGAATAGAATTTAGATCAAAAATGAGCTTCGGAACTATCTAAGTGATTTAAGGAATCTTCTGCTAGTTCTTGATTTATTAACTTTTCCATTATTTAAAATCTAAGAATTCTACCTTTTGACTTTCTGTAATAGCATGCAAAGATTACAAGAGAGATGCAGCAAAACAAATTTACCCAAAAAGATGATCCAAAATGAGCTAAATTAAATAAAATATTGAACTTTCAATTTCCCTCAAGCTTGAAAGGAAGATAGTTGTGAAGAAGTATACAAGCAAAGAAACGAATAAGCCTACAATTATTAGTGAGTATACTATAACTCCTTTGAGTCTTGATTAATATTTTTATTATTATTCAAACGCTTTCAATAGATGTTTCAGTCTAACAATGTCATAACTCAAAAATATTAAGGAGATCAAAATGCAGCAAAAACAAAAGATTCCTGTTGCTCTATAAATAGATGGATTTACCTATTGATTCTAATATTCTTAATTCATGGAGACAATCTTTTTAGGTTAAATCCTTGACATAAAGACAGAAATTGTATTCTGAATTCTCATATGTACTATAACTCATATATTTTTCAACTTATTTATCGTAAACATACAATAGATTCAGCCAGATCCTTGTCTTAGTAGTTGGAAGCACTATCAAAAACCATTAATAAAATGCCATGGCAAAACTTGATTAAATTGAAAATTATACGTTGTCCCTATGAGGCAAATAAAATTTAGGATCATCACTAGTTATAGATTATTTTTAATTGTTTTATATCTCATTGCTGATTACATAAGAACAATCTCTTAATCATTTCTTATCGAGGATTTAGTGAGATCTATTTCCTCCGAGAGCAAAGAATTATTGATCATTTTGATAATTCAGAAATATAGAATAATAAAATGATGCAATTTATTGCGTTGATATAAAAATAAAATCAATCATAGTTAAATATCATATTTTAAAAAATAAATCAAAGAACAATAAAGTCTATTGTTCTCTCTACATCTAAGTTCTTTTATATAAAAAATAATAAATAAATAAATAATGGGAGTGACACAAACATGTATCAAAGAAAAGCACCCAACTTCCTAAATTGAATATAGTGTTCCTATGATATTTAGAAGAAAACCCTAAGGAAAAAAACCTCATAAATAGAATATCCTTATCCCTCCTTTGTAATTTCTAGGCGAAAGTGAAGAAACCTTAGAGCAATTAGAATCGACACTCCAAGAACCGAACATCAACTTTAGCATTCATAAAACTGCAACTTTTAACAGTAGTGCCAATCGCTAATCTCTTAAAATTGACCAAAGTCTGAACCATTCTCTGAATACAACGACCCCAAATTCTGTATTGCAATAGATGCTTAATAATTCGTCTTTCCAGGAGTCTAATAAAAACAAGGAAGAACCAATCATACACAAAAAATAATAGTATAAGGAATCACAATTTAAGCCTAATGGCGAAACTTAAAATGAAAGGCGAGATAGATTCGCCAGAAGTTTGAGTAATAATTCAAGAGCTTAAAGAGCATAGAACTTAAATGACGAATCTTCAATATCATAGAGGAAGGATTCAGAGACCAATACTAAAAAAAAAGTATTTTGAAAAATAAATCTCCTGTACAGACTAATCAACTAAAAAGGGGTATTAGTCTCAAATAATAATAAATGCCAATCAATTTCGATGATACATAATCACAAAAAACCTCCAAAAGTCAAAAACGAGTCAAATTTGATCCTAAAATATTCAGACCTAAAAATACTCATTTTTTATAATGAATTACATATCTTATAAACTTTATTATTTTGAATTGTATAATATAAATTAATTACTAAAATTGGCATTGTTATATACATTAACTAAAATTAAGTGAGTGATAATTATCTATTATATTAATAAAATTTTAAAATACCAATAAATTATTAACATCTACATTTTAACTCTATACATTTGATATTCAAATATATTTAAGATTACTAAAATTCAAAAATGAGTTGAATAACCTTTATCAAATATATTTATATTATGAATATTTATTAAATTAATGTAGAGAAAATTACCCTATGCATTCCATGGATTAGATTATTTATATGAGCCTTATTTGGCAACAGTTTATAATCTGATTCCTTCATATAAAACTTAAAAACTAGGAGAAGGATTTTTGAATTAAACATCTTAAGTTTATACATCGCTATTATAATCTATAGCAGAATAAGACAAAGAGTTTTTGAAGTAAATTCTAGAGCCTAAGTTATATCACGCTACTTCACATTGCATGGATTTGCTAGAAGAGAAGCAATTAAAATTATAATACGTTGAATAAGATTAATAGCAAAATGGAGAAAAGCAAGAAGAGGATGAAGAAGAACAGGAAGGCTAATAACCATAATAATAGTTTAGCTTTTTCTAAAAAATACTGTAAAAAGATATTCTATTATTTACATTAGCGGCAAGAATGAGACATATCATATTTTTTAAGAAAATGATTATAAATGTAATGTAGATATCAAAGGCGTATTTGGTGTGAAAATTAACAGAAATGAAAATGAAAATACTCCTTTCGTTGAGATTCCTGCTTTGCCAACCACTCCAAGGTATTTATATGCGTTCTAAAAAGGAATTATCACCTAAATCTGAAAAATCCTTTTAGTCTTTATGAAAACCAAATTTTAGTTGCGAATATTTTAATTTATACCAGCAAGAAATTAGTTGCAGTAGATTAAGAAGGAATATTAGTTCATGGCGATTATGATAATAATTAATTTTACTACCATAAATTAAGATTAGAGTCCTATATACCAAATTTCAATTGGATAATTACTGACATTGATGATTATCTTAAAGGAAATCCTTATTATTGAGATTATATTTTAAATAAAATTGTTATTTGATTATCTTGTTTTATATAAAAATATAGAATTCTTAATTACTTTATTAATCAAATTATTTTTGATATTTTTCTCAATTTAACTTAATATACTTATATGTATGTAATTGATTAAAAAAAAATTCCTTTTTTATTTAACAATATTTCAATATACCTTATAACTTAATCAATATTCTAATATTTTTTATAATTATTTAGATGTGATGAAATAAATATTCATTTTTTAAGAAATGAATTACTGCTTAAAAATTGGTTAAGCTTAGATGAATTCTGACTAAATTTAATAATAAGATCAGAAAAATTTTAGTCGAAATCGAATCCTTATCAAGATTTAACCTTTTAGAATAAAATAGGAAAATATCTACCGAAGTTATTTCAATTTTTACAATAATTAATGAATGAAACTTAAATAAAATGAATATTTACCAACAACGAGAAAATAAAAAGAATGGATGAATTTTAAATAATTAAAGTTCCTTGATGGACACAGCTGGCAACCAGTAATGAATCTGATGAGGATTTACATAAAAATAAGGAAATTCAAATTTTTGTAAAGAAGAAAGAAGTAATTTTAATCGGAATCTAAATTATTCTGAGCTCAAAATAAACGAAATTTTTCTTTAGAACAATATCTATCAAGATTAATCATTAAATAATATAAATTAACATTTGTTAAAGAAATAACGAAATATATAACTCCTCTTCCTCCTTATGTAATAACTTCAGAAGTATCAATCAAGATGATATGGGATTTATTGTGTTTAGAATTTTTGATTTATGAGATGATAAGTATTCCTTTTTAAATAAATTTTGAAATAGAAATTAGTAAAGAAATAACGATAACTTCTTTAGTGTTTTCTTAGGATATTCTCTTAGATTTCACTATTTCCTGATTTTGATAGAGTATAAATACACAATTACTATATGAGCAATATAATGATGGTAATGTATTATAAATGGACAAAATAGCATAGCAAAAAGGGTTAATGTCTTAAATATATCCAAAATATATTCAATTTGGATTAGAAGAGTTTCTATCCTATTAATAATAATATTTATTTACCTAGATAAAAGTGATGTATATAGATTTTATACAAAATCTCATTCTAAAAAAGGGGATGTCTAATATGGATGTGGAGAATTTTTAATTTAACTAGAATAGAAAATAAGAAAAAGTGAATATATAAAGTTGATTAAGTAATATATAATTTTAAAATTAGTTAAGGAAGCAAGATTTTATATACTATATTCATTCAATTTTAGAAGAAAGGGTTGATTGTAAAGAGTACAGAATATAAAAAATAAATTATTCTTTTGATTTTCAATTCTTATAAAACTGAAATGGTTGGTAAATTGTTAAGAATAGCAATAGATATAAATAATAAGAACATTATATTGAAAATAAATGAATAGAACACAAAAATATTAATTTTTTAATCATTCATCCTTCTCGAACTGATATTTTCCATCAAAATAAAATTAGAAATTTTTCTCCATTCTAATTGTTTTTTCTTCTTCATTTGATCCATCTGAATATATTGAAGGTTCTTTTTGATTAATTTTTTCAATTTATTTGAATTAATTTTCTTCGTCTGAATCTTCACTTAAAGACTCATCATCACTAGATTCAACTTTTTTAGCTTTTGTTTTTTTTGATAATTCAGTTTATTATTTTTAACTCTTTTATTGCTTTTAGAATTAAACAGTCTTTTTGTTTTGTTTTTTATTGTCTTCTTCTTGGCTTTCTTCTTCACTTTCATCATCCTCATCATCATCACTTTCATCATCATTATCCTCCCATAATTATTCATCTTCTTCATCAATATAATCTTTTTTGTATTGAACTATGACTTATTCTCCACTTTCAGAATCAATAAACTTTTTATTATGTCTATCCCATGTAATTTCACCTATTAATATATAAAGAATTTTTACCTTTTTCAATTTTTCTAAGAACAGTTCTTTTTGATCTCTCTCTTAAGCATTTTAGTGTTTCATCCATTTCTTCACCACTTGAACTGTCATCATTTATTTCAATAGGTTCTGTGCATTTAGAGCATTGTTTCAATTCATCAGAACAGCCATCACATAATCTTCTGTAAGCCTTAAAGATGTTTTTCTTTTCGCATTTATAACATCTTGATAAATCATGGGGAGTCTTGTATTTTCCATATTTAATTTTCCATTCAATCTAAGCTAAACACAATTCACACAATCTATTTTAATGTTAAAAGGGTACCTATCCAAAGAGGCATTCTAAATCTTCTCTGTGTAATGATCGTGAAATCTCATTTTGAATGCAATTTTGTTTTAATATTTTGGTGCTCCCTTTTTCATTAATTAAATTGTTTATTTTTATGAATACTAAAATAGATATCCCTTAATTTATGAAAGATTAGTTACGCAAGTAAACAATTAGTCCTGAACCTGAAAAATAAAAATCATAAAATTTTCATAGAAGATTTACAAGTTCACAGATTGAAAGTGCAGGAAAAAATCAATAATCCTAAAAGAGTTTAACTAATAAAATTTAAAGTATGACACTTTGATCAATTGTAGTATATGGTTTATAATAATTGCTCAAGATGGGCCCACATAATAAAGTACTTCAATCTAAAGTTTACTCTTAGATGCTTATTCATGAGAGCTTTTCTTAATAATATTTAAAAGACATGAGTGCAGCCTACACTCCAAACCCACAAGTAACCATATAGTAGAACTTTTTTAAAAAAGCAACACTCTCTCAAAACTCAACAATGTCAGGCAGCATTAAACCGAGAATGAGGAGTGCAAATAAAGAAACAATTAAAAAGAAATCACAAATTGAAACTACCTAATTACTGTCGAACAGAGAAAAGGACAGATAAACCATTACTTAATTGTAAGAAATTATCTAAAGAACAAATTCATTGTTGCATTAATATTAGAATGAAATATCCAGACATATTAAAGAAAAGGAGGATTTAGTTAATATCATCCAACAGTTGCAACAGCTCTGAATTTTTTTCAATATGGTTTTAATCACTTGTGTTTTTAACGTTTAATTTAAATTTGACTTCTTTATTCTTATAAATTATTACTTTCAATTCAAAGCTCTTTAAATTTAACAATATTTGTTCTGAATCTGATTATTAATTTAATTAAATATCATTATTATCAAAACACATGCCCTAAAATTGATGATCTTTGGTTTTCTTTAGACAATAAATTTGTTTTATAGTTTTGCTTATTTAGTTCATAACTCTAAAATTATTCTTGAAAAAGAAGATGATGTGGATATCAAAGAATAAAGTATAACTAGAATTAATTAAAGAACAAAATAGTAATGGGTCTCTAGAAAAAAGAAAGAAGTTTAAAATTAAATCAAGTAATTAGGGAACTAGTAATCCCTTTTTGAAGCTATTACTATATAAATAGTAAATTTTAATTAAGACAAATCTTAGAAGTGAGTTTATTAATGGCGACTATTAATTTCAGTAAATGATTTTAATTCTATAGTGAAATATACTTAATAAATTTGATAACACTAAATAAAATAAAATAATTTAATATAAAAATACCTCATTCTTCAATATGAAATTCTAATAAATCATCTAGTCTTAGCTTTTTCGTGTTATATTCTCGAAGGTCTTGATAATGAGTTGCTTCTATCAAATAATCAATTAAATATTTTAATTCTTGATCATTTTGATCATTATGCCATTCTAGAATCGGAATTCCATTTTCAATTTAAAAACCAAAAGAGTGAGCTAAATTGTCCACTATGAGCATGTCTTTTAGTTCCTTGTTGCTTATTAATCTAAGATCCTTAATAAAGAAACCATTTTTGGTTTCCATACAATTATTTCTTGTCATAATTCCCGATATGTACTATTTAGTTGGATCCAAATATTAAATTATTGCTTGAGCATATGCTGAGGATGAAGCAGTGTAAATATATATTGTATAATATTGAGACAGTTATTATAGAAACAGCGAAGTATAGGGTCGAATATTAATCCCAATCTAAAATATTGAAATTAAAATTACTTTGGCTTCTTCTCCAAAATCTCCAACAGCAGTAACATAAACTTAAGGATTTTCCCTTTGAGTGCACGAATGAATTAAAGTTTCATCTAAATCTAAGATAAGAGCTCGTTCTTTCTTAGGGTAAGCTTCGGAAAGTTGCACCTTCTTTGATTGTATAAATTTGTCAGAAGGACCTTTCAAGCATTTTCTAGCATAAATTAAACCTCTCTGAGTTAGAATAAGATGTTTCTTGAATGTTTGTTCAGTTACATTTGGACCGAAAATCAAATGTCTGAAAGGATGATTGCTTAATTTATCTTTTCCACTATTTTGTGAATTCTTCTTACTTTACTCATTATCAGAATTCGCATTTAAATTTTGCATCGAGACTGCTTATCTAAATTATAGCTAATCTAATACTTAGTTTTGTTAAGCTTTGGGTTCTATGGTTGTTGAGTTAGTTTTTATTGAATTCTTTGGGCTTGCTCTTCAATGTTATAATTCCCCTCTTATTATTGAATTTGAGCAGGTTATTACTTTTTGTCATTATCACTAAACTCTGGTTCGATCTCAACATCTCCATCAATTTTCTTAGTATTTACTAAATTGCTGAATCTTGACATTTTAGCAGCTAATTAAGTAAAATAAAGGTACCTTAAGGTTACTTGGTTCTTGGCTTTTGGTTTTTAGGGGTTCCAGAATCAGAATCATCTGTCTAATACCCATTTTATTAAGTTGGCGATTTCACTTTTGTTTTTACATTTGTTTTAGGTGTATTATCCTGAGAGTTAGTCGTCTCACCTTCTTCTTCACTGTAAAATTGTAGTTTCTATTCTTAATTAATGACTTATTTAATGTGACCAACTTACGACTTAGCTTTAAAACTATACAATTTATCCATTTTATAATTTATTTTTTATATTAAAGAAACAAAATAAAATACAATAAGCTTAAGTTAAGGTTCAAGAATATCAAACAAATTACTCTATAATTTATAAGGAATACCATTAAAGATGCAACTATTGTAGAAATAAAAGCGTTTGTTGCAATTTAATCTTAAAAATGAAGAGTAGAATGTTTAGTTTTAATATTTCATAATTATAGTAAATAAATATTATGCAACAGTCATTTTTTAATGATTTTACTACTTTTCTTTTATGATAGATTATATATATTTTTCTAGGATGTAGTAGTAGTAGTTTATTATTTTTAGACAGTTGGACGCTATTATCTAGATGCCACAGATGGAGGTACCTTTAATTGTGATTAACTACCAACCATTGTGCCTCTTATACTTTGGGGTTTGCTTTGTACAGATATGGCCTATTAAGAGTCATTTGATTCGGTTAATTGTGGATTGTAATGATGTTCCTAATCATCATCATCCATTCTTTCAAGTGGCTATATTGGAGATCTTTGATTCTATTAAGATTACTTTTCTTAATCCAACTAGGGGAAAATATTCTTAGGCTCAATTTCTGGAGATTTAGGTACTACCAATGGCTATTGTGGTCTATTAGCTCCTACACCAAAGGAATCTTGACGAATAGATTATCTATTTTATAGATTTTGTAGTGTTTATTCAACTTATTATCCAGTTAATTATTAGGTAATCACTTTATCTTGAGATAATGCCAAAGATTATCTTTATTATAAAGCATATGGAGATCTTTGATGATCATTTATGCTTTCATTTATTTAATTTTGGGGATAGTTGTAAGCTGAAGAGCGAGCTTAGGATTACTATTCAATGTTTTATAGTTGTTTTGATTAAACCTAATTTGAGTATTGATATGATTGTTATTAAATTTATGAATAAGTTTATTATTGTAGTTACTATTATTATTATTACTATGGAAATTTCTTTTAGTCGGTGTTTATTGATTGAAATAATGATTATTATTAAAATACGTTATTATCATACTAATTAGTAATAGGTTTTTATTGTAGTGTTTTTAGATTTGAATTAGTTAGTTCTACTTACTCAACTAAACTTTGCTTTGGTTATTCATCTATTTCTTAATGATTATATGCATATTCATCATCATTATGAATAACTTACTCATGTTCACTGAAATTCTGTTGTTAATATTATTATTGATTAGTTAAATTCTTAAAAAATGATTGCCTATTAGAAGGTGGATCCTAAATAATGATTTGATCACTCTAGATATTCATTTATTTATTTTATAAAGGAAGAATTTCTTATAAAGTAATTGGCTATAAACTAGAATATTCTTTTAAACTTTTCGTTGGTTCCCAATTAGGAATAGGAACTTTAAACTATTTATTAGGTGACTTTTAGAATCTTATCTGGGCATCTTAACTTCTTTTTAAAGCTACTTTTGCTCTTTAATCTAGATTCTCAACTTAATGATATAATTAATTATTTGGATCTTAGTTTTGCAAACTATGTGATTAATGGTTAACAACTCTTTGCTTATGAATGCCATTGTTTTATTCTCTGAAATCAATTGAATAATTCGGTATGAATTCACCAATAGTAGATGACTAATGCATATATTGATAAAATATTACTCTAAAATAGTCTTCCAATTAAAATCTGTATTTATACAATAGTTCATGAGCTTGTTTTGGATTGGGTCTATTATCTGGAGCCATTATAAGTAAAGATTCAACAATATCATATAAGTCGGAACTATATTAAGATTTCAAGAAGAATAAATAATCGTCTAATTTTTCCATATTAAAAGTATAACTTTACAGGTCATAAATATCCTAAACAAAACTCAAAGTTGCCATTTATAATGCAGTTAATCCAATACAGAATACATCTGACTTATTTTAGTCAATATTGGGTCTTAAGACTTTATGTTTAAGAGATGACAATTATTCAGGACTTAAATTGTATTAGCCTTGTTATTTAGCTATGCATCTTCTATAAGCAGTCATGTCTGTCATTTCTTGGATATCTGTCAATTTGAAAACTGAAAATGGATGGTTCTATCGAAATTAACTTCTTTGAGCATAAGATGTCAAACTTATAGTTAAAGGTCTGATATCGCCATGTTGCTTTTATTGATCGTTCAATCTTTATAATGCCGTTAACTAATTATATGATTCATTTTATTACTGTACAATGGAGCATAGCAACTATTTCAATTTCATCAAAATATTATTTAGTTTCACTTAACTCATTTATTACTCTTTCCAAATATTCATCAAAATATTCATAGACACTATGAGCTTAAGTTAATTGAGAGCAGAGTTCCTTCTCTGTGACATGTTATAAGTCCATCATTTAAATTAAGAAAGGGGTACTCTATTTCTATATATTGTATTAATGATGATAATTTACATTTCCCATTTATTTCTCCTGGGTTATTTTGAATTAATTCCATTATTCATCATCTTAAAAAATATGATCTTTAACAGCTACAGCATGTTGATCCTGCGTCTTGAATATTCTTATCTCTCCATAGCGGATATCTGTTGATTACTTCCAAAATTAGAGTTGACTGATTTTAGGAACATCCATTTTCGATTATTGTAAATTTTATGAATTGGTTTAACCCATTCTGTTAAATAATTTTATTTTTAATAAATTTTAATTCTTAATATAACAATAACTTCACAAATATAAATTAATAGGGTAGATGAATTACAAGTTTACTTTTCACATAAATTAATTGAAATTTAACAAAATTAAATAAAATCTAACCAATCTAAATATTTTCATAGTTATTTATTTAATAATATAAATGTGAATATTCTTGTTTTGAATATTACTTTTTCTATATTTTTTATTAATTTAACCTATAGTTAAAACAAAATAGAATAAGGAGGAGTGGTGGCTCTTTAAATGATTTATATGAAACCAAAATAAAATTTAAAATAATTCCATATTGAATGTGAAGATTATCATATTGTTTAAACATCATGGGTTTTTCCTTGCCTTGATAAAAATATATATGAGAAATTAATTTGATTGCGCTAATCGAATCACATTAATACTATTAATTATAACAAATTAAATATTCATTATTTATTTATTATTTAATATTCATTGTAGAATTCAGAGTACTAATTGGATTATTTATTCTTACTTCTTGTTATGAAACTTACGTATCCAGTTAAAAATCGGATTTCCATCACGTATACATTGTAATAATGAGTATAAAATAATTTTTGTGCATAATTGTTTTTTATTGAAAACGAATTATTTAAAAAAAAAATCATTTTTATTAAACATCTTTATATATTGACAGTTTGCCATTTGATAATCATGAGGATGTAGAAACTATTGAAAAATCATCAGTTCCAATGAGGCAATAACCCTGGTATATAAAGATTTAGTAGCGATTAAAAATTTGATTAATTTTATTTTAAATATCAAATTGATATAATATGTCCGTATCATAGGAACAAAGAATTTCATCTACCTCCACTCTCAAAGAAGATTGTATTCCTCTTAAGAGATAATGCAACATCCAAAATTTACTCAGGAGAAAAGATTTCAAATAAGTGGTGAGGATTTTATAAAATTAGAATAAGTCAAGGTTAGGTTATTTTACTATTCTAGAACGAATTATTAAAAATTAAAGTATGAGGATTAGATCTATCATGTTGGATAAAACTTATGCATCAAAGGCGACAACCGATCAGAATATGTGGCTAAACTTATTAAAATAGTTAAACTCTACGATGATGAAGATAATTGCATACCCTTAATCAAAGTGCAATGGTTTTATAGGAAAAATGAACTCTATGGTATACCCAAGGAATAAATGGATTGTATTTCAGAAAATGAAGTTTTCAAAACTAATGAATTTGACTATATTGAAGTAGAAAGCATCGTGGGATTAGCAATTATACTCAGTTATGAGGAGTATGATCAAATTGAAGAGTTAAATGATAATGTTTACTTCACAAGAGCCTCATTTATAGACAGAAAATTATACCCCTCTGTTGAATAATGGAAATAAGTTTGTATATGTCATAAGCCCGCCAATCCAGATTTAAAGTATCAACTTAAACTAAATTAGGTATATATTTTGCGATGTTTGTTAAAAATGGTGTCACTTAAAATGTGTGGGCCTAACACAAGACTAAGCGGATAAACTTAATAAATATGTATGTCCAGATTGTAAAAACTGATATATAGTAATTTTTTATATTGATAAACACATATTCATCTGTTTGGCATTGTCAATGCTATTTCAAACTTTTAGTCGTTATCTCATAGCTTTAATACTGTAAATTAGTTATCTTCCTATAATTTCAGTGTTCTATTCGAAAGGATAATTTTCTAATCACAATTTTGACATCAACTGGCATAAGCATCCAAACTACTCTGCAATTCCACAATAATTAAAACCATCATCTAAAATCATTACATTTTTTATTAATGGCCTTATTAAATAAATCAAATTTAAAAAAACAAATTCAATCAAACAAAGACCATAACACAATATTTATTTCTTATTAGTATAATAAAATCCTAGCCTTAATTTCAAAGAATCATAAATTTATGTAATCGATATAAATATAGAACTCAGGGAAATTTAACTCAAAACTAACAATAAACATAATGAACTAATTATTTCATTTGCATAAAATAATTCAAATTCATATGATTTGCATGATTAATTAAAAATATTTGGAATATTATAATGTCTAAAAATATCAACTTTTTCTAAATTATAATCTAATATCCATGTTAACCAAAACTCTATTCCAAGATTTCAGAGAAACATGAGGTAACAAGAAATTTAAGGAAAATTTATTTTTTCATCATATTTTATATAATTCAAAAATAACAGAAATTTGTAGTGGTTCAACAAAAATATTTTGATAAAATAATAATATCTCGAATGAACAATTTTATTTATTGTGATCATTGATAACAAGACTTCACTATAAAATTAAATACTAGATATTTTAATACTCTACCTTAGTCATTTTAAAACTAAAGATATTCAAAACTAATTTAAGTCTCTTTTAATAATAAAAAGAATTGTAAATGTATTATATTTCTTATCGATTATTTGTTATTTTCTCTTTTTGATTATATCAATAAAAGTTTTATTTCATCAATCTTAACTCGCAGATTTTACTCCATATTTGCAAAAAAATTAGAATTTGCATAGGCATTAGTTAAAATAATTGTAATATTTCAAGCAGATTTTCTCAACCTAAATGCTTTTCCTCCTTAACCAATTTCTTAACTGTTCTTTAGAGAGCCTTAAAACTAATTGAATAAGAAGCGACATAAGTTAAACTTCATTTACATTTGGATTTCTATATATGATAGAAAATAAATCCTAAAGTGTTCATATCAATGATACATAATAATAATTTAGAGTTCAGTCTAAAGAGATGATTGAAATAGAAATCAAAATAGAAGAACCTTTTATTAATATTTTAAAGTTGAAGAATATAAATTTTACATCGCTAATTAACATATATATAATATATAAAAAATACTGAAAATTAATAATTACAAAGCTATTTAGTTAAATGCATTAACAAAAAAATTATTGTTTATTCTAAGCTAATTTAATAAGAAAAATGAATAACTATTATAATGAATATTTAGAATGTTTAATTTATCTCATTTTTGCGATCTGATCTTTAATGCCACTTACTTAAATAAATTTTATAGAGGCAATTTAATATCAATTTCTCTTGTTGTAATCAATTCTACTAAACACTCAAATACTTATAGCAGTGGGTGTGGCTCTAAGTTCAAATCTTTTAATGATTATAATTCCAATAGCAATTGAATAATTTCTTACACTCGCTTTCTACTTAAAGGCATTGATCCTGACATATATTCATCCTTCATAAATTAGGTTACCAAAGATTAGCAGATCTGATTTAAAGTATATAAATTTTTTGACTTCTTAAATACTATATTCAATAACTTTTATCTTGTTTCGTAAAACAAATCTTCTAATTAATATAAATTGATATTCCTAGACAATAATTCCCAATAATTAACAATTTCCCTATTTAAAATGTCTTATTAAAGAAGCCATTCGCAAATTTGTAGTTCCACATCAATGCAGCTTCTTAAACCGTCAATACTTATTATTTTGTCCCATGACTAAGTAAAAGTAAGCTATTCAGATAAAAGTTAGACATACTCTTCTTCTTAGCTAATATAAATAGTATCAATTATTTATGGTAGAACCTGAACCCATATTGGTTTATTGGTTTTATTATAACTCTTAACATTATTTACTTTCTGTTGGTTTTATCTAGTTGAAAGTTAAATGAGACAAATTTCAAAATACTATTTAATTAACAAAGGATCAGTTAATTTTTCTTCTTAGATATATTTATTTAACAATTGGGTGTATTTGTAAATGAGCAGGTCCTATAATTTGGTCATTCCCCCTTCCTTCTTTAGATTCAGTAATAGAAAAGCATAGAGTTTAGATTTATCTTGCTAACTGTTAAGATAAACATAAAAGTCTTCAGCGTAATCATGTAATTACTTTTCATCTATCCATATCTTTATGTTAGTTGTGTTTTCGATATTTATTGGCAAATCAATAATTTCTTAATAACTTTCATATAGATTGTCCATTAATTCTTTTGAGAATGAGTTTTAATCTTTTTTATGAGCTTTTAGAAATAACACATATAATTCACACACTTCCGGCAAAATCTTGTTTATTAATGTTTTAACATCCCTATTATCTTAGACCTTTTAACCAATAAACTCTTATATGCAGATTATGAATTCCTTAGCCCAGTCGAATGAAGTAACCAAGTTTTTTTCTATCATAATTTCTGTGCTTTCTTTAATTAAACGAACAATTTCCCATTTTAAATCCTAATTGTTAATTTAAAATGCAATTATTAATCTTATGAATATTTCATTGTACAATTATTATGCTTATTACTTAAACTCTTGATCTTCTAATTATGATATTTTCTTTAAAAATTTGGTTAAATTTTGAATCATTATCTTAGTAGTTTCTTCCCAGGCTGCTATGACTTCATTTTAATTTACAGTTGAAGTTAATAAATCCTTCTCAGAGAATTTAGTAAATTTTGGATAATCTTCTTCTTTTATATAATTTGGCATTTTGGAATTAAAAATCCCTTCCAATTATTATAATTAGGCAACTCTTCCAATCAAATCATCTAAAATCTTGAATATTAGGTTTTTTAGTAGATCAATTTAAAAGTTAACTTTAAATGATCCGCAGTTAATTAATATAATTTAAATTATGATATGTAAAGCTGATTATCTAACATCTGGAGTGTTATCCAAAGACAAGTCCTTCAAACTCTATAAAACAACAGTCCATAATTCCTCTACTTCAGTTTGGGATGTCTGACTTGGACAGATCTTATTTAAGTTATCTGCTAATTACCAAATCAGACCAACTGAAACATAACTAATATTTTACTCTGTTGTTCTTTATCTAAATTGCTTAATTAATGGTAGTAGTCTTCTGGTAGTCTTAGGATCCAATAAATGCATAAATTACCCTATCAACAATTCCAAAATGTGAAATCCAATATTTACATATCCAGCCGGTTCTGTTTCATCACAGCTGATTAACAATATTTCTATAATTGTATTAAATCCTAGAATATTCAATTCATGTCCATTATTTTAAATCAGTTTAAAAATAATGTTTAGCAAAGTTTCTTTGACATCAGCATAAGGAATTTTAATCATTTGTTGAATGGGACTTAATAAATGAGACTACCAAGTATCTCCTTCCCAACAACGACTTTAATCTGGTCTTAAGAAATATATAAATCCTTATTGCACTAATTATGAAAAGATCTCCAAAGCTGTTTCTCTAAAAGCCCTTTGCTTATAATTTGCTATGCATATAAAATGAGCTGTGATAAAGTCCCAAAATTGATGAATTCTGAACCAATTTTATTTAGTTATTTAGTGAATCTTTTACAATCCAAATGAAATGGACTTGCAATTAACTAGATTCTAAACATTATTATACTACTCCATTAAACTCAAGGTAACTTGATTTATTGCTTCAATCATCTAGAGCAATTGGGAATCTTCGTATAAGTTACTAGATGCGAATAAACCTTCGCAGATATTGTTTAGCAAAGTTATTTCTTACTAAATAACTTCAGGATGTAATTCTTATGAAATTTAATTTTAGGCTTATGATTTTTAAATTTGTTCTTCAAAGTATTGCATAGTCTTCATAATTATATACCAGGACTTAGTATCCAAAAAATCTAAAAATTTAATTATGTACATTTACTTTCGTTTTGTGCAATTTTGAATAAGAATTTTGCACTTTATAACTGACACTTTGTTAGAGCAGCGTTTTATTTGCCAATACAAAGACTACTCAAATATTTAATGAAGGCTTCTCTAGTTTTAATTTAACCTAAAGAACTAGATAACTCAATCCAACTTTATAGAGAATTTAAAAGAGTTTAATACTGGGTATCGTCATTCAGATTTACGATTATGTTTTGGATTGATTTTAATATTAACTATTGTGCTTACTCGGTTATTGAATTAAGCTCCTTGCAATTTTCATCTATTATTATTTTTGATTAAAATTATTTGTAATTCTAACAGAATAATAAAATTCCTTTTAACTTTTAAATCTTTAGAATCGAATCAGTAAAATGAAAAATGCATTCAACTATTTATAAAATTTGCTATTATACCTGATTTTTTAATGAATAATGCTTTATTGTAACATGGAATTTCTGTTAGGTTAAGTAAATTTTATTAATACAAATTCTTAAATTTTGCATATGCCTATTATTAATTAGTTTAATTTATTGTATATTAAGGTTCCTATTCTGTTGATAACTTGATAATAAAAATTAAGTGTTATAACAAAGTAGATTATTGCTATTAATTTTCTTCTTATACAGATCCTTATGATAGTAGCATCACTAATTTAGGATCTTGCAGTATAGTCAGAATTCCTTCCAAGATCCAATATCGAACATAACCATACGACGGAGATCTAGTGAATAGTAGACTGATATGTTTTATTAATGATATGTCTTTTTGTAAGGTGACTATTATACCAAATGAATCCCTAATTCTTCTTGCATCTATGATTAAATATGGAAATACTGAATTAAACATCTGCAGAATCCAAACTCATCTCTTCATAAATAATAGCTGAAAATTCTTAGATTACTTTGCTAACCTATTCATCCTTGTTTATAAAAGATCCTAAATTTGTTATGATCTAAGATAACATATCTCTACAGATTCCTCTAGAAAACTCATTCTATATTATGAAAGAGACCTTCTGTCCTTTCATACCTTGGATAAGTTGCGCAAATATCGTAACTCCATTTTTATTAGGTTAATCACTGTATTGTCTACACAGATAATCTAAGATTTCCATCAAACCTGTGATTGCTGTTGTTTGTATGATTGGACTTTTTGCCATTACCAAGGTGAAAAATATACACATTAGCTACTTTTAGAATCACTATTACTTTCTCTATGTCCTCAGGATGATTGATATTTACTATTTCATTATTAATTAAATGTACACTGCATTGTACCAATTTTAATTGCACATTTTCATTTGTTTCTTCTTTAAGCAAATAGAAGTAATATAATAAGGGATGAATGTCTGCCTAAAATAGAAATTGATTTACTTTAAACAATAAAACTGCATTGAATAGTTTTATAATAATGTTAAGAGCAATTCCAGATGTTTAATTAGTTTTGCTTTCAGGAAGTTTAGCAAAAATTTCAATGATTTCTTATGTTGGTAAATTTTATAAGGACTTATGCTTTTTGATATCATCTATTATTCTCTAAATCAGAGGCTTCTAAACTTGATTTTTCTTTTAATCATTCAAAAGTTATTAGAAATCATTCAATAAAGAATCAATTAAATTCATTAATTTATAGTAAATAATATTCAATCTATTAAGCTTAAGTTTATGTATTCATAATATGTAGAAATGATATAATAAATATATTATATAAGAATTAAACTACTAAGGAAAAAAAACAAGAGAAGTTATAATAATTTAATATTATATAATTATGTAGAATCAGATAGTTAGTTTAAAAAAATAATAGAAACTACTAAATAAAATATGCGCAGAGAATAACAAAATCAAGTAAAATATATCATGAATATTGTTGATTGAATAATATCAATAATAATGATATTAAGCAAATACACCATTTTATGATAATTATAATGGAATTTACAGTAATAAAGTGATATGAACTTTAGGTGTTTGATATTTAAAATAATCAACAATTTCAAACAAAACATTAAATACATTGAGGAACTTAACCTATTATTTTTTTTTAAATTATTAATAGATTAGAATTATAATATTATCATAAAAAAAAAATCAGAAAGATTTTAACTATAATAACATTAAAGTTAATTAATAGATTAATCTATTGAAGAATTCAAAATAAGTTGAGATACTAATTTATCAATTATAAATTTGTTTTTTTTGATTTATGTTTCTCCAAGGATGTGAATGGTCAAAATACAATTAGTATTTTTCACTGTCTCCTATTTTATATTGATCAAGCGTTTCAAAACTCTTTTCTGTGTCAATCAAATCTACATAAATCTTTTTTCTTGAAGTGCTTCTTATAGCAGGAAGAGTGAATGAATTTTCACTAGAATCATCCCCAAATCTAAGGATTTGATTTTTCTTTAGAGCCATTTAAGCTTATCTTTAAGTTTTTTAGAAGGCATTTTCTTCAGTTTGAACAGGAGTCTTTCTTCTCTTAGCAGATTTGCATCTGATTTTAAGATCTTCATATAATTTAATTGTTTTCTTAAATTCTATTTTAGTTTCAATAAGCTCAATTTCTTAATGATGTACATCTCTAACATCAAATACTCTTTCTTCAAACTTTTTCATTCTCCAGATTTATTTTTGTTTTTCTAAACTATTGAAATCCTCTAAATTATTATTTTCTGCATATTTCTTAAAGTCGTAATGAGAGAATTCATACAAACTTGATCCATCTGAAGCACAACGAAGAGAAAATTAGTATTTCAATTCACTGGGATGTTAATAAAAGATTTCTGATTCTTAGAGTTCACTTAAAATTAACTATTATCCTTGATATTGTTTAACAACATGAAATACTCCATATTTAACAACAAAAATTTGAGAGTTGTCTGCACCCTCTTTAATTGATATTTGATTTCTTACATAATGTTTCAAAACTAAATAATAGGACAATTATTTAAGATCTTCATCATTCCAAAGTTTTAGAGGAGGAATTGTTTAGAGAAATACTAATTTTTCATGATGTAGATTCTAAACTCAATATAATAATAACTTTACTGATTTTGCCTAAGATGTCTATATATTGTTTACGTGTCAAACAACCAAATTCACAATCTGTTTTAGTTGTGACTGTTGCTGTTGCTTTTAGATTATCTTTTATCAAGGCCAATTCACCAAAGGAGTCACCTTATTCAAGTGTTTTAATTTCTTGGAGACTAAATTAGTCCTCATCTCCTTTTATAGCTGGCTATTGGTGAATTGCTCCTGGGGTTGAGGATTATTGAATTTATTATACACTAGTTTGCTGAGTAATGTTATTGTTTTAATTGATTTTCATAGAGGTTCTCCGTAAGCCTTTTTGGACATAGATGCTAATACTTACTTTGCCAGATAGGATGACATAAAAAGTTCTGTTTTCCTTATTAATTTGGATGACTATATTATTATAAGATATTTACTTTGATTACCAGCAGGGATTCTCAAATAAGATATGTTTTTACAGAGATCAGCTACAATAAGTGGTCCATATTGAACTTTCAATTTTTATACGAAACTTAATGATAGCATAAATAATTCAATTTGTTCTTATTCTTTTTAAGTTCTCTGCTTTTTTAAAAAGGCTTGTCTGGCTTCATTCAACAGATCATTTTGCGAAGGTTTAGCAGGTAGAAACCCTTTTTACTATATTAATTTTTTCATCCTATTCATAATTTAAGATGATTAATATAATTAATAAATTGATTATTGTTAAATATAAATTTAACTAATTAAACTATGGGTAAGGTTGTTTACTCTCAAAATTTGAACAAAACAAAAAATCATCAAAATTTCTGAATAAATGGAGTCATTCAACTACTTAGTTCATAAGATCTCTTCTCCCTTGTGATTTTGCATACTTCAATAGGCAGATTTGCTTTTATAATAAATATCTTTGTCTACTTTATCATTTATACTCCATTTGTTATTATTGTATTTCTTAAAGAATTATAATACTGTTTGTGGATAAAGGAAATTCACAAATGCATAGCCTAAATTCCCTTCTTACTAATTATAGCATTAGGCTATTTACATTATTATCAGATGGTAAATAGAGAAAATCAAATTAATACTTAAAGTCTATGTCTAAGAGATTTTTTAGATCACTTGGTCTCATGTATTTAGGAAGATTCTTAAGCATTAAAGTAGTTCTATCATCACTAAGTATCTGCAATAAGGAACAACAAAACTACATTTTCCTCATAAACTTCTAAACTGTAATAAAAGGGTTGTAGCTTTCAATAAATTTGTCTTTCATTTTAATCTAATATAAACCTCATTTCGATAAGTTCTTAAGTGAGTAACTTTTAAGTGAAAAGACTTCCTTCATTAGGCATTAATAGTTTGAAGTCTCATATGTAAAACACAATACCAAAGGAGCAAAATGAGGCTTCAAATTTTTCATCTTGACTTAATAATGGTCTGGGAATTTGCAAGTTAGGAATTTATTTGGATTCAAATGATGAATCACTAGAACTAGCTGGAGAAGCCGTAGTATTAGAATAAGAAATTCTAACTTTTTAAGAAGGTGTAAGGAGTGGAATATCAATTATATCACAAATCATTATTTAATAATAATAAAAACGATGGTTCAATTATTTTCTAATTTTTTTATAGTTGCTCTGGTTTTGACTTATCTCTCGAAATTACTTAAACAAACCAGGCAATTCCACTTTCCTTTTGGTACCTCCTTCAGTCCTAAACACTTAGTGTGAAATACTTTAGGACAAGTATCACAACAAATGACTTTGCCACCTTACCCACATTTGTTGCATCTATCTTCCCATTTGCTCTCCACATAAATTGATTATGACTAAGTCTTCACTCTCTATCTTAAGTTTTACACTTTAATTTCAGGTTCTACCACTGCAGGTTCAATTTAAACCTATTTGCTTATATGCACTTCCTCTACTTTCTTTTTCTCAGGTATTTGTGTCACTATTTATTGCGTAATTTTTCTATTTATGTAGTCTTACACTATTTAACCAAGGACTTCTAAACATATCTTCAATTTGACTAGATTGCAATCTTATTTTAATTATTCTATTAAATTCAATCTCAATGTTTCATAATACGTGCCAAACAATTTCATCGGCAATTTTCTAACTCTCACCTTTCCTATATCTAATTATTCTAACTATTAAATTGCAGTTTATATTGGTTATTCAGGCGATGAGTCATCTTCTACAACTTTCCTTCTTCTATTCTATTGCTAATATGATTCATCCTCGTTATTTAATTAAAGTTTTTCATCTCCATTTATTTCCTCATCCGGTCTTAATTCTAATTTTTCTTACATCATAGTATTATCAACAAAATATTCAATTGCTTTACAAAAAGGAGCAAGGTCGTATTCATTATAATTTTTGTCTATTCTTTTTTAAATAACATTCTAAAAACTCTTTAAAAATGAGTTTCTAATTTCACTGCTGCACCATCTTGAGTTCCTTTGATTTAGATACTCAGTCAACATATTTTCAATATCTAAAAATTCCTATATTAACATATCAATGTCTAAGTTTTCTAAACTATTGACTTTCTGATCCTTTGCACTACTACTATTGTTTTATGCAACATCCTACTCGCTATTGTTCTCTGAGTTCTTCAATTTATCTTCCTTTTCTTCTTCCTCTTCCTCCTTCTACTCAACTATCAATAGTTTTGCTCTTTGTAATTCCAAAATGTTATTTCTTAATGAATTTTCTTTAACTCCCTTCTGACAAAGTACTTCCATTAATACATTAACATCTTTTAAATCATAATAACCCCACTAAGAAACCTCATCATCAATAATCGAATTTCTCATACAGGCAAATATTTTGTCTGATTCCCAAAGAAAGAAATAGTATGAACTATTCCTGCTATCATATCCTAAAAACACTGAGGGATTTAATACCAAGGATGAAATTTATATGATTGCCAATTCCTTAAATATATGAATATAACAATACTTTCTCTTATTCATGATATCTCTCAGTTAGGTTATCTATTTCCTTTTCTAGTTTTTGAAATTACTATTTTAATTTTTGACATTGTTTTTGTGCACTCTCCTTTTGTTTGATAAACTTTTATGTTTCCGCTCTACTCAATCCATCTTCTAATAACTTGGACTAAAGATAACCATATATTTTACTTTTGCCATTTGATAATTCCCTTCAGATTCTATTATTTCCTTATTAGTTTCCATCTATTTACTTCTTTGCTCCTTGATCTACATTCCTAGTTAAGTTTTCATCCTATTATTGGAGAGTATGTTTTCAGTTCTGTATTAGTATAGAAATTATGTTCTCTTTAATGATTCTATTCCATCAGCCAATGCTATAACCAACTTTGCCAGTTTGTTTACATTTTTATAGTCACCAAAATCAATCAAATAATCTGGGAGATATAGAATTCCTTATTTAAAAATATTAGTTGGTAAGGATTTTACATCGTCTCTTAACAATTGATAGTACCTCTGTCTATTTGTATACCACATGTATCCCATTAGTTACCAATAGGGTATTTTCTTTTATATTAAATATACAATACATATTATTATTTTTGCATTTATTCTATATCTAAATCTTCAATAATTTATTTTAAGTAGAAATAACAAAAAAATAAGATTATTTCTTGTGGATTATGTTATAGAGTATCATAGATTTCTATTCTTGATTTTTGATTATATAATGTATGATTATCTTGAAAGTGAATCAAGGTGCCAATATTATTTGACTACGATTATGCTAAACCTTATAGGGAATAGATATACATTTTATCTGTTGTTCTTGAAGAATGTCACTTACAATTTTGTTCATATTATTGTAAGCATCCCAAATTTTGAGCACATCTTCAAAAATTTCTTAGGGAATTGCCGGGTCAACGTGAAGGGCGGGTTTCTTTTTGGGCTCAATGTTAAACAATCCTTGGTAGGCTGTCAAATATTCATCCAAAATAGGAAAGATGACTCTGCCTTATTGTATATAGGTTGGATAAAGCAATTGAAATTCAGTAAGCTTCTTGATTTTGTCTTCCTAGGGTTGAACTGTTTTTTAAAAGAAATCTTGTATCTGGTTGCATTGTTTCTTTTTTGAGGGTTTCGATTCCTTGAGCTTTCTCTTTGCTATCCTATCAAATACAAGACAAACAATGCCATTTTATTCCATCTTCAAATTGAGGTTCTTTGTTTTATTTGCGTATGCATTCCTGATGATATTTGAAATGACAACGAATGCAAATAATAGTAAGTGTAGACTTTGTTGATACCTAGCAGAGTCGACATATAGACTTATCACCAAACTACTGTTTTCCATCAATCGGCTTTTTTGGTTCCTATTTGATGTCTAGTTTCTTTTGCTTAAGAGCTTTCTTGCTTGTAGCTTGGTTTGAATCATATGCCATTTCATTTTCATTGATTGCTTGTTGATGTTGTTCTTGACTGCTCATTCTAGTCGAAGCCTGCGAATTATTTGAATTTATTTACAGGATTCAAAGAAGCGCTATAAATAATTCCTATACAACTAAATAATAATATATTATTAGATGAATGCAATTTTAAGAATTCCCCAAATTTTTGGATTCAAAGTTGAACTCCTTTATAATCACTAAGAGTTCTGGGTTTGATTTTATTAAGTAATATCTAAGAAAACGTAGTATTTAAGTATGTTTATAAATTATATTTCTGGTGCTATTTTTATTTTAAATGCTGCGAAATTTTATGAAGCTAGTTATGAGAAGTTCAAGGTTAGAATAGTTAATGAAATTCAAAGGGAAACATGACATAAGTTGTTAAGGTATTGAATAATGTTGATAGAGAGAGTTCAAATAGTTGATTTTAGATACAAGACAACAATTCCCATAATTAAATGGGGAACAATTAAATTGTGTTGTGGATCTAATGAAGCAGGACTAATTAGTGGATGATGACAACACCGACTATTTATTGACGGCTATCAAGAATGTTGAAGATCAACAAATCAGATACTAACTCTTAGATAAAATCATTTTACCAACTTCAAATTTATCAAAGGAGCAGGTCAAAGAAATAGAATAAATCATAGAGAGTTGCCAATAATATGCAATGGGATTGTCAATCATGGGCAAGATGGTTGCTTTTTATGACTATTAGAACATACAAATAATGAATAAATTTGTTAATGAATTTGATGTAACCAAAACAAATGCAGAATAATTGGGTGCCGCTTGTATTGGTTTGGCATTGGGATAATATAAGGACAAGTAATTATGGGATGATATAGCCTCACATTGCTTAAAGTTGGAGAAGGACTTTCATTCTTATATGCGTATAGCAACAGGAATGGGATTGACAAATAATGGTAATGTTGAGTTTTGGAATGATTTTATTGAATAATTTAGAAAATAATTAAAAACTATAAATGAAGATCTATTCACATAATCATTACAAGTTATAACCCAATAAAATGTTGCTTCATTAGAATTATGCGAAGCAGAAATAGAATACTATATTATTAATTCACACATTAGAATTGAGAACATGATCTCCATCTATGTATCTATGGCTAGAAAATAATTAGGATCATAACAATTATACTCCAAATTAGAACAAGATATATATGAAATGTAATTGTCTGGAGATGATCTGATTTTATACGTGATTGAGTTGATGTAAGTAAAGGATAGATTACCAAATTAGACTCTCAATGTCTTGGTTGCTAAAGCATACTCGGAAAGTCAAAATCAAGAATTAATTGAAAAATTAACAAATTTGATAAAATGAATTTTATTTTTAATATTTATATGAAATTGTACAACAGAATTAAATCATCATTTAAAGTGATCCTTAATCTTTGAGGTAAGTTCATCGCAAGTTTTCTTAGCATCACCCAATAACATATTATTATTTGGTTTATAGAATACTGGATTGTCAATGGCAGCATATCCAACACCCATGGATCTCTTCATAACAATTGATTATTTAGCAGCCCAGACTCTCAATACAGGCATGCCTAAATAATTGAATTATGATATAATACCTGCAATTGGTGAATTTGGATTTTCTTCAGCAGCTGAATTGACAGTGTCATTAGCTCCAATGACAACAGCAAGATCAGTATCAGGGAAGTCATCATTAATTTCATCCATTTCAAATACAATATCATATGGAATACCAGCTTCAGCCAATAAGACATTCAATTATCCAGGCATTCTACCAGCAACTGGATGAATACCAAATCTGACCTTAATTCCTTAGTCCATAAGTGTCTTACACATGTCAGCAACTGGATATTAGGCTTTAGCAACAGCCAAACCATATCCAGGAACAATAATAACTTGATTTACTGTTGACCATCATTTCAACAGCTTATTCAACATTGATTTCAGTGTGAGTACCTTCAACTTTGGTAGCTTAGATGGCTGCAGGATTAACATCAAATCCTCCGAAGATAACACTTGTTAAATTTCTATTCATGGCCTTGCACATAATATAAGAGAGAATGGCACCTGATGATCCAACCAATGCTCCAACAATAGTTAATAATGGATTATCTAACATAAAACCTTCTAGCACACAATGCCCATCCTTGAATATGAATTCAAAACTGTAATTACAACTGGCATATCAGCACCACCAATAGCATTTGTTAATGTAACTCCTAACACTTTGCTTGCAGCTGTTGCTGTTAATAAAGCTGTCATTCCAAACAGCAAAACTGCCTGTTTGATTATAGATTAATAAAGAATGCAACAGATAAGGCTGGCCAATGCAATGTTTACTTAATTGTGAATAAGGAATAACTGTTGGATTTGAGGGCAAGAGATTTTACAATTTAGCAAAGGCAATGAGTGATCCTGTGAATGTGATACCACCTGTGAAAATACCAAAGAAGATTGATAATTTGTGCAACAAGTGCAGCTGGATCTTCAGCCAAATGAGGGAATACATGTAAATAGTTACCAATAGAAGTTAAGACTGCTGCCAAACCAACAAAGGAATGGAAACAAGCAACTAATTAAGGTAAATCAGTGATTGCAACTCTGGTAGCAACTGTACCTCCAATGGTAGCTCCTAACATAACCATTGATGCCCATTAAGCTAATAATTCTGGGGAGAATCCTTTATATCCAAGAGTGGCAGCTACACCCAATCCAACTCCCAAACAACCAAAACTATTACCAATTCTAGCTGTCTATTATTATGCTAATCCACCAATAGCTAAAATACAAGCGATGGATGAAGCTAAATATGAAAGATTTGTCAATGGTTCCTTTGGAATTCCATAGTAGAGACCACCATAATATCCAAGTACTCCTGTAGCACCTGCTAATGCCATTAAATAAATTGTATTCAGCAGGGTCAGTTGGTCTTCTAAACATATTTAACATTCTTTATGTGACTAAGAAACCACCAGAAATGTTCAGGGAAGCTATGGCAACAGAAACAGCTGCCAATAATCCAGTCAAAGAATCCTGGTAAATACTCTGCCATCCATCAATTCCATACCACCAACAATAATTATACCAGATACTGCATTTGTAACTGACATCAATGGTGAATGTAAGGCGGGAGTGACACCCCAAACGACTTAGTAACCAACAATTCCTGCCAAAGCAAAGGTATTCAACATCTTTAAGAATTCCATATTAGGAGATTGATAACCTAAAGCCATCATTAGCCATTAGAGATGCTGATGTATTAATTACATTCTTCCAAGCTTATTTGTATGGATCTACTTTGACTTCTTATTTTTTATGACCAGTTGCAGCTTTAGTTGTATCTGCTTATTAGAGTTCACTCTTAGATGTAATGATGGGAGGAGGTGGCCATTTCAATTCTCCATTAAGTGTTACTAATGATTATCTAACGACATCATCATTCAAATCCACTTGAGTCATGTTTCCATTTGGATCTTTGATTGTTCCAACAATATATTACATCAACTTTCCAATATTATTAGCATATAATGTTGAACTTTAAGTAGGTAATCTGCTTGGTAAATCAGTGTATCCAATGATCTTAACTTTTCCTTCGTGATTGTATAATTCTCCTGGTTTGCATAATTCACAGTTTCCTCCAGTTTCAGCAGCCAAATCAACAATAATTGAACCTTATTTCATGTTTTCTACTAATTCTTTTGATAATAATTTGGGTGCTGGTCTTCCTGGGATAAGTGCAGTGGTGATAATGATATCAACTTCTTTGGCTTACTTTAAGAACAAAGCTAACTCTGCTTCTAAATATTCTTTTCCCATTTCCTTAGCATATCCACCGATACCTGCACCATCAACTACTTCACCATTGATTTTGACTTCCAAAAACTCAGCTCCACAAGATTTTACTTATTCTTTGGTTGCTAATCTTGTATCAAATGCTCTAACAATAGCTCCCATATTCTTAGCGGTTACAATAGCTGATAAACCAGCCACTCCTGCTCCAATAACCATCACCTTAGCAGGTGGTACTTTTCCTGCTGCTGTCATTTAACCAGCAAAGAATCTGCCGAATTCATTTGCTGCCAACACAACTGCTTTGTATCCTGCAATATTAGCCATAGAACTTAAGGCATCATAGGTTTAAGCTCTAGTAATTCTAGGAACACATTCCATAGCGAATGTTGTTATTTTCTTTTCCTACAATTAATTTAGTAATTCTTTATTTTATGCGGGGTAGATGAACGAAGTCTAAGTTTATAAAAAATGAATACAAGTGTTTGGTTTTCTTTCAAGGCTTTAGTATTTTCAGGGGGTCTAATTTTTAAGATTACATCAGATTAATCATAGATTGATTTGGAGTCGACAACTTTTGCTCCAACTTCTTGATACACATTATCTGCAAAATTAGCCTTTTAGCCTGCTCCAGTCTCTACGAGAACCTATTTAGATATAATAGATAAGTACTTGATGACCATCTTTGACTAAATTTTTAATTGATTCAGGTGTTGCAGCTACTCTATTTTCATGAGGAAATGTTTCCTTGGGAACACCAAATACAAATTTGGGATGACTTGGTTTCTTGTCGCCTTTACTAGAAAAGCAGGTTCGAGCACTCAAGAGCAATTATCTTGTAGCTTGTCGATGGAATGAGAGCATAAATAAATATCTTTTTTTATAAAAATTTATTCTTATATGTATATATACAAATTAATTTATAGGAAATTTTGGTAATATAATTTATTCAAATATTGTTATGAGAGGTGCAAATTCAAATTCAGGATAGTCCTCTCTACCTGATAGTAATGAAATCAACGAATATATTAAGGAGTACTTAAGATACTCTAATTATTCCAATACCCTGGAATGCTTTGATGCAGAAATTAAGAGCAAATAGGTTTCCAATAAAGTACATAATTAATATTGACATCTAGATGTTAAATAAATAATAAGTCGTTAAATAAACAGGCGAGGATGTCCCTCGTATATTCTAATTGTTGAAAAGCGATAATAACAAAACTAAAAGAGAGATCAATTTAGAAAAGGAATAAAAGTAATTCAATAAAAAATACCAATAAATATTACAAGCAGGCAGATAAATATTCTCAGTTAGCATTAACCTATTGCAATTACTTCATTCATTAAAAGAAACAGCTAAGAATGAAAATCTTAGTGAAACCTTAGAAAATTATAAAATTCAACTAGGAAAATATCACAAAGTCATAATCAATGAAGGTAAACCAGAAGGAACAGAATTGATTACTGAATAAGTGATGCATGAGCATAAGACCAAGTTATTAAAGAACTTTTAGGATAAGCATGTAGACGGTATGATAGAAGTATTGCTTTCATTAAGAGTAAATGCATTGTAAATTGCACCTGAATTAAGAAAGAATCTAGTCTATGAATTAATCAGGAATGATGTGTTTAATATTGAAGCCACAGATAAATTTGATTTTGTAGTTCATTTATTGGATATCAACAATTAAAGTCTCAGACATGCAATAACAAGTCTGATCAGTGTAATAAGCAGCACTTTAAGAGGGGTGGAATACTTGACTTATAATGGAAATATGATTATTGTGGAAAAAATAATCAAGATTTTAAAGGAGTAAGAAAACGGTTCCGTAACATAGAGATTTTGTTTAGCAATCTTATAGAAGGCAAGCATTAAAGATACAGTCATACCGACATATGTGCATAATGAATTGATTTAATGGATTATTAACTTAATTTAAAAGTCAGTAAATGCGAAGATTCACGTATTTTGTCTTGATTTTGCTTCTGCTACATTAGCCAATATCATACACACTCCTTACACTTTGCAGTATTTGGAACATCAACCAAGATTTGCCCATTAGGTGATGGAATAGTTATTGAAATTCATTAAAGATTAAATTTAGGTTTCAGTTTTGATGCATGTTCTGATTTGTTTGTCTTATCTGAGCAAGGAGAACTTTGCTAAGTAAATGGAGGAATGCAGATTTGTTGATAGAATAAGCTAATTTGTTGAATATTACAGTGTTATTAATACAGGTACAGTTAGATTATATTATTACATTAGAGAACGAAGCTGCAGAGATCGACAAAAAAACAGTTTTAGATCTATGTGCCCATATGTTCCATCCAAAGGACACTTCGCTTGATAATTCGGAAACTCTGGAATTGAATGAGTTGAAGACTGAAGATAGGATTAGGGAATATGAAAATGAACAAGGAGAATTAATTTTCGAATGTTTTCAAGATGAAGTAAGTTGAATAACTATGTTTATTTTTAATAAATTATTCTTTAATATCATAAATTTATTAATTTTTAATATCTTGTATTTTTATATGCAGTTCTTCTCAAACCTTTGCAATTATACATTTATCAAATAAAAAATTACTCTTATATTTATAGTATTGAGAATCAAATTTTAATTATTCGAATACTAATAATGAATAATGCTAATTTTTTCACATTATATTATTTTACAGATTTGTCTAATCATGAACTTCCCAGAAGTAGAAAAGGGTGACAAGCAAATAAAGTAAGCCAATCTATAGACGAATTAAATCAAAAAGAGGAAACCTATTGATTCAGATACCAAAGCAAATCTGGTATATAGTGTAGTTAAAGATCGTTTACCCATTTATTAAGTAGTAATCTTTGTATAATCACCTAGGCAGCCATCATTCACAAAGTTAAATATTCATCTGCTAAACATATATTAAGGAATTACTACAGTGACACTACTAATTATTTAACTGCCCAAAAAAAGAGAAGGAAGAAGATAATTTGGGATGGAGCCACAATCTTAGTCAATACTAATACTGGAAATATCATAATGTATTCATAATAAAATTAAACAATCCAATGTTTGAACAATGATGTCAATGCTTAGCTTAAATAAATAGTCCTTGACAATCTCAGTTTATGTATTAAGTAAGAACACTCTGGTATCAAGACTTAAAACTTACAAACGAAATAAAATTTTAAAACCATAAAATAAGATATTAAAACAGAAAAAATAGAAGACAAACTATTGTCTCTTTTGAGGACACTTAAAAATTAACACTAAGAAATGATATCATGATATCTATTTAATATCTTTATTATATATGTTTGATTTAATATTTTAGAATCTCAAATTAATATGTTGGGATTTCGATTATAATACAAGATATTTATGATGATTATAAAAATGATTAATTTAAAAAAATCCATTATAAAAATAGTAATACTTAAATCCCCACTTTTAATGAAAAATTCATCTCTATTGAACCTCTTCCCTTCTACTTGACTTTCGAGCAATTTTTATCGCATACTAGGTTCGCTTTAAGCTCATATTGAGCAACTTGAATTTTAGCCACACAAGTTGTAATTTCACTTTAACCCAATTCAATCAATTATGCGAAATATGAAATATGTTATAATATCTAAAATTATATAACTTTGACTTTCTGTCATTTTTTAGATAATTTTCATACCAAATTTCTAAATTTGAACTTATAGTAAAACTAAACAATAACATAAAAAATAAACACTCTGTTTTTAAGATCGCATTCCTCCAAGTGCTTAATTGTAATGTCTTATAGTTATTAATCAATAACATAGATAATTGGAGAATTGGTAATTCGAATAATTTATAATTTTGTGGTCGATTTATGGAAAAATAAATTATTATTATCCTTCTTATTTAAACCAAAATATGATACAATATTAAACATATCTATATTTTCTATTAACAGTATTTTATATTAGAAAATTTAATAACCTCAGAACTAATTACGAACTAAATTTTGATCCCTAGCGTTGAGAAATGATTCCAGATCTACTGAAACTATATAATCAAATCATGAGATTGTCATTTTTCGTTGAACTTTTGGTAATTATTTTTCAACTAGTCTTGAATTCTTTGCAAATTTTAAAGTAATTGTGACAAAATAATAGAGCTTAATCTTTTCAAATTTAAAGTCGGAAACTAATTAAATCTTTGTCATCAGTTTCATAAGGAGAATTAATATCAAAGTAATAATTAGCAATATATATTATTAATAAATTTTATATGTCAATTCGTTAAGAGTAATATTGTCAAATTTTATAATAGGTCAGATCTTAGTTGTGAATTGCTGAGGTCCACATTATAGGATATTAATTATAGATTAAATAATTTACAACATGTTGTTCCTAATCCTCATAGTTGGAAAGATAAAATTCAGAAAGAAGCACCAATTCCTAAACTAAATTTACGTAAAATAAATTCAGTGTACAAAGAAAACTGTATACCTCTAAAGAAGGTGACAGCATCTTTTGGTGATAAAATAATAGATTAAGTTGAGAATATCAATGATAAGAGTTTCGACGATTTATAAAAAAAACCTTAAATAAAAATGATGGCAGAGTAACTTCCTTAAAAATAAAGAAGTCATTCAATCAATTGTTCATAACAAGTCCTTAGAAATCAGAACAGTCACTCAATTTAATTCAAAGTATCTAATGCATCAAGATTATAAAATTCTTCCGATTTTTAATAATACTAATCATTACATCAATCCTTTGAGAAACCTCTCAAATCCTCATTTATTGGTAGTTAATAGATTTAAGTACCTTAAAGAGATCAAAGTTTAGAGTATGTTCAACCAACTCTTATCCAAAAACCCATTATTATTGAGTAGTAGTAGTAAAATGTGCAAACTAGAAACAATTCATTATTATCTACACCAATTAAGCAGGTAGCAAATGTTTCTCAAGGATAAACTCCATTGAAAAGAGGGAATTCATCGACAACATAAAAAGTGATTTAAACAAATTTAAGTTAGAATCAGTCTTACTAATGTTTTCAAGTTTAACAATAGAAATAATAATTATAAAATTAAGATTTAATTAAGTAAATAATTAATAATAATTATATTTTAGAATTTTGCAAGATCATTCTAATAAATATCAGTAATAGTAGGTTCAATATCATTCAATATAAAATACTCTTGCCTCTTCTTAATATACTTAGAATATAGCCTAATTCAAGGTATCTCAAAATAGAAATGCATCGACTAGCATAAGAGTGCCAATGGGATAAATACTCTATGGAAATTCAATGATAAGATTGTGATTTTATAAATACTCTATTGATAATTCTATTGTATATTATACTCTCTTGATTTATTAATCTAGGATATTTTTTATATTCAAAAACGCTTAGTTTATAAATTAATGAAAATTTTAGTAGCATTAGTAATTGCTTTGTGCTTGCTTACACATCCAATTGTATGCAAGAAACACTCAAATGATGAAGAACATTCAGCTTTTGAGAAGAGTATAATTGTTTGAGTATCTTAGATCACAAAAAGCTTACACTTTAAGATGATCCATCATATTCTAAATTGGAAGAGATTTAAGACCATCCACTTGGATCAAAGATCTTATAGACAATAGCCTTGTAATTGAGAGGAAATGAATCCTTAAGTGCTGTTAGTAAATTGCTGAATGACTTAAAAGGAGATTTGGAAGTACCATTGTTTTGTGATTTGAATAGGGTAAATAAATTGATGCCGACAATGAAAGAGCATAGATAGGGTCTTAATGCAAGAAGGATCTTTAGAATTATAGTCAAAGAATCAGTTTGTCAATTAATGAAATCAAAGATGCAGAATTTAAAGCAAAGAGATTGAATGAAGCCATTGCAGTTTATTAAGCAGAGATAAATGAGAAGGCTAGATAAATTAAAGTATTCTAAGCCAAAGATGACACCTTAAGAGATATTAGAAGATAAGATAATTTAGATTTTTCAACAAGAACAACTTAAATGAAAGAGATGGTTCAAGCATTTGAAGTTATCCTTCCAAAATTGCATTAAGTTTGGGATGTAGCTGCATAACACAAAGCTGGATCCTTCATTGAGGAAGAGGCAATCAATGAAGCCTTAGTTTAATTAGCAAAAATTGGGTATGTATCTTAAGTTATGTTAAAGTGAAGAAAACCCAATTACTGCTATGGTTGCATTAACTTCAACTTTGGAACCAACTGCTGTCCAGACTTTAATTGAAAAAATGGAAGCAATCAGAGATTCAATTAAGGAAAGTATCAAAGCAGAAGAAGATGCAGAAGCTAAGAATGCCAGAGTATAAATATATTCTCTACTTTTTAGGATACTGATACTATTTTAGCAGCTATCTTTAATGCCATTGAAAGTTTGACAAGAGAAAAATCAAGTGATGAAGAAGCCTTATAAGAGACAATTAGAAATAGAGATATATAAGATAAGAGATCTAGGGATGCTCATGCTGTACTTAATATTATTATTAATAAATTAGGAATTCAATGCTGCTAAGAATGGAAATCAATAAAGAAACTAATAATGTTAAGAGTATGAATTATAATACCAATAAAACACTATCGAAAGAGATAAATAGATTGCCATCATTAGAGACGTCTAAAATATCATTGCAACAAAGATAGAAGTAGTAACATGCTTCGTAGAGGAGAATAATTTATTCTGATTAATATGAAAATTTTAAAAGAATTTATCAATATTACCAAAGATTCATTGAAACAGAGCTAAAGAGTTATGGTATGATTCCCATGGCTTTAAGTCATCAATTAAAGAACACTCAGTTACTATTTATTTCTATAATATTTTTCTTTTATATTTCCTTTGTTGAACCAATTTTGGCATAATAAAGCTTCTATCTTATTGAAATTATGTATCTTATTTATTTTGTTTATTCTAAATGATACTTTATTCAATAGTGCTGAGGGTAGTATTTTTTTTCTTATTAATAATTTCATTTATGTATTATTGATAAATGTGACACCCATTTGTTAATTGCCCAATAGTATGATTTTGTTCATGATTTACAGAATTCGATTTAGTTTTTTATTGTTTATCGAAAGAGATTTTGAATTTTATTGGATAATTCATTCTTGGAGATTGTTGGATGTTCATTTTGCATCCGTAAATCGGATACCCTCTTTGAATGTCATTGATCTGTCTGACTTAAGCTTTACGAACAAACAATTAGTAATTTGTACCTTGAATCTTAGTAATATTTTAAAAATTCTCCATATAAGTATTGATTAAAGATATATTTGTTTATTATCAATTAAAGTATTATAAAGAAGGAAGTGAAAATTGAATAATTACCTAATAACCTTATTGTAGAAAAAATGGCATTGACAAATTTATCGTCCCAACAGTTGAATATTGAAATAACAATTCTATTTATAAAGGTTTAGTATATGAAAAATATATTTCAACAAACTTTAGAATCTTCTGAAATGAAATATTCCCCAAGGGGATATGATTTAAGATTTAAATTAGGAAATTAGGTTGCTTTACTAATCTAATAAACAATTAAATATGTAAATTAAAAATTGATTGTTAATATCTGATTTTTAGAATATTTTAAAATACGTCCCACAAATTTTTTCAATCTTCCTTGTTATAATGTAAAAATAAAAAGATATACAAGCATTTTATATATTTATTAATGTACAACTATTAACAATATTTCAAACTAAAATAAAAAGTAGACCCCTTTCAAATAAACTCACCTAAATATTAAGCTATATGAATATAATAACAAAAAATGAGTTTCCATGCTATCTGTGATCTTTATAAGATTATTAAACTTTTAATCTTTTAAATAACAATATATATAGTATTTAATAAATTCTATTATCATAATGAATTATTTAAAATTATAATTATTCTATAATATTTTGTCAAAATTAAGTGAAGTAACTTAGATATAGAGTTGTATAGTATTGAATGTGTATTTCTCTTTTAACTCATAATTAACTTAATTAATTAGGGAGTATTTTATTCAGATATTAATTTCAAAATATTATAAAAAAATAATGAATAGCTAATAGTTGGATATCACTAAAAATCAAAGTGTGAAGGACTATAAGGCACAGCATAAATTAGAAGACCGAAAGAAGAGAGTATAGCAATATAGAGAAAAATACCCTGAGATGACACCAATGGTTGTTTAAAAGCATCCAAAAGCCAAGATAATGTCATTAACAAGACCATAGTATTTTGTTTAGAGTATAATAGATTCTTGGTCAATTAAACGGTTAAGTTTTCTGATTTTAAAAACTAAATCAGGGCCAAACTTTCGTTATCCCCTTAATAAACATTGTTTTTCTATTGCGGAAATAATATAATCTCCGATGGTATTTAATCCAAATAAAAATAGATATCACACTTCAAGAATTATACAATAAATATAAAGATAAAGAAGATGAATTCCTATATTTGAATTATTCTGATTGCGAAGTTTTCGGGAAATGAATTGATTGATATTCATATAAATAAGTACATATGTACTATAATATATTGTGAAATCTATTAAATGCATCGATGAAGTAAAGCAATTAAAGATAAGTGATTCCTTGTAAATAAAGAATGAAGAAAATTTTTAATTAAAAAAATGGAAAAAAACAATTTATCATTATATCTGTTAAATTTCGTGACGAATGCTCTGATAAATTTCGATCATGGAATAATTCCTGCATGCACAACTGATATGAAATTAGATTTGGGCATAGACGACGTTTAGGTAAGAGTTTAAATTCAAATCTAATCTTAGTTAGGTATGATGGGATCATCAGTATATGGAGGACTTGTAATAGGTTCATTTATTGGGACTGGGATATTTGACAAATTTAAGACTAAGCACATAGTAACCATAAGTGTATTATGTTGCATCCTAAGTTTATCTTTATTTATTCTAACCAAAAATTTATTTCTTCTATTTTTATCTAGATTTTTAACAGGATTCTTTTAAGTATGCAATATTAATTTATTTGGTGTTTTTAGTTGTTTTTTTCCCTGTTTGGATAGACTTATTCGGTGAAAATAATAAGACTTTGTGGTTGACATACATGTAATTGGGAGTGGCTTTAGGAACTGTATCTGGATATTTAGTTACTTCATTATCACTTCACTTTTCATAGAATGTAATATCAATTTAGATTATTTAGTGGGTCTACCCTTATTATTTGTAAATACTATTACTAATACCCTGTTTTTTGTGTTATAGTTTCTGTGATGAAGCAAAGTTATCCACATAAGATTAGGAATAAACAAATGTAAAAAAGGAGAATTTTAAGACTATCTTTATGCAAAATTTAAAAACCTTTTTGTCTAACCCTATTTTTGTGTTTTCAATGTTATCATTAAGTTCTTTATTTTTTGTTGTAACAGGAGTCTAATTTTGGATAACAGATTACCTTAGGAATGTATTTTTAATGCCTCATGAAGTTGTGTTTAAATCATTTTTAATAATATCATTAACTGCACCTCTCAGTGGAGTATATTTGGGAGGATTAATCCTACATAATTTTGGAGGCTATGATGGATAGATGGCCATCTAAATAGCAGCTTTTGAAGCCCTTTTAGCAAGCGTATCAGGAGCATTCATTCCGATTCTAAATAATGGAGCATTTGTATTGCTTTTCCTATGGTTTTTACTCTTCTTTGGTGGAAGTGCTGTTCCAGCAATCATGGGCATTATGATCACTTCAATCCCAAGAGAATAAAGATCGAGTGGAAATTCATTGAGTCATTTATTTTAAGAACTTTTAGGATATTTGCCAGCACCAGTTCTTTATGGTTTTGTATAATAATAGACTGGAGGATCTACATCTCGTTGGGGAATGATTCTTCTCTCTATTGTTGGATTTTGCGGATTATTCTACATAGTATTAGCGACCTATTGGAAATCAAAACAGGTAAAATAATTGGACAATAGTATTAATGAATCAGAATTAAGAGATAGAGTTCCTTAGTTAAATTCAGATTAGAATGATTAAATATAGAAGTCTAATTTTGCTCAGATTCGAATGCAGACTTCCGTGTAATCAGGAAAATCAATTACAATTCCCATATAATAGGATCAAATTAATAATGAGATGTAATTTGACAATTAAACTCCTTTGATAAACAGAACTCGCACTTTCAAAACAAGACTTGCATATTAGAGGTAAGCATCTGTTTCTTAAGCTTTATCCAATTTTTCAAGCCTTGTTGGCAGAGGTAGTCTTGATAATGATTTGTTTTCAATAAAAAATGATTAGGATATGAAAAGAATAGAAAAATATACAAATGAAATTGAGCTATAAGTGGCTGGTGGGTATTATTTAGTAAGTGAAGGAAGATATGTAAAATTTGGAGAACATTGATTTATTTACATATTTATATTCAAAATGCATATATTTATTAAAAATTTTAAAGTAAGAGGATGTATATTTAAGAAATTTAAATCCTTAATTTATACAGATATATTAATTATTAATTCATTATTTGCAGAATATGTTCTGAAATATATTTTAAATTTGTTTCATGTTATTATCCCATTATGATATGAATTAAAATAGAATTATTCCGTTTTAATAATATTAATTTCTCTTAGATTTAGGTTGAATTAATATATAATAATTGAGTTATTAACTATTCTACCTTTAAAGACATAGATATGAAATATTCAACTTATTTAATTCTCTGTCTTTTAATATTTTATCTCTGCATTTAACATACTAATTATCATGATAAATGATCTAATAAAATTTATTCAAAAGCTGTTTATAAACTTTATTAAACAACCTACATGATAATTTACTCCTATTAAAATTATTAATGATAAAAAATATTTTATATAAATTTTCTACTTTCAAATCTCTATATGGGCAAGCAGGTACAGTGAGTTTTAAATTATTGAATGGTTAACATAAAGTAACTTTATAAACTCATTGGGAAGATAATTGTGAATACTATTGTGAACCTGAAACTGGCTTTTTGTTTGATGAGGAAAAAGATTAAAGTCAGATTTCTAATGATGATAATGGAAAATATCAAATCAAAATCAATATGCCTGAATACTATAATTACAATGGAATAATTAATGGGGATCTTTAACATATATCAGCTGGTATAGATGCAAAACTATATGGAAATATTGATATTGATTTGACTGGTGATTTCTTATCCCAAAAGATTAAATCAGAAATCTGTAGAATCAAAGCTAATAGCTTGTAAGTAAATTCTGCATTAGAAACATAATTTGGAGAATTATTTATTAAAAATAATGTCACTATTAAAAAGTTACTAATATCAAAAGTAGCAAATTTACATTAAGAGAATGGAGAATGTAAAATCTAAGCAGGATACGTTCAAAATCTACAAAAGAATTATCCAATTATACAAAAATTCTAATTTTTAGAAAACATTGAATAGAATAATCATTTTTCCATATAATCATAGGCTAAAAACTTTAATATAGGAACATTCTCAGGAAGATTGAAATGTAGTTTAAAAGCTGAGTCATTTTTCATCAAATCATTGTCTGGATTATTTTATATCAATTAATCTAAAAATGTAGAATTAGGAATAACAAATTAGCAGAATTAAGGATTTATCAAAGCAGATAATATTATTTTGAATGTTTATGATAAATTGAAGTTCAACATATTTAATTGTGGTAAATCAGTATATGAATTCAATGAATCCTACTATAGTATCTATACTGAATGTGATAACCTTGAAGTTCGATTAATTAATAATCCTTTCGGGATTGTATGATAAATAAATTTAAGTATATAAATAGTAATATTCACATTGAAGAAAATAGTTAGCTCATAAATTCTTTATTTTGTTTTCTCTAAAATTTACCCTAATGAATTCTTTTCTTAAATAGATCTCAACATTAAGATCAATTTATAGTTCTGAGTCTATATTTTCCTAATATAATTAATTTATGGTTCCTTGTGTCTTTGCTTATCGATTAACTAATGATAATTCTTTATTAATTAATTCTTCTTCCTAAACTTTTCAAAATCATTCATTCATTCTTCTTTTATATTACTTCACGATGATTTGATATTATGTTTTCTAATACAGCGTTAATAAAATTATGATCCTTTACTCAAAAATTTTATATTCATAATGAAGGCTTGTTTGGAAATGAGATGAATCACCAATTATAAAATTTGGATCGTTTTTTAATAATATTTTCCAATCTATCTGCAATTTATATGTGATGATACATTTATTAATATTTCTTTTCCCTGTCATCTAATATTAAAGTGAATTATAATTTTTATTTAAAAATGACATAAAAAGAACAAAATGAGTTTGATAAAAATTCAATAGATGATGAAACCGATTTTGTGCTTGATAAATTTGCAGATGGCTACCGATTAGTAGAAATTAAAGGGATTGTAAAAAATTACATTGAAGCACGATATTAATAAACCTTTATAGCTATCAGCAACAATGACTATAAAGTGTCTTATTATATTTACAAAAAATTAGAAAAAGTCTTAATAAAAGCACTAAAGAATTTCAATTAAGAGCCAGATTTGCTAACTGAATATTCTAAAGTTATGGTATGATTCTTCTTTATAATAGCTTTATTTATTAGATATCAATTAAACAGTTTCATCAAATGAAAAATTGATGATTCTCAAGTTACCAACTGAAGTTTAAGTTTACCCGAAAGTAGAAGACATCGATTTCTATTACTATCTTCTCAAGTATACTATATAGACACTAAATAATATTGGAGTAATCTTGATGAGGAGGAAAAAAATTAGAGAGGCTGAATGTTATTTAATGAGAGCATTGGCAGCTAGAAGTTATGTGTTAGAGACTAATGTTTCTTAATTTTAGATGGGAGTGTTATTGGAGAACTTGGGTTTTGTTTTATTGAATAAAGGAGATAAATAAGATGCAAAATAATTTATAACGAAGGCATTACTAATATTTGAATAATTGTCATCACCACAATATGAGACTGTTGAAGTTTGTATAAACTATAAATTTATGCTGAATTTAGTTGAGTATATATTTCTAATAAACTTAGAATTCTATTTAATTAGAATGAAGAATAATTATTATCACAGCCAAGGGAAATTTAAAAAGAAAGGATGATTCATTTGCTTGCTATAACATATAATTATTATGGGGAAGTGTTTTAATCAATGAGTATGCAAGATCAATAGAAATTTTGTTAAGAACAATTTTAATTTCTCTGCAATCTAATGTAAAAATTGAATCCAAGAATTGAAGCAAGAAAGAAAAAGAATGAAAACCCTTAACCTTAAATCAAACCTGAAGTTGATAAATAAGCATTTGAAATAGCTAAACACAAAATAAATTAAGTGTAAGTTAAAGTAGAGAAAGCAGATTTGAAACAAAATCAATCAAGCAATGAAAATTACTAAAAAGAAAAGGATTAACTTCCTTCGCATGTTAGGCTGGATTAGGTTCTATATTAAACTTATATGTAATAACATTTTATGATTTTTTAGATTAATTCGAGCTTAAAGATTCAAAGTTATCATTTTATAATTTGACTTTTTTATTCAGATAATTATCTTTTCCAAACCTCTTAATCTAGAAAAAAGTTTGTATATTGTTGAATATGATTTAACAGAATATCAAAAAAAAAATTATCCTGATTCATAAAATTCAGTTGACTAATTATGCGAATTTTTCAAAAAGTAAATGATTTTACTATTTAAGATTGATTAAATTGCTTTATTTTTCAGATAATCAACTTCACATCAAAGATATCAGACATTTCCAGTCCATAGAAGAATTTAGTAAATTCATATGACCTCCTATTAAATTTGAATTAAATTATAAATAAATATATAGGATAAATTCAATTAGTTGGATAATATCATACAAATTATCTTGATTCTTTAATTTCTAATTAATATTGATTATCTTAACTCTTGATTGATATGATTTATTCAATTTTGGTAGTTTAAGTTTTAATACTGATAACTTGAATTTATATGTTATGTTATATTAATTTAATAATAAAAAAATTGATTATTATTAATTAATTTTTAATCATTAACCATAGAAAATTATTACTTTTCTTAAGGAACAGAGTTCGGAAGAAGAAAAAAATGAAATTTTACCAGAATGTATTTCTATAATATTAATAAAATAAATAAAAAGCAATTTAGTGTTAGGCTGCTTTTCAATTAAAACCATGTTATATGGTGATTTAAATTATAGTTTAATACTTTTATTTAGTTGCAATTTAATGTTTAAAAGAAAAGCAGTTAATTATTTTGAAAATATGAAATAAATTGTATTATTATTGTTGTAAATTAGAATACGTTATTATTAGCCCTGATTGAAATTCACAACATGAAAGGAGGAATTTTAATTTAGTCCTATGATGGAATGATAAATTAAGTTTTACAAATGTTATTAAGGTTACATTAACACTGAAATTGACAAGTTTAATTAAAAATAAATACATTGGAATATTAAATATAAAAATTCATTATAAATCATAAAGTAAGATTAATTGATTTAATAATTATTTTATTAAAACATGATATACACTCTAACTCCTAGCTAAGCCTAAATTTCAATTAAAATCGATAAGCCTGCCTATTATCCTGGGGAGATTATAAAAGGTGTGATATATATGAAAATCAAAACAAACGACATTGATGCAGGTCTCATGTATTTAAAGGTAAGAATGCTTATCGAGCTTATATAGCTTTGTTGTTAAGAGAAAGTCAATTAATTAGACTCATATAACTAATTCTTTAGTTTTAAATAATTCATATATAAAAAATTAAAAAAAATCACTGATTTCGGAAAGTAAAATTATGCTGATTATTAGGAAAATGCCTATGATTGCCTGCAAAAAATATTTTGAGTTAGAAGTGCCATCTTTGTACCCAAGTTTTACAATTAATTATTATAAAACGGTTCAATGTAGAGTTCTTTATTTTCTCACCATCAATTTATAGAATTAAGATGGACAACTTTAATATAAAGTACCAAAAAAACATAGAGTCGTAGTTCATGTATTAGAAAAATTGCCTATTATTAATTAAATTCCAATAGAAATAGAGAGAATCTCAAAGGCGCACAAAAGATTGTGCTTTTCAACAGAAGTAAAGCCATCTATAAAATTTAGAAAACAAAAATAAAAATTTAGCTTTAGAAAATATAAAATATTTTTGGAGATAATATCCCCTTGATTTTATCAGTAGATAATATGTAGTCAAATATTGGCATATAAAAATTTGAAATAAGAATTTCATCCTAATTAGTAGTGTTGTATAAGGAATAAAAAAGAAAATTGTCAAATTATTTTGAAATTTTTAAATTAGAAATAAATGGTATTTTTAGTTATTTTATTTTAGAACAAATTAAATCGCATTAAAATAAATAGATCAGCCTCAATTTAATTTTGCCCATTGGTAATGAAGCTAATTAAACTTCTTTTTTTCCATAAAGTACAATAAAAACCAAACGAATAAGTTATTAATATATTTTAACAGTGAATGTAATTTTTGACAAATTCCTTTTTTATAAAGTTGATAATCTTGTGATCTCTGCTCCATTAATTTTGATTTAAAATAAAAAAAGAGAGAAAACCAATATTATATAATCCATGGAAAACTTAAGCAGGATTGGGTAAATGGGTGAACCAAGTTCAAGATTAAATATGAGTTAATTGAATAACTTCATATATGGAGATCATAACTTTGCTGGTTACGGTGAATAAGATGGTTATAAAGGACCTGAAAGAAAATATAATCCAGTAGAAAGCCTGGATGAATTAGCTCTAAAGGATATTAAGGGTGCATTGGAAGAATTAATGGGTAAGAAAGAAGATGAAGAAGATAGTGAAATTGATGAAAATTTCTTAGAAGAAATAGTTGGAGCAAGTAAAAATACAATCAGTATGAACTAAATATCCTTATTCGAATAGTAAAAACAAAGAACAATTTTTAAATAAAATTAGAAATATAATAGTGACTTTTCTAATTTAAATAACGAGGAATTCAAATAAGATTATTGTAACTAAATAAATTTGCATACAATAAAAGAAGAATAGGACAGTAGTGGAACTTAATATAATTTAAATAATGCTAAATATAATTCTTAAATTCGTAAACATGATTAAATAAATGAATACTAAAGAGATTTGAAGGATAATTCTAAAATTGAATAACTTGAATCTTTTAACAATCAATAGGATAAAATTAATTTTGATTATATTTCAAATAACCAAAATTTTCCAACAGATCCTTAAAACAATAAAAGATAAAAAAATAATAATAAAAATCCAATAACGAGCAAAGAAACTGATTAAAAACCATTAAGCAAGTTTAAAGGTTAATTTAATGACTAAACTTAAATAAGCTCTCCAAGAAATAAAATGAGAGAAAAGATTAGCTTATAAAATTAAAAAAATTGAAAATCCATGATATTAAATTTGAAATATATATTTGTTAATCATTTAAGCTAATGTTTATTGCAATCAATCCAATTATTATTAAACTTATATGATATTACGGCTGTGCCTTTTTATTTTTATTTCTTCATCAATAATATCTTGGCTTTCTAAAATTTAAGATTTGTAAGCATCATTTAGATCTAATTCTATAAAAATGAATTTTATCTGGTTTATCAAATCAAAATTTTTAAAGAACATTGAATAGATAATAAAACCAATTTGGACTTCAATATCAATTTTCGTCAAATGGCAATACTATTTTTCTATAGCATTATATTGAATTAACTCAGTAAAACAACAATTAAGGGAAGAGTATATCTTTTTTTTAGAATCAGTTATGACTTTATAATTAATTTTTGCTTTTGTCATAACTATTATATAACGATATATAAATATATAATGAATCAAATCTCATCGATTTCATCATTTAATTTCTTGAGTTAATTATTCTATGGAGTCTCTGGTTCCTCTTTAATTACACCTAGTCTTTAGGAAAAGCATAATTTTTGTTACTACTGCTGCTAAGCTGATTTTTATTATTGAGCTGATAATTATTGTTTTTCTTCTAAAGCCTCGAATGAGGAGTTGCTGTCACAGAAATTGATAACATCAAAAAGGTCTTTGACTTCATCTGTACCCAACTTAGTAGTACATTTGGTAAGATTAATTGAATGGATTGATTATTAAAAGTGAATCGATTTGTCCCTGATTTGTTAACTGGTTTCTTTATAAGCAATAATGATTTATCCATGAGTTTTAGTTAGATCTCTTTTATCAATAAATTATTCATTAGAATTAGAAACAGATTATTGTAATATTTTCATATTTGCTTACATAGACCTTAAAATACCCAAAAGTGGTTTCTCACTTAACCCTAGAACGATGTCATCTTATGATCTCATTTTTTGATCCTGAGAGAAAATTTTAGGTTGATAAAGCCAGGGATGAAGTAAAGCCTCTAATTTTTTATAAAATATGATTACAAGCTGAAGTCAATCTTTGGTCTGGATTCCACTTCAATATTCTTTTGATAAAGTCAATGACTAAAGGGGGTAATTTAAGAAATTCCGGTTATTGAAAATGGCTGATGTATTCTGATTAAGTTGAAAAACTTTCCATTTGATTTTCTTAATCTATAGGTAATTTGCCACATAGCATTTGATAACAAACAACTCCAATAGCCCAGACATCAATCTTCTAGGAATAGCCAGCACCTACCCACAATTCAGGAGCTTGATAGGGCATAGTTCCAGTTACTGTCCACATGAGGTTATTTTTGATGTCTTTGAAATTCTTTTCTGCCACAAGGAATCTTTTTGAAACACCAAAATCAATTAACTTAATGGTGTTGGTGTCATTATCAAAAACAATGTTATCTGGTTTGATGTCTCGATGACATAATCCAACTTTATGAATGTATTACACAGCCTCAAATAATTATCTCACGATTAAACAGGCTTCATTCAAATCCAAAGTCTGTCTTTCCTTTAATATATGTTAGAGACTTGGATATGGCAAATACTCCATCACTAGATAAGAGCATTCCATATTTGGGTCAATGTAAAGCATATTGGTTTTACAAATATATGGGTGATTTAAAGCCACGGTGTTAAGGAATGTTTATTTCATAATTTCAGTTATTTCTGGATCTGCATTTCTTGAAATTTTGACAGCATATGTTTCGTCTGGGTTAGTTATTTGCCAACATTAACGTACAACTGCATGAGCTCCTTCACCCAGAATTTTTCCAATTTGATAGATATTTTTGAATGATTGCTTCATCTATTCAAATTGTTTCTTGTTTGACAAATAATCAATTATTTTGGGGTTATTCTCTTTAAATTCGCTTTAACTTGAAGAATGAACATATTCCAATATTTATGGGCATTGATTAATAATTTCTTAATCATTCTATTATTATTAATTCTCATTCCTGAATAAATTGACTTTCAATTTATTTCTTAACCTCTCAAAGTTTCCTTTTTTGTCCATTTTATTGTTATTTACTTTTTTTTATATAATAAAACCAAAATTTATTGTTTTAGAGGATTAATAAAAATTGATAAAATCCTCAATATTATTAAATCCTAATGATTACTCTAACTGAAACATTCTAATTACAACTTGAAAGATAAAATAAGTAATAAATCTTTTATTTTATTTAATGATTTGCTTACTAAAATTCCTACTTTTAATTTAAAAGCAAAATAATTCTTAAAATTTTGGTTATTTCAATTTCAATTCAGAATGTTGAGATTCATAATGGTTTTATAAAATCAAAGATTAATAAACAATTTATACTAAAAAAATTGAAGATCTATCTCGCATTTCACAACTTTTTAACCAGACATTAATATTTAAATAAGACTAACAACTATGTTGATGTTTCTATGTTTAGAAATTTGGATTGGAAATGATTTCATTGATTTTTGATATTTTGTTTAATTAGAATAACTCCTTTATTTGCTGCAACCATAAATTACACATTTATAATTTTTATTAAGAAAAAATAATGAATGACTTTTGATTACAAAGTTATGATCATTTTGATCTAGCAAAGCCAACCCTATCGTTATCTCTATCATAAACAGAATAATATTTGCTTAAGAAAGTGTCACCCAAAATCCAAGCTGGCCCTTGAGGGAAAGGAATGTCTAAGGGCATAAATGTTCCTATACATTCACAACCTGCACCCATTTCCAAGAAGCTATCTGTAGATGCAAAAGATCCATATGCAATCTAATTATATTATAAACATATTTACTTCATTTCCATATGAATCTATCTTCATTACATAATCATGTGCATCAAGATCATAATGAATTCCATCCAACACAAATGTTAAGGTTGGTAATTCTTTAAGATTCTTGCAATTATCATCTATATTAAGAGTATCAATCAAATCATATAAATCATCAGATGGACCTGTAATCAGAGATGTGCCAGTGTCTGCTATGACACTGCAACCTCCTTTACATAATCCAACATCCTTTCCATTTACCAAAATGTTATTAGCCTCCAATAGCCAGTAATACTTATTTGCCACATTATGAAAATGCAATTCACCTTCAAAATGATCTTAATTCCATCCTCCCAATGTTAGTTCTGAGGTTCTAGAGTTCTCTTATCTTGAAAAGTAGAATGAAAACACATTCCTATCCAACAATTTTTATTGCATGATATTATCAAATAATGGATTAAAATGATAGGCAGCCATTGTTGGATATGCTAAACCGACTATACCATCAAAATCAGATTAAGCAAATACATCTCCATTTTCCCTAACTATTTCTGCGAACTCTTGTTTTCTAATCTTAACATTTCCGACATAGGCAGTATCTGCATTGATCTTTTAATTTATTTATCTTTTATACCTCTCCCATCAATTCACCAGTACCAAATTCAACATCCAAATCATAACCTAAATGCTCATAAGTCAAACTCTTTTAGCCATCGTATTGTTTATGATTCTTGCAACCATAATCGTGACATCTAGCTGAATTCAACCAAATATTAGCTGATCCAGTATCAAATATAACCTATTTTAGTAATAAATTCTACTTTAAATTTATTTTCTTATCCTCCAAAACTAATTTCACCAGTATATTAAGTATTTTTAAAATTATATAATTTTATGCTCTCCTTCTGTGTTGTTTATGTCAATGCAATGTCATCCATTATATCACTCTTAGATCTAAAATGCTATCCTGTTGTTATGAAATCGAAAAACGATTTTCTAGCCTAAGATTGAGTTCGCTCCAATTTAATTGAATAAATTTTATTCTGCATTCCTGGTTGCTCCTCCAAAAATGAAGCACAATAGGTTGACAAGACCAAAATGGAAATAAAGTAAACTTATTTCATTTAATATTTAATGTTTTCCTTTAAAAACGATAATTTTTACCATAAAGTGAATTAACAGAATCAATAATCAAATCCGTATTTTACTAATTTAACAAACTCTAAAAAACCTATGAATCTTATTATATTATCAATATTAACTGCTATCATCATAAGAAAGATCATCCATGCATGATAGCTTAGTTGTCGAATTTAAATAAATTATATTTTGTATAATGAAAATTTAAAAATCATAGTCTAATTCCATAAAATTATATAAATAAATAAGAAAATTACAATAAATCAACCACAAATTAATTTATTAGAATTAAATACAACCATAATACTTAAACATTGATTTTGAAAGTGTAAACTCCTTTCAAACTTCACACTTTTTGTTTCTTATTCTCTCTACTTGTCTATAAATTATTTAAATGGCTCAGTTTATTAAGTATTTTTAATCATCAGTTTACTGATATTTAACTACTACACTTTTTAATATTGATATTATTCTTCTGGAATCTGTGCTTTACATTGGCAATTTAAGATCTCTTAATATTCTTAAAATCAAAGTTCAAATTAATATCTTTCATTTTCAAAGTCAAATTCCTGAAGTAAATTTTAAATATATCTGTTAATTCTTAATATATTACTAGATCTGAGACTCTTGCTTCAATAAATATTTAGATATAAATCTATTTAATTGAACACTCAATATCTTAAAAGCGAAGAGATAAAAAATAATGAGATGGTCATTTTTTGATACTAATAACCAAATTTTTTCTCTTTCCCATATATTAAGTTAGATGAAGAAAGAAGAAAACAAAAAGAAATAGTAATTTCAAAGATTTATATTAGGAATATGATTACAATGGTGTTTTTTGAATTCTGCATTTAATTGATTGAAAGTTATTATTAAGAAAGGTTTACAAACACGATGTCAAACTATGCAAACCACAAAAAACAGAGATTTATTCTAATTTAAAGACCAGTCTACACTATAGCAAATTTTTATTTTATTTATCATTTTTAAGGAGAGTGTAACTTCCTCATAATTCCCAATTTTATAGCATTTTTAAGATTTTTACTTATAGACGATTCAAGAGAAACAATTCTAAGTTGCAATAATTGATTAATAACATAAATATTTTAAATTAAATTTGAATGTTTAAATCCTTTTAAAAAAACAAGAAGAGATTGAGGAAAGACAATAAAAATTTAAAATTATAAAAGATTCTGTTTATATAAGTTTCAAAGGATTCATACTAAATGATCTATTTTCACACTTGAATTAAATTAAGAAGCAAATTGATCAATTAATTTTTGAGTGTCAATTCTTTATTTGTTGAGTCTCTAACAATATTTTATTTATTACTTATATTTTTTCTTTTTTTACATAGTTTATGTTCTACCTTCGAATTTGATTGTGTTCTTCCTGTTATTCTGTTTTTAGATTATAGTTTTCCATTCTTCTACTTTAACCTAGACTAAATGCATTATTCATTCTAGTTTTATGAGCATTCAATTGCCATTTATCTTTGTTGTAGAGTGTACATTTGGGTATTTCTAATAATTTTCTGTTCATTAGATGGCTAGATTTAAAGTTTTTGTTAGGGAGATTAGGAATGAAATATTATAACTCATAAGGGATGTTTTTAAGTCTTTTGGCTCTCAAACTCTCTTATTTTGGAGTATAAAGATGGAGTTGGTTAGGACTGTTTATTTAAGTACCTGTGTGTTTGTGTAATCTCTTTTCAGTTTAATGACCTTTGTTGGTTGAAAGAATTCCTTTTCTTAATACAAAAAATATACTTGATTGTGATGTTGTTGTTTAGGCTTCTGATTCAAATTTGACACCTTGTTCCAATTAAGGCAAATGAAGAGTTAATTTCACTTTTCTTTCTGAATACATAATTTATTGATTAAAAGATGATTTCAGTGTATAGTTAAGTATAATACCAATTAAATATGATGGTGCATTTAAGTTGTACTATTTAATTAATACAAAGTGTTGAAGTAAATACTTGTCCTAATTTTGAAATAAATTAGAAAGTTAAATTGAACCTCTAAGAGATTTGAACTTCCATGAAACAGTTCATAATTGTTAATCTTTCTTATTATTAAAAAGTTGAAAATTTTGTTCAAATATGTAATACTATTGCTAACTGCATTAGTCTATATTTACATAGGTCTGTCTTCAATAGGATTGCATAAAGAAAGGACCCTTATGTGACATGTGTGTTGATAATCATAAAATTCATACGATTAAAAATTTAGAAGCATATTTGGATGATTACACAAAATACTTAAATATGGAGTATTAAGCATAAATATTGTAAAAATTAGAATAAATGAAATAATACTTTCATGACAAGATTTCATCATTATAAATAGATGTAAATTTTATAGATGAAAAGAGAAAAAAAGAAATAATTAAACAGTTGAAGCAAGAGAAAATGAGTCATCAATAATATCAATCAAAAATTATTGAATTAGTTCAAAGAGATTAATTAAAAGATAGAGAGTATTTAGAACAATTTTTTGAGCAAATAGTAGAGATTGAAAAGGATATTAAATCCTAATTTTTATAACTACCATAGAAACTAGTATAAGCTTAATATCGTCATTAACCTTCACAGCAATCTTAATAAATTATAAATACTAAATCAATTTTATCAAGCGAAGTGAGAGAGTTATCACCTTAATTATCAAATCGATCAAATAAATCCAAGGAACCCATATTCTAATAAAAATAAAGAAGTTAATCGCCACTTTCTAAACAATTGCTTTAAAGAGACTTGATGCCAGTTGGCTCATTTAATAATTCTAAATTAAAAAATTATTTCACTGAATAAGATTCATAATTATCTCTATAAAATTCATTCAAAATTACCAAGCCCTTTGACATTGATAAATCATCAAGCAAGCAAAGTAGAATTGAAGGAGACAGGTAAAAATCAAAATCATAAAATGCTTCATTTGATTAAATTAAGCAACTTGAACCTTTTAGAAATACTTAAAAATCATAAAATATTGAAGTTTCTGCATTTTAATTTGAGAAACCAGAACAATCCGATTTATTATATCAAAAGTAGAGTTATATAAGATTTGTTCCACCAGAATAGCAATAACAATAAGTAGTTGGTTATTTTACGAATCAATAGACCTCGCCTCAAAAAGAAAATAGCTAATTACATCAAAAGCAGCCTTCAAATATTAAACCATAATATTCAATGAAAGATGAAAAATAAGTCTAATAAAGTTCAATTCCATATTAAAATGAGACCTACTTTGAATTGCAATAAAGTTAAATCAATCAACCTTAAAATTTCGACGTTAGCTAATAATTCTAATTCACTTAATTTGTTGGTACTTAATAAGTTTAAACTCCTTAATAGAGTATTCTTATAAGAGAATAGGAAACAAATAATTTTTAAAATGGCATGAAATAGTCAACATAATCGGCAATTTCAGGAATATATAATGAAAATAAATCCCCATAAGATATGTCCTTCATTAGTTCAAAGTATATTTATCAAGATTATTTAGATCAATAGTTACTCCTTAAATAAAAGTAACATAGAATTTGCCCAATCCTTTTAAAATAGAAAAAGACTTAACACTCAAAATTCATGATAAAAGCGTCAAGGATTTATGTTTTATGGATGATGATAAAATAATTACATGTTCAAAGGATATGACCATAAAAATTTGGGATAAGTATTGTTATGATTTTATTAGTAAGGAGAACTAAATAATTAAAAATTGAATTGAAAGATCATACAGATTAAATTCTATGCATTGCATTTTCTGAAAAAAGAATAATAGCCAGTGGATCTGTGGACAAAACAGTTAGAATATGGAAACCTACTCCATCTTGGAAAATTGCATTTGTTTGCTAAGGACATTCAGAGAGAATAAGATGTGTAGAGTTTGTGGGAAATTTTATTGCTTCAGGATCAGATGATACAACTTTAAAATTATGGGATTTAGATGGCTAATTATAGCATTCTTTCAAAACGAATGGCAGAATTAGTGCAATGGCTATAGATAAAAATCTAATTATAGTTGGGAGTGGTAAAAATATTCTGGTGTTGGACAGTAAGACCAAAAACAAATAGTAGGAAATCATAGGACATAAGAATTTGATTATGTGCTTATTGCTTAGTAACTAGAACTAATAGAGTAAGTTAATAAGTGGATCGAAAGATAATTTTATTAAAATATGGTCTTATCCGAAGATGCAGGAAATTAGAAGTTTAGAAGATGATTATTCAATTCAATCTCTGTTCTTTGATCCCATTTCTTCATATCTTTATGCTGGCCTAATGGGATTTGAATAAGAAGGCAAGATTTCAATTTGGAAATTGGATGATCAACCAAAAAAATAATAGGAGATCATTTCGAATCCATATGGATGCAACAAAGTCTTGTATGATGGGATATATCTCTATAGTGCTCATGAGAATAGAAGGATGGAAATTTATGTTATTAATGAACTCTGATATAAATATTATTCAATATAATTTTAATTGGGATTATTTATTCTATATTATTAAATTTATTAGATTAAGAAATTTATGCAAATTTAAATAGAGAAAAAGAAAAATTCTTTATTTACGTAAGGCGTTAGTTATGTTGTGTGGAAAACCATCGTTAATATCTTTAGCTTATATGCTATTGTTTAAGTATCCTTAGCGTTATTTGATGAACAATCGTATAAGTTTTAAAATAAAGGAACCATTTTTCTCTTAATTCGACTGTTAATAATTGTATTTAGATAATAGTTAATTAGATCGTTCTATTTGCAGATATTTTTATAAAATTCAATGTTTAGCAAATTATAGATAAAAATGTAGTCATAAACAAAAATAATGAATTTTCGAAAAAGTATTTGCTATTTATATTTTGTTTTGACTTTTTACCTGCTTTTTTTGTTCTGTTTCAAACACTATTTTATTTGCCAAATTACATAGCAGTATTGATATTTTTGAAAGTTATATCATTGATAGATGCTGATACATACACCCAGTAATAATTGCTTTATCATGCATCAATATATTTTGTCTACAAGGTATTGAGATTGATAGTAATCCTCCTATTTGTATTCAATTGTTTTGGTTGTCTCTTTTATTTAATGGGATTGATTGGACTGAACTCAGATGAATTAAGTTGGCTTGATTTCTCAAAGAGTTATAGTGGAATTATAGTTAAGGATCAAACAAGAAATACAAAATACATAATATCTACATATTGGGCAGTTGAAACTCTCACATCCATAGGTTTTGGCGACATAACTCCTCTGAATACCTATGAAATCTTTATAACAGACTTGGCACTCTTTGGATAGATGTTTGTTATTGTTTACACAGTCTCCTACATAGTTTCTCTATAAGACCAAAGAAATCCATATGATAAGAATATGTATGCCATAAAAAAGTTCATGAGAATAAAAAATATATCTAGAGATGTTGTAAACCAAGTCTCCATTTTTCTTGAATAATACTTTTATGATTTTAAGAGGAGAGATCAGCAATCTGAGCAAGATGTCATGAGAAAACTAACCAAGCATTTACAATCTAAACTATTATATCAAGCCTATTAAAATCAATTGTTGAAAATAGAGTGGCTATTTAATCGATTTTCTTTGCCTTGTTTATAAGATATTGCATGCAAAATTAAAGAAGTATAAGTTATTTCTATATAGTTATGTCTAGGAGCTGACTAAATCATAGAATAAGACATCTATGACCCTAAATTATATATAGTAGTCAATGGTTAGATTAACTTAACATTAAATGGAGTCTTAATTAAATCCATTGAAAAAGGTGGCAGTTTTGGAAATTATGAGTTTGTCACTGGAATTCGTTAAAGATCCAAAGTTGCCAAAACAGAAACCTACGCTATCCTTTATTATATTAGCAGATTGGATATGCTTGAGTGTTTATAAAACTCCTTTGAAGACTATCAGAAATTTTAAGAGATATATGATCAAGTGCTTTACGAAAAAAAACTAGAAACTATAGGACTGTATTGCTTGTTATGCAAAAGTACATCTCATTTGACTTAACAATGCCAATAAATCAATATAAAAGAAATGATATAAGACTTTGAATAAGTGAAAATATAATAGAGATAAAAGTTTAAGAGATCTACTAAGCGTCATGATACTCAGAATGCTCCTAAGGACTTTTTATAATATAAATTTGACTTAAAAGTGGATTACCAGAACCTAAACATAGATCAAAAGTGTAAAGCTTATAGGAAAATGCAATTCATACCTTTTGTGATGAGGATGGAGAAGACAAAGGTGGATCCCTTGAGAATAATTCGAGATGTTATTGAAGAGGCAAATTAAAAGAAGGAATTCAAAATATTGCGTGCATTACCCATAATAAATTGTTCTAGTTCATTTGTGGATATATGGAACTATTTCATTTTTATCAACACTTTGATTTTGTTTACTCTTGTTCCTCTAATCATTTTCTTCTATATAGATTATGATTCATTTAAATTGAACCCTTTTTTCAAGGGAATGAGATATTATTATATGGTACTCTTATTTTATTAAATTAGGCCATCCTATTTTTAGATGTCATTTTAAAATTCAATATCAATTACTACTTCTTTGGGGCTCTCATCACATCTAGAAAATAGATAGGATTGAGATACTTATCCTCATACTTTGTATTTGATACGATACCAGTGCTGATATTACTGTATTTTGATTTCATCTCCACATACACTATAGTTTATCTTCTCATTTTATTTAAGGCAGTATCATTCTTCAAAATTGAAAAATAAATCTAGGAGAGATTGAAGCTTTACCCATCTAAATATAACTCCTATTTGATTTTTAAGATGTTCATAGAAGTTCTCTATCTATAGCACTTCTGGGCTTGTATGTATTTTGCAGGTGGTGAATATATGTACTATAATTACCCTGGTACAAAGACGTGGTTAAATGATCCCAAAAGTCACTTCGGATCGATCATAACTTTGGATTACTCAAAATAATATTTAGTCTCCTATTATTGGGCAGTCAATGTAATAACAACTGTAGGTTATGGAGACATTTACCCATTAAACAATATGGAATGGTTTATTAATGATTTAGCCCTTATTTCAGCCATAATGATAGCAGCAATCAACATAACAAATATTGCATTTATTAGAGCATCCTCCAATCAAAAAGAGCAAATAAAAAATAAAGTAGCTATAAGTGAATTTATGAGATAAAATCTAATCTCTAAATAAACAAGAAACTTTATTTTAAAATATTTGTTGAATAGCGAAATCTTTTATGATTACAGAAACACTGAATTAGAATTCAAGACCTTTGGAATGCTTCCCAAATCTTTGAAAAGCAAACTGATGGATCAAGCTTATTCTTCTGTTTACTCTAATTTATGGTTGAATGTATTCGATACAGAAATCATTGCCTAAATTGCCTAAGAAACTAAAGAAGTAAATAATACATAATCTATATTAAAAGGCCTTTTTTAGTGCTCATGAAAATATCTTCCTAGATAATGTTATTGATAGTGATTGTTCTTTGTATTTTATTGAAAAAGGTTGCATCTAATTGTTTTTCAATTTACCAATATCTAACAAAGAGGAGACACTTATTGCTAAACTGAAAGCAAAAGAATCTTTTGGACACTACTCTTTTGTAACTGGAATGAAGCGTTAAGGTAGTATATTAAATAATAAAAGCTTCTGCCAGAAGCTATAAGCATGCTCTATTGATCTATTTGGAGAGAAGTAACTTTTTGAAGGCTCTGCAAAATAATCTTAAGTAACTTGCTTTGTTTGAATAAATTAAGTATGAGGTCCTTTTTCTTAATAAGTTGCAACACTTTAAGATCAAATGCTATACTTGCTAATCAAGTGAACACATGAGTATTTCCTGTCCGTTGACATAAATCAAGTAAAATATTATGTTGACATTCAAACCAAAAGAGAAGATGAATTTCATTTAATAAAGAGAGTATCTAAAAAGAAATAAAAGAATCATTAATTAAAGATTCAATTGGGAAATCGATAAGCAATTTATAAAGAACTCTAACAAGAGACCTTTCAAAGAAGTCTTCCAATAAGTAAATTTTATTATCGATGAATCCAACTCAATGTGAATAAGGATTTTAATCTATAATTATTAATAATTTTTATATTTGATTATTGATTTAGCAAATAATAAATTAAAACTTACTTATTTTTTTAATACGATTGTATGTAGAATTTAAAAATCGTGAATTCGTCATGCCTTTATTTTCACTCTCGAAGAGATCAAGACAATTAGACTCTTGGATTTTTTCTAGAATATAACTTATTGCTGTTGTTTATAGACTTGTTCATAAAAAGCTGTAATAAATTGCTATGCGTAATAATTAACATACTCTTATTTAATTCAGATGAAAAGCTATTGTGCTACAAAAATATCTTATTTTATTAATTGTAAATATATATAATTGATAAATCTTTATTTTATATTAATTAATATATGTTCTCGTTTTAAGATTCCTGATTATAATATTAAATATATAAACTAAATTTATCAGAATATATTCAAAGACATAATAGTAATGATATTATAAACCTAGACAATGAATTAGATAAATTAAATGAATTTTCTTCAGCCCTATGGTTGTTGCTTTTATCCTTATCGTCCACAAATATATTATAATTGGCAAGCCGAGAACATTCAAGAACAAAATTCTGCTGCTACAACTTATAAGCAAGAAGTAGTATAATGGTATATATGGTTTTGATATACTTACAGGCTGTTCACTTTGGAATAATCTGAGTTGTATAAACTATTTCAGATAAAAGGATAAATAAGAACATTTCCAATAATGAAAATGTATATACATGATAAACAATTTCAGCCTTCGAATTATGCACTTCTTCAAAAGTTAACATTATTTACATATTTTGTAGGGCTACAATTAAATTAGAGTCTAAAATTGATGATAACTAGTTTATAATCAAAACGAGAGTCTCTCACAAAAAAACAGATGTATTAAATATTCTTAAAAACTTTAGGAATTATATGAAAAGCTGATGATTTTTGATGATGAAAATTTTCTAGATACAATTATAGTGAGCGAACCTCACTTAGAAAATTTGAGCAGCTTTCTTGAATTGTTAGATGAAACTAGTGATAAATATTTTCTTTCTACCTCTCCAAAATCGAATTTAGAAAAGGCAGAAGACCCTCTTTGGTTTCATTAGAATAGCTTTCATAGTTGTTCAGCCTGGATTATAAAGGAATTCGAGAAAAATATTAATTTTTATTACAACATACAAAGAGATAAAAAGAAAAAATATAGATTTTAAACATAGATGATAACTAGAAATAACTCCAAAGATCTACAGGAATACTTTGAAAAGAATCTGGCTCACAATAAAGAGAAAGTAAACATATTATTCAATTTTATTAGCTCAGCTATTATTTTGAATAAATATACACAGATATCAAAACCCATCCAAATGAATTGGATAATATCTTTTACGAAAATATATTTTCAGGGACTGCTATTAAATTAATCAAATCCTAGGTTGAACTCTCATCTAACTTTCAATAAAAATGTCACTCTGATGCCAACATCATCAATTCTATGTTAATCTTTTCAATGTCAGATTTATTAGATTAGAAGACTTATTTCCTAAAGAAATTCTATTAGATTGTGATTCAATTGTTTTAAGAACATTTGGAGAATGAACTATTCAACAGTGAATTATAAATTAAGAAGAAAAAAGACAAGAAAAAGTTAAAGAAAAAAAAGTCCGAAAAAATTGAATATAAGAAAACTCTTGATCCTATTGAATTGAATCAACGTCTCTCAAGCAAGAATTTATAAGACTCAAACATACTAAGATTTTCGAGATCGTATTCATAAAATAATTTTGCCTATTCTTATGTGACACCACCAAATACACCCTCAGCTTGGGAAAATAGTGATGATCAGAAGTATAAATTCTTATTTAATTTTAAGTGAAGTGAATGCTCAAAGCTGTCAATCTCAGAAATAACAGAAAAATGAAAGATAAAAAAATGTTTTAGAAAGTCAAAGTATTATTGAATTAGGATAAGCCAATATCTCTCAAGCCTTTGTAGAAAATTCGTAATATCCAACTAATGATGACTTTGTAGAATACACTCGAACAATAACTGCAAATATTTTAGAAATAGTATTTGGATCTTTGGCAGATGAATATGCATACAAAGATGAAGTGATAAAAGAGAAAAAAAAGATTAAGAAGAAATAGAAAACAGTTTGGAGATCTATCCCAGAAAGCAGAGACGAATAGATGTAACTATAATCTCCTGAATCTGAAATTACCAGATTCTCTGTAGAAACCTAGGCTTAAACTATAAGAAGTCTCTGCTCAAATAGAACTGCTTCTACATCAGAGGAGGAGAAGAAATAAAGATTGAAAACAAGAAAGTCTGCAATTCGATTTGAGTAATAGGAAACTGAATCAATCTCATCATCTAATTAGATATAGGATGGCAGTCTAAAGGAATAAATTGAAAATGTCTAATAAAGAGCACAATAGAAATTAATTGAATAGATTAGTTATGATATTGTTGAATTCACTGATAACATTATGAATGATTATGAAGAGATGTTACCCTTTAGACTTCTAGCTTTTGACAGAATTAAACTAGTAATTTAGAAGGTGTTCTATGGAATACCTGATGATATGATATAGTAAGAATATAATCAATATCAAGATTGTTTGGTTCTTGTGCTACTGGATTGGCATTAATTGATTCGGATATAGATATTGGCATTAGTGGATTTTAACCTATGAATAGAAATGTTATTAAGGCTCTTTTTGATAACTTATTTTTTGAATTCTCTAAAAGGAAATGGGTTATAAAATCTAAGTATGTTTATTGCATGAGTTTAGTCCCATTTTCAATTCAGTCGTCCCAGTAATTAAACTCGAAATAGATCCTCAAGTCTCTTAGACTGAATTCGAAGGAAGAAATCTAACTGATACAGATATTCAGAAGTGGAAAAAGCTGAAATTAAAGATAAAAAGTTGCATCAAAGTTGATATCTCGTTCAATTTTAGTGGAAGCACATATGATTCTCCTCATTCTGGTTTTATGACTACAAATTTAGTTAAATAATGGATGAAAGAATATCCAGTTATCTAATAATTGGTATTGATTTTGAAGAGCATGATAAAGAAATTAGGATTATCAGAATCATATACTGGTATATTAAATATATTTATGGTAAAGGTGGCCTCTCTTCTTACTCTCTAATAATTATGGTATATTCTTATCTAAGAGAAAATAGAGTAGCCTAAAATTAAATAGGAGAATACTTCATTGATTTGCTTAAGTATTATGTAAATGAATTTAATTCTACAACTACTGGAATAGGTCTATTGGCTGATATGAAAAATCCATCATCGAGGTATTCACTATCTAATATATATCTAATAGCTATTTTTTTAAGCTATAAGATTATTGTTTACCGTAATTACCAATAACGATTTTCAGTCCTTTGAATAGAAAACTACTAACTAATTCTTGTATTCACATTGGCAAGATATTTGATTTTTTTTAAGCGACTTTAAGTTAACTTGAACAAAAAAGAGAATTTTATTGCAACTACGTAATTTTAGGTAAAAAGAAGCAATAAAAATTGAATAAAACTTTGGGCAATTTTATCACTAACTTATTAGAATCAATTAAATGAAATGAATATTGTATATAGATTATATATTAGTTTTACTATGTGAGACTCTTTTAAAATAAATTATATATTATTAAATGGCTATTATTGAATCATACCTCTAGTGATACCATTGGGGAGTGTTTGATAGAAAAGTGATGATTTGAGAGGTTCCTTAGTTTTAAGAATATGAAATAGTATTTTCTGTAAATCATTATTATAAAAATGGGAAATTAAACTTTGTGTGCTGGTGAAGGGAATGAAGTTTAGGTTTAAGCAGAGATTAAGAACAAATAGAGGAAAGTGACCTACGTTCAACAGTTTGCCAAGTTGGATAATGAATAACCAAATAAATAATCATTAATTGCCACCCATTCAAGCGAGAAAATCTAAACTAACTCTCTTAATGATTGGCTTGAGACTCTTCATGAATCTGTACTAATAAGTTAAATTGATCACTAATGTTATGAGGCATCTACTAAATATTTCTCTGAAATTGATGATTCCGAAGACACTGATGATCCTTCGACTTCCACCATTGATCAAAAAGATCTTAATGAATATCAGAAGAACTATCCTTATTGTAATTCTATTTTGGATATGATAATCATCAATTTCTATGTCTTGTAAAAATATGAATTTAAGTAATTATTCACCATTTTATTATAGAATGAAACTTATTGGAGGGCCTCCAAAATAAAGAATGAGATGGTCTTGTTGGTAATTGATGGCCTACATTCCCAAATGCACTATACAATCTGATCATTTATCGTTTGTTGACGAAGATAAAAAATAAGTTTTTAAAATAAAAAAAGATACACATAGAACTGTTTCAACTAAAGATATTAAATACTTTGAATCTGGCCAAGGTAAATAAGACCTTGAAAAAGTATTGATTAAACTATCCAAATTATTTCCAAAACTAGGTTATTGTTAAGGTATGAACTTTCTAGCGGGTTTTACTTTGATCATTAATAACAAAAATGTCACTTAGAGTCTTTAATTCTTGGCTCAGATGATGATCAATCCGAAATTCCTAATTTATTATCTTTTTTCAGAAGAAATTCCCCTATTGAAATTACTTGAATTTATTTGCTAATAAGAAATTAAATTTAAGATTCCTGATCTCCATTAACATATTTATCATAAGTTGGAGGTCTCCAATGCATTTTGGCTTACTAAAATAATAATGACTATGTTCTTATACAATTTTCATCTCAACAATGTATGCAGATTCTGGGATTTCATTTTAGCAACAAATATATTTTAAATATCAACCATCATTTGCTCATTTCTCGAAATTTATAGAAATCAAATATTTCAAATGGATGATTTAAATGCTTTTATAATATGGTTTGATAAACACTAAAATGAAGAAATTCCTGATAGTCAAATGAACTATCTAATCTCAAAGTCTTGCAAGTAAATTATTAAAAAAGAAAAAATAAACTCCTATGCAAATTTATACTGCATAGGCCATACGAATAATCATCAATTGCAAATTGAAATTGCGAACGATTACCAAAAAATGACAGGAGTAAGAAACTTTATTAAAAAGGACATATTTGATTAATGATCTACATATATATATAATTGTAAAAACTTTAATCATTTCAATAAGACTTAATTTTTTTGGGAATATCTTAATTGATAGCATATATTGTATATATTAGAGAAGAACTAATGCAGAAAATTGTCCATTTTGGCATACATCTGAAATTTGCTATATATAGATTGATGTTAATTCATATGCTTCGATCTTCTCATTAAAGGAATAGATAGAACTTATGTTATGTAAAGATTATTTTTATTATTTTATAATTTACTAAATGGAAATTAATTAAGACACTCTGAACTTTTTATTTAAGGAATTATGTGCTATGGCTTTCTTATAACAAAAATCATAAAATGAATTAAATGAACTTTATCAATATTACACTATGCAAGAAGCAAGGCTAATAAACCAATTTTATCATTATTAAACGATCAACGAATAAGAATTGAAGTATGATTGGAATATTATACTTTAGATTAGTGAATAGATTTATGGCAAGAATTTCAGAAGCTTTCTAATTGATGATGGCAAAAAGGTAAATTATAAGATGCAAAGAATCTAAATTTTAACCATCTATATATAATTGTTTAACTTAAACTTTTGAAGGGAAGAATAGTCTAATTTGTCAATTGATTTAAGCCATTTATGGTGAGTGCAGACTTTAGATTGAAGTACTAACAAATAAGAACCAAAAGATTGAAGTCAAAAGAGTAATTCTTAATCAATATTAAGATACACAGTCAAGATAACAACAATGATGAAGAGAAACTTCAGAATCAATTCTATTCAGTTTAAGTTACAAACAAGAAGAATATTTAAAATGATTGGCAAGTTAATATGAAAAACAATAAGAAGTTGAACAATTACTATTTGAAAGTATTCCCTAAACTATATGATGTGATAAGCAGTGTCGACAAGTATACAATACAATCATAATATATAGAAGTCAAGATGAATAAATCCTATATTTCTAAAACAGAGACTAGAATATGGATAGAATATTCAATTAGTTACTTTAATAAAATCAACATATCAAATAATCATTGAATTGGTCAGTCAATTTGGATCAAGAAGTGTATAATAATAAGATTGAATAAAAATTGCAAAAGATAAAATTACAATAATTAATCCCAAGCCATTAATTATCAACTCAATCATCTCCAACTAAGCCTTCGCAACCATCAAATAAATCAATTAAATAAAATGCTCCCACAAGTCCATTCAAAAACAATGGCATTAATAATAGTCACAATCCAGGTAAGATGCCTTCAATTAACGTTAAATTTAGGAGTATTTCACAAAATGTTCCAATGAGTGAAACTAATTTTAAAAGTTAAAATAATTTCCTTAATCCACAGCAATTCTAAGCATAATAAAATTAATAATAATAACAATATTATTCATCGGAAATAGAAAAATCGGCTTTGTTTTCAAAAATAATAGAAAACTATAAATAAAATTAATTTCAATTAAATAAAATTAAAATAGAATTTAAACCTAAAAGATAACATTGCTCAGTCCTGAAAAGTAAATTAATGATTGATCTCATCCCACTTCATAATTCAAAATTAAAGCCTAAAGCGACTCGACATTTATTATAATAAGTTCCATCAATAATCAATTGATCCTATTCTTTATATATCGAAATTTTTTTTAACCATATTAATTTATCAATTTAAATTTAAGAATTATATTAATTAATAGTTGCTTTTTATTTAATAAAAATACTTGACATTAATTTAATAAATATGTTCTATAATTATTCAATTTTAGTAGTTTGAGAATTTTCAACAAAGAATTGATATCTAATAGCGATAAAATAAAAGATAATTAGACTGGAATGAATATACCAGAAGTAAAGAAATTCTTTACTAATATTACAGTCTTTAATTCAAAATAATAGTTTGCAACCAGGATAGTAAGTAATCGGGGATGGATAGGATTAAAATATTCAAACTGACTGCCATAGGCAAAATTAAGCGAGTAAGAATATTTTTAATAATGAAGATGAGGCAAATTTCAAAATATTGGTAACATTATTAAGTTAGATTAGGCAATTTCAAGTAAGATATTTATATTACTATATTGAGAATGATATACAAATGATAGAGAAGAGTTTAAAACCATTTTTTATTCTTTAATTTATCGCAATAACTCATCGATTTCCTAATAAAATAATTAGTTTACTGTTAACTAGAAAAAGGATTAGTTTATATTTTATAAGGAGATTAAGTTAATTACTAAATAATTATTAGGCCACTTCTTACTTTATTATAGAGAAGGGATAAGTAGAAGTTATAATTAATGAAAAATAGGTTAAAATGATATCAGAAGGAGATTATTTTGGAGAGAGATTGCTTTATTGTATAATACAACTAGAAGTGCATCAATTAAAACATCAGTATTTATACTATTATATATGTTTAGCTGACTGTAAATTTTGGATGCTAGACGGAATAACCTTTAGAAAGGCAGTTGAATCTATGATGAAAGTAGGGTATGAAGAGAATAGAAAGTTTATAAACAAAATTGAATAATTCTCCTTTATGACACCCTAATAAAAAGATTCAATTGCGCATTCATTAATTACTACTAAATTTGAACCCGAAGGTTCAATTGTGAATGAAGGGGATTAGGCAGATTCATTTTTATAATTAAGACAGGAACACTTGGAGTTTACGTAGGGAATAAATAAATTAATACTATGGGTCCCTTAGACTGTTTTGGTGAACAAGCTTTATATCATAAAAGACAAAGAGGAACATCAGTAAAAGCTGTTACAGAAGTCAAATGCTTATCTTTGGGTAGAGATAATTTAACTAAGGTATTGGGGGATCACATTTAGTTGTTTATCCACAAAAATATTATCAGATGGACTATTATTTGGAAAAAGTGATATTTTAAATTAATTAAAGAAATTACATTAAGGAAAGATTACATAAGAAGCTTAGATTTAGAATTACAATAAAGGGTCAGTTATATTGAAAAAAGATACTAAATTTGAATAATTAGTAATTGTACTTGAAGGATCTTTGTAAAGTGATGATGACAAAATAGGAAAAGGAAATTATTTTGGCTATTAATTTCCGCCCAAAAAGAGAAATAATGATATAATAAAAGTGATTATATAATGATTACTGACGGAGTCTTAGCAACGATTTAATTTACTTAAATATTTACAATATTTGGAGGCGATTTTGAAATAGCAATCTAAGGAAAATTTGAAATACAATAATAATACCTTCCTATTAAAACAAACAATTCTTATATTCAGATAGAGAATCTTATCTTTATTAAGAAATTACCTCCAGTTTAATCTAAGGTGCTTTATTTAGTTAAGTATAAAATTAAAATAATTATTATGTACTGAAATGCATAAATATGGCTAAAATTTTGTAGGAAAAATTGCAAAAACAACTTTTATAAGAGAAGATAATTCTAGAAATTAGTAATTTTCCATTTATTTTGGAATTTACTAGAACATTCAGAGATGAAACTTCTATTACTTTCTTTTCTAATATATTGCAGGAGTTGATCTATTCGATGCAATCAGGTATATGGGTTTATTAAGCAAGGAAGTAACTCAATTTTATGTTGGAACTATAATATTATGTTTAGAATACCTCCACTCAAATGTAATTGTCCATAGAGATCTGAAACCTGAAAATTTTATAATTAATCCTGAAGAGAGATTGGTTTTAGCTGATTTTGGATTTGCAAAGCAGATTGGTCAGTCTTAGGGATAAAGAGCTTTTACACTTATAGGCACTTCCCATTACATGGCTCCTGAGATCATTGGAGGTAAGGGTTACTCTTATAATGTTGATTTTGGAATTTAGATGTTTGCTTTTATGAATTTCAATGAGGAGTACCATATGGCGAAGAATTAGATGTATTCTTTATATTTTATAGTAGAACCCTTTTGAGATATATGAGTTCATCCTAAATAACGAATTAATATTTCCTAGTTTCTTAAAAAAAGATAAACAAGCTATAACATGCATAGAATAGTTATTATCTAAATAACCTGAAACTAGATTAGGAATATCAATTGTGGATTTGAAAACTCATGCTTGTACAACCAGTAATTAATACCACCTGTATGAAAATTTGCATTAAATCTTAGTTTATACCTCCTAAAAAAAGAAATTATTTCTAATTCCGAGATTGAGACTTAAATTGAATAAGGCAAATTGATTTTATAAGAGATTGAGGAGCATTAGTAATAAAGCAATATTTTATAAAATTAAGAATGAGGAATAGATCTTAATTGGGATTAATCATTTTGATATATAGATATAAGATCTAATTATATTAAATATTTTTATTGTAAATGTACACTATATTATTTTGACTCATTTCTTGGTTTCTTTGGCTTACTTTCTTTTCTCTTTAACTCCCACAAATTTAGCATTGTACCATTCTTATCTTAATCTTCTATAAACGCTTTTAGCTCTTAATTCCTTTGAAATCACAGTAGCCTTTTCTCTCTTTGGTGTTCTTTAGAAAGTGATGACCTATAGGTTATTAAAGTCAATTTTACTTCTGGATTAGTATTTTATGTGACTGGTTGAGCAACAACGTCGTTGGCAGAGTCTTTGACAACTCCATTCTTTGGTTTACCAGCAACTCTTGGGAATAAGACTAATTTTGACAAATATGCCTTAATTCTTTTAACATTAGCTGCCAATTCTTCTTAACTGTTATTTCTTCTTCTGTGATCGACAGCAATACCAACTGTTCTGGCGAATTATGCATTAAGTCCTGCTTCTTTCAATTCAATGAGTGAGAATCCTCTTCCCAATTTCTAAACTCCATTGTACTTAATGGTTTGGCCTCTTACAACTGGTCTGAGTAACTCCACTGGTCTTGGAGATGCTCCTATTTAATTTGTTTAATTTTTGATCTACTTAATGCATTTGCTTATCTTCTTTGTTGTCTTCTTCTCTTTGCAGCTGGTTGATTGTAGAAGGTCTTGACGAATCTTGTCCAGTGCTTTCTTAAATGGGCATTTGGGAGTTGTTAATTATGCTTCATTTTTAGAAATTTAAAAAATAAATATATGGATATTTAAAAAATATATGAAATGTCTCAAATGAGAAATATTCAATATAAAAAATCATTTCTTTCAAAGTTAAGTAATCATCTTCAAGGATTGTCTAAACATATAATTAACTAATTTACTTCATAGAAGGCTTTCGATTTTATTTTCTTTCGGTGGTAATTGGACTCTCTTTATTGTCTTATCCTTTCCCTTGTATTATTTCTAGTGTTTTCAACTGAGAAATTGAGTTCTCAAAGTGCAATTCTGTTTTTTTGGTCTTATTCTCATCAAATGTCTCGACGAGTTTTGGTTAAATCATAATATATGCTTTTTAAGTTTGGACTAACTTATTCTCAGAAGGAGATTTCTTCATAACGATGGAGTCTTGAGACTTGTCCCTAAAAGAGAGAATATAAATAGATAATTTTACAATGTATTTAGAATGAATGATCTCGTTTAGTGATGAGTACGACTAGATGAAATTGTTTTTGATGCTTTCATAAAATGATAGCTGAAATTAATAAAAATAAATTAATTTACAAAATTTGTATGAAAAAACCACTTAAAGAACCTTTAAGACTCTCACTATGGAATTCTTAATCAATTTAATTTATAAAATATTCTTTCATACTTTAGGAAAATTTACTCGGTATTTTTCATTATAACATAAATACGTATCCCCTATCGTCATTTAAAAATACTTATTAGAATATAACTTTTAATTAATCAATACTGCAATTCATGATAGAACTTTCAATATCACTATTATTCCAAATATTATACACTCTCTTGCTAATGTGAATAGAAATCTAGATGATGCGATGATAATCTTGATATTTCAATTTTTGGAAGTCAAACTATTTATAAATTATGACAAATGTCAGAGTTAAAATACCATTAAAATTAAAAACACTATGTATATTTATAATTGATTGTGGTTGTGTATATCTTAAAATATTCAGTCTTTAGCTGCTCTGTAAATTTTATTGCATGCATCTTCTAACAGTCCTAAAAGCGATTCCTAAGATTCTTCTCTTAATTTTTTTTCCTCTTCTATTTCGCTCTTTACTCTAGAAACCAAATCCTTAAGCATTTCAAATATAGCTGCTTCCGATTCCTCTCTTTTATGATATATTATATCGGTACCTCAATTTCTTCTAATTGCCCAAACCTTCATTTAATCGCTTAATTTCATCTCCTGCTCTTCTCAATGTGCCATTATCATTGTCTTCTCTATCCTATCCCTCTGTTTTAACCATATCGTATAGTTTAGGTAAATCATTTTCCAATGAGGTAGTGATATTTTCAACTTGCTCCTGTCTAATCTTGCCTTCTGTTTGTATGTCCGATTTCAAATAAACAACCTAATATTAATTTTATTTTTACTTTTTCATCCAGATAGCCTTGCAATTTAAGATTTCCATCTTTTCTTAAAGCAATCTCTTATTCAAGTTTAGTTGTTATTCTACTTTCAAAGGCAGCCACTTCTCTTACTCTTTGTTCAAACTAAGTTTCGAAGGCATTATTTTCCTCCTCTATTTGTTTTTAAAGACGAACAATTTCGTCCTTTAATGTGTGCTATATTTAAATAGTATGAATTGCATACAAGTTTCCTATTGTAAGATGTTATTGTGTCTTGAATTCTCTCCTCCACTCCTGTAATTCTTCCGCAAACCGTATCTATTCTGTGTGCCTTAGAAGAGTCATGTTATAATTGTATTGAATTTAGTTTTTCAGAGATTTTAGCAAATCTTTCGTTGAAAGGTGTATTTGGATTCATTTTTATTAACAAATTTTATTTAAGTATATTTATATTTTAAGAAAAATGGATATAAATAAAAATAAAACAAGAGGAAAATTGTGTTTTTATCTCAAATTTTGAATTAAGACAGAAAAGTACTTTAACACTTTAATAATTATATTTTATCCTTAATTTAATTCCAAGTTATTTGTTTTAAATTACCTATTAGTATCTATATTAAAATATTAATTTTAATTTATTCCAATCAAAATCTGCTTAATTATAAAGATAATTATGGTCAAAGCAATAATAATTATTATAATGATTATTTTTTGTTTAAGATAAAGTTGGATAAGGATGAAAGAATAATTATTCTAAAATATTAATGCAATTATTTTGTATCAATTATAAAAAAGCAAAACGAGTTTTTTTATAATAATGTTAATTTCAAAGCTCGGATTAACAAGACCTGGCACAAATACAATCCATATGAAAGTTAGATAATTCAATTAAATATTAGATTGATTACTGAAAAATTTAAAAAAAAAAAAGAATCAAAATATATATTTTTAATTACTTCAATCAAAATGAAAAGTGATTAATGATATTCTGTCTCAAATTTCAAATTAATTTTCAACAATTATTTATTAATTATTATATATCAAAATGAACAAAGCTAGTGAAAGTGAAGAGATCCTAGATCCATAAAATTATAGTAAAAGTTTCAAGTAGATTATTTAAACCTAATAATTAGTCGGAAAAGCAATAGGCCATAACACTATTAAAAGGTGGACGCCAATTTACGATCATAAATTATAGATTAAGCATGCAATAAAGGATAACCCCTAAGATAGGTTTTCAATCACAATAACATGATTTAGGTTGCACAAAACTTAGGAATTAAGTACTCTACAGCCAAAGCTATCGTCCAAGTGTACCAGAGTGAAGGTAGAATAGGAAAGAAGAGAACAAGGGATAAACGAATTTATTAAGAAATAGAAACTTACATCCTGATTGTCAACAAATAAACAGGAAAAATAGAAAAATTAAAGCATAAGTCGGAATGCAACGACCTGAAGACAAACTTTTTGAATGCTAAGTTAAAGTAAATAGCTTTTATAATATTTCAGTCTTGAGGAGGCTCACTATTCTCAAATAGCTCAATACTTTGGAAAATATAATCTTAGTTTACCTCAAGAACATTTGGAACAATAAAATGAAAGCATTATTAATTTAATGAAAATCTTAAATGAACAATACAAACAATTCCAGGAATCTGATGAGAATAAATAATGAAAAATATTGAAAATAAATTATAATTGATTATTTTATAATATTTCTTTGTGTCTGGTTCCAAACATTTCAAAACTATCAGTAAATATTTTTTTACCTCGATTTTTCCTTTATAAATAATTTAATCAACATATTTAATTTTTTATTATTTAAGAATTTAATATTATTCTTACTAATAAATTAATTTATTAATATTGTCTGCAACATGTCTCTATTACTCATTTAATAGTAGATTAAAATATATTAATATAATGCTATATATAAATAGATTTCAATTCTTTTTCTTTGGCAATTTGATTTTATTATTTTTCAATGAAAGTTTTTTGCCTCTAAATAATAGATAAAGAAAATACATATCGACTCCATTATTTTTGAGTAATCCATATTTTTTAGAGAGAGGATCATCTAAATAATTCTCTTCAAAAATCGAGTCCTTCCAACCTACCGTTTCCGAGTAGTAGTGTGATTATTGAATATTTGAAATTTGAGGTTTTTAGAGACTTTCATTAAGTATTTTATTAAACTTTTATTCATCAGTTTACAATTTGTCTACATTTCCACTTTCTAATTAAATGCTGTCAATGCTTTTTCTTACATCTTCAAACTAATCCAAGGCAACTATAGACTTTTGATATTTGGGTCTTCTGGAATTATAAGTGCTAAGCATGGCACTGCCTTAATTGGAAGCAACACTAGGTTATTGAGAATCCGATCTTCTCAAAAGAGGAGGTTACAATTGATTGTTTTGGGGAGGAGTTAAGAAATTGTTATTGCTTGATTACCTCATGAGATTTGTATTGCCTTTCTCAAGGGATTTCTTCATTTCCTATTGATTGGGAGGTAATAGAGCTTGATTAAGAGTTGTAGATCTTTTCATTTCTTAAGATTTTACCATTTCATTCGCTGAGATCTTCCTTTGAGAAGGCATTTCCCAATCATAGGCAAAATCTAAGACAATCCCTAAGCTTTTGGCTGACTTTTGGAATAGGTTGTATATGTAATTATAATCAGGTTCACTCCGATATTGCAAGGTCTTCAAATATCTTAAAATAAATGGGTTAGATACTCAAGGATAATCGGGAATTCGATGGGTACATCTTTGCACAGTTCCCTTGGGTCGATAGTCATTTTCATTTCTCCAACTTTGTTCGTTCTCTCCTCGTCGGTGACATTCTGCATATTTTGCCAAGGTAGCTGCCTAGACTTTATATATTTATAAGATTTCTACCCCTTAATAAAGTACAATAGAACATACATAAGAGATTCCAAGTCATCCTTCCTACTCAATTCGTAACCTTTGTGAGCAGCAATGGATGCATATCTGGTGGTTCCTATAAATGAGGTTCCATCTCGAAAGGGTCTAAATTTAAGCATAACAATACATGATTCTCTCCATCTTATCTAAATATATTTTACTGATTCCAAAATCTACAACATAAATTTTAGAAGACTCATTATCTAAGCCAAATAAGATGTTTTCAGGTTTCAGATCTCTATGCACAACACCTTTCTAATGAATTCTTTCCAAAACTTTAACAATTTATATTCCTAATTAAATCGCTGTCTTTACAGAAAACCTCCTTTTCTACTTCATATAATAGGCGAGATCCTTCCCAAGTAGCTATAATATGATGATATTGTAGTCATCCTACTCGCCATGCCAATAGAGATTTGGGACTCCTTCTGTGTTTGCTAACCTTTATAAAACCTACACTTCCCTTTCCAGAGATTTAACTTCTTGATTTTCTTCTTTCTCTATTTTTATGGCAACATCAATATTGTTTTCTTTGTCTCTTCCCAATAAAACTACACCAAAACTACCTGAGGATAGCTTCTTTTAAGCAATGTACCTGCCATTAAAAATTGATAAAGAATGCATATAATAATTTTTATTAAATCAGTTCCAATTCTCATTATTTGGTTTTTTTAAATGTTATCAAGAATTCCTTAAAGTATAATCCTAAATAATCGAATGGATTGCCATCTCTTAACCTTCTACTCAAATTTTCCTGATTCCTCGTTTGATCAAATCAGTCGAGAAACACGACTCCCAACTCATGTAAAATATTACAAAAGCCTTTAGGATATTGATCCTGATGGGAACTAAAACTTTCAACTTAAATTAAATTAATAATATCGCAAAAAAACTTTGATTAAGAGTATTGTAATTTAATTAAATTTTCAATGGAGGAATGTTATAAATTAATTGAACGCCAAAATTATGCTGAAGCCTTGAAGCATCTAACCTAGATATTAAAAAGAGAGATCAACAACCCGTAATTGGAGACAATTTTTTTGATTTAGCATATTCTCAGCTAAAGTTAAAGATATAAGAATTTGCAAATTAAAATCTTAGAAATTGTAAAACAAGAAGAAATTGAAGAAGATATTGATGACGATAAATATTTCAATCTAGTTTTGGATTTGATCAACCTATATATAGATTAAAACAACATTCAGCAAGCAAAAAATTGGTCTAAGCAATTAAAGAAATATGCACAAGGGATCAAATATAATGAAGCATTGTTGTACTTGATCGATAATTTAGATAGCATGCTAGCTTGCAAGTAAAAAAGTATTGATTTGAAAGAATAAGTAAATAAATTGATTATCAAAGCTTGAAACTTACGAAAGATTATCTGAATTAGAGAAAAAAACTAAATATTTTGAGCATGATGGTATGCCTGCATATCTGATACCAACCAGATGGTTCAATAAGTGGAAAAGTTATGTGACTGACACACCCATTGAATTACCAAATGAGAATTTGAATATGGAAAAGGAAGTAGAAGCCTTGGAGAATCTATTCAATGTCTCAAGTGATCTTGATATTGAAGAATAGATAAATGCTCCAGGCCCAATCAATGGATTTTCTTTGATATAAGCGCAATCGGCTCTAGAATTGGATCCCTTTGGTCCAAAATCATATACGAATTATATTTTAAAGGAAAACATAAGGGAAGGGGCAGATTTTATACTTGTTGGACATAAAATATTTGAGTATTTTAAGAATATTTATGGGGGATTCGAAATCAAAAGAGTAATTGTAGAACATAGCTAAACTCATTAAAAATATGTAGATGTAATTAATGTTGTTATTTTAAATAGTTAGTGCCAAGAATGATCCAATTTATAATATTACCAAACGAAGAAAAACATAGAAGCAGATTGATTACTGCAAATAGTAGTGATTTGGTATTGGATTTGTGTAAGAAAGTAAGTAGAGTATTGAAATTGAATAATGAAGTAAGATGGTGGAAGTTTAATGACTTTTAGAGTCAAGAGGACTTCATAAAAAAACTATAAAAGAGAGAACTATATAAATAAGTATCTGCTAAGGTTTTAGAAAAAACAATGATGATTGATGAAATCAACTTTACAAGTTCAGATCTATTTATTTGTGAGGTAAGATATGGTAGAGACTGGCAAATAAGTGAAATAGATAAAAAGAAGTTATCCTCATTTAAAAGAAAAATGAATGTTTCTGATGTTCCAAAAATTATGAATGACTCTCGTAAAGGTGTGACTGGCTTATAAAATCTAGGTAATACTTGTTTTATGAATGCTGCCTTATAATGTTTAAGCAATACTTACGAATTAACTGAATACATGGTTAGTAATGAATTCTATTAGCATTTAAATTGTGATAATCCTTTGGGAACTAAAGGTGTTTTGGCCACAGCCTATGCTGAATTGATGAAAATAATGTGGTATGGGAATAACTCTGCAGTTAGTGCCTATGATTTAAAAAGAGTGATTGGCAAGTTTGCTCCTCAATTCTACGGTTATGGCTAATAGGATTCCCATGAATTCTTATCCTATTTATTGGATGGTTTACATGAAGATCTTAATAGAGTTCTCAATAAACCCTTTGTTAGTGAAGTCGAAATTACAGATGAAACTGACTTTGAAGCATCTAGAATATTTTGGAACAATTACATTCTCAGAAATTAGAGTAAGATCCAATAATTGATGGTGGGTCAATATAAGTCTACTCTTGTTTGTCCATATTGTCATAGAGTTTCGAAGACATTTGATCCATACATGAGTCTGTCACTTCCTATTCCATCATACACATTAATACAATTGTCTTTGTATTTTATATATCAGAATGGGAAGATACCATTAAAAATATAGCTTAATCTTACGAGTGATTAAGATGCCAATTTTATTGGATAGGAATTATCGAAAGCATTAGATATAGAATAAGATTAGATGAATTTTATTTTATTGAAAGATCACTTGATTAAGGAGAGAATTAAGAAAAAATAGAACGTTAAATGGATCCAAGAACATGAAGGGTAATTGTTTGTATATTAAATTGAAAAAGAATTCCATCAATTATCAGATGATCAAATTCATGTTGACTTCTATTATTGTAACAAAATGGATAGAAATTATAATGAATAGATCCTAACCTTCCCTAGATAATTTGTAATGGATAAGAAAGATAAAATTATTGATATTTACTTTAAAATCTATCAGCAATTCAAACACCATCTCATCTTGATTATCTAAGAACTCTCTGAATAATTACTGAATGAAGGTGTGAATATAGAGGAATTTTGTTAGGGTGTCCCTGAAACTATCGAACAATTCATTGAGGAAATCAAATAATTCAAATTTGATCTCTTTAAATTGCTTTATAGGGGTAAGCCAATGGATCATACCAATCAGGATCCTATTGAAAATTTCAATACAAAAGTTCTTTCAGTTAATGTGATTTTAAATCCTATCTTTGGCAGATAAGATTTAAATAATCTGAAATTCTAAAGATGCAAAGACTTCAATATCGAATAAAATAGATAGTTAAGAAAAGGGGAATACACATTGGAGGACTGCTTAAGATCTTTTGCAAAGGAGGAAATCTTAGGTAAAGGCAATGAATGGTATTGTAACAAATGTAAACAACATGTGTAAGCTACTAAATAGATGGAAATATACAGAGCCCCTTAACTGTTGATTGTTCATTTGAAGAGATTCAGATCTGGAAACAATAGAATAAGTAATTATGGAGGTTTCTTTTATTCTGGCGGATCTCAAAAAATAACAACGATGGTCCATTTTCCTAAAAATTTGAATTTGAACCCCTTTGTTCTTTCAAAAGTCAATGACAATGATCGTATCGACTATAATTATGAATTGTATGGAGTGGACAATCACTTTGGTGGATTAGGAGGAGGACATTATACTGCTTGTGCTTACAATTCATTGATAAACAAATGGGTCGATTACAATGATTCAAGTGCAAGACTCACATCAGCAAATGTCGAAAGTGAGGCTGCTTATGTATTGTTTTATAGAAGAACTGACTCTCAAAAATGTAGTTTAGGAAGATGATTAATTATGTGGGTAATGTATAATATATGATTCAATCTTATTTTTCTTTATATCTTATGATTTTTCTTAAAACCCAAGTTAATGTAAAGACAATTACCACTGCTATTATACTAACCAAGTTTAAGTAGATCTCCGAAAACACATAATACCAATTTCCTATGTATGGAACAAATGGATCATGGTCTGGTCGGCAAAGCATAAAATTTAAATTAGCCCAAGTCATTAATGACATTGGTAACATGTAAATCTAACCTTCAAATAATTCTTACTCTCTAATAAAGGACATGAGAGTCCCATCCAAACATCTAATGAACAAAGAATGTTTTCCATTCAAAAAAGAAGAACCTTCCACTTAATGTTAAGGCCAATGGACCTGCAAAAGCTCCAAGAAGATGCTCTATCCAAAAGAATTCTACTTCCAGGGGCAATTCCAAGCCTGTTACAACTGGAAATTTTAATGCCTTTAGATTAGAATATAATTCTATACTGCGAATACTCCATATAGCCACCTCAATTGACATATAAAAATGAGAGCACTTAATTTATGCTTCTTCGTCAATAAAACATATCCCTACATCAATAACACTATATGACATGGATTATTCATAAAAACACCTATTTTATTGTCTTATTTTCACATTTACCCCTTCCTGTATACAATTTATATCCAGTTTGAACAGCAAAGGTACCCCAACATGCCAATCCAACCAAATACTCAAAAATACTAGGTTTCTTTCCCATCGCTCTAGTCAACTCCTACGAAACTTTTATTTTGGCCCAGCATTTTTCTTCATCTGATCAAATTTTTACTCATCACCAGAATGCAAATTATGGCAGATATTGTAGAGATGGAGATTCGAAATGTGTTTGTCATATCTTAGTAACACTTTGGTCCACCATCTGAAAAATGTTCATAAGTCTCTGAGTAGATATTTCCATAAAGTCCCCAACGTACAATATCCATTAATTAAAATTCTATGACGAATTAAACAACTGTTTATGAATAATAGTTAATTGGAGCAAAGATTTACAATAAGTGTTTAATCAGCCATTAAAAATTAGACTTAATGGTTATCATATATTTCAATTATCAAACAATCATTCTATGTATAAAATACTTTAATCAAAATATTATTTGTAAAAATGAAATTCATACCTATAATACAATGATAATGCTATTATTAGTTACTTTTAAAGAGCATATCAAAAATTGTATAATAATATACAAATTTATAGAACAAAATAAAATTATTAATTAAATGAAAAAATGGCACTTCTGATCATATTATGTATATTAATTTTTATCCGAAGAACAAATATTTTTTAAATTTTAATTAGTCATTTCTTAATCTCAAATAAAAGTGAAATTGTATTTAAATTAAATAATATCATTTATTGCCTGACAATATTTTTGAGACAAAATATTCCAATATAAAAAAAATGATTATTTTGATTATGTAAATATGTATAAATAAAGCTTAGTAACAGAGAGAATGAAAATAATTTTTTTGCAAATTCTTTAAGAAAAATTTAAGATTTTATTTTATATACGTTTTAAGAACCTATTTATATCATAAACCATATGAATTTAATAAAAGTATTATAAATTATTGTAGTTAAATATGTTTAATATATATAGCTTTATGTGAACTTCTTATAAACAGACTATTAAAATTAAAATCTTAAACTTTAATGAAAAGAATTATTCCCTTCTGCAATTTATTTTTTCTATAAATATCTAATTTTATTGTCTCCCTCAAGAACTAGAAGCCTTTTATGGTAATCTGTAGCTGGAATAGGTTCAAATTAAATTTCTAAATATATAAACTATTGCAAATATGACCTAATTAAAGTGGCATTAAAATGAAAAAATTAATTTGACAACTTCTTTAGGTAATAATAGAAGAACCAAGTAATTTAAATATGTTTCCTCTAATTTAAATTGAATTTCCATAATTTTAAGTTAAAGAGTAATAGTCCTCAACTTAATAAAATTATATCATAGATAATACAATTAATTACAATTTTCAATTATAAACCTTTTCTTTGAGCATGAGAATGTACCATAATTTTGATTTTTGTATTATTTTTAACAGAAATATATACCTTCTATTACCCATGTTTTTTAAATTTGAAAACACAAAATAAATGATAAAATTGACAAAATATATTTATTAATGGGTAAAAAGTGTTTTATTTAAGCAATAACCTTGTCAAGGGCTTAAAATAAAATAGAAAATGGGTAAATTTAACGATTATGTGAGTAGGAATGAGTTTAGAAATGGAATTGAGGCATATATACATTGAGAAATCACTTAGTTTAGTTATCATTATAATTTATATGAAAAATGTATTAAATACCTCAAATTCCAGAATATTTATAACCTGATGTATTTGAGGATTTGATTTTTTAATATTTTATTTAATTACTTTTCGATATCAGTTACATGTTGAACAGTAAGAGAGCACGTTGGATATTCCAAACGATAGCTGACTCATTTAGGCTGAAGGATGGACAAGCGGTGTAGGTGAGTATTTCAGTATTATTTTGTAGGACCTCTTAAAGGACAAGGGTAAACTTGAGAAATTCTTAGAAGGAACGGGTCCTTCAAAGATAATTATTTACTACCAGATATAGGACAACTAGCAAGCAGATGATATGAAGGAGAATCAAAATGAGCCATCTCTTTTTATTTAATTTGGGGATCAAGAAAAAATCAAGGACAAAGCTATTTGGTTTTTAAGAATGTAAGTATTTATATTCATTTGTCATTCTTTCATCATCCTTATATTTAAAAATTAAATCTTTATGAATTTTATATAGGACTCCAGAGGGAAAGAGCGCTGTGAATCTAAATGAGACATACGATAACTAAGTCATTTGGGGAGAAGTTACACCATCATCAATTTCTCAATTGCACACAGTGATGGAAAATGTGTATTATCCATTAATAATAAACATGATGGATGAGAAGGAGTGGGGACAATGTGACGAAGAATCTTTGAAGGAATTCCATACTCACACAAAGAAATTCTCTTAGGAAGTATCTGAGGCAGTTAAATTAATGAGACCTGGATAAGAATTATTCAAATTTGATCCTGAAGAGGTTTAAAAATATGTTAATTCAAATAACGAATAAGAGAGAAACCAATTTTATGAAAGAAAGTTTGCCCAATGGATTGCAATCATCAATAATAAATTAGCCGAAGATCAAAATCCAAAGAAGGACAGTCCAGACGCAGGTCCAGAAGTGGAGTTGAATTATTGGAAAACAAGAATGTAAGAAATCACTAACTGGTCTGAATAATTAAAGGGCAAAGACTTTGTGACTGTAAAAACTACACTCCAAAGAAGCAAATAACATGATAAATCCTCAAATAGAGGAGAAGAGAACATCAATAAACTTATCATGGAATATAGTAGACTTGATCTTTTGTTGACTGATAAGTTAAATGAAGCCAAGGACAATGTGAAGTACTTGTCAACTTTGGAAAAGTTCCTTGATCCATTGTACAAAGGAACTCCTCAATAAATTATTGACACATTACCAGCACTTATGAATGCTATTAAGATGATTCATACTATTGCTAGATTTTATAACACTAATGACAAAATGACTGGCTTGTTTGTCAAAATTACTAATCAAATGATTAAGAACTGCAAAGAGAGAATATTAAATGGAGGAAAGAATTAAGAAATTTGGAATAGAGATCCATCTGAATTAAATGAAGTTCTTAGACAATGCATACAACTCAATAGAGAATACAAGGATAGTTATAAAGAAACTAAGGAGAAAGTGGCTGATATGCCCAAAGGTAAAACATTCGATTTCCCAGAAACTCAGATATTTGGTAAATTTGATACTTTTGTAAGAAGATTGGTTAAATTAATTGACATATTCTAAAATATCTAATAATTCTAGGCTTTGGCTAAACATAACCTAGAAGGTATGGAATAATTGACTGCTAAATTTAATTAAATCATTAAGGATTTCAAAGCCAAAAATCATGATTTGTTAGACACAAACAGTAATAAATTTGATAGAGATTGGGTTGAATTCAATGTTGAAATCTCCCATTTGGATATGTAATTACAATCATTCATTGATAATAATTTCAATAGATTGAGAACTATTGAATATTCACTTAAATTATTGAAGAAATTTGAATAAACAATCAAGAGAGATCAATTGAAAAATTCATTGGTATCTAAATATAATACAATATTGCACAACTATGCAACAGAATTAGACAAGATATAACGTATATTCACTGATCAGAAATCAAGTCCTCCTATTGTTAGAAATATACCACCTGAGGCTGGTAAGATCATTTGGGCTAGACATCTATTTCTAAAAATTACAGGGCCTATTACTAAATTCCCTGAAAATGCAATTGACTAAGGAGAATTGAAAAAATATTATGGTGGATATAACACTTTGGGTAAATAATTGACAATCTATGAAATGTGGTATTATTAGAATTGGTCAAATGAAATTGAAAGAAGTAAGGCTGCATTATAAGCCACTTTGATTGTAAGACATGATGAAAACAAAAAATTATATGTTAATTTTGATATTGAAATAATGCAATTAATTAGAGAAGCTAAAGTATTAGATAGATAAGGAATTGAAATTCCAGAAAGTGCAAGAATCATTCTTTTATAAGAAGATAAATTTAAGATGTATTACAATGAATTACTTTATGTTCTGAAAGAATATGAAAGAATTATTTCAAAAATAAAGCCAATTTGCAAAACATTGATTGGTCCACATGTTGAAGATTTAGAATTGAAATTTGAGACCTGGTATGGTTACATTGACTTGGACATCAATGAATATTGATAGTTATTTATAGAGTGTTCATGCAGGATTAAATAAATTGGAATAATTGATTATCACAATAAATGATATCATTGAAAATAGAATTGAAAACAATTTAAAAAACATTAGTAAAGTATTGTTGGTACATTTACCATAAGAAAGCAAACCTTTGACTTTGGATCAATTTGTTAATTTGTAAGAAGAATACATAAAGACCAAGACAGATTATTTGATGAGTAAGAATTTGGAAGTCGAAAGAGCAGTTGATGATTTACTCTCTGTCATTAGAGAATATAAATTAGATCCACATGTTGATTATGCTGACCCTACAGAAACCATCAGAATCAAGAGATATTACTTCTGGTATTTGTATTAAGCATTACTTAATTCAACTTAAAATTCACTCAATGCTATGAAATACAGAGTATGCGGAAAGAAAGGACCAGGACAATCAAGTACTTAAAATTTGAAACCATTCTTTGAAGTCGATGTTCAATTATTCAATAATTAAGTAAGATTGAATCCAAGTTTGGATGAAATTTAGAAAGCAATTAATAGAGCAGCCACTGCAGTGTTGAGATGTTCTAAAGACCTCTATAGTTGGAATTTGTAGTAGAAGGAAAGCAAAGGTTCATTTTATGAGATGATTGCTCAAGATAAGGAAATTGTAAAAGTCATATTGCTATTGACCGGTTCAATTTAAGGAACAAGAAACAAAGTTCATGATTTCTTATCATCATTCAAGAAGTTCTCATGGTTGTGGACTGAAAACATCTAAGATAACATTAATAGTTTCAGTAAGAAGAACCCAACTTTGTAAGATTATGAAGATGCCTTGAAGAAATTCACATCAATTGAAGAAGAAATCGATAAAATTGAAGCATCTCATAAAATTGGTGCCATGGAATTAAAGACAGGAAATTTATGTAGTGGATTGAAAGTACATGCAAAAGATTGGAAAAATTTCTATTGTTAAGATCTTCATAAAAGAGCTAGATAATTATTAGACTAATTGACAGATTTAACTAATTAATATTCAACCAAATTATCCAAGGAAGTTAAGGATATTGATTCTTTAGGATATGTTATGGAATGTTTAGAAGATATTCGTAAGATTCAAGCAGAAATTGATTTGAAATTTAATCCAGTTTAAGACATGTATGCTCTTTTGGATATCTATTTACCAGGTGGTATTTCTGATAAGGATGAAATGGATCAAAGATCTATGTTAAGAAGAAATTGGGATCAATTGATTAGTTAGGCTGAAATTAAAGGAAAGGAATTACAATAGAAATAAAAGAATTATCTCAAGCAATTGAAGAAGTCAATTAAGGAATTCATTTAAGAAGTTAATGATTTCCGTAAGGATTATGAATTGAATGGACCTATGGTTGAAAATATCACACCAAAAGATGCAATGGAAAGATTGCGTAGATTTGAGGATGAATTTTCTGTGAAATAGAAGTTCTATTAAATTAATAAGAAGGGTGAAGATTTGTTTGGTTTATAAAATCAATCCTATCCAGCTCTTAAAAAGACTTAAGATGAATTAACAAACCTAAAGAAATTGTATTCCCTATTTTCAGAAGTTATTGAAACTATCAATAGATGGAAAGAAGAATCTTGGGCTGATGTTTCAGTTGAATCATTGAATTAGATGGAAGAAAATTTCACAAAATATACAGCCTAATGTGGTACATTGCCAAGAGACTTAAGAGAATGGTAGGCCTATAAAGAGTTGAAATTAGAATTAGATAATTTAAATAAGATTTTACCCATTATCAAGGAATTGAAGAAGCCATCCATCAAGCCAAGACATTGGTAAAAGATTGTTGAAACAACAGGAAAGTAATTGAATTATGAAAATCCTGATAACTTCTTTATTTCTGATATCATAAATTGTGAATTATTGGCTCATGAAGACGATATTGTAGATATCACAGATTCAGCAGATAAATAAATTAAGATTGAAACAAGTTTGAAAGATATTGTGGATAGATGGTCTACACAAGAATTCAAATTCTCAATTTGGGGAAAAAGAGATGTACCATGTATGCTTAATGGTTTGAGTGTGTAAGAGATTACAGAAACTTTGGAAGAAGATCAAATGACCTTATCTTCATTGAATGCATAAAGATATGTTGCACCATTCAAAGTTGAAGTTGAAATCAAAATCAGAGAATTCTCAGATGTCTCAGAAACATTGGATATGTGGATTAAAGTATAGAAGTTATGGACTGCATTGGAACCAGTATTTACAGGTGGTGATATTGCTAGATAAATGCCATTATAAGCTAAGTAATTTGCAGCTATTGATAAGAATTGGATGAAAATTATGGAAAAAGCATTTGAAAGCAAAAAGGTTATTATCAGTTGTTAAAATGATATGTTGAAGGACTTTTTACCAGATTTGTAAAAGAAATTAGAAGATTGCTAAAAGATGTTGGAAGCCTATTTGGAAGGTAAAAGAAAGAAGTTCCCAAGATTTTACTTTGTGGCTAATCAAGATTTATTAAAGATTTTATCTCAAGGAAGTGATCCAAAGAGTATTCAAGAAGATTTTGAAAAGTTGTTTGATGCCATCACTAAAGTCACATTTGGAAAGAACACAGAGAAGAAAGGATCTACTGAATTAGTGATCCAATAAATTATGTAAAGTGCAGGAAAAGATGAAGAAATTGTAGATTTGAATTAAAATGTTAAGTGTGAAGGAAATATTGAAGGTTGGTTAAAGACTTTAGAATTACAAATGCAATCTACACTAAGAGATATTACAAGAACAGCTTGCAGTGCTTGTTTCACTATGGGATTAAAGGATTTCTGTAAGGCTTATTGTTCTTAAATTGCCTTGTTGGGTATTTAAGTCATTTGGACTCAAAAGATCACAGAAGCATTAGAAAAGACTGGAAGATAAGAAAATAAGAATATCATGGAAACAAAGAGATCAGAAATTAGAGACATGATGGCTGTATTGTCAGCTATGTGTTTGGAAGGATACAAAAGCAATTTAGAAAGAACTAGAGTTGAAACATTGGTCACAATCCATGTCCATCAAAGAGATATTGCTCAGGAGTTGAAATGCAAAGACATTAATGATTTCGATTGGTAAAAGTAGACTCGTCTTTATTGGAAATAAGATTAAGACACTTGTGTTATTTCAATTACAGATTGGGATTAAGGATATGCCTATGAATTCTTGGGATCTAAGGAAAGATTGTGTATTACTCCTTTGACAGATAGATGTTACATTACATTGGCTTAAGCTATGTCTATGTATTATGGTGGTGCTCCTGCAGGACCAGCTGGTACTGGTAAAACTGAAACCGTTAAGGATTTGGGTAGAACTTTGGGAGTCTTTGTCGTTGTCACAAATTGTTCAGATTAACACAGATATAGAGATATGGCTAAGATTTTCAAGGGATTATGTTAATCAGGTTTATGGGGTTGTTTCGATGAATTCAATAGAATTGATTTGGAAGTACTTTCTGTCGTGGCTATGTAAGTAGAAGCTATTACAACTGCAAAGAAATAACATCTTAAAGAATTTATGTTCCCTGAAGAAGTTGCTCCAATTGAATTACAATAATAAGTAGGATACTTCATTACAATGAATCCAGGATATGCTGGTAGATAAGAATTACCAGAAAACTTGAAAGCCTTATTTAGAGGAGTGTCTATGATGGTTCCAGATAGAGAAATTATTATTAAAGTCAAGTTGGCTTCTGTTGGTTATAACTCAATTGATGCATTAGCCAAAAAATTCAATGTTTTATATCGTTTATGCGAAGAACAACTTTCAAAATAAAGACATTATGATTTCGGATTACGTAATATCTTATCAGTGTTAAGAACAGCAGGTAATACCAAAAGAGAAGAACTTAAATCTGATGAAGAAATGCTTTTAATGAGATCCTTAAGAGATATGAATTTGAGTAAATTGGTGGCTGATGATATTGCCTTGTTCAATGGATTATTACAAGATATCTTCCCTAAATAAAGTGATATCAAAAAGAAGGAATATCCAGATGTTGAGAAAATGATCCCATAAGTCATCTAAAGAAAAGGAGGTTTAATCAATAACGATAAATTCCAATTGAAGATCATTTAATTATATGAAACAGCTTTGGTCAGACATGGTTTTATGTTAGTGGGACCATCAGGCAGTGGTAAGACCACTATTATGGCCGTATTGACAGACTCATTAACTGATTTGGGACTTCCTCACAGAATCACAAGACTTAATCCTAAAGCCATTACAGCCTAAGAAATGTATGGTGTCAAGAGTGAAATCTCAGATGATTGGATTCCAGGTATTTTCAGTACAATTTGGTAGAAATCAAATAGCAGAAACAATAAACATACTACTTGGATTACTTGTGATGGTCCAGTGGATGCTATTTGGATTGAAAACTTGAATACAGTGTTAGATGACAATAAGATTCTTACTCTAGCCAATGGTTAGCGTATACCAATGACAGAAAATTGTAAATTGGTGTTTGAAGTAGAAAATCTGAATAATGCTTCACCAGCAACAGTCAGTAGATGTGGATAAGTTTATATTTCACCAACAGATTTAGGATATGAACCAGTATGGAAAGGATGGATATTACAAAGAAAATTAGATGCAAGAGTTGATGAATCAGAAAAATTGAATGTTCTACTCAATAAATACTTTAACACTCACCTTATCTTAGAAACAATAGACAAGACATGCAAGAATCCAGTTATGGATATCTCTTATGTATTAAGGGTCTATCAAACCTTAAATCTCCTCAATGGTATTTTGAGACCATTGGTAAATGCTAACAAAACATTGACTGAATAAGATTATGAGAAAGTAGTTGTCTTTGCTTTGACTTGGGGAGTAGGTGGTATCTATGAAGTGCAAGATAGAATCTTATTCCATGAATTCTTTGCCTAAAAAGGAGCCCCAATTCCATACAAAGCTAAGGATGGTGAAACAGTCTTCGATTACTACATCTACTTAGATGAAAGAGGAACATGTGAATGGAAACTGATATCACCAGAAGAATGGAAGGCTCCAGATAAATTTTAATTCTCTCAATTACTCATGCCTACTGTCGATTCATTTAGAGCCGAAATGATCTTATCCTACATTCTTAATCAACCAAAGGCATCACCATAACCACCAGTCAGTTGCAGTTACGTTATCTTAGTCGGAGGTAGTGGTACAGCCAAAACATCAAGTGTGCTTATGTATGCCAACAAATTCAACAAAGAAAAGATGTTGTTCAAGAGAATCAACTTTTCATCTGCTACTCTACCTAGTCACTTCTAAGCTGCTATTGAAGCTGAATGTGATTTCAAAATAGGTAAAGATTTTGCTCCTCCTCAAAATAAAAACATGACTGTATTCATTGATGATCTTTCTATGCCTTTTGTAAATAAGTGGGGAGATTAAGTCACCTTGGAAATAGTTAGACAACTCATCGATTAGGGTGGTTTCTATATGTTAGACAAAGCCTAAAGAGGTAACTTCAGAGGTATCAAAAACCTTACATACATCGGAGCTATGTAACATCCAGGAGGTGGTAGAAATGATATCCCTAACAGATTGAAGAGACAAGCAGTCATTTTCAATATGATTTTGCCACTCTCAGTTGAAGGCATTTATGGTCCCATCATCAAACATTAATTCAAGGCTAAATACTTCTCAGCTGATGTGAATAGAGCTATTGATACATTAACTGGTGCAACCATTTAAATTTGGAATAAAGTCAAAGCAACTATGTTACCAACACCAGCCAAATTCCATTATGTGTTCAATATGAGAGATCTATCCCGTGTCTTCAAGGGTATCTTATCAGTAAGAAAGGAAACAATAAACACTGCTGCTTAAGTTGGACCAATGAAATCAGATGTATTTTTAGTTGGATTGTGGATGCATGAATGTGAAAGAGTCTTTGTAGATAAAATGACTAACCAAAAGGATAAGGATCAAGTATGTAATTACATTAAAGATATTGCTTTGGATCTATATAACCATTTAGATAGTGAAATCTAAGATAAATACAGCAAGGAGAAGTTATTCTTAATGTGCGATTTCTTGAAGGAAGATATAAAGAATGAAGATGGATTAGTTGAAGTTGAAGCTGAAAAGATTTGATGAGGGAGTCAATTCTATTGACAGATTAAGATTAAGATGCAATACTCTTTTACAAGATTACAATGATAAATATCCAGCAAAGAAGATGAGTCTAGTGCTTTTCGACGATGCTATCAAACATTTGTTGCGTATTTCAAGATTAATTAAATAACCAAGATCCAATGCTTTATTGGTAGGAGTTGGTGGTTCAGGTAAATAATCCTTGACAAGATTGGCTGCTGATATCTTGAAAAATGTATGCTATTAAATTATTTTGACTAAAAATTTCAGTGAGAAAGACTTGAAAGAAGAAATTAAGAAATTGTTTGATTGGGCTGGCCATCTTGGTAAATAGGTTACATTTATATTGACAGATAGTGAAGTGAAGAAAGAGGAATTCTTAGAATATATCAATATGATCTTATCAACAGGAGAAGTGGCTGGTTTATTGGCAAAGGATGAAAAGGAAGTTTGGTTGGCTGATGTCAGAAATGATTATGTCAAAGAGAAACAATTGGGTAATATTGATCCTCCTTAGAGTGACTTATATGCCTATTTGGTTGATAGAATAAGAGATAATTTGCATATTATTTTGTGCTTCTCACCAGTAGGTTAGAAATTCAGAGACAGATCTCGTAAATTCCCAGCTTTGTTCAATGAATGTACAATTGATTGGTTCTTGCCATGGCCTGAAGCTGCTTTGGTTAGTGTTGCTGAAACATTCATCAAGAATTTCAAAGAATTAGATACAACTAATGATATCAAGGAAGAATTGATGAAACATATGGGTAATGTACATATTATGGTTAACTCTGTTTGTGAACTTTACTTCCAAAAGATGAGAAGACAAGTTTATGTTACACCAAAGAGTTATCTTTCTTATTTGAATTCTTATAAGGAATTGTATTTGAAAAAATATGCTGAATTAGATCTTCAAGAAAATTCATACAAGATTGGTTTGAATAAGATTAATGAAGCAGCTAAACAAATAGAAAAGATGGGTGTTTCTTTAAGAGAAGAAGAGGCTTAATTAAAGGAAGCATCAGAAAAGACTGAGAAATTATTAGAAGATTTGGAGAAAGAAAGCAAAAAGGCCAATTAAAAGAATGATGAAGTCGAGGCTACCACTGCTTAATGTATGAAATAAGCATAGATGATTGCAAGTGAGAAACAAGCTGCAGAGAAAGATTTGGCTGCTGCTATGCCTGCTCTCATAAGAGCTTAAGAAGCCGTCGATTCTTTGGATAAGAAGGATATTGATGAAATGAAGGCCATGAAGACTTTGATGGACATTATGAAAGCCATTATAGACTCAATTGTAGTTTATTTCATGGGTAAATTATTGCCAGTTCAATCATTCACTGTGAAGATCAGTAAGGTTGATTATCAATTCTTGAAAGATTCATTTGATGAAGGTGGTAAATCAGTACTTTTTGATATGAACTTCTTAAACAAGTTGAAGGGATTTGAGAAAGATGGTATTAATGAGGAAACTATTGAATTATTGTAACCATACATGTCATAAGAATGGTTTAGTGAGGAGAAGGCTTAGAGTGCTTCAAAGGCTGCTTAAGGTCTATTGAAGTGGGTTAAGGCTATTTATGAATATCATGAGAAGTCAAAGATCGTTAAGCCTAAGAAGGTCTATTTGTAAATTTAAGAAGGTCGTCTTGAAGTGGCAAGAAAGGAATTGGCAAAGGCTGAAAGAGATTTGAATGAAATCAAGGAGTATTTGGCTAAATTGAAGGAGACATTCAACAAGTAAATGGAAGAGAAATCATTTTTGGAACAAAAATCAAATAAAACTAAAAAGAGAATTACTACAGCTAGATAATTGATTGAATCACTTTCAGATGAAAAGGCTAGATGGGGATAAGGAGCCACAGAAATAGCTGATCAAAAACGCAAATTAATTGGTAATTGTTCATTGGCTACCTCATTTATTTCTTATTGTGGTCCATTCAATGCAGAATATAGATAGTTATTGGCAGGAGACTATTTCGTAAATGATCAAAAGAGAAGAGGTGTTCCAGTTACACCAGGATTGAATCTGACATAGTTTTTAGTCGATGATGCCACAGTAGGAGAATGGAACTTATAGGGATTACCTAAAGATGAATTGTCCATTCAAAATGGTATCATGGTTACCAATTCAACCAGATATCCTTTGTTAATTGATCCATAAGGACAAGGTAATTACTGGATCAGATAAAAGTTCGCTGACAAAATTGAACCCTTCAGATGCATTACTACATTGAATCATCCTAAATTCAAAGATAACTTCTTAAAACCATGTATGTAAGATGGATTATGTTTGATTATTGAAAATATCGAGAATGAAGTAGATCCTATGTTGGATCCAGTTCTTGAAAAGTAAATCTAAGTCAAAGCCAAGAAAAATAAGTATATTGAAGTTGGAGGTACATAAATGGACTTTGATGATGGATTTAAATTGTTTATGTTTTGTAGATTAGCCAATCCTACATTCTCTCCTGAATTATCAGCCAAGACAACCATCATTGACTTTACTGTTACTCAAGGTGGTTTAGAATAATAATTGTTGGGTAAGGTCATCAGTAAAGAATAAAAAGCTTTGGAAGACTCTCTCAATTAATTATTGGCAGATGTCAATTAAAATAAGAAAGATCTATAAAGATTAGATAAGAATTTGTTAGAAAGATTGACTCAATCTTCTGGTAATCTTTTGGAAGACGAAGGTTTGATTGAAGTGTTGGGAAGTACAAAGACTTAAGCCAAAGAAGTTTCAGTGAAATTGTTGGATGCTGAAGTCAAGACCAGAGAAATTAATGAAAAGAGAGAATAATATAGACCAGTTGCAATCAGAGGTTCAGCCTTGTATTTCACTATTTTGGAAGTCTCATTAATCAATTGGATGTATAATTCCTCTTTGGAACAATTCTTGAAGTTGTTTAATGATTCTATTGATCAATCTGAAAGAAATACATTACCCTCTAAAAGAGTTGATAACATCATTAAATATCTCACCTTCTATGTTTATAAGTATGTCAATAGAGGTCTATTTGAAAAGGATAAGATTTCATTCATTTTAATGATGTGTTTCAAAGTTAAACAAACAGACAAAAAAATTAATGCTGGAGATGTATCACAATTCTTGAAGAGTGGTGCAGCTTTGGATGCAAAAGCAGAAAAACAGAAACCATTCTAATTCTTGGATGAGAAATAATGGCTCAACATTTTAGCCTTGTCTAGACATCATTTCAATGGAGATCAAATGGCCTTCTTTAGAGATCTACCAGAATCCATTTCTAGAAATGAACAACAATGGAGATAATGGAATGATAGAAATGATCCTGAAAATTCACCAATTCCAGATTTTGCTGAACGTATAGCAGCAGACAAAGAAATTGGTCCATTCATTTCCTTATGTCTCGTAAGATCACTTAAAGAAGATAGAACCTTAGTTGCTGCTACTCATTTTATTAATGCAACTCTTGGCAAAGAATTTACTGCTCCTATTTCATATCCTATTGATTCTATTTGGGCAGAAAGTTCCAAAACTGATCCAGTATTATTCTTATTGTCTGCTGGTGCTGATCCTACTTCATCTATAGATGATCTCTCAAGAAAGAAGAGAAAAGTATTTTGTGAAAAAGTGTCAATGGGAGAAGGTCAAGAAGAAGCTGCCAGAAGAGTCATTAAGAATGGTTTCGAAACTGGTATGTGGGTTATTCTCTAAAATTGTCATTTGGGTCTTAAATTCATGGAAGAAATCGAAACCATTGTTAATCCAGAGGCAACCATAAATGATGACTTCAGATTGTGGATTACCTGTGAATAACATCCTAGATTCCCATTGGGTCTATTACAAAAGACTATCAAAGTTACAAATGAACCACCTAAGGGATTGAAGGCAGGTTTATATAAGACCTTTACTACAATCATCACCTAAGAATTCTTGGAAAAGGTCGAACATCCAAATTGGAGAAGTCTTATCTATACAATTTGTTTCTTACATTCAATTGTCATTGAAAGACGTAAGTTCGGTCCTCTTGGATGGTGTGTACCTTACGAATTTAATAATCCAGATCTTGAAGCCTCCCTTGCATTTATTGAAAAATACTTGAATTCATTCCTTAGTGGACCTCCTTCATAATCACCAAACTTGAACTTGAATATGAATGTCATTAGATACATGATTTGTGAAGTGCAATATGGTGGTCGTATTACTGATGATTTGGATAGAGAATTGTTTAATGCCTATGGTGAAGATTACTTAAAGGAAGCAATCTTTGGAAATGAGTATGTTATAGCTGAAGCACCATTTGATGCAGGAGGTGGTACTAAACCAACTAAATTCTAATACAAAATCCCTGCCACAACTTAAATGCCAGAACTCATTAAGTATCACGATGTCATTAAGTAATTACCAGACATTGATAATCCTGAAGTATTTGGATTACATGTTAATGCTGATATTACATTTAGAAAGAAAGAATCTACTGAGATGATTATAACAATTATGGACACTAGACCAAAGGATTCCGGCGGTGGCGGTGGAAAAACAAGAGAAGAAATAGTCTAGGATAAAGCTAGAGAGTTATTAGCTAAATTACCCTCAGACTATGTTGATCTGGAAGTTAGAGAACAAGTTCGTAAATTAGCAGGTCCAAAGAATCTTCCAGATAAGGGATTGACTGTGCCACTTAACATTTTCTTATATCAAGAAATCCAAAGAATGCAAATAGTTATTGCCATTTGCAGAAAAACATTGTCAGATGTCATTGATGCAATTGATGGACAGATCATCATGACTCCTGATATTTTAGATGCTATCAATTCGATGTATGATGCCAAAGTACCTCTTACTTGGGTTTATGATGCTACAGGTGTCGAAATCTCATGGATCTTGCCCACTCTAGGAGCATGGTTCAGTTCATTGATAGATCGTAATAAACAATTAAATGATTGGTTGAAGAGCAACAGACCCAATCACTTTTGGCTTGGTGGTTTCTTCAATCCTCAAGGGTTCTTGACTGCAGTCAAATAAGAAGTCACTCGTATGCACAAGGGCAAACCAGGAGACAAGGATGCTTGGTCATTGGATGATGTTGTACAATCCACATAAGTTAAAGAAAGAGAATATGAACAAATCAGAGATATTCAATCAGAAGGTGTCTATGTGAGTGGATTATCTCTTGAGGGATGCAAATGGAGTAGAAATGGACTTGATGAGTCTGAACCTAAGAAGATGTTTGCTCCTTTGCCCATCCTTTATGTCACTGCTATCAATAAGAAGAAGGGTGCTGATGCTGAAAAGAATTCTTCAACTTACAGTTGTCCTGTTTATAAGGTATTATTTTGTGTTATTCATCTTAGTATCCAAGAAGAACTGACAAATATCTCATTTGTAGAGTTGGATTGCCTTGTGAAGGTACAGGTGCTCATAAATGGAAGTTAAGAGGAGTTGCACTCTTATGCTCAACCGAATGAGATTTTGATAAATATATTATATTATTATTATATAAACAATGACAATAATATTTTTTATATAATTCATTCTATGAATTCATTGGCCACTTTGAAATTTGTCAATATTGAAAACAATGATTTGTAAAGTCATTTTCCAATTGATCCAAATGCAGATATCATATTGGTTTTGAATGGCAAAGAAACTTTTTAATTGTAGATCAGGTTACTTAAAAAAAGAAGCCAATATTTCGAAACGCAACTGCATAATAGTGACTCCAAATTTAAAGTTATACCCGGCAAACACGATGGAGTAGTATTTTAAAAAATACTCAACTGTTTTTATGGTTACCAGTATCACATTTACAAAGCTGAAGAATTTTACTCTGCTTATAAAATCTCTCACTTTCTATAAATTAATAATTTTATCACTACTCTTTAGGATTCATTATACGAAAACTTCCAAAGAATAGATATTCATATTGTATTAACACTAGCTGAATTATATGAAATTGAATCACTAAGAGAAAAATATATTGATTATTTGGATGAAAATCCTCAATTATGGAAAATCATATTGCCCATACAAAAATTAGAGTTTTATCGATAAAATTATTATTCTATTTGTTGCACTAAACAAAATGATGACATCCCTATCAATGTTTTACATTTAAAAGAAGACATCCTAATCAAACTTCTATCATTTCACAATGAATAAAAAAATAAGAAATCCTTTCCTGAAAAGTTCTTAACTCCAGATGATATTCTCAAAATTATACAGTATTATGTAAATATTAGATTTCAAACTTAAGAAGAAAGGCAAGAAAACACAATTAAAATTGTCAACTCTATATACAAAGTTGAAGACATCTATTCAGACAATGATGCTAGAAGATTGCAAACCTTCATGGGCAAATCATACTCCAGCAGCGTCAATTCATGTACAATTTCAATTTAACCTAAGCTTCTTGTTCCGATAGGTCCTCCAAACTTATTATCGAATAACAGAGAGATATTGAAGAACTTAAAATGAAGTTATAAGTACTAATTCTCTATTCTATCCTTTAAGTGCTCAATCAAAGAGAATAATGAACTATAATTAAAATCTAAGATGCTCGAAGAAAGAATTGAAAATCTACAATAATTAATTGAAAATCAAAAGAAAACCTCAATCAACGCTAGCAATTTGAATAATTCGAATTCCTAAGACATTGAGTCCTCCTAATTTGTATTACAACAAGTAGCTGAATCTATTCCATTGGAGAGTTCATCGATCGATTAAAGTGACAACACATTTTTTAAAAGCCAACTGCATTTCAATAGCACACCTCAAACGGTTTTCACCCTGTCAGAACTCTCTTATTTGGGAGAGATTTTGAATGCCAAAATCTATCAGTAAATTAAATTCAAATTATTGTATCGAGGGTATATCTCCATGTTTTTATTAGAACCGAGAATAATTTTTATCTTGCATCAGAAGAATAGTTAACCTCTATTAAAAAAGCAACTTCCATCTTGATTCTTATTCGATCAGTAGACAATGATTCAGTTTTTGGAATATTTAATTAAAACAGTCGAATATAAATAATTAATTTTTAAAGTAAGAAAAGGGTGGATTACAAAAAAGAGTTGAAATTAGCTATCAATTCCAACTATTTATTAAAACTTGGCAATGATATTGAGATATTCGTTGATTGTTGTAATAAAAAAAACAATATCTGCAATAATATAAATGGATTAGGTTGTTTAGCTGGTAAAACTGAATTTCAAGTAGATGAGCTTGAAATTTATGAGTGTTCTATCCATAATGAAATTGTGTGATAGACTTTTATTTATTTATACCTGAAATTATAAAATTTTCACTTTATTCTTCACAAAAGTCATCAATTAACTTGGTGGTAGCAATTTTTTCTAATAATTATTTGTTATAAAATGGCTAATAATAAAAATATTGATTTTATTAAAACTTAATTTTCAATTATAAAATGTTCCATCCCCTAAAGAAACGAGATTTTTCTAACTCATCTTCAAAATATATGTTATAAAAGTCCTAAAAATAATTAAGTTATTATTTTGCAATAATTTTTAAGGGTCTATATTGGAAGTTCATAATGCTTAGCCTAGTGTTCCAATATTGCAGCAATAAATGAGTGTTTTCTTATTTTATATAAATTATTCTTCATATACTCCTTGTTTTGAGTACTTCATAAGCTATTTTCAAATTCCCATTATATTCTTTTAGAATTTAATTAATCTTTATTATTTTATATTTATAATATTTGATATCTTCAATTACAGTCTATTGATTGCACTAAAATATAGAGATTAGCTTGAATGGAATCTAACTAATATAGTAAATATCTAATAAATAATATTATTTTAACAATAATGAACTTTTTAGTCGGATCATCCAAGACTTATCCTGTCCACATTAAATAATACTTTCACACTTTTATTATATTACAAAATCATATTATTATGCTAGATCTATGATTGAAATTAATATTTCAGTATTTTGTTTATTTTGAAATACAAATAAAACAACATAAATCAATACTCCATCAGTTCCCTCTACTCAGTGGTTAAATGTTCTAATTTTTCTTATTTCATCTTCTATTTTTTTATAGTCTACAACTATTATTCAAAACTTTCATCCAATTAAACATCTATGTGACTGGGAGCCTAAAAGGACTAATTTAAAATGGATCCTCTCTATTATTATGTAATTTTATAATACTTCAATATCTTCTTTCACTTAAATATCATCTAAATTTATTATTCCATTTTAATTATTCTAATTAGATAGGTTTTCTTTGAATTATTTCTTAATTTTCTCAAAATCAATCGGACTTATTGAAGTGCATTTTGATAATATTTCCTGAATTTCTGTGTTAATATTACTTTTTTTTAATAAATTCTATAAATCCTAACTTATAATAACAATTAATTTTATACTATGCACCAAATCCCTTTTTCTTATATACTTAAAACTATGCTCCAAGAAATGAATATAAAAGTTCATTATATTCTTTCGAAACTTCTTCATCCATAAATGAAATTAGCTTAATTATCATGCACAACCTTAATTCCTTGTCTTTGTATTGATCAAAGTTAACTTTTCTATTAGACTTACTCAATTTGTTGCTTCCTTGTTTAATCTATGTATCATCAATTAAATATGCAATGATAGACACTATTTGTTGATTTGTTAATCTTCCAGGGATGAAATCAAAAAATTAATTTATTAATGTTCTAGCATCTGTTGGCTCATCGTAACTAAGTAAAACAGAGTTCGATAAAAAAAAAGCACTTAATCCAATAATATTGGAATTGGGTACAAGATATGAATTAATTTCATTATTTTCATTTGAGTTTATTTTTCCTGTTTATAAAAATAAAGTTGTTAAAATTTAAGCACATTTTAATGAAATTTAATGACTTATTTCAGCTATTTCAATCAACATAACTATCATTTCTTCAGTGATTATGATTGTTGAATTAAAGGCCTCTATCTTCAATATGCATTCCTGCAAAATCATCAATAAGTTTATTAAAATATCAACATTTATAGCTGTATTATTTATTAAATTTAAATTGTAATTGTATGTGAAAGTAAGGATTTATTGTATAAATGACTGGACACTATTTGTATCTGATGATATTTATTTGAGCAATGCGATTAAACATAATTTAGTATCAGTGAAGGTCTCTAATTCTGGATTAGATCTCAAATTATTAAGAACAGCCTTGATAGTTTAGGTTTGTTGAAACAGAATAAACTAATTTGTTTCAATTGAATTAAATAGACTAATTAATAATTTAATAATTGAGTTTTTCACATTTGAAGTAACGTGAAAATTTTTATATTCTGAAGTTTTCTTGAGCAAAGGAGGACCGCTGGGACTGTCAAATATAATCTTATCATTAGGAGTATCTAAGTAATCAACTAATTTAGTAAATATAAATAGCTCAGTATTAGACAATTAATTGATTTCTTTGGCTACTTCTAAAACAATAAAGGTCATATCAAAGATATCAGAGGGATTTTTCCAATAATCTTCATCAAAATTATTGAATAACATTTAAAATAATTCTTCATATAACTATTAATTTAAAGCTCTTCCCAGAAATGTTTCTGTTAATTTGTGCCATATAGGTTGAGTGGCAAACTTTTTATGATCCTTCATCAAAATATTAAATAGAGCTTTTTAACTTTTTGTCACAAATATTCTTTCTTGTGGTATTCTTAGAAAAGCATTCCTATAGACTGACATCACAATAAATGGATCTGATATCAAATCCAGCAATTCCTAAACTGCTGACATTTCCTCATTGGTCTTAGTTACCCATTCGCTAATGTAATTTTATTATTTACAATTAATCTGAATAACCCAACTTTGTTCCTATTATATATTCTAGGAATGTCAAAATGCATTGGATATTCTCGCTCTGGAACTATTTATTTCCTTTTTTATTAGAGAATGATTCCAAGGTTTCTAAAAACTAAGACCACCAAACCCTTAAGAAATTATGTTATTCTTACATCGCATATGTCATTTTATCATTAATCAATTACGAGATAATATTAGAGAACGCTAATTCAAATTTTAAAAAGTTATCTGATACTTAGGTTAAGGTTTGTATGTGTTCTATTTGGATAGACCTCTGACTTATTTCAATTTTGGATTCTTCAAGAAGCTAATTTTAAACTGGAATTTCTTTCAATTATATAAACTTATCTAAATTGAGAATGAGCTCTTATAATATGTGCATGCACATTTTTATTATAATAGGATTTTAAGACAGTTTCTAATTAATTGTTTGTTATTTTTACTATTTTACTCTCTACATATAATGCAGAATCAATCAGTCTAATTTTATAAGATTCTATGTGATCTATCAACGTTTTTACTTCTAACTTAAACTAAGGTTATATCTTGGCCCAGTCAAACTCATTAAAGTATTTCATTATTTCGGATTTCTTATTGAACTCTTTTAATGATTCCTCTCTTGGTACTAATTCAAAAATTTCCGTTAGAATTGCAGAGAAAGTTGGTTATTGCAAGTTTCTAGAAGTGCTTCCAATACAGCCCATATTATGAATATATAATTATTATATTTATGATAATCGGTTATTTTATATTATCTCAAACAATTAATATCTATTGATATCTATTAATTACTTAATAAATCATTAAAATCAGCATTCTTTCGCATCTCGCAAAAATAAAGGAAAACAAAAAGGAAAAATTTAATTAGATATTTTTATATATAATTATTATACACCATTAAATATAGCTACTATTTAAAACTGTCAAAAAAAAATTTTATATTGATTAGATCGATGATTTATATCTTATCTTATAACCGACTGTTAATTGATGCTTTAATTGTTAAAAGTACGTTATATTAAGAAACCCAAAATTAATTGTTTAGAGTTGGAAAGATAAATAGTCTTAAGTAATCCTAAAAAGTAAATTAAGATATTAACTTACAAATTCAAATGAAAAGCTCATAATAAAATTAAACTTCTCTGTTATTCTAATATACCTAGGAAGATCATACAAATGCATTTTTGTAATTTAAAGAATGAATTGAAATATAATGAAATATTCTAATTCGCAAATTAAATTCTGGAACTATAATTTTTTTTAAAGAAATTTAACTCTTTTTAATATTAAAATTGAATTCAAAGAATTATAATAATACATTTACATTATTAGAAATATTTCGTTTAAGCTTTAAATCTTAGAATTCTTTCATATATTTTGAATTAAGAAAATGTGGTATTTGAAGCGTAATTTTGCACTTTTGTTAGACCTTTCTCTGAAATAAGATCATATATTTTAAGCATTTTAAAGAATCAACTACATATTTAGGATAAATTTGTAATCACAAAGGAGATAAAAAATTTAATTATGAATAAAGGATGAATTTCTAAGATTTGAGCTAATTTTTTTATAATAAAATTTAATCCACCATTATAATATTAAATTAGTTAGTTTGGTTAATAATGATGAAACTATGCTATTTTAAAATCAATAATCATATGTAGGAATCTCAGCATCAAACTAAGGTGTAATCTAGTCAAAGGATGAGTTATTCTATAAACGAAACGATGAAAATCCATTTTATAATTAAAATGTGTAAAATGTAATTGGAATGAAGAGTTAAAAGAGGGAGTGCTTAACAAATGGCGTCATTTAAGGTAAACAATTGAAATGAGTTTTGATGATGACACATTTTATAATAAATTTAATAATGAGTATTAAATAAGAAAATGAGTGATATTTGATAATTAAATTTTAATTAAAAATGGCATCTTAACTAGAGGAGAATCTCTTAGTGGGAAGTACTTTCTCTGACTTTGGAATGACAGCAAAAGAATTATCGTAAAAGATATATCAAATATTTAAGCATCTTGTTTACTCCCGAAAATGTTAGAGATGGATCAAGCTTGGTATAGTTGGGTAGACATGGAAAGATTGAAGGGTTGATGATGAAGTTGAGAACAGATCCAAAAGTAAATCAGAAATATATATTTATAGAAAGGGTTAGATAGCAGTAATATCAATGATATGGAATTGAGAGTGAAGAAGTAAGATATGTATATTTAACAATAGTTTTGGTGACAATAAGCCTGAAATAAAAGAGCCAAAGGCACTTTTGGAATATGTAAATTTATGAATTGATGGATTAGATCCTTGAAAACTTTGAAGATCCAATGCTTAGAATTCTGTGTTTGGCTGCAGCAGTGAATTTGATTATCGGTGTATGGACAGAGGGATGGAAAGAAGTATTGATCAATAAGATTTGATTAGGGATGGATGGATGGAATGGCAATTTTCATAGCAGTTATTATTATAGTATCAGTTACCGCAGGAAATAATTATGTAAAAGACTAATAATTCAGAAAATTGAATGCAATAGCAGAAAATAGAAATGTGAATGTAAAAAGAGGTGGTAAAATAGTGAGTACTAATATATATGAATTGGTTGTTGGAGATATTATGATAGTTGATACAGGTGAGAAATTGCCTGTTGATGGAGTTGTAATTGAATCAAGTGATTTAAAAGCAGATGAGTCTTCAATTACAGGAGAGACAAATCCTATTAAAAAGAATGTCCCAGTTATATACGAATAATAAGATAAAGCTAATCCATTTTTGATAAGTGGTTCATCAATCATTGAAGGCACAGGTGAAATTCTCATCTTGGCAGTTGGAGAAAACTCACAATGGGGAATTTCTAAAAAATTAATGACTCAATAAACTAAAGATGATAAAACACCTTTGTAAGAGAAGTTGGGAATTTTGGCTGATTAAATTGGTGAATATGGGTTAAAGGCAGCCGTGATTACATTTATTGCAATGACACTTCATTTACTCTATGATGCAGTGTTTAATGAATATCCTTTATTCTCTGCCCATGCAGTAAAAGAAATACTCAACTTCTTTATCGTCTCAGTTACAATTATTGTTGTTGCTGTCCCTGAAGGATTGCCATTGGCTGTAACAATAGCTTTGGCATATTCTGTTGGTAAAATGAAAGATGAAAAAAATCTCGTTAGATTTTTATCTGCATGTGAAACTATGGGAGGTGCAAACAATATTTGTAGTGATAAAACAGGTACATTGACTGAAAATAAAATGACTGTCACCAATTTATATGTTGAAGATACTGATTTTAGTAAGTTGGATCCTAAAGCCATTAAAAATTCAACTTTAGAATTACTATGTGAAGGTATCTGTTTGAATTCTATGGCACATCCATAAATAGATGAATCAGGTAAATTTGAACATATTGGTAATAAAACTGAGTGTGCTTTATTGGAAATGTGTTACAAATTTGGATATGATTTCAGATAAATTAGATAGAATATGGGAGAAAAGATCAAGAAGAAGTTCCCTTTCAGTTCAGAAAAAAAGAAGATGACAATCATTTTAGATCCAAAAGGAGATAAAACACAATTCAAAATTTATACTAAAGGTGCTCCAGATATGCTTTTAGATAAATGTTCTCATTACATTAATGCTGAAGGCAAGGCAACTGTGTAATTATAATTTCTAATATTTTAGAATTACCAACGATTATAAACAAAAAATTAATAGTATTATTAAGAATTATGCATCCTAATCATTAAGATCAATCTTATTGTTGTATAGAGAAACCATGATCTAAGGTAGACCATAAAAACCAGAAGAATTTAACAATGTGGAAGATCTAATTGACAAATCTTATACAATTATTGGAGTTACTGGTTTATAAGATCCATTGAAAGAGGGAATCATCAAAGCAGTATAATAATGCAAGGAAGCAGGAGTAACTGTAAGAATGGTTACAGGTGATAATTTTGATACTGCAGTTGCCATTTCTAAGAAGGCAGGAATCTTACCACCAAATTATGAACATCATGAAGATTCACTTGCTGTAATGGAAGGAAAGACCTTCAGATAAATGGTTGAAGGATTAGAATATGAAAAGGATGAAAAAGGAAATGAAATACCAAAAGTGAAGAATTTATAGAATTTCACCACAATTGCTTAAGAATTAAAAGTCCTAGCCAGATCTTCTCCAGAAGACAAGTTTTTATTGGTTACTGGTCTGAAATAACTTGAGAATGTTGTAGCAGTAACAGGAGATGGTACAAATGATGCACCAGCATTAAAAAAGGCAGACGTAGGATTTGCAATGGGAATTCAAGGAACAGAAGTTGCAAAGGAAGCAGCAGGTATTATACTTCTAGATGATAATTTTGCTTCAATTGTTACAGCCATGAAATGGGGTAGAAATATCTTCGATTGCATCAGAAAGTTCCTTGTATTTTAAGTCACTGTCAATGTAGTTGCAGTTACTATGGCATTTTTGGGAGGAGTCTTCCTAAAAGAGTCTCCATTAACTAGTATTCAAATGTTGTGGGTTAATCTCATAATGGATACATTGGCATCTTTGGCTTTGGCCACTGAACCTCCCACTGATGAATTATTGACTCGTAAGCCTTATGGAAGAAAAGAACACATGATCACGCCTGGAATGTGGAGAAGCATTATATGTTAAGCAGCATTCTAACTATTTGTTCTTTTGATCATTTTATTCCGTGGAGATTCCATTTTTGGTATCGAATCTAGTAGAGGACATAGATTGGATGAAGAATACAAGTATCTATAATAATTTATCTTATTTTAGCCCTGTCTATCAAGAACATTATACTATCTTCTTCCATATTTTTGTATTCTTGCAAGTCTTCAATGAAATCAATGCTAGAAAATTGAAAAAAACTGAATTGAATGTATTTGATGGATTCTTTAACAACTATCTTTTCATAGGTGTTATTGTTGGAACTATTGTTGTTCAAATTCTTATTGTGTAAACTTTTATCTTATAATCTAATTAGTTAATTAGGTGGAAAAGCAATTAAAGTCACTCCTCTTGATTTTGGCCATCATGTCGCTTGCATTATTATTGGTATGTGTAGTTTGGGTGTTGGATACTGCATTAAATAAATTCCCGATCAATATTTCTAATCCATTGAATTATTTAAAGAACAAGTTGCCCCTGAAGCTAATCCTGAAACTATATAGGTACACCTATGAATTCTATTAATTATAGGGTAAAATGAAAAGACCTTCCACATTCCTTAGAAAGAAGAGAGCCATAGAAAATAAATAACCACTAAAGGGTTCTTAAGAAATAGAATTGAAAGCTGGAACTAGTGGTTTTAAACAATGAAATTTTATTATTTAAGATTGAGAATATAATTTATAAAATTAAAAATCAAGGTTATAAAAACGACTTCTATTGTGCGTATTTAATAAATGATTGTGTCAACTAAGTTTAATCTGAGTAAATGTAGAAGCTAATCTTATTCTAATACAAGGTTTGTTATTAAATCAAATCCATCATCGAAGGGAATACTATAACAGCTTGTTAGCATTAATGATCACAATAGACATTCTAGGAATATTGGATAGAATTGTAGGGGCCAATCTTCTTTAGTAAAAAGTTTGTTATAGGATGATTTAATTGAAATTCTTAATTGTTATTGAAATGATAATCTTCGTAAGTTTATGGATTTAAAATTAAAGAAGTCTCCTATTATAATTCTACCTATGTACTTGAAAGAAAAGTAAATTCAAATTTTACGAGTTTTTAAAATTCTATTTTTGTGGGACTCTCTTAAGACTCCTCAGCAACTTTTTCAATGAAGTCGAGTTCTTGTAGACACTTTTTTTCAACAATATTGTTTTATAAGGGATTCAAATTCAATTCGCTTTTTACACTCAGATTAATAGTAGAATTGGAGTCTGATTATTTTAGACATTATTCGAAAATGTTAAAGACAATTTATGAGAGAAATTTAGAATTTACTTTAATCATAAAATCATCTAGTTTTAATTCATAAAGGAACTACTTTTTCATTTTCATACACATGTAAGAAAAATGCTATTGTAAGTTAATAAGAAAATATTTGAGGTTGATTTGATTATAGGCGGCTAAGAAATTATTGATTTGAGTGTAATTAACAAAAAAGTAAAAGTTTTAATAATGGCTCATAATGGATAAATTAATACATTTGATCTGCCAAATTTTATTATTATCAATCTAACCCAACTTTAATCCAGTGATTTCTTTATATAAATGTTAATGTGAAGCTGACAATTAATTGGAAGCAAATTAAATAATTTTACTTAGGAATCGAATTTGTTCTTCGCTTTTTGACATCATTTAAGGTTATTTTTCTTCCTTTACTACAAGTAATAAGTAGTTCTTGCCAAAACTGAGATTTTTAATGTCAATACTGACAATTACATTCTTTTCTTTCACTTGGTTGTAAAACACACCTTCCATTTCCTCAGCCTCATCCTTCGATTATTATTCATCCACTGATAAATTTTGTTTAATCTTGTAGAATGCAAACTCCTCCAGCGTTTACTTCTTGGTTAATCTTCTCATTGACAAATCACCTGATCTTTAGATGTTAATATTCTATAAATCAACACTTGTGGGTATTTAACCTTTGGGTACAACATAGGTATTTCTCATCATTTCAATTAAAGTTTTCGAATCTTCAACATTTAAATTCGTTCTGCCTATTTGATTTTGGAATTCAAGTTAGAATTAGTTATTTCTGACATTAAGACTAAGTGCTAAGAAGGAATGTGGAATGTATTCCTCAGAGATGTCTCTTATATTATAATAATAAGGAGTTACTTCAATTTAAGATTATAGAGCATGTAGGAAAAGGCCAAGCGAAACATGAATTCATTATAATGAGAGTAGAGTACAATTAACAATTATGTCATAAATACAAGAACGATATATCCAAAGTCTTCTAGAGTTAGTACATCTAAAATATAAAGTTAGACTATTGGGACTATTAAAAGTGTAAATAGGCGTAATTTGAAGTGACTGAAGAGGAATTAGATTATTGCTATGGTCGCAGATGAGTATCCGTAAAGAAATGGGGATCTTATATAATTAGAACTACAAATTACTTTTGAATAGTTTGAGATGCTACATACAAGCTTGTTGCTAAGGATGTCACATACATTAAAAAGTAATAGTATCGAACCTTCGATGCAAATCTCTGGCCATATATTAAAGCTAAGAAAATGGCTATGCTTGAAACTGCTAAAATCACAGATATGATGATTTATCTCCCTTCCAGCAAACTAAAGATGAAGAAGAGGATGCACAATATCAAAATGATCACTTCTATAATTCTAAAGTATGACTGCCTGTATTTATTCATCTCCGTTTCATAAAGATCTTCATATTGTTTATTAATGAAGCCAAGGGTCCATTTATTAAATGGTAAATTATTCATAATTATATGATCAGCTGCATGACAAAGAATATAACAAAATTATACTCAATCCAACTTGCACTCCCAGAAATCCATATCCGACCTTTCTACATATGCCCTCAAATTCCCCACTCTAAGGCACTTGAACCAAACTCATGGCGATGAATAAACCTCCCAAGAAACCTCCCAATTCTCCAAAATTGTCATAAAAATTATTTTGTCCAGATCCAAAAGTGAAGATCATAACAAATATTACTACTATAGCAACGAAACACACCACAGCGCATTTCATTTCACCCAAAGAATCTAATTTCTTCCAATATAGAATTATGTACTATTAAATATATAATAAAAATATATACTCCTATCAAGAACCCTACACAAGCGTATATGCAAGAAAAGGTTTCAGAGTAAGTTCTGTATTTGCAAATATTGCACAAATCTCCAAATAGGGCACCACATGCTCCTGCCCCAAAAAACACTATTAATGTTAAATTCAATCCTTATGTGGCTTCTAATATCGAATAGCATATTAATATCATAAAGATCGCAAGTATTAGATTATAGAAGTCTCCAACTAAGAGTAAGGATGTCACCCATCTGAAAATTTCATAGTTGGATTTAACATCATCTGGATCATTTCCACCAAAATCATTCAAGGTTTTCTCATAAACTGATAAAAATCGATCATGTTTATTTATTCCTCCAACTCCTAACATTGTGATGTATAGAATTATAATCAATGCTGAGACTATTGTAGTAAATGAAATAAGTTTAAGTCTTGGACAGAATGATTTTTTCAACATATCAAAAAAATTCTCACCTCTTGGGTCTGCATCCATCCCTCCTTGATATCTTTAAATGAATTTGCTTACCGAATATAGAAATCATCTGTTGTCTTCCATTACCCCCCCAAGTTCTGATAATTATTTTACTAATCATTATTATCACCCAATCTATGTATATTTGCCATTTTATATTTAAATTATTCAATTTTTTAAAGATTATAAATAAAATAAACAAATATTATAACCAGATTATAGAAGTGAAAAAAGAAATTATAAAATTATTTATTATTTCAAATATTGTGTATTTTTTTTATGAAACTCAAACTAAAATTAAACAATAAATGTTATATAATATTTTGATAAACCATTGCAATAATTGTCCTACATAAACATTGATAGAGCCTTCTCTTAATAATTAATTTATCTATTATGAATTCAAAACATCCTGTTGAATTATTGAAGAAAAAGATTGAACCTGAAGCCATCATGTATAAGTTCAGATGGAGTAACAACTCAGTATCAATTGAACCCATGACTCAATTAACTCCTGAAATGCTGGTTCTAGTCCATGATTATGAATTAAAACAATTAGGGCATGACCCTCAAGAACCTAAACCTCAAAAACATATAAAACAAGACACTTAAATTATCAATCAAAACAATAATGGGAAAAAATTAGAGGAACAAAAAAAAGAAAAAAGGTCAAATGACAAAGTGGATAAAGTTGAGAAAACTGAAAAAATTATTGAAAAGCCTCAAGAAAAAATTTCAGATAAACCAAAACAATAGTAAATATAGAAAGATGTTGATAATGTGCTTAACAATAATACAGGAAATGGTCCTCATAAGCCAAGAAAAAGTAAACCTTGTTAAGTCAAACAAGTTAGACACGATAATGGAAGAGTAGATTTTTTAGTGTGTTTCGAAGATTCAACTGATTAAAAGTGGATTTCATTGGATGAAATGAAAGAAAAAGCACCTGTGGCTGTTTGTGAGTTTTTATTAGGAAAAGTAAAATATGGAGGGACAATGAACAAAAAATGATTGAGTAATTATTGTTATAAATAATTATCAAAATAATTTAATATTAATTTATAATTTATTTTTTGATAAATCTAAAGAAAATAAATATTCAAACTATTAAATTGAAAAAGGTATCCAAGCTTAATAAAGCATTTTCTAATACTTATCAAGATTTAAATTATATGAATTTTCTTAAGCTATGTCATTGAAATTATGGATCAATCTAAGATCTGCATCTTTATTAAAAAGATTCCTATTAAGAAATAATATTAAGTATTGAATTCGTATATGAATTCAATACTTAAAAAGCTTTAATATCTTTGTTAAATCACCCTCAATATTATTTTCTTGATTAAATATGTTGGAAAAAGATGATTTTAATTGAATATGCAATGCGATTCAGGCTTATTTTGCTATCCACTAATACTTAGGACGAAATGATTCAATTCTAATAGCTTAAACAATTAATTTTTAAAATTAAACTAGGATGGCAATAAATTCTATGACTGCTCTTGTAGCAGAAAAATTATTGAAAGGTTCCACAAATAATTATCTATAAAAACATTTCATAAGGCTTATGACTTTAAGAATTTAACAAAGAGATTTGTAAATAACTAATTATTTAATTATTAATTCATAAATTAAAAATAATATTATTTACGTGTTATGCTATCTGTGCTCCCAGATAAAATTGGCAAAGCATTTGGAAATAGTTCTCTTTCGATCTACTCAAGCAGAAATAATAAATTGGCTGAACTCATCAATTCTAAATATACTGAAGACTTAGTTGAAGCAATCAGAATTTTATACTGCGTATCAATTTCATCTATAATAATAGTAATACTTATAAAACAAGGATCTAACACTTTATATGTCAAGAATAATTAATTTACTTCCTAGAGAGGACCTGGAATTAAAGAGATTATGTTAAATATTGATAAGTGAATTTGCAGCTTAGCCAAATGCAAGAACCAGTAAATCTCAAGGAGATGTCCTTATTTTGGCTACAGCTCCTATTTTTAAAGATTTAACTAATTAAAACACTTCAATTAAATTAAATGCTTTGAAAACATTATCAAGTTTAAGAATCTAAGAACTTACACCAATGCTCTTTACAGCAATAAGAAAGATTTAAGCAGATAAAAATGGATTGGTAAGAAGAAGTGTTGCCTTATCAATTCTTAAAATGCATGATATGTGTAGTGAGGATGTTTAACCAGATGATTATAATGATGTTATCAATTTTCTGCTAAAAGACACTCATCAAACTAGATTATAAGCTATCTATGTGATTTTCAAAATTACAGGTGATCTCTCAATATTACATAAATACTATTTTTAACTTATCAAAGATTTGCTAAATTTTAATAGTTTTGATCTGGAAAGAGCCCTTCAATTATTATATTAATATAGTGTGATGTATTTTAAGGAAGGAGATAAGGATCTAATCAAATTATTGGATGCTTGTGAAATCCTTTTAAAATTACCTTATCCAGGAATAGTTTAAGCAGTATCTAGACTATTCCTTTAGTTCCCTTAAGAATCAAGAATTAAGAAACTTATCAGAACCATTGTTAAATTTTTAAATATAGGATCTGAATCCAAATTTATAATCCTTTAAATGTTACATCAATTTGCACTCTCATATCCATAATATGTAAAAGACGCATTATAGAGCACTTACAATTCTCTAAATTGAAAAACTATATTGTAAATTACTAAAATTAGAAATTCTATCCTTATTGATAGATGAAAATAATTTCAACAATATTCTAGAAGAATTGTTATATTAAGCCAGATCAAATTAACCATAATTAGTAGCAGTAGCTGTCAAGTTATTATCAAAAACTACAATAAAATTTCCAAAATTCATCAAAAGAACTATTAAATCACTTCTAGATATTCTAAAAACTGGAAGTTCTGACACTAAGAATCATGTAATTGCATCTTTTTGCAATTTAATTAGCACTCAAGAAAGTAAACTACCTCTTTTAGCTATTTGTCTTTAAAATATTGATGATATAAGTGATATTAGATATAAAGCTACTGTGATCAAACTACTCAGATAGGAAATAGACTAAATACCAACTATTGCTGCTGAAAGCTTAAGAAAATTATCATTAACTTTTTCTTAATAGCATGAAAACGTTAAATATGAGGTAAATTTATTTTAATTAATATTAGATTTTATTACTAAGCCATTAAATATAAGCGATCCATCAAGAATAACATATAGAATTGTTGCATTAATATATAATGACTTTAGCTAAATTTGACTCAAGTCTCTTGGTTCGAGATCTTTTTAGAACCTTGTCAAAAAGTATAGAATTTAAGGAAACTCTTGTTTTGGAAGAAGAATGTGTTGCTCCTACTTTAGAATTGCACAAACTTCCCATTGGATCATTGTCACACTTAGTTGGAATTCATTTGCCAGGATTGAAATTTCCAACTTATTTAAATGAAGATACAAGTGAAAAAAGAAAAGTTGAAATAATAGTGCCACCATAAAAAGTTGAATAGCCTCCATAACAATAATAATAAAAATAACAATAAATTTAAAAATAATAATCACAACCATCATAAGTTGAAAGTAAAAAAGAAGTTCTTAAACGAGTGGAAGAAGATGTTAAAAAACATTATTAAAATCTGGATTAAGTATTAAATGACTTCTTTACAGATTGATATTATTAATTTATGTATTCTAAGTATTATCAAAATAACAGTTAATTTCTAATTTATAAAATATATCAATCACATTCTCTGACATATATATTTGATTCTGAAAGAATTAGTAAATCTTCATCTCTAAATTATTAATCAAATGTTTCTTCAGGGAGAATGAAAATCTAAATATATTATCTACTATTACTTGATATGAATTATGTGACTAATTAATGATTTATTCAATATTCCAAATTACTTGTAAATTTTCAATTTAGGCTGCAATAACTTTATTATTGTTATCTATTCTCACATGCTAGAAATTAGGATAATCAAATATTCCCATCAAAATCAAATCCTCTGGATTTAATTAAACTCTTATTGGAAATGGTTTTAATTCTAGACGTTATTAATAGCCATTCTGGAGATTTGTTATTACTTATTAAAATTAAATATACTGAGAATTGTTAATAATAATAAATCTATTATATAAATTATAATTTACCTCTCATCTGCACTTAAAAGAATGTCTGAAATGGGATCCCCCAAGCCTTCAAAAGTATTGACTTATTTCATAGTTTTTATATTATCAAAGACAAATACAAAACCTTATTAAGAGCCAATAACAATAGACCCATTTATTGAACTTCTTACAATTGCATAGTTATCCTTCAAATTTTAATCAATTGAATTAACTATTATATTAAAATTAAAATTTACTTTTTTAAATAGTTTTATCTTCATTTAGAACATAAACTTAAGAGTTACTTAACAAAATGAATTATTTTTCATAAGAACAAGCATCAACAATCTAAAAGTTTAACTTAACAATTTCCTGAGTTTCAGTTCCTAAATTTATAAGTTGCAATTCTTATGAAAACTATTAATAAAGGATTAATTTCTAGGAGTTATGTCCTAGACATGATTTATCAAATTTAATTTATTAATTAATCTAAATGTGTTTATTATTCTTTATAAATGAAATAGTTTTATCTTCTAAAATTATTAAATTATCATTTTCACTATGAATGATTTTTTTCGTTTTTGTTATCTTCAAACCCTCCTTTATTGTATTTAAATTATCTTTATATAAGTATTTTTTCTATTTTTTTTATTAAATTTATTAAACTTATGTCTCATTTATATTAATTGTAGTTGCTGTAGAGATAGAACTACATGAGGTATCTAATTATAAATTCTTTTTTTATTTCATATTTATTCTTGATCTCTATAAAATGAAGGCCATAGATGTTGCTCCATCCAAAACATCGAATTTGAAATATATTACAATTGAATTGTATCCATCAAAATAAACCCAACTTAAATAATTCTCATCTTTATCTACTTCAAAACTAATGAAGTCTTTTAATGATTAAATTAATAATAATTGTCTATCTTGATTGTATAATTCCATTCTGCATTCTGTTTTAGATATAATATTTAATGCCATAACCACTAATGGATTAATGAGTCTAATTTCTGCTAATTCAGGATAAAGGACATACAACTTTCCAGTATATATTTACTTAATAGAATCAATGTCTTGTTGTAAAAAATAATTGATAACATCTCCTATACTTTCCTTCTCCTATCTAGTTCTTGTTGTTGGTTATGATAAAATTGATCTATCAACTTTCTTCAATGTTTTCTTCATCTGTTTCTATTAGACTAGATTATGCATCTCTAACTTAGAAGATTATTTTGCAGGAATCACATCATTCAATTCAGCCGAATTTTTTGGAAGTGCCTTTTTGTTCTTCTAAATCCATATTAATTTGCTTAAAAACAATTTAAAATTTTAAATTTTTAAATTGTCTGACTTTGTATTCTTTAAAAAATGCATCCTTATATTCCATTTAATACCTTATATATCTCTAAATTAATATATTAATTTGATACACTAAATCTAAACTGAACTCCTCTACTTGATCACTTAATGATGAATGGCAAATTGATTTAAAAAATGAAATATTAAAATAATAGTCTCCTTCTTTTGAACTAATAGCATTATTATATGGTTTAGAGGCTCTTTGTAATCGAACAATAAGAATATGATCGAATTCATCATTTGATAATTTGTCAAATACAAATTCTGTATTAGATGATCTAAACATATATAAAATTACTTACAATTTTGTGTACTTAGCTTCATCCTCTTTAAAGAGTGTTCCTAAGATTACAAAATCAAATATCTCTTATTCAACTAATGGTTATTATGTTCCTACTACTTTATTGAATATACCCTTAATAAAATTCATTTTAAATAATTAATCATTTTTTTATTTTCCAAATAGTAAATATATAAATTAAACGAGCATGCATCAGTAAATTTTTTTGCACAACATTCATTTAATATTGATCTAATTTTCCTCCTGGTGGCGACCATGGTTTGGCTTTAGAGTTAAGTAAGATCTAAATTATCTAAATATGTTATTTACTTTAAAACAATCATTAGAATTGGATTTAAACGAATAATATAAAGGCGATAACTATTTATTATCTAAGGCTTCAATATTACTGCCATTTTTAATGAATAATTTAACCAAAAGAGCGTTATTGCAAATGCAAGCAATATGCAATGGAGTTTACCCATCTTTGTTTCTGCTATGAATTAGATATGGATCCTTCGATAATATCAAAATGATGCCATCCTAATTGCCTTCTATAATTGATTCATAGAATTAATTATTATATTTGATTGGATACTCAAACCAAAAATCAACTCTACACTTATATTTAGCAACAAATAACACTTATTTTAAAATTTTTTGAAATCTCTCCCGTATTTTATGAGAACAATTGATTAATTTAGTTCTTGATTTAAGCATTTTATGTTATGTAACAGGTACTCTTTTTTTTCTTTATTCATTAGTAAGACGTTGTATTTATTAAAAAACAGACTTAAAAGTTGATTATTTCATATTAATCATATCATTAATTTGATTATCATATTTTTTTTCTTGTATGATTTATTTATTTGATTAATGAAATTGAAAACGAATTTATTGATTTTGAATTGATTTAATTTAAGCTGTAACCATTTCCTTATCGATATCTTCAACATAAATCTAATTATCTTATCTTGATAAACTTCTTTTATGAAGTATGTTACAGATCTCATAATTTGATAAAAATCTACTTAATCTTCTTCTTGATTATTCATCAATATAACTTCCTCTAATTTTCTTTTTTTTTGTTAATTCATTCTCAATTTAGCTTTTATTTGTTTAATGAGTTTTTCTTGAAGTCTTAATTTAAGATTCCTATCCAGTCACAACAGAATTTCTTCTTGTTTATATTCGAGTAGTATTGATCTAAGATTGAGAGTTTTACTCAACAATACTATTTTTTCTTTTTAATTGCCAAAAAGCAAGATGCTTTTGATCAGATTGAGTTTATTAAGATTGTAAAAGTGATTCACTTATTTGGCATAAAACCTGAATTTAATTAATTGTATTACATTAACTTTTTTGTCATTCTAACACAACTAAGATTATTTTGGTTTATCTCTCCAAGTATAGTAAAAGTATTTTTCTTGAGTTTCCATTACAAAAACTTATTAAATGATAATATAATTCCATGTGAATGAATTATAAACTTACTAAGTGAATTGTATTATTGATTGATTAAGAACTATGTTAAGAGGTATTGATTTTTGAATTCTAAAAACACATCATCATAGTTTCTTTCAAATTTTCGTGAGGTGTACACATATTATAAGGGTATTGAGTACATTCAATTGAAACTTTATTTGCATTTTCAGTTCTGCACTATTATTAGATATGAGTAGTAAAATGTATTTACAAGATTGTTTCTTTTTATTAATTATTTTATGAGTAGTTTCGATACAAAATTAAATTTTTTGTAACAAGAAATCAAAATACTGACTGAAGAAAATAAGGAGTTAAGATAACTAATTCAAATGAATAAAGAGATCCTAAAAATATACAGAGGATAAACCAGTACTAATGTAATAAGGTTAAAATATATTAGACTTTGCCAAATGGACCTTTGATTACTTTAGAAGTTTGTAAGACTGAGTCTTATGAAGGCACTGACACTCAAAATATGCTCTCTCACTTAATAGAAGAAAATTGTAAATTGTTTTCTTTTAATGAAGACTTAATAAAATAAAGAGATGATTTGAGAGCATAGGTTTTTTGATTTTATGATTGTTAGAATTTGCTTCTGTAATAAATAGGGATGGAAAATTCTTAAAGAATCTTGGATATTCAAAGTGAGAAATAAATAAAGCTGATCGACCTATAGAATTAACTTCTTGTGAAGGATAATCAAATAGTTGAATTAAATGAATAGTTATAAGGTTTGCTATAGAAAAAAAGAATGAGAACTAAAATAGTATTAATATAAACCTATAAAAGCCTATATCAATACAGAATGAATACTTGTCCTTTTAGAACTAATTGGAAGCAATGTACAAAATGCTCATCAAATACTATGAAGAAAATAGGATACAAAAGTAAGAGAATAAGAAATTGTAAATGATCATAGATATAGTAAAAAATGATAAAACTGAAGATAACAATAAATAGCTAAATGAATAGAGTCCATAATTGAATGAATCGAGTTTTGTTGACTTTTTACCTCCTTAGATTTCTACGACACAGAATCATTAAATTCCAATTCCAAAATTAAATTTAGGTAAAGCCCAAAAAATATAGTAATTGACAGTTGAAAAATAATTGGAGTAAGAAGAATAATAAATTCAATTGGATAAAGTATTATAAATGGACCAGAAATTATTTATCACAAGCAAATCATCAACTCCTTAAAATAAAAATGGATATTACATTAATCCTAATAAATTATTAATTCAACTAACATCTTTTGCTGATTAAAATAAAACTCTCTAAAAAGAATTAAATTAATGCAAGACAAAATTGTAGGATGAATTGCTTCTAAACAAAGCTTTAGAAATTTAGTTGGAGGATATGAATAGATATGTTAGTGAATTGGAAAGCACAAATGAACTGTTGATTAAATCATAAATTGCTTTAGAAAACAATTTTTAAAAATTAAAATAATTTATTATTTAGGGCAAGAAAGAGTAATAACTTATCAAGCATAAATATAATGTTTCTTTACAAAATTTCAGCTAAATAATTTAGTAAACAAAGAAAAGATGTAATTCTGAGTACTGATATATATTTTAATATAAAATAATAAATGAGAAAAAATAAACCAACATAATAAATTGTTGTCAATCATGACAATTCTCCCTTTAAAACCAATTTAGATTATGATGAAACAGAATAATTGCCTGTCATTAAATCTAAATCTGTTAGAAAACCATCCAAAAAGAATTTTGAGATCAAAAAGATCAGGGTTAAAGTGGTCACATCTGAAAAAAAATTGGTTATTAATATCAAATAAAGCAAATTGAATCCATTACAAAAGGAAGAATCTCCTCCTTAAAGTGAAACTAGATAGTCACAATCATAAGTTGATTTAAAACCCAAAGAAGATAATAATCGATCAGTATCAATAATCAAAAGATCTACACATTAGAAGATAGAGATAGTAGAAAATTTAGAAGACAACTTAGATTCATATGTTAAGCTTTACTACTCTATCATTAATTTGATTGATGCAATGAGGAAAGTAATATTATTTCATTTTAAATAGTCAAGGATGTGAGTGAATTAGTGGATTCAATCAATAGATTTTAAGAAGTGATTGATGGAGTGCATTTTTAAGCACTAGAGAACCTTTTGATTGATAATAGCAAGAAATTTAGATAAATTTTGATATTAATAAAAACAGGAGTAAAAATATTATATTATAAATTTTAGATAATTGTTGTGGTAAATTGCTTTTTTGATTAGCATGTCTTCTCAACTAATAATGTAAATTTTAGAAACTTACTGATATATAATTTATAAAACTATTTATTTTTAGGAGAATTCATAATCTAGAAGACCTAAAAATAAGAATTAGTAACAATAATTATGCAAAATAAAAAGTATTTTGGAAGTAAAAAAATAGAGTCAAGCACTTAGATTAGACAAAATCTTGAATTACTATAAGGGTTGTATAAGACTTTAACTAAATAATCTAAAGATCTTTATTAATTTTTAAATTCATATTTTAGATTGATTCCTAATTTAAAGATAGTCGAGAGTAATTAAATGCTATAAAACTTTACATCACTATACTTCACTATTTAATAAGGTTATCATGGATTATTGGGTATTCCATTGATAAGTGTAGCTCACAAACCTTACCTTCCAAATGAAGCAACACATGACTTCACTCTTATATTAGACATGGATGAAACTTTAATTCATTACGTTGAATAAACGAAAAGTTTTTTAGTAAGACCATTTGCAGAGTAGTTTCTGTAAGAAATGAGCAAATATTATGAGATAGCTGTATTTACTGCTGGATTACCAGATTATGCAAATTGGGTACTTGATTAAGCTGCTTTCAATAAATACATCCAGTTCAGATTGTATAGATAGCATGCTATGCAGTATCAAAAACACTTTGTTAAGGATTTATCAAGACTGGGTAGGAAGATGGCTAAATGCATAATAATAGATAATATTGAAGCTAATTATCAGCATTAAGAAGAGAATGGTATTTAAATAAAGACTTGGTACAATGATCCGGATGATAAGGAATTGCTTAAATTGAGTGTATTTTTAAGAAAAATAGCAGAAGATAATTGTGATGATGTTAGGGATGCTCTTAGATAATATAAAAATGCTTAAGTAAATTGATTCTCTTTATCGAATGAATAAATACCTAAATAAAAATTAATTAATTAACAATGTCTTCATTTAGACCGCAATCCTCTTAGATTATTTCAGTCAGATCACCCAGTCGAGGTATGTAGATTTAATTAGAAATTAGTTGTTCCTCCTGTTGTTAATATGGGGACATCATATGTTATACCTGCTGCTCAAAATTTGCCTACTACTGTAATTGTAAAGGAAAAGAATCCAGGATCATATAATTATGATAAAGAAGTTGATGAAAGTGCAAGGGATGAATTAGAATAGTGGAAAAAGAAGTACTTTTCATTAGAAGCTCGATTAGCTAAATATGAGATAGATAATGAAATTGTAATCTAATTATGAGTTATTATTTAGAAAGATGAATTATAATCAAGGATATTAGGTTCATAGGAGGATGTTAAAAAGTTTTAGATAGATTTTACTAAAGCACAAGCTGATTTGGATAATTAGAAATCTGAGATGAATAAGTTGATTATTGAAAATTAGAAATTGCTAAATTAATAAGTTGAGGTTGAAAGATTAAAAAAATTAGTGGCTGAAAGAGAGGATACAATAAGTCAAGTATCTAATTAAAATAATTATATAGCTTTTATAAAAATGCAAGGAATATTAAGAGTAATTCTAAGAGCTGGAAGCTTTTCAATAGGCTCTTTAAGATATGCATAATCAAAACCAAGGAAAAGAATTAATGATTGAGACTTGGAAATAAAAATACATTGAAAATGACAATAAAAAATAAAAAGAAATTGATGAACTTAAATCAAAACTTGCAGAATTTAATCCTGCAGAAGTTCAAAACTTAAAAGATTAATTTTAAAGAGAAAGACAAGAATCGTAGAATCAATTAAAAAAATAACAATCTGATTTAGCTGCTGCCCTTAAATAGCTAGATCAATGGAAAATTAAATATAATGTAATTCAAATCTTATATGATAGAATCTGGATCTCTAACATCAATAATTATCATCTGCTCAAAAAGAATCAATTGCTAGAGTTGAGACTTTGACCCAAGAGTAAAACAAGTTGTCTACTCAGATTCATTAACTTAATGAAGATAAACAAAAATTGTAAATTGAACTGGAATAAACCAAAGGATAGCTTAAACTTCATTAAGGCTTGATTGGAGAATTAGATAGGATTAAAAAACTATTATCTGATAAGAGTGCTGAATTATAACAAATGTTGTAATAATCGTAACAAAAGGACATAGATTTAAATAATGCAGAATTGACTATTTCTGAATTAAATCAAAAAATCAAGTCATTATCACTTTTATAGTAAGAAAACTAAAGATTGTAACATGAAATTGATGAATCCCATAGAGAAAATGAAAAACTTGCTCAAGAAAATTCTCAATTATTGAAGGATATTGATAAATTTAAACTTTTAGAATAAGAGAAATAGTAATTAGAAAGTAAAGTAAGTATGTTGGCATCAGAAATAGAGAGATTAAAAGTTTAACTTAAATAAAAAAACGAAAAGATATTAGAGTAATAAGAAGATTTGAAAAATTTATAAGAATAGTTAGGAGAAATTGAATAATTAGAGAATTAAAATCAATAATTATTGAAGGAATTGGAATAAAAAGATAAAATCATAGAAGAATTAGAATAAAAATTACAAGAACTCAATGTTCTTGAATAAAAATTGGCTGATGCTAATAATAAAATATATGACTTAGAAAACAAGGTAGCAATGTTGAGTGCTGAATCTTAAAGATTGAGATACTTGAATGATCAAAAAACAGAACAATTGAAAAATGCAGAAGAATAATTGTCAGATTTAAATATATTGAAAGAAAAATTAAGTTAATTGTAAAACAAGTATGATGCATAACAATAGGTGAATTAAAATTATTAAGATGAATTAGAAAAACTGAGAGGTTAATCGAATTAAGCAAATACAAATATAGCTGAATTAAAACGATAATTAGAAGAATAGAAGGCTTAAGATATTATTCATAAGCAATCCAATTCCGAATCTGTAATTGCAGAATTGCAATAATAGCTTAGTTCATTATAACAAAGTTATAAGAAGGTTTCAGAATCAAATTTAGCAAATGAGGAAGATCCAACTTTAGATTTATAAAATAGATTAACTCTTCTTAAATAAGAAAACCAAAGATTAAATTAAACTATTTAGCAAAAGAATTAAGAAGTCCTTAATCATTAATAATAAAATCAAAATTTATAATAAGAACTATTAGAATTAGACTCTTTAAAGGTCTAAATTAAAGAATTGCATGAATCTAATACTGTATTATAAGAACAATTATAAAATGAGGCTAAAGGGAGATAAGAATTGGAATAAAGAATTTAATAAACTGAATCTGAGAAGTACGATTTATAGAGTAAGTGTGCAATGTTATCCACTCACATTGAAGGAATGAAATATAAATTAGATAAGATGGAAAACGTGGATGATCTTAAAAAGAGAATTTAAGAATTAGAAGGTTAATTAGCTGAAATGTAGGCTCTAGAATTGGAAATAGAAAGCTTAAAAGATAGAATAGCAGAACTTGAGAAAGAATTAAAATTATGGAAATAAAAGCATGAATCCTTAGATTAGTCATATTAATAATTACAGATGACTAAAGAATAGATGGAAAATAAATTAGCTATGCTTTCATCTGAAATAGAAAGACTTAAAGTCTTAAATAAAAAAAAACAAGATGAAATTGATTAATAAAATTAAGAATTGATAAAATTAGATTAAGAAATGAATGATTTACATAATTAATTAGAAGATATTAATGAATTAAAAACTTAATTAGGTTCTCTTGAGAACTAATTACAATAACAAATTGATGATAATTAAGATAAATTAAATGAGATTACTCATCTAAAATAATAAGTAGCTGAAATAGAAGGTTTATTGGTAAATTAGGAAGATTTACAAAATCAAATAAAAAAATTAGAAACTGAATCACAATCAAAAGATGAAATTATAGATTAATTTAAACAAAAGTTAACTTAATTAGAAAGTAAAATAGCCGAACTTGAAGATATTAAAGTATGTCATTATTATTAAAACATTAGTATAAATATGAGGATAAAATGGCACTTTTGAGCAGTGAAGTTAAAAGATATGAATTTAAAGCAAAGAAATTAGAAGATAAATCTAATGAATTAACAACTTAAGTTGATCATTTAACTGCAGATTTGAATGAGGCAGATTAGAAAGTTATTGAATTAGAAAAAGTAAAATGTCTATTTACAATTAGGATTTAGGATAATGGAAATTTGAATATTCAAAATTAAATAGTCTTCAATACAAGATTGATGAATATAGTTTCTTATTGGTAGTTTCCTTTGCTGAAATTGAAGCTTTAAGATCATAAGTCACGACATTAAATGAGTAATTGGATGGTCATCAAAAAACAAAAGTAGCATTAGCGTTAGCATAATGAAGAATATTATAATAAAAAAATATTAAACAAATTTATTTATGAATAAAATTCTAAGAGGATTTTCAACTGTAAAATCAATGAAATACATCAAAGATAAACAACCTATTTTAAAGATTAGCGAATTACCTTCTGGAATTAAAATATTTACTGAATAAACTGCTTTTCCATTTGCATCTGATATAGGAATTTGTTTCAAGGCTGGATTAAGAAATGAGCTTCCCTCAGAAACTGGCTCACTATTCAGTCTTAATTAACATATGTATCATATTTCTGAAAATGATTGTTTGGAAAATTTGTAAATTTATCAGCTATTTAGTGAGCAAACTCTTCGAACAGGCTGCATGCTGGATTAAACATATGATTCAGAATTATCATATTGGAAATGCTAATTTATATAGGAAGATTTTGATATGATTGTAGATGTCCTATTAAAGCTTGCTTTGACGACCAAGAGAATTGCAAAAGAAACCAGAGATTAATTTAGTTAAATGAATATTCCTTAAGAGAGAGTATTATATTGCAAATATTTAGATGACTGTAGATGAAGTTATTAAAAGAGCTGCTTTTGGCACACATCCATTAACAAATGCTAAAACATCAGCACAAATATTGCCAAAATAAGAAGACTTTTCAAGATTTTAAGAATAAATGCTTACTAGTTAAAATATGATTATTGGTTATGCAGGAGTGTGGAGTCATGAATAATTTAGAGAATACATTGAAAAAAAATTAGTAAATCATCAATAATGTAAGAATTTCAAAAAATCTGCTAGTTTTCTAAAGGTAATTAAGGAAATAAACTTCCCCAGAGTTCCATTCTCAAGTATTTGCCTTAAACGATGAGAAAAATGATACTCTTGATATTGCATTACTATTTAAAGGAAGTAAATGGAGTGATAAGAATATGCCTACTCAACATATTTTAAATCAAATTTTAGGATCTTCAAGTATTTGTAGTATTTTATAGGTTCCTGGTCAACTGGTGGTCCTGGTAAAGGAATGAGATCCAGAACAACTCTGAATTTAATGCAATCAATATAATCTGTGGAAGAGGCAGCAGGAGTTTCTTAAGTGTTTTCAGATGCAGGAATATTTGGGTTAAGAGTTTAAGGACCTCCTAGTTCTAAATAGGAATTATACGAATGCTTAATTGATGAATTCAGATAATTGGGGTAACCAATGAGTGATGAGGAATTTTAGAGAGGCAAAAACATAGCCATCACATTAATTAATTTGAATTTGGAGAGACAAGCTGATCGTTTAGAAGAATAAATAAAAACAGTATTTCAATCAAATTATGCAAGACATTCCTGATGGGATAAAATGCTGTGCCCCTTTATGAGAGTTTGATCGAAAATGTTACTAAAGAACAATTATAGGATTATGTAAAAAATTTTATAAATAATTCTGAACCAACTCTTATGTACTATGGTAAAAATGTAAAGGATATTCCAACAATGTAATAAATTAAAAAAAATTTGAGAAAATGATATTTATGTTATTATCTATATATATTTGATGTTGAAAATTATCAATTCTATTATTAATCATTCATTTAATGCAAACTCAATGCATTCTATCTCCCATAAGTTTGGTTACCATTTTTTATATAATCTAACAATCTATTGGTCGTTAGTTATTTTAAGGTTGCATTTAATAATAGGAGGGCTGATTTAAATATTAATTTTCTTAATTAAATTGTCCTTGATTTTGATAAACAGGACTTTGTGACGCACTTTAATGCTGATAATCATATCTTCGTTATTTCTATTTTGCATAACCCTCATATGATTAAGTCATTTATTGATTTTAATGAAATTATTCGTATTAATTACTCTATCGGTTATGTGAATAACTTTATTAAGTTTGCAACTATTGCCTAGATTGTTTTTCTAATTTAAAATTTCCTTTTTACATAGTTTAAGACTTTTTAAGAAAATAAGGATATGCTTGCATGTGCATATCATTTTAATTATCATATTAATATTGAGCCTAATATTAGAATTATTGTAAATGGTTGGGATGGTAGGGCGTATTGTAGGCATACTAATTCTAAGCTGATTATTAGTAAAAATTATATTCTTATTGCTGATTTTTCGATGTGCCTTAATAACCTTATTAACAAAGTTGATTCTGATAATTATAACTTTTCTTTTATAAGGATGGTTATTAATATTAATTTTATAGATAACTTTAATATTATGATTAGTTTTATTGATTATAAGAATATGGTGATTAATCAAAGGAATAATCTTGTTTCTCATAATTGTTTTAATGTTGTTAAAATATTGTATTTGATTCATTCTAATTTTAAGTCTGATTGTATTTAGCTTTTTTATTTTTGACAAAGTTTGTTTCTGTATTTCTGTTTTACAATTAACCATCTCTTTAACCTCTTTTATCATAATTTCTTCTCTTTGCAGCAGGTTATTTATTTAAATCATATTTTTTATTTTCTGACTTATCTGGTTAAGAGTTTTACTAATTTGTAGACACTAATGGAATTGATTTTTGAGCTTTAATAAGAACTATCTTATCTAAATGTTTATCATGAGGACTCTTTATTTTCTTATATTTTTCTTTTATTTCTTTAAAAACACCTTTACCTGGGACTAATCTTTTTATTATCGACATAACGCTTTAGAATAAACTTGTGGATTCTAGACCTTCGCTAAAGAATTTATTGTTAAGTTTCTTAATTGCTATCAATCTTGTTATTATATTTACTATATCTAAACATGGTCCTTTGTATTTCTTTATCTCCTTATTGTTATTGTTGACTTAACATATTATTACTGATCCCAAGTATTCTTTTTCAACTTATTTCACTTCAATTATTGTGGAATATTTATGTATGGTAATGTGTTTGATTATATTATAAGTTGCTAAAACAAATTCTTGTAAATTTTTTGATGGGCTTATGGGTGGTTAAGCTAAAAAGTCTTCTATTTAAATATCAAGATTTTCTAAATCTAAATATGATAACAGTTTCTCAACCATCTTCTATGTGTCACCCATATATTCAAGTTCTGGAAAAATATGTTATGGTTGATTTTCAACAAGTTTTGATTTATAAAATTATTCTAAATTTGTAATTAAACTCTTTTTTGTTTGCTTTTCATCTAAAATAACACTATCAGATTAACTTAAATTTGAATTATTCTCTTCTTCATTTCCCTTATTAAGTACAAAGTTTTCTTCATCGCTGCAATAATTTGCAGAAGATTTCTTTGAGGGAGATAGAACAAATAAATCTGAAAAATTTTGATTTTCAAAGTTCTATTATTAATTAAGATTAAATAATCCACCATCACTAAAATCTTAGCTAAATCGATTTTCTTAAATAAATTCTTGATTAATAAATTATTGACTACTCTATAAATGATTTGATTCTGTTTGATTTCCTTAACTTTATATTTGTTAATTAATCTTTAATTTATCAATATTCTCATGTTGTTGACTAACAATATTGGTACAAATATTTTTATTATTATTTTCAAGATTTGCTGATTTTTCTAGAATGTTATTTCTATCTTATTCCTTTAATATTAAACAATCATTTTATTATTCATTATCTTATTTTTTTAAATCAATTTCTTCAAACCTCTCAATTATTTCACTATCTGAATTTTCTGTTGTTTTAGACCATTTTTCCATCAAAATTGGGGCTTTTTACTATAGAACCTTAAAGAACTCATCTTTATTTTTACATTAAACACATTAAGCCTTAAATACTGGCCACCAAATATCAAAAGAATACTAATCTTCCAATAATTCATACACCCCTTCCAAAGTTGTATATTATTGTATGACTATATTTTCTTATTCATTTTCAGGTAACTAGTAAATTTGCATAGTATTTATATCCAAATTGTTGTTTTAGTCTTAAATTTCCTTTTTGACATCATTTTTAACTTAGTTTATTTCTTCTTTTTTTTTAGGGTCTTCTTAAGTTAATGAGGTATCTTATTTTTTTTTTTACTCTTTTTACTAAGGATATTCTTCTGTTAAATTTTCAGAATCAATAGACTTTTTACTGATGATGTTGCATATTAAGTCGTTAATTTAATTTTATTATTTCTAAATTTCTAAACCAGAACTGCCTTATCCTTGTTGATTAAAGCATGCAGGATTAGATTAAATTAAATTTGGTTCTTAATTCAAATTTTACTTTTTTTGTTTCCCTTGATTTTATTTTTTAGATTGTTTTTTTTAAGTAGTTTTAGTAGGATGAGTATTTGTTTCTACATATTATGTCTCATATTGAACATCATTTAGAACTTACATATAATTATTTTCTCGAATGCAATCGTCTATTTAAACTTTGAATTAATCAATTATTTAATCTTTTCCGTTTTTTCCTTAAGTTCTCTTATTCATATTTGATTAATGATGTTCTTAAAATCGTGGACTTTTATACTATCCACTCTGAACTTAGAGGTTCAATTCATATAAATTCATAATCTTTTTTAACAATACTCCAATGAATTACTAGTCATTTAATAGATATTGTTGAAAAATTATTAGAACTAAATCAATATAAAGTTATTCGATAAACCATTATGAACAAGTGCTAGTCTGAAATGTTTAAAAAAGCTACTAATTTTCAGAGGAGTTTTATGTGAAGACTTATAATAATCTTAAAATTTGAGATTTATTTGAATTAAATAGGACATTAGCTAAAGTCTTTAGTTTATCAAATAAGATTGGTTTTGATTCTTCTTTAAATTCTGCTGATTGTAATTGTTATTTATAATACTCTAAAATGGCAACGACATCAAATTAATGTGGTCTTATTATACTGTAAGTTCTGCAATCTAATATGGATTTGCTGTCAATCAAAAAAATCATTTTTCATGATCACTTAAATTAAATGATTATTTGATTTAAAAAATCATTGAATTGATTATGATAATAGACTTCGAAATTAAAGTAGGATTAAACTTTCAAAAACCAAATCTAACTATATTTCAGAATGCATTATAACATCTGAGGTAAAATATTATATAAATTGATATTTTGTCATTATAATCTTGGTAATTTGATTTTAGATCTACATTTAATCTCTGCAAACTTCAATGAGCGTTCATCGGTGATATCATAATTAGCCAATGCAGCAGCCAACTTATACGCAGCATTACATTCAGCCTTTGATATAAATATATGTATATACTTCAGATAAGAAAACTTCAGGATCGGAATTAAAGAGTACTTTGCTTTTTAGGTTTTATCTATACAACTTCTCAAACAATTGAGGATCCACTTTTTTATTCTTTTTGGATGTAGCAGCTTTGCCCAATGATGGAACTTAAATAGATTTAATTTAAGGAGTTGAAATACTGACTTTGATTCCATGTTTTAAATTTTCTTATAAATCTTATTATTACTGTTTCAATTCTTTAACAATTTCACCTTGATTTGTAATACTATCAAAATTAATTTATTGATTTCCTCCTTACGTAATTTGATGTTGATCTTTTTATTGAACTTTGTGTTTTTAGAGAACTTATTCTGGTTTTAATTTTTGATTGAATTGTAAAGAAGCCTATTGTTGATGATTATTGTTTCCCTCATCTTCCTTCAGTATTGGTTTATGATTGGAATCAAATTACTTGGCATCATCAGTTGAATAGTTTTGCACTTTAAAATGTCGATTATGGATTCCCTATTTAACTTATTTCTCATGTACTTCCTTCTCTTTGATTTTGACTTAATCAAACAACGTCTTAATTTTTTATTCATATTTTTCATAATATTCTTTGAATCCTATTTCTAATTTCCATTCTGGATTGCTCTTTATCGTAGTCAATTTGGATTGATCTATTTTTTCTAAGTAATAAAATGGATTGAATTCTTCCTGGGGAGATTTGGTTAAGCCGAGAGGATCAGAAATCTTATCCTCTAAAACCTATATTTAAGGCAATTATCCATTCTGTTCTTCTGATAATAATTATTGTATTAATTGTGTATATTTCAGATCCACTCTCTCATTCAAATCAGTATTATAAATTTCTTCAGTTCCGCTTCTTTTTAAAGCAATGGGTCTTGGCTCTTTCCGATCATAATTTTGTTGAAATGAATCAATAAATTTACCAGTTTCAGCATCCCATAATTTGACTTTCTTATCGAAAGCAGTTGTGATAAGAAAGTTTTCTTTTTCAACATACTCTAAGGATTTAATTACTTCATAATGTGCCCTTGTAATCCATTTCATTTTAACTTCTTTTTAAGGTACTTTAGGTAATGCTAGCATTTGTCTTGCATTTTAAGTGGATCCAGTTTTAATTCCCTTCATTCTTTTGGTGGCAGCATCTTCCTTATCTTTTTCATTGACAACATTAATCAAAAAATCTACTAGCCAATCAACTTCGAAACATTTAATAAATCCTTTATCATCACTAAGAAAGAGAACCTTTTTTTCTTAACTGAACACTGCATTTGAGATCCCTAATAATTGACTAGGAATTTCTGGATCTATATTGGTAAAAGTATAAACTTTGACAAATCTATGCAATACTGGAGGCATGGACATGATTGAAACTCTTCCTTAACTATTGGTAACAAATAGAAAAGGAATTCCTTTGATTAAATTGATAGAGGTAATTTCTTCGCCTTATTTGAATTCATTAGCAACACCATGCAATTTGTTTGTATCAGTTTCATAAAATCTAATTTAACCAGAATTAGTGCCTGCCAATAAATGTTTCATTGCTGGATCATAACTCAAGTAAGTTAATTAACCATCTTAGATTATAAAAGTACGTAACAATTCACTTTCTCCAAATTCATTATCTAAAGTCATAAACACATTATTATCCATTGATCCTGTAAAGAATGCTCCAATGTCTGATGCATGAACTATAGCAACAACTTCACCAGAGTGTTTAGGTAGATTCTTGATCTTTGCTCCATTAATTACATTAAATAATGCTACTGTTCCACTACTGTCTCCTATTATAAATCGTTTATCTAGATTATCCAATTTAAAAGCCGTGATTTCTGTTGTTGTAATATCACTATATATTTTCTTTACATCTCCAGTTAAAGCATTCCAAATCTTTATTTTAGTTCCTGCAGGTGTGAAAAATGCCATTTGATTTTCTATGAATTTACAACACACTGCAACATAATCATCTACTGAATTGGGATTATAATTCTTATCATATTCATAGGAATAAATCGATCTGCCTCCAAAGATCAGCTTTAATGGTTTTGGGATGTAGCATAAGCTGGAAGGGTTGAATTTATGTTTTTCATCTTGTGTCTCCACACTAAATTGTTAAACACAATTAAATTTCTTCGTATCCCAAACCTTTACACTACCTTCTTAATCCAAAGATACTATCTATGATGTACCTTCAATAACCACAACTCCAATCACTGGACTACTGTGTCCTTATATTTTAAAAATCAAGCTTTCTATATATGGATTCCAAACGCATAAATTATGGTCGAATCCTGCAGAAAATAGTAAGATCAAACTTTCATTAAAAGCTAATGATACTATTCCTCTTGTATGTTCCTTATATGTTCTCTCTCTTTTATTATAGAGAGTATTCCACAAAATTAAATTACCATCCAAACTAGCTGATGCCATAAATTATAATTTTGGCATTGCGATCATGTCCATTACTACATCAGTATGACCTCCTTCACTTTACAATTAAGTTTCTGTATCTGTTTTTAAGTTCCAGATATTAATTTATCCTTCCTTTTGACCACAATACAAAATTTCATTTATTCCATCCCAAGTCATACTATAAATGTCATTATTAAAATGATGTTCAATCATCTCCTCATCGTTATCAGGTTAGTTGGCTAATACGAATCCAGAGGATTAATATCTCCACCCTCTTACATAACCGTCATGAGTGGATGTCAACAGCACTTGATACTTGGGATCATCGATGTAGAGCATGGTCAAGATTTTAGTCTTCTTCTCAATGGTGTCTTCTTTCTTCACAATAATAAACTAGTTTATAATAAGATTTAGATACATTTTGTTTATCCTTATCCTTTTTTGCTTGAGTCGTCACAACCTTATCGCTAATAGGAACAATTTTTAAAGGTTTCAATCCATACCCTCCGTCGGGAGTCATAAATTAGATTTCATCACTTCCTTCTTCAAAGAATGCTATTTTATCAATCTCCTTGATGTATATTACTCGAGTGATGATTTGAGTGAATTTCTTGAATGGTTTCATATTAGATTTAGTATAGAGTTTGATCTCATCTTATTTAGACTTAATATTATTTAATACAGTTGCTTTTTCAATAATATAGTTTGTGAATTCCTCCCATTCCAATTTCCCATTACCATTCAAATCGATCTCCTCAAACAGATTCACCAGTTATCTTATTAGATTAAATCAATACCTAATCAATTTTATATCTCTGTTGGAGATTTCTAATTGCCAACTTAACAAATGCTCTTTCACAACCAAAATGAATTCTGTCACTTCCATAGATCCTTGTCTCATTAGAAACTCGGTTCTCAAAACATTAATTGTGAAGGGATCAAAATTAAGAGTTAGATCAGCTAATAAAGTTTCGTCGGTGTGTAAAATCTATTTATATGTTGAACGAGGTGAGTAGATGGGCACAGTATGATCTAGTTTCGAAAGCTTTTTTATTTACGTTGTCATAAGAATATTAATTATATAAATTAATTATAATTTAATTCCAAACTCTCATTCTCAATTTTCAACAACACCCCCAAAATATTGCTAAGAATATCATAATTTAATACTTCACATCATTCACATTGAGTTTGCTAATATCAATACAATTTTTTGAAATCACACCATCCTTATCATTATCTAAACAGTCAAATATTTGCTAATAATATTTCTCCTATTTTATCTATAAAGATTGCTGATTCTGCTTTTGCAAAACTCTTGTGTTGGGTCTAAACGTGCAGTTTTCATCTAAAACATCCAACTTATCTATATGCTTTTATCTGCTTTTATTTCTCTCCATTTACTTTATCTTACCTTTCAAGTATAGATTCTCAAATCTGTTCTTCTCCCTGAAAGTTTAACAATTATCGGCAATTTGCTTGAAGGGTTGCTAATTTATGAACTAGTTTCTCTAGAACTATTATAGATTTTCTTTTTGCACTGAATGCAAATTATTTTAAGAATGAGATTTCTCAAATTTAATTTTGTTTTCAACTAAAAACTCACTTAATTAATATGAAGATTTAAATGGAGTAATCTTCTGTCTTACATTAAAATACTTTTCATAACATTAAGCTATATTACTATATTGAGGCAACACTGAGGCTGACTATATAAATCTTATTAGATTCTCAGTAACTAAGTGTAGATTTGTTAAATTTAAACCAAATTGTGTGCAAAACTAAACCCCTAACTATTGGGGAGTGAACATGGAATTGATTTAGAATTCTTCCATCTTATCTAAGATCAATATAGATAACATTTGATTGGAATTTTGAAGGCTGCTCAACGAAATCATTTTCGAAGTCCTTTATAAATTTCAATTGAATTATTAAAAATTACTATAATATCATTTAGGAGTGTGAAAATGTATTATTTCATAAATCTTAAGATTATGTAATTTATGTTAGCCTGATCTATATAAAAGTGTTATTAATTTTTCAAAATTTATTATAAAATGAGAAGAACAACATAAACAAAATAATTAAGCTTATTTGACTCAATCCTATCAGGGTAAGCATAAAAAGAAGAGGAGGAAAAGTAGATGAAATATAGTGTGAAGAATCAAAATGACTAAGGTATCCAAAACACAAAATCATTGCATAATTTAGTAATTTATTATAAAATTCTTAGAATGATATCTTTTATTCAAACATCATGGATTATAAGGATTTCAAATAATCGTTGAGATACAATAACAAAAATTTGAAAAAAATAGCTTTGGAAAATATTAAGAATCCTCATCCAAAAATTATTAAGAATTTAATTAAGTTCGATCTAAGTGGACTTGTAGAATTAAAGTTGGTCAGTATCGATATCACTGATTCTAAATTTGAAATGTTTCTGAAAAAGGGAGGTTTATCAAATTGTTTTAAAAAACTAACAATCTTAACTTTAAATTGCTAATCAATGACTTCTAGTTCCTTGGAGTATTTATTTCAAGGGAATCAAATAATCAAGTATTTAGATTTGAGTCACACTAAAATTGATAATTAGGGCATATTTTACATCTCCAAATTATAATGGCCATATTTAGAAACCTTCATCATACAATGGTGTAATAAAATAAATAACTTGAATGATTTGGGATAGAATGCTGAGAACTTTCCCAACCTTAAAATTCTTGACAGCAGATTCGTATACGCAAATAATGAAGCATACAGCAAAGTGGTAAATTCTTAACTTAGTATAACATTAAATAATCTACGTCTATTTGGTACTGATGTAGATTTAGAGAAGATCTAATGGAAATAAAGTTTTCTATTGAATTTGTTTATGGAAAAGATAAGGGGATTAAACACATAAGAATTTATTATTCAAAATAACCCAACTTGCGATAGAACAACTGATAATTACAAACAGATGAGAGTAATGACAAGTAAATAAAATTAATAATATTTAGAGATCTATAAGGATAAGGATTAATTAATGTCAATAAATCTATCTTGGAAGATTGATCCTTCCACTGTGTAATTACAATTTATAGAGACTGTGGAGACTAAGGATTAACAGTTTAGTAATTTTGGTAAATTGTTTGAGTTTTTGTCTAAGGAATGGTAATTGAGGAAGTCTTTAAAAAAAATGAATTTAAATTTTGATAAAATCTAATGTGATGAGCTTAATTTCGACATTCTATTAAAAACTATAGTTGATTTTAAGGAAATGAAATAGCTCTAATTGATTGTATAAAATCAAATGATGTTGAAACCTGTAAGCTATTATTTTGTATTTAATTAAATAAGTGAATTACAAAAATTAATTTAATTACAAGTATATTTTATTATCAATTTCAGCTAGATTTATAAAATGATAGATTGGTGATAAATGATATTTTGTTAAATAAAATATATCGATCTCTGTAATAGTTAACAAATTTGAACGTTTTGGAATTAAATATAAGAAACAATAAAATAGTAAATGTTTTGGATTTATATACCTTTAATTATCAAATCACAACTTCGATTTTCAATCCTGTATTGAACCACATTACTTTATTGGAGACTACTGACGATAATTTAAATTATCTTTTTTCAGATGCTGTCTCTCTTTTATATAGTAATCCATTTAAAATTATAAACATCAATAATTTCTAAAATTTTATCTTATAAGAAGATCAAAATAACACTAAGGAAAGATTATTCGAAAAAATAACAAGAGAATATTAAAAATAAAAACGAAAATTATTGTATAGTGCAGTGATTGCTGACAGTAAAAGATTGAATTATAATGTGAGATTCAGAAAGGAACTGATTAATGAAATTTTTTAATATATAATTATTTCTAAATGAATGATCTTGATTCTGGAGATGTTGCAAATAAATTTAGTGACTTCTACGAATTCGAAGAATTTCTAGGCTCAGGCGGATTTGGTAAGGTAGTTTAGGCAAAGAACATCAAAGGAGAAAGCGTAGCTGTTAAACTAGTACCCAAGAGAGAATGTAGAAGAAGCTATTCGGAAATACTAGCTGAAGCAAGCATTTTGAGTCAGATGAAGCACCCAAATATTGTTTAATTTAAGAGAGTACATGAGACCGATACAAGATTATTGATCGAAATGGCTTTGGTCAAGTACGGACAATTGAAAAGATTATTTACAGACAAAATTGAATTGAGTTACGAAAAGAAAAGACAATTTATGCAAACCTTGTTCAAGACAGTTGCATTCATCCATGAAAGAGGAGTAGTCCATCGAGACATTAAACCTGAGGTGAGGATTGTATGTATACTAGAGAACCTTTTACTTGAAGACCCTAACGATATGACCACTTTGAAAATAGTAGATTTTGGATTGTCAACTCGATCTCAGCTTCTCATCAGCGGCCAATGTGGCACTCTCATCTACATGGCTCCAGAATTCTTCACTAGCAAGCATTACTCTAAAGTAAATATATTAATCGATAGACTAGCCAGTTGATATTTGGAGTTGTGGAATCATATTGTACATGGTCTGCACTAATGGGAAGCATCCATTGTATGTCTAAGGATAAACAGCTGAGGAATATAGAGAAAAATTGTACGATCATATACAAAACCCACAATGGAATTTCCCTGATGGTTTTGATTAATTGGCCAAGAACCTGTTCTTGAAATGTGTTGCTGAGGACCCTATGCATAGATATAATGCGCATCAGATCTTACATCATCCATGGATTACTGGAAAGGTCAATGATCCTATCCCACTCTCCTTGCCTGAGATGTATAAGTCCTTCTCGATGAGAGAACGTGTAACAAGAATCATTAAGGCTTTGATGGTAATTAGGATGATGTCAAAGGACTATTGGAGATGTGTCAATACCAAGAAGATTGATTCATCTTATTTAGAACAAGTAAATATTTTCTTCTATTACTTTAGTGTAACAAAATTTCATAGGTTCATTAATAGTAATAATAATAATAAAGTTTACTAGATAAGTCATATGTTAAGGAAATGATGGCAGAGCATGCATAAATTAAATCAAGACAACATAATCACAACCATAGAGTTGAAACTCCAAAATATTAAAGTATTTTAAAACGATTGATTGATCCATCTCGAAATTAGCATGACTCATACCTTGACTAACCTAATAATAGCTAAATTGCAGATGAAAATATACTCAATTAATACAATTCCAATAACAACCATCAGTAAACCGAAGGCTCTTAGCGTTCTGTTTCTTAATAAAGTATTTAGGATGCATAGGAGTGTGCTGAATCAAATAGTGGCAAACTTATTATTATCAAAAGAAGCAATCAAAATAAGAAGAAGACCAAAAAGATTGTTTAATTTATTAATACAAAAAAATAGAACAACAGTTCAGTTGACCTACAATAGAGATCTAGATCCACAACAGCCAATAATCCAAAATAACTGATGAATACTCTTGTAGAGAACAAACAATTTGAATCTCCTAAGAAAATTTAGTTGGCTTCTCTCACTTAATTTTAATAATAACAACAATCTCAACCACATCTCATCTAGCCTTAGTAATCCATACCATTTCTGAATACTGCCTCATAATTGAATGTGTTAAAACCACTTCCATCTAACTAATCCCCTGTTCACAGACTAAGTAGTCACAATGGTGGCACTACTCCCAGCCTTCACAATATCTTGAATTAAAACATAGAGCAATAACAACAGCAGTAAAATCATTCCTAAGCCTATGGTTATATTAGAAAAACTAGTGTTATTTCTTAAGATCCAAAGATTGTTGAACCTCCAAGTATGTATTAATACAATATTTTGCTATTTTAGGAAAAAGGAGTAACACTTCTACTAGAAAACTAAGTGTTGTAGAATTAGATTGCCATGATTAATAAAAGTATGAATAGCAAGAAAGTAAGTTTACATATTTAATCCAAATAGAAATTGTTCATAATTAATTTTTACCCAGAGGATGGTGCAAAACCTTACCATTTTAAAAGTTTCTGGCTCCCAAATAGATGTAAGTCCACCCTTAATTTATTGAACTTAATGCCTTGAGATAGCAGATTAAAATTCCATTACCGATATAGCTCTAAGTTCCAAAAAAAAAATGAAAGAAATTATAATTTAAATGATTTGAATAATCAATATTAATATTATTATTAATGTAATCAATTTCCTTTCTATTACAATTGCATTAATTAATAGATAGATATATATATAAATCATTTTTTAATTTATCTTTGTTTTTGTCCATCAGGATATATTATATCAATATTTCCATTTGGATATTCTATTTATTTTATTTTCTTGCTATCTATCCTTTGGATAATGCCATCACTGAAAAAGGTTTATTCTTCGCCATTTGTTGAGATATACTTTTCAGTGCCATCTCCAAACCTAATCTCCTTTCTACCATCTGCAAAATGGATTTCAATCTATTAATTCGAAAATCTATAAATCTAATAATAAGACAAATATCTTACATTTGGACCACTGTGTACAGTTATTTGAGTTGTATGGGCATCTGCAAAAAAATAAATTATTGTTCCATTTGGTAGAGTCTATTTTACATCTTTATTAGTAAAATGAACGATTACATATCCATCAGGGAACACTTCTCTTTTGACTCCATTATGAAAAACTACTTCTTTTTTTCCGTTTGCATACTATCTAGAAACCTTCCCATCAGAACCTACATTCTAATTAACTATTTTAGATGGCAACTCCTTATTTCTCTTATACATTAAATAAAAGCGATTCTAATCATATATGAATTCTTATTCACTAATTAAATTATTTATGTTTTTTATCGTAAATGGTATGTCTTGATCTTGCATACTTACTAAATCGTATTTTTTTTATTTTTATTAATTTGAAATATTAGTTTTAGATTTTTAAGTCATTGATTTCTCCATTATATCTTCATACTTCTCAGATAATGCATCACTTTAATTATCATCATCATCTTCTTCCTCATCGTTTTTTTAGTAATCATCATTCTCATTTTCATTTTCATTTTCAAAATCATCTTCATCTTCATCTAAATAATAATTCTTCCTATCCTATATTGATTTTTTTTCTTTAAATGATTAATCATCAGGAACACTTTGAGGACTTTGATTTCTTAATTTTTAAGGAGGAACTTCTTATTTTTATGATATGACTGATTAATTTTATTTAATTTGTATCTATTATTATTTATTTGGTTAAATTGAAGTTTAAGATTACACATAAGAGGGTTTCTTTTATTCTAAAAGTCTTAATTCTAATGCTTTTAGTTCTGATTATAAGTCTTGATTCTTTTGATTTACTTCTTCATATTATTTCCTAATTCTATCATAAGCCAATTTATTTTTTTAATCTTTAAGTTTTTACTCTTCCTACAATTTCTAAACTTGTTATTTAAGTTATTCTATCTCTTCCTTTTCCTTTCTATTGGGAATGCTTTAATTAGACTTTGCTTATCTTTCAAACACTCTTTTTTCTCTCAACATTTTCTTTTTCTCTTCTTCTTTCCATTCATCCAATTACAATTTCTCATTTTCTTTTTACTTTTCCCATTCATCTCTTTCCCTTTATAATTACTTTAATAACTCTTCATATTTTCCTTATGTTTTCTTTAATTTATCATTTTCACTTTTAAATTTAGCTATTTCCATATTAAGATTACTTATTTTATCTTAAACTTAATTTTTTGTACTATCCTCTTCACTTTCAGAATGATTTGATTTCTCAACTTTAACCTCTTTTTTTAAACCAAAATAAGAAGAAGTGATTTTTTAATTTTAAGTAGTTTACTCCTTATTCCAATCTTCATTATTATCAAACTAATACTCTTTACTTGAAAGATGAGGTGAGTATTAACTTTCTTACTATTTTTAATGTTCTTTTTACTTTTATTGTTAATTTTATGACTTTGGCTTAGGCTATTCTTTAGGTGTTTCTGATCGCTTTGTTTTATTTTACACTTCTCTCTACTCTTATTTTTCAAATCTTGAAGGAATAGATGATTTTTATGGTTTAGCCTAAAAATTTTAGTTCTGCATAATTGGATTACCAATTGCATTATTTTCTTTCATAATATCTTCATGTTCCTTTTTTGCTATGTCCGATCTTTATTATGCATTTGATAAAAATTATCTTGTACCTTTTTTCAAAAAAGGCTTTTTCTTAACATTTACTTAACCTTCATGATTTTATTCTAAATTTTCATTTTACTGTCTTTGAAAAGGATTTCTTTCAGGTAATGTGTCCAAATTTTAATGCTTTGTGGATTTTATTGATATTTCTTCATAATTTTTATAGGTTTTCATTTGATTATCCTCAACTTAGTATTTAGGTTATTGTTTTGCATTTTAATTTTATTTAGCTCTTTCATTCACTTAATTATTTTATTTAGAGTATCCATTAGTTTAATCTTCTATTTAATTCTGATAATTGGATTTAATTGGAATTTCATCGAATGAATTTTTTTTTGTAGGTTTTATTGCAATATCATCAAAAGCATTCTATTTAGCAGTTTTGATTGGTATTTCTTCGAAAACATTTTATTTTGTAGGTTTAATAGGAATATCATCAAATGAATTTTATTTGGCAGGTCTTATAGGAATATCATCAAAGGAATTTTATTTAGCAGGTCTTATGGGAATTTCCTCTAAGGTACCTTGTTTAGCAGGTCTTATTGGAATTTCATCAAAGGTATTTTATTTAGTTGGTTTGATAGGCATTTCATCAAAAACATTAATTTTTGTAGGTTTAATTGGCATTTCATCAAAAGCATCATACGAATTTTAATAATTCAACTTTTTTTTTGGTTATTCTTCCATTTAACTATTCTTTCTTTATATTTCTTAGAAAATTTCAGAATTTTTTCTATTATAATCTTCATTTTTAATTGTGTTGGAAATATCTTCGAGCTATTTATGATTAATCATATTATCTTCAAATTGATTCTATTGCATTGGCTTGATCGGCATTTCATCAAAAGGATTAGACTGCTTTCGATATTAATTGTCTTCATTATTATATTGACTTCTATTTATATTTTTTTAATAATTATTTTCATTATTTTAATTTCTTTGATTATTATATTTATTATTAGTTTGATCATTATTATTATTGGATTATTTTTAATTGATGTTTGAATTCATAAATTACCTTGATTAATGTCTATTGTAATCTTCATTCTCAAAATTATGTGAGGATTGTCTGATTGAATTTTAATCATCATCAAATTGATTATAATATCCTCTTTCAACCTATTTTTACGAACCTCTTGGTTTTTAATCTTGATTATTATTCTTTTGTTGATTAAAATATTCATTTTATTAAAGATTGTAATCTTGGAATTCGTTGTTGTTAGTATTTGAGACAGGGATATCATCAAAATTTAGCTATCTATTTGTATTTGTATAGGTTTCCTAATATTATTATTTGGAATACTTCATAATATTTATTTGGATTATAAGCATTTATGAATTGGGAGGTTTGCTACAATTAACATTCATCTGGTTTCACTTAATTATAAAACTAATTCATATCATTCACTTTATGCATATAAAATTTCTCCAAATCGAATCCTACATAAATAAATCTCTATACCAGATGAATGGCTTTGCATCATTGAAATCATTTGAGATTAAAACATTTTCATCATATTTTACATCATAACATCATTTGGGTTAATGTTTTAAGTGGGAATATCATTTTAGAAGATAGACTATCCAACAGTGCTACGCTGCTAATACATTAAAAAATTGAATTCAAATTTTAACAAATAATAAGTTCAAAATTTCCTCCAAATTACACATACGGATTATCAATCATTAGATTGATTAATCCTAAATAGTATAGATGTTATTTATTGAATAGAAAAAGATATTCAGAATGTACGTTGACCACACCAAACAATTGTTAAAATGAGAAAATCTTAGATATAATAATGATTCAGGATACTTTATATCCTAAAATTTATTAAAACTAAAAAATAAACAATATTCCATCATTTTAAGCTTTTAATCTAGATCAAAACGATTACCAAAAAGCTGATGATGAGTTATTTCTGATTAGTAAAGAAGCAATTTAATAAAATTAAGTAGAATAACAATCATTAATGCTAGCTAAAGATTTTGCATAATAAGTAAAAATAAAAATAATTATGTTTCTGATAAGATTATAAAATCAATTAGATTAAATAATAGTAAAATAATGAGATAACAAAAAATGATATAATCAATTATCTTTAATAATTTCTATTGGAAATAGCACTATTTATATTATTATATTATATTATTCATTATCTTTATTGTATCATTTTGGTGATTATTGCCTTTTTAATTGAAAAACCTTTTATTAATTAAATTAAGTTAAATTCACTTATTTTTACTAAATAAAAATATGAGCTTTATTATTTTAATTATTGATTTGCTCATTTTTCTAACAAAATGCTTATTATTCAGTATGAAAATTATTCTGTACTTGCTGTTAATTCTAATTTTTCTCCCTATTTCCTTCTGAAATGCTTCTCTGTTTTTTACATTGTTTTTTTGGCTTTTATAATATTTTCTTTATTTACATTATAAGTTGCAATATTTGTACTCTATTATTTGAGTTCAATTAAAACCTGATCAATTGTAATTCTCTAAGAAGGTTCAATTAGAATCATTTTTTAAACTAGCTTTACATATTGTTGATCTAACATTTTCAAATCGGTTTAGATTTTTTCGTCAATCTATTTTTAAGTAATTTTGAGGATCTCCTCATAAACTTCCTATCTATTAGATTTCATAAACATGACTTTTTGAGTAAATAGTTCATAAATCACTGTTCCGAAAGCCCAAATATCGACTGACTAATCATATCCTAATAGATTATTTTAGTGCTTAATTTATTCTGGAGGCATATAATGAGCTGTTCCGCATTATAAGGTTTTTGCTAAATCTTTGGTGCTTGATAATCCGAAATCACATATTTTATATATGTTTTAGGTCATGTTGGAATTTTAATCTTTTTTAACAAAAACAAGAATGTTTTCTGGTTTTAAATCTCTATGTATAATTTTCTCTTCATGTAATTCTTTTATTCCATTGGCTATTTATTTAATTATATATCTAGCCTCTTTGTGATCAATAGGTTTTTAATCGATAATATTTTATAAACTATTTTCGCAATATTCCATCAATAAAAAATATTCATTGGTTTCAGGATGCTTTTAAAATTCTATGGTGTTAACTAAATTTTTAAAGGTTTTTTATTTCAACCTTGACAAAATTTCTACTTCTTCCTTTTGAATGGATGTCTAAATCTTTAAAGCGTAAAACTCTAAAGTTTACTTATTTTATATCATATACACTGACCCATAACTACCTTTGCCTAATAATTTCAACTTTTTGTACTCAATTCCTGATATTGTAAGCAAATCTTATTTTTCGATATCCTTCAAAAATAATGGGAAATGTATTTTTTAATGGATTAATTATTACTAATTAATATTTTATCCTATATGATGAAGGCCCTGTTGAAATACAAGCTAATTAAAATGTGGATTTTATGGTTGTTGTATAAATGTTGGTAATTAATTATTATTCACAAAATTGATTTAAGGATTGTGAAATTATTATGGATTCCCAGTGTTGCATATTGGTTGTATAGGATTTTATTAGTTATTATGCATATGTATTATATTTAAAAAATATATTTATTCACTAATCAAAATTAAGATCATTTTCTATTAAGTCATTAGTCTCTGTTTTTTCATATCTATTCCTATTCTTCTATTATTTTAATGAATTCAATTTATCCTAAAAGTTTAACCCCTTCTTTGATTTCTACTCTGAGACCTTTTCTACATCCTCCTCTTCAAGTGGATTCAAACCAAAAACATTACCCAAATATTCTAATTGCTATTCTCTGCTGTAACTTTAGAACTCTTCAAGATAAATATATTCCACATTCCAATCGAAAAGTTGTTCATAGACAAGCCTTTATATTTACCTTTCCCTTCTTAAATGTTTCAATAAATTATAATCTTGCTCTCCCAATCTCGTTTAAATATTTTTTTCTTCATTCAATTGAATTTCAAAATCTGAAGGATCCAAGACTATTAAGCCAAATTTTAAATTTTAAGTTTTAGTTTTTATTAAATGAGTAACATGAAGCATCATCCCTATTCCTTAATCAAACATATTTATATAAGACTGATTGAACTCCTACTTTAAGCTTATGTCTTTGCACTATTTTTACAATGATTCTTTGAGCACATCTTTCAGTTCCAGCAATTAGGAATCTTTGAAATTGTTGAGTAAAACGCTTGTCTAAGCATAATGAGAGACTTTGATAAATTAAGAGATTTTTTCAATTCCCACATCTAAATTGAGTTTCTCAATCAAAATAACCATCCATAAGCTCTCTACATATTTATCAACATGAAAAATTGTATTTATGTCTAATTCCTTAATACCCATACAAGCCTCCTGTATTAGTTCTTTCTTGATTACTCTTTCCTTTGTTAATAAGTGTTCTTGAAGTAAACACCAAGCAATTACAACCCAACTATCCTATTTAAAAAAGAACCTCATTTCATCCTTATATTATTAGTTTAAAACTATTAATTAATTGTGAAGATTCTCATTTTATGGATCAAGGTACAAAGCTTAATGAAACAACGATTTATGAATCGTTTGCTTTATCTGAATCTACTTTTACTAGCAGAATTTATAAAAGTATTTTTCACAATAATGAAGAATGACCTAATCTTCATAAGGCAATTCAATTTCCTAAAGATTTTGTATAAGTAAAATGGATAATTTAATTTAATCCAAATGAGGTAAGGACATTTAAAGAGTTTATAAAATGGCTACTTTTAAAGGAGTGGATATCTGTTTCAAATGCTCAGAGGTTAATTAAATTGGTATTTACAGTTTCGATTGCATAGAGGCAATGGTTATATATGCCAAATATGTCGGTTTAATCTGTTATTATTAATCTGCATTAAGTTTCTTTACTATAATTTCATTTAATAATTTTGATATATCAAAAGTCTCAGAATTGTTTGAAGCGTTTAGATACAATAGAGTCAATTATCTAATAGATAATAGATTTTGTCTAATAATCAATTAATCTGAAAACTTATTATACAATTCTGCGTTTCCTTTTCTTGATTTGAGGAAACTCCAGAAGATTGAACAGAACTATTTATCATTAACTTTGTCGATCAAATCAATGCAAGCTCCCTAAAATAACAAATATATAGTACCTCTATTTTATGCTAAAGAGACCTATCATTATATTTAAAATAATAATTCATAGTTGCCCTACATAGTTTAACTAAGTCATGGGGCAATAAATTTTTGTTAGATGGAAACTATTCAGCCAATTATTCTTCAATCACTAATTAGAAAGCATTTGAACAAATATTTGGTGTAAATATATACTATGCTAATTTGATAAAATCCGCAAAATTATAATCTCTTATCCTTTGCTAGACCTATTTCTCGGTAACAGCATATATTCCAAATCCACCCTTCTGATTGTCTGGACATTTAGAATACAGATATGAATAATAAGCGAGTTTCAGGGGATTTATTTCATGCTAAGCAATCTTGATGACTGATGCCAGCTAACCATAAAGAATTGCTGAACCATAATGACAATATTAATATGCCCATAAAATCTTTTCGACATCTTAATATTTTATTATTTCATTTTTATCAGATAATCTATCATATATTTCATTTTCCATAATTCGAAAAAAATCTTAATCGAACCTTTTAACGTATGCATATTATTCTAATACTATTGCAATTTAACTGAATGTCAATTTTTCATACTTCTTTGAAAAATATTTAATAAAATAATTATAAATGTCATTCTTTATTAATTCCTAAGTGGTTTATGTTTTATTAAGTAATTAATTTCTTTAAGCTTAATCTTATTCTCCTAATGCTTTTATAATTCTAATTGCATCATTTGGCTCAATATAATGTCTCTTGATTTTCAACCACAATTAAGGATTAAATTACCCTACTTTGATTTACTAAATAAAATTCTCCTCATGAGTCTCTACCACAGACTTAATGGCAGACTAAATTTCCTTTAAACTAAGAATATCAGAATGCAAATCAATTTTTTAAGAGTAAAGAAACTTTATTACTTTTTTAAACATAATTATATTATAATTTCTTTACTTATTCCAAATAAAGAAATGAAAAATTGATATCTCAAAAATTTAGTTCAAAGGAATAGATTCTATTTGAGCTCCTCTCTTTCCATAAAGGATTCATTCAACTACATTATATTAAATGTTTCTGTACATAGCTTTAATGTTAACTATATTTTAAACTACTATGGCTCAATCTTCTTTGTTTATTGAATGCAGCAGGTGTGTAATAATAATCATCACTTAATTTAATATGGAAATATTATTTACTTTTCATATTTCTAAGGAGTTTAAGTCCATTACAAAATATGTTATTTATTTGAATTAACACTATCCTTTTGTTACTTTTTGAACAGAAGGTATTTTTTATGCATTCTATTTCTTCTAGGATGTTTCATAATTGTTCTTATTCTTGAGTCATTCTTTCATTAATTGCTAATATTTACATAATGCTATTTTCTTAAAGCAGTGCTTTCTCTACTCTAAAGAACAGGTAATTTCTTAGGTTCTTTCAATTTCTTCCTCTGAATCTGTTAACAAACTAACATAGGGTTTATTTAAAAATATGATCTCAAGGGCCTTTTTCTCAAATTCAATCTGAAACTAATCAAAATAAGAAGGCCTTTCTTCATAAAATTATAAGATACAACCCTTTTAGAATAAACTATTATTTAATATTCTATAGTTTTTCAATGAATTCTGAGATTCTCTTTTTCATACCTGAATTCCAATGATTTTTAATTGCATTATCAGTTCTTCCTTCTAAATGCTTAGCAATTTCAGCCCATTTATTACTGATTGCTTTATGATATAGAAATAGAATCCATTCTTCATCAAGATCCCAAGGTGATTTCTTAATTAATGGATTCAAATGATTGTGCCATCTATTCACATTATCAATTAAATGACTACCGTTCTCTGCATTGCTTTCCAATTCTTCCTGGTAATTTTGAAGCAATAAAAGTCCATTTATGAGGACCATACAATTCAACTAACTACATAACCTATGAATCCTCATAATCAGTCCAAGGTTCTAAGGTTTGATAGGAATAAATACTTTTTTTTGTTTTCTCTATTTTCTTCCTCATTTTTTAATTTTTTGAAATAATTTATTTAACTGATTAATAATACTTCATAAAATTAAATATATATAATAAAATCGAATGAAAATGTCCATCGAATGTTAATAAATTAAATGTATGGTTTGGTATTCAAATTTTAAATTTTCCATCAATGTTGCCCTTTTTTATTAGCAGCTAAAAATGCACATTTTAAAATTGATCCTCCTATGAAGACTAAAATGGATCTTTCAAATATAGCAATAACTTTTGTTCTCATGATTGAAGGGTAGAAATTATAATAATTCCTTATTTAATTTGACTGGATTTCTAAAGACAAGTGTTATCAAGAAAATCTTTGGTTTTCTTTAGACATCCTAAAATTCAAAAATAATTATATAAATTTTATATTATAATTAAGGTTTTTGGTTGGAAATGTTATGTATGAATCCTAATAATTATGGAATTGAAAAATATGATCAAACTTAAATAATATGAAGAATAACTTAATATTTATAGTGATGTAATATATGGATGCCTAATACCTTTAAATTCCAAAAATTAGATTAAGATTTAGCTGCAAAATAAAAGATGGACTATGAATTTAATAAATAATTATTTACAGAACCTATATTACGAAGACGTAATAGATGAGATCTCAAACTAAAATACTTTAATTACACTAAATAATAGGATTAAAGAAGAATTAATCAAGATGGGTAGTTATTTATTTGTTCCTTTTATTAATTTATGAAAATTTGAACTTAAAGATTAAAGTTAGATAAATTATCAAAATTAAAAGAGAGAATTTGATATGGAAGTTAAAAGAACATTGTGAGTTTCTAGAATACAATATCAGTTTCATTTTTTATTAGATAATAATTAAAGTTTAATTATCAAATAGTAGATCTAACAAACCATAATGTTATTATCATTATTGGATATAAATTTGAATTAATTCTATAAAGAATAAAATTATACCGAGGATAAAATACAATAATGCAATCTCCCAAAATCTAATGATTAATAGATTACCATGAAATCTAAATTTACAATATTAGAATAGTTAATCAAATTATTTAATCGGTAAAACGGTAATTCAAAGTTAATGAGTTCTTTTTAAACTTCAGAGTAATAAGCATATATTAATCTAATGAATGATGAAACATTGTGATATGAAATGAGAATAATAATACTGCAATTATTTATTTATATGATTATATAAACTTTTGATCTTTGAGAATGAACCTACATCATGAGATGGTGCATTTTTGACACCAACCGTCATTATTAATAGCTCCTGCATCTTCTTGAACTATTTCAGGGATTGTTATTTCATAAACTACAGAATTAATTACAGTTTATTACATGCATCTTCAAAGTATTATTTATTGTAGGGTATTTGATAGTGTTTTTCTATTTCTTATAACACTTCTTCGATGTAAATCATTAATGTTATTACCTATTCTCTTGCATTTACTTATGGATCATCCAAACTATCTTTTATTTACTACATTTGGATTCCCAAAACTTCGGCATATATTTTGCTTTGATACTGATAATAAATTTACTTAACAATCGGCTCAAATTGCATTATAATTTATTTCAAACCTTTTCTGTCATCATATGTTTGTTTAATTAAACCTGTAAATGTTATTGAACTCTCTTGTGCAAACTCCTATAAATGTTTTTGTGTTATATTTTTTTATTCATTTTATAATTTATTGATATTCAATATTTTCATTATAATATTGAATATTATTAATATTAATATTCGTTTTTAATGAGAGCAACATCAATATTGTTGATACTTCTGATTAGCAGTGTTCTTGGCACCAGATCAATTTATGAAATATCATAAAATGAATATGGAAAAACAGTGCTATAAGCAATTTAATTAACTCTAAATGAAGAACCAGCCTCATTTGGAAAGACAATAGATTTACTGTAAGAATTGAAAAAGGGAATTCAAAATGATTAAGATGAAGATTCTGGACTTTTGACTGATAGATTGGAAACTTGTGAAACACACATTTCCCAAAACTCACAAACCATTTCAGATTCATAAACTAAATTGGCTTAAGCTTAAGAATAGGTGAGTCCACTCGAATAAAAGTTGCTTGATAAAAGACATTAAGCAGAGGATAAGGAAGGTGAGGAATAGAGAAACAATGACAGAATTAATAAGTTGATTTTATCAAGATAGGAATCTAGATAGGAATTTGAGAGTAAAAGAGATGAATTAACATCAATTGTTGGAGCATTAAGTGAAGCCAAAAAGATTATATCTTCCATCAAGACAGACCCAACTGCTTTAATTTAATTGAAAAACCATAAAGAAAATATATGTAATTATTGAGAAAGTAAAATTAGTAAATTAAATTTAAAAGTCCTCAATGTTCTACACCTTGATTCATTCAACCCTATCCTTAATACAACAAGGTACAAGTTAAGAGAAGGTCATTAAGATTATTGATGATTTAATCGATGAAGTTTATTAGGTTTAGAAATTAGAAATGATTGCTGATGATCAAAGAGAAGCAGACTTTATTAAGACTAAGTATGTTTAAAAATTATAATTAGAATTCGTTTTGAATTTGCAAATACTAGATTGAGCACTAAAATTGCTGAATTAAGAGCTGATGTGCAATAATTATAGTAATAATTGCTAGAATTAAATAACAACATTTCAATTTATTAGGATTTAGTAAGTCTTAAAACTAAAGAAAATGCAGATTGGCAATAATCTTGCAATGATGCACAAAATAGTCATAATGGATTGACAGATTATAGAAATTAATAAATTGCTATTATCGATGAGTGCATTTCATTGTTACAAGGACATGACCCAGAAGTAACATCATTTATCTAGAGATTTGTTTGAAAAATATTAATTATTCATAAAGGTGCTTAAAGCAACATCTAATATTTAAAATCTATGGGATTTTTTCCAAGAATTTGTCATTATACATTTTATAGTAAATATGAAAATAATTAATATATATGAACTTTATGAATACTCATTCACAATTCAACTTTTCAAGGAAATCATTGCCTAGACCTTTAATATCGAGGTAGCTGACAAGGGAGAAGAGTTAACCAAGTGTTAATCAGAAAGCCCCCTCAGTATGTTACTAATAAGAGTGATTTAGGCTAAATTTCGTATTTCCAATGCGAATTATCAAATGAATAGAGAGAAGATTTAAAAAGCTAATGGAAATTATTTTAGTCAGCATGATGATACAGGTGGTAGCACGAAGATGTCGAAAGCACACATTTAATAACTGTTGAAAAAGAATGAAATAGAGTTTAAGTAGTCTTTATTTGATCAGGAAGATAAGGAGGAGGAACTCTAATTTGTGTTGTTATGTTAAACAATTGAAAAACTGTTGTGATTATTTAATATGAAATGATAAAATATTTTTTGTTTATACGCTTTAGTTTATAATAAATATTAAAAATATATGTACCGATAATACGATTTCACTTACTCTCCATCAAAGTCATCGAATACCATAGACGATATGGAGCAAAGACTTAATGCTGTTATTAATGCAAATGAAAAATTGGTACTTTTTTATATCTAAGATTTTATTATAGACTTTACTGTTAAAAGAGAAAATTTAAGAGAATGATTAGTTGAAGGAAAATGTTGATATTCTATATAATAATAATCAAGAATTATCCGAAATCAATATAGAACTCTGCGATTAAATCAAAAAGTGCAAAAATTAAAGATGTGCTTCTCTTCATTAGAAAAATCCCATAGAAATGGAGAAAGAACTCTAAAAACTAAAGGAAATTATAGTTTAAAAGGATAGAGAACTAATTAATTATTAGCATCACTTTGAAGAAGAGTTGCAGTTAGAAATAACATCAAAAGACTATGTAAAAATTAAAAATAACGTATTAGATTGATAAAATCAAAGGGTTAGAAGATCAAAATTAATAATTGATCCATGAATTAGACTTGGTCACTAAAAAGTTAATAGAGAGCCAAAGAGGATCATTGACTAACCATGAGAACAATCAATTAGCATTATAATATGAATCAATAATTGAGGATTTGCAATAGAAAATAGAATAGATGAATAAGTTTTTGTGTTAGAAGGGCGATGATTCATCGTAAAATCATAATAAATAGTTCTTGATTCAAATGGAATAGTTGTAAGTAGAGAAGATAACTCAATCACTATAATTAGAAGAATAGAAGAAAAAAATCAATAAATTAATTTAAGAGTTGGAAGAGAAGAATATTATGATTGATTAATTGAAGAAAAATTATAGTCTTAATACATCTAAAAACGAGATTATGCAAAAATAAAATATGCTTTAAAATAAACAAAAATACATTAAAATAGAAGAAAATGTATTAGAATTGAGTGATGACATAGAGACGACTATTAAGAGAAAATATATTTCATCAGGAAAAGGCTTTATGGAATAAAAGAGTCCTCGTTCTTAAATTTCAGATTAAGACTCCTATATATATTTATATGAAAAATTATAGTAGGACATGTAAATCAAGGAAAAATAATATAATGAACTCCTTGTTAAAAAATAAATAGCTGATAATGAAATTCTAAAGCTAATGAATTTAATGAAGGATTTAGAGTACTCAAATTAAGAAAAATAGATATTAATTGAACAATATGATAATGAAATTAAATCACATCATCGAAATATTAGGAAGAAGGAATCTGAACATAAAAAAAATATAATTAGATAATAAGACGACATACAAATTTATGAAGATAAATTAAACGCTTTAGAGAATCTCAAGAATGAGGAACTCAAAATTTATGAATAATAAATTTCGTAAACTCAAAATTAACTGAAATAGAAAGAATTAGAACTTAAAAAGTTGTAAGATTTAGTTAAAGATAAGAATAAGTTATAAAATAATTTACAATCCCTTATTGAAGAGAAGAAAGAAATATAATAAAATTTGGAATAGAAAGATTAGAAGGAAGAAGATTTGAAAGCTAAGATTATACTGCTTTAACAGTAACTAAAAACTAAGGAGATCGAAAATAAAAATTTAAGGGATAAAGGTTAAAATTAAAATAAAATTTATGACTTAGAGAGTTAGATAATCTAGTTAAAATTAGAATTGGAATAAAATCTAATTAATGCAGAAGTATAAGCTGAAATCATTTAAAAAAATGAATAATAAATGAAAATGAAAGAATTTCATATAAACAAACTATCAGATCAATTAAAAGATGCTAGCAACAAATAAAAAGAATTAATAACAGAAAGAGAACTAGAAAATTAGAGAAACTATTAATAAATAGATGAACAAAATGATTTATTAAGAAAATAAGAATACGAAATAAAAAGATTGCAAAATTTAATATCTTCAAAACCCTTAGAGAAAACTTTGAACATTTAATCAGAAAATCTAGTCTTAAAAGAATAAATAGATGAATTGATCAATTAATAAGCAAAATTAGAATAATAAGTAATGATATTGGAAACATAATTGAAAGGAAAAGATCAAGAAATAATTATCACAAGCTAAAAACAAATATTATCAAATGCAGAACTATAGACGAATATGAGAAAATAAGAGGCTGATTTAAATGGTAAACTAATAGAAAAGGAATAGATAATTCAAGGACTATTAAAATAAGCATAAACATTAAAATAAGAGAATGAACAATTGAATTAGAGAATAAGTACTTCATCTCATACGATATAAAATTTAGAATCTAAATATGCTTAATTAGAATAAAAGGAATAGTAGTAATTGGAATCTCATAGACAAGAAATATAAAAGAAAATTGAATAAATTCCACTAAGTGATGATGGTACTACTTTAAGCGAGTTAAATTCTTATCGTATGGATGAGTTAAAAACATTTGCAAATTAGTTGGAATCATAAAATAAATAAGATTTAATATAATAAATTTTAGATTAAAAAATTGAATTAATTTAGAAAAATGATTAGTTCAACAATTAGGTTCAAACAATAGAAGAGTTAAAATAATAGATCAAAGCTAATGAAGAAGAAATTGAAAATCTCGGTGACCTTTTAGAAGTGAAAGAGAAACAATTAGTTGAATTAAAGAGTTAGAAACAATAGATGGAATCTCTTGAAAATTAATTGAAAGTTAAAGAATAAAATCTCAAAAAAGCATAAGAAGAAAATAAAGAATTGTAATAATAAAAATAATTGGCTGTTTAATAAAAGAAATAAAATGAAACATAATAATAAGAATCCAAAAAATTATAAGATACCATCATTAATTAGGAGTAATTAATGAAAGCGAAAGATGAGAATTTGAAAAAGTTGTAAGATTAACTTAGAGAATTGAACAAGAAAAATGAATAATTTTCAAGAGAATCAAATTAGAATAAAACCTTGAAAGAAGAAGTTGAAAAGCTTAAGACTGCTCTGAATTAGAAGGAAGAAGAACAGAAGAATTTATAGAATTAAATTGGCAATCAAAAGAAATAAGAAGAACAAATCAAAAAACTATAATAACAAATTGAAAAAGAAACAAAAACTAAAAAAGAAGAAATCGAAAAATTATAGATTGAACTTAATTAATCAAATTAAGAGTTAAAGCAAACTTAATAATTAAATTAGAATTATAAGAAATTAGAGGATTAAGTGAAAAAGCTTCAATAACAATTAGATTCGTAATCTGAAAAAAGCAAGAAACAGCAATATGATTCGGAAAAGAAAGAGTAGGATTTAAAAAAGCAATTAAAAGAGACAAATGAATAATTATCAGAATGGGAATAAAATGATCTTTCCAAGGATTAATAAATAGAAAAGCTTAATAAATAAATAGAGGAACTTAAGAAGAAGGATACAATATTATAAAAATAAGGAAAAATTGTTAAGGAACTTTAAGAATAGTTAAAATAATCAGAAAAGGTTAATATTGAATTGCAAAAGGAAAAGGAGAATAAAGAGGCTGAAATTAATTGTTAAAAAGAGAACTTAGAATAAGAAATTAAAGAATTAAAGGAACAGATAACAAAGTTATAAAAACTGAATGGTGAACTTTTTATTTATGAGAATATCATATAAGTAGATGTACGTAAGATGTAAGAACTTTAGAAAAAGATTGAATGCTTAGAAAATTGTTACTCATAATAAGGCTCAAAATAAAATATAGACACAAAAAGCTAAGGAGTGACTCCAAGAAAATAAACTAGAGGAAATTCTGCTATGAGATAAACTGAGGATTAGATTTCCTAAATGTCCTTTGAATAATTATAGTTGCATGCTAAAAAATTAGAGTCAATTATAAAAGATGCAGGATTAAGTAATAAAATAAACTGATACCTATATATATATATATTTATAAGTATGACTCCATTATTCAATTTTTCATTTTATCAACAAATTATTTAATTTTGTCAAGGGCACTCTAAGGTATTTCTGTTTCAAATTCAGCTAAAGGGACTGTGATCGTTTCTCTATTTGGATAGGTTAACATCTTGATTTTGTAAATAAGAAATTCTTTTATTATGTCATTAGCAACAGAAATATTATATTTGGATATTGTAGGTTCAATACTAATATTCATAGAGGGTTCTCCTACAAATGAAACCCAGCTACGGCCAATAAAGTTTGGTGTATAACATAACCTCAATCGTCCGTTTAAGGATGTTAATTTGACTTTAATATTAACAGGTAAATGCTTTTTAGCCCAACTGATAGTAACAAAGGTTTCTAACTCCATATAGAAGAAACCTCTAAATGATAGTTCTAAATCAAATATACAAGAATCGGTGTTTTTTTGTGGAATAAATTGCAAGACTTCTGGGGGTTCTCCTCCAATGTCTATAAATGTTACATATATCTCATCTAATTAGGATGGTCTCTTCTTATTCAAAGATCTATATAATTCTGTCATAAATTTCTATCTAAAATAGATAGATTTAGTCCATTATAGAAATAATACTCTTATTAATTATTTTAGTACAAATGTCTCCTTTAATGAGTTCACTGTATCATTAGGCTGCTTAGTAATTTAGCTATTGGATCTAGAACTAGTTTTTGGAATGGTAGTTGTATTATTATGGAGTAAATTTGAAGTTTGATTGATTTAAATGTCTTTTGGAATGAATGATATGTTAGCTTGATTATCAAGTAAACTTTTAACTATTTAATCTTATGACTAATACATTTGGTCAACTAGATAATTATAGATAATTATTACATTCATCAATCATTTTCATTGTATGATTAACTACACACTTTGAAAGAGTGGCAAAAGATAAAATAAACTGGAATTTAGTTTTGGAGATTATTTCAAAATGTTAATCAATATAGTGTTTATATTTATTTTCATATTGGCTTAGTTTTTTTTTGAGTTGATCTGCTTCCTATTGATATTAACAATAATTCTATTTAAATTATTATTTCATCCTTTGATAATCTGTGAATCCATCCACTTTAATAGGATTAAATTTTTCGGAATCCTTCAAAATGCAATTGAATAAGTAAGTAATATTATTGATCCTCTCTTTAACAGACACTTATGTTTCTTTGTATTCCTTATAGAGTTTAGTTCTATCTTCAACAAAATTATTGGTAATCAATTTAACCTGAGCCATAAGATTTAAATAAAATGATTTATCCTTAGGAAAGCTTTTTGTAAATAAATCAGTTATCCAAATATCTTTCAGTTAAACTAATTGTACTTTTATTTCATCTGATGTTATTTTCTTAATAACTTCTCCAATTTCAACAAAAAAGTCTAAGCATTCTCCATCATACTTTTCGAATAAATGAATTTGATCTTCATAAAATTTGAACTTTTTTATTAATTCTTAAAGTTCTTCCTTCTCATTTCTCATTAATCTAGGAGGATCTGTTTCATCCAATGATACAGTGCGTTATTGCCGATATAGTATTTACGTTGGAGCATTTGTTTAACTCTAACTCAAATGCGAATCAGTTTATATGTGTTATAATTTCAGTATACTTTTAAATGATTTCAGATATTGCTCATAGTTATCATAATGGGTTTGTAAAAGTGATCGAATGACTGTCTGATACATTACAATAAATTATCTATCCCAATTGTCTTTAAACTCATTTAATTGCTAATTTGTTTTGGTTATTGCCACTTATAATTCCTTAAGTTCATACTTAGAACTCTATAACTTATGTTAAATTGTGGACAGTTACTGTGTGGATAGTTTTATAGACATTTCCATTTTAATTAGCTTTTCTGGATTTGTTTTATTTTTTTTTAATTCTCTATATTGAGTATTATTGTTTTCTAGATCTTTTTCAAGTAATTGCTTTTATCCTTCATAATTTTAGTTTTTCCGAAATACATCATCATATTAGGATTGGGTTTAGTTTTTTAATTTCTTGATATTCTTGTATTCGTCAAGATAAGTTTTCTAAATAGATTGGATTTGGGGTTGTGCTACTTTGAGAATTTAATATCGTTGTTATTAGAAGATGTAATTGAGTTGTTTAATTTACTGTTTGATAGTATTCCAATGAGGTACTATGATGTTTCTGCCTTGAATTTATGTGAAGGAATTGAGCAACAACTACTATTCATTATTCAATTCTTAAAACAAGATTTTGTGTTATTAAGATGTATCAATTTGATCTAAAATGGACAAGGATTCTTTTTTGGCTAATTTACTTAACAGAGAAGCCTAATTCTGCAATTCAAAACTCTTTTCTAGATTTGAATAATAAGTTAAAAGCGAATCTGTTAAATTAGTCACACATTGATATTTTTAGAGTAATCCTTTTCTGTCCAATTTGATAAGAGGTAGTTTCTAGGAACCGAAATAATTCTTGATTTAATTAAGATAGAGATCTGCTTATTGGTGTATTCGACTCTTCTATGCAGCAGGCAGATCATCAGTTTACTCAACTTATTCAATGATATCGACTTGGCTTGGCTCATAAGCACTAAGTGATAGCGAGGAATCATTTAGTTTATCAGAGTCATCAGGTATATATGATTGAAAATTAGTAGAATGATTTATCATAGAAGCTATTTATTTGAATCCTATTGTCAATTTAGAGTTGTTAATTCTTTTCAACATACGATAACGTAATATCCATATGAAAACGAGGAATTCAATGTAAATAGTATACAAGGTTCCATATAAAAAATAAGTGTAATTGTTTTTGTCTAAAAGAGGAATTAAGAAGGCAATTGATATTATCAATAATGCAGTAATTAATTTCATTATTTTATATATGTCAATTAAATAAAAACTATATTAAACTTGGCATAGATTCTTATAAACAAATTTCAATAGTTATTTAAGAAGTGCACCTACACCAGGGAAATAAAGGTTGTACAAGCATGTTGATATCTAAAATGAATTCGATAAGTATGAAAAGGAGAGAAGAAAGTAGAGATTGCAATTGATTGAATATAAGAATAAATTGAAGAAAAGGGTATTAGAAAAGGAAATTGCATTAATAAAATAATTTGAATCAAGTTAAATTGATTTTGTATCTACTAATGCTTCACTTGAAAATAACAATATAAGTAAAGATGTCACAATGGATGAATAAAGAAGACAATCCCTTCTTAAAGAATTAGAGGACATTAATAATTAATTGACTTAGATTGATAAAGAGAAAGAAGAATTAAAGATTTTGGAGAATGATATTGCAGTTTTAGAGCCAAATATGGTGATTCTAAGAGGAATTGAGAAGAAAACTGTATTAACCATGATTAATTATATTGAATTTCAACACAGACATGTTTCAGGTTTGGTATTGAATCCTGAAACAATGAAAAATATAGAGACTGTTCATTATCATGTTATGAATAATCTACCAATTCAAAGAGAGAAACTCTATGAAGTTGTTCCAGAATTATTTTAGGAAGAAATTGGAGAATTGGATGAACATAAATAACGATTAATTTAAGAAAATAGACCCACTTTAGATGTATAGGAAACTAGTGTAATCTAAATTATTGAAAAGAGTAGAATACCTGAATCAGATGATCCCATAGTCACTTTATTGAATGAATAAAGAGAAATGATGATGTTTGTTTATAATAAATGTGTCATTTTTTGTAATAAATATGATGATTGGATAGAAATGGTATATATAAGTTTAAGTAAATTAGAAATTGAAATAAGGGTTTCCAGATATTGATGCTATTATTGAGAATTTGTTATTGAGAAAAGATTTGAGTGGAATTGATCTTGAGGTAGACGAAGGATATAAAGAATTAGAAAAAATAAATGATGACTATCATAATCTTTTAGAATTGAATAAAATTAAAATTAGGAAAGAATAAAATAAACTAGAAATGCCTCCTTTTGTTGAATCTCATGAATTATTAAGAAGAGTATGGACAGAAAAATGGGAAGCTCATGTTAAGAATTCTCTCGACTTCTCCGAATCAATTTTAATTCCTCATAACACTTATGAATCAAAATTAGATAAAGTCTTGGCAGATTATAAAAAGCAAGATATCCAAGACTTGATTGAATAATGTATCATAATTATTTATATACTATAGCTAATCAAGCATTAAAAGAGAAATTAGGAGGAGATTAACCAGTTCAATATTATGATAGAAAAGAAAAGGATTTAAATTTAGTCAAATAAATATAAATTTTGGGAGATGTTATGCATTAAATTCCATCTCATGAAGAAGAATTAAAAGAATTGTAAAAGAAAGCTGAATAGTTTGATAAATTATAAATTGATGATAAAACCTAGATATATAAAAGTGAAGAAGGCAGAATCTTATTAACAGAACTTCCGAAAGTATTACATCTAAATAATAAAGATCCAAAACAAGTAATTATTATTAATAATCTTAGTATAATTTATTATTTTGGGCTGAACACTTTAATATTGAGCCATAAAAATTGAGAAATATCTTCAACTTTATACATTTCCCAATCCTAGATTAATAAAATAAGGAAGAAAAGTCAAAGATATTAAAATTTATATATTAATGAATAAGACAACAATAAATTCAACGTTTATATTTTGAAATTTCCCTTAAGAATAACTCTCTCAATCTTGGAATTTGCAACTCTCCTTCTTATTCAAAATCTAAGATGATTGGTCCTATTCATTAACATATTATCTATACCTGGAGCGACTATTTCCTTCTTTTTATCTCTTACCTTTTAAAGCATAGGGTGCTCAATAGCTAGATCAAGAGTAATTCTCAACTTTGGACTAAATTAAAGACACTTATCTAGAAAATCCAAAGCTTCAGGAGGGGCACCAGGGAAAATATCAGCAAAGGCCACTTTAGGTTTCTTGGGGAAGCTCTTTAAATATTCTATAGCCTTTTTGTCAGTTACAAAGTCCATATCCCTATATATTATTTAAATAACAAATAACTTTTCTCCTGGAGTGCCTAGCACAGAGAAGATGACTGTTAATTGATCAGTGTTAGAATATGGAAATCCACCCTTTTTGGCAATTGCACTTCTTTCTGGACTCAAAGGAAAACAACTTGTTCCTGGGAATAGAGGAGCTCTGTCTAGAAATGTTGGTGCATTCTCCTTCATCATGTTTAATAACTCTGCGAAGATACAACCTACAGACCAAACATCTATAGCTGCAGTATAATCTTTCTCTAGTAAAATCACTTCAGGGGCTCTGTACCAACGGGTGACAACATGGCCGGTTAATTCTCGCTTAACGGCTTTTGCATTTAATTTGTTTTATTTTTAAAGCATCCTTGGGCCTTTCTTCTCATCTTTCTTTTTTGGTTCCTCTTATTATCTGGCTATTTCTTCTTCCAAGGCTTGATCAGAGGAGTCGATTCCTAGAATAATAGTTTTGATACCTTGCACACTTCGAGCTAATCCAAAATCGCATATTTTGACAGTGCAATCTTCATTCAAAAGCACATTGGCTGGTTTCAGATCTCTGTGTAATACTTTGGCTGAATGTAAATATTTAAGACCCACACATATATTGTAAATTATAGTTTAAATATGTAAAAACTACAAGTGTATTGGTGATTTGAATAATTTCTTTAAGTCACTCTTTACTAAAATAAAATAAATTACCTGTGCATATTCCATTACAACGTAGATGGTGTCGAATTTGGGATCAGTAGGGTCCAAGATCTCAATGATTTAAATCAGGTTTTGATGTTTTAATTCTCTGAGTATAGTAATTTCTCTTAATATCCTTTTGCAATCAATCTCGTCATCGAATATTCCTGTTAATCTTGATAATCACAACTTTTAAAACCTTTTGATTGCCACCTTTTTATTTGTCGATTTCTATAAAGCTTCTACAACTTGACCGTATGATCCAGAACCTATTTGTTTAATAATTTCATAATCGTCTCCGACTTGCCAATCTGAAAAATTCTTAGGAAGAGTAGACAATTTCTGAAGTTTCTGACCGTCCTGCATTATCCAAGTTTTAAAAAAATAAAATAATTTAATGATTCATTTGGCATAGGAATAATGTAATTTAATAACTTAAATTAAAGATTTATATAATTGATTATACTTAATTATTTATTACATTTTTTATCTATGATCTTTAATCACTACTCCAAATAAGAAACTGTTGACTTGGTTATTATTTTATTTTTATTTAATCAATTAAAGTAATTTATAATGTTAAGTGAACAATAAATTTTATAAATAGTCTTGGCTGTCGACGGCATAGTATTACACTTTCAATTTTACATCACTAACGAGAAATTATATTTAATTTTAGGCTTATCCTCAGTAGTTTTCCACGCCATAATATTTCTAATCGAACAGATGATAACGAAATAGCTATTGAAGATCGGTCTAAATATACTTAAATTAGCATAAATACTTATTGTTTCCTAAATGTTGTATCAATCTTGGATGATTTATGCAGGAATTTAAATAGCCTGCATATTCAAATTTAACTAAAAACTAACAAGATTAATCATATTCGCTTTATTTTGTATTCATTCAACATCCTTGACTTTTGAGGATATGAATTATTTGGCTACTGGAATAGTGAGAAATTGTCTATGTTACACTTTGCTTCTCAGTTTATTTAAAAGGCAATCTTACACAATTGATTAATTGGAAGGGATCTTCAAGTAATTAAGTTCTGATATTTTGATCATTCTGGATGATAATTTTATACCAGAAAACGAATAAGAGAATTTTCAGAATATCATGAATGATTATATTCTAAGGAGTTCGGATGAAAAAAGTGACCGCATTATTACAAACAGGGAGTAAATTACCGTTGGTATTCAACCAAAATTAATAGATGAAAGAAATACTTTGCAATTCAAGGAAATTTTCAATCACTTAAAGACTACATTAAATAATTGGTCAGATTAATCATATGAAACCCAATCCAATCATATTATAGCTGTTAAGAAAGTATTCATTAACGAAAGCATCATTTCGACCAATCATTTTAGGTGTTTAGCAATGTAATAAGATTACTTTTTCATTCTTTAAAAAAAGGTTAAACCCAATTTTAAAAGGTTAGAACCCTAAATAGACAATGCTAAAGAAAACTTGAAGATTTTAAGCAAAGTATCACATGATATGAGAACTCCCCTGAATGCAATAATTAATATGTAGTTATGTTTGAAGGATTAAATAGACAAAGCCCTTTCTGAAAGATATTTAAAACCCTCTCTTAATTCATGTAGGTTACTTTTGAATTTGGTCAATGACATATTAGATTAAGCTCAACTTTAAAATAGGAAAATTCGATTGGTATTCAAAAAGTTTAATTTGAAAAAGCTAATCGATAAAACAATATCAATTTTTGATATTTAGAAAGAGAAAAAAGAATTAACCATTATATTAAGATATGAGGACAATGTACCCCAGTTTATAAATAGTGACAAAAATAGGATTAGATAAATCATTATGAATTTGCTAAGCAATGCTGTTAAATATTCAATGGCAAAAGGACAGATAGTAATTACTTGTGAGTATGTGAAGAAAACCTAAACCTTTAAAATCTTAGTAACTGACACTGGCTTAGGTATAAAGCCTGAGAATGTGGATAAGCTTTTTTAGGAATTTGCAAGAGTCGAAGACCAACAAAATTAGGAGAAAAATCCAAATGGAATAGGCTTAGGATTGTTAATAAGCAACGAATTATCAAAACTATTATCTTCTAATAATTAAGGGATTTCCGTGAAATCTTAATATGAGAAAGGAGCTACATTTTCTTTTCAAGTTTTAAATCAGAAGGTTCCTGATGAGGATCTGTCTGATTCCTTAGTTTCAGATGGCGCTGCTGCTTAGGATGTAAGTCATTTGCCTGAGTCACATTTTATCTAGTAATAAAGTTGCAGTCTAAAATCGAAAGAGTTTGTCATGCCAATTGTTAAGCAACCATCTAATGAAAGCTATACTGGCATTCCTACAAATAATAATTAATCAATTAAGAAGTACAATTTGAGAGTGAATTCTTCAAATTTATTATCCTCAAATCGATTACTTCCATTTAATGTGGAATGTGAGAAGTCTTACCAAAGGAAGTCCACCACTCAATCAAATTAAATTATCGAATAAACAAATAGTTGGTTGGATTAAACTTCTAAATAGCCTCCAGTGTTGATTGTAGATGATAATGAATTCAATATTATAGTCTTGTAATACATATTGGAATAATTGTATTTAACTTGCGATTCAGCTATTTCAGGGTTGATAGCATTAAAAAAATGTAAGGAACGAGCTTTGAGCCAATATAGACTGATATTTTTGGATATTGAAATGCCTGAAATGGATGGATTGGAGACAGCCAAGAAACTCTTGTAGTTTGATGGCAGTCTTATGATTATTGCTTGCACTGGGAATCGATAAACAAAAGAATAATTGGAGACCTTCAAGTAAGTGGGAATGTTCGGAGCTATAGAGAAGCCGGTGACAAAAGCGAATTTGAAGGAGTTGCTCATTAATATAAATGCCTAAAGAAATGAACCATAATTTACTCATTACTTTTGATAATTAGTCATTATATAATAACAGTTATTCATAAATACAAATTATAATCAAAGTTTATAAGGCAAACCTTTACTGCGTTTTTAATTTTTAATAAGTCTAGGAATATAGAACAATCCTCTTACTTCTGCTTAAAAAAGGTGTTTCCCATATTATTAAGGAGATTTTAGTAAGTTATACAAGGAAGTTGGTTCCCTTTTTTTTCAGGATGTTTAAATTAGCATCTTTCCCCGTAACAACAATAACTTGATTTAACTCAATGTTTTACCCAATAGTTATGTAATTCTTGCAAACCTAAGTTTTGTAATTGTGGGGCACATGTGTTTTCTATCTTATTTCATGTTGGCCATGAGCAAATGCACACTATTTATATATTTTTCTATATACTTATTATCCATAAGGACAATAATCTTCTATTGCCCAATATTTACAGATCTAAAATTATCGTAATTGTTATTACTTCTGTCTTGACTTTAACAATAAATGAGATTTTATTTTTGCTCTTATTTTCGATTTTTTCTTTATTTTCACATTCTTCTTAATCGCTATTTGAGTTTAGGTGAAAATTATACCAACTCAAACCAGATGAGAGATTTTCATTCTCATCCTAAGTTGAAATACAACAGCACTATTGCATTTTGTAGAGTAATATCTTAAAAATAATATTATTAAGCTTATGTTTAATTAATTAGATATAAACAATGGGACGTTCACACGTCAATACATACGGAATGTACCTGCAAGTATATATTTTTGATAGAAAGAGTTCCATCTAATTTAAAAATAGAGTGATAGGTGTTTAATAATGATGTTCGATGTATAAAAATTGAGATTATCATTATAATAATTCCTTTGTGTTAATTATATTATTTTTAAATTAGAAAGATCCATAATATGCATTATTCAAAATTTAATTACAATTTGAAGGGGGTCCTTATCAAGAGTTTTATTTCCTTTCAGAATTTTGAATATTTTGTAAATAGTTGATATATTATAAATATTTGGTGTTTGACTTATATTAAAATAAAAACGGGTTTAAAATCGGTTTTAATTATTTTTATGAACAAAATTTTTTTAACCTTCGTACTTGTTAGTGTCTGTTTGTGTTAAGAAGGTACTAAATCTGTATATTCTAAGAAACTCTGATTTAACTCGAAAATGGAGTAAGTTTAACCAATCTAAATAAACTCATGACTTTGGATTATAGTCAATTAGATTGTTAAGCAAATTTATTATAAGTTAGTCACTAATTAAAAATGTGGGCTGAACTATTTTAGGATGAGAAAGTGATTCATCATGAAATTCGATTATTGAGTACTGCTCATAAAATCCTTAATTAACAAAAGTTTAATAGATAAAGAAACTCAAGTACATAGTTTAAATTAAATGGTAGACACTGTGCAAAGAGCAAAGAGAGTACTTGCTGCCTTGAGACACAATACACATAAGAGACAACATACAATTTATTAGTAATGGAGAGCAAATGAAATCGATCAATTGAAACATTCAATCTAATTATTACAAACAGCAACAAGTATGTATTTCATCGATATAATGTTTAGATCAAGATGAAAGCAAATAATGTTGTGATAGAATTGAGTAATTGATCAACAAGTTTTTGGACGAGAGAAAACATATTGCTAAGTAATGTGGAAATGCTGATGTAAATAATTATAATGATGTTAGGTTACCATCAATATTATTAATGACAACGAAGGTAAAATCCAAGTGATCAATAAGAAATGCCATGAAAGCGACCCTGATGTTAAAATTAATAGAGTTGATTCATTTGACAAAGTTATTGTTGGATAAGCATAACAATAAAAGAAACAAGTTGTTGAAGAAGTACATGAAGAACACCATGAAGAACACAAGGAAGAAGTACATGAAGAACATAAGGAAGAAGTACATGAAGAACATAAGGAAGAAGTACATCATGAAGAACACAAAGAAGAAGTACATGAAGAACACAAGGAAGAAGTACATCATGAAGAACACAAAGAAGAAGAACATCATGAAGAACACCACGAATAAACTGAGACTGTAACTAAGGAAACTGTTGAATAGGAAGAAGAAGAAGAAGAAGAAACAGAGGAAATAGTCATTGAGGAAACAGTAACTAAAACTACTACACACAAAACTGAAGAAATCCCTGATGACGACGATGATGTTGTTGAAGGAGAATTGGTTTCAGCTTAAGGAGTAGGAGCAAGTGGGGAAGGAGGTAGAACCTGATTAAGTTAATATCAACAATAAATATACATGTTAAATAATCTTGTTATACATAATGAGGAATCTTAATAATAAAAATTAATATAGAATATGTCATTGGAGGACAAACAGCAGTTTTTGGTTGATGAAATCATCAATAAGGGTTATGATAGTGAAGACTTTACTAAGTATATGGATAAAAAGAAAGAAAACGGAGGTTAAGATTTGGATATCTGGTAGATGGATGAATTAAGATAAGCAGTCAATGATTATCAAAAAATGAAGAATGCAATGATGTAAATCGTTGATGATGACATTGGATTCAAGAGGAAGATTGATTGTCAAAAACTGATTGGAACAGAAATAGGTAACACAAATAATGTGTAAATTACAATTGATTAGTACATTATATATTAATAATAGCTTTGACAAGAAGGATACAGGATTCTTTAGTCTTAGCAAGTCCTACGTTAACTATAGAATTACTACATAACCATTCTAATGGGCTGTCACCAGAAGGTATTCAGATTTCGAATGGTTGAGAGAAATCTTAACCAAATAATATCCTGGAGTGTTTGTACCTCCTATTGCCAACAAAACTCCAACTAGATAATTCAGTGATGCTTACTTAGTAAAAAGAATGAAATTCTTAGAAGTAATTATGAAATTCCTAAGTTTTTAGAAATTCTTAAATCATTTACTTAATTCAACGATTCTCAAGAATGACAAATACTTTTGCGAATTCTTAAGAATGCAAGATGAAAAAGAATTCAAATCTCTCCAAACCGCTTCGGAGAAAGTTCAAAAAACCACTAAGTTAGATAAGGTTGTCAGTGAGACAGGATAAATTGAAGTAGCCTTCAATCCTTAAACTGATAATTATATCAAAGCTGCTGGTAATTTAATGACGAGTTTAAATTTGGACTTTGATGTGTAAGCTAAATATTTATTATTTAGAATTATGAAATAATCAAAAAAATTGTTATAGGATTTCGAAATAATATCAGCTACAATGTTTTAGATGGGTGAATCTTTTGAAGTGCTTACCAATCACATTAATTAATTTAATGCTGCTGTTTAAGAACCTGAGAAGGTATTGAAGTTCGAAGCAGTTACCATTACATTGAATAATATGATGATGATATGGGGTAGAAACTTTTAGAATTATATGATCTATATCTAAGATAACTTTAGAAACTTCTTTAAATATCATGACAAAGAAATTGGTTAATTAAAAGAACATCTACTGTTAAGATAATAAAGTTAAGCTGAATATTAAAAATATAAGGAACGATTGGATTTAAAAAAAGAAAAGTTTTATCAATTAAAAGAGTTCAATAAATGGGAAGTTTCTAAAGAAGTCTTAGATGAATTAAAATCAAATATCGACAATAAAAAGTATTGTTTGAGTGTTATGTTACCTAAAGAAACATCATAGTAGAATGACTTAAGAGATACATATGCTTATTATAATCTATCAACATATAATGAAATTAAAAGAGTCTTTGATTAGAATATTGACATTTATGCAAAACATTTTATTAAATTTGCTGATAATCAAGCTAACAATTTGACAAAGGTAATTAAAATATGTTGATTTTAGATGCATGTAACTTGGGCTGATATCCAAGGCAATTTATAAGGATTGGATTTAATAACATAACATGATTAAAAAGTTTAAATTATGCAGTAGCCAAAACCTAAGGTTTGAAAATTTAGATGTTTTTAGTAATTAATCAAAATTATCCTATTTATATCTTTCTTTTTCTTAAAACATCCAGGTTAGCATTTTTTATTAAACTCATTCACTTTCCATATTATATTATACATAAGTGATCATAATCATTATCCATTGTGTTCAATATAAATTATCTTATTTAAGTGAATTAATATATTCTTGTTTTCAAATTTATGGTTTCGAATGAGTTTTGATATTATGAGATTAATAGTAAAATCAAAATCATTTTAATAAATAATGAATTCAACTAATGCTGTTTTAGAAAAAACTTCTCGAACTCAGATGTAGACCAATGATGTGAACTCATGGTTAAGAAGAAGGTAATTATATATTTATGTATTAAAGACATTTCAATAAAGTAAAATAATAATATCTCCTACATCCCGATTAGATTAAATAAGAATAGGTTATAAAGAAAATATTTATTAATTTTGACAGAGATAAATCAAGTATGATATTGTTTCAATTCAATAGAAAATATTGATATTAGTGAAATGTATGATATGTTTTAAAAATATGGGTTTGGAGTGACAGAAAAATAGCTTAAAGATTTTTTTAGAGTGGTTGACAAGGATAAGGACAGTATAATTTAAATGATAAATTAGATGCTTTGAATTGGGATGAATTTAAAAACTCTGTCATAGATGCTGATGCTTCGAAAAGTATAAAAATCTATCATTTCTTATAGTCTTCTATAACATCATTAAAGAAGTTCGACAAAATTCAAATGTTGAATCTTCTAGTAATTTTGGATACATTCCTTTTTAATTTAATGACATGATAAGCTATTTAAATTATTTAATAAGTAGAAATGAATTATAAGAATCAATCAAGGTACTAATCTTCTAATTCATAGCAAAATTCATTAACAACTTACGAAAGGTTTCAATAGTACCTCCAGTTGATCTAACTGAATTAGCCCTAGAATTAAAACTATAACTATTAATAACACAATCGAATAAACGAAGAAATGAAGGAACAAACATAGGACGAACTTGAATTTACCAAAATTAACTCTAATAAATTCACTTATTCAAAAACATCATGTAATTATGAATATTAAAATAGTTTATAATACAAATGATTTACCATTATTATTGAAATTGAAATCAAATAAAAAGTAAAATGTTTAAAAAGATCATAATATGAGAACCAGCATTGATTCCTAATAGACTTATCTTTCTAATTAATTTAGTTTACAAACCAACCCTAAATCAGACAGGTACATTAGTTAAAAAATGGTTAATAATCACATCCTAATATTGAACACCTCATCATAACATAAAATGCCTCCAAGTGATAAATACAACAAATCTTAAAATATCGACTCTAATGTGAAATCGACACCCTATTTATAGTTAAATATTAATAAGATTAATTCAAGTTATAGAGAACACTTTTAAACTGAACCCAATAATAATAATAAGTAAGATTCCAAAAATAAAATTGATCATCTGCCAATAACTTTGATTAATGAATTATAGAAGTTTTAAATCTTATCTGGAAATCATAAAAGAAGACATACTAATTTTATCAAAACTTCGCAAAATAAATAAGGTGACGTTAATCCAAAAAAGATTACTTCATTATTAAAAACTTCAGCAGATGTACATCAACTAATAAATATTTAGTTCAATCCTCATTCTCCAAGTAATAGTAAATTATGTACACCTAGATTCTTGAGAGATGAAAAATGCATAACTTACAGAAAAACTACCAATAGGCCTATTTTCTAAACCTATTCTTAGTATAATAAATCAGAGAAACCACTATGTGTTACTTTAAAGGGCAAATCTTTGTAAATAAAATGAAGTGTTTAAATACTTTAATAAATAAAGAATTATGATTTTTATTCAATTTGCATTTTTTTCGTAATTAGTTCTTTAATTTAATTGTCATTATTTTTGATAATCCCAGTATAACAATTATTCTAAAATTTCATTAGGCATTAATGATTTTATTGAGTTTTTAATAAGTTTGTTTGAAATAATAAATTATTAAAATAATACTAATTTTTTAAACTAAAAGGAATATTAACACCTATTCTCACAAGTTAAAATTTTAAACTAAATTTAATAATCCTATTATCTTGTTTGACTTTAATTATAATTTCGAAATAATTCTGAATTTATTTAATTATTTATTTTCTTTCAAATAATTGTAATTTCTGATAAAGTATTTCTACTTTCTGAAATTAAATAAAATCTGTAACTATTCGATCCTTTTATAGCAGTATATGAAAATCTTAATGTTTCTAAAATTTGAAATATATATATGACTTCTAGAGTTGAATATCATTAACACTTGAATGATCAATATCAGTAAAATATATATTCATCTATCAAGAAATTGAACTTATGAAAAGAAAAAAATGAGATGACTAAAACTTAAACTAGCCTTCCTTATATATATTAATATCCTTATTGTTAGAAGTCTGTTTAGGATGTTCAAATGTTCATTCTAACTTTAAGAATGATGTCAAAGGTATTGCATCTTCATATGTTTCAGTTAGAATATCTGCTGATACATTTTCTTCATAGGTCTAAGAAATACAACATTAGGGTTATTTTTAAATTTATAAAAAACCTTAAGGTTTCTCTTTTTAAATGTTAAATTAGTGTAATTAAAAAGAGCTTTTTTAAATTCTTCTAATGCTATAGCCATTCTTCGTTGTTTAATTTTTAAAGTTTTACTAAAAAATTAGCAACCTTTTATAAAATTCTTATATCCATCACTAAATTATCTTTAATATTTAGACGTCTAGGTTTGATAGCAACTTATTCTCTCTTTAATTTAGCTCTATGCACTTGAGCTATTGTAACTGAAGCAATAGTTTTTTTCAAGCTCCTCAAAAGCATCTTTTATTTTCTTCCTAATAACTTATTTAAATTATTAATTAGTATTTTCTATCGAATGAGGTAAAGTATCTTCTCTTAATCATTCTAATGCCTTAATAATTTTATATCCAAAAATATCTCCTCGATGCTAACCATAGTCCTAACTTTACCCATAGTGGACAAGCTGATTTAAGTTTGTAAAAAAAGTATTTAAGCCAATTAGGAAACAAATAAGACTTGAATACTAAGGAAAATGATAATAAACAGTCAAAAGTAGCAATTTTAATATCAAGTGCAAAAATCTGACCTTTCTTCTTAAACTTTAGATCATTCTCTAAAATGCAGAAAATTACTTTGCATTCTTCTCTCCAAAGTATTCTCATGTAAGAGGCTTTATTAATTATATGAATTACTTCTACTTCTGGAATCTAAATTTACATTGACGCAAAAATGCATTTACTGATACCTTTCTCTGCCTTATCTATACAAAATATAAGAGAATTTTCTACATTTAAATTAAAATAGATCATTCTCAGTCTTTAAATTCCTTTATGAGTTTCAGGATATATTCATTAAAAATTAAATTATTATTGGGAATATCTTTTTAGTGAATCTTATATTGTTTATAGAAAACTAATATTCAATTTAACAATGAAAGGAATGTAATAATTAATCAATAATACAGCTCATGTTTATGTAATTGGTGAAGAGAAAAGCAAAGCCATATTAGACTTCAAAAATATTTACTAAGAAATTAGAATAATTAGCTGCATTCTTAAAGGTTCTAAATTAAGGTGAGATTTGAGTAAGCTTTATTTAATAAAGCAAAAATCTAAATAAACTTTTATGGAGTTATAGAAGTAATTGTATAATTTTATTTTTATGGAATAAGATACTTTATTATTCAGAAGATTAAATAATATACATGGAATGATGCTAAATGCAAAGCAGCAATAATATCAGTATTTTAAATTAATTCACTATTTACTCCAAGTAGGAAAGGTGAACTTTTATAGATAATATAAAGTTGAGAATTATAATATAAATGGAAGGTAGGTAAATAATCAGTTAGCATCATCAATTTCAACAGCCTAAAAATTTCAGAATACAATTCTTTTCTTGTTTGATATCATCAATATCTTTCGATTACTTTTACTATTTGAATGGACTTTAGCTGTAGCTGTTGGTGTAATCAAAAGTCGATTTTCTTTTTGTTTTTTTTTCATTAAACGTCATATGAACAAGTGAGAAATTTTGTCTTTCTGTATCTTCAAGTTTGAGATCAAGTTAAAATGATGGAAAATCTGTTTAAGGCTATCCATTTTTTTTTGCAATATACAATTCATAATTTTCAGGGTTTTAATCAAGAGGGTTATTCAAGCTGGCTACTTATAAGACTCGGCTGATAGCATTTATAAGTTCAGTTCCAGGAGGTAATTCAATAAAGACATTAATAATTTATTATTCATTATTTAAGTAGAATCTATATGGCTTAGTAATTGAAGTATATGATTCATCCAAATTATTCATAAAGATTTTTTTTTATTTAGAGCTTATTGTTTTGGTACTGGAAGTGATTGACATGAACTATTTAATTAATTATTTTTATTTATTTACGCATTTTTAAACATGTTAAGATTTATTATATAATATTGTATTTTATAAAAGTATATATAAATATTATACCCCTTTTAAATATAAATCACATTTCTTGACAGCATTTTATTCTAATTTTTCATATTAATTTATACTTATTTGATGAATTACCTTTATTAGTCAAAGAACTTTATATCATAGTTGTAAACTATTGGATAATTATTTAATCAATTAACTAAGTATGCTTATACAAATACAAGATGATATTTTAATCTTGTAGATTGTTTACTCAGTATAAATAATTAACATATTAAATATTATATTAGTAGATGGCAATAAAATATTAATTCAAGTTATTTATTAGTGGTTTATATTAATTTCATCTTTGTTGTCAATTATATTTATTTTAATATTAGCTTGTCTATCTCATTTTCCAATCTTCTATATTTATAACTCCTAATTTTTAAAAAAGAAATTGCTTTGACTGATAAATTCTTTAATCTATTTGTAAAATCTTTTAATTTAAAATTCAGAATTATTTATTTATCTGATAGTATTAATGGCTTTAAATTTCTGTATTTCTTTTAAACTGAGGCGTGAAGAATGATATTGAATCATTGAATAATATTCATTCTTTATTATAATCATTTCTTAGACTTCTTTTTTTTACCTCTTGTTTTCTTTCCTGTGTCAGGTATATTGGCTAAAAGAATTCCAGGTTTTGGGAGAGGTACTTTTTGAGGATTTAAATGTCCTTGTGGTATAACAAGGGACTTTTGTAGGATGGTTATAGGAACAAACCTTTTTTCAGAAGCCAATCTATTCTTTAACACATTTATTTCGCTAATCTAATATGATACTAGTTTAGAATACTTATTAATCGATATCTGATTTGATGCTATGGCTTTTGAAGACAGTACTAAATTATTTAGAAGGTTGGACACTTCTGAAACAACTGGAAGATAAGGAACGATTATTCTAAATTTTTTCAGCACTAGGGTGATTCGGAACACCTCCAGGCAACCAACTTCCTCTTGATCTTTTGAGGAAGTAAAGTCTTTACGAATTAATTCTTTATTCTAAGTAAGCATTTTTAGATTAGAAATCCTCTGCCTCATCATCAACTTATGTGGGTAATACTGTATTTTCAATTACTTTGGTTATGGGGAGAGAACTTGAAATGGTTCTGCCTTTGTGGTAAGATGTTTTATTAAGATAATTAGCATAGGCTTTTTCTTCAGCAAGATCCATCTTTTTAGATTCATAGATATCAGAAACTTTGATGCCAACATTCGAGAACTGAGATCCCATAGATTATAGCTATGATTATCATACATTTTTATACATATTCAGACTAGAGTATTATTTCATCAATTCTACCTTTGTTTGTTGCCCAGACTTTCATGTTTTCAACCATTTCAATATCTTCTCTTTGTTCTTTTAATTCTTTAATTCTTTATTCTTGATAATATTGATTAAGTCTGGCTGCAGCCATCTTGTCTTCTAAATTAGTTGGATCATAATTATGAAATATTCCTTAGAGTTCTCCAAGTCGTTGATTTTATCCAATTTAATAGGCTAATTCAGTGTCCTTATCAGTTTTATAAGTCTTTCTATCAGGTGCAATACTAACATATTTATCTGCTCTTTCTTTTTTCTTTTTTTTCTTCTTAGGTGAAAGATCCACCTATGATTAGATATTTTTTTAAGAAGCATCAACCTTGTCAGGAGATTACTCTTCATCTTCATCTTATTCTTATTCAATGCCTTCCATTTAATCTCTATCAGTAGGTTTATCTGCTTTGAGTGGAGATTCCTCTTTTGGAATTTGACGTCTTGTGCTTTTTTGCTATTCCTCGAAAGTTTCAAAAACAGGGAAATTAGTATCATACATCCAAGAAGATTATTGTTTAGTAACAGAATATTGCTGATTTGTCATAGGTCTTGAGAATTTATCAACTTAATCAATCATTTTATAGGTAGTTTATGAGGTTTAAGGTCGTGTGTATTGAGAAAAGCCCATAATACCTGGAGTAGTGCCAGGTCTTGTGCTTGTATCAGAGAGTAGATTTTTCCTGTGATAGCTTTTTACTCTGTCTTCAGGTGGATCTATGTCTGGATGCATTGATCTATTCCTTGATTTGTAATCTTCAATTCCAGAAGCATACATACTTTCATTATAAGCAGTTGGCATATATTACAAAGTCTGAGAATTATGTATATATAAGTTACATTGTCATTCTTTTCAATAAGTGACTATGTTAATTATTATTTTTAGGATTTTGGCAATTAACGAAAGAACCAAGTAGAAACTTTATTTAGAAATTCTAGTTACTGCTACCTATTTCTAGTGCTGACAACTTCAAGTAATGAATTCTTCAATTATCTATAAAGGTTCTCATACACAAAAGGGTCTTTTAATTCTATTTATTATGCTCGATGAAGTGTCACTCGTTCATTCCAAGTCATTATTTCCTATTTAAGCATCTGGAATATTTGATTATTATTCAAGTATCCAGAGGTTAATCCATCGAGATCAATCTTTAAGAATTAGTTATATAACTACAATTGATAGGACTGGACGTTCGTTGAGTCTGTTGATGTCTTCGATCTTGTATCCAGTTCTTGCGAGACGTTCATTTAATTGTTGGTCGATGCTTAATGGAGGTTAGACAAGAGGCTTACCATTTAGGTAAAAAGATCTCTCCATTTTCATTTTAATTTATTATTTAATATTCTTATTGTAATTGTTGTCTGATGGAAACCTTACAATACATGATATATAAAATCATTTCTGTGGTTATTGCCATTGATAGTTTTGATACTGTTGATATTAAGGGTACTGCTGATATTGTTGATAATCATAATATTGATATTGATAATAAGGATAGTATTATTGTTGATTTCGTTGTTATTGCATCTAATATTTGTATTGTCTCAATGCTTATTCTCTTTCATCAATGACTGTGAAATCATTGAGGATACTCTTTTTGTCTGCAAACTCCTCAAAGATTTTCATCATCTCTTTTCCTGTGTCCCAGTTCAAAAACACTCCATCTCTTGATCGAGTCACTTCTACATTATCACTATTAATGAATTCTAATTAATTACCTATTTTTCAGATGCTCAAAATGCTTGTTAGGCACATCCTTCACGTACAACCATTAGACATTGAAATGACCCTTCCATTTCTTGATTTCCCACCAATACTGGAAACTTTCATCTTTATAGCCTGAAGTCAATTTGGCAACTCCCACAAATTATCCACTTCTAACAACGCTGAAAAACAAGTAAACTGATTTGCCTTATTCTTGTGCTTCCAAGAATTTGGCATTGAGTTTCTCATTATTTTCTTTGCTTGATGTCCAAATCCCATATTTTATTGACTAAAAATATATAATTTATGAATCCCTTACTTTATGAATATCATCATCATTATTACTACGAAGTATGTAAGCATATGCCTCTGTATCTGCTAAATTTCTATTTGCTTGATTAATTTGTTTCAAAGCAGGGATTAACTTCGATGCTTATTCTAAATTAGTATAATCTTGGCATGAAATGTAAGGCACTTTTAAATCTCTCTTATTTCTGACATATGGTTCATAATGATTATTCATTAATTTTTAATTAAATTTAAATAATCAATTAACAAATAAATATACATTCCCTCTTCCATTTTCATTTAGATTTGTTATAGTTTTAAAATTACTCTTGATAATTAAAATTATACAATATTTATGAAAAATTCCAAAAAATCCTACTCATCTTAGGTGGTGGTTTTCCAGGAATGACCGTACTCACTCATACCTACAAACAACTCAATATGTCTTATTAGATGAAAAGTCATATACCAAAGTAATTAGACCCCATCAATTCAAGTTCGTGCCATCAATCTTCAATGCTTTTATGCATACAGAATCCATTTAAGATCTGACTCTACACTTCAAATAGGGATATTTGGAGTCCTCTTCGTCCAAGGCGAATTAGTATTTACTCATAATATGTATAGAATCACATTGAAGATAATAAAGCATATCATGAAGTAGGCAAAATTGAATTCGATGATATGATATTACAATTTGCTCCATTTATGCAAACCCTATAATGTCTATAGTCCCTAATTGCAGATAGATTTATTGAGTGTAAAAAATATAATAAAAGATTATTGAATCTTAAACTATTCTTATATTTGGACGAGGCACTGTGGGAGTTCAATTAGCTTATGAAATCAAAATAGAAACAGTAGCTCTAATTAAACTTAAATATAAGTAGAATTAAATACTTATAAATTGAAGCATCCCATTAAGTAGATTAAATCATATTGGATATCAACATCCATAAGTTAATAGAAGGCAGTTTTGTATTTGAAATTTGTACTTTTGAGGTTTCATCTCTTACTTGATAAAACTTTTCAAAGAAGTTGTGGTTTCAAATATTTTAGAGCATTTATCGAATTTAAAACTATTCATTAGATTATGAATTACGTTGTCTATATAATGCTCTATTTTATATGATAATATAATTGCTATTGTTTCTTTGGGAAGTAGAATAATGTAAGATCAAAGGGTTGAACTAAAAGGAATTTAATAGGAAATTGAAGAATTCAAAAAACGATGATTATATTTTATTACATTTATTTACATTATAATAAACATTATTAACTCAATAACTATTTGCAATTGACTATAAAGTGTTTAGCATATGTTCGTATTAAGATTTAAGATCTCGAGAATTTAATAAAAATTATTCGCTATTTGCTTTTAATTCATCATATTTACTCTCCAAAAGTCTGAAACTCTCCTTCTCCTATTAAAGTTGTTCTTATTAAGATTTAATTATCTGCTCATATCTAAAGTACTAAATTTTATATATACTTGCTCAGTATATTTGTGTTAGTCTAGTATATTTAACTATTGATATTCTTTTGCTAGTCTAATTCAGATGATTACAATTCCTTTTCTTATTCATATTATTTTAATTTATATAATAGTTGTTAATTTAATTCTTAAAGTCTTTGCGTATATTTTTTATTTTCCTTTAAGCAAGTCTCGCATTCCTAATACCTCTTTTCCCATTCCTTACATTATTTTTTTATTTCCTAAAAGCTCTCATTGTTGAATTCAGTTTTGGATGGTGTGGATGTAAAATTCTATTGTTTTGAGAATAGATCAATTTGCTTTTATTTCTTAGCCAGATCGATTTGGAGATTTTAAATTATAACATTTTTTTCTTTGATTTCCTTCTCCATAGATTTTAAGGCTTCTCTAGTACCAGACAATCGCATTTCCAATGATTTTATTTACTTTGTTGTATTTTCATTATTTTTTTGCGAATACCTGTTACTCTAAATGTCAGCTATACTGCTACTTCTTTTATCCATATAATTATTGATGGAGTCTTGCAGATTATCAATTATGGATTCCTAATTATTTTCAAATTTATAAGGACCTGGCTTATACGGAGATTCCAATAATCGATGAGGTTCAATTCGATTTGGCTATTCCTCCTCTGTTTCCTCCTCAATTTTAGTCAAAATTCCTTTTTCATTTCTAAAATTCGGATTTACATTTTCATTATCGTTATCATTCTCATTTTCTTCTTTTGGTTGTATTTGGTTAAATGAAAATCTTACTGCCTCCTGCCTTAATAATTATTATAATTCCTATTCTAGAATCTTATTCTCTTCTTCTATTTATTTCAAAAAAGCAGAATTCATTTAATTTTTTAAATTTATAATACATCACTCTAGGCCTATTCTTATTTCATACAACCACTGTTAAAATCATTTAACTCTAGAAATATAAGACATAATTTCCAATATAATTAATTTTTTATCCAATTTTGGAGTAAATAAGATTTAAATATCCGTGAGACCAATCAATTGAAAAATGCAAACTAAATTTGCTTCAATTAAATTATATTTTATTATATTTTAACAAGATGCTAGATAAATTAAAATAAGCACTCAATTTTCCTATTGTAATTTCTAAGGCAATTAAAATACTATTGGATCATTAGTCATTTTATAATATTCATTTAACAAAGAGCAATTTGCAAATTTGATCCCGTCTTCTTCTGTAATACCATATCCTTCGTGAATATGTCCAAATAGATGATATTTTGCTTTTATCTACTTAATCCTATTCAATAATTCCTTATCGCCAACATGTCCAGCATTATTGACATAATCGCCATGACCGTATGAAGGACCGTGTGTTACAACAATGTCACTTCCTTCTTCAATTTAACTCCAAAACTTTTAAGCATCTTTGGGAAATAATTCAAAACCCCAATTACAAAACTCCAAAGAATATGGACTTCCCCAAATTTTATATCCCTCAACAACACATGAAGAATTTAATAGATAAATGCATTAGTTTTAAAGGTCTTTGATTTCAGCCTAAAGTTCTGGATCCTTTAAATTTTTTGGATACTTTATATTATCAAGAGTAAGATCATGATTTCCAGCAATCATAATTTTATACTTGAATGGCTGTTAAATGAACCACTATTTAAATTTCTTTATTCCATCTAGTTCTCCGCAATTGGTAAAATCCCCGCAATGGATCAAAACATCCCCTTAAGGTAAATTTATAGTAGGTTTAATAGAGGAAGGATTAAGGAATCCATGAGTGTCACTGATGCAAACAAAGGTTACACTTTTTTACATTTAAAAAATAATTCCGATATTATCAACTCAGGTCTGAAATATTTATATCTCTCATTATTAGAATTAATCAGTATTATAAATAATTAATTATCATTTTAATAAGGCACAAGCAGAGATTCATTTAAAATTCTTTTATAAGAAGGAGGAGATGGTGTTATACAACACTATGAGATTGATTTATCAAATGAATAACAATGTGAATTTAATTTAACTTTGTTTCATAATTGATGAATGTCTTAATAGGAAGTCTACTCTTTTTATTATTCAAAGCATGAGGGTAAGCTCAGTGTTTGAAAGTATTTATTGAAAGATCCATTATATCCTTCTTAATTTGTAATGTAGGATTAGATTTGTACTATCATTTCAAATTCGTTGCGAGTAGTTAAGCGGTTTAAGAGGATAAGATAGAATTGTGAATGTAATTGCACTGCTGATGTGAGACAGATATACTTATTTTCCTAAACTAAAAATAGAAGGATGAAATATAATAGTTATATTATTTAATATATGCAATAATAATCAATATCAGATTTCGATAATCTTGAACAAGAACATTAGTTGATTGATTAGGTTAATTAAAAGTCAAAATCAGCGAAATTTAAATAGTATAAATAAGGACAATATTATGGAGATATTTAAAACAATGTTCGACATGGATATGGTACATTGTTGAACTCATTATTATATTTTTAGGACTCATGACATATCAGGATAGATATTATATTGGATACTGGAAGAATGATAAAAAGCAGGGGTTCGGTAAGGAAGTACTGGACAAAGGGGATTCGTATGAAGGCCAGTTTGATGATGGAAAACCTAATGGCGAAGGCACGTTGGAAACTGCAAATGGAATATATTCAGGGTAGTGGGTCTATGGAATTAAATAGGGGTTTGGCAAATGGAGAGGAAACAACAATGAAGTCTATTCAGGAGAATGGAAATTAAACAAAGCTAATGGGTATGGAAGATATGACTATTAAGATGGAGGATGGTATGAAGGTGAGTTCAAGGATTATCTTAAATATGGCAAAGGCAAAGAAAGTTATGCCAATGGAGATTTTTACGATGGGGATTTTGTTAATGATAAACCTGAAGGATTTGGAGTATATAGATGGTCTGATGGTTCATCCTATCATGGTACACTTTCTAGTGGAGTCAGACATGGCAAAGGCTATTGGATGAAGAACGATGACCCTTAGAATCACGAGAGTTATGACGGATAATATGTTAACGATTTGAAATCAGGACATGGGGTTTATAGGTGGTCAAGTGGAAATGTATATTAAGGGGAATTCTTTAATGATCATAGACACGGATTTGGAGAAATGAGATGGGCTGATGGTTCTTATTATAAAGGTTAATTTTATAATGGGCAAATGTGTGGAGAAGGGGAATTGAAGAGAAACAATAAACCTGTTATTTATGGATACTTTGAAAGTAATAAACTGGTTAAAGAATAAAAATAGAAGTCAATTCCTAAAACTATTAATTATAGTGCAAATCATAGTTATGATGAGAGAAAAAATTATTATACACTTCAATAATCATCTTTTAATTAACAATAAAATACTTAACAACTTTAGAAATTTCATTTTAAGTCTGAATCTATTGAACCCATTTCCAAGTAAGTTAAAAAGAATTGTAATAGTTCGATAAATGACAATCAAAACCAATTTCATTAAAATAGGTTTAAAATCTCCATTGATTTTGAGGATCATTAAGGAATCTCTGCTCATTAAAAATTCAAGACGATAAGTGCAACAAATCGACCTTTTTAATCCCAGCAAGAGGGTCTATTATAAATGACTAATTAAGGTTAATCTATAAAAAAAGTTGTGATTGATAGTGTAAAATTTAAGAGAAGCCAAAATTCTTTTCGATTATAATCATTAAACTAATCTACAAGGCAAACCTCAAATTCTCTTCCAAAATAATCAATAAACTGATTTGTGTGAAATTTTTATTTATTTATTCATTTTTCCATTGATATGAAATAATTGGTTAAAGAATTAAGCATAATATATGTTAAGTAATTAAAAAGCAATTTTTAATTAAGTAATTTTCAGGATCATTTTAAAACATCATTCTTACAAAATATAAATTCAAAATTAAATAGAAAAATAGAGGGAGATATTTAAAAATACAATCTATTTTCATAATGTTTCGAATCCTTGGGGGTTTAGAGAATTTTGATTCCCCTTTATATAAGTATACAAATAGCTTTAATGTCTTGAGTTTATTTTCTATTTATGAATTATTTTTTAAAATCCCTTTTGGCACTTTTCTATTTGATTAAGTTTTCGAAAAAATTGCAGTTATATTCAATAGAGTTATCAGGTCCTATAACCCAATCTATTCTTAAAGTATGTTTTTTTTATATGCTCAAATCGATTTTAAAGAGATTACTTTTAAATATCAGACTTTTAAAAGACTTATAGATATGAATTACTAAATTTTTTATATTAATACTCTATTGATACATAACATAAGTCAAAATTTTTAATCCGAATTGCCAAAATCTTTTTGTTTTGATAATTATTGTTCAAAAATTCTAAGTGCTAATGTTTTCTTGTAATTTAAAACTGTTATCAAGTTATCCTCAAAAGGAATTAATTCAAGTATTCTTTTTTTACCAATTTGAGTCGCTAACACAGTTTATGCATCAAAATTCATTAATTATTAAATAATTATTTTCAATCAATTTTAGATATATACTTAATTAAGGCAAATAAACTATCTCGAATATTATTATTAATTAATTTTCAATTCTAATAAATCATTTATAATATAAAATGAATCATAATGGAGAATATTTTGGATTTACTTTTTCTAAATGTAAATTATTCAATCAAAAATGAAGAAAATTTAACAATATCTTTGAGAAAATTATCACTAAAGATATTTTCATATGCTAGAGAAAAATCTATCAATAGAGTGTAATTACTGCAAGATTCAAAATATTTTTTACTTATTTGAATTATTATTATAATTTATACATCCTAAATGTAGCATTATAATTTTAAAACTATATATATTATTAAGAAAATATATAAAACAGAATTTATAAAATTAAAATAAATAAAGCATGTAAGGAGACTAATTCTGATGTATTAGTTGGCATACTTTGAAATTGCCGATATTAATTTAAATTAAAAAGGCGAGAATGCTAAAATTACTTTGGTGATGATATCAAGCCTATATTAAACATCAAATAGTAATTTAATTAGATTATTAGATTACAATATGAATTAGGCTCAAGGAATAAGTACAATAGTTCTATTTCTTCAACGATTTTAGATTTTAATTATTTTATTTAATTTTATTGAAATAAATTATATTTAACGATGAGTTCAACACTTAGATCTGATTAGATTATTTATTTTGGAACCTCAAATACTCCATAAATTCCTTGTCGATTTCATGAGGACTATACTATTCAAAATTTTTGCAAGAAACAGTACTAAATTTGAATAATAGTTTAGAGATTGCAGTTTACCAATGTGTCCTGAATGTATAAAGATTCATTCGGAAGAACATGAACAAGAAAGAGTAACAAGTGATATTGATTTATTCTCTAATTGCTTGACTGAATAATATAATAAGTCATTGGAATATCTTAATCTTTGGGCAATAGATGTTTAAGAATCCAGTAATTTTTAAGAAGAGGTATTAAAGGCACAGGAGGTAAGTTGCATCTATAACATTCATAGTTTTAGCTCTCAAGGTTTTAGGAGGCTAAGAAACAATTTTATAAGGTTATAGACGACTATTTTAGAATTCTTGAATCTACGATTACAGCTGAAACCCAAAAATCAAATCAAGATTTAATTAAGTTGGTTAGATCCAGACACAGAATAGAATATTTGGAATGGAAAACTTTGCATGAAAATTTACAAAAACTCAATTCAGACAAGGTAAATAAAATTTATTAATATAGTGCTTACCTCCATTAATTCAGATATATTCAGATCCAAGATAAACACCCTAAGCAATTTATTAAAGAAATCATTAGGAACATGTTGAATAATTGAATAAACTAAAATTAAACATTAGATAAGTGGTTGTTAATGATAATCTAAACTAAATCCTTACCTTATTAAAATAATACATTTACATAACAGCTCCAGTGTAGGATTCTTAAATTTAATAAATATAATTAACTAATACTGTTTAACCAATTTTATAAACCTAGTAAATAGTGTAAGCTTAACCAATGGTGCAAACTTAAGCAATTGTTTAAACTCAACCTGTTGTGAATTAAGCAATTAATCAAAATAAATATCAATCAAGGGTTATACAACCTTTTAGTGCCATCAGAGAGTACACGCCTCTATAGCCTGTTTTGTATTAACAACCACCACTGGTCCCTATTGAACCTTTGCAAATATATCCTTAGCAGTTTTATCATCCACACCCTGTTTTATAAGAACCTATGGTAAGACCAGGTCTGCCAGGTTAATAATCAACCCCTCCACAGATCATAAGATCTCCTGTAAAAAATTTATAACCAGTTCCTGAAGCAGTGCCTTTAAATGGATAACTAAGAGAGACGATGGCACAAAGATATTATGATTAAATGTTAAAAAATGAAATAAAGTGATTTATAATATGAATTATTATTATTATCTACAAATTAGTTTAATTTCTGAACTTATTGTCTTATTTTAGTGCCTTTTCTAAGAATAATTATTGTTTTTTTGTAAATATTTTATGATTTTTAAGTTTATGATTCTTTATTCCGTTATGTCATTAAAGCTTTTATGATTGTTAGCCTGATGTTATTGTAGTAATTTCGAATAGAAATGTGAATTAATATGGAATCATTCGTTTAAATAATTTTGATATTCTTTAAGAAAACAAATTAAATTAAAAATTCAAAAATCACTGATTAATTATTAACTTAAATACAATGGACTATCTTCATTAGAAGTTTATTTACATTCTCAATATATCGATAAGAT